GTCAAGCAACCTTTAAGTAACTGGTTTTATTATTTTAAGATGGTAATGCTTTTTTATAACTAACTAATCATATCTATTAATTCTTGTATTATCAGGCCCTGCTGCTGTGGGGCGCGCGATGAGTTTAATGTAGTTAATATAATGAATAATTATTACTGGATAATACTCGTACTGACTGGTGCTCAATATATCAAATCCTAGGATCGCTTCTCCCTGTTTCTGTTAGCTTAGCTTTGCTGATATACGTACCTTTGAACTGAATCGAGGTAAGTCAGACTGATGACTATCTAAAGATGACTGGTCCTGAACAGAAGAAGAGAAGTAAGGCCAGATAGTGCCATACAGCTATCTGTAAGTAAGTACAGACAAGTATTATTACTAAGCTTTCTAAACATATGGTTACTTAAAGATGATTATATTGAGCACGAAGAACAGAACTAGCTAAGTACATAAAAGAGCGTCCTTATATTCTGTTCTTCATTATAGTGTTATCATGATATGTTATACCACTGATATATTATTTCATGTTACTGCCATGTCTTGTCGTAGCACTGACATGTTGTAGTGTGTCAGTGACATGCCCACCGTGGTCACGTGTTGTGTAACCGCTTTGGTCGTTGGTTACTCAGATCAGGATTCTACTCGATAAGAGTCCTTGTCTTTCCGGACGTGGCCTTCTGCCTGGCGAGTCCGCCTCACTAGTTTGTTCAGCTAGCAGGGGTCCGTAACAAAGATTAACTATATATTTAGAACTCTGCTACTTAACAGTATTAAAATCTATTTAATCTTTTATTTTAATAAACTTTATTTATATAGTATTTTGGAATTACTGCCCAGACAAGTCCTTAATTAAGTATCTTTTATTAAAGTTAATAACTATACTAAATAAAAAGTTAAAGAGATATTCAAAAGCCGCTTGCAGGCTGATATACTGTAATACTAGACTAAATAAATTAAATTAGATAAGAATAACTATAAATAATACTCTACTAGAGACTTTAAGAATATATTATTTTATTTATATAATTTCTATACTTACTATCCAGATTGACCGGGGCCTTTTAAAAGATTAATTTTATAAATTATTACAGCTAAGAAGGATAAATTTACTGTAGATTATAATAATAATGATATCTTCTTAACTGAGAATAATTAGATTTAAATAAGAAGATAATATAATAATAACTCCACTAAGTATTACATGACACTTATATTTTTCTGTTTAGTCTATTTATTTTATTATTACTAGTGTTGTTTTTCTTTAATGAACGCCTATAATACTTTCTGTTTTCCTTTTTCCTCTTCACACTCAAAGTTCTAGAGTAGTTAGCACCAATACGACAATACGACTTCATTTTGTGTTGAACAGCCGTCTCAAATATTACTTATTATAGAGACTCTACTATTAAAACCTAATAATATAAATATATTATAATTTTATAATATAACTGCTCCAGTAATTTATATAGATATATATTTTCTGATTTTTATAAAAAAATATAACTTTCTAATAAATTATAATATTTTAAGTAGTAAGTTAAAATATAGATATTATTTAAATCTAAGATATCTTGATATTCTAAAATTAATTAACTTATTTCTTTTAATATATACAAGTATTAAATTAATACAACTGTATTTTAAAACTTAATAATTTATTTCTTTTAAATAGATAAAATACTTATTTCTCTATAACTAGGGCTTGCTAGTATATATAATAATAATTTTCTAGATTAAGCTAGATAATTAACTAGTCTTTTTGAATTATATTTAAAATTTATAAGATACTATACTTTATAAAATAAGTATATTAAGAATTTTAGATCTAAAATTATATATAGAGCTGTTAGTTTTCCTGATATTATATTCTGTAATAAAAAAATTATATTTTATTATAAAGAATAAGTTCTAAAGATACTACTAAAATATATAAGAAGAGAAATTTTTTGATAATTCTGTTATTAAATAACAAGTATTCTGTTATATTTTATAATAATCTTAAACTTCTGTACTAGTAAGTATATAATATTATTAATATAATATATTATAAATTAATCTTTTTAATTTATAAATTTTTTATAATAAGATTTATCTTTAAATTAATTTTACTATGGCTTATTTTATTTATAGTATTAGATATTCTCTTCATAATTAAGTTTATTTATTTTTATTTATTACTTATCTGCGATTAATAAATATCTGTAATTCTCTTCTTTATTTATTATATTATATATACTTAAATAAATAAGTACTATTAAAACTGAATTTTAGGATTAAGCAGATATTCTATCTTAATCTTGATATGTTTATTAAATACTTGTTATATAATTCATTTAATATTATATAATAATTATTTTATATATAAAGTATTGTTTATAGTTATAAACCATATAATCGTACTGAAACTGTTAATCTGGATTATAAACTATATTATATTATAATTAATTTTTAACTCTGTAAGATTAAAGATAAGAGATACAGAATTTATTAATTTAAGATTGTATATACTCATTTATAAAGATAAAATAGTAATTACTTATTATAAACTGTATTTAATAGTATGATACTATAGTAGTAAGACTTTCATAATCCTATGATAACTATATCATGATAGCTATGGAACACTGTTTATATTTAGTTAAAAATTATAAATAATGGTTTACTGTCTTTCCTGATAGTATGATACCAGTTGTAAAAGCCTAACTACTAACCCCCTCGGGCCACTATGTTGTTGGGGCATAATAGATCAGGCACGGAGTAGAGCTTATCATAAGTTGGAAGATCATGATACCTGTACTATTGAAGGGAAACGTGGTAAGGTCTTCATTCAGGTACAGTATTCATGGGTAATAGGCAGCCATATATACAAGGCCACTTGCCGAGCTTAGAGTAGCAACACTGCTGTAATACTTCATCATGGCTGGTGTCGTGTCACTGAACTAGTAGTAGATCTCCCCATTATCAATACCACCACCACATAAAACAGCCAACCACTTTCTTCAATGTCAAGTCAAGCGGAAGATTGATTCATCTGCTCCAATCAGGCACCACAACCACCCCCGTGGCTGCGTTGCGTTACACACAAAAAGAAAAGCCATGTTCAGCACACCCACGAGACAATTCATGAGTAACAGTCAACTCAAACCCCTGATATCCCCTGATATCTCAGGTTGAGTGCACGGTAACGTGGAATGTGGATATCCATCAGGCCATCGGCGGGATGTTCGACCGGCCAAAAGCACAGGCCAGGGGTTCATAGCGCCGCCATCCGATGGGAATTTTCCTATCTCGACTACTGTTGAGTCTGGACAGAAATCTCAAAATACATACATATGTTGCAGTGTCTAGGCCAGGGTAGGAACATCACCAACGGGCCCGCTGCTTTCTAATGGATCAATCCCAAACACCAAATATAGCATGTTTCACAGGATCCATTGGATCGCGATGGAGAGACCCATGTTGCCCAGCCATTCAATTGCTGCCCGGCTGGTCTGGATTGGACCAGCCAGTGAGCCTCTCGCAACAACGGCACATTGCGAGTCCCGTTAGATTTAATACCCTCAGGCATATACCGAAATCGTCCGGGTTATAGAATCCAGACCTTGGCAATGGCAATGGCAATGGAGAAATCCTCCCGTCCGGGCCGACAGCAGGATTTCACCAGTGCTCTGGCAACCGGAGAAATAAGGTTGTACAGGGCCCGTGAGCGGGAGATTGGAATTATTCTAATGATCAGTTGCTGCCTATCTTTATTCTTCAATACAGTACTACAGCCATATGGCCAGGAGACGGAATGCCGTCGTCAATGGCCACGGGCGGCAGGAATGCGGGTGACCATACAGTACGGTCAGAGCGCGAGAAGATCGGCGCTACGCCTCGGTAATTCTAGTAATCTGTATGTAGGTGAGGTTCGTGAGCGCCTAGTGGCCGTTCCATCCTGGTACCGCCTAGCCCCAACAGGCCTAGTGCCCCCGAGGCCCTGCCGAGCCCAGGGATTTCGGCCCACTCGCGCTGATAAAGGATTCCCGTGGTTCTCGCCCGTCATTCCGCCAGCCAAGGGCAACCGGATTCTTTCCCAGCATTCAGGAATCTGCCTCCCGCGTTTTTTTTTTTTTCTTTTTTTGTGGTATTACTTTGGGTCTGATTTTTGTTGCTCAGAAATTGGGGTTTGGAAGAGTGTCTTTTCCATCCCCCGGGATGGGATGGTGTAAAATCTAGCCAGGACGATGTGCCCAGCGTGCAGATGCAGTTGGCCATCACATGGCTGCAGGCCGATAGCCAATAACGGGGGGCGGGACGCAGTATAACCTCATTTCGAGACAGCATCCATGCAGGCGCCACCCTCCTGGGACTCGCAATCCCCAAACTTTGGCGGCAGATCCCCACCCGGCCAGGGACTCCAGGGTCTCCCAGGGCCAATGACGGGGTCCCTCTATTTTAATAATGCATTCCCCGATGTCGTTCCAACCGGTTTGGGTTGATGGCAGACCAGCCTTTGTTTGGGTCAGGCAGCTCCTGTCCCTCCTGTAATTATCCCACCTGCAGGTGTAACGCCGCCGTCACCCAGCAAATAAAGTGATCCCGTTCAGTGGGCAGAAAGAAAGCTTGGGTCCATCCATGTATGCAGGATCATCTCCCGCCCTGCGATTGTCATTGTTGCCCGCTTGCTTTTTCGCGCCTTTGCCTCTCCTCCTCTCTCTCCTTCTCTTCTCCCTTCATTGTGCTCCGGCCCAGGTCTGTTCCTGTCCCTAACCCTCATTTGTCCTCCCGTTGGCGTGTTTGACTCTCTTTTGACTCGCTTCTTCTTCTTCCTCCCGCCCCCTCCACTGCGGTGATACTTCACAACCTTATCTTCGGCCTGTGAGCGATTTAGCGGTGCGCGACTGTTCCTCCTTATTCACAGCATCTCCGCCCCTTAACCCTCACTAATCTTCTGATTCTTTCAAAGTGCATATCATTCTATGTATCGGTCATAGACATAATTGGACATCGGGTCTACGGCCTGTCCGCTCATTATCGCATTTCCTATACCTGATACCTGTCGCGCGCCACTTTCGCTCGTCACTTTCATAAAAGGAATTGAGGATATCCATAATCATATTTCGGCTCGCACCAAAGCGTCGCAACTGGATCAAGTTGGGATCTACGAGTGAAGACAGTGCACAAGGAAATAAAGGACTGCATATAGTCTGACAAGTGGGGTTTTGAAAGACGGGTCCTGGTGCTGTCGCTCACAGCAATATTGATACCATACTACTCTATTCACCAGCGCGCATCCATAACCATACCGGGCCACGGAATTTCACACAGTCCAGTTCCTTGAGACGGACCTTTGTCACACAGGATGTCCACAAATCCCTCCATTCGGGGAACCCCCCATATCCGTCTCAATTCAGGGCGACAGGACCCATTCGCCGACTCCGACGACCCCTATGTATCCGTACCACACCAGCATATCGGGCGGGCATTGACCCCCGGAATGGTGCAGTCGCCGTCCGATGCCACGCTGCAGACGAATTGGGGCTCGCCCACTCCTCAGGAGTCAACAGAGTTCTTAATACCCCCCAAACCGTATCCCCACAAAGAACTGTATCAATCCCGGTCGCCGGATCTGTCGATTCGGTCGCGGCGCACGAGCTGGAGTTCAGAGGCAGCCAGTTACGATGCTCGAGGTTATTCGTACACTCGTTTCGATGAATCCCGAGCGCCTTCACGTGCAGAGAGTGAGGAGAACGACGTGAACACACAGACAGTGACAGAAAAATACAACATAATGCCAACAGAAGGATTGTTATTATTTCCAGAGGATGTGGAGAAAGATGACTACTTGCATAATCCTGATCCGAATGACAGGGATATTGATTGCGATGTGTGGAATAGGCGGGGACTGATTAATCTTGGTGGATTGCTACTCATAACAGTGGGCTTTGTAGTGCTGTTTGTGGCCTATCCTGTGATGTATGACATCCCTACCCTGGCTTCTTATGTTTACCCTGCTTGGGTTGCATATGAAGATTCTTATTGACTGGCTACTAGCTCGGCTGTGGGCGGGGCGCAGAAACCAGCCAAATCCAACTGTGATCCTGGAGATACCCTATGTCTCGACGTAGGGGACCGGGCAGGACTCACCAAATTACGGACAGGATTGATCGACCCGGACACACCAGAATCCGCGATGACGAAGAAATCTGCTGATGGCAAGGAATGGCAGCTGGTGGTGAGTGGCATGGATTATTGGCGACCCTGAATCATGGCTGACCTTTGAACAGTTTTCTGACGAGTTCGAAACCCCTGGTCGGTCTTTCTATGATGGAGATGACGCATATTATCAGGCCATGGACTTCTGGTATGGTGTGACGCAAGACCTGGAGGCTAGTACCGATTTCGTTTTCCAGCTTGCACTGGACTGACCGATTGATAGTGGTATGACCCTGATGCAGTTACGACGAAAGATGGAAGCTTGGAGATCCGATTCGATGCCTTCACCAATCATGAGCTGGGGTACCGTTCAGGAATGGTGCAGAGTTGGAATAAGCTCTGCTTCTCGGGGGGTCGCTTGGAGGCTAGTATCTCCTTGCCCGGAGCCGGTGATGTGTCCGGTTTCTGGCCTGGTTTCTGGGCGATGGGCAATCTAGGTCGACCGGGCTATGCTGCGACTACGGATGGGATGTGGCCATACAGCTACTACGATGGATGCGATGCAGGGATCACACCTAACCAGAGTTCTCCGGACGGTATCAATTTCCTCCCAGGCATGCGATTGCCAGCCTGCACTTGCAATGGCACCGATCATCCCTCCCCTGGCAGATCCCGAGGCGCCCCGGAAATTGATGTGATCGAGGCCAGTGTGGGCGCTCTGAACAACAACCCGGATGCTATCATTGGCACTGTATCGCAAAGTTTGCAGATGGCTCCGTTCGACATCTGGTACATGCCTGACTACGGTACGTGTTTGCGACAGCTGGTTCGCATGGGTTGGAGGCATATGTTCTGACATGCTGCAGATTACACCGCCGTGTACGACCCTTTTATCACGGAGATCAACACCTACCGAGGAGGACCGTACCAACAAGCCATGTCTGGCCTCACCAACCTCAACAACAAGTGGTACAATGGAACCGAGTACCAGGTGTATTCTTTCGAGTACACCCCCGGTGCAGTGGGTAACGTGACATGGTTTGTGGGCCAGGATAAGACTTGGACCCTGGACGGGCGAGCTATTGGACCCAACGGCAACGTAGGCCAGCGGATGATCCCCTTGGAGCCGATGTCGATCGTGATGAACCTGGGTATGGCATGGAGTTTTGCCCCAATCAATGAGACTATCCGGAGCTACATGCCTGGGTTCATGCGGTTCGACTACATCCGGATTTACCAGGACCCGGATAACATCAGTGTCACCTGCGACCCACCGGGTTACGAGACGACGGATTACATTGCCAAACACCCCAACGCTTACACCGACAACAACCAAACAACATGGTATGTGATTTGATCTCTGCTATCGGTGTCAATAGACCCACTAACATATTGCAGGGCTGATGCCGGCTACGAATGGCCCACGAACTCCCTTATGAACGGGTGCTAGATGCTCTTGAGAGGGCGTGGTACTTAATCCTCGAGCACGCCTAGAGTTGCTGGGAGTGCTCGACCTGCTCGATCCCGCCCTCACGATGCGAACACCGTACGGCTTCCTGACATATGCCCTGGTGCCGGTTGTTGGCGCTTGCGAGTCATTTTAGCGGCATTATGCTTTGGCGTTGAGGGCGTCCCTTCCGTTCTTCTAAGCTGGTGGCTTGGGGGTCTGATCTGCATTTCAATCTTCGTTTGTACTTTTTTTTCCCATCTTACATCACATTTAACGGTTTGGCATGGTGCTTTTAGCTTTTATTCATATTTCGCCCTGCCTGCACGGATGGGGTCACTTCTGTTGGAATGGAGCCTTTGCGGAGGAAGGGTTGTTCGAGTATGGCCGAAATACGGTCGCAGATAGGAGTGCTTGATAGAACACAATACCAATCAAATAATCTGATAACGAATGATGCATCGAGTGGATGCTGGCGCGAGGCGGTTGTCATCTGACCTGTCGATTCAGCCATGTAGGGCACAACCCGTGACTAAGCAGCTTAACTTGCAGTTCATCTCCGCCATCGTCATCCGCTTCCTCTCCACTCCACAGCTTCGCCCATCTTTCTCACATTTACCGCGACGTGAATGCTTTAGCTACCTGATCCTGCCGGACAGGGTCGACCAACCTCCCCAGTGACCACACAATTAGTCTCGTACAGCCAGCTCATCTGAGCCGGCTTTACACAATATCCTGTCACATATCATATCATCCAACAACTCGACTTGTACAGTCCAGTCCAGTCCAGTCCGCGGAGCTCCAACCCCAACAACACCTATCACATCTATCCGATCTATCAACAACAACAAACAGCATACATACATACCCGTGCTATCTACCTTACCCGATCCCACCCCTCCACCATCCCACACTCCACATCATTGGAAAAGAAAAACATTGAACATCTGTTCACTTCCCAAATATAACCACCCACCCTAACACACTTCTACAAACGTGACCGAGCCAAATACCCCACTCACAACTCACAAGAACCATCCAACCAAAATGTTCCACCCCAACATCCCCATGCCCGGTCGTCGCGAACAAAACCCCATCGTGATAGCCGACGACTCCTCCGACTCCTCCGACTCCTCCAACGACATCATCCCCGAAGAAGACGAACAGGAAGACGACCAATACCAGGACCAAATCGAGGAAGAGGACTCCGATGACGACCTCGATCACGACACCGACTCGGATGAAATGGAATTAGATTATTCGTTGCATTCGAGACCGAGGGATGGGATTATGGGGTTTGGTAAGCAGCTCTTTATTTAGTCTTGTTTATGGATGCATGCATACTGCACCACAACATACATCAATGAAAACTAATAGAAGGCCCGGGGGGTTGGTTGGTACTTGATAAAGCCTACCCCACAACACCCACCACCCATCTAGGCCCAACATTATACCAAGCGACCCTCGAACAAGAACGTCGATTGCGGACTCGTCTTCGTGAAGAACGACATGCTGCGCTTTGTGTCCTTCTCGATAGAGAGTTACTTACTATTCAGGCTTTGGCGGCGCAGGAGGTATGTTCCCATCCCATCCCATCCCATCCCTATCCCTATCCCACCTTTCCCCCTCTCCCATCAATGTCTACATCCAAATACTAAGCAAAAATCCAGACCCTCCCTCAATGCCGTCGTCGGTTCCTCTCCCGCCTTCTCGCCCCCGAGGACCCCGAATCCGCGGCCTCGATTCGCGCAGACCGATTCACGGTCCAGCATGCCCATCCCTCTACTTCAAGCGGGGGGTTCTCTGCCTCTTCTGCGGCGATGATTGTTCCGCGTCGGGTGGTCGATGTGTATGAGACGGATGATGCGGGGTGGAGACGGCCCGAGAGGGGGGTTCGAGGAGGAGGAGGAGGAGGGTGTCAAGGGAGCGGGATGCAGTCGTCGCCTGGGTCGGTGGGGTCGGGGTCGGGGTCGTCGGCGAAGATGAAGGGGAGGATGGGGACGCCGGATCGGGTGGGGAGGGGGACCAGGGGACGGGGATTGCAGTCTTCTTCGTATCGGGAGAGGGATAGGGAGAGGGAAAGGGAACGGAGGAGGGGGTTGTTTTGAGGGGTTGTGATTGTTGACTGAATGATTGGGTCTCATATCATTCTAAGTAGATCGTTTGATCGTTGTTTATCGGGGAGAGATTATTCGGGACTGGGCTGGTCTGTGGGGAAGGGCTGTTTAAGAATATTCACATTCACAAGTCGCTGCGTTGTGTACATACATCCATCCAAACAATACCGTACCATATCCCGTCAATCCGTAAAATACTATACAAGGAGCGTGAATCCAATGCAAAACGAACAAAATAACCATAGCAATAATAAAGGCCAAACAAAAAGATGGTGTCCAAGGAAGTCAGCACAGGCGCTCAATCATCTATGTTATAGATTGCCAAATCACCAATTCTGAGTGTCTGCCTCTTCCAATGCTGCCCATCGTACCAAAGGGTATCTAGTAGACCAAAACTGGGCCTTAACCTCCATGCACCCTCCCATCGCATCGAAGAGAATGTTAGAGTATCACTTTTTAAAAATTTTCAAAATTGTGCACCTTTCCATCCACAAGGCCAGCGGGGACGGCCACATCACATGCTCAGCCGATAGGACAAGGTTTACAGACTCGCACTCTTATAGAAGAAGCCTTGCCCCCAGCAACCCCTCAGTCATGCGCACTGTCACAGACGAGCTGACTGGGATCAAATTATATCAAGCAACGTGCAGCCACCTCACCCTCGCGTTTCAGCGTTGAGCAGGCTCGCTGCATCACCAACTTGCTTGCGTTCGGAAACTTCCCGGGTTCGCATCCGAGCACGTGCGGTTTGAATATTCATAGGCGTCAATCCTTGGGATGGTGGTGGATCCGGTTCCGTGTAGAAAGGATGTAGTCTGTGGGAAGTAGAGAACCGGACACGACCATCCCTCATGACTGGTAATTGTCATTGCAGGGGCTCCGAGCTCGACGAGAGCCGGTTGAGATGAAGGTAGACGTCGGTGCCATATCTAGGGCGGTGGTTAGCAACCAAACTTATTGGTTGTTTGCAGTTGAGCATGAACTTACCCTTCCATACTGATCAGTTTGAGATCTCCGCCAAAGTAGCGAGCATACAGTCGACTGATGGGCAGACCGTATCCGAAACCAGCCATAGGGGCCTTGAAATCACTCTTGTCGAAATCAGGATCCAGGCTTGGGGTTTGCTCTACGGTAGTGTACATGTACGTCCAGACCAAGGGGATGGCAGAACGGGGGATGCCACCACCTTCGTCCGAGATCTTGATGGTAATGTCTTCTTTGCCTTCTGCAATGATAACCTTGGTGACCGGGAAGGCGTCCTTGTCTGCGCCGTGAGCTTCCACCACCGCACGCAGGGAGTTCTTCAAGGTCTCAAAGAGCATATGCGACAGGTGACCCGGAACGTACATGAAGTTCAGATCTTCCTTGCAGACAAGTTGCACTTTGGGCGCATCAAAAAGACCATAGTAATCTTCACAGACGAAACGAGCATTGTCAATAGCCTCGAGAGCCACTTCTCGCACATTGGTTTTCGTACATATAATCCCAACATAGCTTGGTTGTCGAACATGTGTTTGCTCCGTTAACGCGATGTGCTGGCCGATTAACATTCGTATACCAATTCTGGACATGTAGAACCGATCGAGGAACGACTGGACGGTGGAGTCAATCTGTAGGCGTTGGCGCTTTCGTTTCCACTCGAGAATACCCTGGGCGACGGTAGTCACGACACTGTCGTGTCTCCGCTTGATGTGCTGTAAAGTCCTGGCGAAGCGTTCATTGTAGTCGTTCAATTCCGGTGGCCAATTACCCTGGTCGTCAGATGGGGCATAGTACCTTCGTCCCACCGCAGCTCCTTTGCCGTTACCATTGCCATTCAACAAAGAGGAGGGAGAGGACCGATATTGTCCTTCACGGATACTGGGGTTCTGCGTTGTCTCGGAGAGGACCTTTGAGAATCCCCCGTTGATTCTCCCCGGGCGTAGCAAGCGGGCCTTGACTTCCTGGGTAAGGGTAGGTCGGGGTAGGGTGATAATTTCCTACGTGGCAAGTCAGTCACCACCGGAAACAAAATCGAGTTGGGCGTGTGAGTCATACCTCAAACGACTGTGCGTACCAGTCCTGGACCTTCTTGATGGACGGCATTTCACTCAGGCCATCCGGAAGTTCTCCAAGGTCCTGGACGCGATGAGCGAGACGTATCGGAAGTTCTTCGGAAAGGAATTGGGACGCGCGAAAGAGGGTGCCTGATTGGGGAAGAGATCACGAGGTTAGCGGGTGGTGGTCACTCGAGCAGCTGGCAGAGGGGGCCCCCCATAGAAGGGAAAAGGAGGCTTACCTGTGGAGGGTCTATCTCCAAATTGCACCATCTGCCGGAGAGAGACACCAGTTGCAGGGAAGCTGGCATAATGTCTGATGGTGTCCATCAGCCTCTCCGACGGCTTCCACATGATGTCAACAGTATGTCAGGCCGGACGGCCTGGTATCGCACTCGATACAACCAAGATGGACCGGAGATACGCCCCAAGTGATGAAGAGCAGCTGTTAGGGAGTCGGTCAGTCAATTGTGATTGTTGTGAAGGTAGATGGCTGGATGGGGGGGAGGAAGACTACCGAGGTTGAGACACCTCCGCTCGCAGGCGAGCTCGGAACGGCGGGCGGTACGAATTCCCCGGAGTGGTGCCTCCGGTAGCAGTTGTGGCGAACAGAATCAGATCCACAAGGGCGGGAGCCTCAACAGGGCATCTGGCAGGCAGGCCTTCTCTTCGGGGAGGCAGAGATTCTGGGGAGAGAGGAAGAGGAGGAGAGGAAAGACGGGCGGAGGGAAGGAAGGGCGGGTTAAAGGTGGGCAGACCGACCGGTGGAGGATGACTCTTTGGATGCAGCTGCGGAGACTCGCAATTCCCGGGGAGTCACGTGCGCAGGTGGGGGGCAGTTGCCGTCTGCGATGCCTGCGATCCCGTGCTTGGCCGAGGATGTCCCAATATTTAATCTCCAACAGCCGATTCGGAGCCAGACTTGACCGTCTTCGCCCATTGCACCACCCGTCCACGGGGAAAATCAGGAATATGTCGGGCTCAAATACTCCGTGAATCGCCTGAGCTGGATGAGCAGCCGCTCTGTTATCTACGGAGTAGACTGGACAACTCATGCAGAGCCTACCTATCCCCGTAGACCCTTTCAGCCGACCGTCGGACTTCTGCCGCCGCACGCTCCCATGCCCGTCCCCTGGCCTTAACATGGGGGCATGCCCAGAGGTAGTACACACAGTAATAGGTCGACGCGCACGGGACTGCCGGTGTCAAGCTGAACCTTTCTCCGGATCTCCCCTTCGTCCGAGGGTGGTTCGAATCCGGGGGACGCGCACTCCGACTGGCTAGGATCCATGAGGCCACTCAGGCCAGAGCAATAGTCCCTGGTCAGGCTCAGGATCCCCCCCTGCTATCAGTTTATAATCTACCCCTCCATCTCCAGGCGCAGCTGGCTCCTTTTGTCAAGGTACCTGATTAGGTTCTCCCCATCCGCGGATCTCCCCAGTCACCCGCGGTTCTTCATGGTTCTCGACAAGCTTATGTATACTCCGTACACCGGCTCCCGATTAGTAGGTTCGGATGATGGGATTGGGACATTATTGATTCTTGCTCTCGGATCTGCCTCGTGATCTCCTAAAAAGGGGTTAAGTTTGAAGGAAGTCACATGCCATGCTCACGCCTCGCAGGACGGGCAGACGCTGGGAAAGAATGTTCCCCCAGGAGAGCGACGACAAGAAGAGAGAAAAATACGAAATAAAGGAAGACGGTACAAAGAAACATCAATTGTATTGTTGTGGATGTCTCTCCATGGTTTAGTAGTCTGTATTGTCCCTGCATGCGGAACAATAAAATTTTCCAGCACACGAACTGCTGGACAGCCACAGCGTACTTGTGGTTGTTACTGGATGGATGCCACTGGCGACAGCAGAGAGAAAAAAAAGCAAAGAGGCACAGGTGGAATATTTAAACGACGGCCGCAGCAGCAGCGAAGATCCTCGTGGTGCATCTCCTACTGTTAGTCCACCGCCAGAGAGAGCCAATCAGACTAGGCCGCGTCCTGATAAAGGTGAGAGGACGCGGACGACGCGGACGACGACGCGACGAGGTGAGAACATCATTCACCGTTGCATAGGGCTGGGACGAGAGGGAGAAAAAGAAAAACAAAAAAGGGAAAAAGAAAAGAAACGAAACGGATGCCCAACTCAGACCTTTTAGGCAGGTTTCGACCCTCCCAGGCTCCCCATCATCGCGTCGTCATGATTTTCTCTGTCATTTCTGCTCTGTCACCTCGAAGAAAGAAACAAGCCCAAGAGATCGATGGAGCCCGATTGCGCTCCCGCTGACCCTCCCTCTTCCCCCCCTGTCTTGGAGGTGATAATAATAATGGACGGGCTCAGAGGCCCTTGTCCCTCTCCCTCCCCTAACTCTAAGGGGCTCTCCATTAGCAAGAATCCCGGGGCATACTTAGTTACTATTATTTCCAGCTGGTGTCCCCTCCAGTCTTACGTTCAATTCCTCGCATGTCTTTCCGCCCGAAACCTTCTTACCAGTGGAGTCTCGTTAACTTTTTTGACACCTGTCTGGCCCACCAACCGGAAAACTACTAGTTGTCAGTTGAGTATCTTCCCGTCAGGTTATCTGACTAGCCGTCATCTCACCGTGCGGTGAGTTGACTGTTTGAATCGCCGAGGAAGCACCGGCAACTCTAGCGAACTCTAGATTTTTCTTTGAGTTCCTGAGATTGCTGGGAGACCGTTGCATGTTCCTCCCACTACTTACTACCTTATTTTTTTGTTGGCCCAGGTGTCAGAGTCACCGAGAAAGACCCATCATCCTTAGAGGGGCAGGCTTTGCCGTAATAGGTGAGTGGAAAGTGTCCGATTTGATGTCACGGACCAATTTCTTCCTCCGAAACTCGTTTTTATTTGTGCGCGGAAGTGGGTTTGTTGCCATTCTTATGTATTATGATGGTGGCTATAGCTCATACCGGTTGTGGACACACACTGGACTGATGGATCGGGGGCCCCATCGACCAGTTTGTTTGCATGCAGAGGAAGGATCCCTACCCAGGACGTTCCAGCGGCTTTAATAAGGGCACTGTTGGTTTTTAGTTGCTCGTTTTTTATTTCCGCTCCCCTGTGGGTTTATTGTTCTAACCCGAAAAAAATTGGGGGGGGAAATGATGCAAACCGGCACTGCACGAACATCAAACCCTCGTCATGTCTTTTTTTTTTCATTAATTTTTTATTTTAATTTTTTTTTATTTAATTTTCCCCCTCCCTTTTCTTTTCTTTTCTTTTTTTTTTGTTGGCTTTGGTGGTAACTCTTTTATAGACTGATTAGTTGGATCTGATTTTCCTTTTGGCAATTCTTATTGTTAATCGTCCCGACTGCACTGGAGAGGCGCTTTCTCTTACTATCTGGCTGGGGTTGTTGCTGTGCACTCACTCATTGGCAGGACCCGATAGAGAGGATCCGCAAACCTTCCCAGCATTGCCTTTTTTGCGCTCATGCTGTTGAAGCCGAATTTCTGCCCTTGACTGGTCCGGATCCAGTCAATTAGCCCCTCCTTATAATTACTCTCTGTCCCCGTTGCCCTCTAGGTATAATTCTGTCACTCTGTTTATCTCATTCTGTGTGTGGCTCAGGAATTGGGGACTTCGTATTGGTTAAGATTCAGGGGAAAGACCACTTTGGGCCAAGGCAAAAAGAAAAAAAAGCCTGAAACGGGCCAAACAATCCGATTGAGAGGGTGAGAAGTAGAAACCTGCTCGGAAAGGAAAGAACACCACTGGGCAACTGCTACTCACTACTGGGAACGGTCTTCAAACAGACCAGCCAGCAGAAGGAAGAAAGACCCGGAAAGAGAGGGAGACAGAAAGAAGGAAGAGGAAGGAACGGAGGAAAGACAGAACTGGGACGAGAGGGAAAGAAAGAGGCACCGATTGGGAATATCCCAATCAGAAAGGACAGCTGAGGAAGTGAACCAACCGAACCCTCCACTCTTCAGCTACTTCCCCTCCATCCCCTCCCTCCTCTTGGTGGTGGTGGTGGCCGTTGGTTCCATCCCTTCGTCAGGACGAGGCCGTGGGCAGTGTTTCCCACGCCACTACTGACTACTACTTACTACTACCTACTTCCTGCTCGGCCTCAAAGTCACCCCTCCTTTGATACCCCTCGGGGAGGTTTCCCTGGCCGGCCCCATTACGTCTGCTGGTAATCAATCCTACCTTTACCCGGGCCTTTCGTTTCACTGGGCTGGTTCTAGCATCGGCGATTCCTTGTCACGCCAGGCACTCGTCTCCAGTCATCTATTCGCCTAAGCAAACAAGGGCCGTGGTACTCCAGCAGATGCATCTTCCCTGACCACCTATCTCTCCTTGACCTTGTACTACCTCCCCCCCCTCCCCCCCGGCTGCATGTTCATGTAAACAAACCCAATATGTCTCGCCGCCGCGCCTCCCACAGCGAATCATTGGGTCTATCCTCCACTATGAACGAAGCACTTGCCTATCCTTTCTCCGGGATGCAGCAGAACAATGCTCCACAGCGACGCGGCCCGATCGAAGGGCCCAACGGACGGCGGTTGATTCGTAGGGTCACCTGGCGATCTTCCACGTACAAGCTGATGGCTTGCCTGTGGGTGTTGGGTGTTTTCTATATCGTCTGGCTCATTCGAGATGTCTTCTTCTATCCCTTCTACTCCTCTTCCAATCAGCCTCTCACCCCCAAACCAGCAACTGAGTAAGTCCCCGGATGCTTCCCCCCTGACTCATTGTGCTTGTCATCCCTTGTCGATGGCCAAATTTGCTTATCTGGCCCCGTCTTGTACATAGTTTGCTGGCTCCCTATCTGGGACGTCAAGAGTGCGACATCTCGTCTCTGTCCCTCTTCAGCCCTCCCCCATCCGGTGATAGCGAACGAGTGTCAAGCAATCCGTACTGCCAAACCCGTGATGCGCTGCTCAACGCCATGAGCAATGGCGGGCGTCATGGTTTCGATGCCGCGTATACCTCACAAGGCAAGTACTAAATCGATGTCGTCCTCCACGTGTCTGACTTTGCGGCCTATGGGAGTTCCGTTTGGGTGGCAACAGCCTTCGTAACACTCTGACTGACTGTTCTCGCTCAGGGTGCTCCTACCGTTGGTTCACTAGCGCTGAGGTGTGCAATATTCTACAAAAATTCGATGGAATTGTCTACATTGGCGATGATTCCCTGGCCGATGTTTATGCTGGGTTCAACATCCTTCTACGGGAGGATCTGGCGACCGGATCGCTGAGAGAGTGGGAGATAAACAAGGACAATGACCACAATTGCCGATGTGAATCTCAATTTACCAGTGCTTCTTGTCTGCCATTGCGGATTACTTCAAGTGACGAGGTATACGCACAGGACAGCAGCAAAGCCCCTCGCAGACCCTATACCTGTTCCTCCCGTGAGCATTCCGCCCCTTTAGCCTGCCGACGCTCTTCAAGGGGCCTGAGCACTGATCTTCTCTGTGATCCCAGATATTCCCCATGCATTCCTCACCACAGTCGGTTCGCCCGCTCCAAAGAGTGCGTACGAAAAGTTCCGTCGAATGGTCGGTCGAGGGGCTGGCCGGAACAAGCCAGTACCGGTGCTCTTGAGTCTTTCCCTTTCCACGTCTTATTCCTTGCCCACGGCCAAAAGTAGCATGGAAGAATGGCTCACATTGGCCCAAGCCAGTGGACGAAACACCCCCTTTCTCTGGGTAGGCCCCACAGCCCCTGGACTTCAAAAGGACTCGGGGGACAACATCCACGCGTCCAGCTGGCAGTATTCACAAGATACTATCCAAGAAGCCCGTAACCATGGCTTTGATACCCTGGCTATGTACAACGCGACACTGCAGGCTGATAGCTGGGATGGAAAACACTATGGTGAGAAGGTGGCTTTGATACAGGCGATGATGGTGAGTGTGCCTCTGTATCTCGCACTACCATGTGCTCTGATTGACACATATTTCTAGATTATAAACTGGTTATCTGCCCTCTAAAATCGTGACCGGTCTTCTGCGACCACTCCGCACGGTACGGATATCAAAGTGGTGTCGTGCGATCACAGGCCTTCTCGCATTGGCTACGATATTGGATGCTTCAAAAACATATGCATCGACCTCATAGGGCCTTAGCTGGCTCATACATTTTCAAACTTTCTGGGATTATCTCCGTGCTATCTGTTCAGCGGACTTCAGAGATCTAGTTCTTGGCTGCTTATCTTGTTATATAGTATCTTTTCTATCTTTCGAACCTTGGCATCTCATACTAAGGCCCTCCTAAAGATATCTCGCTTCTGTTGGATGGAACGTTCATCCTTTTGCTCTAGTTTACAATGATTTGACCTTTTCTATCTTGTTATTTCCTTGATGTGCTTGCTTGTATCTGCGCCTTCCATCTAGTCGGTATAAGAGGCGCGAAGGCGTTGTTGCTACCGTATCTATGCAATTCCTTGCTAGCGTTTCAACCAGCATGACAAACCAGTTTCACTCGGGTCAAAAATGAGACAAGTGACACAAACTGTGACTGGTCATAGTTGTAATTGAGTCGTGGGCCCAAGGTCAACGGGAGTGTGCCGGAATCCGGCTTGGGGTGGGTGGCGGGTGGTGGGGTTCCTCAGGCCGTCCTACCCGCACCAACACTGGAATCCGGTTTGCGTGTGTCTTAAACCGCAGCCTGAGGCGCTCATCCATCAAAGCATTTGTAGTAGATAGAAGTATGGATGCAACTTGACTTCTCCACCCCAGTTTGAGTTTGGCCAAACTTTGTTTTGCAGCAACCGACTGGTTGAGCCGCCCGCGCTGCAGCATCAATTTGACTAAAGTACGATATGAACTCTAAAGCAGAAGCATCCGACAGGTAACTTACCGACCTTTGTACGAGATAGGAGGATAGGTAACTAGAAGTCAATCAAATGTGCATTATTAACATCTCGTATCGTCTCATCAATTACTATCTATATACATGGACGCTCGCGCTGCTGGAATCTGCTGGGATTGCTTTTCTTTCTCCCGTCTTGAACAAATCGTTTATTTTAACAAATCTTTGCCGACACTTCGTATGACGATATCGCTTTTGCGTGATGTAGTACGGACTGTCCCATCATCTATCCATTTCTATCCTGCCTGCTTGCCATGCTAATTCGATGAGAAGCGTGTGCGCGAAACTAGACGTAGAGAGCAGAGGTTTCGGCCTTGGCAATCTGGGCCTCGTACGGCTGGAGAGCCTGCTTCACCTCGGTGGAGGTGAACCTTTCCACCTGCTGGGGAGCGCGTCCGACGAAGGTGCTGGGTTCGAGGAGAGCGTCGAGCTCGTCCAGGATGGGGGCGAAGAAGGCAGTGCGACGGACACGGTCGAGCAGGTCGTTGTTCTGGCCGAGCTTCTTGACGTTGTCGGAGGCTTGGTGGGAGAGGACACCTGATGTAGTACAGAATTTTGTTAGGTTAGGGCTAACTAGCGTGGGATTGATTTGGGGGCCGCGACGTACGGATTTCCTCGTGGGCGTCTTGGCGGGACAGGCCCTTCTTCACACAGGCCATGATGATCTGTTATGCTATCATTAGTAGTTGTGTGGGAGGGGGATCTAATCGCTGGCGGCTTACGTTCTCACTATGGTCTCTGGGTTAGCAGGGGGCTTTCGAAACGGAAGGGTATTGGACTTACGTGGCCATGAAGGGGAGCTCATCGTTGACATGACGTCTGATGACTTCCGGGTAGACAACAAAGCCGGAGGTAACGTTGTCTAATTGTTGTCAGCATCAGAGTTAAGGGGAGGATGATGGGCTTGTCACTCACTTAGAAGAATGAGACAGGCATCGGCAGAGAGGAAAAGCTCGGGAATGCTGATACGGCGGATAGCGCTGTCATCCTGTCCACACTGTTAATGCAAAGGTTCTTGACGAAAAGGAACGTAAAGTGATCTTACAAGAGAGCGCTCGAACCACTGGGCCGAGTAGGTGTCCAAGGCGTCCTTGGGAAGGTTCTGAAGGTGTCTTCCGAGAGAGCACAGACGCTCGGACCGCATGGGGTTACGCTTGTAAGCCTGCACAGACCAGCCGCATTAGCATTTCCTGTCGCTCTCATTGGTCCTTGTAATTGCTCACCATAGCACTGCTACCGATCTGGTCCTTTTCGAAAGGCTCCTCAACCTCCTTCAGCATCGCCAAGTGACGGATGTCAATACCAATGCGCTCACAGGTCGAGCCGAAGGAGCCGAGGGCATTGCCGACGTCGACATCAATCTTACGGGTGTAGGTCTGGGCGGAAATGATGAACGCAGAGTTGAAGCCAGCCTTCTTGGTGACGAGCTCATCCAATTGCTCAACCTTGTCATGGTCACCCTCAAAGATCTGGAGGAAAGAGGCCTGAGTACCGGTGGTACCCTTGACACCGCGGAAGCGCAGGTCATCACGAGCCCTCTCGAGGTTCTTCAGGTCCATAAGCAGGTCCTGGATCCACAGGCACGCGCGCTTTCCAACGGTAACAAGCTGAGCGGGCTGTCCGTGGGTGAAGCCCAGGCAGGGCAGGTCCTTATACTGCTTGGCGAAGGCAGACAGCTTGTCGATGACAACGGCGAGCTTGGGGATGAGGATATCAAGTCCGTCCCGGAGGAAGATCAGGTCTGCGTTGTCGGTGCAGTAGCAGGAGGTGGCGCCCCAGTGGATGATTCCGGCGGCGGCAGGAGCGACCTGGCCATAGGCGTGGACATGGGCCATGACATCGTGTCTCCGGCGCTTCTCTTCTTCAGCGGCAACCTTGAACTCATCGTCCTGGATGGTGAGGTGGGCCTTCATCTGCTCAATGGCCTCGTCGGAGATGGGCAAACCGAGCTCTGTGCAGGTTAGTCGGCGAAGTGTGGAGTACGCGGGCCAGAGAGACAATGTTACCTTTCTCGGACTCGGCAAGCCAGAGCCAAAGCTGTCTCCATGTCGAGAAGCGGTTTCTGGGAGAGAAGAGATACTTCATCTCATCGCCTAGGGGAGGGAGCATTGTCAGTCCGATATCGCACTGGCCAGCAGGAGCTCACCCGGAGTGAATGGGAAGAATTACTGGAATAGCGAGAGTTGAGAGGGGTCTGGTAGACATCGTTGCTCGAAGCCATCTTGACAGAGATGAATTGAAGCGAATTGGAGGGACACGACGAGAATTGTGGACGAGGAACAGGGGAAAAGGCGGAGGAGGGGCAAGGAGAAAGTGTGCGGGATGCCAGGAAATTTTGGTGCGGGCGGCGGCCCCTCCAATTCCAAAGTCCCAGTAGTCATAATAATATTAATTAAAAATGACTGCATCCGGCGGGGTCTCCGCTTATCAGTCACGTTATCAGCTGGAGGGCGCTATCATCACATGATCCCCAACGTGGGGGAGAGAATCATACCAACTGGAGATTCGGAACTATGATTATCACATTACAACTATCAAGGTATATCTAAAATGCGTCTCCCTCACGCTAACGCGGCTAGCTGAGCAGACAGGCTGCCCTTGTCATACTTGACATATTTGCCTCGCCCCTTGTCGATTTCATGATAGCGATCCCAGAATCGGGCATACAGTGGCTCCAGTACCGCCTGAACCTCCCGCGCCAGCACTCCACGGACTTCCCGTTCCATGTACAAGGCCTTGTGGCGGTTCAACAGGTCATCGAAACTAGCATTGAACGCCTTGAATTTGTCTTTGATAGCGTCCTTGTCTTTGGACGAAAGGGATTTGACAATGGCACTGGAATCGACGACTCCTCCGGACGCTGGCCGCGCTGACCCGCCAGATCCCCGAGAGGTGTACTGCACATCCAGAAGATAATGCGAGGTTTCTTTCCATGCATCGAGATAAGTGGAAGTGGCGCGTTTGCGGAAGGTATCGATCCGTGCAATGCTGTCGGCAGAGCCAAGGTATCTGGCTAGTTCAGAACTCTGTCGGATGGAGCGGTCAACAGTGCAGAATACATTGGACAGGAAAACACCCTGGACCGCTTTCGAGCGGTGAAGCGCTCTGCCTCGAGCTTCAAGGGCGATCATGAGAGCTTCGATCATGTCCAGGATGAAGTGCGACAGGAGCGTCAGACTATCCGGGCTGACATCCAAGGGCGCCGTAGGTGCTGCATTGGTTGTAGATCGCCAGTTTCCATCTCCCAGAGATGTCAGGATCGATGCAAGCGGCCCGGAGTAGCCAGTCAAAGTAGTAAGAGAGCTCATCACTTCGCTGACAAGAGGTACAGACCCGCCATCTGGTGGAAGCATAGCAATTCCTGCGGCCTTGCGCTTTGTTTCTTCCAGCAGCTCTGCAAGCGAGGACTTTGCAGTCTCGCGCACTGGCCTGAGAGCCTCGATAAACAAGCTTTTGAGCTCGCCAGTCTTCGATTCCACGCGGTATGACATGGCAGTAACGATCTCAATGATCTCGAAGGCTAGGAAACAGTCCGTCATGAGGTTTGCCTTGATATATTGGTTGAGCTCTCGCAGGGTCTGTGAATATTCGGCTAAGGCAGAGCGACAAGTTGCTTGCAGAGCCAGACCCCGTTGATCCCCAGTAAAGATGTGCACCAGAACCTCATGCTCCGCATATATAAAGCTTTCCAAGGCGTTTGAGTAAATCCCAATGCCGTTAGTGCCCTGCTTATAGGGGCCGTCGGCAGCTCGTCGCTTGACGGTATTGAGTGATGCTATGGCAAGGTTCTGCAAGCTCGATGTGATGTATGGCCCACGGATATCGGCGTAGATTTTGAGGGCGGGATTTCCACCATCGCCCCGTTGCGGTCCATAGTTTGCTGCAGAGCCGATGGCAGCACATACCGGTCCCAACTCCGCGACGGTCTCTTCAGGTAGCGACGGAAACGAGAGTTCTGTGAGAGAAAAAAGCCGTTAGCATTTCGTCTTGACCGGGAAATGGATAGCCGGGACTCACCCTTAGTCAAGTAGTGTAGGGGTTCGATAGGACTGACGTGATCGCCCAATGTGCTGCGGAGCATGTCCTGGAGCTGAGAATTCCCTAGCACCAGTAAAGAAGTAAACTCGGAGATGGCCTTTTGATTCGACTTCAGGTTGGTTGAATTGAGATCGGCCAGAGCTTTTTCCACACGCTTGACGGCGGAGAGATATTGCGGCAAGCCGACGCTCTGAGGGCTTCACGAATGTCAGCCAGGGAAGTCCGAAACGGACGCGACGCCCATGGGGCCGCTGCATACCTTGACCGTATAATCCCTTCTTCTTTGCCCTTGGCATCGAGAGGCTGGCGGAGGCGTTCAATGGCTTCATTGACCTTATCAATGTTGCTGTTGGTGATCTGTAGCGATTGGGTGTTGCTGTAAATGGGCCCGATTGCATGCTTCACCACGTTCCCTCCGGTTTCCAGGCGATTCAAAGAGCCTTGGATCTTCTTGGTAAGGAGCTTGAGCTTTTCAAGATTGGCGTACAAAACCTCCACCTCGGCGCTCTCCTCCGCGTAGGCGGCATTCCTTGGAGCGACCATGACTTGAGGATTCGCTCCTCGATCGGCAGGTCCCACTAGTGTGTCAGGCAATCAATCAGGGATTCGTAACCGGAATCAGACACTCGCGATCGGGAGAGGTGATGTCATGTCTTTGGCCCAAGAGGTCAGGCAAGAGACCGGAGAGAGAAGAATAATGACGAAGAGAACAGCTGGCCGATGAGGCGCCTGGCCTCATGAAGCAAGCATAGCTTGATCCCGCTTAGGTTGTCCCTTCATCTCCCCGGACGAACAGCGGCGGCGCAATCTCGGCCCGTTTATGGCGCCGACCGCGGCTGCCCCACGTGACATGTCGTCATGTTTCCGGCATGCTTCCGGCGCGTCTCCCAACCTGAGCTCCGTCCGAAGGCGCCCTGGAATAAAGTCCTGCCACGAACCTTGTGGTCTGGCCGCCATGGCCTCAACACTTGCATGTTGCTTCCCGCCACCCCACCAATCCTACGTGGTGTCCATCCCAACATGGGGGCTGCAAGGGCTCTACGTTTACGCTGGACCGTTCCTCCTACCGTCTTGATTGCCCTGGGCGGTGGAATCCTCTACAACACTGGTGGTCGAACTCAGTCCAATAAGCAATTATTGCTGCAGGCCGAGCCGAAAGCCTTCTTTTCGACAAGCTCAAATCGGGTTCTTGAGAATCGGTCGGATAAATCCTCCGAAAGCTCAGACTGGAGCACTTCGGGTCATACGCAAAATGGCGACGCCAGCTCCATATGGACGAATGTCCTGCACAAGTTCGAAGGCGTAAAGCAGTCTGTCGGCTCCCCAGATTGGATTGAGTTTGATAACATCAAGAACTACATCATTCCTGACTGGACCCGATTGCTCCCGTTGTCAGTGCAAAAGCTCCAGCGCGAGCTCTCCATGGCGCCTGGCTCCCTTGCGGACGATATCTGGAACGAGGCTCATGATCCTGACCTCAATCCAGAAATCTTACGAAAGGCTAGGGTTCGTGTTGGGGATACCCTTTGTAACGAAGAATTGGCATACAGGCAGAAGCGGCAAAAATACGCGATCAAGGCACTAGCCTCCTACCTTGACATCCCCGAAGATGACATACATCCGGACGATGTACCTATCATTGCTATGTGCGGCTCGGGAGGCGGGCTTCGCGCGCTTGTGGCTGGAACCGGCTCGTACCTGGCTGCCCAGGAAGCCGGCCTGTGGGATTGTGTTACCTATACTGCCGGTGTCAGTGGAAGTTGCTGGCTGCAGACACTGTACCACTCGTCCATCACAGGACGGAATTTTCCCAAACTGGTCGATCACCTTAAGAACAGACTGGGAATTCACCTAGCTTTTCCTCCGGCCGCACTCAAGCTTCTCACCAATGCTCCCACAAATAAATACCTTCTCAGCGGGTTGGTGGAAAAGCTGAAGGGCGATCCTGGTGCAGATTTTGGCCTGGTGGATATATACGGCATGCTACTAGCTGCACGACTGCTGGTACCCAAGGGAGAATTGGGGGTCTCAGATAGGGACCTGAAATTGTCGAACCAGAGGTACAACCTTGCCAACGGGGCTCATCCGCTTCCCATCTACACAGCTGTACGCCATGAGATCCCAGTGCTTGAGAGTCTAGAGAGCATCAAGAAACAAGGCAAACCCGAAGACTTGATAAAGGAGTCAAAAAGTGAGGCATGGTTCCAATGGTTCGAATTCACACCTTATGAGTTTTTCTGCGAGGAGCTCAGCGCGGGTATACCGACGTGGGCTCTGGGAAGACACTTCCACGGTGGAGTAAACGTTAAGCCCGAGGAGATATCCCCCATCCCTGAACTACGTGTTTCTGCCTTGATGGGAATCTGGGGTAGTGCTTTCTGTGCTACCCTATCTCACTATTACAAGGAAATACGCCCTGTCATCAAAGGTATCACAGGCCTTGGAGGCATAGATTCTCTTATCCAAGGCAAGACCAAGGATCTTGTTCGAGTCCACCCGATCGACCCGGCCACCATACCGAACTTCGTGCTGGGCATGAAAGATCAGCTGCCACCGTCCTGCCCTGAGTCGATTTTCCAAAGTCGACATCTCCGGCTCATGGACGCAGGAATGAGCAACAATCTCCCCATCTACCCACTACTCAGACCAGGCAGAGACGTAGATGTCATCGTCGCCTTCGATGCGTCGGCGGATATCAAACGAGAGAACTGGCTCTCCGTTGTGGACGGCTACGCCCGCCAACGAGGGGTGAAAGGTTGGCCGATAGGAGCCGGCTGGCCCAGAGAAGACGAGCTAGTCAAGAAGACAGAAGAAGCGCTCCGTCAGCCCCAGAACATCTCCCAACAAGAGCTAGCCAACAAGATGGCTGAAGCCCAGGACAAGAGCAAGTCCGGTTCTCAGGGGGGAACAACCAACTACAACTCCCCAAACATCACCGCAAAGGACGGTCGTCACCCCACAGATCTCGATTACTGCAACGTCTGGGTCGGCACCACCCAAGAAATGCTCTCAGGCAAGGAACCCCCGCCGTCCAAACGCCTATTCCATCCCCATGACGCCGACCACTCCGAATCCGACTTCCACCTCATGCGACCCGACGCCGGCATCGCCGTCGTCTACTTCCCTTTACTCCCCAACCCATCCGCTCCCGCACTCCCCTCCAGCTCATCTCTATCTAAATCCCGCACCCCGGCCCGCAAATCCGAAAACACTTCCTCAGCCGCCGTCTCCGACCCGGCCAAGCCCCTCACCCCGTATCCCGGATCCATCGATCCCGACGTAGACGACTTCCTCTCCACCTGGAACTTCGTCTACACGCCCGAACAGATCGACTCCGTGGTCGGACTCGCCAAGGCCAATTTCGCCCAGGGCGAGGACCAAGTGAAGCGCGTGGTGCGGGCAGTGTACGAGCGCAAGAAAACGGATCGATTGCAGCGCGAGGAACAAGATACCCGGCGGCGCATGGAGGGCTTCGTCCCGCTATAGATGCGACAACCCATTGGCATATTCCGTGGCGTGGAGTAATCCATTTATCATTGGAGTTCTGAATTAAGAGACGGGAGTTAATACTACAGGAGCAAAACGTAATGTAGATGCTTGTTTATTTAGATATCTTGTTTTGAAATATGATGATATGATCAGCTGCTCTCCTTTTCTTGTTTCCCTACCTTGCTTCCTTGATCAACTTCTATACCTCATGCGCGTCTTACCAAGATCTGGTTGTTGCATCGTCTTCCATTGCTTTACTTCATTATGCTTTTGTTTTTATTGCATTTTTTTTTCGTATATAGTATAGTATAGAGGAAGTAGTTGAATACAACACCCGGTAGCTCCCCACCCCACCCCGCCATAAAGATTATAGGATTGAACGCATGATAGAACGCCATACTTGTCCGAGCATATGTATGTATATGTGTTTAGTAATGTACAAAGTACAAGTCAAGTCCAGTCCTATTCGTATACACAGAGACAAGACAAGACAAGATAGAGACCAGGGCAATTTAACATTATAGGTGATGTAGATGTAGACAAATGAAACGTCTCTCTTCCGAACGGGGGTGTCCGCAAAAGAAGGTAGGTCAGTCGGTTGGTGTATGTTCTGTGTGTTGCTGTGTGAGTTTATTGATTCTCGTCGACAGACGACCATTCTTTCTTTGTCTTGCGTTTTGAGTTAGACTTTGATGTCTTCGAGCCATTACTTCCCGATGTCTGGGATTCGTCTTCGCTGCTCCCTGCAAGGCTGACGTCTTTGCTTTCGTCGGTCTGTTTACGGAGACCGAGCTGTTTGTTCAGGCCTTCCATTGCGCTTGCAGCTGCGGTGCTGAGTTCTGAGAGGATGGGGGTGTGGTGGTCGTGATTATGGTTGTGGTGGTGGTGGCTGTGGGTGTGTTCGTTTGAATTCTTGGGCTCTGGTTCGGGGTCGGTGAGTAATTCTTTTGACTGGAGGTTTTCTTGATTTCGAGGACTATCTGAACCGTGGATGTGCCAGTCAGGTGGTTGGGTTTCTGGAATGGGCTCGCCGGGTAGAGGCTCGGAGATGGGTTTTCCTGTGTCAGGGTGGGAGGTTCCCGGTTGGTTTGCATATCGCCAGACGACTTTCAGACGGTCTAAGGCTTTGACTCCCTTCCTGGTCGTGCCCTTGATCCCGTCGAGGCCCTCCCACTCGGCTTCGAAAATGCCCGAGTCGTGCTGGTCACCACCTTCGAAGTACGTGTTGAACCAGACATGGGCGATTGAGGTGACCATGGCCCAGCCGGTATAAGCGGCTTTGCTGCGTCGTTCGAAATCGATATTTATATCGGAGGTGGGCACACTGATGGGCTCCTTGGGGCGGAAAATAACGGCCGAGACATGCTTCGGGGGAGAGCCTGTTCTCGCAGGAGAGTCGGGGGCTGAAGGAGGGCTGTCAGTTTCGGGTGGGGATATTGCGGCGGATTGGGGTTGTTTCTTGTGGCTGTTATTACCATTGGCATGTTCGTTTGTGGCCGTGTCTGGAGATATTGTCTTAGACTTCCCATCGTCGATCACCGTGCGTTCACTCCGATGGAAGAGATGATACTTCTTGATCTTCTTCCCGTTGTCTATGTATCCCTCGACCGCAACCTTGACTCCATCTCTCAGTCCCCACACATGCACCTCGAGGATCTCCACCGGCCGCTCGATATACTTCTTCCCCATCTGGTTTGTCCACCGGTCGACGTATCCCACCCACCGTACCTGGCTAGGGATACTCACACCGGCACCAAATCCGACTCTCATCCGCCGCTCGGTGAATCTCTGTAGTGCATCGTCCGCCTTCCAGCCCTCCTGGCTGATGAGGTAGCTGCAGGCAACGGTTCCGCTGCGGCCCTTCCCAGCCTTGCAATGGACGACTGCGATCCTGTTTTTCTTCTTCTCCTTCTCCTTTGTGTCCGGCTCATCGAGTCGGTGGATCCAGTTGCGCATACTTCCTGTCATCGCGGGAATGAGCGCAAACGGGGGCGGATGATGGTCTGGCCAAGGATAGTGGTGGATACGATTATAGACCTCGGAGTCGGGGTAACCGGTGCCTTCAGCTCGGAATTCCCAGATGCACCAGTCAGAGCCATGTTTGTAGTCGAGGAATTTGACGAGCTCGTCAAGAGGGTTTCTGTAGGCGCGCTGCGGGTAGTTGGAGGAAGGACCTGACGTTGCGATGACTATAATAGTACAGCAGCAGGGAATGCGTTAGTCTGGAGGGGCCGATAAGACGAAGATTGAAGGATAGCTTACTGTTATCTGTCACATAGCAAAGGTCCAGGCCAGCTTCAGGGTGTTGTAATCTGGGGCCGGCAACAATCTGCCGGAGGATCGACGCCTAAGCCAGGCCGGTGAGTCTCGGCGAATAGGAACAAGACAGGGGGGCAGGATGGTGCTTACCATAGGATCAAGTGAAGTGGGTATTCTAGGACTGGAATGATTCTTCAGCAAGTGGCTCCTTGGCTGTCGCGAGGTATATGTAAGGCGCGGACTGACTGACCTTGTGCATGAGGGAGATCCGTGGCGGGGAAGTTGGCAATGACGCACGGGTCAACCGGGCGGTTCTCTCGGCAGGTGTACCGGCCAGAGGATGCGGTCAGGTTTGCTTAAGCTTGTAGATTCCATTCAATCATCAGAGAATCAGAAAAGGCGAACTGGAACTGCTTGGCAGTGGAGGACAAGGGGGCAGTGCAGTTGGGGGGAGCAAGAGGATGGTCAGTCAATCAATCAATCCCGGGCGGGCGCAGATGATGTCACCGCCGCAGGTGATGTATTTCCTTCCCCTTTCACAGAGCAGATCACAACCAACAAATGCTTGACGGTATTCAGTATATTCAATAATATATTCAATTCATGTGGTATTTAACAAATCATCAGATAACCTCCCCCCAGAAAACCATCCTGTAACCAGCCATTAGGATCCCCCACTCAACCCATTAACCATAACCATAACAATCACAATCACAATCACAGGTCATAGATAGTAGCCAGCCCGATATAACGGAATCAAACATCCAATATGATACAAAACGAAACATTCTTTTCATCCAGCTCAATTCTAGATTGAGTGACTCTATGCGCAGTCATGACCTCAAGTCATCGAAGCGCCTCCCTTCATGGTCATCCCCCTTTCAAGGGGCTTAAGCAACACCATACTCCTCCGTCACGGGGATGGTGAAATGACGCGACGGCGAGGTCACATTCGTCTCTCCAAAATCATAGAACTCCATGTCGCCCGGCTTGGTCCAGGCATGTTCAACCCGAATGTTCCATTGCGGGTACGTCTCTGGCTGGACCCGCGACCGGACTTGAGGATCGGCGCACGAGGTGAGGTCGGTCGCGGTGTCCGTGCCCGAGCAGGTTGTGTTGAATCCGGGAGTGTTGGCGGTGGCAATGCCGAAGATGTTGAAGTTGTAGGTGCAACCACCGGGGGAGCAGCCTGTGGTGAAGTTGGAGACGTGCCAGGTTAGGGCTGGGCTCGCATCACGGCGGATGGGACTGGCAGAGGTGAGGCCAAGGGTGGAGAGAGCGAGAGGAAGGTAAGCGAGGAGTTGCATTGTGGCTGATTAGGTGGGAGTAATGTTCTTTGTAGGAGTGATGGTGGTGGTGTATAGAGGTGATGTATGTAGATGTATCCAAGACAGAGGCGGATGGATGAATGGAGTAGATCTATACCGGAGAATAGATCACGGAGAGATTTTGAAGGAATTAAGTATTACCAATAGGTGAGTGAGTATGAACAGAATGACAATAACGAGAAAAGTCCAGACTCGATCAAGAGGCAATGAGGGAGAATAATGAAAAGCACCGAGAGGCAAACAGCAGCGAGGCGAATAGTTATAAGCGGATCTGCTTTGCAGTGGCGAGAAGGAGGCGGGAATAGCAACCCCCGGCCAGGAGTCGATGGACAGTTTAGGTACTTAGTTCTTGTTAGCTTCCTGCAGAGGATTCTAATTTCGACCCCAACAGTGGAGCAGCGGGTGAAACGAACCAGACTGAAGACTCATTGGCCCAACATCGGTTGATCTCGCAGGTTCCGTGTGATGATCCCGGGTGCTACGCCTGCAGTCGGAGTGCCTATCCCTGGGCTAGGGCAGGAGACACTTTGCTCCTATCTGCTTGGGCTTCCCGCATGGTTACACGCTGCCTGCACGGCGTAAATTTGTAGATACTGGATGATCGATCAGGATGGTTTTGACAAGAGGGTGTTCCTCCAGTGCATGCATCGTTCCTCACCGTTCCTCTGGCTGCTGGCTGTCCAGGGTCCAAGCGGTCGATCCCAATCTACAGGCGGGGTATTTATAGAAACCAGCACACCACTGGTCACCAACATCCACGAACAGTCCATCATTTCAGGAGAAATTAAACATTTATCCTCCGATGGTGGGACAAGCCACGCCCGCTTCAAACGGCTGGTCTGGGCTGAAAATCCGGGCATTTCCCACCGGCGGTTTGATGGTTCGAGCATGTTGCGCCCGCGGTCTCAGATGGGCCCCTGGTGCGCATTGGGGACACTGGACACACTGGACACACTGGACACACTGGACACACTGGGTCCTTTGCTGTCGTTCGTTCCTTAGCGAACTTCCCTCCGAACCTCCCGGACTGATGCTCGGTTCATGCACTGGTGATGTGTCCCTCAGCCACAGACCATAGCTTAGGAATGCAACTAATTATTAGGGACGGGGAAGAATTCTTCCTGACAGCTCCATTGGCGCCTGTCAGCTGGCGCAATTAAATCGCTTGTTGGCCCTGGGGCCAATAATGTCCACTATACACACGAAGGACAACTATAGTATACACCAAGCGAGGGCACGCTTCTCCTTTCCTTTTCCATTCCGATCCCCCGACTCAATCGCTCTTCGGGTGGCTCTGATCCTCGGCAACAAGCTGGTCCTCGGGGATAAGACCCCCCGGCTCGTAGTCCAGCCATCCTTCCTCCTCCTGCCCCTGCACAATGGCAAGCCTTCTTCTTCTCCTCTTGCGTCTCTCTTTGGCTGCGGCCCGTTTGTGCGACACGGGCTGTTGCACCTTTGCACGGGACTGGCCCGAGCCATGAAACGAGTCCCCGTCCGGCTTGGGCAAATCGAGCGGCTCGTGAGTATTACTGATCTCGTCAACTAGACAGCCGACCGACCCATCTTGGATCTGCGGGTGCTGCTTCAGGCGTGATGCAAATGGGTCCGTCGATTGGGAACAAATCTCTCGGATTTCGGCGCGTGCCTCATCGCTGGGGATGATGGCTTGTCCCAGCAGATCTTGGAAGTACATGTACCCAGACTCGAAGTTGCCTGCTTCCAGGCACATTATGATGAGATGCTCAAAGGTCCCCTGATCCGGGATCACGCCCAGGGCGGCCATCTCCTTCACCAGAAACATGCCCGCCTCAGTGTTGCGAGCTAGTCGACACATGCCAATGAGCACATTGTAGACAGAAACATCCGCCTTGTCCGGACATAGTGCATATAGTTCCTTGTAGAACGCAATCCCATCGTCTACTACAGAAGGGTTATCGAGGGCTTCATACTCGCACATCTCCAACACCACCTTGGCGCATCCAAGCGGTATTTGGAGTTTCAAAGCCTTCAACTGTTTAAGCATGGTCCATGCCTCCCGGGGGGACATCTTATACTGGATCATGTGAGTAAGGATGACACGCGTGGAGCGAGGTCCCAGCGCAATTCCCGCCATGTGCATCTTACAGAGCACTTCGAATCCAGAAAAAAAAGACCCGGCCACCGCATGGGCTTCCACCAACTTTTCGTAGTCCTTTATCTGCAGCGATACCTTGACCTCGACGAGGAAGTGTATCACTGATGCAGCGAGTTCGGGGTCTCCAGTGCGGGCCGCCACGGTCAGGACTTTGCTGCACAGCGGATAATCGGGGCTAAGGTATCTCAATTCCACCCTCTGTCTCCAGATGTACCGGGTAGCCTCGTGGTGGAAAGCAGCGCTTGCCACGTCCAGCACATACAACCACAGCTTCGGGCTCATGTCCAGGGCTTGTCTTGTCCGTGAGCGCATCAGCCGGACTACCTCGTCGAACTCTCTGAAATCGCAGAGATAATAGATGAGCAGGCTGTGTAACCAGCTTTCGACCAAAATGCCCTTCCTCTCCATCTGTTCAATATGATCCAAAGCCAGCTCAAACTGGTTTTCCCTTATCAGGCCAGCAACCAAATAATGCCACCCAGCCGGGCTTAACGGCAGCCATCGGTCCCGAAGCGTGCGCACAATCTCTTGACGTAGCATGTAATCCGGATGAACCGCAAGTACCTGGAGGAAAAAGAATGCGTCAACAAGCGCTCCATCGCGATTTCAAATGATTTTCCACCCCCTTCATACCTGTAGAGCCGCATGAAGTGTGCCTGAATCAGCTGGTATCCCATTTTCTTCCATCTCCTTGAGTAACTCGCGAACAGCATGTGGCGACCCACGTTCGGGGTCCGAGTTGGCGAAAATCAACCCCCGGTAGTGTCGCATCTCAGGGCGTATATGACGGTCTAGGATCAGGACACGCAGTATTTGTGTTGCGCTCAAAACCCTCGGATGCCGAGTCACTCTTTCTTGGAGTCTGGATTCTAGGCGTTGCGAAGACAGGTGTTTGAAATATTTGGGTACACCGGGCGGTGGTTTGGTCAATCGTTCCATCGGGGTCAAAAGAGCACCCGGCCGTACGTCAGTATTTTGTGCTTCTGCATCACGAGAACGGAGAGATTGCTGGTCGGGTATCGAGTCGGAAACTGGATTTTGGTGGGCGTCATCTTGAGCAATTATAATAGTCGTGTCGGTTGGTTTTGGGGAGAGGTTGCTGAGACATCTTCGCGGAGAACTCGGCGAGCTTCGTAGAACAGATAAGCGATCATATTTAGGGATGCGCCTCCCTGATTTTAAGGAGGATGTGGCCGGAGTGAGAGTCGCGGAGCTAAGCGATGGACAAAGACAGTACCATAGGCCATCGAGAACGAGGGTCGTTCGCGGCATCTCGAGCCTTTGCGGTGACGGAAGATTCTCTAGATTGGCAGGACCCAAAAGAGCTCTATATATGCACGTGACCGTGACGCTATTTCCACGTGCGAGGGTCCAAGAAAGAACAATTTAGAGACCAATCCATCGCAGGCCCTCCGCCCTTCTCTTGTAGGATGATGGTGCATTACAACAGTGTAGGAGACAAGAAAAGCGTAGGTGGCACATTTCCCATTGACAAATACAACCAGATACGCCAAGGCCATGCTCGACTAGCCCGCCAAACGGAATTTCCTAGCGAACTAAGTACCTACTAAACCGCCCCAGGGTATCTCTCATAAACTCTTTCATTCTTTCGTAGATAATTTCAGGCGTCTCTGCCACCACGGCCGCGGCCGCGTCCCCGGCCTCGGCCACCACCACGACCTCGATCGCCCCGACCACCCTCACGCGGACCGCGGTTCCGGTTATTCGACTGGTTCTGCTGTTGCTCCTTCACCAGTTCTATGATCTCTTCGGGGATCCGTAGGTATTTGATCTGGAACGATTAGACAGGGGCCGGGTGATCCACGGCGACGCAAGCACAACTCACATTGTTTCCTCTGACATAGACCTCTGGTAGCCGAAAGAAACGGTCACCTTCGGGGCTAGTCTGAACAACTTCCTTGAGTATCAGGTTCATCCAGTTGTCGCAATTGGCGAGATGTCCGTTGAGGGTTTCTCCGTTCTTGAGTTCCACGAGCATGGGGTGGCCTTGCGCGGCTGTGAGGAGGCCCAGAGGTAACTGTTTATTCCCAAGTCAGTAATCGCAGTAGATAGGGTGAATTGTGTTAGGTGTCGGATCTGATTACCATTTTGCGATATATTGATCAATCTGGACTGTTCAAGGTTGTGGGCGGGCAGAAACACAAGGACGTAATCGACTCGTGAGAGTGGAAGACAGAGGATAAAATCGCCCTGTAGAGTCGCTAAATCTTCCAAAGCGAGAATAGGTGGTTTAAAGAGAAATCGAAACCGACTTGACGACGTCAGAGCGAATATGATCTCAAGCAGCTCCCCTCGAGCTTCCAGCGGCGGTGGTCGCAACATGGAGAGGGTCGGAAAAGGGTAGCTCCGAGATCCGGCCGGCGTGCTGGGGGCTTATCTGGACTCTCACCAATGGAGGTACATAACGTGCCCTACTCACAACAACTAGCAAGGATGGATGACTCCTAGTGTCAGCCAGGGTGTTAGTCCCCGTACCTCTCCGGCTCTTGAGAGGCCCGAGAGTCACGACGTTCTTTCAACTCTGTCCTGCCTTCAACAACCGATTTCTCCACTCCGTACAGCCTACAGATATAACTCTCACATAGTCTGATCAATCCACATGGTATACTGTTCTACCTCCCACCCATCACTACCAAGCCCAGCTGCACCCAACTCTCTCTATCAGATGTCTTCCAAGCCACGCCCATGTAGCTCTCACACCACCACGCACTGGCTAGCAAAGTTAGCACTATTATGTCTCACCACCAACCTCCTGGCAGCCGGTGCTCCCACTAATGGCAAGATGCGGAGACCTGCCATCTCAACTGCTGCCAGTCAGTCTATCCATTAATAATCAATCCTCTACAAGGTCTCAAATTCTAAAAAATTCCCATAGAAAAGAAAAATGTATCCGCGATCTCGCATTCAACCCTCAAAGTTCGCTGGCTCGCCGCTCTGATCAAGAAACTCTCAGCACTCACAATGCGAGATTACTTCATCAACCTCGCAGTGCTCGCTTGCATTATTGTTACATTTGCTTTAGCGTACAAGATCTGTAGCAAGACCATGCGTTGTCAGCGATGTCGGGTGGACAGAGCAGCACAGCGCGAGGAAAGACAAGCCCGTCGAGCCTACAAGGCCGCAGCGCGCCGACATAAATGGCGACAGTGGTGGGAGGGCAAGATCTGCCACAAATCCGAAACGATGCCTATGACCCCTCTCGCATATGATTTGCCTGACAGAGATCTGGAGCAAGGTCTGCAGTCCGATGCAGAGTCGTATGTCATCGAGCCTGTGAATCTGCAGACGGAGATTCAAGACTTCAGGCAGGCGCTTGAGTATGTTGGAGACTTGTTCCGAGAGAGCGTTACACATCCCTATGAAAACAAAGTGGGTGAGAAGACACGTTTGTATAAGATGGAGAGTGCGGGGTCCGATACGGCAGCGTCGTCGACGGTTGGGTTGGCGACCATTATGTCTACGGGATCGAGCAGCTTGAAGAGTCTGGACTGTAAGTCATCTGTGACGCTGGATACGTTGGATAGTATGGAGTCGCCGCCCCCCAGCTATCATTCGTGATTGGGCTGTGTAATAATAATAATGGTGCATGAGACTCGGGTGTATTGATATGGCTCATGGCGAAAGGCTGGTTCTGGTGGTTCATAATGCTTAATAATATTACATGGCGATTTTGTTGGATGGCTTGAATAAGAAAACATTAAATGCCATTGCTTCACACCTTTGGCCGCTTGGCTGTTGAGTCGTCCTCTTCTTCATCCTCCTCATCTTCTACTGTAAGCTTCCGCTTACCTCTGCCGCCGCTTGCTTCTCCCAGAACGGCAGTTGACTGTAACGGTGTAAGCTCACCCGACTCTTCCTCCTTAGCCAGCAGAGCCTCCTCGCGGGCGTTGAAAGCCTTAAGGAGAGCATCGTAGCCCTCCTCAACGTTCGTCACGGTCTCCTCTAGCTTCTGGATGCGGTCGCTCAGGTCCAATTGGATCAGTAGATCTCGATGGCGCTTGTAGAGACGCTGCTTGGTGAGCATGCGCCACCAGTAGTATCGGCGATCATTGGGATTTTCTGCGTTATGCTTCTTGATTAAAAGTCGAGACATGTTTGTTCCCCCGGAGAGGCGGTTTTGGAGAGGTATTTGACCGAGAAGATACATCTCCATAATATGGGAGAATTGGGTCGAGGCAATCTTGAATGACGAGCGAATGTCTTGTAGTAGCTTTGTGGGAATGAGCGCTGATGTAGGGACGCGCCGAGGGCGCTGCTTCTTGGAGGATTCCCCATAAGGATCCGGGTTAATGTCCACCTTGTGCTTGAGGAATTCCGGGCGCAAGATGTGGTAGTCCGCAGTGTCGCGGAGCGCATCAAAAGCCTCGTTTGGGTCTTCGACGGTCAGCTCGGTGATTGTTGGGTCACTGAAGCATGCAGCATGGATGGTGGTATAAAGGTGAGTGCCATGCCCCGAGCCCTGGTGAGGTGGGAGGATCAAAAATTGAGCAATTCGCAGTCGGGCCGGTAGCTGGGCAGGTCTAATTTCAGGTGCCGGAAATGTGTTACTCATCACCGTGGGCTTCTGTGTGGAATCCCTCTGATAAAACCACCACCGATAGGTAGTCGCATATCCGACTATGGAGTACTGTGAGGCCCTTGGTGATGAAGGTTTCACCTTTTCATAGCTTCAATCCCGTCAGCCATAGTAACAAGTAACACAAGAGGATGACATACACAAAGTAAACTGTCCATCTTTCGAGCGTCCAATCTGGATCATCCGTGATTATAGGCGTACCAGCTTCGATGAACAACGACACGAAGACCTGTGCGCGGTCCAATAGTCGTCGAACCTCGGGATCAGCAAGGGACCCGGCCCAGATCTCATATGTCCTCTCGCGAGTGATGTAGCTGTGAACGAGCTTGCCAGGTGGCACAAAATCCTTTGCATTCTGATCCTCCTGGACTGCCTTTTCATAGTCGGGGAGTACAACGAAAGCCTCTATAAAGATTTTTGCTCAGTTAGACCAATTGCAACTTGGAATGAATCTACTCCAATCTAGATCAGGATAGCTGCCAACCTTCGGGAACCCATGGCGTCAATGTCTTCAGCAAATCGACAGCAGCAGTATCCCCAACAGGCTTGAACTTCTCATCGTAAGAGATATGAATATGCGGGCGGAGGTCGTGGGCTGCAAACCGCAAGCGGATGATCAAGCCCTTATAACCGAATATCTGCTCGTCATCGCCAAAGATAGGATATGTGAATTGAGGGTGAAAGCTGTGGATCGTCTTGACTTTCTCTTCGCCGGGCTGGACGATCGTCAGCTGAACGGCATCGTTGGCGTCGCAAGTCCCTAGGTGAAGCCATTTCTGTCAGTTGGCCTGCAAGATGGAGCACGAGAGTAATGAAGTGAGGGAGTGTGGATATTTACAGTCGCCTTCGTTCATTGTGCCAGATGCAGAATCGAGGACCAGCTACTGGGGAGAGGGTAAGAGCTAAAGATGGATGAGTGAAGAGCGTAGTAGCTTTCATTGATCGCCTGAGAAGACGGCGCGTGTTGCTCCCGGAGCCTCGCGTTGCGCGGAGCTTGCTAGCTATAACCGCTTCGGGTTTAGCGGCTGGAGGGTCCCGACTATCTCCCCGGCAGTCAGAAGTACAGAGGAGACAAGTCCTCGGTCCTTCGCCAAACTGTGACTGAAGCTTCATTATGACCCCAGCCTTTAAACTGTCATGAGTATGATGTAGTCTCAGAAGCTCCGATCATCTTCAGGCCGACTCTGCCGACCTTTCGAAGACAGGCTAGCTGCAGACTAGCATCCCCAGATGACGTCCACGCAGGGAGCAACGAAATCAGATCCACATAACTAAATTACATGGTGTGTTGTAGGGATTGAAGCAGTGGCACACTAACTCTCAATGGCTATTACTAACTAGATAGTACTACGGGGTGTCGCTTCAAAACGAAGCCTCGGCTGCAGGTTATCGACCCAGAACATGGCGGGGCAAGAAAGTAAATGCCTGGCACCCCGCAATTTCCCATCACTGTTTCGATAGCCCCAGCTTTGTCAGGAATCAAATCAATCATCTATCCAGCTCCGTCTGAAGTGAATTCACGGCTTCACCAGCTCTACAAATTTTCAACTCTATACAAAATGTCTGCTTCCCGCCCACAGCGGATAGCCTTGATCGGTCTGGGAACCATTGGCATATCCATGGCAGCGCTTCACCTCTCTCGTGATAGCAACATAGTCGACGTATTCGACACCAGACCCGATTTCGAAGACTACATCTTTAAGATGCTACCGAATTATATGGGCCAGATTCCATCCCTTAGCTCCAAACAAAATCCTGACGCCCGACCATCAACGTCGCTGGTAACGTCGCTGGTTTCCTCCGGTCGTCTACGAATTCATTCGACTTTAGAAAGCGCATGTGCATCGGCCACCATTATCCAAGAGCAGGGACCAGAAAACGTTGATTGGAAGCAGTCTATTTGGGCCCAAGTAGAAGCGGTAGCCCCGCCCTCTGCGCATCTATGGACCAGCACGTCTGGGATTGCCGCTTCCACTCAACAACTCCAAATGCGTAACAAGACACGTTTACTAGTCGTTCATCCGTTTAATCCACCAAACATCATGCCTCTCTTAGAGATCGTACCCGCCCGAGGGACCTCTCCAGAGCGGGTGGAGTTTGCTCGCGAATACTTTTCTATTTCTGGCTCGAAGCATAGGCCAGTAGTCATTCGAAAAGAAATCCCTGGATTTGTGGGAAATCGACTCGCATTTGCGCTGCTACGGGAAGCTTGCTATCTGGTAAAAGAAGACGTGGTGGATGCGAAGGACCTGGACACAATTCTGATGGCTAGTCTTGGGCCACGATGGGCTGGGAATGGTGTCTTCGAGAGCTACCAGCAGGGAGGGGGTGAAGGTGGCATTCGGGCTTTCTTGGAGAAACTCGGTGAGACCATGCAAAATGTATGGGACGGTCAGGGGAGGGTAAATGTGCTGGGCGACGAAGGAACCGAATGGAAGGAAAAGGTGATTGCCCAAGTGGACGAGGCCTACGGAACTCTGTCCGCGGAGCAGATTCAAGAGAAAGAGGCACGGTTAAAGGATTTTGTACGGATTCAGACAAAGAAGTATACGCCCGAGGGACCGGAAGTATAGGCGGACATTGTTGTCTTTTTGGGACTGATATCTTCGGAGACCTAAATATTCTCAGCCTAGAAAGTCAACACAGCGGGAAGCAATCATTGACAGTGGTCGCGAACTCGGTGAGTGGAGAGAGAGCATACTGGGCATCTAGAAGAGCGTACGGAGTATAAGAAGCCATCATAAGACCGTATCCATCCCTGGGGCGGGAGTGGGTCCTCCCGTGCCTCGGGCTGGGGCGTGCCTTTCGCAATCAACCCGCCATAATCAGGGCCGCCGTCCACCTCCGCCACGTTTTCAGTTCTCTGCCTCCGACCGCCTTGGAAGACCTCTTTCCCGCCCACTCCCCGTCCCATCCCCTGTCTCTTCTGGTTCTCCTGAAGAATCTCGCCGTTCATTTCGCCCGAAACCTACGCAGACGGCATTGCCATTGCAGCAGGATCAGGGGCGCGTCGAGGATATTTGTTTTGAACTTGACATCATGATTGAAACCCTCTAGAGCACAGACGAAGCTCTGGGACGAGAAGCCGACCATGGAGGGACTCTTCACTTTGCTCGCATTGAGCGTTGTGATGGCTATAACGTGAGTTCAGGAGCCCACTGGAAGGTCTCTGCTACTTGATGCGAGTCGTCAAAGCTAATCGCTTTCCTTGCCGGGCCACACAGATCTTTTGTCGTCGGATCATTACCGCTCGCCTTCTCACTTTCCCCTTCCCAACTGCGATTGATCTCCTCCCTTGGCATGGGAGTGCTGGTTGGGACATCCTTGATAGTGATTATTCCGGAGGGGGTTGAGACTCTATATAGCGCAAACTCGCTGAGTCGCCGAAAAGAACTCAGTAGTCGGTCGACGACAGCGATCAATTGGCAACACCGGGAAATACCCGTCACCGATATCCTCGGCTCGAGGGAAGCACCGGAGTACTCAGACGCCGATGAGGCGTCTCATTCCATTTTATCCACCCTGTCATCCACGCCTGTCACGATACCTACAGTGTATTCGACCCCGGATGAACAGCCTAGACTACAAGGCCGCAAAGAGGAGGCATCGGATGATCAGGCGGACGAGAGCCACGATGAAGATAATTCGCCTCACGCTTGGATAGGAATTGCACTCATCAGTGGTTTCATATTGATGTACCTCATTGACAAACTGCCCGTTTTCGCATCTCCTGCCAAACAAGAACGAACCCCTTATCATATCTCGTTGGACAACTTGGGTTCCGGTTTGCGACGCAACTCGTCGCCATCACGGGAGGGGGGGTTGCTGGATGCCGGTAACATTCCTAGGAGGAGCCACAGCTTGGCAACTACCACTGGGCTTGTCATTCATGCTGCCGCCGATGGAATTGCCTTGGGTGCATCCAGCTCCGACACTGGCCTGAGCTTCATCATCTTCCTAGCCATCATGGTCCATAAGGCCCCGGCATCATTTGGGCTGACCTCGGTGCTACTTAAACAAGGCCTCTCCAGTCGTACGGCTAGAGCGCACTTGCTGATTTTCAGTCTGGCGGCCCCTGTCGGCGCTCTCATGACCTTTTTATTTGTGCAAATCATGGGTTCGGGATCAGGCAGTGATGATATTGGAAACCGGTGGCGGACGGGGGTGCTCCTCCTATTTTCTGCCGGCACCTTCTTGTAGGTTCTACACCACCCCATTCCCGCGCTATGAGCACGCTCTGACGTTTTTAGGTATGTTGCCATGCACACGATGCAGGAAAACAGCCCGAACTCATCTTCACGTGAGTCCCAAGCCAACGGTTACGGGGACCACAGAGAAACGCCGTCAGCATCTGACAAATCCATGAGGGATTTGATTGCTTCTGTCATCGGCATGGTTTTGCCGCTGTTCTTACAGATCGGCCATGCCCATTAACTCTGCCATATTGTTATTCGGCTTTGCACAATGTCTTTTTATTCTATCCTAACCTGATTTCTCTTTTCTCTAGCTCTTAAAGTCAATGAGCTGCATGCCGTTCTGAAAACGAACGATTTTGTTTGGACACATTGCGAAGATTGTCTTGTGTAATAGATTTTGGCAGTTGCTATTGGACGAATTCCCTCCCTGTGGCTTGAGGGTTAAGATATGCTGTGATCTGTGTTATATTCCCTGCTGGGTTATGCCTTTCTGTTTTCTTGTCAGTGTCAGCGCCGCCAGACGTCATGGCCATGATTGTGAAGCATTTGCACGGTGCGGTTGAACCCTGTATTTTTTTTATTGAGAAAGTCTCTTGATTATAATTGCATGTGCTTCTTTATTCACCTTGTGATCACATTTACGTAGGGGGTCAGACACAGGATATAAAAAGGCGCGGAAGGCCCAAAGGATTGTCTCTGCTCAGAGTTTTGACATCTCTCCCCGCAAAAAAGTTGCTTACTGGGCCGATGGTGATGAAACCATTCGGCAAGATTGAATCATCTCCGGAGTCTCCGATGATCCATGGTCGCACGACGCATGCCGCTCTCCTACCCGAGTATTCGGAATAACTATATCTTTGCTATCACAGCGGAACCGGGAAAGCTAAACCAAGGCAGGCTACACCACGCATCGGGAGACGTTGGCTTGCACCCAAACAAGGGCCATCTCCCCGCGAGAGTCGGACACATGCCTTGTTTTCCAACTGTAGGTGGGCTAGCTTCTTCGCCGTGATATGCTGGAGCTTCAAGTCGATCTGTTGGCCTCCTATGACGACAGAGTGGTGCTAACCAACCCTTACAGGCATCTTGTACCACTCAGCGGTAAGCGCTTTGATTCCGTGTGGGGGATAGCTAAGACCACGTCTCCCAAGTCCATCGACTTCCGACGACGACCGACGACGGTGAGGTGCGGGAGATCTGCAGGAGAGCCTAGAGAGGGATCCAACAGGACTGAGCAGGACAATCTCGAGAGTCCAGATTGGATAACCTCCAGATACTAAGGAGGCTGTGCGCAGGGACGGACGCGCTCTCCACAGGGGGCATCCATACCTACCTACCTACTACTAGGTACGCGTCTCCGACTTGTCTGCTACTGCTGCCGGTGCTTGTTGTTAGATCTTCGGTACAGAGTAGAGCGTACGATAGTAGGATTGATTTCCGATCCAAGGATCTATCGATCGATCTATCTCTGTACTTATCTATCTATTTACGAGGGTGGTTCTGACTAACGGCGCCTGGGGTGGATCGCCGGACGAGGCTGCTGCACTAATCAGGAGGCGAGCAGACCGCCCTCGGCGCTGCTTGGCGGCATTGGGGGGCTGCTGGATTGCTGGAAGGGTCCCGGGGGGCTGCACCTGACCCGTCACGACATCGCATGATCCAGACTGCCTTCGTTCGTCCTTCCTTCTCCGCCTGCGTTCTGGTCCAGCGGTTCGGGTTCTCAAGGCGCTTCTGCTTCTGGATGGCGTCGGGAAGCCCGCAATCCTGATTAGTGAATCCTACCACCCTTCTCCGTAGTACTCTGTACCGAGTACCACCAATTCCTTCCTTTCCTCCAAGTCTCCCTCCACCATCATCCTCGCCCCATTCCCGCGACATTATCCACCACCGTTTATATGACTCTAACTTTCCTCCTCCTACTCTCTTTTCCCGCCATTTCAAGTATTCAATAAATATTTCTTCCTTCCTTTCCTCCCTCCCTCCCACCCTCCCACGACACATCAAACCCCCCCCCCCCCCCAATTCCCTCTCTACTCTACCGCCAGCCTCTCGCCTTTCACCTCCCGGCGGAGATCGTCCACTTCCGTCTTATCTCTCGCTCGTCCCCTCCGCCTTCGTTTTGACTTTCTGTATCAGCAAACCCGTCCTCTCGTTTCCTCTCTTGCATCCTCCGTTTATGAGCGAGCCAGATTCTCGAGGGGTTTGCGTAGGGATATCTCGTTCACCGTGTGAAAGGCTAATCGGGTGGAATACGCAATCCCCTGGATGACACAGCCGCTTCTCACCGCGGCAATCTATGAGCACTCACAACCCAGCAGGCAACGGGATGAGTCCGCGCAGTCTTCCTGAGCAGCTGGCGACTGCGCCTTCTCGGTCGTCGGCAGCCAGAGACTCAGTCGCCTCGCTTTCCAGTACCCATTCCAGGTCACTATCCTCTTCCACCAAGGCCGGCACTCCTATTCCCCCCAGCCTTCTACCATCGGCGCCTGCATCGCCTCCCACGCCGGCTCCCAGTCCCACCCCTCATCAAAGACCTCCCACCTGGCAGACCGTGGAGGAGGAAGATGATGCCTTTTTGTTGAATGCCCGCATACATTTCACCTCGCTCTCCAATGCGAGGAAGCTGAAGTTCTTGGAAGGGATTCTTGGTTTATGTGATAGTCAGCATCTCAGCTTTGTTTCCAGTTATGTTAGCCCCCGCTTAAGGAAAGATCCGTTTCAGGTGTTTCCGAATGAGTTGTGTTTGAGGGTGAGTTGTTTTTCTCGTGCGTAGGTGGTCACCGCTCGAACAAGACTGACATCTGGTTATCATAGGTCTTGTCGTTCATCGACGACCCGAAGACATTGGCTAGAGCCTCCCAAGTATCTAGACGCTGGCGGGAACTACTGAACGACGATATCACGTGGAAGAACCTGTGCGAGAAGCATTCGTATGCGTCCCGGAGGATGTCGGAGGATGATCGGGATTTCGTCGACCCTTTCCATGGTCAACCTTTGCATGCTGTTTCCAGTACTCAGTCCTTGAGCGGGTTGCAAAGGAGGCCAAATGTGTCTAGCCTTCAATCTCGAGATGGCCTGGCTGAAGTTTCACGCTCTTTATCCGGAGATTGGCTCTCCATGTCGGGGTACCCGTCACGCAAGCGACGGGTCCGACCGTTATCTTACAGATTGCATTTCAAACAAAAGTATATGGTGGAATCCGCTTGGAATAAAGGCGGGCGCTTCAACCAGAGACACATTACTCCTGACCAGGGGGTTGTCACGAGCCTGCATCTAACTCCTAAATATATCGTGGTTGCGCTAGACAATGCCAAGATCCATGTGTACGATACCAACGGAGACAACCAGAGAACGCTCCAAGGCCATGTGATGGGTGTCTGGGCTATGGTTCCATGGGATGACATTCTTGTGAGTGGTGGGTGCGACCGAGAGGTCAGGGTCTGGAACATGGCCACTGGGTAAGCAAACCATGACGGTTTTCCAACCTAGATATCCTAGCTGACGGGCAAATGAAACCAGTGCCGGGATCTACCTCTTACGTGGCCACACGTCAACCGTGCGTTGCCTCAAGATGTCCGACAAAAATACGGCAATCTCGGGATCACGGGATACAACGCTGCGGATATGGGATCTAGCCACCGGCACTTGCAAGAATGTCCTTGTTGGGCATCAAGCTAGCGTGCGCTGCCTAGCCATCCACGGAGATCTTGTGGTCTCGGGAAGCTATGATACCACCGCACGCATTTGGAGCATCTCCGAGGGACGATGCCTACGAACGCTGTCTGGTCATTTCAGCCAAATCTATGCAATCGCCTTCGATGGCAGACGCATCGCAACAGGCAGCCTGGATACCAGCGTGCGGATCTGGGATCCGCACTCGGGTCAGTGCCATGCTATCTTGCAAGGCCATACCTCCCTAGTCGGGCAATTGCAAATGCGAGGTGACACTCTTGTAACTGGTGGCTCCGACGGCTCTGTTCGGGTTTGGTCGTTGACCAAGATGGCGCCCATTCATCGGCTGGCTGCTCATGACAACAGTGTTACCAGCTTACAGTTCGACAGCTCTAGAATAGTAAGCGGCGGCAGTGACGGTCGCGTAAAGGTATGGAGTCTACAGACTGGTCAACTGCTTCGAGAATTGTCCACCCCAGCGGAGGCTGTCTGGAGAGTTGCCTTCGAGGACGAGAAAGCTGTTATCATGGCAAGTAGACAAGGCCGCACAGTGATGGAGGTAAGGAACATCATCATCCTCTCAGCCCTAGTTCTAACCCCAGACTGACTCGAATGGTGCCCCGCAGGTTTGGACTTTCTCCCCACCACCCGAAGAAGATGGCGACGATACGGTGATAGTGGAGAGCGCTTCCAGCACACCTGGACTCCATCCTACGAATAATGATAACCGCCATAGAGAACGCTTCTCGGATCCCCCACCAAGTCTGCCTCTCAGTAATGACGATGACCAAGCCATGCTGGATGCTCCTCTACCTTGACCAAGGGAAACGACCGTCTGCAATGATGAGCACGTCTCTCTTTCCTTATTTACGAATCCAAGCGTTACCGTCTATATACCTCTTTTTTTAGCGCCTGATTTCAACGGCTCGGCGGATCCAAGTGATCGCAAATCGGGCGCGGTCAACGCTGCCAGGTCATCGAACATCAGCATTCGCATTCTGGGTGTTGGGTCTGAGTATTTCTTTCCAACGTTGTCATTCTCGAACCTTGGGGAAACGCGGAGTGGAGTTAAAAAATGGCAAATCGCAGGCTACCGATGCGTTATACCTGCAGGAGTATCAGGGGAATCGTGTTGACTCATGAAGGGTTTACCTGTTTTGTTTTCGAGGGCTAGATGATACCCGCCTCGGGGGATGATGTATTTACCATTTACACAAGATTTGGTCTTTCTATTGTTGGTCCTACAAAGCGAAGATGTGGGAGCTCACCTCGCCAACACATCCCGGCGCGTCTTGCGTCACATTGGTGGCTTCTGTTCTGATGGCTGTTTTGTGCGCGCTCTAGTTGTTAGATGTGGCCCGAGTGGGCTCTGAGGAAGGGGAAGTAAAGAGCAAAATAGACCGCTTTTGACTCAAACTGGGCGTGGTAATAATGCCGCCGTTCATCTGCAGGATCTAGTCTGAGGATGGTGGAAATCACCTGACTGGGTCTGAAGTCCCGCCTTCGTATCATTGTTATTGCCACTTCTATCCAGAGGCAACCGCTTCGACTCAATCAGCTGGTCGCATGGTTCATTTCGCGAGGCATAACCTTGGGCCCCACAACACTGCACTCATCTATGTCTTTTTTACTGCATGGCCCATCCCCCAACTGGGCCTTTTTCAAGTAGGCGAACATGGTGTACGGTGGGAAGCCAAGTACGGGGTGTCATTTGTGTCGCAAGCGGAAAATCAAGGTAGGACAATTCTACAAGTTCTTTCTGGTCTCACCAAAGCCCCGGTCTCATTTGTCTCATCTCACCGATGGGGGATTTTTCTTGTCGGGCCTAGGCAGCGCTAAGTGACTTCCAGTGCGATGAGGAACATCCCGGGTGCCGCAATTGCGCCATATACGGACAGCCATGCCCGGGCTATCGATCCGATGGGATCTTCAGAAATGAAACGCACAAGGTACAGCAACTAGTGAAAAAGACCGGGAGTACCCTGCCAAGTGGCAAGCAGCCCAACAGGCACGACCTATCTACCGGCAGCAGTCATCAAAGGTCCCCACTGTCCATCTATCGTATCAGTGATTCCACCTGGGAAGAAAAGGCAATCTGCTATTTCTTCGATCAGTATACCATCTGTGACGAGACGGGAGGCGTGGGCCACCTAGGCTTTATCCCGTCTCTATATGCCTCTTGCCGAGACCAGACTTCGAGTGACCCGGCGTCCTCCTCCCTACGACTAGCTGTCGACGCGACGGCCCTAATGGCGCTGAGCAATAGGGCCAAGGCACCAGGAATTGTGACACAAGCGAGAAATCGCTTTGGCTTGGCGCTTCAACGGTTGCAAGAGGCATTAGATCTGCCTCGCGAAGCGGTCAAAGACGAAACCTTTGCGACATTGGTTATCCTATCTATGTTTGAGGATATCTCCGGGGATCGGCTTGGACTCACCAGCTCGCATACCGCGGGCTTCGAGGCTCTTACAGTGCTACGAGGTGAAAGTCAACTTGGACATGCGCGGGGAATGGATATGTTTAAGTTCGCGTATGTTCATATGGTAAGCTGTCACATGTCTGTGTCTTGTTCAGTTCTAGAGGCATCTCTGATTAAATAAACCAGCAAGTAGAGTTTCTTCTTCGGAGAGGCAAACCCACTCTTGACCCGGACTGGATTGTCGGACGGCTCGACAGTGCGGATCCGCTACAAGGGCTTATGATACTTGCATCGAGGATTGCACAGCTGCTTGCGGAGCCTTCGTCTGCTTTAGCGTCCTTGGAATCGGTTGGGGTCACAAAGCTCGCCTCATGGATTGACTCTTGTAGGGCATTAGACGCGGAACTGGATGGATGGAGCCAGGGCCTGCCGGACATGTGGCTGCCTCTCGAGACCCGTTCATACACGGGCGAGGATGTATTAACGTACCGAGAGATGATTATTGCAATTATATGGGCCCATTTCCGCGCTGTGCGGATCTTGGTCTACTTCACGATAGTTGATCTCTTCCGGACACTTGCCTCCACTGTGAACTCGCCGGGAATACACCGAGAGGCGTCCCAATATGAGACAGACGGCCTACGTCTGAGCCTCGATCTGATCTCCGAGACCTGTCGGAGCGTCCCTTTCTGCTTTGGAGAGATTGATCTACTCGGGAATTCGATTCCTCCGTCTGCGGAGGGCACGACTCGCATCCGAGCGTTCTACGTCTATAGCACGCTATGGCCCGTGTGGTATATTATGTCGTGTGGACTGGCCACTCCTGAACAGACCCAGATGATCCGGGGGGTGATGGCTCGAACGGGGTCTGAGCTGGGGATCAAACTGGCCATTATGTTGGCCAGCTATGATGGTCAAGGAACCATGCCCTCGATGCCCGATCTATACTCATTCGAACAGACAGTGGCGGGGTTATCGGCCATGTAGGCAGGTGGGCGTATGAACGATGCACTGAACCTACCGGCTGTGACAGTAGTCGGGGGAGATTTTCTGTACAATATTTCATGTCTGATAGACAGATCCTCCTATATCTACACGATCCCTGGATCCGACCAATGATAAGCTTGTCATTCCCTTCCGGGCGCCCCGGATGGACTGACGTCATCGATTGCGCTCCACGGCAGACACTGCTTGTATCTACATTGCACAGGATCTGCCATCACGATGGACACAACAAAGCACAATAATTCAATGCCTGTGCAGATCTCACTTGCGCACAAAGAAACTCTTTGCAGAACGGGCAAATCGGCATGTGCCAGGTGCCCAGATGCCCATCGAAGGGTGCCGATTAGCCGTTCCCGTCGATCTGGACTGACTTCCCAGCTGGATCTGGCTGGACGCGCCGATAAGCCGGGACACTCTGACGCCATGGCTGGCCCCGACCTGATTGTACCTTGATGGCCGTGTAACAGTACGTATATATAGCGGGCGCGGTCTTCTGCCTGGTAGTAGTCTCGGCCATTGACTTTCAATTCTGTTGCTTGTGGACTTGGTTTGCGTGCTGGGTGGTTTTCGGTCTTCTTATCTCCTCTCCCCTCGATCTGTATATTCTCCGATAAGCTTCAATTGCTCTCCATTTCTCTATTCTCCATATAACTCCATCGACAAGTCCTCGCCATGACGACACAAAAGCCCAAGTACCCCCTGGGGAAAATTGAACCCAACTCGGCCAAGTACTTCGCCAGTTGTACATTTGGAGGCATTGTTGGTAAGTGTCCCGCATACCTCTCTATACTCTCCGACCTCACGAATCAAAGCTAACCACCTCGAACAGCTTGTGGTGAGTATCTCCGATTCACCACCTTCTCATACACTCATCCCTAATCCATTTCCCAAGGCCCGACTCACACAGCTGTCACTCCTCTCGATCTCGTAAAATGTCGTCGCCAAGTCGACCCCAAGATCTACACCTCCAACCTCTCCGCCTGGCGCTCCATCATGTCCAAAGAAGGCCTTCGCGGTATCTTCTTCGGCTGGACCCCGACCTTCGTTGGCTACTCGTTCCAAGGGGCAGGTAAATACGGCTTCTACGAGTACTTCAAGTACCTCTACGGCGACCAGCTCTTCCCCAATGCGAACCGCACAGTCGTCTTCCTGGGTGCAAGTGCCTCGGCCGAGTTCTTCGCCGACATCGCTCTCTGTCCGATGGAGGCGATCAAGGTGCGCATGCAAACCACTCTGCCGCCGTTCGCACATACCCTGCGCGAAGGATGGGGGAAGGTCGTGGCACAGGAGGGTCTTTCGGGCCTGTATAAGGGGCTGTATCCGTTGTGGGCGAGACAGATCCCATATACAATGACTAAGTTTGCGACGTTCGAGGAGACGGTCAAGTACATCTATAAGACGCTGGGGAAGCCCAAAGAGAGTTATAATGGGTTGCAGCAGACAGGAGTGAGCTTCCTGGGTGGTTATATTGCGGGCATCTTCTGCGCCATTGTCAGTCATCCGGCTGACGTTATGGTGAGCAAGTTGAATGCGGATCGGAAAGGTGAGTGTGAATGAATGCAACATTTGTGGTGATGGATGGTGACTGATGTGAGTATAGCTGGTGAGGGTGCCATGACGGCCGTGTCGCGCATCTATCGCAATATCGGGTTCTCAGGCTTGTGGAATGGCTTGCCTGTTCGGATTGTCATGCTTGGTACATTGACTGGATTTCAATGGCTGATGTGAGTGAAGTCAATGCGGTTGTGCTTTGTGAATCACCATGCTGATGCAGATATATAGTTATGATTCGTTCAAGGTGTTCCTTGGGTTGCCCACTACTGGTGGACATTAGTGATATGATTCCCCGTGTGCTGGATGGTTAGAATTTTTGTTCCATATTCTAGGGATTAGTGCAATATAATGATGAATGATAAAGCCAGTGGTGGTTCTGTTCAATGTGTAGTCACTAAGTACTCCGTAAACATCCCCGGACTCCGGCTGACCGCCTTTAACCCCGACTGGCAGAACGTGACCGGCTCTGCTTTGGCTTCAGCTCTCACTCTCTTGTCCGCTGTTTGCCGCAAGCTCAATCCACCTCCAGATCCACCTTGGTGTTATCCAATTCACCCCAGAGGTTCCCCCCATTCCAATTCGTACCCTGGGCCATTCATCCACCCATAAACCACCTCAAATATACTCGCCCAATCTCATCGCCCTCATCATCATCACCACTATCAATCTCAGGATCCACCAGCCCTTGACTACCACCACCATCACAACCCTCCCTAATCGCATCCAATCTTAGCGCCTATCCAGCGAGTATCACCTCGAACCACCCAACCACCCAACCACCCAACCACCCAACAACCATACCTCCCCCCACCCACAATGGACGACACCGCCACCACCCGCCAACCCTCCACGACCTCCAACCCCCCCAGCGTCGAAAACGCCTACAAGCGCAAATGCCTCGCCCTCAAGAAACGGCTCAATGAAATCGAAGAAGAGAATGAACTGATGCGCGTCCGCAACCGTCGCGGCTGGCAATACATCCAGAAAATGCGACTGGAATCGTGCATCTTGCTCGAACGACTCGCCAAAGTCACCGGCATGACGGAGGAGGCGCAGGCAGGCGTGAACCCGGAACTGCGCGCTCGCGCGGCGGCCATGATGACGAATATCTCGTCTTTGACGGGTGGGAATGCGGAGGGGAAGAATGGGGGTTCTGTGCCGCTGTATTTGGATGATGAGACTGAGGGGAGTTCGGATGAGCAGCCGCCTACGGTATGACTTTCTTTCTTTCTTTTCATATTTGGATTCAGTTGAGTTGAGTTGGGTTTGGAATGAATGTATGTGTGTGTGCTGATGCTGATGATGATATAGCCCCAAGAACGGCCCCTGCGCGTCAAACGATCCAGGAAATCGAACCTGCCGAACGACGCCGGTCTGGAAGATGAACCGGCGAACAACAACACCGGCAACAAAGATAAAGAGAGTAACAAGGATGTCACGGAATCCGGCGCTGCAGGCGGTGCTTCATCCTCGTCTTTGCCTCGACTTGCGCCGGCCCCGTCGCAGGAGGAAATGACCTCTTCATTCCGTATTCAAACAGGACGTAATGGTTCCGCGCATGATAAGGATAGCAGTGATCGCGGAAGCAATAACCCCGAATCTGCGGAGCAGAGGGGTGATGCTGTAGAGGATGAGACAACGCCAATGGATATGGATGCTAAGGAGCCGAAGGAGGAGAGGGAGGCATGATATGATACCAATCATACATTTATATTTTTATTTTTACCTTTTCATTTACCGTTTTTTTTTTTTCTCTAGGGACATTGAATCTGATATTCCCTGACCCACTTTTCTTCCACCATCTTGGCTCTATTCTATTGTGATAATGGGTGTTTTATTACTCGGGTTATTTTTATTTTATCTTGCTCGGGGAGAACTTTCGCTGTATCCGATATCTTATTCTTAAGTGCTTTTATAGTATGCTATGGTTTCAGGAACGGGGTGGTATTCAATTCTATATACTGAATACCTAGCGAAACATGGCCTTTTACCTTCCTCTTTCTTCTTTGTCGTCGTTGCCCTATTGCTGAGTGAGTTGTATGCTATAGAAAAAGAATATCCGTATTTATAGCAGCAATCAATCGATCAAATGATATGAAAGAGATAAATCGATACTTAGAAAATAGGGGACAATAACGGGATCAAATCATATGATAGCGGAGGATTATTTTCATACTTGAAGATAGGTAGATAGATAAATAGATAGGCTAGCTCTCCCTTTTATTAACCTTCATGACAGGAATTTCAGACCTGGTTACAGCATAGGTAGGTAGGAAGGTAAGTAGTAGAGGGAAAGATAAAGCAACAGCTATACACCCTATTAAAATCCCTGCTTCCATTGCGCCCCGCCTCAGAACATGAACCAGCATAATTATGTATAGATACAGGTTAACAAGCTATGCATCGATGCAAGGATTTATTTCCCATTCAGATATATGCCGGCCCCCCCTAACTCCAGTACTGGAAGCAAGAATGAACGAAAACCGAACCTTAACACCCCGTAAGGCCGAGAAGCAATGATGAGGGACTGGGTTGGCTGGATTGATGTAGCAAGGGGGGTGTGTTATTGGAAATGGAATGGATGTCAAGCGGTAGGTGGGAAGGTATCTATTCCACGCCGGCGTATAAGTCCACCAGAATGTTGATGGCGGCGACGAGGATCTCGGCAGCGATAAGGACGATGACTGTCATGTGGGTTAGTTGAAGGAATGTTTTGTCTGTTAGATGCAAGGGGGACTTACCGATCCATTCGAGATACTCACCGTGGCGGTGAGTTAATTGGTCTTTCAGGACGGCGAGGAGATCCGCTATCACGTCGAGTCGTTCGGTGAGGAGGCTTACACGCTGGTCCATCTCAAGGTAGCTGCGGACGGCCTGGTAGACTGGTTCTAGCTGGGGCTCGGCCCACATGAGTTCCGGACTGTCGAGGACAGAGCCTTGGAGGTGGATGTTGATTCGCAGGATAAAGAGTTCGCCGATTTGCATGTTGATCTGGCGTCTGGTGAGGTTGACACTGCCGGTTTTGGCGATCTGAGCGGGCAACGGCGCAGTGTTGGAGATGGTTTCGGATACGAGGTCTTCGAACAGGGAGGTCTTGACGGATTGAGCCAACGCATGGGAGATTGCAAGTTTGATCATGTGGTTTCGAGGGTCGCGCAGGGAGATAAAGTCGTTGTATATCCGGGCCTGGTACTCGCGAGCATAGTAGAAATTGAAGTTCTCGACCTGGGTGTCTTCGGGACTGAGAATGGATGCAGCAAATTTGGAAATATCGGACAAGAATCGTGACTCGTGCGCCGGTGACATGCCCCATATTACGACCGTGCCATAATCGAAGAGGAACACTTCGGGTGTATGAATGGTTGTATCGAGATCTGGATGTACTTCCCCCTGGTTCTCTGCCACAGCCGTAGTTGAAGCGCTTTCTATATCCGTTGCATGGGATTGAGGATCCCGTAGATCAATGAGATCTTCTCGTCGAGCATTGGTGTTATCCTGGACTTCCACCACACTGTCAGAGTACCGGCGTTCATTGGAGGGTCGCTCAGGTGGACGGCTGTCTCCCAGGCTTAGCCCATTACTGGAGATGCCCCATGTGCCCTTTTGCTTTTCCTCGTAGTCGTAATCATATGGAGAATAAACACATTCGTCGTAGAGCTTCGGGTTGGCCCCGCGGGTCTTGGAGCGTGATTTGAGGAACTTGATGATTCCTTCCAGTCGGTACGAATTGGCCGTGCAATAAGCTGTCACCCGTGGCAATCGCTCTCTATCTGCCTTTCCTAACCTTGCAGCATGACTCCTGGCTGTCGGCTCTTTGATCCGTGCAATCTGCGAATAGACATCGGACGGAAAGTCATCCCCAGCGAGCTCCTCCTCCTCGGCAGTCACAGGATCCGGAAGTAGCTTGAGTTTCTGGGCCTTTTTCGTCGTTCTCTGGGGCCCGACCTTGGGGGCTGCAGCGATTGGAGGGTGTGCGGTGCTGAAAGGAGATCCATGGCTGTTGCGCCGACGGAGCTTGCTATTCAGGGCCGACAGCCCGGTCGGTCGGTATTGACTCTCCTGAGAATGCGGAGCGGACGACGAGGCGGACTGCAGCGGTCTGAAGGTAGGATCTGCGGAGGTGGTGTCATGGTAGGTGCTGACAGTCGCCAATGGGTTGAAGGTCACCGTCCGCGGCGGACGGTTTCCTCGCGGTGACGTATTGGAGGCAGTCGGGTTGTGCTGGGGGAGGAGCGGAGAGGATTCTGTAGTCGACACCATGGTGGGATCGGGGATGAGACACTGCTCAGAGCATAACCTGCAGACAATCGCGAATTGCACCGGGAAGTCTCCGAGGATGGGTGAACAGAGCGAGTTGGACAAGGAGAGAGAGAAGGCAAACCGTTGGAAATCGAACGAAGATTAAATTGAGCTCCAAGCTTCCGCACGTGCGCCGCCATTCTGCCCAATCCGGATGCCCCTCTCGTTCTTCTCCTTTCTTTGCTTTCGATCCTCGGTCTTACACTGTATATATTAGAAAATCAAAGAAAGAGGAAGAAAGAACAAAGGAGTAACAGAAAAAAAAAAAAAGCAACTACGCAGCTCTCTGCTGCAAACTTTCTAGCCGGACTGTACGACCCCCGGTCACATACGCTTGCAACGATTTCCCTGTACGACCAGCCACTCGTTTGATATGCCTTTCCCCTAAACTTCAGGCACGAAAAACATGCCGATAGACCGATTGATATCGTTTCAAAAAGGATGTGGATTCCATCCCTGCTCCCGAGCATAAGTGGTAGCACAATCTGCTATTCTATAGTGTTCGTCATAACTCTACATTGATTGCTGCATCCAGAGCGCTTTTATTAGAACTTAGATCGATTTTCGAGACGGTAAGGTGTGAAAGAGCGCCAAAGACCTGCTATCTGCGCACAAATCCCGAGGAACCGCCAGTCGTCCTTCTCATGCCATTCAAGCTTCCGGTGCTGCGGGATTTGTTGAGCCAATTCTGCTTGGCATTGCGTCCAGTTTTTGAGGCCTTTGGCGGGAGAGTTGTCTTCGATGACTTTTTCGATACATCCCCATCGAGCACCCGGATAGTGACATCACCCATGCGCACATCCTTCGGAGCTTTCTCCTTCTTGTCCAGGAACCGTAGCTTGTTGGGCTTCTGCTGCATGAAAGTCCTTTCTTCCGCAGGAGGCGTCGGTGGCCGGACATCGGGTGCTGCATTCAAAATATCGTCGGGAAGGAGAGCGGGGAGGGCCGATCGTCGTGCATCTTGCGTAGTGGTTCCCTGAAGGGTTTCTGTGCTTTCCGACAACAGATCATCCGACTTCAATTCCTTCTTCTTTGCTATCTTCGCCTGAGATTTGCGCAACTCGTCCAACTGTTTCCGTTTGTCCCTCTTCAATTGCTCCTCTCTGTAGACAATATTAGAACCGTCCAGCAACCGGGCCAGAACCCGCTCGTCACTCACATTTGCTTAGCCCGTTCCTGCTTCTTAGCTTCCAGTCTAATCTTCGACCGCTGTGCCGAGTTATCAACAGTCTCCGGGGCCTCATCATCACTGCTATCATCTTCACTATCCTCAACTTCCTGTCGCGTCTCCGTAGTATCCTCAGCAACAACCTCCGGCAATTCCGGCTCCTCACTATCAAAGCGGAAGTGTTTCTTCGGCACCGGCGCAGATGCCTGCTCCTGCTTGGGTTCACTCTTCTCCGTCGTCTTCGACTTCTTGCTCGAGGGCTTGCTCTCCGGTTCTTGCGCCGCCTCTAGACTGCTCCTCTTCCTCCGCTTGTTGGTGTTGGTCTGGGTCGTCTCAGTCGGTTCAGCAGCCACAGGCTCGGACTTGCGCTTTCCATTCGTCTCAGCTGAACCATTGGCATTGGGCTCTGTGGAGGGCTTCTCAGCGGTAAATTTCCGCTGTCTCGTTGCCGTGACCATTTTCGGTGTGTTGGCGCCGGTGCTGGTGCTGGTGGAGGTACTGCCGGAATTACTGTGCAGGTTTTGAAGGGATGCCCCGTTGGAGTCTTGTCGAGAAAATAGCCCCTTTGCTGCCGTCACGATCTGAGAGAACATAGATGATTAAAGAAATCCCCGTGTGACATGTAAAAACATGGAGAAATGTTATTGCGCTCAAAAGTCGTACGAAAACTAGAATTCCACATCCAGCAAATTTGGTCGGCGGATTGTTCTTCCGAAGGCGGCCTGGATTGAGTGGGTCGTTGGAATGTATGCGACGCATGGGGTACATCCTGTAGGTAATCGGAATAATAACGAGCAGGTTGATACTGATGCGGTTATCTTGAATTTATTGTAAGTAATACATAATTTCAGCACTCAGAACATTCTATCTGAGGGAGAAAAATAATTTTATACGCCAAGTCATACCATATGCTCCGTAGTCCAAGGACCGTTCCGCGCCCAAACACCATCCCAAAAGCATTGCGATCCAGTATATCTTTGCATGCAAGACAAATGATAGAGGTCCGTATGGAACTCAGCATCCCATCCATAAGCATCACCTGGCAGTAACCATCTGATTGCGCTCCGTGAGCTCCTCATTCGCAGCCAAGAAGTCGTCCTCCCCAATATCGCTAGCCTCATCCCAGAACTTCCCATGTTCGTCCCCATCGTCACCACTGACAGTCCACATACTTTCTCGCAGCCGCTTGTTCCGTTCACGGTCCTCCTCAATTCTCTGCTCAATCTGCCGCTTGTCCACACGCATCCCGTTACCCTTAGAGCCCCTCGGGGTCCCGGTTTTAGATCTCGTGCCGCCCTCCGCTCCATCTTCAGCTTCTAGATCCAGATGTGCGGGGTGGGTTTCCCGGTCCTTAAGCCCGGCGTCGATTTCCGCGATTGTCTCCGGGGACAGGATTTCCTTGCTTTGCAAACCATTGAGAACCCGACGGACGTGTTTGACGTTTGCTGCTCCTGAGCCGTCAGGCGGTGCGACGGAATCGACAATGCGTAGAATATCTCTCTGTATCATGCGGACGTATGGAGCGTGGTCTTCTTTCGTGGCCATGTCGCAGAATTGTTCAATGAAATACATTATGTTGGCTCTGTTATTGATGTTATTCTAAAATAAAGTCGATCGTTAGTTTAAGATCATGGTGATAGCATGTTGTGAGAGTACAGACCCGTTCTAGTTGCTCGAGGATGCAGGAGTGGAGGTCCTCGTCCATGTCGCGGTATTTGAGCGCATAATGCGCTGCTTTCTGTGATGAAGTGACAGAGGCATTCAAGTGCTGCAGCTGCGAAGTAAAGCGCATGCGCACCTCAAAGGGGTCAGCCATCATTTTCGGTGATGTGGATGTCGAATCACGCTATGATGTTGGAAGAAAGGTGAGGCTTGGTTGGTATCCCGATGCTGCCTGCATACCGCGGCGATCGATCGCGGCTGGCGGAAATGAAAGCTTGAATGGAGGACTCCGATTGGAAATCACTAGGGCGGTGGGCTGAAATAAAGCGGGCAGAAATTGTGGGGTTGAATCGCCGCCATGTGTCGGGCCAGTAGCATGTCATCATGAATTTTTGCTTACTATTACTGGAAGTTGTTTGCATGGATTGTTTGTTCCATTTTATTTAGTTTATCTTGCGGGATCAACCCTGCTGTGTGTGCCGAACAATTTTCTCATTGCGCGGAACATGTCATGATATATAGAGATTCTAATAAGTCTTTCGAAGATATTTACTATATACACAATGTGCGTCTAGAACAATGCAAGCCACAGAACTGTACCGCCGTAGCCCCAGGTATCCGGCATTGCACACGCTTTAAAAGCAAGAAAGAAACAGGATACGGTCAGTAAACGCCAAAATACCGAAGATCATACATATTTTGATGTTTGTATCACTCTATACGACAACACAACATGATATGGGCCGTAGATGGTATGTGTCGACACCAAGTGCGACATTCGTGGTAGATGTCTAAACCAGTCGTGGTGTGCCAACCAGACTGGAGCTGGGTCAAAGCGACTGTCGTCTTTCTATGGTGCTGGCAAGACTGGTCCCATCATCGCTTTCAAGCAAACCCACCCTCTCTGCCGTATTTCCAGGATTGAAGGTTCTCTCATGCAAAGTATCGTCTTGATGAGAGGCTGGCCCGCTGACCACAGACCAAACATCCTTCTTTGTGAGCAGTCCTTGAAGAACACCCTTGTCAGCAAACAGAACGTAGCGGAGACCGAGCCTCTGGAACATCCGGAGTATGATCAAAAACGTTGTATTGCTATTGAGCGTAATAGGCGTCTGATCCATCCAAGGCCGGAGATCCAGGGTTTCGGCAGGATCTGCGAATGGCTGGTGGGTGAAAAAGACCTGCGTTGCACCGGACAATTCGCTATCTGAAGGCGTTGTAGAGTACTTCAGAGCGTATGCAAGCTCATTGCGCGAGATATATCCCAGCAAAATGGGATTTGATGTGTCGGTGACGACCGGGAACCCGCGATAAGACGTTGCTAAGAGAAGGCTGCGAAGTGAATCAATCGTATGACCGACAGCAGTAATGACTGTGATATCATCCACAGTGGTCATAACACTGTGGGCAGGAACGTCAGGTGGAGTCGTATCGTCGCGGTGGTCGAGGAAGGGGTATTCGTTCAGCTGAATCCACGACTCATAGATGCCCCGCTTTCCAAATATATCACCGCACCATTTGGACAACATAACTGCAATCATTATTGGAATGACATAAGTCAATGCACCCGTGAGCTCAAACATAATGACCACGATTGATACGGTCATCCTTGTGGCACCACCAAGTGCTGAAGCCGCACCAATAATTGCATATATCCCAGGAGTCACACACGGGATGTCTGGCTCGCACTTGCCGAACAGGAAGAATTTCGGATAAGCTTCTTGCCACATCCGAAAGGTCATGCCCAGGCCACGCCCATACAGCGCACCGATGGCAACTGACGGAAGTATTATACCGGCAGGGATATCCAGTCCAAAGGTCAAAGAGGCAAGGAAAAAGCCCAGAAGAGCAGCCAGGAGCAAGAGGGCAACAGTACCAGCCGATACGGCGCCTGTCTTGCAGAAACCAAAAGGGTCATCGGTAGTCCCAGTTCCACATTCTGCGAATAGAGAATGAACGAGCTCCGAATTCTGAGCCCTCATGAACAGATTTGGAAAATTGATCAAGGCACTCAAAAGAGCCACAACCGCCACCTCAATAATCGGTCGCGATGAATTGCGAGACCGTCGCCATTTTGCGATCTTCATATTCAATCGAATGAGGAATGCTCCGTACAGACCGCCCACAATACCGAGGATGATAAATGGAATCATTTCGAAGCGATGCCATTCGCGCGTGTATTTGACTTGATAGAGGACAATATTGCCGGTGCGGAACGGATTGAGCGCATGCAGAGTCACCGATGCAACCATGGCACAGACAAAGCTTTGCCACATCGTCTTGTCGGGGAAGTAATACGACAGTTGCTGTTCCAGACATTTAGAAGTCGAATATTTCCGTAACAATTCCCTTGAAACTAACCTCCAAACTGAATAGGACACCACCAATAGGTGCACCGAAAGCGACGGAGACGCCTGCGGCAGCAGCTGCAGATAGAACTTCTCGTTTCCTCGCTGTACGGTTAGCCCAAGTCACTCGATGACGAGTCAAGATAGATACCTTCGTTATGGTTAAGACTGTGAAATGGCTTCATTATCACACTGGCACAGCAACATGCCACATGGACGAGGGGGCCTTCTTTACCGAGCCACAGGCCGGATGCGACGGACAAACACTTGAGAATATTAGCAAGACTGCAGGCAGAATGAAGGGCGGAACCGTGCATACCAGACCCAAGGACTTGATTGCGAGGGTCCAAGGCCCCATGAAGTGCCTAATGACGAAGCCACCAAGGACAGTTTTGATTTCAGGGATACCGCTGTGCCTCGCATATATGGCATAGCTCCGAACCAGAACGCATGCGCAAACCGCGAAAATAACCTGTTTCTAATTAGCTGACAATAGATTTAACACAGAAGAGACCCAAGTACAGAATAAAGAACATAGAAGATATACTCAACCGTATATCCCCCGCCCGATGAGGAGACTCCCAGGGCCTTCCGCCATGGAGTCCAGTCCAAGCATTCAGAGACATCTAGCGAGAAATTCCGTTAGTATGCGCGATCCTAGAGGCAAGTAGTCGCTGACCGTCATGTCCCCAACAGCAAAAGCTCCGATTTAAATAGAACCTGCCACCCCCGGGGCCGTTTCTACAATAACCGGTTTTCAGATCTCCTAACCAATCACTGGTAATATCGATGCAGGCCGCAATGATTCCAACCAAGACGCCTGTAGCGATTAACACGATCCAAACATTACTTGAGTCCAACAGCTTGCGCAGATATCCAACGATTCCCTGCCCGCTTGCGTAGAGGAGCCTCTTTCTTTGACGCTCTTTTGTGTATTCAAAGATCCAATCGATCGCCGTAAGGTCGTCATAGCCAACTCGCCGCCCTGGGCCCTCCACATACCAGTCCAAGAAGCCCGAGTCCTTATGGGCCATGCTTCCATCGCCACTGACCGGTTCCCGTAGGGGTTGCATATCGTCCGACGGTTGTTCAATTCGAAACAAAGAACCAAACCCAGTATTTGTCGCAGACTCGGCAGCACTACTCGAGAACAGGTTGGGAAAGCGAAATCTAGAGCGCTGTTTCTGCTTGCGTTTGAAGGAGAGCCTATGGCAAGTTGTTAGCCCGCAGCTTCAAGCGCGGGTGCTCGGTGGGCCAGCAACTCACGGCTCACGCAGCTCTCCGCTTAAAGGTACACCGGGGTGTTGTGGTTCATCATCGCTGTACGGCTGGGTCAGCGATGACTGGGCATCTGTTTGGGGCCCCGGTTGTCTCATTGACATCGCGGATAGTACGTATCATAGGGACGCGTCAAGTCGCATCCCAAGCAACGACGGCCTCGGTGCCTATGAATAGTGATTCTCCGCGATTGATGCGTTCCCGGCAACTGGTGCCACTTAGCGTCGGAGTTCTGGCCTGACCTCCGCGGCTGGACCAAAGCGGTGAGGGACCGAGGTGTGGGGCGGCGGCGGGCATGCAGCGGCAGAAAACAATCTCTAGGAAAAAAAAAGTGAAGTAATCGGCGTGCTCTTTTCCCTACTTACCACCAGAGTTCCTTTGGCGGTAGGGCTCAGCATGAATGCTAGACCCGCCTACGAGGGGGCTCTTAACGAGTCCCAGCTATTTGAACAGCTCCCGAATGAGATTGCGGAACTCATTCGCACAGCTTCCGGGACTCAGTACCTGAATGCGCTTGCGGTCGGCGCGTTGAGGCCGAGATGCACAGAAGGCTTCTTTTGCCTATATGAACCGATCATTGTGGATCTGGCAGCGCGTTGGCTCCTGTCAGAATCCCAGGTTGACCAGATCGAAGTTCTTTCCGCTTTTTCACGAGTCCTCCCGCTTGCACCATACCTACGATCCTTTGCAAGCCAATATGCCATATCTCGGGCTGGACCTCTGTCGGCGTTGGCTGCGTCCGATGAGCTAACACTTTCTCAAATGAATGATGCCACTATCCGAGCCCTTTTGCTAGCGATTTTCAGACTTCTTTCATACGATGCAGAGACCTTTTCGAAAGCCGTATCGCCGTCACAACTCCAGTCCCTCTTCCGACACCGAGACCCGTCCGTGAGTTATCTGGCGATTCGATGCTTTGGCATGTACATGAGTGCAGCGGATGCTGCTACGGAGGACATAATTAGGGCGAAATTTGCAGACAACATCATCGAAGGGGACTGGGAAGGTATCACAATCGACTACCGCTGCCTCGGGTTGTGGGAGGAACGTCGGTGGAACACCTTCGAGAAGCAAGTTCAACATGCAAGATCGACTAGGGCCGCATCTGAAAGCCTGTCTCAAATTGAGTCATTGAGGGAATATTTTACCGCTAGAACCGCCGAGGCCTGCGGTGTCCTTATCCCCGACAGCAGGGTACATCGCCTCCACCGTCGTCTATTGTCAGAACGCCCACCGCCGTGGGTAACTTGCGGAAGATTGCGGCAGCCTTGATTGCGCCTGAACCTATACTCTTGATCGGCTTGCCCAACTCCGGAAAGACCACGCTGATTAACGATGTTGCAGCGAGCATGGGTCAGTCTGAATCCATGGTCACATTGCACCTGAACGAGCAGACTGATGCGAAGAGCCTTCTTGGAATGTACTCCACATCTCCTGCCACGGGATCCTTTTCATGGCAGCCTGGTGTACTCACCAAGGCCGCAAGAGAAGGTCGCTGGATCTTGATCGAAGATTTGGACCGCGCGCCCTCTGAAGTTATCGGTCTTATTCTCCCCATCATTGAGAGGGGAGAGTTGACCATAGCTAGTAGGAGGGAGAGGGTTAAGTGCGCTGAAGGCTTCAAGATCATTGCGACCATGAAATCATCTTACAATATCTCAGGCGAAGAGATTGCTCCAAGCACCAACATCCTAGGAAGCAGGTTGTGGCAGAGGGTACAGATCGATTCGCTTACTATAGATGAGGTTCGTGAGGTAATTACGCAGAAATTCCCTCTGCTTGAATCTCGGGTTCGGACAATCATGGACGTTTACCAGCGACTCTGTTCTTCTTTCCATGGCAGCCTTGCGATCAAGAGCTCCCAAGGACGGACACCCGGTCTCCGTGATCTTGTCAAACTTTGCAGCCGAATGCATAGGCGGCTGCAACTCCTCGGTGCAAAGACAGGTTATGAAGCTACTCCGGAGGGCGCCGAGGATGAGATTTTCTTGGACTTCGTGGATGTTTTCTTGAAATATATTCCAGAAAAGAATATGGCAGACACTCTTGCTTCCGTTGTCGCTGAAGCGCTCCAGATCTCACCGCAACGAGCACGGTTTTGCCTTCACGAGCGCACCCCTTCATATTCAGACCAGGGGAATAGCATAACGCTTGGGAGGGAAGTTTGTCGAAAGATTAAAGTTCCAGGTGGTTCGGCATCAAAAGCTGCTGCTGCGTCATCTCGGTTTGCTTCCACACGGGCTGCTTTAGGACTCATGGAGCAAGTCGCTGCTGCGATCCAGATGGCAGAACCGGTCCTCCTTGTTGGAGAAACGGGTATTGGTAAAACAACTGTTATCCAGCAGCTGGCTACCTTGATGCGGCAGAAGCTGACGGTTGTGAACTTGTCACAGCAGAGTGAAAGCACTGATCTTTTGGGCGGGTTCAAGCCCGTGAATATCCGAACAATGGCCGTGCCTATGCATGACGAGTTCGTGTCCTTGTTTGAATTGACATTCTCTGCTAAGAAGAATCAGAAATTCCTTCAGTCCGTCGGGAAAAGTGTCGCTGCCGGGAACTGGGTGCGCCTGGTCAATTTGTGGCATGAAGCCGTTCGCTTGGCTGATGGCGTGTTCAAATCTGGCCACGGTTCATCGCAGGGAGCAGATGAACAACCGACGAAAAAGAGAAAACTGGACTCGCCAAAGTATCAGTTCTTGCGGCAGAGGTGGGAGAGATTTGCGGCACAGCTGAACGATTTTGAGTCCCAAGTTTCTCAGGGTGATGCGAAATTCGCGTTTGCTTTCGTACAAGGCAAGATTGTTCGGGCCCTACGCAATGGAGAGTGGGTTCTTCTTGATGAAGTCAACTTGGCGTCGCCTGATACTCTTGAGAATATCGCCAGTCTTCTACACCATGGAAGCGAGGGGTCTCCGTCTGTCCTACTTTCCGAGGCTGGTGATGTGGAGCGCGTGTTTGGACATCCTGAGTTCCGCATTTTCGGTGCGATGAACCCTGCAACCGACGCAGGAAAGAAGGATCTCCCCCCTGGCCTCCGGTCTCGATTCACGGAATTCTATGTCCAATCTCCAGACAGTGACCTGGACGATCTGTTGTCATTGATCCACAAATACCTGGGTGACCTGGCCCTGACCGATTCTCGAGCGGTTCCGGATCTCGCGCAACTGTACATGGAAACTAAGAACCTCAGCATTGAAAACAAGCTCACCGATGGCGCTGGACAGCGCCCGCATTTCAGTATCAGAACCCTCGTCCGAGCCCTCATTTATGTTGCTGATCATGCTCACGTCTACGGCCTGCGCCGGGCGATATATGAAGGTTTTTCTATGAGCTTCTTGACCGTTCTCAGTCAAGACTCAGAAAGGCTGTTGGCTCCTCTCCTCGAGAGGCACATATTTAGCAATGTCAAGAATGCCAGAGCGCTTCTTAACCAGACACCCAGACCGCCGAGTGATGGCAACGATTATGTTCAATTCAAACATTACTGGATGCGTAGAGGCCACCTGACTCCCGAAGAGCAGCCCCACTATATCATTACGCCTTTCATCGAGAAAAACCTGAAGAATCTGGTCAGAGCAAGTTCGACGCGTCGATTCCCAGTTTTGCTGCAGGGCCCAACATCTGCTGGAAAGACAAGTATGATCGAGTATCTCGCAAAGGTATCCGGAAACAAGTTTGTTCGTATCAACAACCATGAGCACACCGATCTTCAAGAGTACCTGGGAACGTATGTCTCTGGTGATGATGGAGCGCTTCGTTATCAGGAAGGTGTGCTAGTGGAGGCGCTCAGAAACGGATACTGGATCGTCCTCGATGAACTTAACCTAGCACCCTCTGACGTATTGGAAGCAATGAATCGACTTCTCGATGATAATCGCGAGCTTTTCATACCTGAGACGCAGGAAGTGGTGCATCCGCACCCTAACTTCATGCTTTTTGCGACTCAGAACCCTGCCGGCCTTTACGGTGGCCGAAAAGTTTTGTCGCGCGCCTTCCGAAATCGATTCCTGGAGCTTCATTTCGACGATATACCGGAAAGTGAACTCGAATTCATTCTAAAAGAGCGTTCCCAAATCGCCCCTTCTTTCTGCACCAGAATTGTCTCCGTTTACCGAAAGTTGTCTCTATTACGCCAGGCAAACAGGCTCTTTGAACAGAAGAACAGCTTTGCGACCCTCCGTGATCTCTTCAGGTGGGCGCTACGACGAGCAGATGACCGGGAGCAATTAGCAATCAATGGGTTCATGCTACTTGCGGAGCGGGTCCGAAATCCACAGGAAAGGGCTGCTGTAAAAGGTGTCATTGAAGAAGTGATGAGAGTTCGAATCGATGAAGATGTCATCTACAGTTCCTCCGAAATGGAAAAACGTGCGCCCCTTCTTGCACAACTAGCCCCTGGCATTGTGTGGACAAAGGCAATGAGAAGACTTTTCGTGCTCGTCTCAACTGCGCTTGAGAATAACGAGCCTGTTTTGCTTGTTGGTGAAACTGGCTGTGGAAAAACCCAGCTATGCCAGGCAGTCGCAGAAATCTACAAGAAGCAGCTGCTGATTGTCAATGCCCACGTGAACCTCGAGACTGGGGATCTTATCGGAGCTCAACGGCCTATAAGAAACAGGGCGGCCATTGAGAGTCAGCTGCTGAGCGACTTGCAAGTTCTTTTCTCTGAGGAGAGCCTGAGGCCCCTGGAGGAACTCAGACAAGCCTTTAGCACCCTCAATGCAGAGCAGCTGCAATCGTTGGACGCTGATCTAGTTCTGCGTATTGAGAAGAACATGGCTCGTTCAAATGCTTTGTTCGAATGGTCTGATGGAAGTTTGATCACCGCAATGAAGACTGGCCAGTTTTTCCTTCTTGATGAGATCTCTTTGGCAGATGATTCTGTCTTAGAAAGACTGAACAGTGTTCTAGAGCCTCATAGATCCATTTTGCTCGCTGAAAAGGGCCCAATCAATTCCATGGTTGTTGCCGACGATGGTTTCCAGTTTCTTTCTACGATGAATCCTGGAGGTGACTACGGAAAACGCGAGCTTTCCGCTGCTCTTCGAAACCGAATGACCGAGATATGGGCGCCTCAGCTTTCCGAGGATGAGGACATTTTACCGATTCTTCAAAGGAAGCTTACTTCAGGCACGGAAAACGTATCTAAGGGAATGCTACAGTTCGCCAAGTGGTTCAAAGAGGTGTTCCAGAATTCATCCACTTCGTCTCTCTCTCTTCGTGATCTTCTTGCCTGGGTCGAATTTGTCAACAGGTGCCAAAGCTCGGATCCTCTCTTTGCGATAGTCCAGGGTGCTGCTATGGTGTTCATAGACACTTTGGGTGCGAATCCAGCAGCAATGCTCGCGACAGCACTGCATAACCTTGAAGGGAACCGTCAATTATGCTTAGATAAAATGCATGAACTCTTCGATGTTGATGCCTCGGCGATCTATCTACAGAGATCAACTGTTGGTATTGAGGGTTCTTCTCTGCGTGTTGGATCATTCTGTCTTCCCATGAACAGCAATTCGATGCCAGATCCCGACTTTATTATGGATGCACCCACCACTATTGCTAACTCGGTGAGAATTGCTCGAGGATTGCAGCTACCTAAGCCCATTCTTCTCGAGGGTAGCCCAGGTGTCGGTAAAACAACGCTTGTGACGGCACTTGCGAGGGCCCTTGGAAAACCGCTTACTCGGATCAACCTTTCAGAGCAAACAGACCTCACAGACCTTTTTGGTTCAGATGTCCCTGTGGAAGGCGGTGATGTTGGACAATTCGCTTGGCGGGACGCACCGTTCTTACAAGCAATGCAACGCGGTGACTGGGTTCTTTTAGATGAGATGAACTTGGCTTCCCAGTCGGTCCTTGAGGGTCTTAATGCCTGCTTGGATCATCGTCAAATGGTGTATGTCGCTGAGCTTGACCAAACCTTCAAAAGACACCCTGACTTCGTTCTCTTCGCTGCGCAAAACCCGCATCATCAGGGTGGCGGCAGAAAGGGACTCCCCGCGTCCTTTGTCAACAGATTTACAGTGGTCTATGCCGACAGTTTCACAGACACTGATTTAAAGAGAATCTGTGCTAAGCTGTTCCCGGGCAGCCCTGCTAAGCAAACTGAGGGGTTAGTCGAGTTTGTGTCTCTTCTCAACAAGGCTATTCAGGAACGACGCCTCGGCGCCGTTGGCGGGCCTTGGGAAGTCAACCTGCGAGATATCCAAAGGTGGCTCCAGTTGGCCGATCGCGGAAACTTGCAGATATCTACCCAGAGCTTCCTTGAAGTTATCATCTCTCAGCGATTCAGGAGCGAAGAAGACCGACAGTTGGTCTCTACTCTATACAAACAAGTCTTTAGTGACGCCCCAACACATGATAAGAGCTATTACCACAACCTCACACCAGACTACATGCAAGTCGGACTCGGCATTATGCAGCGAGATTTGTTATTGCAGGAGACATCAAGTCCCCAGATGAGAATACTTCCCGGAGACCTTCCTATCTTGGAATCCCTTATGCTATGCATAGAGCAAGCTTGGCCCAGTATCTTGGTCGGCCCATCTGGCTGTGGCAAGACAACGCTTATCAGAAAGCTAGCTGCTCTCAATGGTGCTAGTCTGGTCGAATTGGCATTGAGCGCCGATACGGATACTATGGACTTGATTGGTGGATTCGAGCAAATCGACTACAGGAGAGAGCTCTCGTCTCTCGTGCATCAGATTTCCCTGTTTCTCCGACGCGAAGCCATTTCCGCCTACGCAGGTGATGAGACGACGAGCGCAGCTCCCGCCTTCCTCGAGCTTTACGAACAATTGCAGGGTTCAGATGTTCAGTTAGACGCGGTATGCTTATCGCTTCAGAAGCTGTACCATGCTTATCCTCAACCTGCGCTCGAGAAGCTTTTAAATCATGCTCAGCATTTGCTCAAGGTGACAACGCAGTCTGACAGCATGAAGGTTGGTTTTGAGTGGACCGAGGGTGTCTTGACGCAAGCAGTTCAGCACGGGCAGTGGGTCGTCCTTGACAATGCCAACTTATGCAATCCATCTGTGCTTGATAGATTGAATTCTCTGACGGAACCGAATGGAGCTCTTATTCTCAATGAACAGCGCACTGAGGATGGAAACGCTCGAGTCGTGAGGCCGCATCCGAATTTCAGGCTGTTCTTGACGATGGACTCTCGTCACGGTGAACTATCCCGTGCGATGCGGAATCGGTGTGTCGAGATGTGCTTCCTGCCTCAGGATAACAATGACACCGTCGCTACATTGATGCCTGCTTATACCAACCAGTCTTCTTTGTATCGTCTTCGGTCGGTTTGGGAGCTGGATCTTTCCATGGCTAGCGAAGGAAGTGCAGACATTTTACAGGAAGTGTGCCTCGACCATCTTTCAATCACCGACTTATCCTATCTCCAGCGGGCGCTGAAGCTTACGCCACAATATGGCTCGGATCTTCTGAGAGAACCTTTCTCTTCTGCTTTGGATCGATATGTATCCGCGATACATGATAATGCTTCATGTAAGCCTTTCGAGAGCACTAAGAAGGAAGTCATGCTGGGTTGTGCTTCTTTTGCTATACAGGGAAGGTTGCAGCCTCTTCACCCTCTTGTAAACGAGCCACTGGCATCTATTATGCACCAAGATGTGCCTTTCGTTTGGCTCATGATTTTGGCGTACCTGCAAGAGTACAAGCTTGACCTGCATCACCTGAGGCAGGGCTTACTGAAAGCGGATGAATCTGGGAAACAGCTCAAGCCAAGTCAAATGAGCCGTCTAGAACGATCTCTAGCTTCGGGGAGGATACCCTCTTTGATGAAGGATGCAACACAACCTGTTGGCCCGTTCCTTTCTGACTGTGGTCAAGCCATGTACGACTTCATACAGGGACTAGACTATGACGCCCTTCATGCCCCTGACATGGTTCGCGCTCTCCGTGCTATCGTCGACTTCAGCTCAGATGTCTTTACATTGACTGCCGCAAATGAAGTGGACCGGGGTGAATTCCAGATTTACCTCCAAATTGGAAAAGAGTTATGCGCTTCGCTTCTAGACTCATGGGCACCGTTGAAGCAGTTGGCTCTCGCCTTCTCTCGAGCGCTTGATCGATTTAAGGAGAACTGGTCATTGACCACAGGTCTAAGCATGCAGCGGCTTTGGGAATCGTGGAGACCAGCAACCCCCTCTACCCAAAGCCAATTGACATTGCTACTAGAGTTAGAAAGCGTTGCTTCTGAATTCACCCAGGTTGCGACGAAGACACACCTGGACCTGTCTCAACTGAGTCAGGTGCGCGACTCTCTAATTGGTGGCCAGGAAGCTATTCTTCTGAACGGTGCCGATGAGGAATTTCCCATCCAAGGGCTTCGGCAAACCGTCGCAGAATTAGCTGCTTGCGTGCAAGATACCGATTCAAACCAGCGCCCCTACTTCTCGACCAATTTTGAGGCTCTGTGCCAGTACCATGACCTCGCATCACTAGGCAAGACGCAGATTGGTGATGACCAGGTTATTCGAGCTATTCTGCCATTACTCGCCGGCCGTGCTGCCCGGCCTCTGAACGGGTCGAGTTTGCAGAGCCAAATTCCTAGTATCCTTCACAAGATTTCCTTATTCTCAGGCTCTGAGCACTCATCAGTGTTCGGCGCTGCTATCAGTGGTAATGTCTCTTTATCGCTGCTAGAAAGGTTAGCTTTAGTCGGCTCTACAAGCTTGGGCCAGATGAATGCTCTGGAAATAGAAAAGAAGACTCTCTCCAAGGCGTTGACTTTGACAAGTCGAGAAATCGGCTTGGACCAATTCAAGGGTCTTAAGCAGGTCATGGCGAGGTTGGCCGTCGAGCTTGCCTTCCTCCACAGAGACTTCTTTGAACCACGATCTTTGGAGCAATTGGTCACCATTCTTCGCGTGATCGAAGATGGAGGCTCGTATGATGGTCCGGCATTACCGGCCATCCATGTGGCCACAAATCTGCCCCGAGACCACTACTTCAAGAAATTTGCAACAGAGGATATCCCAAGGCTGGTTGCTTCACTGGCATCTAGTCAGAGCCCTGTGGAAAGTACTGGAGCAGCACTTGTTCAACTAGCAGTCATCTTCCTGCGACTATTCGTCCCGGATAAGCCGTTTGATCCCTCATTGGGCTTGGTTGTGCAAAGAAAGCGACACTCGCAACGTTCGTCGGAACTCACAGCGAAGGCTGAAGCAATGACATCCTTCGAGGTTGGCTTCTCTGGCCAAGCGTCCAACATTCGCCTCGAACTTTTGCAGAAGGAATTGCATGATCTTGGCTCAGCACCCCCTCCCTCTTCTGTCAGCAGGCCCCGATCTCTGAGGTTAATCTTCTTCATGGAGAATTTTCAAGTCTGGTGAATTCAGTGCTTGATCGGCGTCCCGAGGAGATTGTCTCTGCCGTAAGTGATGATGATGGCGAAGAAAATGGTGAACGACAGCGCATGCTCAGTCTCTTGCGTGATAATGTTCGGCAGCTCAGCCACCGCCTGAGTGCAAATTATCGATCATACGACGATATCACGACACCTGCCGTCCGTTTTCTTCAAATTCTGGACCTGGGACTCTACCTTTCTTCGAGCCCATCTGAATCCAGTGACAACCAGATACTCAATGCTGTCAGGGACACCACACCCTTCCTTGGTGGTTTGATTTATCCTGTCTCAGACCTGAGCCAGCAGAGAGCAGAAGCCAATTCAACCCTAGATACCGATCTTTGGTTCCATGAATTGTCGTCGTTGAGAATAGCTGAAAATGCGGATCCAGGTGTAATCCGTACCCAAGCTGGACGTGACACCCTGCGCCGCCTCTTCGAACAGTTCCATGCCCTGTGGAAAACTAAATTGCGAGAGGATCAAGAGGAGGAGGCTCGGAAGTCTGAATTCTACCACTTCAAGGGGTCTTGGGAGGATAGTGAAGAGGTCGATGAAAACGAGCTACGCCAGCTTTTCCCCACGTACGAAGACAATGCAGATGAAGAAAATCAAACGCCTGGTCGATTTGATCCAAAGTCTATTTCGGTCAGGCTCGCTTCGTTGCACGCAAAACTGTTCCAATCTGAAGATCGTGAGGAAGTGCTGTCGGCTTACATTAAGCAGGCTTCCTTGCTATTAGGCTCTACTTGGTCGGAAAATCAATCCATGTCGGATACCGACCCTAAGGATCAGATCTCCGGTGTGCTCTTGCTTCTGGAAGACTCCATCAAAACAGGTCAAGGCCAGCCTGCAGACAAATATAACTTCTATGTGGACGCGAACATCGCTGAAGCAAAGAGACTGGTGAATTTGACCCTGGCAACGAAGGCTCGGTTCACCCAAATACAAAAGTCCTGGCCGGATCATGCTGTCTTAGAAGATGTCATCCAGTGCTGCAGAGAAATCCTTCAGTTCAAGCACACTGAGCCTGTCGCAAAGTTCATTACCAAGGTTGAAAAGCTGCACGCGCATGTTCATGAATGGCAGCTTGTAGCAAGCAGAGAGTTCTCTGCGGCCTCTTTGTATGACGACATCACAGCTATGACTATTAGTTGGCGGCGTCTTGAGCTATCGACTTGGGCGAAGCTTTTGGACATCGAGAATGACAAGTGCACCCAGGACGTGAGCTCATGGTGGTTCATCGCCTATGAGGCGATCATTCGTGCTCCGATTCAAATCACAGAGTCCGGTCAAATGGAGATGAGCGAGCATGTCCAAGAGATCACGGCTACATTGGAGCAGTTCTTCAACACAACCACCATGGGACAATACAGCGAGCGCCTCCGACTTGTTAAGAATTTCCAGTCTTTGCTCCTGCTCTATGTCCAGGACCTGCCATCTTTGAGTCAGTTGGTTTCTGCTCTGGACAACTTCCTTGTGCGATACAAGCAGTTTGAGCCTTCAGTGCACAAGCTGCTGGCGGAGAAGCGGTCAGCTCTTGAGAAGGATATCAAGGAGCAGATCCTATTAGCCAGCTGGAAAGATACCAACATTGTCGCGCTCAAACAAAGTTCCCGGCATTCGCACAACAAACTGTTCAAGCTGGTCCGCAAGTACAGAGCAGTCCTGGCTCAACCCGTGCAATCGATTGTGGAACAAGACATGCCGGACAACGAGGATTCCAGTGTTCCTGAGAAGGAAGTCACCATGCCCTCCTCTGTCTTCCCTGAAGCTCTTGCCTTGTGCCAGAAGGAGGAAAGAATCTGGACCGAAAGACCACCTCGATTCAAGAATCCCGACGCGACCGCTGGCAACATGATGCAACTGTATGCCTCGATCCCTTCTGAATTCGACATTGCAGACGATCTTGACGGGTTCGTCAAGTTTGTCATCGAGAGCATACAGGAGTTCAAGTCGCAAACGCCGAAGACTTTGACTGAGGAGAATAAAGACGATGTTCAGCACCTCAAGGTCCAAAAGCGCCGATTCTATGCGGATACCTTGCGGCGGCTAGTGGACATGGGAGTGAAGCGTAGCGCAAGTACCAGCCTGATCGAAACCCAAGCATCTATTGCACAGGTTCTTGCCTCTATCCCAGCTTTGGAAGCTGGCACTGCCCTATCATATCTGGCCAGAAGCTCCGATTTATACTTCCACAAGTTTTTGGACTTGCTTCCTCGCGTTCGTCTCGCAGCGCATAATTACTCGGAAGATCTGAGCAATGTGGAGATATCTCGAAGCTCGGGATCCATGGAGCATCTGTTGTCCCTCGCCCGGAAGCAAAGAGCCTCTATCTCCCCGGCACTTTCTGATCTCACCGCGCTGCAGTCGACACTTTTGAAGGTTTCGAACCTCTGGTATAGCTCTTCAATTTTCAAGGCTGCTCCCGAGTTTTCAGTTGAGAAAGCAGAGGTAAGCAGAGCAGTGGCATGGCTGACACCTATACTCGGACTCGCCGCCACAGTTGTCAGTTTGCACGCAAAGTTCTCAGGCATCAATTCGACAAGCATTCTACAAAGCCTGCAGACCTGGAGGGATACGTTCGACCGCTTGAGAACGTCCTTGGGCAGTCTTCCTGAACTGCCACTCGGTGTTGCCTCGCAATTGCACAGCGATACGGTGGAAGAGGCTTCCGCATCTTTTGAAAAGTTGAATGTCGACCTCACAAGGTGGGCGGAAGAGCGTCCTGATCTATCCTTTGTGCTGGGCCAGATAGTTCCTTGGGTGAAAGCCAAGACAATGTCCTCCGACAGCGAGTTTGACGAGACCGTATCTGTCGAGCAATTCGATACCGGCCTTGTTGCAGCAGTTGACAAGATCCTTGTCAGTCTTCAGAAATTGAAGGAGATTCCGTCGCTGCTTGCTTCTCCCGGCTCTTTGTCGCGGAGTGACGAGTTCTTTGTCAGAGCCTTGAGAGTTCTTCATATCTCTGGCATCACGGCCTCTCTAGAGTCCATCCTCGGGGAGTTGCAGTATCTCCAGACTCGCTCAACCCCTGGAATTCCTTTTGCCGTCGCACTTGTGGCGAGCCTGCTACCGATCATGAACAAGTACTTCCATATCTGCCAAGACGTTGTGGATCGCTACTTGACTGTGCACCGGGAAACATGCAAAATGTCTTACATTCTCACCAAGTCGTTCGCCCAGATCGCATCTGAGGGCTTCTGTAGTCCAGCTGAGGCATCTACAGAAGAGAGCAACTCCGGAAAGCTCGAGAGTGGGACCGGTCTCGGAGAAGGAGAAGGCGCCGAAGACATCAGTAAGGACGTTGGAGACGATGAAGACTTGTCGGAGCTTGCTCAAGAGCAGAAGGGAGAGTCTAACGAGGACATTGAGAACTCAGAAGACGCAGTCAACATGGATCAGGAGGAGATGCAGGGTGAAGAAGGCGAGCGAAAAGAAGGCGACGAGCAAGACGACGAAAGCGGCTCTGAAGAGGAGGGTGATATCGATGAGGAAGTCGGCAGTGTCGATGATCTTGATGCCTCCGCGGTTGACGAGAAGATGTGGGATGGTGAACACGATGAGCAGCAAAAGGAAACAGAGACCGATCAAGGCAAGGGAGTATCTGAGTCTGACGAACAGACCGCCGCGGGCGAGCAAGAGAAAGAGAAAGAAAAGGCCCAAGAAGGCGAGCAGGGCGAAAAGGACGAGGACGCGGAGGAAGAGGAAGACGAGGAAGGAGAAGAGAAGCCTGACGAAGAAGGCGAAGCCGTGGGACGTGAGGATATGGATGTGACGGACCCTCATGCCAAGGAAGAAGAAGCACTCGACCTTCCAGACGAGATGCAACTTGACGGAGAAGAGAAGGGCGACGAAGGTGAAAGTGATGACGGTCTTGATGGTATGGACGACGACCTCCCCCCTGTGGAAGACAACGATGAACAAATGGACGGAAAAGACGCTGCGGAGGATGAGGCTATGGAAGGCGTCGAGGAACAGGAGCCCGATCAAACAGAGGAGGGCATGCCTGATGAGGAGGCAGTCGAAACTAATGAAGGTGAGGGCAATGAAGAGACGAACGAAGCTGGCGAGGAAGCCGAAGAGGAGGAGAAGGAGGACTTCCTGACCCAACACGACGAGAACGAGATGGCCGGGGAAGAAGTGGCTCCCAGTGAGGCTGTCAATGGCGGTCTCGGAGCCGATCAAGACCAGAATCAGGACAAGGGTGAATCGGGCAATGCACAGCAGGAGAGTGGCTCGACAGATCCCTCGACCGAGAAAGAGCAGAAGACCGGTGCAGCCCAAGAGGGAGAGGAGAACCAACGACACAATGATGAAGGTGGAGCGAACGATGCGAACCCTGATGATCCTCAGCTCCAAGCATTCAAAAAGCTGGGTGATGTTCTTGAGCAATGGCACCGACGCCAGAAGGAGATCATGGATGCTTCGAAACAAGAGGAGGGCGAGTCCGAGGAGCCAATGCCTCAGGACACGGATATGGCTGACGCCGACTTCGAACATCTTGCGGACCAAGACGATGTCGCTGACACCCAAGCGCTCGGACAAGCCAGTGAAGACCAGGCCAAGGCTCTCGATCAAAACAAGGGGGTCGAGTCGGATGTCAAGCCCGAAGGCAACGACGTGCTGCCGGATGTCACCGACGACGACCATCAGGACCTTCCCGACAACAAGCTGGAGGATGAGATGCAGTTGGACCAGGGTCTTCCCACTGAGTCACAGACGGCTGGAGCAATCATCCCTGGCAATGCCCACACGCAGGAACGCACCACCGACGCCGCTGGCCAACAAGAAGCAAACGATGAACTGGATGAGGTCGATGCCCATCTCGCAGCCATCCATCTCTCCTCCAATCTCCCTCCCCTGACGCCCAGGGACGAGGCTCAACGCCTCTGGTCGTTCTACGAATCGGCCACCACCGACCTGTCTCTCTCTCTGACCGAACAACTTCGCCTCATTCTCGCGCCGACGCTTGCCACTAAGCTACGGGGTGATTTCCGGACCGGAAAGCGCCTCAACATCAAGCGAATCATTCCCTACATCGCGTCCCAGTACAAGCGCGACAAGATCTGGATGCGCCGCTCCATCCCCTCCAAGCGCAACTACCAGATCATGCTTGCTGTCGACGACAGTAAATCCATGCTGGAAAGCGGAAGTGGTCAGCTTGCCTTCGAAACCCTCGCGCTTGTCGCCAAGGGTCTCAGCATGCTCGAAGCCGGAGACCTGTGCGTCCTCGGCTTCGGCAACGAAGACCACGTCCGGGTTGCGCACGAGTTTGGCAAGCCGTTCTCCTCAGAGGCCGGCACCCAAGTGTTCCAGCATTTCAGCTACCAGCAAACTGGGACCAATGTGCGGAAGCTGATCGCCGACTCCATCGCCCTCTTCCGCGAAGCCCGCTGGAAGCAGTCCCCTGGAAGTGGCAACGCTGATCTCTGGCAACTGGAACTGATTATCTCCGACGGTATCTGTGAAGACCACGAGACCATCCAACGCCTTGTGCGTCAAGCTCAAGAAGAGCGCATCATGATTGTCTTCATTATCGTCGATGCCGTCAAGGGCAGCTCCATCTTAGATCTCAGCCAAGCCAGCTTTGAGCCCGATGAGAGCGGCTCGGGTGAAATGAAGCTGAAGATGAAGAGATATCTCGAGGGATTTCCTTTCCCTTACTACCTTGTTGTCCGGGATGTGCGGGAGTTACCGGCTGTTTTGGCTACGGCGTTGAAGCAGTGGTTTGCTGAGGTTGTTGATGTATCGTCTTGATTTATGATGTAGACATGTGGTTATATGAGAAGAAAAGTTTGGATAGCTTTTTTGTTATGGTTTTGTATATAGAACTTTGATTGTGTTTAGAAAAGAATTTCAGTATCTTATTCATGATGTTCCTCCGTATGGATAGTTTTGATAGTCTCTCATGTTCAACAGCATAGACGCTGAATACCTATGTCATCCAGGCACTAGCATAATTACTCTCCCCAATGATACCTAAATTCCTTCCTTTTAACAAGAAACTATAAACACAGACAAAACTCCATTCCCATGCACCAATCACCCTTAACATACAACCCCCCTTGAAAAGGAAGAAAAATCACCAACCATACCTCGACCCCGCCTCCTTCTTATTCCTCCTCCCAGTAGCAAAACTCTCCTCCAACGCCTCACGCTGCGTACTCGCCGCATTAACCAACTGCTGCAGCGTATGCTTACCCGGCGCAATCGCCCGCACGGGGTTATGTTGCTGCGCGGCCAGATCCGTCGTGTGCAACATCTCCTGGTTCGCCGCGTACTCTCTGTCCGTATTGAAATGCAGAACACGAGACGCCGCGGAGCTGTCGGCGTCGCGACCGAAGAGTTGGCGTCGTTGCGCCTTGGAGAGGTTTAGGTCGTCGGCGATGGTGCTGAGAGTTTGGTTGCTGGATGAGGTTTGGGTTTGAGTTTGGTCTTGGAAGGTGGATTGGGGGTCTGGGGAGGGGCCGGCGGGGGATTCGTCGGCCGTGGATGTGTAGACGAGGGGTTCGTAGGTTGTGTTTTGGGATTGTGTGCTGGGAGGGAGAGTTGGGGTTGTGTCGTCCGTGGAGAGGGAGAAGAGGCTGATTTTGGGTTTTGGTGCTGGTGCTGGTGCTGCCTTCTGTGATGATTCCTCCTCCGCCTTCTTCTCGGCCGTATTCTTATCCCCCAATGATGATGAAGATGCTGATGCCGATGCCGAAGAAGCAAGCAAAGCAGCCACCTTCCTTTTCTTCTGCTGCGACGCCCGTCCCACAGACAACGGCTTAAACATCATTGGGTTTCCCTTGAGTTTCACCTCTCCCTCGGGTTTCATTTTCAGCTGCGACACTCCCCCCTCTTCCCCTTCACCCTCCTCCTTGACTCCCGATCCCCCATCCTCCCCCCTTAAACTCCCCGCCTTCGGTATCGTCTCATCCCCATCCTGCCCACCACCTAACATCCCAAACGCCTGCTCATTCCTCATCTCCCTATCCGCCTCGCGATCAAACCCCGGCGCCGCACCAGTCTTCAAACTAAAGATTTTCCTTGCCGCGGCTGCGGGCTTCTTTTCATTCCCTGTCGTGGTGGGTTTCTTGGGCGCCGGTAATAGTGCATTGAAGCCGGAGAATGCGCCGCCGCTGCCGCCGAGTTTGGGTTTCTTGCGTGGAGCGCTGTCGGCGTCGGGGGAGGGGGCGTTGGTTTCGGGTTTGAGGTCTAAAGCGATGCGGATTTTGCGGGGGTTGGAGCGGTCGACGAGGGTGGGGAATGAGGTGCTGTTGGTGGAGGTTGTGGTGGTGGGTTTTTGGGGTTGGGGTTGAGGTTGGGTTTGGGGGCGGTGGTGGTTTCGGGTTCCGAGTCTGAGGCTTCGGAGTCAGAGTAGGCGACTAGGGCCATGGTTGGTGATGGGGTAGGGTAGATTGGGTTGGTGAGTTGGTGGTGATGATGATGTGGTGGATGGTGTTGAGCTGCGGCGATGGTGATGGTGATGATAATGTTCGGAGTGATTTGCGGATGGGTTGTGATTGGGCCGATTAGTAAGCTGTGCAGGTGCATGCGTTATGCTGGAGGTGGTATGTTGCTCGAGGTCCCTCTCTGGTTTGAATCGGAAGTAATACTTAGAGATAGTACTAAGCTATGACTATGTATTTAGCTAGCTAGCTAGTTTCATATTGGTTAATAAATTGGAATGAAGAAAAGATACTACAAGCCAGTGACATCATCGCAATCAACCACTGATCAGATAAGATAAGATCAGCTTACTAACGCCACTTAAAATGTCCATAACGAACTAGGTAGGCGCATTATTCCACTCCTTCGCATCGCATCCGCCATCCACCACACTCGTTTCTCACATCCATCACGTCTGCCGCTCTACCACGCAAACTATGCGCAACTAATCACTTCCATCACCACTATCACACCAAGAGGTCTGGTCTTATCAACCTCACCTTCAAAATGACCACCAACACCACCAACACCACCAACACCACCAACACCATCCCCTCCGCTCCCCCAGATACCACCACCAAACCCAGCAGCAGCACAACCCCCCGCCCCAGCAAATTCCGCTTCAAAGACCCCCACCGAAAACGCCGCCACCACCACGACGACCACGACCATCACACCTCCTCCCGCACCCGCACCCGCACCCGACACAAACCCCGACCTCCCCATCGCCAAAAACACACCCCGCCCGTCCATCCACCTCCCCCGACCCAACCCTCTCCTCCAGCGCCGCCTTCCGCGAATCCCTCTTCGACGCGCTCGGCGACGACGAAGGCGCCGCATACTGGGAATCCGTCTACGGGCAACCAATCCACACCTACGCGGTACCTGAAATACCGAAGGGACCGAATGGGGAACTCGAGGCCATGGATGAGGAGGAGTATGCGACTTATGTGCGGACACGGATGTGGGAGCGGACTCGGGAGGGGATGGAGGCTGAGAGGGAGAGATTGAGGGGGGAGAAGAGGAGGAAGGTACGGGAGGAGAAGGCGCGAGAGGAGGAGAGGAGGAGGTTTGATTTGGCGATGGAGGAGAGTTTGAGGCGGGGGAGGGAGAGGAAGAGGAGGAGGGGGTGGGGGTTGTTTGGGAGAGGTATTGTGAAGGGTGGGGGGTTGTGGAGGGGGAATCTAAGGAGGGGGTTAAAGGGGATGGGAAGGGGAAGAGGTTCAAGGATCTGGTGTTTTGGCCGGTGGAGAGTGGGAAGAGGGCGGATTTGGGGAGGGAGGAGGTGGAGGCGTTTATAAGGGGGTGTGCGGGTGTTGTTGGGGAAGGGGATAAGGAAGGGAATGGGAATGGGAATGGGCATGGTGGTGGATTACTGGGATTGTTGAAGACGGAGAGAGTGCGGTGGCATCCGGATAAGATTCAGCAACGGTATGGAAGTTTGGGGCTTGATGAGTCGGTTATTCGCAGTGTGACAGAGGTGTTTCAGATTTTGGATCAGATGTGGAATGAGGAGAGGAAGAAGCGCGAGTGATTATGGATACCTTGTTTGCTGTGATGTCTGCGGTTGGCAGGCATTCTGGTGTTATTTGATACCCCCTCGTCTTTGATTATTTAATTCCATCTCTTCGGCAAGATGGGCTACGATCTACGGTCTACTGCTCATCGCACACCCCATGCTCATCAGGGTCGTCAACTTTTCATCGTCCACTAAGGAAACCCCATAGATACACTGACATGAACACGACACGGCTATGCAAGAAACAAACTGGAATAAATGACACTTTGTTTTCTGGTGTTTTCTCTCCACTTCAATACCTCGCCCACTAGAACCGCGAGTAGCGGGTCTTGGTACGGTAGGCAGTATAACCGGCATAAGCTCCCACAATAACAACCAGGAACAAAACAGCCTTGAACAGGAACCATCCCCAGCTGCCCTGCTTGTTACGGCGCTTGACACGACCCGAGTCCCGACCCTTGCCGCCGGACTTGGGAGGGCTACTGCTGCCACTGCCGCTGCCTCCAACGCTGTACAGGTTCTGGGCCTTGACCGAGATGATGTCGTGGTTGTCGCTCAGCTCACCCGTCTCGGCGGAGAAGCCCAGGTAGGCAACGGAGGGGATGGCAATGTTGTACTCTGGCGCGGTCAATTCGAAGCAGGGGATCCAGCTGTCCTCGGACTTGTATTGCAGGTCCAGAGTCAAAGACTTGTCCTGGAAGTAAGTCAAGCGGGCCTTGGTAGGGATCGAGGCGCCACGGAGACCGCGAGCCTATACACAGGGTTAGATCCATCAACATGCAAAGTCCACAATAACTCTGCACTCACCGAGCAACCAGCCAATTCATTGGCCTTTCCATCGTGAGCCTGGTCGTAGGTGGTCTGGCCGTCGCCCATCATGGCCATGACGTAGGGGAACGAAGTACCGGGACGGTTGTTCTTGTACGTGTCGAAGAAGATACCCAGACCCTCAAAGTTGTCCGTCGATCCAAAGACAGGACCCTGGGTCGCGCGCTGCTTGGTGAGCCACATGGCAAAGCCATCGCCGTGCAAGTTGCCGGATCCTTCGATCTTGAATTCGACCTCGATCTACAAACATCAGAACCTTGTCTTGAATGATGAGCAGCGCATCAACTGACCTCCCAGTTTGTCGCAGTCAGAGGCACGCGGGAGAAAACCCATCCCTGTTGCGACGGGCGGTCGGAGGTAAGACGGATGTATCTAAGATGCTCAGCATGAAGCTCTCACTTGACCGCAAGGCGAGAGGGGCATACTGGTCGGCGCGGATTATCGTGTCACCACCAAAATCGAACCAGCGGCTTTGGAAGTCGGAATCCAAGTAAGGCTGTAGAGACGTCAGTATGAATGCGCGAGCCGCGACTGCGACCAGTCGAGCTATTGAAGGTGACCCACCGGTGCAAGACTGTGTGTGCGAAGCTATCCCAAGACCAGTCAGCAACCATACCAGTACCCTACAGCAGCAGCATACACACCGGAATGCTCTTGATGTTGTCATCGCCGTCGTAGGCGCGGGCCACAGGCACGCTGGCCAAGCCAGCCAGGCATAGAAGGGACGAAAGTCGCGGAAGTAGCATGGTGATCGAATATCTAGTGCACACTGCAAGAGTTCCGTTGAGGTTTCGAGACGAGCAAGCGTTAAAGAAGGTAGATGTCCAGGGAGTTGAAAGATCGACTGCAGCTAATCAAAGCAAGGCGCTCTCCAGGTAGATCGGCGTTATAGTCAATTGTCACCGGGACATCAACAAAACCAAGGGTTCACCTCGCAGAGGACGAGGAAGGATGAGCGGTCAATTGAGAAAGAGATAAATCCGGGAAAGAGGCGGAGGAGAAGAAAGAACGAACACCGGTAGGGAAGGGGGGGGGGGACAGATCAGAGATCGACACAAGTATAGTAGCAGCAAATGGGTGAAGACCAAACTCCAAGTGTCCACATCGCCGGCCGTGGCGCAGCAACGCACTTCCGCCCGCACCAGCCACACCTCCGTCGGAGCTCCAAAGTCAAAAGTTCCTGTCGCTTCTTCGTCGGCCTTATTCCCAGCAACTACTACCGTTCATTCCCTGTTTTTTCATTCCTCGAACCCCCGTCACTCACCATGTCTTTCTTCGGCTCTGGCTCTGGCTCTGACCCCTCCAGCAAGGAGGTCAAGGACGCCCTCGTCAAGCAGGTCCAGGCTGAGTCCGCCATGGCCAATGCCCGGAGCCTCATCACTGTACGTTGAGCAACAGCTCTCTGCAAACCCCCCCCCCGGTTGAGCCGGCGCTAAACCCTCCCTCAGAAAGTGAACGAAAACTGCTTCTCCAAGTGCATTCCCACTCCCGGTGCGTCCCTGTCGGCCGGCGAGCAAACCTGCCTGACCGACTGCATGGAAAAGTACATTGCCTTCTGGAACGAGGTCAGCCGCACCCACCACAACCGCATGGGTCTGGAATCAAAGAGATTGTCTCTGTAATCGTCCTCGCCGGTCCGGTTTTCCTACCGAGAGGAGATGGCGCCTCCCCCGTTCATGCGGCCTCTCACCCTCCATCGGTTTGGCCCTGTTTGATCTAGATTCGCCTTTCTGCTATATGTCTTATCATGCATCAATGGTCCTAGCTGGGAAGATCTATATGTATATTACAAACTGTTGTGGTTTTGGGCATCCGGTGGCTCCTTGCGGGGACAGGATGGAATAAATCCGAAAAGGCAACAGTGGCACTGGTCAGGCGGAACCAGCGGCCATGTGTGCATTCTGCTCCATTCGGAGGCCAGAGACGTCCGCTGATCCAAGACTACTTTTATTGCAATGACCAAATTCAAATATGTACATTATACAGTTGCCTCCAAGGGGAAAGGGAAAGAAAGATAATATCAAGTGACCCAGAATAGCTCCCCAATATTTGCACAATATAACTATGGAATAGCAGGAGATAGAAAGAATTGGGTGCAGCTGGAGCCCATCCACCAGTCAACAGCGGAACGGTCGGCATAACACTGAACCCCCGACACTTCCAGCACGAACACCACCGCAAACACCCTCCTGCCTGGCCAAAAGCGAGGAAATATAGACAATTATGCCCACCCAGACGGAAGCCCCGGTGATCCGAGTCGGGTCATCTCACTCGTTAGATCCCCCGGAGCTGGTATATGGATAAGCCTATATGCAGACCGCCAACAGTTGGGAAACGGGAAATAAAGCAGATGGAACCATAGCCTACTTCGAAGCAAAGATAACGAAGGGCCTACGCCAAGAACAACAGAGCTCTTCCGATGTATGCTCTAAGTCAAAGGCAGCCAAGAGTGAAGTCGGCCAGCGATCAAATAAGAGAGACGAACCGACGTATAGGGGAACATAAAGAATGGTGTGTGAATGGTCGGCTACTAGTAGCATAGGGAAGAATGAACTAGAGGATGTTCCCTATAACCAAAACTCGCAAGGTGATCAATCCATCCGATGCGGATGAGACGATCCCGTCTCTATAGTGAGACAATCATTCCATCATAACTCATAGCAGGCACTAAAAGTCGGGGAACAAATGGCCATGTCTGCGTTGGTAGGAGCATCGGTCAGCAACGTCATCCACTTATGCAGGTATCAGAAAAAAGGGCACATACGGGTCTTCACCGGCCATGCCGTATTGTTCGGTTTCCTCCGGATAGCGGTCGTACTGACTCGCATCTCCCTGTCCTCCCCGGATGGGGGGCACATAGGGAGCGTCGATATCCTTCCGGGCCAGGCGATCCCAGGTGACTTCTGCAAACCAAGGATGGTTCTTGACATCATCAGACCCGCCATGAAGATTACCAAGGCGCTTAGTCAGGTCTGATGTGATAAGTTGCGACAGCAGATCAACGGCATCAGGGTGCAGGTAGGGCGGGTACTTCACCCTGCCACGCAGGATATTCTCGTAGATCTTGACTGGGGAGCCACTGTCCCAGAATGGCGTAAAGCCACACAGCATCTCGAAGATTAAGATACCCAGTGACCACCTGCGATGTTGTCAGTAAGATCATCTGGCTCACCTCATGCGCCAATCGTAGCAATCCTTACCAGTCGACCGATTTATTATAGCCCTTGGAGGAAACCACCTCCGGAGCGAGGTAATCCGGAGTACCGCAGAGGGTCCATGTAATGTCAGGGACTTCCTTGGCAAAACCGAAATCAGTGATCTTCAAATGGCCGTGTCGGTCCAGCAGCAAGTTCTCGGGCTTGAGATCACGGTAGATAATCTGCTGCTGGTGGAGGTACTCGAGTGCGAGAGTGACTTCCGCGGCATAGAACTTGGCGACAGGGTTGGGGAACCGCTACATGAGAGCCCACGGCGTCAGTGTTATAGTAGTCAGGAGGGCAAAGAGGTCACCCACCTGCGATTTGCGGAGTAGACTGAAGAGTTCACCACCCTCGACGAAGTCCATGACCATGTACAGGTTCCGGGAATCCTGCCATGTGCCCCACAACGTGATTAGAAAAGGATGCCGGACGCGATTCAGCATGCGTCGCTCATCGTTGGTGTGCTCGATCTGCTTCATCTTGACCACCTGCGCCTTCTTTAGCACCTTGACCGCGTAGAAGCGGTGGTTGTGCTTCGACTGCACCAAGTGCACCCGGCCGAAACTACCGGTACCGAGAGTGCGCTGGAGGGAGAAGTCATCCAAGGAATACTTCCCCTTGGTGGTGCGGGATTCACTGCGGCTGGATTGTTGAGCCTGCGCATGGCCAGTGGAACCGGAATGCATTGCGCCTTGCTGTGATGGGTGGATTATATTCTGTATACTGGCCGCATTGGAATTGGGATGAGCAGACGGTGATGCTTGCGTCACAGCGGATTGCATGGAGGCTACTTGACCCTCGCTGGTTTTCTCTGCTCCGGAAGACCGGTGGGCTTGTTGAGGAACCGAATTTTGAGGTTGAGGTGCGGAGTTGGATGGGGTACCGGAATTGGTGGCAGGTTGATGGTGATGGTGGTGGTGGTGAAAGAGGTGGTGGTGGTGGTTCTGGTTGTGGTGGTCTTCGGCAGCGTTTGGTGACGTCTGCGTCTGGGCCGAACCGGCTTCAAGCTCTTTGGAGAGGGTCTGCGAATCTTTCGTTCGCCGTTTTTTCAACAGGCCTCCTAAACTAGGCATCGAGGCCACGGCTCTGGGTTGAATTAGGAATGGGAAAACCACAGAGCACACGGAGGTGTCCAGGCGGGAAAATGCGGGTGGAGGAAGGGCAGCTCGACCCCTCTTTAAGAGTGCTCCTAGAGAGGGGAGAGCAACAAGAGGGAGGGAGAGCGGCGAGCTTTTTCTCTTGGGACGGTTCGGGCGCGGATACAGCGGAGCCACCAAACAGAACACTGGTCCCGAACGGCGGTCAACGGAAACTCAATTGAACAGAGGGACACAAGTGATGATGTCCGGATGGAGTGCAAGTGTGTGAACGCGTGACGGGGAGGACACGCGGGGGGGCGGTTCTTGGGTAAAGTGTGGTTCGGTATGGCTGGTGTGCGGGATGGATGGAGGAGGAGGGGGGGTGTGGTTAGGCAGGAGCAGGAGGAGAGGGAGGAGGAGACAGAACAGCTTCAGCACTGCACGGTGGTAGTATTATTATTATTATTATTATTTGGGGGGGGGGGGTGGAAAAGGGAAGCAAAGGAGGAGGCGGGGTTGGATTGGCGTCCATCCGCATCGATTGGGCTTAGCGGAGTCGCCTGCTCAGCTGCCTCACCATCTCCTAGGTACTTACTCTCTATCTATCGATCATCATTCTTCCCCATATCTACGATATACTCTATACAAATCTGTGGACGAGATCTCGCGATCGACATTATTCATCGGCTCTATCCAACTTGCGACCGCGCCGGATGGAACAATCCTTCCCTAGGGTAGGATCGTCTCGACTGAGTTCTGGGAGCGGTCGGAGTCGAAGCTATCGCCAACAACCACCAAGCGACTCCACCTCAACGCTAAAACATACTTTGTCTGGGCCGGTGTTTCCCACACAATGAGGGAAAACCCAGCAGGTGCTGCCCCGATATCCAAGATCATCATGACATTCGGAACCGGCCTCGATATGCAGTCAATGATCCAAATCCACCGGGCTCCAGCCGATCTCAACCTGCTCCGGCGCGCGATCCATGGACCCTGGGTGTCATTATCATCATCATTCTTATCGAGATCCAGTTCCGGTTCTCCTCGCCCCGATGAGGTCATCACCACCCGTTCCCAGAAGAGGCTGACTCCGATCCCGACACCCCTACCGAGCTAGTTCGTCTAGCGAGTAGCTTACTTGGTGGTATACCGAAGAACGTGTCCTGCACGCTTCCCTCATTTCCTGGAGAACCCGCACATATGTTGGGCAGATGACAGATGGCAGACGCATAGCTCCCTTGTGCTACTGCCCCGACCCGTTGAGAACAAGCGCCCCGAGCGAGGAAATATGCAGAGACGGAGAGAGGCCTCGAGCTGCGCGGTGACTTCATCACCGCCGGTGGATCGGTGGAACGCCCCGCTTCGGGGATTTCGCTCTCCCTCAGGCCTATCAGCTGCCGGGCGGCGACAAATCCCCGTCCACCTCCATCCTGGTTGGCTAGTTACTCTGGGTCCCTCTCGACCGCTTGCATCAAGCATTATTATTATTCTGTCGGTGTCGGGGGCTCGATACCCAAGTCGCTGCTTTTCTCGTTGCCTACCTTCCTACACACTCCGACTTCTTGAAGGCACACTTCCCGCTCCCTGAAAAGACGGTTCCAATTGTTAAAATGTAGCCTGGCTCCATGCTGATTCGAACCTCAAATCCAACCGAGAAAAAAAAAAGGCTCCTATGTACTCCTACCTAGCAAAGATCGCAACGCCGCCGCCTGCCTTGCGGAAGGGTCCCTCCGCCCGTGTCGTAACAGCAATAAGAATACGATGCTGAGCCTAGATGCGATAATGGGCCATGTTCTTCTTGATCTCGTCCACAATTTCCACCGCCTCGAGAGCATTCCGTGCCTCGAAGTCATACCGTTTCTGCTCGTTGGCTTCGTTGCCGCGCAGGACTACCACCCGGAAGTTCTTCGGGTGTCGCCGGCTCACTTTGCACCCAACGACATCACTGAAGCTGATCGACCGCGTCTTTGTGTCCGAGGCCGTTTTGCCCGTGTCCGCCGGCATGATATGCATATAGTCGTTGTCAAACGTCAAAATCCGATGGTTGGAGGCCGTGAATGACATGGATTGTTTACGCCAGACGTAGTACCGCCGATAATACCCGCCAGTGAGATCCTGCTTCTGAGTGAGTGGATGCAGCATGCGCTGTCCGCTCTTCTTCCCCTTCTTGCTAGGCGCGCTGTTGCTGTCAATGAGGAGCGGCGCATTCGGGGATGAGCTGCCGGGAGAGCCCGTCAGCGACTGCGGCCCGAAACGCCGGCGCACCAGGTCGAGCTCCGTAATGTTGCCCAACGCCTCCACGGTCCGGTCCAACGGCGCGATCGTGTTGGACCCCATAACTTTGAGTAGATAGTTTCCCTTGTCCAGACCCCATCGCTTGCACACGGAATCCAGGATCTCGGCGATGTAGCTGTCGGTAGACGTGTTGAGGGTGGTCACCTGGGTGGAGGCTTCCACATTGATGAACCGGATCTTCAGCGTTTTCGAAACGCCCAATCGAGGAGTCGCATGGGACGTGGGCACGGCAGGTCGATCAGCGGGCGTAAGTGTGTTGTCGTTCAGCGCTGAAGAGAATGGTTGTCCCAAAATGGGATTCTGACGAGGTGCCTTGTTTGGCGGAACAGGCTGACTTGTCGGGGCCGTCGTTGTCGTAGCAGCCTCTCCACTGTCATCTGGGGGAGGGGCCAGACTGAACATAGGAAATAGTCGCTCGTTGTCTTCAAATTCCGCCTTCGATGCTTCCACAAGCGCGAACTCATCATACTGCTTTCCTCTGGTTCGACGACCAGCGGCCCGATTGTTATTCGAAGTAAAATCAGCTATAGGCGACGTTCGACCCAGCGCAGGAAAATCATATTCGACTTCACCATCTTCCACCATCCGAAGCGTCCACATGTTCACAGTGAGCTTGCTGCGCTCGACAGCCGGTTCACGGCCTTCTTCCGTGTATCGCCAGAGGGCTAGGCCGATAGCTTCAACAACAGTTACTGGCGCTGGTTGCTCGGCAAGTTTTGACTCGCGGGTGATTGGCAGATCAAGTGGCTCGTCAGGGTCGGCGGAGAAAGGCAGATAGAGTTTAATGTTCAGGACATCATTCAAGCCCTTGCCTGATAACACCGCAAATTTTTCGGCAGGGTTGGTCGGCGCTTTCTTGCGCGCGTTAAGCGCCTTCGAGAGCAAACTTACCGGCTGAACAGTACTGATCGGCCGTGGAGGAGGAAGATCTTGTAATTCTGGCGCTGGGACCTTTGGCTTCCTTGGAGATGCAGTCTGCGAGCTCGTGCCATTCTGTAACTTATGCATCAGAGCAATTGGCGACGATGAATCCAAGCTACCAGTAATCCCAACTCCTGCCAGAAGCGACGCAGAACCCGCTGTTGCGTCAAATTCAGATGAGAGGGCCGAGCCGACGGACTCAGCGCCCGAGTCTTCGGCCTGCTCATTGAGCTCTTCAAGGTCCCGAGGGCCTGGGGGCCCATGCCTCTTTCTCGTAGGCTCTATCACCTGGTCGTGGCCAGAGAACTGAATTTGGCGCCTCTTGAAGGCTGATGCATCCAAGTCATTGTCCGAAGATATGTCACTGCTCACAGTGGTCGTTGTATCTCGTCGCGGCCGCTCGTTTATGCTGCTGACGGCAGTTCCTAGCGAGCCAGTACGGTAATGGGTACCGATTGTGGGATGTGACGGGGAAGTCACCATGACCTGCGGACTTTCCTGGCGGTCTGATGAGCGTATGGGAGATGATCCGGCTCTTGTCCGTATTGGCATTTTCATGAACTTGATCTGATTTGCAGCACTGCGGTATGTGAGCATGGGACTTTGTGCAAGGGTTCTCTCAGTCCCTTGACTCATTTAACTCACCTTCGAGCACTGTCTCCGTCATCGTCGCTCTCATCACTCAAGTCACTGCTGTCATCTTCCTCTGCTTCTCGGTGTTTCTGGTGATCGTGCTGCTGTCTTTCCCTTCGATGGACTCGTTTCCCGCGGTTTCGACGCCCAATCAACTCCGTGTTGGTCTTCCCGGTTACCATCCCGCCTTCGTCGTCGTCGGCATCATCCCCGAGTCCGAGTCTCTGCGCATCGCTAGCGTCTCGGGCCACGCCTAGTTGATAATACTCCGAGGCAACGGCAGTTGTCGTGGGAATCGGAGGAGAATAAGTACGCTTGATGTGGGCTGCAGCGCTCTGCGTATTTGGGTTCGTAGAAGCCGAAGACCAGCCAGCCGCGCGGAATCCTGGCGTATTGAGTACGGTGTTGTTCACGTTTATAAGCCTATCGCCTATGCCGTCCTTGATCGTAGACAGATAGGAGGTGCGCAACTGCCAAATCGTAAAACTGGAATTCATTTAGTTGTCGATCCAACACCAGACGGCGCGATCACCGGAGAAGATGAGGGGAACGCGAGGGGCGCGACTTGGGACATACTCTTCATTGTGAAGGAGAGACATCTTCGCAACTGCGGCCAGACCAGAGGTATGTATAAGAAATATAGTGAGACTAGTCGCGACCAAGAATAAGGACCATTTACGCCAGGAGAAGCGATACCGCTATCGGGGTTCGAGTGGGCATGATCTCCGGCCGGTGCAACAAGTGGAATAGATAGATGCGCTGCACTCGAGCGGGCAGCCAAGTAGGAAAAGAGAGTGGGCGCGGATGCCAGGACCAGCCTGTGGTAAGAAATGAGGGATAAGCAGCAACGTACGAAGAAGAAGAAGACGTCCTGCGGCGACGAGGTTGTGGGGATGGAAAGCAAGCAGGCTCAGGCGTCGCGGGAGAAGAGGAGAACCCGTGGCCGATCTCCGCACCGCCGCCATTTCCCGCCCCGACGCTTAGTTAAGGAACTATGCATATGCCCAGTGGATCATCTTTGTCCCTGGTCGAGTGTGTGCCAGCCAAACAAACTACTATCTAGTACTGATGCGGAATGGGTCGCTGGGCGTTCCATCCGGTGGCGTTTGATTTACGAAGCGTGAAGCTGACTCTGAGGCGAGATGCGGGGTATGTACAGAGTCAAAACAGCACACTATCCATCGAAGATTACATTGACAAGGGCCAGCTTCGGATTCTCTTAAACTGCTGGGAAAATAAAAACACCTCTTACAGGTAAAGGTATAAAAACAGACCCAGCAGTCCTCCCAATCCTCTAGCCAACTGATCACTGGTGCAGCTCAGGATAAATCGCGGCACAGGAAAATATCATCCTCCATTGGAAATGGTAACATCACTAGTCCGCTCATCATATAATACATGGACATGATTAGAAGTACTGAACCCTGTCCCTCTCGCGTTGGGGAATCACTTCGCCTTGGGCTTTCGCCCTCGGCCCTTCTTCGGTTTCTCCTCTTCGTCGTCAATAAAATCATCGTTGGCTGCTGCTATCTTCGTCTTCTTCCCTTTGCCAGCGCCGCCCTTCGCGGCAGGTTTCTTGGGCACGCGAACATACTTATCCTTCTTCAAATCAAGCTCTTCTTCGCTCTCATCATTGTTCTTCGACTCGTCTTCGAGGACCTCTTCCTCATCCGATTCCTCAATGGCATCTTCAAGGTCGGGCTTCTCCTTCGGCATTTTCTTCGGAACAGCGACACTGCTAGCCTTGATGAAGGGAAGGGGGTGAGAGCGCTGATTGTAGATCCGCGTGAAGGCTGCTTTGGTCTGTGTTTGCAGCTTGACATTGGATTCATCCATAGGACCCAGCCCAAGCTCCACTAGAGCGTCCCAGTCCTCTCGCGTAAGGAAATAACTGTCCATAAAATCAATAACATCGTCGACGCTATCCTTGCCCTCGACCATTAACCGGCGGACTACCCGGTCCCAGAGGAGCGGCATATACTGTTGTCGGATTTCATCCCGGTCTCCAGACGCACGAAGACGCATGTGGCCCTGGATTTCTTTGGTATAACGCCAAAGCTTGCCTGTCAAAAGGGTTAATGAGGTGCAGGGTAGCTATCAACCAGGGGCACATACCTTGTTTACTGTTCTGCCCCAGCCAACTAGTGAATCCGGGCCGTTCCATCATGTTGCCGTACGCAAAGCTCGCCGGCCGGACAAAACTGAAGACGGCATGAGTAGGCATCAGACTCCATTGCTGCTGGGATCCATGGATCATTCTGTCAACAAGATCACCATCGCTAATGCTCGAAGCCGCATTGTCAGCAAGTTCGAGCTGCTTCAGCTTTTGTTCTCGGCCCTGATACCCGCCAGCTAGAACCGGTTTCGTTTTCAGATAGTTCTCCTGGAGCATCAAAGGACTGAACTCGTGATCATTGAAGTAGAGCTCGATCTTTTCATTCAGAGTAGACTTTGAGCTCGGCGAAAACATTTGTGCACTGAGGATCTTGCCAACGATATCCCACGGCTTTAGGATGATGTGCTTCTCCCATGCTTTGGACATTTCCCGTCCCTTTTCGAAGTTCAGGTTCGTCTGGTCCAATTTCACAGTCGAGAGCATATTGATCACTTGTCGAATATCAGCATTCGTGCCTTCGATTAGGCTGTCCAGAACCTGGGGTGGGATCTTCAAGCCCTCGCGGAAGCAGATTGTCGAAAGTCTGGCCCTGATCTGCTCGGCTGTCGGTCGTCTGAACGGAAGTTCAAATGAGACATGATCGAATGGCTTCATTTTCGGAAGCCTCCGCTCGTTACATATCAGGATCAGCGGGATATGAGTCTTTTTGGCGATTGCTGCTAAAGCGCCTACGCCACCTCTATCACCAGCAGACATTCCGTCAACTTCGTCCATGATGAGAATCAGATTTTTCTTCTCGCTCTCAACCTTCTTGCCGACGCCCGAGAAATAACCTTGAAGGGACGTTGTGTCCAGAACACCAAGAAGGCCGTTTTCCACGAGCTTCTTGCTTCTGGTGTCACTTGCATTTGTCTCAACGACATCGTACCCTTCTAGCTTTGCCACCAAGTGCGCTGCAGTGGTCTTGCCGATCCCAGGAGGCCCGTGGATCATGACAGACCGATAGATTCCTGACCCATCTTTTCCTGGCTTGTTAAAGTTCGCTTTAGCATTTTTGTGCCAGTCGCGGAGCCAGTTCTGTAGCTTCTCGACAATACCTTTGTTGCCGCAAATCATATTAAGCGAGGTCGGCGCATATTTGGTGGTCCATAAACGATCATCAACCTTCGCGCTTTGAGAACTAGGCGGTTGAGAACCTGACGGTGGTTGAGACCCCGAAGTGATATTGTTACGTGTGGCTGCCGCCTTGCGTTTCTCCTCGCGGTCAATCTCAGCTGCCATGGCTCGAATCTTTTCCTCCTCCACTTTTTTCTTCGCTTCATGTTGCTCTGCTGCCTTTCCATCTCCGCCATTGGCTGGAAGTCGCCGGATGAGCTCGAATAGGCCCTCTTCATTAATCGTCTTCAGCTTATGCTGCTTGATCGTTGCAAGTTTTCTAGGCCCAGCGTCTGCTCCCAGAACTACATAGCTAGTCTTTGAACTAGGGGCTCCGATAACTTTGCCTCCATATTTCTTCACCAATATTTGCCCCTCGTCACGGCCGAGCGTGTCCAGGACGCCAGTAAAGACGAAAGAAAGTCCTGCAAGACAATTCTCTGCTCCCACTGGCATTTCAGCGCTTCCAGTTGCAGGGCCGGTCGAGCGCTGTGCTTGAGCAGCGAAATTGAACTTTTTCTTTTCACCAGTGTCTGGCGGAGGCGAGGGCGGCCTGATTGTTGGAATGCTGTCGAATATGTCCTGTATCTCCTTGCTTTCGGTTCGATCGACTTTGGCAGATGCCCTTGGTTTCTTGGGGGTACGAGGAGCAGCCTTTGCCTGCGTGCCCTTCTTGGGACTGCTCTTTGATTCCTGATCCTCATCCTTTTCGAGAACTTCGGATTTCCGCTTCCGCGCTGGTTGAGAGGTGGCGGACTTGGTGGCTCTGGAAGGTCGTTTAGGCAAATCTTCCATGACCACGTCGTCATCGGAATCGGCAACAGGTGCCTGTTTCTTACGCCCCGGTCCCCCGGAGGCGGCACTGGCTGGCTTTACCGCAAGTTCCTCGAAGTCGCTATCACCGTCCTTGTCCTCTTCTTCAACATAATCATCATCACCTTTGCCCGGCTTCTTGTACTCTGTCGCAAAGATGTCATCGTCGCCAAGTTTTTCGTCTTCGACAATAGCTGTGGCCTTTCTGGTGGACGCACGTTGGGGTCTTCTCACGGGTTGCTCGGTGACTGTAGGCTTTTTCGGTTTTGGAGAAGGCTTCGCATCAGTATCGTCGGCGGGAGCGGGCTGGGGTTGCTTGGGTTCTTTGGGAGGTCTGCCCCTCTTCTTGCTGGAAGCAAAGTAGTCCGAAGTAGACGTCGGTTCACCTTTCGATGCCTCTGGCTTTCTGAGAAGCTGTAGTTAGCAAATGACTGCTGGTGAAAAGATCTCAGAGTAGACGTACGGCTTGCTCGGGACCTTTACTTTTGGGCTTGCGGCCTTGGTCGCGACAACTTCCTCATCGTCACTATCATCCACCACCTTTCTGGTCCCTGCACGCTCAAGATCAGTAAAACAGCGCAAATCCAAGTAGAGGACCAGTTGCCATACGCTTCTTCCTCGTGGCAGGCTCCTATGAATGGTACGATGTCAGTAAGTAGAGCGGCGACTGAGAAGAGCATTGGATGCTCATGCGCAACGGGACCACCAACATACCTCCTTCTTTGCGACGGGTTTCGCGGGAGATGCGTTGGAGCCTTGACTAGACTTCCCACCAAAAAAGCTCCGAATATCAGTAGGCATGGCGATGGATACTTAGCAGAGCATGCTCCGGAACGCAAAGGCTTTGTGTGGGATATATAATTGAGTGGACAAGCCCGCACCCACGCACTCCGGACTTATCTACAGGCAGCCAGACGGAGAAACACGACGCGCTTGCCTGGAGCTCCGATGCGATACGTGATTAATTGGCTTACCTAAGGACGCCCGCGTGTGGCACGTGCACGGCACTTGCTTCCCTTTCGGGAAGTGGAATCGGACCTGCAGAGACGCCGATGGCCTGAAAGTCTGCGGTCCATCCCATCGTCGCTCCGTCCAGACCCCCCAAGGCCCGATTGTCACCATTCGCAATGGGTCCGCAGCTGAAGATGTTCTCGGGCCCTCAGATGGCCTTCATCCGGCCCTCCTGTGAGAATCCCGCTCTCCTCTCCGAGAAAACTTTTTTATGTCCTGACCCCAATGCCATACAGTAGGTCTGTCGACGCCTTTCACGGCCCTCCCCCTCTACCGATGCTTCTCGACGACCTCGCCTGCCCTTGATTGGCTTACCCCCAAGTACGCCGAGAGATCCAAGTCCCCCAAGGGTCGTCCCCATGTCGCGACTGGTGGCTCGTCCCGCGGTACCACTGTCGTCTGGGGTGAATATGGCTTGCGGATGAAGGACCACGACCGCCGGTTGCCGGCCTCATCGCTGAAAATCGCCGAGGATACCATCAAGAGACGTCTGAGGGGTATGAACTATACCCTGTACAAGCGAGTGAGCGCCAACATCGGTGTCTACACCAAGGGTAACGAACAGCGTATGGGTAAGGGTAAGGGTAAGTTCGACTACTGGACGGCCAAGGTTGGTGTGAGCAGAATCGTCTTTGAGCTTAGGGGTGATCTGCACGAGAAGATCGCAAGGGAGGCCTTCCGTCTGGCCGGTCACAAGCTGCCTGGTACGTTCCACTTAAAGTGACATTTCCAATATCAACATACGATATTAACTATACAATTTCACCAGGCCTCTGGGAATTCGTGAAGAAGGGCGAACCGCCAGTGGTCGGTCTGACGAAACTCGGCAATGGAGTGACTCTGGAAAGCCTCAAACGCGCACGCAGAAGCCCAGCCCTTGGTACACAGAATCTACCAAACCCCCCGACCTCGACCTCATCCAGTCCCCCTGCTTCCCAATAAATCAAGCGCGCTCCTCCGTTTCAACCCCATCAATCATGTCCATTACCCCCCGGGTTCGGTTCCATTCACACATCGTGACGTCTAAGCCCCGACGCCCGAACCAGGTCCATACCCTTGTTCTCTCCTGATTCTTGCCGCTAGCGCTGCCCCTTCCTCCGGGGTTTTGGGCTTCAGGTCTTGTGTATATTATCATCAGCTTTAGAGACTCTGTTTATTTCCGCTTTATCGCAGGTGTCGATGTCTTCATATGTCATATGCGGAGTTAGGAAAACGAATATATCAAACTGTACCTTACCTTTATCCACAATCCCAGACAACCCCGAAGTAGCCTCCCCTTTCTCAAGTTGTCGTGCTAGGGGCGTATCCCTAAACCGATTCTCGTTTTCTTCTTCATCCCCTTCATCTCCCAACGTCGTCCTCATCTCACTCACTGTATGTTGCGATTGACCTAACCGCATCAGCCCAGCTCCAATCCATCCAATCAAACCCGACAAATCAAACATGAATACAAACATAAATAAAAATAATACATACCACCCAACTGCCCCGTCTGCTTCTCCGGCGTCTCCGTAAACAATCGAATCGACTCATACCTACCAACACCATCCAATTAGCCCAGTATATTCCCCACCTTATTTAGCAACCCAATAAACAAATGAAAAATAAAAGAATAGGAAAGAGAACATACGGGGTACTCTCACCACCCGGCTCAATGTCCATGAGATTGCGGTCAGACATGACGCGATATATGTGTGTGTATGTATGTATGTACGGACAGAAAATATGTTCTTGGGTAGTTGATATGTTACAATAGGATCTGAAGTGTTTGAGAAATGGGAATAGGGAATTGGGGAAGAAATGGATGGAACTGGTGGTGGTGGTGGTGGTGGTGGACCAAGGTATGACGTAGTCTAGGGAACCGCACCTACCAAGGTTCTGGCGACGTCAACCGTAGGTGTGTGTGTTCCTGGCTGTTTTGTGGATAGTGTAGTGGTTGGTTCTGGGGATGGATACGAGGTGTGATGGTGTTTGGGGTTGGGTTTGTTATTGGGTATTTAATGGAAACTGCTGGGTTGGGGGGTAGGGTTTCTGAGATGTTGGTAAGGTGGGTAGGTAGATATGGTTTACTGAAGAGCTAGTTCGGCTACAGTCGCAAAGAATGTCTAGTCTCCCGGTAGTGTACAGTTTTAAGTCATTAGGGATCGTTGGGTATTAGATAGTAGTTTCGTGATTTAGAATTCCATGCCCATCAGATAACTGTGAGGGGTCAGTGATGGGGTCTTGGGATTGACTGTTGGGGGATAGGCGAACCTTTCATAGATGCGCATGAACTTGGCAACGAATGCTTCGAGGTGGAAGATTACTTTCTGCAGAGAATGTTAGTGACTTGTATTGGAAGGCTTGTGGTGAGGGAAAAGCTCTTACGCTGCCTTGCGTTATTCTATGCTCATAGAACGCCGACCATCTGATGACATCGGGTTTGAGAGCGTCATCAACCTTCGTGATGAGCTTGAATGTCAGAGTCTGTGAGATTATTAGCTTTGCTGTCGCTTCTCGTCGGATTGAGGTTTATCGGACCTTGAGGATAGTTGTAGGCGGTATGCAATGTGTCAAAAGATCATATAACCGTGCGCGGACTTGCAACAGGCGAGCTGGTGACCGTTCTGCTAGGATGTCTTCGGCCGTCACTGCAATCAGGGCTTCCCAGTCGGGGGGTGGAATTGGCGTGTTATCCGTAACTTTCTCACTACAGTCAAGTAATGTAAGCATCCGCACGCAAACGCAGTCAAGGTTCATCTTACTTCTGAGCGTAAATGGCCTCGAACATAAGAAGGGCGCGGCGAAGATTGCGCCCACTCTCCCTGGCTATCCTCTGATTCAACCCACTCGCCTCCGGCCAGCCCTCCTTCTTACCGGCGGACTTGAGAACGGAGCAAATATCCTCTTCACTCGGTGCAGCAACCCTGACCAGCAGGGTACGGGATCGGATCGGAGCAATGATATTCGAGGTACTATTCGCCAACAGGATCAACCTCAAGTTCGGACTGTACTTCTCCATAGTCCGTCTCAGCGCTGCCTGAGCATCACGAGTCAGATGATCGGCCTCGTTGATCACGACGACCTTGAAGCGCTGTTTCGCCGCAAGGTCAACCTGCTGAGTCTGCGCAATCTCCTTCAGCAGCTCTTGAACGACCACACGGTCATAATTGCCAACATCTGATGGGGTGATCTCCAAATGATAGACCGAAGACACTATGTTGAACTCAAGCTTCCGGTTGCTTGTTGTTTGGAAAACTCTAGCATCGATCTTGATCTTTTCAACTCCGGATCCGTACAATTCTTTGAGCGTCGCGATTGTGCGTGTTTTCTTGCCGGCACCCGAGGGGCCGTACATAAGCAGATGAGGAAAGTCGCCGCTTTGCGCCTAAAGCATACAAATGTTCGTGAGAAATGTGCCCCGGTAGATATGTGTTTGATCTGCCTCACCAATGATTTCAATCGCGCAGAAAGCTCGGGGTGGTATGAGAGAGCATCAAGCGAGCGAGGCCGCAACTTGTCGACTAGCAAGGCCATTTTGGCGGTTGGATGTGCAGTTTGAGGGGTTCCAAGTCTCTTCTCAGAAGTATGCTTTGCCTTCAGACCCGATCGATAGCATAGCTTCGACCGCAGACGCGTCGGCGTGACGCGCGAGCTTAATTGATGGCCCGTGCGCCATGCTGACTGTGCAGCCCAGTTTAACCAATCAGGTTTCATCGCATTTCATCGCAGATCTACAGCTCGAGATGGTCCAGCAGCCAGGAATTAACATATAAATGTAAATAACTAGATTCTCATATTCTGGCATGCTTTGTTGGGAAACTATTCAAACGCCTAGATAATATACATAGAATTGTAATCCCCCCATTCCATACAAAGCCTCTATATGTACATGCTCTATCTATGATACAAAAAAGGCCAGCGGAGCGCTTGAGGCCATCTGATTGAGCATATTACCATGCTCAATCACTTGGAGAGGAGAAAGGACTTTCGATACTACTCGAGAAGTCGCACAAAAGCGAGACAGGTCTCTGAGACGGTTCGCTCGATATCACGTACCCAGGGGAATACTGGGTTTATAGTTTCCGGGAAACATTTCATTTCGGCCTCGGTGTGCGTCATAAGGGGTTCGGTTGCTTGATTCCTGGTAAGCGGTATAAAGCGATCAATTACGCCATTAGTTGGATGGCAATGGCTTCAGAACACCGTTGTCGTCATATCGCGCCTCTGTTTCGCATTAGCAACTACGGAGCACTTCAATTGTATATCTGGGAGGACTCTTACTGAAGAATGTGTACGAGAGCGTAATCGTGTCAATGCCCTTCATTGCCGGGTCCTTGGCGAAGTCAGGATCAATAAAGAAGAAGACCGGCATGTCAACCGATTCCCCAGCATTCAGCTTCTGCTCGTCGAAGCAGAAGCATTGGATCTTGCTGAAGTATGGAGCAACTTGTCCGGGGGTGACACTGTATGTTGCTACACCAATGATATCCGTCGGGCCCTTGTTCGTCGCTGTAAAGAACGCAAGCGCCGTCTCGCCGGGTAGAACGCGAACTTCACGTTGCTGCGGTGTAAATTTCCAGGGTAGAACGTCCGAAACCGATCCATTGAAAGTAATTCTCAGTCGACGAGAGTCAGTGACCGGGGTTACGCGCGATGCGGTATCGCCATCTCCTTTCTGGTGGGTGGCCACCGGTTGACCGTTCCAGCCGGTTTGTTGACAGATCTATAGAAGTCATGCCGTCAGCTTCTGTTGCCAACTAGTGTTCAAGGCAGGTTAGACGAACCATTTTATACAGAGGGACGGAGCCATAGGCGAGGGCAACAGTTCCGAGAATAAGACTGGCAGTATAGTACCTATGGCTTGTCAGATGCGGGCTGCGGGCAGTATCGTGCTCGGTGCACATACATGGTCGATGCATTTCGCTTTTGCGACTGAGGCGTATTGAAAGGTGCGTTGATATTCTGTTGGCATGAATTGCGAGTGAAGAATCTCCTCCCTGAGTCGACATATCTGGTGTTCATGGAATTGGGCAGGCGAAGGCCTGGGCCCGAAAAGGGAAGCCTACCCCACGAATATATGGGGCGCGAAAACATGATCAATGGTTTATATGTGCTGCGGGGAGATTTGGAGAAATACCATCGAACTCCGCTTGGGATAAGGTCCCTGGTGCACGTGATATGACCACTTTTACAGTATCAGGCAATGCCGGCACGGTATTCTGCCATATATGCTACACCGCCTTACTTACCGCTTGGGCTGTTCCGGTGATAGCCGGCTTTGTCTCTTTTAGGAAATTACTCCATCACCAGAGTAGATATACTCACTCACTACACCTTGATTACATATTTAGAAAGATGAGAAGGGATTGAAGGCTCCATCTCAGTATGAATATTACCATATATTCTGTCGTAATTGCTGTCCATAAGTGTGCAGGAAAATGAACACATCACGGTGACGATATATATCATGGGACCGCTTAATTGTTGCTATAATTATAGGACTTGTACATGGAAATCATTAGGGCCAGTCCAGGCTACTATCCTTTAACTTGGACAGTAGTGAATAGAAAGGAGGAATAATATTACAGGAATATAAATATTTTTGAACACCTTTTCTTGTTGTCAGTAGCCAGTAGTCAGTAACTGTATTCAACACCATCCTGGGATGAGGCCTATCCTGAGCAAACAAGCAATAAGAACTCTTCGATGAAGATGGTTGCATGCAAATAATATTCCACTGCTGTTGAGATAGATATAATTTTGCTTTGTGCGGACGGGAAAGGTTTCCTTCACATAGCTTGATAAGTGAAATATTTGGCGCTGTTACAGATCTCGCTAATATTAGTATACTCAAGGCAATACTCGAGAGCAAGGGACCCAGTTGATACTCGAATATTGGGTAGCCTAAGGTGTCGGCTTGCTGGGCGATACTATCGATGTTCCTTAACCAGACTTGGCTGAGGATGATCCCCCTTACTATAACGGATGTGATGGGCATTTGTTCCTTCTGGACCGCATGCAAAGTGTTGAGTACCTTAAAATAGCTTTGATGAGATTGTCAGTCAGTGGACCCAAATTTAAGGAGGCGATTCCCTAATAACGAGCACGCATGGTGTGCCGGAAAAAGGAAATTGATCAGATAACCTTATCGGCGCGGGAGATTTGCACTTGATTCAGATGGCTAACCTTTGTCCCTGTGGCGTTGATTCCGCAAGAAGAGGATCCACCAAGACCTGTCTAGAATCTAGATTGTTTCAGACTCAACGACTAACGATGGCATAATAATGCAGCTCGGAATTTCTAATGATACCATGTAAAGTTACAGCGAAAGGAAATGAAAGTAATAATAATAATAGACATACAGATAAGACTCGCACTCCGTCACGTCATCAACACGCTTCTACCAATTCGGCCAAATACACCCCGAACCATCTCAGGCTTCTCTTGGAGACAGGTCAAAAGGATGGCGGCGCTGATGGAAAAGGCAATGCGTTCCCGGTATTGATACTAGATAAGCCACAACGGTTAGAAAGTGGTACAACGTTCAACGACGCACAAAAATGGACGACGGAGAGGGCGGCAGGCTGGGTGTGACAAGCCCCGAGTAATGCAGATATTAAATCTCATCGAACCATTCGATCTTACCTGTTTGTCATAGAGTCTCGGCAAAACCGTTGCGGCAGCCCTGGGTGCCACAAACAATGCGATCTCCTGTCGCTTCCTTGCGTTCTCAACAAGTATACTCCAACCGCACATCATACATCCGGCGCCAACACAGAGCCCGGAGTCCCACATCAAGGGAGTTACAGTAGCGCGGCGAAATATCTGGGGTCCGATCCTTGTTCTTGCTAGACAGACCGAGTAGTAGAATAGGCTCACAAATGAAGCGAGAAAAGCAGATGAGCGCAACCCGGCGGATACGGGTTGTCTCAGGGATGCCACGGACTTCATCGACCGGAGGCGAAGGACAACCTGTAGAGGGATGTAGGTCGCACAGGCAAACTTAAACGTTCGGGCAAATCGAGACACGGCATGTTTCTCGCAGCTAGGACCACTGCCCATGTGGACCATCTCGCACGGAATGGGGATGGTCTTGGAAGGGTCTCCCCATTCCATGGGCCAATCGTATTCTTCGCACATTGGCTGAAGAAGGGATGCTTGGCCGGTGTCTTTTCCGTATACAAAGTTTCCTCTTCTAGCACGGCGAAGTGCTTCGACCAGGCGGCCATCCACATTTGCTACTTCTCCGATCCATTTACCATAGGATTTTGGTAGTCTTTCGGGCATGTAGAACCATGCCCACATCACTATCGCTGCACTGGTGGCAAACATTCCCGAATCTGCGAGCTTAGGAGCGACACGCTCTGCTATAGTCCACTGATTTTTGGACTTCCGCCAACGCTTCCACTGTGCCCAACCCGTGAAAACCATCAAATCCGCTGCTCTTGTAAGGCTGAAGAGGGTGAGATCCATGGTCCTACCTGCAAACTGGGGGCGGCTATGCGGCTCCAGACTGAATTTGTCCTGGCCTGCAGCATTATTTGATTCAGTAGTGCCTTGACATTGGCCATAAGCTCCTTGTACTCTAATGGGCCTTCGATTTAGGAGGTTAAAGCCGAACCAAGCAGATAGAAGAGCAGAGACAAGTCGAAGCAGTCGCATAGATGTTGTTGCATTGAATGGACGGAATGTAGAACCCAGCCTACGATGCAGATGCGCAAGGCACCGGAAGAGGAGCAAAGGAAAGACCGTTGACCCCCCTACAAGAAGAGCACAGAACGTTGGAAAAGCATCCGGTCGTATTGTACTTGTCAAGGTACCGGACAACTATAAAGCCAGAGTGAGCTCCCCGTTCCCGTTGGACGCATTCAAGCAGGATTTTAGTTGTATCATACGCACAGCGAAGGCTGCACAGAAGACATGGTGGCTGGATTCAATGGAGTAACATAGACATACCTCTTTGAGTTTCTCCCCCAAGCTCAAGTCATGCCCCCGAAGTCGCCGAAGACAGGTTATTACTTTCGGAGTGGTTGAAGACAAATAGCCAAGTGCATACGCACGTAGTATGCTGTAACCGTCAGTAACTCCATTCGTCTATCTATTCCTGACTGGTTGATTCTACGTCATCGAGGAACAACTGATATCTACTTACGGTTGTAGAACCCGGATACTGCGGGGATGCCGGCGAGCGATGGTGGCAGAGTCCATGGTGTTTTCAAACTCATTTAGGCCATGATCATGTCATTGGATTCTGAACGTCGCAGCCTAAACTATCTGCTCGAGTCAGCGATAGTTGTTTCATGGCGGCAAACCATCAATCGACCAAGGAAGACCATAGGGACGAAGTGGATGATTTGACCACACTCACTGGACTCTGAAGAATGCAGGCATTCAATCGGCCCCAAGACCAGCAACAGAATAGGAAACTAACACAAACACTTGGCTTTTGCGGCCGTTACCCAGAGTGGTACGTGCTCCGTAGTGGGCTGGCCTTTTTGTACATATGTAGGATCGGCGGTGGATCCGTGCGACGAGCTATTAAAAATCGGCCTCGGTCGTTGAGGACACGAGGGGGGAAAGGCCGTTGCCGTTAACCTAAGAGTGGTTCAGGGGTAGAGACTAGGCGGATGGCGGCGATCCCCCGTTAGTTATGCCACGCTCCAAAGTTGGGGTTCACCAGCCAACCGTCAACCGTGCCCGTAGTACTAATTACTATGTAAGTAGTAAGTAGTAGTATTCGGGCCAAGAAAGCATGAACTCCAGTAGATCCAGAGGGAAGGCGACACTGGCGGTCTTGTCTAAGAACGGACATGGACGGATGATCCAGGAAATTAATTCCAGTCAGCAGGGAGGGAGCAAAAAGCAGACCAACGCAGGTGGGAGGAGTCGCGATATATTGGATGGGCACCAAAGAGTCCCCGAGTCCAGTTCTTTCCCCCGGACTGGGAAATTGGTCCGACCGTACGGTGTACTCTCCCCAAACCAAGATTACGGGGCCGTGGCCAACCGGGCCTTGCGGGATGGCGGTATTTCTGGTATTTGGGTTACGTCACGCGACCTCCGCCGGTGCGCCAGATTTTTGCATGTGATTGCCTTAAAGGCCGACGGCTGCCATGCTACGAACGATCCAACTGTTGTGTCTGCTACGATCTATCAGTCTGTCTTGTCTCTCCACCATCGTCCATCCCCGGATCCCGCCGTCAGCCCTCCCCGTCTCTCTGACAGTTTCAATGCGGGGGATGCTTTCTCCATCGCCGTGTGTTTTTGGTGTTCTTGACGCTGTTTCGTATCCTCCACCCCCCGACATTCGCCCGTACTGTTCTGGGAACAGTGACCGTTGAATCAACCCCCTCCGCAGCCTAAGCCATACATCCATACTGCTTCGAATCCTCGGCGATTGGCTTTTGTGGACCCTCGAGACCCAAATTGTTGTCGCTTTCAAACGGGCTAGAGTCTTGTTTATCCGCATGTTCGCTCTTTTTGTCGGCGCTGCTCTCACTCCAGACTAGCACATGCTAGTTCGAGTCTCATTGCGACATCATACGTTTACTTTTATTCCGTCCGTCTGTCACCGCCATCATGGAATTAAACAGGTCGGAGACGCATAATGGCCAGAATAGCCCTCAGCCGGGCCCGTTTGGCTGTACGTCAATCGCTTCATTTCCCGTCGCGGTGTGTTGTCTAATGATGATGGGCTCCAGATTCCTTCCTCTCCCCTATGGACACCCCATACGAACCCGCTCCTGCACCGCCTCCTGGGCCAGCACTGTTGGACGATAATGAATCATCCATGCTCGACAACTTCTTTACCACGATGAACTCCAACCATCTGTCCAGTGACTTTTGGCTTCAGAGTCAATCGAATAAGCCGTTTGGATCCGCCAACTTTGACTGGTCTGATGAACTTCCTCCAACTTTCGAAGGCTCCACAACCTCACTTTCACAACCGGCGCTTTCTCATCGCAGCCTAGAAAAGCCTCTTATGGACATGATGCCCAATCCTCTGGGCACAAACTCGGACATATTTGCGGCTGCCTCCATGCTATACCACAATGGGATGCATGGGTCTGATTTCAACCCCAACTTTGCTCCAAATTCACTTCCCTCCCCCGATATAGATTTCAACACCCTCCGGATGTCCACCCACGCCAAGGTTCAGATGCAGACCAGTCATGTGCCTTCAAAACAGCCGAATATATCCCCCCGTACACGGTTACCCTTGGGTTACCACACGTCAGAGATGCTCTTCGATGTTCGCGAACCGATATCTCCCGAGCAACAATATACAGCAAAGGTCCGTCCACTTCACTGGGGATCCGATGTGAGCTTTGTGGATCAAGGGTATATTGCACCACCCGACCAGCCAGACGAAGAACAGCGGACAAAAGAGTTGCTCGGCCACCTAGTGTGTTTTGAAACTCAAAGCAGTGCCGCAAACACTCGCCCGCCGAGCCCAGTGCGCATCACCGGGAACTATGACGCAGCTTGGGGGGACGCAGATGCGGCGGGGCAACTCAGCAACCTACGGAGAGGATATAAAGATAGCATGGAAGATGTTTGCCAGCCCAAAAAGAAGCAGAGAGTTTTGGTCAAGGAAGAAGAAGACGACGAGAACTCGGACGACGAAAGTCCGAGACAGAGATTAAAAAAATCCAAGGCGTCATCGTCCAGGCGAATGTCACATGACGCCGTCCGGAAACCAAGGCTCTCCCAGGGCCCAAAACCCGCACGAGAGAACTTGACCGAAGAACAAAAGAGGAGTAACCATATTCTTTCCGAACAAAAGCGGAGAAATCTCATCAGACAAGGATTTGAAGATTTATGCACTCTTGTACCCGGTTTAAAAGGTGGCGGGTTCAGCAAGAGCGCAATGCTTACTCAGGCCGCTGACTGGTTGGAGGAGATATTACGTGGTAATGACATCCTCAAAGCACAGCTAGCGGAGTTGAAAGCCATGAATGGCTTGGTGATGCCCCGATAAGCACCCCGACTAATGTGACCACGAATTTGAGTTTATCTATCCTATCATTGGAGAATATGGGCCGAAATTTCCCCCTTTTGTATAGTGGAGCAATCTAGCGGTCTTCTGGCAGGATGCGCATTGTTCGGACGGAATTTCAGGCGTTTCCTGTTCATGGCCATCAGTCTCGTTCTTCCCACCAAGGAAGGCTTGATGCGCCAATTTACCTTGTTGCAGTCATTATTTTCTGCCTGGCCTGTTTCTTTCATCGTTCATACCCATAATACCCGTTTGGCCTGGTCATAATGGTTACATTTCCAAGTACCACAGAAAAGGTGATTGATGCATGCATTCCACTGGGAGGGTCGCTCTTCGTGGTTCCTCATCCACAATCACCGCTCATTGTGGCCTGATTCTTCATTCGATCTGCGCATGGGCTGTGTAGTACCGGATGGCTGCCATTAAGCTAGCAGCAGCGTAGGATGAGTAGGCAAACTCTCACACCTTGATGTCTAGCTCTTTCTTAGCCCATTTGACACTCCCTCTATGTCTGGAGATTCACGAGAGAACCAGTCTCCATCATGGGTTTGTAGCAACTGAGTGGGGCACAATGTATTGAACCGATCTGCATGCATATAATGGAAACGAACAATACCGGCAGCAACTGTTGCATGGGAGCTGCAGAGGACCGACAACTGAGACACTAGAACTTCTCACACATAGCGTTGTGTATAAGCCATTCGAGGGATAGGGCTAAGCTGCGTGCCAAAGGTAGAAGCGATGGGATTTGAAACATCAAGAAAACGTTGAAAAGGGATCTATTCCATCATGTCAGCTGAACTTGGTATTCTGGGTCTGTCATTGATGGGGCTTTGCACCTAGACGGGCTTCTCCTATCTCCTAAGCCGATATAGCCCAGTTTCATGGATACAATGTGCCCATGTGACACTCACGTCTTAGTATAAATGAGTGGTATTTCAAAATATAGAAAATATTGTTCGGTTGTTCGAAGCCCCAGACTGGGATGTAGGCACTAGAGAGTTGTAGATAGGGCCGATAGTCCACTGCCAGGGGCAGCATAGTGGGGTGGTCCCACCCGTCCAAAGAAGATTGTGTGGCTTAGGAATGTAGTGTCGGTCATGTGACCTCCTCAGCAACGGCGCGTTTATTATGACGCTACGTTCGGGCCGCTGGGGCATGTGAGTGAACTGCCTCGCCAGCGATCGGAGCCATATTTCTATTCTCCATTTCCTCTACTCTAAGGCATCAATTAGCTGCTAGCTATAGTTTAAAATGGCTCCTAAGCGGAAGCATTCGAGCAATGAATCCGAGCGAGAGAACAATGCGCGCAATAAGCGCTTTGCTTACCTCAAACCTCAGGTTCGGCAGGTCTCCGAAAGAACTATCAAGTCCAAGTGGTCGACGCTTCCGGAGCCTGTCCAAGAAAAAGTCCGTGATATGTTTCGAGCTATCGAGCGCCCTGTCATTGTACGGCAACAGAATGAGGCAAAACGCATTGAAGCACAGGCAGCCGTCCAGGCTGTCGTGAAGAAGTATAGCCCCTTTGCATCTATGTTCGGAGAAGCAGACTGACATATATCTCTCAATCTTGAAGCCTGGGAAAGCGGCTTCCGCGCATGCCGTTCCCCCCGGTTACGAAAGACTCTGTCTTTGAATACGAGGCGGCGCTCAAGGAACATGTAGGCAGTGGCCAACCACGCTTTCCTCAGGGGTTCAACTGACTTGCGATTGCAGTGCTCCTTGGAGGCTTCTCTAGCCACAATGACCGATAGCATTGATCTTCTGAAGGCTGAGGTCGAAAAGGAAGAAGCCCTGCTTGAACGGGAGAAGAAGCAACTGCAGGAAATGGAGAAAAATGCAAGGCGGGCAGAGGCCGAAAGAAAAAGGCAATCAAAGAACGTAAGATTGGTCTTTATGCCAGGATCCTGTAATTCTTACACTGACGGTCCCTAGGAACATCCCGTACTCCGACAGTTCAGCAGCAATCCGAATGAGCAGGACCAGCAGCAGCTCGAATTTACCCTTGCAGGCGGAAAGGAACCCCTGCCGACGTTCGACGAGGTGGGTTTTGGATCTTTTCTTATCGCAAAATTCTTATACTGACATGAAGCTGTTTAGTTGGAGAATGACCCAGAGGTCTCAAATATACTGAAACAACTGAAGGAGCATCTAAAGTCAATGCAGAATAACACCGCTCCACTCACCGGTTTGACAGACGCAATCGCTAGGTCACATGTAGCCTTAAGTTTGACCTTCATGCCTGAAGACTGAATTTACCGATCAGCTGCATCGACAAAAGCTAAGGACGGGCCTGCTGACAGTTCACTATATGGCACTATGAAGCAGGTAGTTGAACATGCAAGTTCGTATCGTTCTTCAGGGTAGCTTTGACCACATATCCGACTCGGAACAGCAATCGGTCATTTCGACAAGATACCCGTCTGCGTGACCATCCGATGCTATCGGAATGGGCACTGTGTGGATTGTATAGATTGCCCTTGCAGGATGCTCCAAGTTACGCTCGTGGATTGCACAACTGGGTTACTTGACATCGCTTTCCGCATACTCCTACGAGAAAACGCGCTGGTCAGTGTATTTAATTTAGACCGGACTATCTCTCAGGTGACACCGAGGCTTAAAGTGACGACGAGCAACTATACACCAAGTGACTAGATGGGGAGATGGTCTAATGCATATATAACCTCGTGGCCCAGGATGCTTAATCAGGACCGCCCGTAAAACCGTGGCCCTCAATGTGTTTGATATGATAATGAAGTCTGAACCCGAATTTACTCTGTTGTATCTTCTACCAAACAAGCTGATGTAAGAACGTGCGACTTCATATGCTCAGGTTAACCGAGGTACCTCTAACGGGGAGTAACCCTATAAGCCCAAAGCCCAAAGCCCAACGCAACGCGGATAATCATGGGCTGGCATGGTTGCGTTGAGTCGCACATGGTTCAACCGCCCAGATGCTTTTTCCGAGGCTACTAGCCGGGTTGCCGCCGCCGGCCCCAATGCGGAGGAGCCCGGGAAATGAAAGATCCAAGTCCCGCACCAGCGGGGAACTTCGATGAGCCGATCGCATCGCGCGTGCCCGCACATTTTCACGTTACAGATCAGCTTCGCTACACTCGACCTCTCCTGTTCCCGGTCACCAAGGCCTGGTCGAATGTCTGCATCTAGCCATTCTACCTGCCATTTGTGTTCCGATCCACAGCAATAGTGCCAGCAGCGGGCCGGACTCTGCGCAACAGCCTTGCGCCCAGCAATCAATGACGGAGAAAAGTACAGCGCCAGCGGGTACGGGCCCAGACCAGCAATCCAGCAATGGCATCACGGAGAAAATCAAGCCTGATGTGATGGACGAGGAGCGGACTGGGGGAGAGGCCAGCGCCAACGACAACGCGCAGCACACACCGGGCGTCAAGCCTGACAGTGCTGCTGCGGGGGCTCACCCAAGTCCCAAGAAACGTCGCAAAGTCAATCACGGTAAGGCGGTATCTGCCATGCATCCTATCCTACAAGGATCATGGCAGCGTCTCCCCTCCTCTTCCTTGCTGTTGCTTAGACCCCGTTACTAATTAGGGTGCCACGTTTGCAGCATGCGTTTACTGTCGGCGATCGGTAAAGTCCTTCCCTTCAAACATGATCACCTACGCGCCCCTCCTTCAATCTACCCGGATAGAAAACACCCTTGATTCCCATCGGATTCAATCCACAGAGGAATAACTTGCTAACGGAAGAGCATTCGCTCACGTGGCACAGCATATGACTTGCGACTCGGTACGACCTGCCTGAACTTTACTCTCCAGCGCATTCCTGTGAAACACGAAGCGCAAGTTCCTTTCGGAGAAGCTAGCTGCTGACGCATATTACTCTGTCGGAACTCTAGGAGCGACCCTGCACGCGATGTATAAAACGCAACATTGGCCACCTGTGCCATGATGAACCTAGAGAACCTTCGAAACGGTCGCGGAGTGAAAACGATCATTCGGCAGCGGATGACGAGGGTTCGTCTAACAATGAATATTCGACTGTCCAAGGGATGCCTAGAAACGTCGACGTTCCAGATGCTGCCGGTCAGCAAATCCTCCCAGACGGGACCATCGGCCTACCGACCGCCGCTGTGACTGCAGTGCAGCAGCAGCCTGGCAATATTGCTTCTTCCGGGCAGGGTCTCGGCACTCATTCTCAGCAGCGTGAGCTTCAAACCACCTCTTCCAAAGCACCTTGTTAACTTGGGAAATAGTTCTTGGGTACAACGAGTGGCTAGGCGGACAAAGTCAGTTTCAAGACATGCATACGTTTCACCCTTCCTATATGTTCAATGCGCCCGAGGTCACCAACGAATACAACCTTCTTGGTGACTTTCTGAGCAACAGTCTCTTGGATGATGGAGCAGTATACCAGAATGATGACCTGCAGGGGATATACTCAGATCCGACGTTGATTAATTCCATGGCTACGTTGGGCGGTTCTAACCCATCCCTGCTCCAGCAGTCTCAGCAGTCACAATCTCAACCAACTCAACAGACCCAGGGTGAACCAGCCCAAGGTCCTGCCCCTGCAGTGGGAAACGACAAGGCAAGAGAGACGTATTACATGACTGCAGCAGACCCATCTGGTTCTGACCCGCCCGAGGAGCGGATGAACAAGCTTCTTAAAGCAAAATATGACGCTGGTCTACTTCGTCCGTTCAACTATGTGAAAGGGTATGCGAGACTAAATCAGTATATGGAGAGAAACTTGCAACAGGCCTCACGGCAGAAGATCCTTCGACAGTTAGATAAATTTCGGCCAAAGTTCCGGGAGAGAATGCAAAGTCTGACCGATATTGAGCTTATCCTTGTGGAGATGTGGTTCGAACGGAGCCTGATGGAATATGATCGGGTTTTCGCGAGTATGGCTATTCCTGCTTGTTGCTGGAGACGAACTGGTGAAATATTTCGCGGCAACAAAGAGATGGCAGAGTTGATCGGTGTACCAATTGAAATTCTCAGAGACGTAAGTCAATACTCCGTTATATGCTGAGGCCATCGGCTAACATCATTGTCATGCTTAGGGCAAGCTTGCAATCCACGAAATCATCGTGGAAGATCAGCTTGTGAGCTACTGGGAGAAATTTGGAGCCATTGCCTTCGATAGCACCCAAAAGGCGATGCTCACAAGCTGCACTCTGAAAAATCCCAATTCCAACTCATCTGGGGATGGGATTCCCTGTTGCTTCTCGTTTACCATTCGAAGAGATACCCATAACATGTAAGTGCCCTTGCAAAACCTTGTTATGTCACTGTGGTTACATGTTACTGATCAATGTTGATAGTCCATCGCTTATTATTGGAAACTTTCTGCCGTCACAGCGAAAGGCCAAATGATGCCCAATTGTTGCCTTCTTTCTTTTGTTCCTTAGCAAGTACTCGTACGCATTTAACGGCTGATAAGTTACTCTTGATGGGTGGATCTTTGCTTGCAACATGCCTTTTCTTTTTTCCTAGTGCATGTAAGCTTCTTTCAGTGGAGGAGCTTCGAGGTGTTATCTTCATACCCTTAATGTCAACTAATTATACAGGCACTCAAAATGTATCATAAAATCTTCAAGGTGTGACTTCTATTTTCAGGATGGTAGATGCGAGCGGCCAATGCCAGAAATGGACTAGATTGGTCAGGTGAATTCTCTCCTCAAGTAGATTGCTCTAGCCGTTATCCACGAGACAGTAGAGATCAGCTGCCAGATTTACCGCCGTGCGATTCAAGCTATCGGTACTATTGTCAACAATGATATCTCAGGGATTCAAAGCAAAGACAGAGGATATCTTAGGTAGGCAGCTTGCTTACCTGCCCTTTCTTGCCTTCAGAGTGACTACTACTGACGACTGAGAATTGAGCAACAGCTTTCGCAAGCGATCTAGCAAATACGATCTCCAGCGAACCCGGGAAGTCCTGTCTAGATCTAGATGACGAGATCCGAAACCAACTTGATCAAAAATTGGAATATCTCTCTTTGCTAACAGCAAGCCCCTCACCCTTGATCCGTCGCCAACTTGACCAGGAAGGGACAAAGTTATGGAATACCTGCATGCAACTCATGACAATACACAGAGAAAAAGAGCAGCTGGTACTTTTGTGTAAAGGTACATATAGTCCTTTTAGTAAGACTAAGCCGCTGAGTGTGCACAGTGAAGGCCTTTGCATTCGCAATGCTCGAATATGCTGCGCCAAATAATGGTCAAGGCAGGTATCTTGCATATTGTGCATGTGAAATAATTGACATCATGACAGGATGCTGTAGAGCTTTGGAAGTAGCCTTTATAATGGCCACAACTTGCATAGGTATGGCCGGCTTGATCGCTTTTTGTCTCTCTGCACAAAACTATCTAATACATTGGCTGTAGATTGCGGCTGTCTCGATATAAGTCAGAAGATCATCGAAACTGCAGCCTTGCGGCTGGACAGGCTTGAAAGGGTTGAAAGCAATGTCGAAGAATTCAAGCTGCAACAATATACTGTGGAGTATTATATGCTTCGGGTCTACCTGGTAGGGTCCGGTGGCTTTAATGAGTTGGTCAAGCTGACGAGGGGATGTAGTCCTGGTTTCAAAAAAGACTCGACATTGCAGACCATTTATTCTCAAAGATACCGGCATCAAACAATGAGAAGGGCCAAGAACTTGTCATGGATATCTGTTATAAGATCGGTAACTCTGCGCTTTCGCGCAAGCAGTATGATGTTTCTGCGAAGTGGCTAGGAAGGGCATTGAGTGCATGTGAGCTGATTGGCAACGTTGCCCAACCGCCGATTTTATCACTCAGGGATAAAGAGCTGTCGATACTCTATGCTTCTGGTAGGGTGACCGGTGGCTTGATCAAGATATGAGATGCTTATACTGAATAGTTCGGGCCAGCCTTTATCTTGATACAGATGAGTTTAAGGATTACTTTACTCGCATGCTAAATGCTCTGAGAACTGTAATATATTAGTATGAGGTGTTTTCTAGATTGCTAATATTGAATAGCGATACAGTGGCCTGTTTCATACCAAAGTCATCGAGCTCGAGAATCTAAGTAGGGAAGAGCCAAACGGAGATGCCTATCTTCAAGGTTGCTGGATTTATAGCCTGCAATAAATTTCATGATCTAACATGGCTGTTCTTAGTGCTACGGAGTGCTATTGAGTCACCAGAGTTTGACAACTCACATCTTACCATGTCAGTGACCAGCTATGGTAAGTGGGACTGATATTAATCACTTGGATAGAATCCTTTACTACATACAGAAACTACAAGACTTGGCGTGAGTATCCAGTCGCATCACCAATATACCTATCTGATAACGACTTAGTCCCGAAACTTACACTGGAATGCTCAAACAACTTATAGATATAATGACTGTCCTTGGTGACAACAAACCACAAATAGAGCAGGTATTTATCAGATTCGTCCATGGGTTGACAAGGCCAGGACTCTGCGCCGAAACAAGCCTTGACACTATCAAGGAGACAACTGCTAGCTTAAAGAGGCATGACCAAGAATCATTGAGTGAAGAAGCAACAGAGGCATCACTTGCTGTGGGCTAACCTTTGGTTTATACCTACTATTTGAGACTGAAGTTCCTCTAGCTCATCTGGAAACTCGTCAACCAAATGATCTCGGATGGCAATTTATCTGTAGCCAGACAGTGGTGTCTTTTCTTGCTGAAAGAACCAGTTTTCAAGGTTTCTCCTAGCAACAAGGCAAAGCTCTTCAGGTAATTGGCACAACACAATGCACGCATATAAAGTCTAACGAAGAACAGAAAATTCCTCCTATGTACTGAAACTGATGCGACAATATCTCAAGTGACTGAGTTATATGACCTAATGCCCGATGAATGCAGGTCCTGTCCGTCAACATTGTACTTGATGTACAAAATGAGTCTACATAGCAGTGACCCTACCGCCGGTAAGTGAACCCAAGGATGCATATGGTGTATCTGACATGGACAAAGCATGCATCTATCTCAAGTCACTCTGTGAGAAAGAAGCGGGAACGATTCCCTACGTCTTGTCATGTGTAGCAGAAGCATTCAGACTTGGGGGAATGCAGCAAGGTTTGAAAACCCTCAAAGAAATACTGGTGTCTTCAAGCGATGGGTTAGAGGAGCACCATATCGCGAAGTTCTTTCAGTATGGTATCCCTTTCATGTTATGCTGACTGTGACTAATCTTGGAACATGGCTGTTATTCAATTTCTGTCCACCGAACTGGAGAGTTCAGAATGGGAAAATGCAGACCTGCTGAACGGGTTTGTAACTCTCCTTGACGCAGGTATGTTTTATTCAAGTCCTTGAAGACGTACACTGAGAAGACATAGTGTCAAATAAAGCCATTTGCGATGAAGAGAACAAAATATTCTCTGTTACCGAGCTGGATTGGTTTGCTAAAGCAAGCTATAACCTTGCTTTGAAATTGCCCAAGTCAGCTCGCCTTGAGCAAGTCATACGCCTATTAGATCTTTCCACACAGGCAAGTCGTGGGAGGTCCCCTGATTTGTACACCTCTTACACTTTATAGTTTGCAGATAAATGTCACCACCAGTCAGACCCCCAAAACGAGTTTAGCATATCTCAGCATGATCTCCTCTGCGAATTTCTCAAAATTGTCAGAATTTCAGGAGAGACTCGCAATGAGACCAACATCACTGAGAAGGTTGACCCAATCTAGAACTTCCTGACACAATGAACATGACTAACAACTATCCAGATCAAGTATTACGATGAAATACACAAAATCAGCAAGCACTTTCGAGAACAAATTCGCGCTCACCAGACCGAGACAAGCAGCATAGAAGCCCAACATCAAGAATGGCTCTCGAAATACCGGATCATCCTAGCCCTCGACTTCGAGGCATCTATCTTCATAAATGACTGGACCACCGTCTCCAACATCGTCGAAGAATCAAGCGCAATCATAGACGAAAACCTCGGCTCAATATTCCTAGATTGCGTTCTTCGCTCTGAAGCCCCAATTACAGACGTCGTACGGACCGTCAAGGTATGTCCACATGCCTATCTAGAACAAACTAATTATATTGAACTATCACTGACCATGTATCCAAACTGAAAGGAGCTAATCCGCACCCTGCACGGCTCTCCATCTCCCTATCTAAACAACGCCCAGTTTTGCCAAACCCTACCCCGATACCTCCGCTGTCTATTCCAGCTCTCACTCGATGCAACAGACTACCACCTTGCAGAATCCGTTCTCGATCAAGCCCTGGTCCTCGCCCGCGAAAGACGTACCGAACCCAGTCAGTCACCATATCCAAGCGATGAGATCCAATGGTTGTCAACAGTTGCTTTCAATCGAGCAGTAGATTTCTATCTCACATCCGCGGATGCAGATTGTCAGCGATGGGCTGACAAGGCGATCACGCTTGCCGACCAGGACAATTGCGACACCTTGGGCCGGCTATTACGCGAGAAACTCGAAACATTAGCCTGACAGACCTTGACAAGAGATGAAAATCATCAACACCTACGATTTTCGTCTAGAACCTATCCCTATCCCGCTGCTCATGGTCATCTGTATCTTCATCCACCATTTTCAGCGCCTCCTCGGCATCCTCAATCGCCACCAAAGCACGTTGAATTTTCCGCTTGGCCGATTTGAGAATCCGAATCGATTGTCAAAATAGCATCATCTCCTAACACCTGATCAGTTCTTAAAGAAAAAAAAAATAAAATAAAATTTACTCCGCCTGTTCATCCACCGGGGCTCAGCCCTGTTCTCATTCCGATCATCGTCCTGCTCAGGTTGAGTCCGGATACTAGAAACCCAGTCAATATACATACACTCATACATAGCCACTCCCCCCCAAGAAAAAAAAAAAAAAAATTTACACTCTGTACCGTCGTCTCTGGTCCACATACTATCCAGGAGTACTCGGATAACTCGTAGTTGGGGTGCCATTCCCACGAGCGGAATAGGCACTCCCACTCCCACTCCCAACTACATACGTAGTCGTCCGACTCCCACTCTCATACCTCTCTCTCTCCTCACCCTGTTCACAATATCCTAAAATTCCCAAAATATCAGTAACCCAACCCCTCCCATCACAAACGAAAGCAACCGGCAGAGAACAAGAAAGACAAACTCATGACTAGCCTGACACGTCCTCTCGGATTTATATTTTCTCGACACCCCCCCATCTGAGAATCTCACCGCCGTGTATTGAGTTCTGCTTGCGTAGACGGGGTAGATGCGCTGTTGCTTCTTTAGATTAGTCAACGCTAATGCTCATTCAAGAATTGGATTGAGGATGATACTTTTCCACGTGGTGGCTTCATCCTACACTTCACACCTCAAACTCAAACTCAAATAAACCAAACTCCCCAAACAAGCCAATCTAATATAAAACGTAATTTAAATCCCAAACACAACACAGTACGTAAAATTCGTCAGAATATCCGACAAGCAATGAAACAGTCAATTGAAGGAGCAATTAGGTCTACGAGGAAGGAAAGAAGGAAGGGAGGAAAGAAGGAAGGAAGGAAGGAAAGAAGGGTGGATTGGAAGAGTCTCAAACAGCGAAGAAAGTTTATATATGTATTCTATGTAAAATGATAAGGTAGGATACATGTTGAAAATGGAGAGCTTCCATGTAGATTTGTACAGTATGGATGGATTTGTCTGGAATTGGCGGCTTTGGACAGGGGTGTTTCTGTGTAGTTGTGGTAGTTGTGGTGCGGTGGATAGGATGATAGCGATGACTGAGTTAGATGGTTGGTGGTGGACTGTCTAGTTTATGAAGACAGGGTGTAGAGTGGTCTTTTTATGACGTCGAGGAAAGGGTTTGTCATGTGATAAATGGAGGAACCGAAAAAATGGGGATAGTACGCGAATCAGTTTATTGGTTGCACAAGGAATACTGGAAGTTGCCTTGAAAGGCAGACTATCACACATTAGAACCCGTGAGTCTGAGCAGACTTCAACACAGGCCCGATAAGTTTGGGTATCATTTAGAAGGTAGCTAAAAGAAGCTGAACAAGAATGACAATTTGAAGAAAAAGGGCAATAGGTAAAAGATATGATGCAGAGGCTTTTCAAGAAGGCAAAGATGCAGTGCTGATGGAGACTCCCATTTCGCGCAACACCGAAAGAATCAGGACAGTCTAGCTTGACTCGGGTCGAGATCCGAAAAGAATCAAAGAATTGAATATATGCACCAGACCCCTCGGCTTTCCTGCGCTTCAGGAGAGCGCAAGGGGGTAGAAATAGAATCACCCAACACCCGCAATGCTTGAATGAGATGAAACCGATCGCAACAAATCCCGCTTGATAACATATGAAGTCTATATGAAAGCCTTGTCTGGACCCCTTTCGTATGGAGGGAAACGGTCGCGCCTGTCTGGATTGATAAGGGCGCGAGAAAGATAAAGGAAAGAAGATGAAGAAAGAAGAATAACAAAACTTAGACGTATAAACAGAGGCAAAAGCCGCCGCCGTATCAATCCTCCCCATCGGCATGGACGGAGAGGCCCACCGAAGCTTCCGGTGTCTCGTTCGAACGTTCGTCTGGAGACGGTATGGAACATGGCGCATATATGGTATTGTTGGATGCACCATCACCCACGAGCTTTTCATTCTCTTTCCCGCTGCTCTCGGTCTCTGTTTCGGCGCTCTCACTGCTATGGCTCCGAGAAGTGAGAGCGCGCAGAGTAAGACTGAGCTCTCTCTCAAGCTCCTTTTGAGCATGCACATGCTCCGTGGACCCATTAAGCTTTTTCCGGTAAGCCTTCAAGGTGCGACAGACTTGTTCAGTGGACGTATCAAGACTTCCAAAGTCGCTTTTCCCGGAATTCCTGGCGCGAGCCCGGAAATCAAGAGAGGAACGGCGAGAGTCACTCCTGCCACCACTCTTCCTCATACCTGCTGGCTTGGAAGTATGCAAAGAAGGTGACGATGAATGGGGCTTTTCCCGGCGAACGCTGGGGACAGGGGATCGCCGATTGGACGTCGATGAAGGTGTCGTAGGTGGGGGGGTGTGCCCATTTTTTGTAGAAGTGGAAAATGAGAATTTGGAAAATTTGCGTAAGAAAGTCGGAGAATGACCGCGCGCCGGCGTTGGGGTGACGGCAATGTTTTCCTGTCGCTGAAGCCCAGCCAATTCATGTTTCGACAGGATTTTGCGTAGAGGGGGCTTTGCAACCGTCAGCTCCTTCACAGGAGCATCATCATCTTTGATGACCGCCTGTGCCACATCCTGTGATGACTGGGGAAGCATGGATACACCCCAAATCATGACCAGACCATCAAGCCCCGAGCTGATCAGGACCCGTCCATTTGGGCTGGCGGGGGAACTGGAGTGATGGTCCAGTAGGCAAGCGTCACTCAGTCCCTCTGTGTGACCAAACTCACCCGTGAGAAGCACGCCCCGCTCCAAGTCATATACACGAATGGACTTGTCGGTGCCGGAAACCCCGACAAGTAACTTGGAGAAACTCTGTCCTGACATGTCAGAAGCTACCGTCAAAGAGTTCATGACGACTGTGTCACTTCCATCCGAATCAATGGCCCGGAAGGAAGTAATTTGACGGCCAGAAGCTAGATCATACTGTAGGATGCATCGATCAGCCGTAGACACGACGAGAACATCCGTGTCAGTAGAAAGAGTCATCGACACTGGGGATGCCTTCATCGTGATCACTCTGGAGATCAAATAGGCAATGACCGGCTCGCCGTCGACCTCTCGAGTGACACGGTCCCTGACGTGAATGGTCCGATCAGCAGAAGACGAAAGCAGCTTCTCCCCATCATCGATGAAAAGAAGCTGACTCACGGCCCCAACATGGTCATCCATGGTTTGGATCAATTGCAGCTTGTCATTGTTTCGTTCGAACAGCTGAACCATGCGATCGCGCCCAGAGCTGGCAACTAAGCAGGATTCAGGTGTTATATGCAGGGCAATGTCTGTAATCTCCCCTCCATGAGCTCGGACTTCATGCACGGATTTCCACGAATCGCCTTGCAATACCCTATATTTCGGGGATTAGAAACGGCGAAGGCTGCCATTGGTAAACATTGGGAATACATACCGTAGGACACCGAATTTATCACCAGAGAAGAATCTGTCCATATCATCCGTGGTACGTACTACTTTCAATTCGTTGGAAATATCTTCGTCGTTTCCCGCAGGGTGCTCCAGGGCAATCGTGCGTGAATCCTTACACTTGCCTTGAGTGTTCCAGAAGTTCACAGTACCTTTCCGTGACCATGTGAAGAAATCTGCTTCAAGTTGATTCGGGGTTTGGAGTGGCCGTATTCCAAGAACCCCATCCCGATGAGCACAGATCCTGTTTTGAGCGTCCCTCTGGTCAACGTCCTCGCTCACGTTGTTGCTCGAATAGATGTCGATGGCGTTTGTCATGTCAACTGTCACTAGATGAGATCCCAAAGATCCGAGGCAAACAATCGCAGGACCCTTGAAACCCTGCTCTGCCGAGGACCGGCCAGAAAGCGCGGGGGATAATGGTACAGTCGACGAGCGTATTTTTTCGAAGGTGCATTGCTGGATCTGTCCACCCCGTCCACCAACCCACACACAGGAGCGGTACGAATCGACCGCTAATGAGGCAATGCCGAATTCCATATGCTGGACAACGGACAACTTCTGGGATCCTTCACTATCATCCACAAAGCACAAAGCACCCGTGTCGGTGCCCACTACCGACTCCCGATCAGAAATGCTTGCTACACTGGTGAAAGTGCTTTCCGCCAGCGATCCCAGTAAGCAATTCCGCCCCGAGAACGCCCTAGGGGTGTGATTTGGAGAGATGCTCGGTGCCTCCACCGTAAGGCGAGACCGTGGAGAAGCAGGCCTTGCATCTGGAAGCCTCCAAACTTTCACATGCCGAACTCCTACCCTAGGGAAACTTTCAGCTGCTGCCCGATTCGTTTGATAGCATAATCTACTAGGACTTACGTGATCAAAGTCTGACCCATCCAGCACATGTCACGGACATAGGAGGTGCACTTGTTGGTCGAGTGGAGCTTTGCCGAACCGGTCTTTAGATTCACAGACCATACGAAGAGAAATCCATCGTTTACATCTCCAAGAGTGGCTAGATACTGGGAATCCGAGCTGAAGGCCAGGCCTCGCACTCCGAATGTATGCTCGGTCAGTATTGAAAGCGGGATTTCGGAAGAGGCATCTTTTGCTGTTGAAAAAATCAGAACCCTAGGGCTATAGCCAGTCTAACATGTGTCAGTCCACTCTGGAGCACCAGTAAGCCCTATTTAGCTTACCTCTCCTACTGCCAGAAACCTTCCATTAGGGCTGATCGCGGTACTCGTAACAGCCTTCACCCTCTCCCGAGATGACCATCCACGCGGACTACCATTGTCAACCGGGTCGTTGGATGGAGATCCATTGTAAGCATTGCTATGGGTGGTAGATCTTATACTCCCCGAAAATTTCGCTCGACTGTCAGGAGTGGTGGGAGGGGTAGATTGGCTGTAGAACGACGTCACTGGGTTGACACTGGCTGCCGAGGGTCGTGCCCTGAAAAAGCGTTGGTTCACACAATGCTCGTCGTCTAACTCAGCCAAAACCACCACCGAGCCGGCGCAGAGGGCAAAAGACTTGCTTTCCTCATGGCTCGAGAAACCGTGAGGGGTAGTCGTAGTCGTTCCGATCACTGTCTGCAGGCTCAAAGTTGTCTGGTTCAATGGCGTCTTGTGCACAGAGGAGCGCGTTGGCGGTCGCAAAACCGGGGAGTTGGAGGGGGTGATGCGGAGCGATGAAGCTGCCTTGCATCTTGCACTTAGCGAGTTGTTCGCCATAACAATCGGGTCTGCGGTCGGCTTCGGTCACGAGGGTTCACGGTCCTTGGTTTGAACGGGATTCGGTCGCATTGGCGGGCTAATTCTGAAAGCGAAAGGTTTGTACGTCTGCTTGAGAACCGACAAACTATTTTATCGCCATCGGAGGCCCTGGACTCGGGGAAGGAGCCGCAAGGCAAGCGAGGAAGGAGGAAAGGCAGGATGACGACAAGCCTTGCTTATATATGCGGCACAAGGTTTCGGTCAAGAAACTTGAGAAGCTCGAGGAGTCGGTGTTGACGAAAGAGGCTTTTTTTTCTTTTCTTTTTCTTTTCGCTTCTTTTTTTTTTTTGGTTTGTGGTTGGCGGCGCAGAGGCTGGCGAAGAGGGGACAAAAAGGCGGAGGAGATCGGGGAGAACCAAAGGACCGAGAGAAGGAGAAGGGGGGCCCAAAGAATAAAACAACGGTTCCAAAAGAGTGACTAAATCGTATGATAAAAAGAAAAGAACGAGGGAGAGAAGAGAGTGTAGGGAAGGGATGATTGAGGCCCTGACGAAGCAAAGACAGAATGTGAGCGAAGGTGTCGAGAACAGCTCCCAGCTGGGATGGACAGGGAGCAGCAGTCCAACACCAGCAGCACCACCACCACCATCAACATTCCACGCCGGGCGGAGAGCCGAAAAATGATGGACGAACCCTTGGCGCTGGGCTGCTTCTAGTCTTCTTAGCGTCGGGAAAGCTAAATTCGGGGCAGTGGGATCCCGTCAAGCTGATCCAGATCCTGGACGATCATTCACGATAATGTGAGAGAGATCGAGAGGGAGACAGAGGTTGCTGGTTAGGAAAATGGCACCAAGGGTGAGATGCTCGCTTCGACCACATCCTCTCCATCTTCATGATGGCTTGCCCACTGATCAGGCCAACCTCTCGGCGAGATTGGGAATGAAAGAGAGGCTTGATCGACCCCCTCACAGGGCGTCAAGTGGCCCCGGCTCGGTGGGGATGCTAAACCCTTTGGGTTCTGACTTCGGACAGTCGAATTCTATTCCTCCCTACTTCCTGGAACGGTTGATGGTCTGCTTGGTCGGGAGGGGAAAGAGGTCAAATGAAAGTGCAATCTATTCCCCGATCAAATGTCCACTTCAACTGTTCTGGAGTCTGTCTCGCATTGACCTTCCGGTCAGGAAACCTCCGGCACTGCCGTAGCCTTAGGCACTATAGGATGCCTTAGCGGCCCGAGAGTATATCACAAAGGAATAAGGATAGTAAAGCAAGGCAGCTGCTGGCTTAAGTAAACTTAGTCTCCAGGCTACAAGGTTCTACCTTGTGATAGGACGGAGGCGCGAGGCTTCATTTCCACCAGCCCCTTAAAAAAAGGGCAATTGATAAGGATCGTCATTCCCTGCGAGTTCATAACAGCCATCCTCGTGCCGCCAAATATGGATGGGTCGATCGCAACCGGCCAAGTGATGTGGCTCAAGTGATGCGCTCCGGAGAGTAACGGGCGTCTATGCTCCGGAGTGGACAATGCTTTCTGTATGGAGTATGGATGAAAGTTTAGGAGATCTTGACCGAGTCTGAGGTGTCAACCGTGACATTCCTTGTTCGGATCCTCCATCGGCGCCATCCACGGTGTCACATGATAGTGACACCTTAGGCCATACTTGTTCTAGGCCCCTTCGAGAAACTCTCTGCGCTCTTTAGCGTCCGGGAGATTTTCCCCAGCTTCCACCTCTTTGTCCTTGATATCCTGTTATCCTGCCTCACCGTCACCATGGCAAGTGTTTGCACCTCATCCCTCAGGCTATCTCTGCCCAATGTACTACGAAATGCTCTCCGCTCTGAGTTCGCCTCAGACGTTCGTCAGAGTCTCGCACCTCGAAGGCTCTCCGTAACGCCTCTCTCTTACCGCAGATGCAGGATCCCACGACGAAACTTTGGCTCCTCCCCCAAAGCCCAGTTCCACCAATCATCGACATATCTATCATCCCAGAACTCATCCTCGACTAGCTCCGATATCTCTAACACATCGTCATTGGACAAGCTGGGAAGAGCCCACCGTGGTAAACCATCGACAGAGGATGCATTGACCGAAGCGAACGCGGCATCAGACCCCGCTGATATTCAAACCGAACAGGGGGCCTCCTCACACACTCCTCGTACCCCTAAGAAAAGCCAAACCAAGCATTCTCGATCGAAGAAGGGTCCGCGCGACGAACAATCCTCCACCGCCACTCCGCCCGCTCCCAAGAAGAAGAAGCCAGAGAAATGGCAGATACAGAAGGAGGCTTTGCGGGGGAAGTTTAAGGAGGGGTGGAATCCACCCAAGAAGCTCTCTCCGGATGCTCTTGAGGGTATCCGGCACCTACACGCTGTAGCACCGGAGCGATTCACCACTCCTGTTCTTGCAGAAGAATTCAAGGTGTCGCCGGAGGCTATTCGGCGGATATTGAAGAGTAAGTGGCGGCCCTCTGAGAACGAACTCGATGATCGACGGAAACGATGGGAGAAGCGACACGATCGGATCTGGGGCCATCTGTCTGAGCTCGGCCTACGACCGAGTACGAAGCGCACACGAGATTTGGTAGACGCAAACCAATTGCTCTACGGCAATAAGAAGGGGGGCCAGGAGTAAAAGCCGCTGCTGCCGACGGCTCGTACAGGGCACCGTATGTATATTGACACCAAACCATGTATCATATAATATACTCTATCAGTTCTCGCATAAATTCGCATAGGGAGGCGATGGTCAGATCTTGCGGGGTTTTCTTTTTCTTCATCTTCCGAATGTCTTTTATTTCCGATCCGAGGCACATGGCCTTCAGTGCCGACGTTGTAACATACCGTTTCAGAGGTTGGAAGATTTTGCGGCGATATAGTCGTGGACGTTGTATTAACCTTTTCTCCTAACCTGTCCAATATAATAGTTGTAATGATATGTTGGCGGTCACGCAGCTGACCGGTAAGTAGTGGCTGTCCCATGGGGTTCTGCATTTCCCTCCCGACGGCCGTAGTGCACCTCCACCACCACCACCACCGCGTCCCCCCCGACAGGAACGTTATGGCACCCGCTGTGTCCTCCGGTTCCTCCTCCACATCCTTCAACGATTATGGCTCACGCGATTTGACGGTATGCCCTAGCTGGCGGTGACTACCTTTTCTCCCATTGTATCATATTAGCCAATCCTTAATCCAGACTTCTCTACAGGTGGCGGCTGGTACCCGCCATCTACCTCGAGCTCCGTGATTCTTCTTACCTGCGGTCATCCGCCCACATGGTGACCTCGCGATCGTCGCCATGCCCTCAGACATCCAGGTTTTCGTCAAATGGAAGGACCAGACCATATTCGCAGGAGAAGATGTCGAATGCGTTATTACCTTCAAGAACGTTGCGGAGACAAATGGAGACCCCCGTACCGGGGGCCAGTCCTCACATCAGCGGCAGCCATCTCGAGCTACGAGCTCCCATTCAGAGTCCCTGTTCTCGCTCCGATCGCCTCAGAAATTCTTCTTCAGTCCTCACCGTCGCTCATACCCTAACATACCCAAAAAGAGCCCGTCGCATCGCCCTTCCTCATCCGTGAGCTCGCCGTTGATCGGTTCTCACAGCTTTCCGCCCCCGTCGACCCCTCGCAGTGGTCCCCCTGCTGGCGGCAAGCACAAGCGCTCTGTATCTATCCTTTCCATTGATAGCGAAGGAACAGGAGAACCGACTCCCAGGACATCCTCACAATACAATCGATCGAGGCCAGTAAGAGGCCATGGACGCGCTGCAAGTCTACAGGTACTGCCGAGAAGAAACGAGTTCTATGAAGAGTCATCTGCGAAAGGTAGCCCTCTCTATAGCGCAGCGCCAGACTGTTCGATTCCTAGACTGACTGCAGTCACTTACTAGCTGGGCGCAATTCCTTTCGTGGCTTTCCAACCCCAGAGTCCCCTGTCAACTCATCCCCCGGAAACCCACGAATAGATATCGATGCAGCTGGATCCGGCGGGCCTACTTCTCAGCCCCCATTTGAGTCACCCCGTACGCCTGTGCGCCGACCTCAACTGTCGCCGATTGAATTCAAATTCCCTCCTTCGCCTGCGACCGATACACACACACGTCCTGCTCTCTCGCCCTTGCAAACCCCTCTGGATGAAAGTGCTGGCCAGGGAAAACCCAATGGCAGAGAATCGTCGACACTGACTGCACCGGGTCACTTGCCCCAACTCACCCGTATCATGTCAACCTCTAGCCTCAGTGGAAGCCACAGAAGCAGCGGGGAGTACAACTCGGTCAGCGACAACTCCTCGGAAACCCTTCAATCTGAATATACCAACTACTCAATGGCGCCACCGCGCCAGAATTTTCCTCGTCATACGCGGCACATGTCTAGTATTGAGTCCCCGGGATTGTCGCCAAACAGCCAGACCCTGCTCATGGGTTATGCGCAGATCAGCGCATCTTTTACCGTTGATGGCTCGTTGATCCATCAGTCACATTTTGAAGAAGTAAAGCGGAAAGGTGTCGTTGGTGGTGCCGGGGTTGCGCCCGGTATGCCGAGTGGAAAACCAGCCACGAGTGGCGATAAGAGTCGCAAAGGCGGTGGTTTCTGGGGTGCTTTCAAGTGGAATGCGATTGAAGAGTCGTTGACTGGTCTGCTTTCAAATAACGAGCTGGATGGCCTGCGCGATATGCGAGGTGTCTCCTCTTCCAGATCCATACCGTTGCTGTCTACAACCCAGTCGCTCCTCTTTGTCGACCTGCGACTGGCGCCAGGAGAAGAACAGTCCTACTCATTTTCCTTTACGCTACCATCGGGCCTTCCCGCTAGCCACAAGGGAAAGGCCATCAAGATATCTTACAATCTCGTCATAGGTACCCAGCGACCGAGTGGTCATCATGAACCCCAAAAAGTCAACCGGATCAGCATCCCATTCCGTGTATTCAGCGGCGTCAATGGTGAGCAGTGTTTATTTCCCCAAGACACCTGGAGTACCATTAACCCCACTACAGTCCTTGGAGATATCATGGGTCACGATCTCATGAGCCCCTACGTACTCCTCCGCGACGAGGCGCGAGTGCAGAAGGTCGGGTCTGCCCCACCACCAGCAACGAAACCCAAAAGCATCAGTGGACCGACCTGGACGTCAGCACCGCACTTTTTGTCTTACGTGGATGAAATCCTCGAGCAGAGTGCCCGGAACAATTCGCTGCAACCACCCGAGGCTACCCCTGAAAAGCGCATAAGTCGCGACGCATCGGCCGGGCCGCTATCTTGCAAGGATGCTATTGACCTTGCCATTCTCCGGAGCAACCAGGCACTCAATTCCTCGCGCAGTCCCAACCGGTTTGAGATTGCCCGAAACGGGCGCCGGATTGCTGTTGTGGTACTCAACCGCCCAGCGCACCGACTGGGCGAGACCATCATCGCGACCGTCAACTTTGCAGATGCGGCCCTTCCCTGCTACGCCCTCCGGGCGACCTTGGAGAGCTCCGAGCGGGTGGCGGCGCATTTAGCCGTGCGGTCAAATGCCAGCATCCGTCGTGCTACCCGAAAGGTTCACGCCTCCTATTTCGAAAACACGCTGTATGCCAACCGTGTGGTCTTCAGTCCGGCTATTCCAGTCGCTGCGACGCCCACAGTCATCACCACTGGAGTCAACCATGAGTGGGAGCTACGGTTCGAGTTCGTCACCAGCAGTGTGCACGATGGTCCAGCCCCTTCGGGAGCCCGCTTGCTTGAAGCGGTATCGGAAGATGATCGCGGGTGCATCATGTCCGCGTTGGAGAACCTTGGGTGTGAGTCATTTGAAGTTGCCCTCCCGATCACGATTTACGGGGAGACGGTCCGAGAACGGCTGCCCGAGGAGAACGAGGGATACTCGATATGAGATGTTGTTTGTTTCTCGTGGTCGTCTCGGGTCCAGGGTGGATACAACGGGCGATGACGGCCTTGCAGACTCTTAGTATATGTCACAATGTTAACAATGAACCATCTACGTAATGAAAAGAAATCCCACCGCCATGTTGGATGACGATGTAATAAAGGGCCAGTTTCCTTGCGGCTGAGGGATGTCGCCGGGGCAACGGACGGGGCGATTGCCAACTTGGAGGCTGCAGCACCATGGATCCGGCCTTGGGGAGGTTCCGCTTGGGGGGATCGTGGAGAAGCAGGCCGGAAATGCGATCGATATACATACTACAGTCGATCGCCCTGGGTCGCCCCTCATTCACGGTCGTAGTGTGTTCGGCCTGCTTGTTTTCCTCGCCTGGCCTTGTTGTCGCGCCGCAGTGCTCGTTGTCGGAGCGGCTCCATCGCTGATATTCAACCTCTCCTCAGTCCCCTCATCCTCTTCGTCCTCTTCGTCCTCCTCCCATTCCGACGGCCGGTCGATTTGGTTGATCCCCTCACGGTGGTGAATTTGGAACTCTGAAGCAGGTAAGACATGGACTAAGGGACTTGGCCAGCCATTCCTCGTGGACCCCATCCCCATCACCTGGCCTGACAAACACTAACTTGTCTGGCATTGGCATGTAGGCGCATTCTCCATCGCACTCTACTGTGTACGCAACGCCTATCTATCTTGACCAAGGTCACCGGCAAAACACCCCTGGCTTGTATTTGACGGAAAGAACCCTGGGAAGGAGATGGCATCCTTCATCACAACCATGTCTGTCCCCATCCCTTCTGTTTCTGCCTCGTCCGATGGTGGGCAATCTGCCCCGCCATCCTCGTCCTCATCCCGTCCCCCTCTGCCCTCCACCTCCATCCCCCCTCTGATCTGCCATGACACCGTCCATCTTTCCCATGCCCCCCTCTCCGAGCCCCCATCTTATCTATCGCCCGTAGTGCGCGCCCTGAAACAGGACCCAGCTGGACTGACACCTCCCAGCAACGCTCGGACCCGAGCCCCCTTCAAACCGCGGTCGGCGGCCAAGGGCACCACTAGTTATCAACTGCGACAGTTCGCGGAGGCGACCCTGGGAAGTGGGAGCTTGCGGAAGGCCGTGAAGCTTCCCGAGGGTGAGGATTTGAACGAATGGCTTGCAGTGAATGGTAATTCTACTCTGAGAGCTTGGGCGGTCTCAGAACAATACTAATGGTTGATTCAACGCGCAACAGTGGTCGATTTTTACAACCAAATAAACTTGCTATATGGCGCCATCACCGAATTCTGTTCTCCTCAGTCATGTCCGGAAATGAAAGCGACCGATGAGTACGAACTCCCATGATAGATGTTGGGGCAATCCCGCTGATGGTCGCTGTCTAGGTTCGAATATCTCTGGCAAGATTCGGAGAACTTCAAGCGACCGACGAAGATGTCGGCTCCGGAATACATTGAGCACTTGATGAGCTGGGTACAGAGCAGTGTCGACAACGAACAGATCTTTCCCAGTCGGCTTGGTATGTACCTTTTTGCGAACGCCAGGAGAAATTACGTGGACTACGGCTGCAGTGGATGCTAATACAACACGATCGCAATAGGCGTTCCATTCCCCAAGGTATTCCCAAGCCTTGTGCGGCAGATCTTCAAGCGGATGTATCGCGTGTATGCGCACATTTACTGCCACCACTACCCGGTTGTGGTCCACCTCGGACTGGAGCCGCACCTCAACACCAGCTTCAAACACTACGTGCTATTCATTGACGAGCACCGACTGGCGAGCGGGAAGGACTTCTGGGGTCCGTTGGGGGATCTAGTGGATAGCATGCTGCGCAGCGATTGAGGGAGGGTCGACGGGATGAGCACGAGAGAAGGGCGTTCGGGGTATTGACATTCGGGAGGGCACATTTAACTCGTAGAGGCAGTCCGGCGTTACGTAGCATGCGAGTTGGGAAATTGCATTTTGACAGAAGTCATGTCATGGAGTGTTTGTTGTATGGAGTACTGCATTGTACTTGTAGGGAGAGCTCCGGCGTAAAGATAGCCGAAAACCCGGCGTGTGCGGGATCTCACGTGACCGCTAGCCGGCAGAAGTTGGACGTCGTCCGTCCGTCCCAAAGCACGACGAACCACCAGCCCGTTGCTGCTCGCTCAATCCTCTCCCCCCGACGCCCCGTCCGTCTCGCATCCAATTCCACCTCCCTCCTCTCCTCCTCGACGTCTCCGTCCCGGTCATCATGTTCTCCGTTCGCCTCGCCCGCGCCGGCCTCCGTGCCTCCGCCCAGCAGTTCTCCGTGCCTCGCACTGCCGCCCTCAACGGTCTGAGGACCTATGCCACCCCGGCCCAGGATGTCAAGCCTCCTGTCTCCTTGTTCGGTGTTGACGGCACCTATGCCACTGCTCTGGTATGCGACACCATGACCCCATCCGTTGGTTGCTAGTAGCTCTGAGGTGCCCTGCAATGGCCCGGATCAAAGGAAGCCCAAAGCCAGAAGAGAGGGGGGGAAAGCGGACGGAATTTGGACAAGAACCCGAAATTTCGCGTCACAGCTACCTCAACAACAACAACCAAGCTTCCAAGAAACCCTTACTGACCGATTGTTGCGTGTGTGTGTTGTATAGTACACTGCCTCTGCCAAGTCCGCCAACCTCGACCAGACCTCCAAGGCCCTCGCCAGCCTCGGTCAGATCCTCAAGGCCGACCGCAAGTTGACCGGCATCCTCTCCGCCCCTACCCTCACTGTCGGTGACAAGCAGCAGATCGTCCAGGAGCTGCAGAAGGTTGCTGGCGCCGACAAGGGCGACATCCTCAAGAACTTCCTCAATACTCTGGCCGAGAACAACCGTCTCGGTCTGCTCGAGGGTATCTGCGAGAAGTTCGCGACTCTGATGGGTGCTCACCGTGGTGAGATCGAGCTGAACATCACCAGTGCTCAGGTACGTTCCTCTCAACAATCCCTTGTCTGAATGATTAAAATAGATATTAATGACTGGAAACCCAAACAGGAGCTCGACAACAAGACCGTCAACCGTCTTGAGAAGGCCGTCTCCAAGTCCGAGTACAGCCAGGGCAAGAAGCTCAAGGTCATCACCAAGGTACGTCCTTTCCCTTCCCTTCCCCCTTTCCAACCCATTCAAATCCAATACTAATACACAAAAAAACAGGTCGACCCCGAGCTCGTCGGTGGACTTGTCGTCGAGATCGGCGACCGCACCATCGACCTCAGCGTGTCTTCCAAGATCGCCAAGCTCAACAAGGCCCTCACCGACGCTTTGTAAATTATCTCTGCCTGTCAAGAATTTTAAAATTCAGAGAGATGCACATTTCATCTTGAGCGTCTCTTGAAACCCTTTTATATCTTTTTCCCCCTCACACTTTATGTACCTCTACCGAATCGATCTACCTCTATCCAATTCCATTCTTATCCCTACCTCCCTATGATTAGCATGAGCTCTAGTTCTGGAGATGAATAGACAGAATTGAGTTTTATATATATATCCAGATTATATGTATAAATCATGGTCTTATGTTGAGATTCGGGTTGAAGGGATTGTATAGTACTAGTATGTATTTTGGGTTGGAATTTGGATTAGGTTTAGTTGAAGATGAGATTTGGTGATCGTAGCGTACTAGTATCTTGGTTGATTGAGTGACCGATTGATAAAAAAGGAAAAGGATGCCGATCCGGTATCGGATGTTGAGTTTGTTCAGAGTTGTTTCATTACCACTCACTCTATTGCCACTACTACTACAAGTATGTTTATTATTTCTTCCCTTCCAAGCAAGGAAATATGAATGGTACACATAACTGGAAATTGGAATTTCAGCAAGCTAGTAATGCATTATCTGTCGCATGTTGTATGATGGACCAGCAACATATAATCTATCTAGGTGAGAGCAGGGCCCAATATCCAACTCATTCACAATAAGCAATTCCTCTTATTGTATCATCCATCAAGCAAAAAAGCAAAAGTCTCTATCTAGTATATCAATCAATGTCCATTCGGAATCCGATCAGCCTGCGTCTCGAACTCGTCCTCGTATGCCCCCATCGAGACATGACTGCGGACGCGCTCCAGTTCGCGCCCTACGTACTGGGACACGTGATCGTTGTGTTCGTCTCCCAGGCCTGACTCGCCCAGTCTCTCGTTGTCGTCCAGGGCCGACTCCGGTGCTGGGGTATCACGACCGGTAAAAGTGGACTCGAAGTCACTGCGGTTGCCGATTGACCGGCTGGTTGAAGACCGGCGCATGCTGGGTCGACGGCTACCGCCGCGGGACCGTACATTCCGTGAAAAGCTGTCGTCAAAGTAGTGTGATGCTGCGGCGAACGGCGTGCGGGGGGTATGTGGGACGCGACAGTTGATTCTGTTGAGGTTAGAGCCTGACAAGGCAAGACACTATGAATGGGGGCACCGTATGGCTTACCCTGTATCGTGGATGATCTTCGCGATCAACCCGGTCCATCCACACTGGTGAGACGCTCCGAGGCCTCGGCCAGTATCTCCATCGAAGTATTCATGGAACCACATGTAGTCTTTCCAGTGCTCGTCATAGTCGAGCAGATCGGACCCATTGTACACTGCGCGACGTCCTTCGTCGTTGCGCGCAAACAAGTGCTGTAGCCGATGCTGGATCTCCTCCGCAACATGGCCGAGGTGCATATACTCCCCAGAGCCCGTGGGACACTCCACCTTGAACGAATCGCCGTAAAACATGTAGAACCGTAGCAGGGACTCGACGAGCAGGAAATTGACACACAGCCACACCGGCCCGCGCCAGTTACTGTTACCACCAAAGAGAGCACTGTCGGACTCGCCTGCCACGTAGCCGACCCGGAACATCTGGCCATTGACTTCCATGGAGTATGGATGTTCTTCGTGGTACTTCGACATGGACCGGATGCCGTGCTCTGATAGGAATTCCGTCTCATCAAGCATCCTCTTCAGAATCTTCTCCAAACGGCTCTTGCTCACTAGTGCCAGAAGAAGCCGCTCGTCCTTACCACGGTGCTTCATACTGGCGATATTACGCTCTGCCACATCCTGTCTATTCTCCACAAACCACTCCAAACGCTTCTTGAAAGAGGGGAATTTGTTGATCAGTTCGGGCTCAAGCGTGAGAACCGCATACAGTGGAATAAGACCGACAAGGGATCGGACAGGAAGTTGCTGCGTCCAAGGATCGCCATAGGAGATGGCATCATAGTAGAACCTATTCAAAGTAAGTCATCTGTTGACTTGAAGGTCCCAATTTTACATACCCGTCGTCTTCATTCCACAAAGAGGTCTCCTGACCCCCTGACTTGAATGTCATCGCATCGCTGATCAAGATAAAATGTTCGAAGAACTTTGACGCAACTGTTCACCATTCGTCAGTGGATGAAATTCCCAAGGTGGGGGATGCTTACTGTCTTCATAGATTCGTCGGTGCTTAGCAAGTTCGAGTGCAATGTTCAGCATGCACAAGCAATAGAAGGCCATCCAGCCAGTGCTATCAGCCTGCTCCAAGACTCCCCCAGTTGGAAGAGGCTCAGATCGATTGAACAGCCCAATATTATCCAAACCTAGGAAGCCACCTTCAAAAACGTTTTTACCCTCGGAATCCTTACGGTTGACCCACCAGGTAAAATTGAGCAACAGCTTTTGGAAGACCCTTTCGAGGAAGTCGAGATCCTGTCGGCCATACATCTTCCGCTCAATCTTGAAGATCCTGAATGTCGCCCATGCGTGAACTGGAGGGTTCACATCACCAAAGTTCCACTCGTAGGCTGAAAGCTGCCCGTTAGGATGCATGTACCACTCTCGAGTGAGGATGTCTAGTTGTCTCTTCGCGAAATCAGGGTCGATCATCGCCAGCGGGATGCAATGGAAAGCCGTATCCCAGGCGCAGAAGAATGGGTATTCCCACGAATCTGGCATGGAGAGAATGTCATCCATATACAGGTGTTTCCACTGCTGGTTACGAACATGCCTCCTACCGGGAGGTGGTGGAATCATACCAGGGTCACCGTTTGCCCACTGATCCCATACGAAATGATAAAATTGCTTATTCCATAGCATGCCAGAAAAGGCCTGTCGTTGAATATTGCGTAGATCATGGCTCATGGGAAGTGGGCTGATATTGTAGTAGAAGTCGTTTGCGTCTTCTATGCGTTGCTCAATGACATTGTCCAGGACTTCTTCATCGAAGTATTGGTGCATCTTTCGTGACAGTCTGAATCGCACGACAGCGCACTCTCCAGGAGGGATTCCCTCGCCTTCGTTAAAGGCGTACCAGGCCGCAAACTTGGTGCCCTTGTTCTCAGGATTGACCGACTCCTTCTCCCCATTGACAATGAGACGATGGAAGGCATCTTTCACGTGAGGCTGGTTATTCTTGGTTTTCCAAAGAAACTCGTTGTTTGTTTCATTCTCAGTGAACAGCATCTGGGGGAAAACATCCTCCTGGCTGTCACCAACGGCCGGAGAGGGAGCGAACCGTACGTACCGCTCACCCAGCTTTTGGTGGGTGGTTTTGGCGACCAAATCTTGAACCTTTTCGACTGACGGCTTCTCTTTCTGATCCTCATAGCCCCAGGCCCAGGTGTTACGGAACCAGACTTGAGGAATGATGTGCAGAGGAGCTGGCTCCGGCCCCCGGTTATAGGCAATGATGCGGAATAGAAGCTCTTCTTCGTCATCTTCTTCTTTCGCTGTTTCGATGAAGATATCCCAGTATCGGTTGTCGTTGAAGATTCCGGTATCGAGAATCTGATACTCACGGTCTTGCTTTCCTCGTTTGGCGTTCTCTTCTACAAGCTCCTTGTAAGGAAACTTTTTCTGGGGATACTTGTAGAGGTATTTCATGTAGGAATGCTGGAAACAAGATGAAGTTAGAGGGCTGTGATTTCCATTCACCACGGTGAAGTGAAGCACAAACCGTCGGAGTATTATCAACATGAAAATGGGCTTCCTTGATACTTTCGCCATGGTTACCCTGTGGGTTTGATAATCCGAATAGGCGCTCTTTGAGAAAATCACTGGTCCGTAGTGAGCCGGTGAGATCAGAGTGTTTAGACGGGGGCAGGGTTAACGTACTCTTTCTCATTCCAAAAAGCAAAGGCAATGTTCTGTAAGTTATGGGTGTCTGAGACACCTGCAATTCCATCCTCACCCCAGCGGAAGGTCCTAGAGCGCGCATGGTCATGAGAGAAGTCTAGGGCCACCTGATCAGTCCTGGCCGCCGGCATGGAAGTGAATTGGAAGACTTACAACTCCAAGCATCTCCATTTTCTCTGGGAGCCGGCAGAAAAGCATAGGTTAGCAAATCTCGCTTGCATTAAACCAAGTTGGTCATAGACTTACGAATAATCCTCGCGAACTGTAGAAAGGTAAGGTCACCCGTCAGTCCAAGTCTTTGCCAACCGGAGACACAAGCGATAGCAAGAAATAAAGCATACCAGTAGCCCATTGTCTCTCTGCAACATATGGACCCCATCGCTTCCAGTATCGGATGTGTTCACGGTCTTCCTTGAGGCGTACCTCCTCTTTAGATACGTACTCTTGTTTATCGATGAGGACCATGGTGGGGGAAGTGGGGAAGGTCGGATTTCAGGTAGGCCAGGAAGATGTAAACACCCACCACAAGAAGGAAAGAGTGCAGAAAGAGAGGAGATTGATGAGAGGAAAATAAACCCAGAGGCCCGGAACGACAGGATTTAAGACAAGCGATAAGGCACAGGGAGGGGAGGGCGGATGAGGGGTTGGTTGCGAGAGGAACAGGGAATCGGCGGGAGCTCAGGGACGAGTGGCGGCCATGGTGGTAGGTAACACCGACATAGCTCCTGCAGGACACTTCAGAGCTCGCTCACTTATCGGTCACCACGACGGCACTAGCTGGGGAGTCATCGTAGGAGCTGTCCCAGGGTCTGGACCGTGGCTCGGGCGCTTATTCTCTGGGGACTCGTCCGCTTTCCAAGGTCCGGGGACGACTCTGACATCATTGGTCCTACCAAGCAATCTTGGTTGACGATAGGACTAGATTGCTTTTTGATTTTTTATTTCTTACTCGCTTGTGATTGATGTGATTGATCTGAACGGAAAAGAATATGCAGAGAGGATAGGGAGTATGCAGCAGGATTGAGCAAAGGGTGCGGGAGGCACTTCCTCCTCATTGGGAACAAGAGAGGTTAGTTAGTTAGTTGCCCGGATGGTGCGCTCAGATACCCGGCTACGTCGCCACCTGGAGGTTCAGGCACTGCAGGCATGCAACCCAACGGACCCCCATCGATACCGTCGGTATGTACGGAGTATGGACCGGTAATAATCAATAAGTAATATCCTCACGATGGAAACAGCATGCCGGAATCTCCCTTTTCGGCTAGCAGGTCAGATGACAGGATGCTGTGCAGCCGGCGAGATTCAATTCAATGTCGTGCTTCGCTGTACGTCCTCGTGCATACGTCGAAGGAGATCGACATCAGCAGGGGGATTCATTGGCACCCCCTCAGATAAACAGCCGTCTCATTTGGTTCGGTCAACAACCCCGAACCAGCAGAAGCAGGTATCAAATTCATGTCCCCCATTCGAAGCCTACAGAAATCCTTTTGGTCCTTTCCCCCCCCACCTCTCTCTTTTTTTGACAGTCCCGTTCACAGTATATTTAGATCAATTAGCGTACTGTCAACTCGGTCCTCTTGGAGTAAGGCGAGTTCTTGGGTTGGGACATCCCGACATCATGACGGATGCGCTTCAGTCAGGCATACGTCTTCACTATAAAATAGGCTTCCGGGAATAGGCGCGTCATCGGAAACGCCAGCCAGCGATGGTGATACCATGGATCGGCTTGTTTGATGGAGGGAATGTGTCGTCGTAGATGACGGTCTGAAGATGTCCAAGTACCGCCTGGCACCCCTTGATAAGAGAAAGTGGTGCATTGCATCCTTTCACCATTCGTTCATTGCACCGTTGAAAAAAGGTACCAGCTCAACGTGGCACTCCCATAGCGGCGAAGTAAATGATCTAAGGCTACTCCGTAGAAGGCGCGGGTTTCCCAAGGTATCTAAAAGAGGGGAAGGGGGGCAAACACTGTAGATGGATGGTTGCGATAGGGTAGGGAAATCCTCCGCTAGTGGGATTACTGTCTCTCAACCCCACAATTGCGATCGAGTCAAGGACGTTGGCGACGAAATGATGTGCGATTTTGCAGCCACACGTTATCTGCCCAAATCGTGATGCGGCCTGCATGGATCAAGTAGCTAATACGGATCGCCCTATATTACTCCCACAACCCTGGCATCCCATGTTGACCTCGTATGTCGCACTGGTGCCAAAAAAAACAACTCGATTGCAATATGCATTTGAAATCGATCTGTCAGTCCAGACACACCCGTGCGATATACGTACGTATGCCATACACAATAAATGAGTCTAAAAATAGGACGGACCCGGGACGTCCGATTCTGATTATAGCCGCGTTACGTGGCTGACGGGCATCGACGCCGGTCTTTCGCTTTTTCTAAACTGGACTGGAAGCCCAGGAAATCGAAAACCGAATAAAAGCCCACATATTGACTATATAAATAATGATAGCAATATTTAACGCCACAGTTGACTTGAGGTGCCCTCCTGTCGCTCCTGACCTGCGGGATCGTGGGATGGCGTGGACAGATGCAGATTTGACCGCTATCCAATATGCCAGGCCAAGGACCGACAGGAGAGTAGCACCGGCATTGTTTCCCCTTCGACGCCTGATCGGCATCGATGCGATGGGGGGAAGACAATGACGGGGTGAACAAGCCAACCGAACCGATTTCTCCAGACCTGCCCGCCATATGAGGATATATAAAAGATAATAGCAGTGAAGTCGAATCCATTGAAATCTCCCATCCCGAACCTTGACCCAAATTATATGCTGATGTTGGCCGACCATGGCCCGGGGTATGCAGTCATGAGTTACGGCCCTTACCGCGCTGTTGTTGTTCATCGCCGCTCGAGTACTGGCCTGCCGATTCCGTGGGAGATGACGAGGTGGATGCTAAGAATAGGATCGGTTAGGGATGCTGATATTCGTGGCGGGTGTTCAATGGGCCTCACCTGATGATTGATAGAATCGCTCTCCTCGTTGTGCTGACTGGTTCCTTGAGTTGTTTCCATCGAGGATTAAAGACTGTCGGGCCTTGAGACGTTCCTCGGCCTCCCGGATCTTGGCCTGGAGTTGCTCCAATTCTCGCGTCTGGATCATCATCTGGTGTCTTCTACAAGTGGGTAGCTTGTCAGTTCATGTCGCAAGATCGCACCGGTCACAGCCCAAGTGGAACCTACTTTTGATCGATGGTCTGTGAGAGGTGATTGACATCGGAATCGAGCGAAAAGGCGCTATCCAGCGCAGTCGAGAAGGCCTGTGCCATGGTCCTGCCATGTCTTGGTCAACGCCAACATTCTGAGACCAGAGGGGCCGCGAAAGAGGAGTACGAACGACTGCGGCCGACGGCTCGGCTTCCATTCCTGGTCGAGTTCTGCGTCGGACATCTTGTTCGGTGGTTCTTAGAACGTTGGTGATAGGGTGACGATATGAATGTCTGGAGACAAAAGGGGGTAGATGGGTATGGGAATTGGGGGAATAGAAAGAGGGAAAAAGGAGTATGTGAAATGAGGTTCAAGACGTGGAGGGATTGGAAGCGCGCGCGTCCGGAACGGAACAGGGGTTATTAAGTGGATATGATAGCACGGACGGGGTGGACCTTGCACCTTGGGTATGGAGTGGGCGAGTGGACGAGATGAGGTACAAAAATCACCGAAGGTTCCTGGAATGATCGAAGCTTTGATGACAGAGACAGAGACAAGACAGACTAGGACCAGCCGGGAGTCGATCTATCTAAGTATAAGAAAGGGGCAGGCAGTGCGATGGCTGGGGGCAATCGGCAAAATTGCAGGCGCCCGTCGCACTACTGGAAGGAACCAGTTTTGAGTTATTGTACGGAGTATCGAGTCCGATGGGGGGGGATGGATAATGACAGGGGCTGCACGATCGGCGGGGATGACGATGGCAGGCGCTGGGGGGGTCGAAGTGGGATGGATGCAGGAGTGTCCGTGGGTTAATTTCGCAGCAGTAAGCAACCGGGAGTACAAGGCGTGTCCAGCATATTAGAAGACTCTGCGATGGCGGTGATGACTGAAGGGATGGATGGATGTCAAAGAACCCTCGCTTTGGGTAAGTCGAGTCCCATCCATGGGATGGGTCGGGGTCCGCGATTCCCTCGGAGGGTAAATAGTGCAGCTCCTGTCCCTCACTAGTCGGGCGTAGGCAGTGGTTGGCGATGGAGCTTTCCAAGGGTGCCCCTGAGTCTGTCCCGGCTCCATGACACCGTCGTCAGGTTCTCCACCAATGGGAGGAGCTGTATCACGTGAGATGGGATCCCCCCTGTTTGAGGCTTTGGCCTTACTGCCACTCGCCCCTCTTACTGCCACCAACCACCTTGTTGCGTTTCCTCCTCTCATCACAAAGCCCAATCAGATCCATTTTGATATGGGGTCTTGCAATCGACTCCCGAGGACGGCCGCCCAGGTTAGATGCCTACTATCGACTATCTGCTACGAGGTTGATGATCTTGTGGTTGTCCAACGACTCCGCTTTATTCCATCGATTTCAATTGCGATCACGCACTCCACCTGTCTCACCCCTTTACACGTTCCCCGCACTGCTGCCCTGCTGCCGGTGTCAGCGTTCACGTCAATTTGGATGCCGAGAATCATCCCGAATCATCCACGATGATTTGCTTTTTCTAGTGTTCTAGCTGAAGATGTTGGCTGAGACCAATGAGGATGGGGAAAGCCACCATGGTTGGCCAACCCGGCTATCGATCCGTTCCCACGTCGCTTTTGGCAGAATCATACCGTTTAGCCCGTCGGGGTTATGCATGCCACTACGGGAGCGGCTATCCAACCTGTCGATCTTTCTTTTCTTACTTTCACATTGGCTCTCTTTGCCAGAAACAGAAAGGCATTCGACCTAAAAGGGGAAGCGGGTCAGAATTATTGAGCCAGCATCATTTCCCATGAGCTGATTGTAATTCAGAGTGGAGAACGTTTGATAGATCTGTTCATGCCCAGAAACCGGTCCTGGATTTGTTCTTTTATCTGACCTGGTCCTTCCTGTCCTTTAAATGGGGAATGAATAACATATCACAGATATGCTGGTTTATTCATAGGGACCTGCATACACTATTTGACCAGTCAATGAGGGGCTGTGGTCCATGGCCTTTCGCTATGGCTTGTTCAACCCATGCCCCTGGCCACCCATTATCTTGAACATGAGTTTGTCAGTCGACTCTGGCCAACCCCGGGCATGCTCGACACTCACCGTGACCCAGGTTGGAGGATATCGCTTTCAAACTTGACGGACTCAGCAGTATTACCGCACCAAACTGCCTGCTGAGCCCTGAAGGATCCCTGAAGTCTCTCGAGTAGTCATCGGATTCAGTCTTTCCACGCCATTGTGGCTACCGGCCCTCACGTCAATAATCCCTCGATGGACTTAAAGAATATTCGGGAGCTTGAAATCACCAATTCACGTCTGGCCATTGTTTTCACCAGGCCTGTCACTATTGACAGAACACGTCCTGAGCGGCGCAGCGGAGGGTATCCGTAGTGATGTTATCAGAGCGTTTGGAGGCAGGATATGTGCCCGCGCTGCGACCCCAAACGTTTGTTTTATGTAGAGCCGAGTTCTGACCAACCTCTCATCTAGTATCGGTGTCCAGTGGTTGGGTCCGTCGTTGACAAGACAATCGAGTGTACCGGTGTGAGCTTTACCTCAACAACAGCTACAGGGGATTTCTATAGCACCTAGAAAAAGTGTGGTGACATTCGGAGACTTTAGTTTGGATATCTTTCTCGATGGTGGGTGGTAGCGAAGACATGGAGGTCTCGCTCTGTAGAGACCAGGGCGACAGTAATCCGAGGCACCCTCACTGCACCTAACGACATACGATCAGTTACGATTCAGCATGTTGTCCAAGGCGAGCAGATGGGACACAGTATCTTCGAAGAATCAATACTACCCAACACAAACACGACGATAACAAAGGAAGGTGGAAGGATAATACTGATCGAACTTGGATGAGACCAGACGGCTCCTGCTAATAAGGTATGATTATCAAATAGATATCATATCTGAAGCGCATCCTTAGCAGGATCGCTAAATCCTTAGCCTCTGGGCCCTAAGTGCGATTGGACAGGCAGCTTCACCTTGAGCCGTCGGTCTGAGGGAATTCGGGGACACCGGCCATACGTTTCTGCATTGGAACTTGGAAGACTAGCTAGGTACATGAGAGAACGGAGTTAATCTCCTCGACAACATGTCCCACCCACAGCATCCTGTCTCGACTTGACTAATCTAGGCCCCACCAGCATGTCTTTTGTCAATTGCTAGTAGATCCAGACAGAGATGGTGTCGGTGATCACTAGCAAGTAAGAGATCTGGACAATGACTGGACAGGAAGAGGTAATGTAAGACAATACTTCACTATGCCATCTTCTCTTCGAGCTGTTTGTCACTCCTTTTTCATAGTATGTGTCCTCCGACATGAAGATAGGTGGCCGGCCAAGCTATCCAGATCGCCTCTAGGCCCCCATTAGGTCTTACGCCTCCCTTAAGCTAACGCCACTCTGCCTAGCTCAACCACCAATGGAGACATCGGACATAAGGCATAGCCCCGACTCCTTCGGAGGTGCGAGGTGGCAGTCCTGAGGTGTCGGGCTGCCCCGCTATTTAGACCCCTCCATCCCTCGCTCAATTCCTCTCTTCTCCCACTTCACACTTCCATCCCCCTTTGAAATCCAATTCCCTTCAATCAATCAATCCATCTATACTTCATCATGACTTCTCTTCCCCCCAGAAGCTGCTGCTACCAGGGCGTCAAGCACGAAGGCGAAGCCACCGGTAGCTTTTCCAAGCTCAATGACTTTGAGATCTACACCAGCTACCCGGCCGACAAGTCCACCGAGTACGGTGTCTTGATGTAGGTGCCCAATGGTCTCATTTCAATGTTCTAGCTAATTGATCCAGCATCACCGATGTCATCGGCCACCGCTTCATCAATGCCCAGCTTATTGCCGACCAATTCGCCGCCAATGGCTACTTTGTCATGATGCCCGATCTCTTCTACGAGGACGCCATTCCCCTGAACCGCCCCGCCGGTTTCGATCTCATGGCTTGGTTGGGTGGCGAATACCACAAGGACAAGAAGGCTCACACTGCCGAAGTCGTCGACCCCATCATCGAGGCTTGTCTCAACGAGATGCGCACCAAGTATGGATGCAAGGTACGGCGTCCATCTATTGGGGAGAATGAAAGATGGAGAAGCTGACTGCGATCAGAAAATCGGTGCTGTCGGTTACTGCTTTGGTGGCAAGTACGTCGTGCGTTATCTTCGGCCTGGCCAGATCGATGCCGGATACACCGCGCATCCTTCCTTTGTCCAGGAAGACGAGCTGAGGGGCATCAAGGGTCCTCTGGCTATTTCTGCCGCGGAAATCGACCCCATCTTCCCTGCGGAGAAGCGCCATGAGTCGGAGGTGATTCTGAAGGAGCTGGGCCTGCCTTACCAGATCAACCTGTACAGCGGTGTTGAGCACGGCTTTGCGGTCCGCGGTAACCCGGAGAAGCGGACGGTACAGTATGCCAAGGAGAGTGCTTTCCTGCAGGCCGTGCAGTGGTTCAAGGAGCACCTGTAGTCTACTTCTGATGGAGTATATGATATATGAGATACCTTGAATATGATAGATTCTTGCTATGTATGGACGACTCATCTGATAATATCATCGGTGTCAATCAGACCATTACAGAGGATAGCCATTGAATGGACTTCAAAGCCAGCCAATCGCAAAAACCGACATAGTCGAGGGTGTCAAGGGTTACGTGCCTTTTGGCCTTCTGGCTATGACGAGTCATTCGACTTCCGGGGTTCTCCAGCATCTATTGGGTTTGGGTAGATATAGTTTGCATAATCTTATCTTTCTGTTCCCACCTCTCTTCCCCCTGTCTCTCTTCTTTTCTTCTTCTTCTTCTTCCTTCAAGCTCCAGATTTCTCCATCTTCTCTTCTTTTGACTCTCATCTGTTCCTTACTCTAATTCTGTTTCAATTTTTTCCTATTTTTTTTAAATCAAACAAGAGGTAAATCACATTCGCCGTCATAAGCAGATGTCTTAGCTTCGAAAGAATTCCAATACCAGAACAGCCAGACTACAAATAGAGTGTACAGCACGTGGGCAATATCCACTATTCTGACTCTATTCTCCAATGTATCCACCACCGGAAGAGTACAACTCCCCACCAATGAGAAGCGAGGATGATAGCGTCAGTGTCATTGGCAGGGCGTGAAGCCGACCTGGTCCATGCGGGGATCGTATAAAACCTCCTTATGCGGGGAATCTATTCTTTTTCCCTCCATTGTTCGTTTTCCATCTAAACCCACGCTTCAACTGAAGCTGCAATCAATCAATTAAACATGGTCAACCTATCCGACCCTGAATCCTTCCATGAAAAGCCTCCCAGTGAACAATCAGCGTCAATTTCCCCTCCCCCCCTCGACCACGGCAAAGATGCCTGGCTCTTCCTCGCCGCCTGCTTCATCATGGAAGCTCTAGTCTGGGGGTTCGCCTTCACCTACGGCGTTTTCCAAGACTACTACAGCACTCTTCCCATATTCCAAAGCTCCAACAGTATCGCCATCATCGGAACCTGCGCCATGGTACCTCCCTCTCCTCCCCTCCCTTCCTTTCCCCCCGCCAAACTAACCCCCAAACTAACCCCCCAAACCAGGGAATCATGTACCTCGACCTCCCCATCATCTTCATCCTCTACCGCCAATACCCCACCCTCCAACGCACCGGCTGCGCCCTCGGCGTCCTCCTAATGTGTCTCTCTCTCGGCCTCAGTTCCCTCTCCACCAAAGTCCCCCACCTCATCCTCACCCAAGGCATCTTCTACGCCATCGGCGGCAGCATCGCCTACGCTCCCTGCATCCTCCTCATGGAAGACTGGTTCGACAAACGCAAAGGCCTCGCATTTGGCGTCATGTGGGCCGGCACCGGTCTGGGCGGAGCGATCCTTCCCATCGTCATGCAGCGACTTCTCGATCTCTACGGGTTCCGTACCACGTTGAGAGCATTCGTCATCACACTCTTCATTCTCACTGCCCCGTTGGTATATTTCGTCAAACCAAGAGTTCCTGTCACAAACCCTAAACGGTTTTCACTCCCCAACCTACGATTCCTCGGTTCCAGCACATTCCTCCTCTTCCAGGCATTCAACACTATCGAAGCCCTAGGATACTTCCTCCCCTCGCTATACCTCCCCACTTACGCCCGATCCCTCGGCGCATCCTCAACCCTAGAAGCTATCACAGTCATTCTCCTCAACGTTGCCTCTGTGGCGGGATGTGTAGGCATGGGCGCCATCATTGACAAATTCGACGTCACGACATGCATTCTTGTCTCGACTATCGGATCAACCCTAGGTGTATTTCTCCTCTGGGGATTCTCCGTCTCCTTGCCCCCATTACTCATCTTCGCCATCGTATACGGTCTCTTCGCAGGCCCGTACACGAGTACCTGGCCCGGGATCATGCGAGACGTGGTTCGAAAAGAAGCATCCGCTGAATCCAGCATGGTATTCGCATGTTTAGCTGCTGGTCGGGGGGTTGGGAATATAGTCTCCGGCCCATTGAGTGAGGCGTTACTCGGGGAACGACCATGGACAGGAGAAGCGGGATATGGCTTTGGGAGTGGGTTTGGGTCCCTGATTGTGTTTACGGGCGTGACGGGAGTGGTAGGGGGTGGGGGGTGGGTGGGTAGGAAGATGGGGTGGTTATAGTAGTAGGATGGAATCGCACATCATATACTTGAAGAAATTGAATATTATTTGATTAGTCATTATCGTTGGCGTTTTGAGTTTCATGTATAGTATTGTATAGTATAGACCTACTACTATTACTATTACTACTACTACTACTACTACTGCTACTACCACCACCACCACCACCACTATTACGATACGGGGTATGTACTAGATAGATAAAGTATAGAATCTAAGAGTACGATGGTGCGGAGAATACATCACGATGGGTGGAAGACCAAGGGAGAACCTGAATGGTTCAATCTCAGATATTCATATTCATTCACGACTCAACATCACAGCCAGAAAACAGACAAGATTATTACAAGCGCCCCCGAGTATTCAAAGTAGCCCCCTTAGCAGTATCTAAACAACTAGTGTCAGGTGGACAGGTGGGGGTGAGATACTGAGATGTTGGTTTCATTGTGGTGCTTCATTCAGGCAGACACTAAACAAGGCTGAAGGGGGTGGGGGTGGGGGTGGTATGAGACTGGCGTGAAGGCTGAAAGCTCTTATGTGGTTTTAGTCGGGGAATTTGATATTGTGTGAAATCTTCCGGGTAAGGATGTGTCCTTTATGCTTAGTAAGGGGGGTGTCCTTAATTTACTGCAGTTGCAGTTACTGATATCTGTGATCTTTCTTGCAGAAGTATATGCATCTGTTATGGCACTCTCGGTTCGGTCTTGGACCGCGGCGGGGCTTTGTCGAGTCATTTTGATGGAGGTCAGGCACTTCTGGGCGCAATAGAGTCATGATGCGGTGAAGGGGGAGATCAGCCTCGTGGTACACTGTTGAGATCCTTTGTGCTTGTTGCCGCATGTAGGCCAATGCTTTTAAAAGGGGTTTCTCACGTATCACCCGAGACTTTCCTTTCTCTCTGAGGCTGATTGTTCGAGGGGTTGGTTAGTGTGAATAGGTTGACCGGGAATGAGTCCTTTCGGTGTGAAATGGCCGAGTCAAGAGGCAGGTGTTGGGTCTGAAGTGCGCGCTTAGTCACACGTTCCAACCATTACCTGCCCTGGATATAGACGAGTGCAGCTAAAAATAAAGATGGCTGAGTGCCGTATCAGGCTTTACCATGTGATTGGTGACACCCATGGATAAGACTTCCTTGAGCGCCGACGTAGTCACTATCGTCAGAGAAAGTCCGGAAGGGAGTCTTACGAAAGGGCTCCATCTCTCGGCGATTAAAGATTGAGCAATGATACTAGTAAAAGACTGACGCATAGACGACTCGCATCATAAGATATTCCAATGGGTATTGGTCCAGAATGTCCGGGACGAGCTCGAGCCAATTAGGCTTCAGTTGGCAGTAGAGGATCGAGTTGCAAGAATCCCAAAACTCAGGATACTAGCCAGACGAATTCCAGTCAATTAGAGTAACTTCGAAGTCGTTGCTTCCATCCTCCCGCAATCCACACCGTTCGACCATTATGTTCTTAGGTTGAAGGTCCCTGTGTGTGAACACAATCCTATGACCTTTGAGCGTGCGATCGACCATGCCTTGCAAGAGTCGAATGTAATGTGGTGACTGGCTCTGACCTATTTTCCGCAATATTGCTTGGTTCATTTCTTCCTGGTTCTGGAACGGCCCGGAAATCATTGGATTGTTATGTGGACTGGATAGAACACCGTCGGCATAAGGCTTGTGTGTCAAGTTTCCAAAGTATCCTTATGGTGAGATGCACCGCAAGTCATCTATGGCGCTTTTAACCCGGCTACTGACCGTCTTCTTCTCCACCAATGTGAGCGACAGCAAAAGCTTCTCGAGATCAGTACCAGGAACATAATCCATGATGATGTATCTCTTCCCGGTTTCGTGATCGACAAAGTGATCATGAACCTTTGGCACTGGAACCCCACTGTTAGCCGCAACAAATTTCATATTCTCTGCCTCTAATGCCGGAATAGTATATCCAATTTTGGATGCGAATCAATCTCCGACTCGAACAACTTTGATAGTGTTTGTTCGGACACTCAGGACATCGGCTGGCGCTTCGATCTCGGCAACCGTGGGTAAATGAGTTTTGTCATGCATGATAGTGACCATCCTGGAGACTGTGATAAACTAACAGTTATGGGACAGATGATCAATAGGACGAGATGAACAAGGAAAGGCCGGGGGAGCCCAGGTTCATTTATACAGTTGTGCAAACAAATAGATACATGTCGCTTATCGCAAGCTTACTAATCGAGCAAGCCCTCGAATGATGAATGATTCTTGTGGAGGTTCCCAACCCATTGACATCGCGCATGCCCATGCCTGTCGCAAGGAAGGCTGGACGTCAGTACTCTCTCGGAATTTCTTCAGACGCAAATGTACGGAGTAGGGCTTGATCATATGATGATGATTCTTCTGACGACGGTTGGATCTCCAGCCAATCTCACCTCACGGGATCATGGGGAGCTAGGATTTAGGGCTGTGCATCCATGGCTACTTATATCGGTGCTAAGCCCCTCACATGTGGTTCCGACATGCAAACTCTTAGGCTGCGCCCAACACTGGAAGGAAAAGCTTTTGGAATTTGCTGGTCAGCGTAATTGAACGTATCGGAAATGCGAGTTCCAATTGAAATCCTCCGCCAAATCATCCAGAGTGCCGTGGATCTAGTTCCAATCCTGGATTTGTTTCAGGCCAGATTGGTCAATAGTATGTGGCCTGTCGGCAGTCCCGTCCAGAGTGTCGCTTACGAATGGCAGGTTTCTTTGATGAGGAGATCATTACATTCTTTCTGGACAGTCCGCGCTCGGAGGAAGAGGGGTTCTGCTTCCCCAAGTCGTGCCGCACTAATAAGGCGATCAAAGGACGATGGACGGGATTTCCAGATCGACTTAAGCGCTTATATCTCTACCGCAAGATTCGGGACCACCCCCGCAGCCCATGTACCTTTACATGCTGGTTACAGCAGGTGCTGGATCATCACTTAGGTGATGCCCCCCTGCAGCAGCAAAAGGACGAGCTAATAGCAAAGGTGGTCGATGTTACGATATCGGGCCACTATGAGCCAGCAAACATGTTCAGTCCCGAACGGTGTGAGTCGTGGATGAAAGATTCTCGGTCGGGGCACTGGATCTCAATGGACCTTTCCATTGCCACCATCCTGGCCTGCAGTGCCATCAAACGGGGGGATTGTGCGGGGTTGCAGACGGCACTGCAGAATGGATTGGAAACGGATAGACCGTGTCTACGCTTCGGAATAATGCCGCTAGATGTCGCCGCAAGGACAGGGAACAGAGACATTGCTCGAACACTGGTGGAGCATGGATGTCCCATGTGGTACGATGTAATCTGGAATTCCTGCTGTGTGGTGGCGGTGTCTGCGGTGGCCCGAAACAAGGAGGCGCTGGAGGTCTGGGTGGAGCATCTCTATCAAGAGCATCCCAACTCCATTACACCTGAATGGGAATGCAGACAAGCGATCGAGAAATTGGCACGTAGAGGAGATATAGAGATGATGGGGTTCATGATGGAGCTAATCCCCACAACGCAGAGAAACCACATTGAGGCATTGGGGGAAGCGATTAGTGCCGGCCAATTTGCAGCAGTGCAATGGTTGTGGACACATCTTGATACCCCCATTGACGCCAATCTAGGCAGGAGGTTATTATATCACGCCTTAGATGACTGCCCGCCTGATCAAAGATTGCGAATGGTGCAATTCCTCCTGGAGCATGGGATTGACCCGAATGTAAGGGCCCAGTTTTATACCCCATTACAAACAGCCGTGGCAGCAGGGGAGGTGGGAATTGCCAAGATGCTGGTGCAATACGGAGCCAACGTCAACCAACATCCTTGGGACTCTCGGTTTAGCAGACAGCCACCGCTGATGATGGCTGTCCGGCAAAGATCCCCGTCTCTAGTCCGACTGCTTCTGGAAAACGGGGCTGATCAGGCGTATACCTGGAAGCGCAAGAAATACACAGTACACCATGGAGTGAAGCAAGTGCGTAATGTGGAGAAAGTGTTGAGGGAGTTGGGGTGGGGTGAGGAGGAGGTGAAGCAAGACACGGGGGACTACTGGCTGCTTCGGGAGAAACTCCCGGGGAGGCGCACGTGACCGTGCGGCAGCCCGGCGCGGGCTTGCTGGGCGAAGGTTACGCCGTTACGGTGTTGATGCCAGAAAGGCATCATCCCTTCCGCCATCCACTCACCCACTCATCCACTCTCCCTTCCATCCCCATCCTGTTCTGTCCCCCGTCCTTTCCATCCTTTTTGTTCATTAATTCGCTACCTCTGTACGTAAGCCAATTTTAGCTCCTGTTTCCTCCCACGGTTTCCCCAACCTTGACGGGTCGTCTCTCTCCCTTCCCTTTCCTCGCTCGTTTTTTCCCGGGTCGCTCCCTTCATTTTTCTGCGCGCATGGTCGGAACCGCCACCCCGACCTGTCCCATCGCGTTTTTCCGGCCTGGTATTTCAGGTGTCCATCCTTCAGCTGTGCTAATACGAGGGCTGGCCTCGTCGACTGCGCTCTTTGGGCCGACAATCTGCGACGACTCCTACCACCGTGGCCCCCATTCCTCTCTACTACCCCCCCAGTGGCCGATCCGACGGGCAATGGGGGATGCCTCCTCTATCCGCCTACACGCCCTTTGAGTCGCTCCTCTTCTTCCAATCGCTTGCCGGCCTCGATACGCCTCCCGCAAACTTCGCCTCTATTTCCGATGTTCTCCGCAACAATCCCTTCATTCAACAGAATGCCGCCTATGATGCGGGCAGGCTCGCCCCCGAAGCCTTGGAAGATCTTTATACAACCCTGATGCGAGATGGCGTGGATTCCATCACATCAGGTCCGAACGGCCATCATACGGAGAGCTCCGGTGCCAACAATTCCAAAAAGCGCAAAATATCCAGTCCTCGACCGGATGGGTTGGCGGACAAGGCCCTGAGCCATGTCAGCATGGTGCCAGGACTAGTGTCGCATCTGTACGCCCGGTATAAGGAGCTGGTGACCCGGGAAATCAGGAACGAGGAGCAGCGATACAAGGAAATCAGAGAGGAGATTGAACAGCTACAAAGGGAGGAGGTGGAAGCTCCTCCGGAGCCTGTGACAAGACCAACTCCAGCGCAGCCGATTGCACCGGCGCAGCCAGAGCCGGCGCCACAACCAATGGACGTGGATGTAAAGGGAGAGAAGCCCATTCCTCAACCTCGTGGAGAACCTATGCACATCGCGATACCGGCGGTGGGGGGGGACGCAAAGCAGCCACAATTGGAACCGCCGCGCAAGGACCTAGAGAGCAAGCAACCAGCAAAACCAGCACCGCGCCCACCGCCTACACCCCAACCTGTGCTCGCGCAACCCGCGCAGCCCGCGCCGCCGGTCCAGGCTGTCGAGCAGCCTCCGAAGGAACAGGAAAAGAAGATCCAACCACAGCCACAGTTGCCTCAGCAGCTGCCGCAACCGTCACCTCGGCCCCAGCCCAGTCTTCAACCGGCGACCGCCCGCCCATCGCAGCCACCGGTTCCGAATGGAAAAGTGTTGGCAGCATCACAACCACCGCTTGTGCCCAGGAATTCCCCTGCGAACCATGCACCAGTGAACGCGCCAATTACGCCGTCGCCAAGATCATCCACTGCTGCAACGCCTAGTGCTGGGGTCGCGCGCCCTCCCGCAGTCACACCCTCTCAAGCTCCGCCAAAAGTCAGTGTGTCAATTCCTTCTACCCCGCAACAGGTTCCTCCCAGCAAACCTTCTATCAAGGAGACACCACCGGTACCAGCCGCTAGCCCAGCTCCTCAGCGCCCTCTACCCCAGGCTAGTTTCCAACAGTGGTCGTTGAACCAGCCCCCGCAAACTCCTCAGCCTCCCGCATTTCCGAAGCCGAAACCCGAACCAACAAATATTGCTGGTGCTGGACGGCCGGTCCAGTCTCCCGTACCTCCTCCCATCCCAGCTTTTGAGAGCAAGAAGGCACCTCAACCCCCTCGACCAACGCCAGTTCCCTCGACCCCTGGTCCTGTGCCCGCGACAGCCCAAACGCCAGCTCATAATGTCCCACCGCCAGTGTTTCAGACACCAATTGGCCCGGCACAGGCATCAATCCTTTCGCGGCCGACCAGTGCCCGGCCTCGGCCTACGATTGATACAGGTTCTCTGACACCTGGCTCGATGACGCCATGGAAGAAGACCCCACGGTTAAGTATCGCTATTTCTCCTCGTTCACCCGAGCGGCCACGACCAGAGGAGATCAGTCCTATCAGTGAAAAGGCACCATCTCTGATGGGATCCCGGGAAGCAACGCCGGAAGAGCCTGAGCCTCGTCGCCGAAAACGCAGGTCTGAAGCCAAGAGCAACGGAGCTAACGATCAGACCCTATCGATTGATTTGGATCACAAAGGAGGGCCAAAAAGGAAAGGCGAGAAGTCATCGCTGTCCACTGGAAAGGATCGTGATCGAAGCACGGCTTCATCCAGAAGTCGGGGTCGGTCAGTGTTGTCGCGTGATGAAGAGTCCATGGCAGATGCGGGCTCTGGGAAAATCAAGCATGAAGTACCCAGTACCCCGGCTGGTGTCTCTGAAACTGCTGAACCCGAACGGCCTTCTGTCAGTCGTCCTGGCAGGGGGCGACCCAAGCGCAAGCGTGCTCCGAGTGAGAGTCTCGAGGCCGAACCTTCTCAGCCGGAGTTCACCCAGCTGAGTCGCCTTGACCCCAATATGTCGTCGACGTACGTGGTATGCGCGCGGAATTTCCCCCGCACCGGGGCTCCTATCATGAACGATGTGACCACGCACAAGCATGCCTCGATCTTCACCAAGCCGTTGACTGAACGTGACGCTCCGGGATACCGCGATCTCATCTATCGACCGCAAGACCTCAAGTCCATCAAGTCGCTGATCCACCAGGGCAGCAGGGCACTAGCCGCAGCCACCGAGGCCGCCAGCACGCCGGCAGGAGATGGGGAGTCACCAGCTCCTGGTGTCGGAACCCCATCGAAGAACGCTGTACTTATGCTGCAGAAGACCGAGGACGTCATACCTCCAAAGGGGGTGGTCAACTCCGCCCAGCTGGAGAAGGAACTGATCCGCATGTTCGCCAATGCGGTGATGTTCAATCCCATTCCCCAGCGTGGCTTTGGGCCCGCCTTCCCCATGATCAGTGACAGCGGTTCGCGAGAAAGCACACAAGTCCCCGAACCCGACGAGGGCGGGATCATCAAAGACACACTGGAGATGTTCGAGGACGTCGAACAAGCGGTCACGAGATGGCGCGCCGCGGAACGTACAGCCGACGAGCTCGCTAGCAAGAGCATCCTCGCGCTTCGGCGCGGGAGTGCCAGCGATCTCAACACCGACAGTGCGGATGAAGTCAAGGGCTCATGATCTCTTGGACGATCTAGGATCCTTAATGTAACATTACACGAATGGAAATAGACGCATCTTTTCCTCATACCCTTACGTCATGTTCTATTTCATAATCATAAGCTTTTGTATCTCAGCCCAGTCCATGATCGGCTGAACCCGAATCAGAACATCTATAGTCATATGCATCATGCAGAATATTCACTTGAAATCATTATCCTCACCAGGCCATTCATTTATATAAAACCAGAACCCTTATGCAGTGATAGCCTGACTCGGTTTCGTCCGTCCCAACCCCTCCTTGGCATAGAAGTCCATCGGATAGACGCCGTTGTTCGCCGTATCCCAACTTTCCTTCACACCAAGGGCAATCAAAGCCTCGTATGGTGTTAAGAGGGGTCTCGAGAACGCGTATCCCCAATCGATACTCAAACGGGGACAGGCAATTTGCACCCAACACTCGACATCGGACATGGAGGCCAACTTTCCAGGGAAGATTTCACTAAGCAGGAGGTTGACGAAGGGGATTCCGCGCTCGTTCAGATGATTCTCGATCATGGCCATGGTGTTAGGGTTTCCCTGTCGGCCGAGGGAACCGAGAATGATGCCCCATTTCTTGGCCGACTTGGCGGTGTTGATTGCGTCGCGGCGTAGGGTGTGCATTTCGTCGTGGACGTAGGTCTCTCGTGACAGGGTCCGGGAGTAGGGATCGTAGCGGTAGGCGGGGATGGCTGGGTTATGGATCATGGCGGATTCGAGGTGGAAGCGGCCGTCGCCGAGGTAGAGGAGGATGTCGACTTCGTCGGCGGAGAGGGTGGGGGAGGTGCAGCCGAGGATCTCGCCCTTGGAAAGGGGCATGATTTGTGGGATGAGAACCTTGAATCCGGCGCGCTCGAGAACGGGTTTAAGGCCGTGGAGGGTGGCGTTGAATTGGATGGTGCCGACGGTTGCGATGGTCTTGCCGGGTTGGAAGTTGCGCTCGAGGGTTGCGATAAGGTGGGTGGTGTCGATGCTGATATCCACGAAGATGTAGAGGGTTTTGATCTTGGTGACGTCCACGGGGATCAGACAGCTGTGGGCGTAGTGGACAAGGAGGTCGCAGCCGAGAGCCCGTGCTGTGTAGTCGTCGATGCAGCAGGCGCCGTAGGTGACATCGCCCATGATGAGGGTTTCGATACCCGGGCAAAACTGTGTCAGGATGTCGGAGATGGTGGTCGCGAAGATGAGGAGACCTTCGGGGAATTGGAGCGCCACGCGCTTTGCGCCGGAGGAGCGGATGCGGTGGATTGTCTTGGGGATCTCGAAGGAGTAGTTGCGCGGGAGGAGTTCGATGGCGGCGATGATTTCGGGGTCTTCGAGGATTTCAGGAGGGACTTGGTTTAGGGTTCGGGGTGTGCGCCGGGGGGCGGCTGAATGCAGGTGATGGTGATTAGTCGTTGTGCTTGAAGAAAAAGGCATATAGGTTGGCGAGGGAGGGGTGATCTGCACTCACATTTTTGTATACTGGTCGACTCGACATCTTGGGCATTGGGGGTGTCTTTTTGTGCCTGGGCATCTGCAGTCCGTCGGCCGACAAACCTCTTCTTGGGCTGTCTCAAAGGAGCGCTCGAAGGCGCAGAATCTGCTGGTGTATCGCTCATGATGCAAGTGAGGGTAATTAAGGAGGGGAAGAGTGGTGGTGAATAATGATCTCCAAGTGGGAGATGGATATTTTATGATGAGTCAGCGGGCGGGTCAGGTGGGGTCGCTCGGGCGGTTCTCCGCATTCCGTTGCATCAGTTCATCCGGCATCTCCTCCTCCTCTTCCCCAGGGAGCTGCGGTTCTTCGCTCCTCGCTTCACCGAGTGAATTCCTGGAATATTCGAGCTGTCTGAACCTCATACTATCCAACTCCTCAAAATGATGAAATTTCGGCCGAGACTGTGTCTATTTTCCGCCTTACGGACAGCGCCAGCACGCCGCTGCTTTGCGACTGAGGCGCGGTTAACGTCGGATCATGTCCGCATCGTCGAAGTCGGTCCACGAGATGGCCTCCAGAACGAAAAAAAATCGATTCCCCTCGAGACCAAGCTCCAGCTCATTGAGAAACTGTCGAAGACGGGTGTAACCACAATTGAGGCGGGATCTTTTGTGCCGGCAAAATGGGTGCCCCAGGTATGGCTCGTCCTGCCGACATTCGAGCTGCAAGATGCTCGGGACTGCCCATGAAAAGAATAAGACTGTTGTCTTCGCCCAGCACTAACAAATATCTGTGGGGCAGATGGCAAGCACTGCGGAGATCTGCGAGCATCTCCTCCAGACCCCGCCACAGTCGCAGAACGTCATCGCCTACAACTACCTCGTCCCGAATGTGCGGGGTCTCGAGAACCTTATTAAGATCATGGATGCCACCGGTGTCCCGGCAGAGTCAGCTAGGTCAAAATCGAATTCCTCGGCAACCACCGAGATTTCATTGTTCGCAGCAGCTACGGAGGCGTTCTCCAAGGCCAATACCAATTGTACAATTGAGGAGTCGCTGGACCGTATCCGTCCAATTGTGGATCTAGCGAAAACAAAAAATATCCGAGTGAGGGGGTACGTGTCAGTGGCCCTGGGCTGCCCGTATGAAGGCCCTGATGTGCCTCCAGCCAAGGTGGCTGATATTACAGCAACGCTGCTTGAAATGGGAGCCGACGAGGTGTCCGTAGCTGATACCACGGGTATGGGCACAGCACCCCGCACAATGGCGTTGCTGCAAGCTCTCAAAGCGGCAGGCATTGCAAATACGGATCTCGCATTGCATTTCCATGATACCTATGGACAAGCTCTCGTCAACACCATTGTGGGATTGGAGCACGGTGTCCGCATCTTCGATAGCAGTGTTGGCGGTCTGGGCGGTTGCCCTTACTCCAAAGGCGCGACGGGAAATGTAGCGACGGAGGATCTTGTTCATACCATCCATAGCCTCGGCATGCACACGGGCATCAATCTGGAGGAGATGTCGAGGATTGGCTCATGGATCAGTGGAGAGCTTGGACGGTTTAACGAAAGCCGGGCGGGCAAGGCCATATTGGCACGGATGGAGGCAGAAGAGTAAAATGCACTTGATATGATCCTGAGCCTGTTACATAGCCACCGCAGTTGTTGTTATCTCTCATTTCCGTGAACCACATCTAATGCTTCCACCACCGGATATCATATAACTGGAGGAAAACCAAGGGTCTGCAGAGTCTCTGGCCATGCCGTCCAGATATCCATAGGTTTTTATGCCACATCTATCGAGCATCGAACGGCCACAAGCTGTCCGCTTTTGCTACTGTTAGGCCCTCACCACGAGATTCTGATTCCCTAGCCGTCTGTATCCATTCGTCATATGCGGCGCGGTGGGCATCTTTAGAAGCCTCCCATACATCATTCGGAACCAACCGTCGGAGTCCGTATGCAGAGAGCTTTTAAGCCATAATTTGAGACTCTGTATCGTTTCAAAGCCCTCATAATCTCTAGCATGGTTCTCCCGTTCTTCGTCGGTGAAAGAAAATGGGCAAAATCCTTCGAGATCCAATTCCTTCCAGCGGTCAGAAAGCTCGATGAGTTCCTGGCGAATTGCGGTGGCACTATCTCTCCACGTCGTGTGCGAGTAATGGAAGACTCGGAACAAGGTCGGATCAAGTAATCTAGCGGGGCGAAGTTTAGGAACCAGACCTTTCATGCATACATCGTATGTCTGGTAGCAGATCGAGGCATCTTTGAGTTCGCGTTTTTTGTCGGCAGGTATCTCATCCGCGTCATTTTCGGATTCTTGGGGGAGCGTGGCAAAATCCGGAGTCTCGTTGGCGCAGATGAATGCAGGCTCAATGCTGGTTGTTTGCCAGTCGAATAGGCCGGTAATGAGGGTTGGATCCTCTGCTGAGACGTAGATGTTTCTCTTGTGAAAGTCGGGGTGAAGTAGGACTGGTGTAGCAGCGTCTTGAATGCGCTTGTCTTCGACCAACTTCTGCATCGCCTGTTGACTTTGCTTCAGTAGTCGGATATGCTCTTGAACCGACCCTTGATGACTGCGAATCTCGCCTTTGATGGGTTCTTCCTTGGGCAGACGAGAATAACCAGTCTCAATCAGGCCCGAGCAATAGCTTACAAGGTCGCGCCCTGTTGTTACACCTTTGTGTCAGAGTTTAGTGATATGGAACAAGGGCTGCGAGACTAACATGAGCCGCAATTAGAGCCAGGATCGCCGTAGAGTTTGAGTTCGCCTGGATTACGGTTCCAGAAGACCGGGCTGGAGTGTGGTCCGATACAGAAGCCCTCCTCAAAGGGAATCTTTAGGCGTGACTCTAAAGGTGCATCCGCGAAGTATAAACTGCCATATGCTGGGAAGTTCAAGGACGCCATCTTTTTTATCAATAATGAGAGAGCTTTAGTACAAAGCATATGCTGTTCCGAGTCCATTTGGGGCCAGATTTGGTGCAGTTGGACACCTTCAACATGCTCCTGGATTATATATTCTGCGCCGATGGGATTCACGGGATTATCGTTCCAGTCTAGGACTTTTGGTATCGGAAGCGAGATTTTGGATTGTACTGCAGGAGAGACATAATTAGTGAGCATTTAAGCGCATTCCAAGAAGGTAAGAGTGTAAGTCAGCCTTACAATAAGCCATTGTTGCAACTTCAGAGTTGGTCGTCAACCGGGGAGGGCCCGCGATACTGGCCGGTAGCCTTGCCACAACACAAGTGCCGGTATCCATTGTGAAGAGAAACACCCTGTTGAATCCACCTTCTTTCTTTTCGTATTTGGTAATTTCTGAAGCCCTTGGGCATAGACTGATGGCCCTTTCACAGAGGGCAGGGAAGTTGAACAGAATGCGGCGAGAGTCTCGCTGGAGCGCGTCCCGATGCAACCATCTTCCATTGGTATAAGTGTAGGGATCGAATCCTACAAGTGTAGAGTTAGTGACGACAATGCTTGCTAATGAATTGCAGGCCAAGAAGATGATGCTCCTAACGTGGACCCGGGTCTTTAGAATCCCTGTCGGGGGAAGGATGTGAGGAGCATCCGCCGGATATGCTTCCCATGTCTGCTGATTGTCTGTGAGAGGAAGAAAGAAATCGGGAAATTTTGTTGACTATTGAAGTGGCTCCTCGCCACTGCCAAAGTCGGAGCATAATTGTCTTCTGAGCACTGCTTCAAAGGCGTGCATGAATGTGAAGGTGAGCCAATGCGATGCGCTCGGCCGCCTCGGAGTCCTTATCACCACCCCGAGGCCGACCGCCTTTAGTTTAGAGAATCCCCTGTCACATCCCGGGCAGTCATTCTTGACCCGGAGAAAACCTGCGAGATTCAATTGTTCTATTTCAATATGTCCGAGAATCCTTCTGAATGATTCAATGCGGTAATATACACATATAGCATAAGAGAAGAGAGGGCCAAGCTCTATAACCACCAAAAATCGATATCCAACGCCACTCATGCAATAACCAATGTCAACTTCCATGTGCACTCCTTTTTATACACTCATCAAAGGCGTCAAGCAGAAGAAATGCACACTCCATCATGCATCATCCTAGACACCCATTCTAGAAATCCGTAACTCTGCCACCATAGCTCCAGTCGCCCTCAGCCCCCCACCTCAGAGGCTCATTTTTTGGTCCTCCAACCTCGCCAGTCTTGGGATTCTTCTCTCCCTCGAACTCAGGCCTCAACCCCGGTTTCACATCAGGATGAAGTTCCTCTCCCTTGCCAGTGGCGTTGATTTCGGCTGCCACTGCAGGCTCCGAGTCGGGCGATTGGTTGATCTGTGGGGTGCTGAACGCGCCAGTGGATTTGCGTTGAAGTTCTTCGAAGATCTCTTGTTCTTCCTTGGGGAGGCGAGGGGGAGCTGGGGAGCTCGCGAATGCGAAGGGAGGCTTGTCCGACAGGAAGATTGCGCGTGTTGAGAAGGAGCGGAGAGGGAGAGAGGGAGTGGTGGGGAGGCGGCGAATAGTGCGGAGAAACATGATGTCTGTCCTTTTGCCGTGCAAAATTGGAATAGAGCGCGATGATCTTTCTGGGTGAGGTTTTTGAAGCTGGTGGGTAGGTTGGAGAAGAAAGATGCGGAGTGGCGGAGATCGGGACGGAAGAAGAATCGTGACGGAATAACATCCGATAAGCCCTGATTGTCCCGATAGCGTCGGGATTGGCGCCGGGATGGTTTCTCTGCGTCTGGGTGGCTTGTCCGTGGCCAACGCGGTACTTTGGTGGTTTCTGGGGCTTAATTATGTACAGTTTTGTGTATCTGCCGGCTTCTAGCTTTAGCTTATTTCAAATGTGCACGAGATTCCAGCGAGTAGCCATTGGAATCGAGCATCAAGGAGCATTGCCTCATCGAGTAAGTCATCACGTGGCAGTGCCATTTCTGGCCGGGCGGATGACCGCTTGCTGGCTTGTTGCTCAGATACCAACTTCCACCACCTCCCCGATGTCCTCCACCATGACATTGTCCCATCGCAACCACTTCATGCTCCAATAGGATTGCCCCAATGCTCCGTGCTGTTGTGTCCGCACCCATCTTGCCAGTGTAGCATACTAGAACTACTTACTCCCTCCCCTATCTTCACTCCAGGTTATGTCTTCGGCTCCTGACAGGCAGTCAATGTTACCCCTTCCCGGAGCCCCGTCTTCCTCATGGTCCCGATTCCGGGAGCGATTCGGGGCATTGTTCCATGGCGCTGATCCCAGGGTCTGCATTGCATTCTGGCTACTTGGTAAGCCGCTGGCCATTCCGTAGACTTGTGGACTGATAAGGAACTACCCCGAGGTCACTAACCACGCGAGACTGAACCAGGCTTGATCAACAATGTCCTCTATGTTATCATCCTTTCCGCGGCCCTCGATCTGGTGGGGCCCAGCGTCCCCAAGGGCGTTGTCCTTCTCGCAGACGTCATTCCCTCCTTTGTAACCAAGCTGGTTGCGCCCTATTTCATCCACCTGATTCCCTATCCTATCCGGGTGATGTTTTTCGTCCTGTGCTCTGCGATGGGCATGCTCTTGGTGGCATTAAGCCCCGCGTATACGGAAGGGGGTACCATATCCACCAAGATCGCGGGCATTATTCTGGCGAGCTTGTCTAGTGGAGGAGGCGAACTGAGCTTCCTCGCACTGACGCACTTTTATGGACCGTTCAGCCTGGCAGCCTGGGGCAGTGGCACAGGGGCCGCCGGACTGGTCGGTGCTGGGGCGTATGCCGTGGCCACTACCTCCATGGGATTCAGTGTCAAGGCAACGCTGCTAGCATCGGCGTGCTTGCCGGTGATCATGGTGGTGAGCTTCTTCGCAATCCTGCCAAGAACGTCCATGGGTCCATTGTCAGCCGCATCGACCCAGTATCGTGCGATTGACGAAGAGGATCGGGAAGATCCACTTGATGAGCGGGACGGTCTGCTCGGCTCCTCAAATGCCCCGAGCCGGGATCAAAAGGCTACCGATACCAGCGGAGGCCTTGGCTGGCAGGCTTTCCGAGCCAATTTGCGGCGAGCCAAGGGCCTTTTCTTTCCTTTGTAAGTATAAACCCGGTGAGTGGGGATGACGTGGGTGCTCACTAGTCTCCAGTATGCTTCCACTTTTGTTGGTCTATGTCGCCGAATATACGATCAACCAGGGAGTCTCGCCGACTCTGCTATTCCCTCTTGAAGGATCGCCGTTCGAGCACTTCCGGGCTTTCTATCCCGCATACAATGCGATCTACCAGGTTGGTGTGTTTATCTCGCGATCGTCGACTCCTTTCTTCCGGATCCACGATCTGTATCTCCCGTCGTTCTTGCAGATTGTTAATCTAGCGGTGTTGACGCTGCATGCCTTGTTTGATTTCATCCCGAGTGTGTACATTGTCTTTGCCATCATCTTCTGGGAAGGGCTGCTGGGGGGTCTAGTCTACGTGAATACATTTGCCGAGATCGGGGACCGGGTTCCCAAGGAAGACCGCGAATTCTCGCTCGGAGCAACCACGGTCAGCGACTCGGCCGGCATCTGCATTGCTGGGTTTGTGGGGATGCTGTTTGAGGTGTGGCTGTGTGATTGGCAGGATGCCCATGGACGGGACTACTGTCGGCGACTATGAATGATGAGATGTAGATACCACTAGTACACAGTAGATGGCTTGTGGTGGCGAGCTGAGGGAATGCATGGTTGGTTTGCATAGTTTTTGAGGTTATCTTTGCTGATTAGCCGGATCCGGAAGAGGGCGTCGGAGGGGTTCAGGCACATGACTCGTGGCGTCACGGGATTTGTGGCGAGAGACATGTGATGCCGCCATGGTTCTCGCTTCCACTTACTACTACTACTCACTACTCAACTCTCCCTTCCTTCCCCCCATGTCATCATCCAGCTAAGCAGTCAGTCAGCGATCGCCCAATGCACCTCCATCGGGCCTGGAGGGTTCTGACCAACAACCCCATTCCCCCGGCTATTGCAGGATTGCAGGAATGCTGACTGACGCAACCCAGATGACTGGATCAGCCCGCATCTCTGGTGGGGATTTCACATGCACGCCTGCGTTTCCTCACGGCTGATCCATGGATGCCGCCTCTCCGCCATCCCCTTCCCACTTCCCCATACTTGGTTACCGGCTGCCCAAATCTGGACATGCTGCAATAAACCGGCTGTGGGGAATGGCGGGCTAGCATCTTTCTTTCCCTTCTTTGTTCATCTCTCTTCTCCTCGTGTCTTTGTATTATTGTCGCCCGGAATATGAATGCTTTCGCTGTCTACTTCTTCCCTTAGATTACCACATTCTAGCCCTTGATAGATCTCTCATAAATTTCATATAGACTGCCGCTTCTTGTTATTACCTTCTTTGAATCTTGGAATATGATAGGTACGCTGAAAGCGGGTGCGACTACCAAGATGTCTCACTAACAAGGATGGCCTTAGACCACGTCCTGGGGAGGCCGTCTACCAAATTCCGCAAAATCCAGGTTCTTGCTGTATTCCTGTTCTGGTCGCTTTATCTCTTCAGGTTCGTCGACGCAACATCCGTTACAGCTCTTCACATGCTAACAGTCGCTCGTAGAGGAAACAAGCATGGCCCTCCCGTTGTCCGCAAGTTCTCCTCGCGCCTCTCGGAAAAGCTAAGCGTCTGGCAAACCACCGTCCTCGTTTTCCTCTGGCTCTACATCTCCCGCAACTTCGCCAAGATCGTTGGGCTGGAGTGCCCCGAGCCCCTGGCAAATCTATACTCGCGCTCCTTCTTCCGGGCAACATGGATCACCACCGCGTTGGATGCTGGCTTTTGGACGGCAATGGGGGTCAAGCCAAAGTGGCTCCGGGATATTGCGTCGCTGGTGTTCTCTGGCTACTACCTTATCGCAGCCGAGCGGGCGGATGAGAAGGTTCGCCGGGTCCGAGCCACACTCACGGTCGAGCATATGCGGGTGTCATGGAACAAAAGTACCACGCCGTATCTCTGGACACTTGCCAGTTTGGTGCGCCCGCGACTCACTCGGTACCCTCCTCGTGCCATTCGCATCCCCCGTCCGGCGTCGTCGATCTATGAGGAGCCGACCAGTGCATGGTTGTACTTTGATGGACCGCTGGCTGCACTGCGGGATCAAACATGTATTGTGTTAGATATTCCAGGCGGTGGGTTTGTTTCGATGAGCCCGCGGCATTCCGAAGACCGCCTGCTGGCCTGGGCGGCAAAGACCGAGGTACCGATCTTGAGTCTCGACTACAAGAAAGCCCCAGAGTATCCGTATCCATATGGGTTGAATGAATGTTACGACGTCTATCATTCCATCGTCTCCACCCGCGGTCGCTGCCTGGGGCTCAACGGAAGGACGCGGCCTCGGATTGTCATCACCGGCGACAGTGCCGGGGGGAGTCTTGCTACCGGCGTCACCCTCATGGTGCTTCAATCTGGCAGTTCGAACGCCCCTCCATGGCAGGGTCAAAACATGCTTCCACCTCCAGACGGGCTAGTCCTCGCCTATCCTGCGTTGAACATGAAGATCGAAAGTTGGATGACGGAAGAGCAGATGGCGTTGATCCAGGAGAAGAGCACACGCCGCACAAATGAGAACGTTTTGCGGCGGAAGGATATGGACTATCAGCGGTTGACGCCGTTCACCTCACCTGGAACGTCTTTTGGGGATTTCTTCTCTGACGCGGACCAGGAAGCTAGTAATCTAGGCGAGGTAACCACCAAGCAATTGGAGCTGCACCAAAAGCTTAACGCCCGCGCTGCAGAGGCGGCCGCGGTTGCTGAACACCAGCCCAAACAGATTCGCACTCGATTAGCCGTGTCGTCGGTGATATCGTATGTCAATGATCGAATCCTGACCCCAGAAATGATGCGAGCAATGATTATCCTGTATATCGGGCCCCACAATCGTCCCGACTTCAACACGGACTATCTCCTCTCCCCAACCCTGGCTCCAGAGGCGCTGCTGGCGCGCTTCCCCAAGACCTACATCATCACCGGCGAGCGCGATCCCCTAGTCGACGACACGGTCATTTTCGCCGGGCGACTTCGACAAGCCAAGCTACGTCAGTTTCAAGAACGACAGGAGCTGGGACTCGAAAAGTCCAGCCGCGCGTTCCGGGAGAAAGACCATGTCGAGGTATCTCTCATCCCGGGGATCTCACATGGGTTCATGCAAATGGCAGGCCTGTTCCCCGAGAGCTGGAAGCACATCAACCGATGCGCGACCTGGTTGCAGGATCTGTTCGAGATTTCTCAAGCCAAGAGGCCATCCTCTAGTTTGCTCCGGTCACTCGCCGACAGTGCGTTACCTAAAGTACCGCAAGTATTCCGGCCCAACCACAAGCGTCGTCTCACCGGCGAGTCATCCGCAGACGAGGACCGGCCCCTTGAAATGGGCGTCAGCCGGTTGACACCACTAACACCGTTGGCTCGAAGCTCGAGTGCCCCCGTTGACGATGAAGCTGGTGGTCATGAGGGATTGGATATCAAGAAGGAGCGCATTCGTAGTGTCTCCCGAGGTCGGACTCTGCGTCCTGGTATCACCAGAAAGCAACATCTCGTGCCCTCAAAGCTGAGCATCCCATATCCGGATGGATACTTCTCCGAGGCCAACAGTCCGGTTGCTTTGCGCGAGCGGAACCGGAGTTTAACCAGTCTTGCCAGCGAGGAGGACCTGCTGGACCGGCGGATGAGTGGGTTGGCGGGGGGTTGATGGGGATTGGGGAGGGGGCCCGGACACCATAAAGGTAGCATGATTAATGAATATATGATCCAAATATCTGGGTGGTTGCTGGATTAGATTATGAACATGATAGATCCAATCTTGTTGGTTAACAATGTGGGTTGTGCGATGTCGTCATCTGCGGTCCCTCATCATTGCATTGGTGAATCCGGCTGATAATATATAGGCCTTATCCGAACCAGCTCCCCATTACTAAACATCACTCCCAATAACGGGTGTGCCGGAGATAAAAGGAAATGAGACATTTTCAGGGTCTCTTGCAGAGTGGGGATTCGGCTTGCCCGATGCGGTAACATGCAGTGAATCAATCAGATCGCATTGCAGTGCCAGCATGATTTCAATGCGAGACAGGTCCAGCAATTCCACGGCCAGGTTAAATGAAAGCCCGGAGGGTATCACCGGATCAGGTGATTCCTTGCGTCGTCCTGCATAACCTGCAAAGTGCTTATCATCATCGAAACCCTGTATCGCGACGCCTCCGAGGTAACACTAGCATTCTATAGCTTGGACCGGAAGCTTTCCCATGAGTGGCTCCATCGCCAAGCTCAATCAGCACGAGCATCGTGATTCGTGGCACCCGCGGGCTACATTGGCTAGCGAGAGGCACTATCCACCTCAGTGCAGATCCGACGCGCTCCACCTGCCACCTCAATCGGTCTCCGACGGTGTCAGCTCGCTCTCCCCTCTTGCCCAGCGGAGATCTGCCGCAATTGGGGCAGGTCACAAATGAAGCATGCCATCAGTTGCCTTTGCCACATGACGGCGTCCCGAGACAATGCTGCCTAAAGTGCGGAGTGCCTTGCTTCCGCCGAGATATATAAGGAGCATGCGTCCCGTCGATCGATCACTTGGCCGGCACCTCCGTTTGAGCTCTTTTCCCTCCTCCAGAGAAGATCCTCAAAATGCGGGTAACCACGGCAATTGCTTCATTGCTTCTGGTCGGCTCGGCCGTCGGCCTGCAGAACCCTCATCGGAGGGATGTGCCTCCCCCTCTGTCCCACCGCAAGTTGGCTGCGCGGGAACTCCCCGTGGAGCGCAGAGCCACCGATTACGAGTATCTAACCAACAAGACCGCAAGTGAGTGTTCCTGATCCCACCCAGGACAATTAACCAACGTGACAGAATTCCTGGTCAATGGCACGGGAATACCGGAGGTCGATTTCGACATTGGCGAGTCCTACGCCGGTCTCCTTCCCAACACGCCAACCGGCAACAGCAGCCTGTTCTTCTGGTTCTTCCCTTCGCAGAACCCCCAGGCCAGCGATGAGGTTAGTTACACCCATTACCTCCTGTCTATCCACGCTCACCGATTAGATCACCATCTGGCTCAACGGTGGCCCTGGCTGCAGCTCGCTAGACGGCGTCCTCCAAGAAAACGGCCCCTTCCTCTGGCAGGCCGGCACCTACAAGCCCGTCCCCAACCCCTACTCCTGGACGAACCTCACCAACATGGTCTACGTCGATCAGCCCGCCGGCACAGGCTTCTCCCCGGGGCCGTCGACGGTCAACGACGAGGAGGACGTGGCAGCCCAATTCAACAGCTGGTTCAAGCACTTTGTCGACACCTTTGGTCTGCACGGCCGCAAGGTCTACATCACGGGCGAGAGTTACGCCGGCATGTACGTCCCGTACATTGCATCCGCGATGCTGGACGAGGAGGACACTACCTACTTCAACCTAAAGGGCATCCAGATCAACGACCCCTCTATCAACAGCGACTCCGTCATGATGTATTGTACGTTTACCCTCCCTCCCTCCCTCCCTCCCTCCCCCCGACTCCACCACTAACCCTCCCTCCCCCCCGACTCCACCACTAACCCTCCCCTCCCAGCCCCCGCCGTCCGCGCCCTCAACCACTTCAACAACGTCTTCGCCCTCAACGACACCTTCCTCTCCTACATCAACGCCAAAGCCGACAAATGCGGCTACAACGCCTTCCTCGACTCCGCACTAACCTACCCACCTCCCACTCCCTTCCCCACCGCCCCCGAAATCACCGAAGACTGCCAAGTTTGGGACGAAGTCGTCATGGCCGCCTACGACGTCAACCCCTGCTTCAACTACTACCACCTAACCGATTTCTGCCCCTACCTCTGGGACGTAATGGGCTTCCCGTCCCTCGGCTACGGCCCTAACAACTACTTCAACCGGTCGGACGTCCAAAAAGCCCTCAACGTGCCCCGGACAGATTACTCCGTCTGCAGCGAATCCCTCATCTTCGCCAACGGCGACAATTCTGACCCCAGCTCCTGGGGTCCCCTCCCTAGCGTCATCGAACGCACCAATAACACCATCATCGGCCACGGCTGGCTCGATTACCTCCTCTTCCTGAACGGCTCCCTCATCACGATTCAGAACATGACCTGGAATGGCAAACAGGGGTTCCAACATCCTCCTGTGGAACCTCTCTTCGTCCCTTACCACTACGGTCTGGCTGAGCTGTACTGGGGTGATGAGCCCGATCCGTATAACCTGGATGCTGGCGCTGGATACCTCGGCACGGCGCATACCGAGCGCGGATTGACGTTTAGTTCGGTGTATTTGTCTGGTCATGGTGAGTTTACCCCAAAATGCCACCCACCCTAGGTCATATCCTGGAAGTATAACTTATTAATGGTACTAGAAATCCCACAATACGTTCCCGGAGCCGCCTACCGCCAACTGGAGTTCCTCCTCGGAAGAATTAGTAGTCTGTCGGCATGGGGAAACTATACCTCTTGAGTTTAGAGAGATGGTATCCCCACTTTTCGTGATTGATGATTGATGATTCAGATACATATCAAACGTGGGAAATAACTATAAGATGACTTGGTACTTGTACTTGTACATAATGTGGTTTGTTGACAGGAAAGAAGAAAATAGGCAGGGAGATGTACATAAATGGAGAAGAAAAGAAGAGTTGGAAAGGATTAAGTATTCATGTTGGAATATGAGTGACTGAATGCGATACAAGACAATAAAACACAATAAAACACAAAAATACAATATAATATGATACTCCCATCCAAAAACGAAGAATCAAACAAACGGAATCACCTCACAATCACAGCATCAAAACAAAAAAAAAAAAACAAAAAAAAAACCAGAAAATCTCACAAAACCAACCAACACTCAAAATTTAGAAACCGGAACCAAAGGCAAAATCTTCTCACTCTCCTCCACCAACGTAACTTTCTTCTCCAACCCTCCCCCTAAGACCCCCACATTCTCACAAAACCTCATCAACACCCGCTGCGCCATATCCCTAGCAACAGCTCTACCCGAGAACGTCAAATTCACCAGCAACTCTCCGCCCTGAGGCACCGTATACAGCCAAAAGTCCGTAGTATCATGCGGGGGGGCATACGCCGAGATATTTGTGCGGAGAGTAGCGTCCACGTCCAGTGCGTCTCCAGTGAGACGGTCATTTAGGTTCTGGTGTTGCACGATTGAGGAATACCGGGTGCCTTTGGGCCAGGTGGTACATTGGTCGAAGATGGTTTTGAAGCCGAGGGTTTCGTGAGGGAGCATGTCGATGTAGGTTTGTTGGACGGTGCGGAGGAGGTCCAGGTTGGTCCAGTCGGGGCGAAGAGTGATGCGGACGGGGACGATGTTGAGACAGGATCCGACCATTTGGTCGACGTCGTCGAGAGCCGAGGTGCGGCCCGAGGTGGTATGGCCGAAGACAATGTCGGTGGTGTAGGAGAGTTGGGCCAAGGTCAGGGACCAGGCAGCTTTGACGAGGGTGGCGGTGGTGAGGCCGTACAGGGCGAGTTTGGCCGGGGTTAGGGTTTGGGAGACGGCGGAGTCGACGCGGTAGTCAACGGGAGTGATGGGGCGGGAGAGGATGGGTATCATGGTAGAATGGAGGAGGGTTTGGTGCCAGTAGGCTGTGGATGAAGTGGTATTTTGGGTGGAGATGTAGGAGATATAGTCGACCAGGAGAGGTTCCGGGGCCAGGGTACCGCCCTGGTAGAGGGTGACTAGCCCGCGGAGGATGATGGGTAGACAGATGCCGTCGTATTGGGCGTGGGAGATGCGCATAATCAGGGAGACAGAGGTTGGGTTGTGAGTGAGAATCCAGAACCGGGTCAGATGCATCCCCAGGGTAATCGGAGACTGGAGGTCGGTGTCGATGACTTGCTGGGGACGGGCATCAGGCTGGGGGACAAGGCTGATCTGTGGTAAAGGGGAATTCAAGACGACTTGAAGTAGACGATCCTCCGAGCCCGGCACGTAGACGGTGCGCAGGATACGGTAGTGGTTGACGAGTTGGATTAGGGCTGATTCCAGGCGGTCCAGTGCTACGGCTCCCGTCAAGGTCAAGGTGTAGTAGTTCATGTAGCCGTGGGCTGACGTCAACCCACAGCGTACCGCCCAGTCTTGATAGTCGGTGGTGGTCGTGATGGACTCCACCTTGGCATCGGGCTCCTGGATGGCGGGCAGCACGGCCTCCGGCTCGAGGGCCTGGTCCGGTACGGACTGCACCGTGAGATCCGAGATGGAGCGACTCATCATGTCTTTGGATTCGGACCCGGTGGTTCCCTCGTCACTGGCAGTGTCCGACACGGTGGAAGGCAGACTGTCCCCATTCTCTTCCTCCTCCTGCTGCTGCCGCTTGGTGTCCGGCGCATCGACAACCCGACACACCTGCGCCAGGTTCTTCAAGACGGGATGGGCGAAGATATCCGCCACCGTGAGCCGCAAACCCCGGGCACGCGCCGCCGCCGTCAACCGCATGGCTTCGATGGAGTCGCCGCCAATTCGGAAGAAGTCGTCGTCGCGACCGAGAGCTGTCCCATCAATAGCCAGCTGCTCCGCCCACAGCTCACTTAGCAGCCGTTCGACGCGGGTGATCGGAGCCTGGTGCTGGCGACACAGGCCCATGAGCCGGGCGACCTCGTGCGGGTGCAGATGAGCGGCCATCTCGCGCAGCAGGCGGCGATTCAGCTTCAACGAGGTCAGCACGGGCATCCGCGCCATGGGGATGAACACGGTGGGCACCATGTACGGGGGCAGGGCGAGGGCCATGGCCGTGGTGGCGCGGCCGATAGCTTGCACCGTGGACTCGGGCACGCGGTCCGCCACGTACTCGGCCTCGGTGGCAGTCGTGCCCCCTTCCGTCTGGACAAAGGCCACCAGCAGGGAGCGTTTCGCTTGGTTACTCGAACTGGCAGTGCCGAGCGGCACCACATCCACAGCCACTTGAGGGGACTCGGGCATGCTTAGTCGCAGGTGATGCTCGATTTCCGCTAGCTCGACGCGCTGGCCACGGACCTTGACCTGGGTGTCGGCGCGGCCGATGAATACGACGCTGCCATCCGAGTTCTGGCGTGCCAGATCACCCGTCTTGTAGAGGCGTGGCGACGGAGGCGGGTCCGCGTCGGCGATCCAGCGCGGCGGCGCGATGAAGGCAGCTGCCGTGCGTTCCGGCTCGTTGAGGTAGCCACGGGCAACCCCGGGGCCCTCGATGACAATCTCCCCGATGGCGCCGATGGGCCGCAGGAGGTCGTGGTTGGCCGGGTCGACCAGCCACATGGTGCTGTTGACGCTGCGGCCGATGTTGCGCGGGTTGTCCGTGGCGGTGCGGTACTGCGAGGCAGCCACCATAACGGAGCACTCGGACGGGCCATACGAGATGCCCAGGTTGACACGGTCTGCCCAGGTGGCCATGAGTCGGTGGGATGCGGCCTCGCCCCCAAAGTGCAGCACGCGAAGGCTGGGCACTTGCTCAGGACGCAGGAGGTTGACCAGGGTGGGCGTGACGAAGGCGTAGGTGACCTGGAGGTCGTTGATGAAGCCCACGAGGTCGTTGAGCCGGTCATCATCCGATGGCACGCAGACGCAGGCTCCCACGGCCAGTGACCCAAAGATCTCGGTGATGCTCATGTCGAACGTGTAGGCTGCGAATTGGAGCATGCGCGACCCGGCATCCAGGCAAATGCCCTGCGTGTGTTGCAGCAGGCTGGACGCCATGGCCCGGTGCTCGAGCGGGAAGCCCTTGGGGCGGCCTGTGCTACCGGAGGTGAAGAGGACAAAGGCCGCATGGCTGGGGAGGACTGGTTGCTGCTGCGTTGGCGGCAGTGTCTCGGGCGACAGCGGGTACGAGTCGAGGGTGAGGTCATCCACCACGACCACCTCCACCGGCAGGGTGTCAAAGAGAGGCCGGTGGGAGGAGCTAGTGAGGCAGATGCGCGCAGCGGTCGTGTCGAGGAGGATGACGCGGCGGTCGTGCGGATGACTGGGGTCCAGGGCCAGACAGGCCCCGCCGGCCTTGAGGGTGGCCAGCATGGCGACGACGGCCTGGATGGACTTGTCGAAGCAGTAGGGAACCACGCTCTCGGGACCGACGCCGCGGGCGACCAGATGGTGGGCCAGCCGGGTGGTAAGCTTGTCGAGCTCCCCATAGCTGAGCTGGTTGCCCTGGCGGTCTTGCACCGCGGGGGCGCGGGGATGCAGGCGCACGCGCTGCTCAAACAGAGCATGCACGCAGGGCGGATCCACGGGGTGGTCTGTGAGACGCCAGCTGCGGAGCAGGGCTTGGTCATGGGGGCTGACCAAGTCCACGGTGCTTACGGACTGCGTCGGGTCGTCGAGAATGCTGGACAAGGCCTGCGCAAAGGTCGCGGCCAGGCTGTCGCCCTGGGCCGGGGAGATGTAGTCGGTCCAGTGGCTGATGTGCACGGTGAAGCAACCGTCGCCGGGATCAACAATGGAGATGCTGACATCGTACTCGGTGGGATCACGGCTGTAGATCCCCTGTAGGGTGAGGCTGGTTGCAGCCGACGGGGCCGAGGAGGACAGCTTCTGCAGCGAGAGAACGGAGTTGAAGAGACGCTCGCCCCCCAGGCCCAAGGCGTGCTGGACGTGCGAGAGCGGTACGGTCTGGTGGGCCAGCGCGTCGACGTATTCCTCGCGCCGGGCCTGAATGACGTTGGACATGGGAGCGGCGTCGAATTGCACGCGACAGGTGAGAAGGTTGATGAAGGCCCCCGCCGCATGCTCCAGGCCGTCCAGCGGCAGATCACGGCCGGACACGAGGTACCCGAAGCTGATATCATCCGTACCGGTATATGCGCGCAACACCACCGCCCATCCGGTCTGGAAGACTTGGAAAGGACTCACCTCCAGGGTCTGGCAAAGTGCGCGGAGCCGAGCCGTGTCTCGGTCAGTCAAGGGCACGCGCGCCGTGTGGCTCGTAGGGACGGGGTCCGGATGGTCGTCGTCGAGGGCGGGGAAATGGCAGGGAGAGGCCCCGGCTAGATAGTCCTGCCAGTAGGTCAAAGAGGTATCCCCCGCGGTGCGCTGGAGATAGTCGATGTACGCGCCGGGAGCGAGGGTTGGCGGCGGCAGTGGCGCGTTGGGGTGATCATACGCTGCGCACAGGTCCTGGACGAGGATAGCCATGGTGGCACCATCATTGCTGGCGTGGGTGATCTCGAGCCGGCAGAAGACGGTGCTGTCGGGCAAGGAATAGATCGTGAGCCGGTGCGGGAGCTCAGGCAGGGGCCTGGCGGCGGCGGCCTCAAAGTCAGGCTCGGCCGGCACGACAACATGGTCGATGGGGGCGTCGGCCTGTGCCAATAGCACCTGGTAGAAGTCGCCGACCTCGTCCGAACCGCCGATATAGCAGGTCCGAAGCACCGGATGGCGGTCGACGACACGCTGCCAGGCCGCCCCCAGGCGGGCCACGTCCACGGGGATGCCGTCGGGCGAGGTCACCCGCCAGGCACAGGCGGTCTGATAGTGCTGGGGGTTCTTGGTCCGGCTGAGCAGGATGCCTTGCTGCACGGGGGAGCAGGGGGAGATGTCGGCGATCTGAGTGTATGCGGAGGACGACAGCTGGGCACGGGCGCAGGCCACGATGGCGGGCCCGCGGCGGCCGAGGGCATGCAGGCGAGGGAAGTCGCTGGGGGTGTATGCCGCCGACAGGCCCGGCAGGACGTCCTCGGCCAGCTGGTGGAGGACCGCCTGGGATTGCTGGATCCAGTCCCGCACGCGTGACTGCTGCTGTAAGGTAGTCGGGAAAGCAAAGTCGAAGCGCAGACAGTCCCGGTCCACGCGGGCGGCAATGTGGAACAGCGGGCCCTGGGGTGACGCAGGATGTAGGTCTGGTACCCCCAGCGCGACGGCGAGATCGTCCGAGACGGGGGCCAGGCTGGCGTCAGCGCGCTCCAGCTGCTGGTAGTGCCCGGCGTAGTTCAGCAGGATCTCTTGCTGCAGCAGCTGGGGGGACCGCTGGCGCACCGCAGCGCCAAATGATGACCCGGCGGCCTGTTTAGCGACGCGGTGCTCCTCCTTGACTTGGAGCAGGAGCTGGGCGAGGGGATGCGGTGTGTCGGTCGATGCCAGGACGACCGGGAAGAGTGTGGTGAACCATCCGACCGTGCGAGAGAGGTCGAGCTCCTCGGGGCGGCCATGACCTTCGAGGAAGAGGACCGGAAGCTGGCGGTCCGTGAAGCACTGGGAAAAGGCCCCGAGGATGGCAGTGGCCAGGATTTCGACGGTCTCGATCCCGAGGCGCTGGGGATGGCCCGTCAGCAGGACAGCCGAGATATCTTCCGGAAGGATTACGGTCTCGGTGACAAGCTGGCCAACAGTGGGAGGGGTCTCAAGCCCCCAGTAGTCGAGATCAACGGGGGGAAGAGCTGGCCAGTTTGCCTGGGGCTCGTGCTGCTGCTTCTGATATAAACCCCACTGCGCAAAGGAAATTGGGACTGGTGGCAAACTTGTGGCCGCTCCCTGTTCAATCAGTGTGGTCAGATCCTCCAGCAGGATGCGCCAGGAGACCAGGTCAACCACCCGGTGGTCGATGGTGAGGAACAGGACGTCCCGGAACTGGCGCGCGACCAGCAGCGGGCCCTGGCGGATGTCCACCTGCTGTTTGGCCGCCTGCATGGCATGGCGCATTTCCTGGGGACAGGCCGTATCGACTGCGTGGAAGTCCAGCGAGCCCGCAACATCCCCCGAAATGACTTGCGTCCACTGCCCATCGGACCCACGGACAAACCGCGCGCGCAACATGGCATGATGACGCACCAGGGCGGCCAAGTGCTCTGCACGCACCGGCTTTCGCACGTGTAGCACGAAGCTCTGTACGAAGTAGCGCTCGGCGTCGGGGTCGGTGCGGAAGTGTAGCTCCTGGAAGGGGGTCAGCGCAAAGGCCTGTCCGTCCTCTAGCGCGGCCAGGGTGATGGTTGGCATGGTCGGCATGGACTGCACCACCGCGGCCAGACTGGCAATGGTCTTGGCCCGGAGCACATCGCCCACCGTGAAGGAGAGCTGGTGCGTGCGACCCCGGGCGACCAGCTGCATGGCCGAGATGGAGTCCCCGCCGAGGCCGCCAAAGGGTGTATGGCGGCCGATGTCATCGGCAACGACGTTGAGCACGTCCGCCCAGATGCCCTGGAGCACGCGCTCCAGCTCCGAGGCCGGGGGTTCATCGACGGGCGCCTCGCTGCCGGTCAGGCTCATGGCCGCGAGTGTTTCCAACCACACGAGCAGCTGTCGCCGGTCCACCTTGTTGGACGGGTTCAACGGGACTGCATTCACGGGGGCCCAGGCCTCGGGCACCATGTAGGGGGGAAGGGCTTGGGTGAGGGCCTCGTGCAGCGTCGCGATCAGGGCTGGCGCAGGAACGAGGGCCATGGAACGGTCGTCAGGGCGGTCGATGTCGGTGGGGACGACCACCGCCACCAGCTGTCGCGCATAGGGCCCAGTCTTGGGCAGCAGGACGACGGCCTGGCGCACCGCGGCCTGTGCGTGCAGATGGAACTCGATCTCGCCGAGCTCAATGCGCTGCCCGCGTAGCTTGACCTGCAGGTCCTTGCGGCCAATGTAGCGGTACGAGCCATCGGGCAACTGCTGGACCAGATCGCCGGTCTTGTACATGCGAACCTGCGTGGCGTTCACGGCGTCCGCCCAGCGCGGGGGGTCGATGAAGGCCGCCGCGGTCTGATTGGGGTTCTTCAGGTAGCCAGCGCCGACCATGGGCCCGCCGATGATGAGTTCGCCGATGCCGCCGACGGGCACCAGGCGGTGATGGTCAGTCGCATCAACCACCCAGCCCGCGGCCAGCGGCCAGCCAACATTCAGGGGATCGGTATCACGGGTGAGATGGGGGCGGGCAACGCACTCAATAGTGCATTCGGCCGGGCCGTAGCGATTGGTGAGGTCGACGGCGTCGGCCCACAGGTCCAGGACAGTTTGCGTGGCGGCCTCGCCGGCGACACCCAGGGCAACCAGGGAGGGAACCTGCGCGGGAGACAAGGTGCTGGCCACGGTGGGCGTCAGCGAAGCCCAGGTTACGGCTTTGCGGTTCATGAAGCCGACCAGGTCATTGACGCGCTCGTCCTCGGACGGGAAACACACGCAGGCGCCCAACATGGCCGGCGCCAGGGTTTCCTGCAGGCAGATATCAAATGAGAAGGCAGAGAACTGCAGGACGCGCGCGCCGGGCCCGAGGGGCAGGTGAATGGCCTTTTGCCGGTAGGTACTGGTCACAAAGGCCGAGTGCGTGATGATGGCACCCTTGGGCACGCCGGTGGAGCCGGAGGTAAAAATCACGTACGCGGGCTGCTCGGGGGTGACACGGCCAGCCAGCCAGGACACATCTCCATCTCCATTTCCAAGGGCCATGGAGTACGGCCAGATAGTGTCGGAGATGGGCACAATCACACTGGCCGAGACCTCCGCCAGCAGCTCCTGGGCTAGGGCAGTTCCGGGCTCCGAGCAGACCAGCACACGACAGGCCGTCTGTTGCACCATGCTGGCCAGACGGGCCGGGGGCAGGGAGATGACCATCGGCACCAGCACGGCGCCGGCCTTGAGGATGGCCACCATAGCGACTAGCGCCCATTTGGACTTTTCGAACAGCGCAGGGATCATGTCGCCGGGCTGCACACCTTGGTCGCGCACGAGGTGGGTGGCCAGCTGGTCGGTGAGGTGGTCCAGGTCGGCGTACGTGAACGCGCCGTCCCAGGCATCGACAGCCAGGTCGTCCGGGTACTCGGCGGCGCGCTGGCGGATGACTTCGTGGATACATTCCTGAGCCGGGGGCGGGATGCCCTGGTTCCAGGCGCGAATACTGGCGATATCCTGCGGACTGGTCAGGCGGAGCTGTCCCAGCTGCTGGGTCTGGTTGACCGCGTCGCCAAGGGAACGCAGGGCCGTCTCGAAGGTGTGGTGCAGACGCGCCAGCTCGGCGCTGGTGAGAAGGCGAGGGTCATAGTGGCTGGTCAGCGACACCGCGTCGGGCTCGACGGCGAAGGTGACGTTGAGGGGATAGGTGTTAAAGTTGACGCCCTCCTCCATCGGCAGGGGATCACCCAAGACGGCAGTAGGAGGCAGCAGGGCATCGGACGTGCCCGGCAGGATGTTGAGCAGACTGCCGAAGCGACAGGCCGCGTGGGCGTCGCGGCTCAGGGTCTGGATATGGTGCAGTCCGGTCTGCTCGAAGGGGATCATGGCCGTCGCCTCGCGCTGGACGCGGGCCAGATAGCTAGCCACGGACTCAGCCCCCCAGTCCACGGTCAGCCGCACGGGAATGTTGGTGATGGCGGACCCGACCATGCGGTCCACGTCCGTGACAGCCACCGTGCGACCCGAGAGGATCATGCCGTAGTTGACGCTGGTGCTGCCGGTGTATTGCGCGAGGACGAGGGCCCAGGCCGCCCGGATCAGCGTGGGCATGGTGAATGTCGCCGACGCCCGAAGGGCCGTCAGCCCCGTGATGTGGTGCGTCATGCAGGCGCTGGCCAGGGCCTCGTAGTCAGCCGAGGGGTAGGCGGGGAACTGCACGACCAGGTGGCCGTCGAAGTAGGACTTCCAGAAGTCGTCCTGCGCCGTGACATCGGTCTCTTGGACCTGGCGGATGAGGCCCTGCAGGCCAGGACTCGGCGTCCAGGCGCGGCCCGCGTAGACGTCCTCGACGGCTGTGAAGATGTGTGGCAGTGACCATCCGTCGTAGACCGCATGATGGGCCGTCAGCACGAAGTAGTTGCCCTCTCCGATAACGGTGAAACGGGTCAGTCGGTCCCCTGCCGCCATGGGAGTGTCCCGGTCCACGCGGCAAAAGTCGTCCAGCTCGCCGGGCCACAACATCCACGGAATCTCCTCGGTGACCACGATCTGGTGGCAGCGAGCATCAGGGCCCAGGGGGGCAACCCGCGTGCGTAGGGCCTGGATACCGCGGGCGACGGTCTGCCAGGCACGGCACAGCCCGTCGAGATCAATATTGCGGGGCAGACGGAAGACATGCTGTGCGACGTAGAGCCCGGTGCGACGCCCGGACAGGGCAATGAGCCCCTCTTGGAGGGGCAGTGAGGGGAAGATATCCTGAATCGCCTCGGGCGGTACCTGGCAGGCAGCGGCGGCCTCGGCAATGGCGGGCTCCGGCTCCAGGGCGAGCAGGGAAAAGGCGTCGATGGCCTCCGGGGTCGCATTCTCACTAGTGGAGGAGCCGCTCAACGTGTGCGCGAGATCTTCCAGGCGGGGGCTGGCGAAGATGTCCGCTACGCTCAGGCGGAGGCCGCGTGCAGACGCCTCGGCCACGACCTTCATGGCCCTCAGGGAGTCACCGCCGCGGCGAAAGAAGTCATCGTCCGGCCCGATGCTGGGCAGGGCCAGGCCTAGGACGGCGGCCCAGATAGCGCCTAGAGCAGTCTCCTCGGGGCCAACCAGGCATCGTCGGGGCTGTGCTGTCGCAAACAAGGCTGCGAGCTGGTCCTGGCTGAGGTCTGTAGCCAACTGAGTCAAGACGCGGCGATCCAGCTTGCCGGACGGGGACAGCGGGACGCCCAGGATGGGGAAGAAGACGCGCGGGACCATGTACGATGGGAGGGCTTGGGCAAGCAGCGCCTCGGCCTCACCGCGGGTACGTGTCAGCAACGCGGTGGGCCAGTCCTGGGTGACAGCTGGCGCAGCCTCCGGATTCTCTGCAGGGTGCAGCACAAAGGCCGCCAGCACCGGAGGGGCACCGTGCAGGGCGAGCACCGCCGCCGCGACATGCGACGCCGACGGAAACACGTGGCGCAGTTGGACCTCCACCTCTTCGAGCTCCAGCCGCTGACCGTGTAGCTTGACCTGGGCGTCGCGGCGGCCGTGGAAGCGGATGCTGCCATCGTCGTGGAAATGCGCAAAGTCGCCAGTGCGGTAGACGCGCCGGGAGCTGCCGGGCAGCAGGGGCAGCGTGGGAAAGGCGGTTGTGGTACGCGCCTCGTCGTGCAGGTATCCCCGGGCCAGGTTAGGGCCCTCAAGCAGGAGCTCGCCCACGCAGCCGATGGGCAGCAGCCGTCCCGGGTTGCGGCCGTCGGCCACCCAGGCGCGGAAGAAGGGTGTGCCGATGTCGGCGCCCTCACGGTGGGTGTACTCGGCGTTGACCGTTGAGAGGGCGGCGCACTCCGTCGGGCCGTAGGCATTCATCAGGTGCACCTGGTGGGTGGCGTCCCAGAGGGCCAGGAGGTCGCCGGGCACGCTCTCGCCGCCGATGGCGATGGTGCGTAGATGGGAGCCGATCTTGTTAGGCCGGAGCATCTTGACCACCGACGGCGTCAGGAACGTCCAGGTGCAGCGAGTGCGTCGAATGACCCCCTCCAGGTCATCCATGCGCTCCGTGGCCGACGGCATGCACACGCAGCCGCCGTACAGCAGCGAGACAATAATCTCCAACAGCGAGGCGTCGAAGGTGAAGGCGGAGAATTGCAGTGCGCGCGAAGAGGCGTCGATGCCGATGCGCGGGGCCAGCTGCCGCGCCATGGATACAAAGGCGCGGTGCTCCATCACCACGCCCTTAGGCATGCCGGTCGAGCCGGACGTGTACATCACGTAGGCCACGTCGGTGGCCGGTTGGGGCGGGGACGCCACGAGGGCAGCTTCGTCCAGCGTGGGGAGCATGGCCAGGGCCGCCGCGTCAACGGGCACCACGGGAAGTCCCAGGGTATAAGCACCGGCGGAGGGATCCGCGGGGCCCAGCACGAAGGGGGCTTCGACATCGGCTAGCATGTGGACGAGCCGCTGGCGGGGATGGCGAGGATCCAGGGGCACAAAGGCTGCGCCCGCACGCAATACAGCCAGCATGGCCAGTACGACCCACCGGGTCTTGTCAAAGCAGAGCGGGATGATCATGCCGCGGCGGACACTCCAGTTATCGCGCAGATGGGCCGCCAGGCGCGCGCTGAGCCGGTCGAGCTCGTTGTAAGAAAGAGTCCCGTCATGTGCATCGACGGCCAGAGCATCTGGCCTCTGGGCCGCCTGCTCCAGAATCTCGCTGTGGATGCAGCGGTCTACCAGTTTGGTGGCCAGGTCCGGGCCGGCCCAAGCATCGAGCTGTTGCTGATCGTGCATGCTGAGCACGGGGAGACTGTCAATCGGATCATCCACATGGCGCATCAGAACCGTCACCACATGGCCCAGGGTGTGGGCCACGCGCGTCGCAGCCCCAGGAGAGGCGAAACCTGGGCTGGTCGTCAGGGTGACGGTTGGGGGTGCCCCCGGGGCATCTGCAATACTGAGATGGATGTCGAACTCGCTGGGATCGTGGGCCATGGTCTGCGCATACTGGAGGCCCGCTGGCGGGGCCGCCCCAGCATCGTCGCGCTGCAGCGACATGCTGGTGTTGAACAATGGGCGGCCGGCGCGTCCCAGGTCGTGATGCAGCTCCAGCAGCGAGACCGTCTGGTAGTCCAGGGCGTCGAGGAAATCGTCTTGCAGGCGATCCAGCAAGGCACGTCCCGTGGGCGCCGCCGCCAGGTCGACGCGGGCCACCAGCATCTGGATGTACGGGCCCACCGCGTCGGCAATGCCGGGGATGGGCAGGCTGCGGCCCGATGCGGCGTACCCAAAGGTCACATCCTCTTCATCAGCATACAGGCCCAGGGTCAGGGCCCAGGCGGCCTGCAGCAGGATGAAGGGGGTGATCTCAAGCTCCCGGCAGAATGCGCGCATGTCGGTCCAGTCATGCGACGGCACCGAGGTAACGTGCCACTCGGTACTGGTGTCCGGGGACTGCGAAGGGAACAGCGTGCCTGGTGCACCAGCTAGCTGGCCGTGCCAGTAGGCGCGGGCCAGGCCGGTCTCCGGGGTCTGTAGGTGCTCCACTAGGGCGCGGTATGGCGTAGCCGGGGGGAGGGCGTCGAGAGCACCGTCATAGGCCAGGCGAAGGTCGCGCAGGAGGATGCTGATGGAGAAGCCGTCCAGGACGGCGTGGTGGATCTGTAGCGTGAGGATGCCGGCAGCGTCCACGGCAACCTGATGGGGGAGACTCGGGCTTTGCGAAGCATGATCGTCTGGAATGCGCTTGAGCACCACTTGCAGGAACCTACCATTTTGGCCCGCGACAAAGACGGTGCGCAGGACCGAGTGGCGTTGTACTACGCTGGCCCACGCCGACTGTACGCGGGCGCAGTCAATCGGCTGGCCCGATGAGTGGGTGAGAGTGTAAGACAGCATGACCTGGTACCGGTCGGCCTGTTTGCTCTGGCTGAGCAGGATGCCCTCCTGTGTCGGCGTGCATGGCAGGAGATCCTCCACAGCCTCAGGATCCATGATCCCCAGGCTGGGGAGGCGGACGGCCAGCAGATCTTGCAGCCCCTCCACTGAGGTCGTGGGCTCCAGCAGTGGGAAGTGGTCGAGAGTGTACTGGCGCGCAGCCTCGGCACGCAACAGCGCGGTCGCCTGGTGGAGAGTGTCTTCGATGGCTCCGGCCCAGCGACGCAGTCGGTCCGCGTGCGGCAGGTTCCGGGGGAAGTGCAGGGCAACTTGCAGGGCCTGGCGCTGGACCACTGCGGACACATCCACAATGGCGAAGCGTCGCACGTCGGCGGCCATGTCGGACGGGGCCAGCGCGGGCTCCCACGACACTGCGGCGAGAAGGGCGTCTGGGTCTTCCAATTGCTGGTACACGCCGAGGTAGTTGCAGACAACCTCCATGGAGGGCAAGGTGGTCTGGGAGGCGAAATAGGCCCAGCCATTGGCCGGAGTCGCTCGACGTGCATCACGGGTCTGGCGTAGCACATCCAGGAAGCTGTCATCGGCCTGCTCGCCCTGCCGCACGACGGGGTGCAGCGTGGTAAACCAACCAACTGTGCTAGACAGGTCGACAGTCTCGTCCCAAGGCTCGCGCCCATGGCCCTCGTGAAAAATGGGTGGCGCCCGACGGTCTGGGAAGGTCTGAGAGAAGGAGAAGGACAAGGCGGCCAGGAGAATGTCGACCAGCTCGGTGTCCAAGGCTTTGTTGGCAGGTCCCAGTAAGGTAGTCGTGATGAATGGGTCCAGCGTGAACTGCACCATGGTGGTGTCGCCGACGGGGTTAGGGCTGGTTGCATCCATTCCCCAGTACGCGAGGTCGGCAGCTGGACACGCCGCAGGGAGGGTTTGCGCTGAGATGATATGCTGGGACACATGCTGAGCCTGGAGATGGCACCAACGGAGGAAGCTCAGTGGGGACATTTCACGCGCCAGATGGCCTCCCCGGAGTAAGCTCTCCAGGTCGCGCAGGATGATACGCCAGGATACGGCATCAACCACCAGATGATGCGCCACCAGCCCGAGGAGTGTCTCCTCAGGCAGTTGAAACACATCAACTGCCAGGACCGGTCCCCTCTCAAAGTCCAGGGCGCGCTGGCTCTGCGCAGCAAGATGGGCCGCCTCTTCTTTCGAGGCCACCGGACACACGCGGAACGCGAATGCTCCATCACCGTCAGGCGAAATCGACTGCGTCCAGGTGCCCTGGCTGTGGGTAAAGCGAGCGCGCAACATCGAATGGTGGCGGACAATGGCGGAGATGGCTGTGCGCAGAGTGTCGACAGGGACACCTCGCACCAGACGCACCAAGAAGCTCTGATTGAAGTGGTGCTGGCCATCCGGGTTCAGGGTAAAGTACAGCCTCTGGATGGGCGACAGCGCCACGGCATTGTTCTCGTCGGCGGCCAGGGCCTTCTGCTGCGGTACTGGCACATTCCCCTTGGTTGCCAGGCGTTTGGCAAGGCGTGCGATGGTCTTGTAGCGCAAAATGTCCTGGACGGTGAGGGCGAGACCAGCGGCCTGGCAGCGCGCCATGACATCCATGGCAGAGATGGAGTCGCCACCCAGGCGCATGAACGACACGTCCAGTGCAATGTCGCGCTCGGGGACGTTGAGCGCCTTGCTCCAAATGACCCGCAGTTGCGCTTCCTGGGGGCCACACGGCAGGGTTGCCTCTGCTGTCGATGCATCAGACCGAGTGGTTGGGGTGGTGGTGGTTTCTGCGCGGGCTCGGCGGCGATATTCATCCATGCTCATGGCCTCCAGCCATGATTGCACGGCCCGCCGGTGCGCCTTGCCCGAGGCCATGGTCTGCACCTGCTCCACAGCGATCCAGTCCTGGGGCACCATGTAGGGAGGCAGTTGACTGGCGAGCTCCTCCTGCAGACGGTCCGACGCCACCACCTCTTGGGCGTCAGCCAACGCGATCACGGCGACTAGACGGCCTTGGCCAGGACCCGACTTGGGCAGGACGACCAAGGCCTGGCGGGTGACGGGTGACGCGATCAAGTGGTGTTCAATCTCGCCCAGCTCGATTCGGTGGCCTCGCACCTTGACCTGAGAGTCCTTGCGCCCGACAAAGTGGATGGTGCCATCTGGGGCGTAGTAGGCCAAGTCACCGCTCTTGTAGAACCGGGTGGGCTGGACATTTAGCGCAGTGGCCCAGCTGGGGGCGTCAATAAATACCGCGGCGGTCCGGGGAGCGTCGTGCAAATACCCCTTGGCCAAGGTGTGGCCACCCACGACAAGCTCACCAACGGCGCCAATGGCGGCCAGACGGTCTGGCTGGTTAGGATCGACAATCCAGGTCGTGCCGCCGACAGCGTGGCCGATAGTGGTGGCTGTGCTGCGGCCGCGGACCAGGGGCGTATGGACGCACCAGATGCAGGCCTCCGTGGGCCCATAGGCGTTGATACATTGCACCCGGTCTGCCCAGGTGTCGATTAGCGCGGGCAAGATCTTCTCCCCGGTGAACACCAGCGTGCGCAGGTATGGAAGGGCATCAGGCGAGAGGCGCTGGACCAGGGTAGGAGTCAGGGTGGCCCAATTGACCTGGGTCTCGTTCATGAAAGGCACCAGGCGGCTGATGCGGTCGCTGTCGGAGGGGATGCACACGCAGCCGCCACGAAGCAGTGTGGTGAAGGTCTCGCCGATCATGACATCAAAGGTATATGCGGCGAACTGTAGGGCCCGCGTGTCCGGACCCAGGTGCAACATACGACCATGCTCCTCCATGCTGGTGCAGAGGGCGTCATGGGCCATCTCGACTCCCTTGGGGGTGCCGGTGCTACCAGAAGTGAACAGCACGTATGCTGTCGCACGGGGATCAACGGGCGCGCAGGCAGTTGATTCCTCGGGGAGCCGGTCGACCAGGGCCGCATCGACCACGACAGTGGCCGCAGAAAGGCGGCGAGTCTGCTGGCCGTGTGAGCAAAGGACCAGTCTAGCGTCTACGGCCTGGCGCGTCCACTCCAGGCGACTGTCCGGCGAGGAGGGATCCAGCGGCACGAAGGCGCAACCCGCCTTGAGTACGGCAATCATGGCCACCACCGCCCATTTCGACTTCTCAAAGCATAGTGGAATGTAGCTGCCCGGGGGCGTGTGTAACCAATGTTGCAGGTAGGCAGCCAGCCGCGAAGACAATCGATCGAGCTCCCGGTAGGTCAGTGTACCATCCCAGGACACCAGCGCCGGGGAATAGGGTCGCTTCACGGCGTTTTCGTAGAGACGGTCCGGGAAGCAGATGGACTGGCGCGCGGGCACCGTGGCATTCCATGCGCAAATGGTCTCGAGGTCAGCAGCCGTACACAGGTCGATGTTGCCCACAGCCATGGCAGCCTCCTCGCGGGCCAGCGCAGTTAGGGCCTGTTCAAAGTGACTCACGAGGCGGGCGATCTGTTCTGGCGCCAACACAGAGGAGTCATAGGAAGCAACCACCTCGATGGACATGGGGAGGAGGGTGCATTCGAGCACCAGGGCGTACGAGAGGACGCTGTCCCCGCGGTGGTCGAGGGACCGGGTCAGCAGCGCCTGGGACTGCTGGGATTTGGGGCGCATGGGCTGGATGAGCAGCAGATTCCGCACGTTGCAGGCCTCGCGTGCCGCAGCACTGAGGCGCTGGATATTCTGCATCCCCAGCTGTTCGAAGGGCATCATGGCCGTGCTGTCCTGCTGCACACGCCGCAGGAAGTCCGGAACCAGCTCCTCGCCAGCCACATTGAGATGGACCGGCACCGTAGTGATGGTTGGACCTTGTAGGCGCTCGATGCCGTCCAGCGCCTCGCTGCGGCCGGAGAGAGTGATTCCGTGCGCAACGTCCGCGCTATTGGTATAGCGTGCCAGCACGACCGCCCAGGCGGCGCGAACGAGTGTGGCCGTCGTGACATCCGATCCGGGATGACGTTGGAGCGGCAGTTCGGATACAAAGGACCGGTCTGCAACGGGGTCCTGCTGTGGCGCAATTGCTGGGAAGCTGGGTGCAGCCCCAGCGGCGTCATCGAGTCGCTGGCGCCAGTATTGCTCAGCAGCCACTCGATCCATGGTGCGCAGGTGCTGCACGAAGTGAGCGAATGGCACACCAGGAGACGCCTGACGCCCACGGTAGACGGCATCAATCTGCTCCAGCACCAACTCCAACGACCAGCCGTCGTAGAGGGCGTGGTGAGCCGTCAAGACAAATAAGTGGTTGTCAGTTAGGGCGAGGCGCACCAGCGGAACACCCAGGCCCATTGGCTGCTGCTGGTCCTTGGCCAGATACTGGTCCAAATCTGCAACAGTATGCCATTGAATGGGATTGCGCACGACGGCCTGGCAGAGTACCGCCTCGTGTTGCACGAAGCGGGTGCGCAAGATTGGGTTGGCAGCCACAACATTATCCACTGCCTGCTGGAAGGCCCACGGATCTGCGTCGTCAGTCAGACGGAAAACATGCTGGTAGACGTACGTGCCGGGCTGCTTGAGCGATAGTGCCATCAGTCCTTCCTGCAGTGGAGTGCACGGCAGGACATCGGCAATCTCGGCGCTGGTACACTGCTTCCGCGCCGCATCCTGCCAGGTCGAGACCGCCGAGGACAGTAACAACGAGAACGGGGCAATCTCACGGGCTACAGGGGAGAACTTCTCAACCGGCAGGCAGACATCTGCCAGCTCACGTAGGGACGCCGCGGCGAAAATGGCCGGCAGTGTGAGCCGTAAGCCACGGCGCCGGGCGAGAGAGACGAGGGTCATGGCCCGCAAGGAGTCGCCTCCTAGCGCAAAGAAGCTCTCCCGCCAGCGGATACGTTGGGGGTCGCGCTGGAGCACCTCGGCGCAGAGCTGACGCAACACCTCAGCGCCAGGGGAGGGAGGGGGTGGCGCATCGTCCTCATCTTCGTCTCCATCGGTCATCTTGCTGAGTCCGGCCCACGGCACCACCGCGGTGGCACTTAGCTCGGCCGCCCAGGCACGCAGGCGGCGCCGGTCGAGCTTCCCCGTCGAGGAAATCGGCAGGGCAGTCACCGGGAAGAAATAGGCCGGGACCATATGTCGTGGCAGCCTGGCAGCCAGCGCGCGACGTAGCTCGCCGACAAGAGTGACTGGCACGGCATCACTCGCTAGTTTAACGTCCTGGCCGGGTTGAGTCGTAGATCGGGGGGCCAGGAAGGCCACGAGAGTGCGGTCCACGCCAGCACCAGGCAGTGAAAGTACGTCGACAGTGGCCTGCAGGGAGGAGGGTAGTGCGGCGCGGAGATGGTGGTTTATCTCACCCATTTCCACGCGCTGGCCGTGCAGCTTGACCTGGTCGTCGCGTCGGCCAAGGTATTCCACCCGTCCATCAGGGGTAAATCGGGCCAGATCGCCGGTCTTGTACATGCGACCATTGCGGCCGTGAGCCCGGGCCCAGGCAGGAGCATCAATGAAAGCCGCCGCGGTGCGATCTGCATCATCCAGGTAGCCGCGTGCGACCAGGGGTCCTTGGACTAGCAGCTCGCCAACAGCCCCAATAGGTGTGAGGTGCTCGTGGTTGGTTGGGTCGACTATCCAGACGTGTGCCGTAGGCGCACGGCCGATACTGTCGCCATGGGCAGCAGCATGGCCAACAGAGTCCTCCAGCAGGGTGAAAACGGAGCATTCCGTTGGGCCATAGCCGATCTGCACGTGGACATGGGGGGACCACTGCTGGATAAGCGCGCGTGGGACGAGCTCGCCTCCCATGACAATGTTACGCATGCTGGGGATCTCGTCGGGCTGCACGGTGGCGAGCACTGTCGGGGTAAGGAACATCCAGGTTGCTTGCAGACGGCTGATGGCGCCGGGTAGATCCTCCAGGCGCTCGCTCTCGGTGGGCATGCAGATACACGCGCCGTGAAGCAGGGACCCAAGGATCTCCATCACAGAGACATCGAAGATGAATGATGTGAACTGCAGCACACGTGCTGCCGCACTAAGTCCGAAAGCTGGGCCCAGACCGCACAGGTTCGCGGTGATAGCACCGTGTTCCACCACAACGCCCTTGGGGGTGCCGGTGCTGCCCGAGGTGAACAGCACGTATGCAACATCGTTGGCAGTGCTCTCCGGGTGGCGCCAGTTGGGAGGTCGGGCGTCGTTCAGTCCGGATGCGATATCCTGAAGGCTCAGCGCCAATGCAGGTGAGCCCAGGGTGGCAGCCTGATGGTGCCAGGTGGTACTACAGAGGATCAGGGGCGCCTGCACACGCTGCGACAGCTCCTTCATGCGGACGGCGGGGTCCTGGATGTTCAATGGCACGTAGGCGGCGCCGGCCTTCAAGACAGCCAGCATGAACACCACCGCCAAAGCGGATTTCTCTACCAGCAACGGGACGTGATGCCCACGCGTGATGCCGTGGTCATGGTGCAGGCGGTGTGCCAGCTGGGATGACAGCGCCTCAAGCTGCTGGTATGTGAGTGTCCCGTCGCGGGCAACGATGGCAGGCTGGTCGTGGTGTTGCACCGCGCTCTCGGAGATGCGCGAAATTACAGTGTCCGTCGCGGTCGGTAGGCCATGGCTATTCCATAAAGCCAGTTTATGCCACTCAGCGTCGGCATGGCTGCGTACCGCTGCATGACCAAGATCTTCAAGCGCGTCTTGCAAGGCCTCCGCCAGGACGGCAATCTGGGGGTCCGAGAACTTCGACTGCCAGTAGCTGAAGCAAACCGCCAGATCGGTGCCGTTGTCAGTGACATGTAGGGTAATGTCATACTCGGCGGGATCCTCAGCGAATTCAGTGCGGAAGGTCAGTCTCGACCCAACCACCTCGCTGCGGTGCACTTGGTAGGAAACAAGCGTGTTGAAGAGTTGTCCGGCGACTTGTGCAGCGCTGTGAATCTCCGCCAGGGAAATGCGGGCCCGTTCAGAGCCTCCCAGGACGTCCTCATGGACCTGCTCTAACAGATCAACCAGCGGCAGGGGAGCGTCGGGATGATATTCGACCTTACACGGCAACACGCTGATGAGGGGCCCGACGACATCCTCAATGCCGTCCAAGGGCAGGTCGCGCCCGGACGTGGCATAGGCAAAGCACACCTGGTTCTGTCCAAGATAGCGGCGCAGCACGAGTGCCCAAGCGGCCTGCATCATGTTAAATAGGGTCACGCCGCGCGTCTGGCGCACTGCCGTGAGGGCCGCCAAGTTGGGGACGGCCACATCGAGGATAGCCATCCGGTCCGGTGAAGTCGGGGCCGCGGGGGTCGCCGTCGGGAGATGACACGATGGCATGTCTACTAGGTAAGAAACCCAGTATTTGAGGTCATCCGCCCGGGGCTGGCGCGCCAAGTAACTGATATACTGCGAGTAAAGCATGCCAACCGGCGCATCAGCGGCCGCAACCGGATCTTGATAGGCGTCCTGCCAGTGGCGGCGAAGTACAGGCATCGACGTTCCGTCCGTGAGTGCGTGGCTCACCTCGAAGCGCACGAACACCTCGGCCGCATCGGTCGTGTAGAGGGTCACCCGGTGCGGAGGGTGCATTGGGGGGAATGCCTCCAGGGGCTGTGTGGCCAGGGCAGCCAGTACGGCGTCGCGTGGGCCTGCCAGGTGCCGGCGCGGGATGCGCACATCAGGTCTCTGCAGCACCAGCTGGGAAAATTGGCCACTACCGGTGAGGTCGTCACGGAAAACGGTGCGTAGCATGGGGTGGCGACGAACGACGGCGTGCCAGGCTTCCTCGAGGCGGTCCAGATCAGGGGGTGTCTGCTGGTCCTGGACCTGCCACACATATTGAACGTGGTAGTACCCTAGGTTCTTGGACTGGGCGAGCAGAATACCTTCCTGGACCGGTGCACACGGATACACGTCCTCAACAAGCCCGGTCTGCGGCCCATACGTCTCTGCCACGCACGATTCCAGATGGGCCAGCTCGGACTCGGACATGGGCAGCAAGGGAAAGTCACTGCGGGTGTACTGTGGAGTGCGCTGTGGCAGCCTCCAGGCCATGTCGGCCAACACCTGCTGGGTGTGGTTTGCCCACAACGAAACCTGGCTGGCCCGTGCCATTGACTGTGGATATGACCACAACAGGCGGAGGGTGCCGGCCTCTACCCACGCGGCGAGCTCGAATATAGCCGGCCGGGGCATTTCCGGCGCGATGTCAGTATTCTGGAGATTTCCCAGAGGCTCCAGCCGCAGCAGAGCATCGGCCTTCTCCAGCTGCTGGTAGCGACCCAAGTAGTTGAAGAGAATCTCGGGAGTGGTTTCAGCAGGACCCTGGCGGAGGTGCTTGGAGGCGAAATACGGCCAGCCATTCCCAGGAACACTGCGCAGGCTGTCCTTCACCTGGCGGATAGCCTCGTGCCAGGTGGTAGGCGGGGTGGCCAGCACAACGGGGAAGATGGTGGTGAACCAGCCCACGGTGCGCGTAAGGTCGAGCGCGGGGTCCCAGGGCTCGCGTCCATGGCCCTCGGTATGGATGGCCGGCATGTCCTCACGATCCACGAAGGTGGCCCGGAATCCGGCAACCAGGGCAGCCAAGAAGATCTCCGCAGGCTCGGTCCGATATGCCCCGTTGCAGTTGGGCCCTAGTAGCGCCTGGCTGGTGTTGGCATCGACCGTCACAGAAAAGCTGGCAGCATCCCCGTAAGCGTTCGGCCGGGAGGCCATGCCCCAATAATCCAGGTTGGCGGTCGGGATGTCAAAGGGCAGCGTGGCGGCCAGGCCTTGAGATAGGACGGCATCGCAGTGGTCGTTCTGCAGCTTGACCCACACAGGGAAGGACAAGGACGCTGGAGAGAGCACATGGTTGGGGGTAGATAGCAGGTCCTCAAGATCCTGCAAGATGATGCGCCACGATACCAGGTCGACTACCAGATGGTGGATGGCCAGGAAGATGCATTGTTCGCCACGCAGGTGTACTGTGTCGGCCACGAGCACCGGGCCCTTGCTGATATTGAGCGTCTGTTGGCTATGTAGGATCAGCGCAGCGAGATGATCGCGCTGAGCGAAGCGGGTTTCATGTGTAGTCAGGCGGTACGAGGACGACACGTCGCTGGTTATCTTCTGTGTCCAGACCCCACTGTCGCAGGTGAATCGCGCGCGCAGCATGGGGTGCTGGCCGACGATGGTGACCAATGCTGTGTCCACGGCCTGGGGACTTACCTGACGCCCTGTGGCGACGCGGAGCAGGAAGCTCTGGTTGTAGTGTGATTGCCCCTGGGGCGCCTGCCGGAAATGCCATTCCTGAATCGGGGACAAGGCGAAGGCTTCTTCCGAGGCGATAGTCGTAGACACAGCCTGCCCTACCGGCTGGCCCATGGGCTTCACGGCGTGGCACAGCGTAGCAATGGTCCGATGGCGTATCACGTCTGCCACGCTCAGCTTCCAGCGCAACTGCGAACGGCACCGCGTGACGACCTGTGTGGCCGAGATGGAGTCGCCGCCCAGGCTAAGGAATGGTGTGTGAAGGCCGATCTGCTCCGCAGGGAGGTTGAGCACCTGACTCCAGACGGAGCGCATCTGTCGCTGCATGTCACTGAGATCCTCCTTGTCATCTGTGCCTGTGGCGGACAGTGTCCGGGCGCGCTGATAAGTGTCCTGGTCCATGGATTGCAGCCAGTGGAGTACACCGGCGCGGTGGACCTTGCCGGACACCATCAGCGGGAACCGGCGCACGAAGATGAGAATTCCCGGTACCATGTATGTCGGGAGATGGAGTGTCAATGTCTCCCGGAGCTGAGTAGCCAGCGTCTGAGCCTCCGGGGTAAGGACCAGCTGCAAGCCGTCCGCATCCTCGTTTTCTCGCTCGGGCTCTGCGGCTAGTTCAAGAACTGCCAGGAGGGTGTTCTTCAGCGGGCCACTAGTTGGCAGAAAGGTTAGGGCATCCGTGACACGGGAATGACGACGCAGACAGTGCTCGATCTCGCCGGTCTCCACGCGCTGGCCGCGCACCTTCAGCTGGCCGTCCTTCCGATGGCCAAACAGAATGCGGCCACTGGGTTGGTAGCGCACGATATCTCCCGTGCGGTAAACCTTGGTACCGACGCCGCGGAGGCGCTGCACAAACTCGGGGGCATCTACAAAGGCAGCGTCGGTCTTGATGGAATCCCGGTGATAACCCGCCGCGAGAGTATGGCCCTCGATCAGCAGCTCTCCCAGGGCCCCTAGAGGGAGTATTTGGTGATGGTTGCGTGGGTTCACGACCCAGAGAGCGGCGCCAACACCGGCCCCGAGGATCTGGGCGCGCTGATGGACAGCCACTGGCGTGAGAGCAGCATAGATACTACATTCTGTCGGTCCGTAGCCATTCATCAAACGCAACCGGGGTGCCCAGCGTGTGATCTCAGACTGCGGCAGCGGCTCCCCGGCCAGGACCAGGACCTCGAGCCCGGGCACTTCCTCGGGTTGCAACAGGCGGGAAGCGCTGGGGGTGAGGATGGCCATGTCAACCTTCATATCGCCGATGAGATCTGCCAACCGGTCCAGTCGGTCCTCTTCGCGTGGCACACACACGCAGCCGCCCACGGTCAAGGTGGCAAAATTGTCCGACACGGACATGTCGAAGGCGTACGAGGCGAACTGCAGTACCCGGCGCGAGGGGGCAAAGCCGAGCGCTGGTCCATGATGCAGCACGCTGGTGCTGACGGCACGATGAGATATTGGCACGCCCTTTGGCTGGCCCGTGCTGCCGGACGTGTACAGGATGTATGCGAGGCGATCCCCATCGGCGTGGACGGGCTGCAGCTCATCCAGGGATTGCGTGACGATCGTTTCATCCACGACGACGGCCGGCAGTTCCGGATGCGCCCGCAGCAGCTCCTTCTCCAGTGACGCAGCACAGACAATACGCGCGGCCTGGCAGTCAGCGAAGATCACGGCCCGGCGGCTGGCGGGCGTCCTCGCGACATCGATGGGCACGTAGGCGGCCCCAGCTTTGAGGATACCAACCATGGCAACGATCGCCCAGCGCGACTTGTGGAAAAGAAAGGGAATCGTATCCCCCGGCTGAGTACCCCCCGCCTGGAGGCGGGCAGCTACGAGTGTGGCCAGGTCGTTCAACTCGCGGTACGTGAGGGTGCCGTCGTGCGCATCGACAGCAAGCCGGTCCGGGTCCTGGTGACTGAGGGCCTCGATTGGAGCCTGTAGCGGGCCCTCGCTGGCACACGGGAGACTCGCGTTCCATGAGGCGATCTGCTCACGATCTTGCTCGCCCAACAGGGCCAGATCGTCTGGGTGGCGAGACGGGTGGCGGACTATTCCTTCCAGGATTGCGTGAAACGATGCGGCCAGACTGTCAGCCTGCGCCGGAGAGAGCACATCGGACCAGTACTCTAACTCGATGTCGAGCTCGTGCTCCGCGGTGTAGACCGACACGGTGACCCCGTATTCGGTAGGATCGCGCGTGTCGACTATCTCGAGACTGAGGGCTTTCCCAGTGGTCGGCAAGGGCGTGCGCTGCACCGAAACGACGGTGTTGAAGGCAGGCCCCGAAAGAGCGAGGGCATGCTGCAGCTCTGCCAGGGAGGGAGAGTGATGGGCCATGCCGCTGAGCACGGCCTCCTGGGTCTGGGCCAGGCCCTCTAGTACGGTCTGACGCTGTGAGAAGTCAAAGGCAGCGATCTGGAGACGCAAGAAGGGGCCGATGGCCGTGTCGATTGCGTTGCCGGCGAGGAGATCGCGGTCTGAGGTCAAGTACCCAAAGCAGGGTGTTTCCGTGTTGGTGAAGAACATCAGCACCAGGGCCCAGGCGTACTGCGTCAAGGTGGCTGGTGTGAGGCCGTGTTGGCTTCCAAACGATAACAGCGCGGCAGTACTTTGTGCCGTCAGCGGCACCGCGACCCGGCCCAGCGTGGGGAAAGTTTCCGCGCCCTCTGGGAGCTCGTTGTCATCTGGGATACTCAGCAGGCAAGGCTGGAGATCCCCTAAGCGCTGCTTCCAGTGCGCAAGAGCCTCGGCCTGGTCCTCCGTCTGCAGGTGGCGGAGATACTGCGGGAATGAGGGCTCCTCGGTGGGCCTCAACCGCTCGCGGTTGCAAGCCTGGAGAAATTCCTGCTCGAGTAGGTACACGGACTGCCCGTCCACCAGAACGTGGTTAATTCCCAGGCGACAGTGCACAATGCCCGTGGTGGCGTCGGTCCAAATGGTCAGTCGATGCAACAGCCTCCCCACCGGGTAATCCTCATCGTCGTTGACCTTCGAAGAAGCGGGGACAATGTCCACGACTGCAGCTGCGGAGCGAAGAATGACCTGCACAGGGCCCGAGGTCTGTGGAAGGTCGTCAACAACAATGGCGCGCAGCATGGCGTGGCGGTCGACTACTTCCTGCCAGGCCCGCTGCAGTTGGGCCACAAGCTGCGGGACGGAGCTCTGGCCCTCAGGGACGATGACGCGCCACGTCCGCTGCACAGCGTAGTGGCGGCGGTTAACGCGATGGCTCAGCCAGATGCCCCGCTGTACATCGGACAGTGGCAGAACGTCCTCGATATCGCACGGCTCCAAGCCCAGGGCCGGGAGGCTGATGGCAGCCAGGTGGTCCAGGTCGGAATACGTGCTAGACCACGCAGGGAACTCACTCAATGTGAAGCCGCGTCGGTCATCGCCTAGTGTCTGCAGCATCTCCGCCACCGTCGCTGGGATGCCGTCAAACCAGGAAACGGCGCGATCATAGTCCGGCAAGGCAGCGGGAAACTGAAGGGTCATGACCACACAGTTGTCCTCGATCCAAGCGCTAATATCAAACAGTGACAGACGCGGTGCCAGGGGCTGCATATGATCCTCCCCAGCGGCAGCGTGTTGCACGCGGTGAAATACCGCGTCGGGCCGCTCCAGCTGCTGATAACGACCAAAGTAGTTGAATGTCACCTCCATAGGGCCGCCCACGCCCAAGACATCCGGACCGCGTGGATGCAGGAAGCGCGTGGCGAAGTACGGCCACCCGTTGCGTGGGATGCTACGCCGGGTGTCCTTGACGTAACGCACCAGGGAAGCGAGATCTGAGGGCGACGCGTCCAGACCGAGGACGATGGGAGCTATGGTGGTGAACCAACCCACGGTGCGCGTGAGATCGATGCTGCCATCCCAGGGCTCGCGGCCGTGTCCTTCCTGGAAGATCGTTGGCAGCCGCCGGCCAGGGAAGGCCTGGTGGAAGCCCGCCACGACCGCACTCAGCAAGAGATCTACGGGCTCGGTGGCGAAGGCAGCATTGCCGGTCCTCAGTAGTCGTTCGGTGCTGGCTGGATCCAGGACGATTTGCCGGCGAGCCTGGCTACCAAACTGGTTAGCCTCTGGTGCCAGGCCCCAGTCTGAGAGAGAGAACGAGGGCACGCGGCCAGGCTGGACGACCTCAGGCGTCAGCTCCTCGGCCACGTAGCGAGCCTGCACCTGGGCCCAGGTCCGGAAGGGCATGGATGGGGGACTGATGGGGCGGCCAAACAAGAGCTGCTCGAGGTCGTCAAGCAGGATACGCCATGAGACTAGGTCAATCACCAGATGGTCGACCACCCAGTACAGATGTGGCTCGCCGTCGATCGAGAAGTGGTCCACTATGACCAGAGGTCCATTTTCTGGATTGGTGGACTGGCGCGATGAGGCCATCACGGACTGCGCCGCAGCGTCGCTTATGGCACCGTGCACGGTGTATCGGTAGGAGCTCGCGCGATCGTCGGTGACCTGCTGCATCCAGGTGTCATCATACTGTTGAAACCGCACGCGCAGCATGTCATGCACGCCGACCAGGGTATCCAAGGCGTTCCCAATGGCCGCTGGGGTGACGGGCTGGGTCAACCGCACCAGAAAGTCCTGGACAAAATGACCCTGAAGCTGCGGGTCGAGCTCGAGATACAGGCGCTGGATGGGGGTCAGCGCAAAGGGCTGCAGCCGCGCCTGGGGATTCTCTGGCTCAACCAGACAGCTCGAAGTCTCGATGGGTTGACAAGAGGCCGCAGTCTGGCGGAGAGTTCCCGCGCGCAGCAGGTCCGCGACTGTCAAGCGGAGCTGCTGCTCGCGGCATCGACTGACCACCAGCATTGCAGAGATCGAGTCGCCTCCCAGTTCCAAGAAGGAGGTGCGATGGCCGATCCGCTCGGTCGGCTGGTTCAGGGCCCGGGCCCAGATCTGGCGCAGTTGGCTCTCAGCTGCTGTCCATGCTACGGACCCCTCGTCTGTCTCGTCGCGGCCAGAGTCTCGTGCTGCTCCCAGCGAGGCCACGTGCAGCTGGCTCCAGGGGGTGGCCGACAACCACTGCTGGACAGCCCGGCGGTCAAGTTTACCTGAAAGAGAGAGCGGGAGCCGGTTGACGACCAACCAGAGCGCAGGCACCATAAACGCGGGCAGACGACTGGCCAGGCTTTCGGGGAATTGTCGCGCGTGGTCAGGGACCTCATCCACCAGCGTCAGGTCGGGCGTCTCCAGCGACAGGCTTGTCATAGAGAGCACGGCCACCAGCTGCGGTCCCTTGCCGGCATCCGGGGGTGTATGTAGAAGCACGACAGCCTGTTCCACGTCTGACAGCTGGCGGATCTGGGCTTCGACTTCGCCAGGCTCCAGACGCTGGCCGCGGACTTTGACCTGAGTGTTGTTGCGGCCAACAAATGTCAGCGTGCCGGAGGAATTGTAGCGTACCAGATCTCCCGTCCGGTAGACACGCGATGAGCCCGCAGTCCCCAGCCATGACAGGCTGGATGGGAAGGCATCAGCTGTCTGCGATGGACGGTGCAAGTAGCCCTGGGCGAGGGTCGCCCCGGCCACCACGAGCTCACCCACAGCACCTAGGGGGGCGAGCCGGTGGGGGTCGGCTGCGGTGGTGATCCAGGTGGGTGGCAGAGGTGTCCCAATGTTGGATGGCTCAGTGTCACGGGTGACACGCTGTTGCACGGAGACACAGACACTGCACTCGGCGGGCCCGTATGCCTGGCGGAGGTGCACCCGGTCCGCCCATCGCTGTTGACACTCTGAGTCTAGGGCCTCCCCCGCGAGCAAAAGACCTGTCAGCCCCGGAACAGCGTCTGGGGATAGCAGCTTGGCCACTGATGGGGTCAGACATGCCCAGCTGGCATTGCGACGGTGCATGGCGCCTGCGAGGTCGTTTTGTCGTTCATCCTCGGATGGCACACACACCGTGCCACCCAGCGCCAGGGCGAAGAAGACCTCGACTATGAAGGCGTCAAACGCGTAGGATGAGAATTGAAAGGCGCGAACGTAGGGCCCCAGTCCCATCGGTGCTCCACTCAGCTGGATTGAGGCGCTGATGGCGCGGTGGGAGATTACGACGCCCTTGGGAGTGCCCGTGGACCCCGAGGTGAACATGACATAGGCCGGATCCGCCACATTGACAGGGCGGCGGGTTGCAATTCTGGGCAGCGCGGAGCTCAGATGGCGCAAAGCATGAATGATATCTTCATTCACCAGCTGAAAGGATTCATGGCGGTTTGGAAATCGAGAGGCGCCTTCTGAGGAACCCAGGATAAGGGGCGCATCCACTTCCGAGACAATTGCCTCCAATCGTTCCGGTGGGTGGGAGACATCGAGGGCTACGAAGGCTGCTCCTGCCCGGAGCACTGCCAACGCGGCTACTGTCATCCAGACGGACTTCTCAAAGCACAGGGGCACATAAGTCCCCAGACCAACCCCCCGGGAGACGAGCAGCCGGGCGAGGTTAGAGGCAGCGGAGTCGAGCTCCTGGTAGCTGAGGATCCCATCCCAGGCATCGAGAGCGCTTGCATGAGGGCGGGACTCAACTTGCTGCTGAATTAAAGTATGCAGCAAGGTCGGCGATGGGCTGGGAGAGCGCGTTTCGTTCCACTGCTGTATTTGCTTCCAGTCGTCCGAACTCAGGTTCCCCAGCTCTTGTAGAGGGCGCTGGGGATAGCGCACGCCCTCTCGGATTAGGCTTTCTAGTTGTGCCGCCATGCGGCTCACATACCAGTCATGCTCCTCGGAGTGGAAATACACGAAAACGATAGTGACGCTTTCTGGGGTGAGGGTGGCCCCCAGCACAATCGCAATCTGTTGCCAGTCAGTTCCAATGCTGGGGTGGGCCAGATCGGACTATCCAAGCTGCTGTACTCACCTCTGCTTCTCGCAGAGCCTCAGCCATTGCCGTCCACGAGGCATTCTTGGTATCCAAGCCCACAACCGTGTCGAATGGGAAAGGGCCGGTAATCGGTGTGCCAGCCGGGGTGCTGTCGTCCACGACTAACTGGGAGCTTATGCGATCCGCAACGCCAGTTAAACTGTCTTCGGGGAGTAGCTCGGCATAGCAAGCCTTGACGATGGAGAGGGGGGAGGCATTCCCCGTGGGATCTGATGTTAAGACTCCGAAACTTACGGCGTCACGTCCTGTGTATTGGTGGAGGGTGATAGCCCAAAGACTGGCGAGCAATGCTGCGCCAGTCGGGGCTCGAAATGCTGCCACAAGGTCAGAATTTACAATGGGAAAGGATGTCATACCGGGTCTGCCCGAGTGAAGGTCTCGTTTTACTCCGGGCAAGCTAGAAGCCGCTGCAGCCTTCATGTTCTCATGTACGAGGAATCGGGGTTCGGCAAAGGGACTCATGGTGGACAGAATACTGCGGTATCAAGAAGCTAAGAGAAAGATCCTAAAAGTCGCGTTGGACGACGTTATGGATCTCATCGCTCCGGGGCGAACATGATCCTTAAAAGACGAGCCGCGGTGCTGCGCATGCTTCTGGGCAAAGCACGCGGCCATCTGAATTCGCCATCACTCCCAGTACTCCTGTCACTGCATCCAAGTAAGTGCTTATGGGTATAGACAGTAAGCACTATGGTTGTCATCACGCAAGATCCCATTCAACCTTTACCACAATACTCGATGCAGCTCGATGCTTACCAGTCCTACAATCCATCCCATCCCATCATCGCACAATACCAGGAGCACATGGTGGTCTCCCATGAATGCAACATCCATCATCCAGTCCACCTCAGATATTGCATCCCAAGTATCCCATCCCCAGCATAATGGATAGCTGTTCACTACCTCCCCAGCTACAAGTATGAAACCCCGACGCTAATTGGCCCGACCGGATTAGCTAGTCATCACTACGGATCAATGAGGTTAGAGCTTACCAACAATCCCTCAGGATGGTTCCTGCATAATCACCAGTGGCTACCGTAATGGTTTAGCGATTCCTTCGGTACCGTCTAGAAGGCGGCAAGCAGGCCGACAATGGCCCATCTCCCACTCAAGCAGACAGGCTGACACATCACATCAAGAGGCTCATCGATCCCCAGCTATTTCACACGTGGTAGGGGTACAGTATCTAAGTAGATGGAGATTCATCGACTCCACCAAAACTGGTTTAGTTGAGGCCGACTTTCTTTCACCCAGGCTCAGGGGGTAAGTCATTATCCGTAGATAGGGAAGCAAAGCGACCGTCGCGTCGTCTTGTGTAATCAGCACGGTTCGCGAGTCCAGACACAAAATGGCGTAAGAGTAGACGCTAGTACTCCATGACATCGATGAAAAGGATGACTGATGTCTGAGGGGTAGCGTCCTCGTCGAAGGACACAGCAAGAACACAGCAAGAACACGGCGAGGCTCGATCCGGAAGGTACGCTTCCCGGGTGGTCACGTGATGGACTGTATGGACGGATATCATCTCCGGTTATTCCTCTCTTAAAGCATGGGGCCTAGCAGCTTTCAAGTTCAGGGATGGTATTCGAAATAGATTGGCAAAATCTACAGTATATATCTCTAAGTTAATCCACCAGGTGTTCTATGCAGAGGAGTGGGAACTCGGTGTTTGCCCATTATATATATCTCGATTGGTTAAGGAGTACTATGAGATTGGATGTTTACATAAATATTAAATAGAACCACAGACCATATACAGATATCCCGAAAATCAATCAAAAGGCAGCAAAGTGACAGAGAATAGATATTACTATGAGACGCAAATGGTCAGCGGGAGCGACCGTACCAGACCACCAGCGAATCAGAGAAGTCGAAATGTGCTAGAACTGAAGTGCAGCCAATCACAGAGCGGTCGGGTCAGTCCAGTGATTTCATTCATTGGTATAAGTAAGGTAGTACTACTACTACTAGTTACGCCGGATTATGGACAATTCATAAGTAGGGAGGTGGGCCAAGTAAATGACGGCTGCCTAAGGGGTGTTATTACAACCATTTACCATCTACCATCTACCTCCCACACAATCCCCCGTTCCGAAAAGTCCAGCCTGAGCTTGAATGCTTCTATCAGAAATAACCACACGGCTCCACTAAGAGAATAACCATGCTCACCAGCTTATGCGTGCTGGTAGAATCTTCCCACGGCTGGGAAAGAAGCTAGAGGGTTAACGTACTGACACGGTCCAGATCGCAATAGCAGCGGCAGAATAGGCCAGCTGAGAGACGGTTAGCATAAGCAAGAGACCTGGAAAGGGACAGACGTACCGATGAGAGGAGGAAAGGGGCCCCTTCGAAGGCGGGATTGTGGGCATGCAGACTCGCCGCATACACCCAGGACAATAAAGGACTGCCCAAAATCGCCCCCAAGGTCTCCACGGCGGCGAGTCCGGTATATAGACGAGCAACCTGGTCCTTGGGGAGACCAATAACGCTGGCAGACTTGAGAGACATGCTGATCCCCGTGCCACAGGAAAACAGGGCCAGACCTAGAGAAACATAGCCACAGATTAGGTCCGATCACCACAGAAGGGAGTAGGGAGGTGAGAGCATACCTGTAATGGCCCAGGTTGCAGTCTGAGCGACACCAATTAAGAAGGATCCTCCCAAAAGAAAGATAATGAGAGCTCGCGACATCCAGAGATCAGGCCACGGGCTGGAGAGACGCAGTCGGTGTGTCAGATATCGATGGATCCAAGGGAGTCCCACTGTAAACAGAAACAGGCTAATGCCCCCCTTGATACTATAGATGAGCGTTCCCTGTGTAGACGGTCAATTAGTGTTGACCCTTTTAAAATTGGGAGCAGCACTCTCACCTCTGCATGGCTCCAGCCAAATCGATTCGACATATGCTGGAGCAGGATGACCATAATGTTCGGGGCAAGCGTCGAGACCAGATCCGCAAATGCAGCAGACCGGATTATGCCCCCGTGAGAGAGAAGCCCGGAAATAAGACTTGTATTCTCCTTCCAGCCGGACCGGATCGATTGAAGGATGGACTTGGGGGGTTGTGCATGCTCGCCAGCAGCCACCCTCTCCACCTGCGTCGCTGCTGCGGTGGTGCCAGGAAGACAGAGAATGAGGGGAAACAAGAGCGAAAATATCGCGACTCCGACCCCGCACACCACCACTGCCGGCAAGGCGCTCATCATTGCCCCGGATGCAGGCGGCGCAATGAAGGTAGCCACCAGCCCGGCAGCCCCGGCGCGCCAGAAGAAGGCCGTTTGCTCGGTGTTGGGAACCACTTCAGCAAGAATCGTCAGAAGAAGGGCATTGAAGACCTGCGGCCCCCCGCCAATGAATAGAAATGCGAAGCCACCCAAGACAGCCGAAGGAGGGAAGATGGAAGGTTGAGCGCCTGAAGAAATATATCATGTCAGTCTTATAGCACCATTAGACACCGAGGCATACTGTCGAGGGGATACCTACAGACCAACACGAACCATGCGACTTCCAACGCCATGCCCAAGGTGGCCAGGAGTAGCACGGTCCGCTTACCCCAGTTGCGGGAGAGGGACCCATACACGTATCCCACCGTCAATCCTATAGGAGTCGGTCAGTGGTTTGTTCTGAGGCTCTCGACCGGGCGACACCCACCGGGCAGTGCGTCCAACATGCCCGCCATGCCCCGTAGACTGGCCACGACCGGTCCCACAGACGTCCCATCACACGGCGTTGTTGGGCTGGAGCGCTGGCACACAGCCAGTTCGAGTGCATCGAGCATGGGGGCTTTCAGCAGCTCATCGGCGAATTTGGCCAGGAAGATAACGGCACCCACCACGAGACTCAGCGTGCGGTAGTCCGTCCGCGGGGCGGGCGAGGAGCCCCTCTCATGTAGCAGGGGAGTAGTCTCGGAGGAGGACATGGTTGGGCATCGCAGGAACTTCCCATTCGAACGGCGCGATGGGGGGCAAATTCACTATGTTATATTATACCCCGTCGGGGAGGTCGGACAAGAACGGAGTCCGTTCCACTATTACCGCCATCGAGGGCCACTAATGCAGCGGGGAAACACCTCATCAGGCGCGATCGTAAACACTAGCCTTCCTCGGTTACTGCTTACGCTGGGATCCACCACGAGGCCGTTCATAAGAGTATCCCCCTTCCCTCGTTAGGGAGGGCGCCCATGGTGAGATAGATAGATAGAGATTGCTCGACCATGGCTGGATGTCAGGACAACTCGTTCGGCCCATATGCGGGCCCGGAGTGCCGGGGCGGCTTCGATTTTACCCTCAAGTTCGAGGAGATCGTGATGACTCTGGTCCCAGCCACCATTTTCCTGCTTGTAGCCACAATCATAATCATCTGCCTACTATGGACACGCGGTTCTGTGGGGGCTGGAGTGGGATTTGATCGCCTGTCGATAGCCAAGCGGGTGAGTCCATCGACTCGACTCCATCGACTACTGCCACCGGGTTCTAATTATTTTAGATGGCCAGTGGGATGTTATGCATTCAATCCCTCGCCCTTCTGGTTTGTGCCAGGTACCAAACGGCCGCGGTGACTCGTTTGATGCTGGCCACCACCGCCGTGCTCTTCGTAGAAAACGTTGCCCTCGCCGCTTGGTCCACGCTGGAACACCAACGCAGTGCGCACCCAAGTTTGGCCTTGAATACCTACTTGGTATGCATGGTGCTGCTCCAGGCGTGCCGAGTACGCTCGCTCTGGTTGGCAGACACTCCTCTGGATCTTTCTATTCTTACCACCACCTCCCTAGCGACGCGCCTAGCCTTGTTAACTTTAGAATCCGTGGACAAACCTCGCCCCGAAGAAACAAAGGGTTCGCCGAACTTGCTCGAAGACCGTGGGTCATTTCCGAGTCGGGTCTTCTTCGGCTGGCTGGTGCCATTGCTGCGCCAAGGTACGTTGCCCATCCCAAGATCACACCAGGCGATCGCCCGTATCTGATTCCTTTCCCCAGGATACTCGGGGATCTTGTCGGCAGTAGACTTCTCCGGCCTGGAGACAGACCGCACACAGCAGGAGCGGCAACGTCGTTTTACTGCGGCAGTCGAACGCCGGCGAGGGACACCTGCCTCCAAGTTCCATCTGATCACCATTCTTATTTACTGTAACCCGGCCGACTTTGTGGGAGCCATAGTATTTCGGCTTTCGTATATTGCGGCGCTCTTTGCCCAGCCGTTTCTGATCCAAGATGTTCTGAACTTCCTCGAAGACGGCAGCATGCCTCTCAACCGGGGCTATGGCCTAATCGGCGCCTTCGGCCTAATTTACCTCTTCATCGCCATCTTCACGGCTCACTACGCGCATTGCACCAATCGCTTTGCCCTCGGCTCTTGGGCCCTGTTAGTGAATGGTGTGGTAGATGCCACGCTGAACGCCCCCGTTGCCACGATCCCGCAGCCGGGTAAGGTGGGTGCCGCCGTCAATGTAGATGCGGCCAACACCGTCCAGGGGTTCCGGGCGATGCACGATTTGTGGGCATCGTTTGTCACGGTAGCTCTTTGCTTGTGGCTGCTGTATCTTCAACTCGGACTCGCGTAAGCACAACCCAAGGACAGCCGCATTTCTTATTACTCAGTGCTAACTCTCACAGCTTCGTCGCTCCCCTGCTCTCCACCATTGGTAAGATCCTCCTTTGCCTGGCGCTATTCACAACACTCATTGTTGACATTTAGTGTTTACTGCCCTGACTGTGAGCGTCTCGCCGATCATGATCCGTCGGCAACGGTCGTGGGTGGAGGCAACAGAGCGTCGCCTGGGCGTGATCATCCGGACAATTTCGTCCATCAAGGAGATTAAGATGATGGGGCTCGGGTCCAGGATGGAACAAAGCATACAACAGCTGCGCAGGGATGAGGTTCGAATGGCAAGGTATGAGGTTATTGGAGGACCTTCAGGTCAGACACTGTCTGATTGCTAATCTGCCTGCTAGGCGGTTTCGACGCATGATATCTCTCATCGTACTTTTCTGTAGGTGACACCTGGCTGTTAGGATGAATGCTCGGCTCGACTAACGTCTACCCAGCGGCAGGATCCTATCAAGGCGCTACCTTCGTGACGTATGGAGCGTTCGCCATTATCTGTCGCGTGACGGGTACGACGCTCAACACGTACAACTTGGACATGTCGTTGTCGGTGCTCAGTATCATGACCAGCCCCCTTTACCTAATGATCCAGCAGGCGCCAGTGGTTGTTGCCGGACTGAATTCCCTGCAGCGACTGGATGCCGTGCTTAAGCTCCCGCGCGTACCGAATACGCCTGCCCAAGATGTTAACTGTGTTGCAGGCCCCATTGAGGATAAAGCACTAATCACACTCCAGGAGGCCACACTGGATTGGGACGGAAACTCGCCGGTCCTCGAAGACGTTAATTTGCAAGTATTCTCAGGCCAGTTTCATGCCATTGTCGGCCCGTAAGTCTGAATAACTCCGCCCAAGGGGTTTCCTCACTAACTGGATAGAACGGGTTCTGGCAAGTCAACGCTTCTGAGGGCCCTGCTGGGCGAGCTTAACCCCATCCGCGGGGTGATCCGCAAGAGAGTCAGTGGGGGGATTGCATACTGCGCCCAAAAGCCATGGTTGATGAACGGGACAATCCGGTCAAACGTCATCGGAACCGGCCCATTTGAACCGTCGTGGTACCAACAGGTTCTCTTCGCGTGCGACCTGGACAAGGATCTGGCATCGTTCCCTCAGCGCGATCAGACGTCGATTGGATCCGCAGGAGTCGCTCTTAGTGGCGGGCAGAAACAGAGAGTGGTGGGTACTAGATAGATCTTACCATGCAAGCGCTCACAGAAGATAGGGTCTTGCGCGGGCACTGTATGCCCGATCAGAGCTCCTCATTCTTGACGACATCCTGGGCGGGCTAGACAATACCACGCAACACAATGTGATTGAGCGAGTGTTCGGGGCCCAGGGCGTGGCTCGCCAGGCGTGCACCACCACCGTTGTGGTCACACATCATGGTAAGCTCGACCGGAATAAGGCTTCTTCATCGCTTCACTAACGATAATCCTTCTTGGTCTAGCAACACTGATTTCCTTAATGGACACATGCTTGCTCTGTGGGGATGGCAGGGTGGAGGCCCAGAATTCCAGTACTGCTTTGCATAAATTGCAACGCGTCGAGTCCGCCGACACGCTAGACGAAAAGACTGAGAGTCATGATCAAGAAGCTAGTTCGTCAATGAGCCACCAGGCGGAAGGTCAGTACGTCGCGGAGGGGGTCGAGCAGGCGGAGACGGAGGATCAACCCAAGCGCTCCGACCCGGAAAGCTGGCGCCTCTATCGGTACTATATGCAGCTCGTTGGAAATCATCACACTCTTCTCTTTATCATCCTTAGCGCGACTGTTGCCGGTGTTTCCGTGTATCAACGTAGGTTGATTTCTCCTATCCTTCGCTTTATCTCGCTAATTCGCCTAGAATATTGGCTGACCGACTGGGCGGATGCGGAGTCGAACCGGCAGCTCTCGATGTATATCACCGTGTATCTCGGGATGTTGGTGGCGACTCTCATCGTTATCTTTGGGTGGTGCAGGTAAGCTGAACCTTCTGTCTTCCTGATAGTCGACTGACACCGGGGTAGTCATTTTTTAGATATCATGATACAGAAGGCATCATTGCAACTGCACGAAGCACAGCTCCTTGCATTCTTGAGGTCAGTGGTCCCGCCTCCGGACGATTACAAGGTTAACGAAGGGACTCTTCCAGGGCACCTATCTCCTTCCTCATGGCCGCCAAATCGGGGGCCTTAGCCAATCGGTATGTATGGTTGAACAGCCAAAGCAGCAACGGACTGAGATCGACGTTTTTAGATTCACCCAGGACATTATGCTGGTAGACGACGAGTTACCGCTCGCGCTCTTGAATACCGTGTCCTGTGAGCTCCATCCGACGATGATGGTTTTCGAGAATCTTGACTAACTGCCCGCCATAGCATTCTTTAGCGTACTCGCAGAAGTGGTGGTCGTCTTTGTGGCATGCCCAATTATGGCGGCCGTGACGCCTGCATTGTTCATTGTTTTTTGGGTGCTCCAGTCCTTCTATCTGCGTACCTCTCGCCAGTTGCGTGTCCTCGAAATTGAAGCAAAGGCGCCTCTGTACCAGCACACTCTTCAATGTGCCGAAGGTCTTGCAACAATCCGTGCCTTTGGCTGGACGGCTGCACAGCAGACAGAGAGCACTCGGTACGTCAATTCTGCCCAAGAGCCGATGTACATGTTGTACAGCGTGCAGGTATGGCTGAAGATGGTCTTGGACCTCATCATTGCTGGGGTGTGTGTGTTGTTTGCGGGTTTGGTGGTGAAGCTGCGCTCTTCCTCAGAGGCTGGTATGATTGGATTGGGATTCATCAGCATTGTACGTGTCAGACCCTTTACCAGCATACCTCCGGATCAAGCACCAATAACAATGACTTAGATAACGATGAGTACAACCAGTCGACGGTTCATGGTGGCGTGGACCACGCTGGAGATCTCACTCGGAGCGCTCTCGCGCATTCACTCCTTCGTCACCGACAGTCCCTCCGAAGATGCGAGCTCCGGGTCTGCGCAGCGGCCGACAGTATGGCCGACCGAAGGAAAGGTCGAGTTCTCCAACGTTTCCGCTACTTATACGTATGTGACAAACATTCTGAGGTGGAAGAATTCCTAACTTATGCCAAACAGCGCGCAAGGCAGGCCAGTTTTATCCGACATCAACCTCACGATCCATCCCCGAGAGAAGATCTTAATCTGTGGACGCAGTGGCAGGTATGTTTGCAGACCCCGGAAACCAGAAGAGGTCATACCTGATATAGTCTGTCTAGCGGCAAGAGCTCACTGGTGTCTTCCCTACTGCGACTTCTCCACGTCTCTTCGGGCACCATCCGCATTGATGACCTGGATACATCCACGATGTCCGTAGCATCGGTGAGATCAGCCCTTACGGTTCTTCCTCAAGACCCGTTCTTCATTTCCGGCTCTATTCGGGACAATATGAATCTGGGTACGAGCGTATCGAGTGATGAACAGATCCAAGCCGCGCTTCGCAAGGTCGGGCTGTGGACGTATGTAGAAAAAGAGCTGGGGGGGCTTGAAAGCACCCTAGACCCCAAGATGATGCTCAGCCAAGGGCAGCAACAGCTTTTCTGCCTCTCGCGGATGATTTTGCAAAAAGGGAAGATCATCATCATCGATGAGGCCAGCAGCAGGTGAGATCAACCTTCCTTCCTTCCTTAGCCTGTGATTTCAATCGACCGTGTGTGCTGACTGCGCAGTGTTGACAACGACACGGACGCCCGGATGAACGCCATCATTCGGTCCGAGCTAGACGACCGAACCGTCATATGCGTGGCGCACCGGCTGGACCATTTGCTGGATTATGATCGGGTGGTTGTGCTGCAAAGTGGTAGGATCGTCGAGGTGGGAGAGCCCAAGGCGCTACTGCAGCGACCGTCCATGTTTCAGGAGCTGTGGCAAAGCATGCATGCTGTTTAGTGCCGATGAGTAGTACGGAGGTGATGATGTCGCGGGATGGCGGGAAAGTGGGGGAAGTCGCGTAGGTCGCGTCGATACCAGTCATGTGATAATGATACTGCAGTAGAGGTACATACTTGGTAACCGAGTATAGAGATAACATTATTATGACATTTCTCACCATCCCTAATCTAGATCACCTCATCCGTCAGCATAAGCATTACGGTGTCAGCAAAAGGACTGACCCACTCCATTGGGTAGCGCTTATTGACCGGGCGCATCATTGGATTACCTTATCTCCCCAGACAAGTTCCCTTGCTATAGTGCTTATTTCCTGTGAATGTATCATCCTGCTGAAGATGATGGGGCCGTTGCTACCCCACTTTTAGTCCATTCCGTCTCCTGATTTACCTAGCAAACGGGACCTTCATCCCTCGAGAGATGGTATGTAGTATGTGGATAGAGACTGGATGGGCACTACAGAGTATACCATAGAGAGAACTAAACATCAGCCAAACAAAACCCATAGTACGTTCAAGTACCGGTTCAGTTCTCAACAACTCCAGACGTCTGTCTCTGCTGCTGGCTAAAATAGAACCTTAGGTGCTACCCGGGGCTAATTCCCCACTTAGGGTTAGTGGTAAGGAAAGGATGTGTATCAGTATCTACGGATAAAGATCTAGGCCCCCGCCAGTGTGCACTTGCAAAGGATTATGAAGGATTCTTGTGCAGTGCAGGACTGGATGCCTACCAAAGTACCCGGGAAATAAATCATACCCATGCTAGTAGGAAAACAAAAATATATCTTGCATATAAGCGGTAAAGAGTCCTGTCGGCTAGAACTTGTCTTCAGTGGAAGGATTAGTGACTACTGCCATACTGCATCGACTAGCAAGGGTAGTTGCATCAGCCTCAGGGTGGCTTGCGTAGCTAGCAATCTGTTTCCTTACAGCCCCCCCTCTTTAAATAAGGGATATAACGGAGCGGGGGGGACCAGTGGAAGGATGGCAGTCATTCAATGAGATACAATTCTTTCCCATAGTCTTCTATCCATGGCCAGTAATACTACTACGGGCCTGATGCCGTTCCCCGATGATGCCGCTGCGGCAGCACAAGACTATGAGCAGCGAAGGAGGGTCCAGAATCGTCTGGCACAGCGGAGATTTCGTATGTTTGCGGTCGCATCGCCAGCCTATTCATTCATTTACCTTAGTTTGACTTTTCTTGATCCTCGCTAATTGTATATAGGCGAGAAAGCAAGGCAACAAAGGGAATTGAGTCGGCTCGCTTCTCAGAATAGAGGTGTGTATGATATTTATTCATCGATTGTCTCTGGCTTCCATCTCCTTAAGCTTCTAAACCCTTAATCAGTGGAATCTTTCCCGCCAGATCAATTTCAGAAACATACCTCACAATCACATCCTTCGAGCGCAGAGATCCCCGCCAGCACCAGCGCCAACTCTTCCTATAAGCAACACACACCACACCCGGCATACATGGCAAAGATAGAGAATATGGCAATATCACTCGACTCACAGGTCTGTATACCCTGGGCTCATCCCTCCCTTTCATTCCCCCAGACAAAGATTAAATTTTGCTTATTTCGCAGGTGTTCGTTCCTCCTCGTCTACCACCACTTACCCCCGACAGCAGCGGTAGCTTCGAGCATGTCCCCAATCTCGGGCCCACCACTACTACGTGGGGAGGAGGCGTCGGAATATCGCAGATCCATTCGGTACGTAGTCGATATAGTATCGGGGTTACCTCGGACCGCTGCTAACCGATGGGGGTTGTATGTGCCCGTGCAGGAGGCTTCTCCTACCGATGCAATTGGGATAGTGCAGACCCAACAGGCGGTATTGGTGGTTGAAGCGCAGCAACATCTTCGGCAGGTCATGATGCTGTATGATATGGGGGTCGCGCTGGGGATGATTCCGTTGACACCGCGACTGCGAAGGATCTTGGCTACGGCTCAGGATAATATTCATCTTCTGTGGGCTGAGAATGGGAGAGAGGGAATGAGTTCGTGATGATTTTGGGCTAGTTCGGAGTTTCTGTGGTATGACGGGTTTTGTGTCTTGTGGGCGTAACAATACAATATGTAGCGTTGGTGTTCAGGGAAATAAGATACTGTCATAAAGCGTATACCAAGCTGAGGCCGGTACTATAGATATGATAAAGAAATACCCTGTGGAATTCATAGGATCATAAGCAAAGCGGTCAGATATGTCTGTACTAGAACTCCAGGAATTAAGCGTACAAGTGCATGATCAACCCCCCTGTGTGGGTCACAATGACTTCTGCTACTGCCAATAGTCCATAAAGATTCGGGAATGTCTCCTAACCCTAATCGCCGAAGCCACCGGCCGGTTAATCGATAACGGGGCCTCGTGGAGGTGGGGTTGGGGCGCCGTGCAAAGCGCAAAACTCGGAATGCGCATCCTTCAGGAGCTGTCGAAACTCAGCCTGAGGGGAAAGAATGCCAAACAGCACGCCAAAGTCGTACAGCGACATGGTGGCTTCGAGCCGCTGCTTGGCATGGGTACACAGCTGATCCTTCTGGCGCTGCAGGGTAATAATGGCATGCGCTAGTTCGTCTGCGACTCGCTGAACGACGATGATGATTAGCTTAGCAGGGTACTGTAGGCTGTGGAGTACATACACCGCCATCCTTGTCGCCAAATAGATTGCTATTGTCCACGTATGTGGTGGGTAAGGGGAAGCCTTCATCCCGGGGGTCGGCGTGTCCGGGCATCGATGGAATTGGTCCCAGATCCTCCTGGCTTAAGGGGAGGATCTCGGAGCTCGCAAGGCTGCTGCTACCCACTCCCACCTGGCCGGTTGCATGACATGGGTTAGAATCCTTTCATCATACGCGATCAATTGATAGGTCCTCAGTTTCAAGCTTACCGACAGAGATCTAATGCAGTCCTGACTGTAAGGCTGAGGCTCCCGGCGGTACGCTTCGTAGAATGCTATGAGGTTGGAGGAGAGAGTACTTTCTTCGTCGGACAGCATTTGCAGCCCATTACTCCCATCGACCTCTCCTGGCGTTATTGGCTCCTCAGATGGAAATGTGAGCAGCGTCTCGCCAGATCCCCTCTGGTGCAGGTACAGGCTGTCATGATCGGCGGTGACATGGTCCACTCCTACCATCGGCGAGGAAATCTCTAGCATGTCTTTGTTTTCATGACCAGTCGACTCCGTGTCCCTTTCGCTCATCCTTGAAGGAAGAGAAGGAGAAAATAGAGGTTGCTGTTTCTGTGGCCTACACACATGTAGGTCTTTATACGATCTTCGAAGGACTGTCCCGTGGACAGTATCCTGACTAACGTGTCTTCTGAGAAGAAAGATCAACGACTAGATGTACTGGAGGAATGACAACAGGGTTCCATTGAGCCCCAGATGCAGGGATCGTAGAACTTAGAAGGTTGTCGGTTGTTGCTGCCGTGGCAGGGATTGCGAAACGCATGCCTAATCAGCGGTCATTCCCGCGGCTGACCTCTCCACGAGAAGGGAGGCGTGATGTTGCCGTTGACAGTCTCCACTACCTAATACTGGGGCGATTCCTTTTCCCCGGTCATGGCTAATCATAGACACTCAGTCATTCCTTCTGGAATTACAGGTGGTAGCCCTGTTCGCATGTGGCGATGAGGATTTGCCTCCTCTAAAGGATGGTCGGAGGATCCGACTAGTTACCGTCAGTGCCCAAAAGGAAAGCAAAGCCTACCACGACACAGCCGAGACGAAGTTCCGTAGCGCGACTACTAGCCACCTACTAGGAGCCGTGCTGACTGCAGACCGTACCTTGGGATCCTATCACGCCACCTGAGATTCCCGAGAGGCCATTGCCACTAGGTACGTACTGCTGAGTAAATATTAAATACCACTACCATCATGAGGAAATGGGGGCTGGATGGGGATTAGATGGTAGTCTCATCGAATGAGCGATCGAGTAGTATTAGGGTTGTGAACCCGGACCTCCGACGGCTTCTCCGCACTCCGCAGCAGTCTCCAGTCCTATCAGTCCACCCCGTTATTCAATTGCAAAGTCCTGACAGAGACTCCCCTTTCTACCACCTGATGGCGATATTCTGGCAGAATGTGTACTGATCGTGTCGTGAGTTTTCCATCTGTCACTCTACCCCAACTGCCAGTTAATTAGATTAATCCCGGGCGACTTAATCCATAGTGAATGCATCAACTCACCAAATAACGATAAGCTCGAGTAGATTGCGTCTAGCGCCCACCACGGATTACCGCTAAGTCTAAGAAGGTAACCAGTTCTGTTCTTCATTTTACGCCGTTTTTCAGCGATTCGATCCTGCAGCCGAATCCCTAGCAGCTGATCCTACCTGGTAGGATTCAAACGTACGTAGGTCGGCTCTAGATCACAGACAGACAGATAATCTACCTTAGTTAAAGCGAGCCAGCCAGTTATAACCACATGGGAGATATAGGATCGTGACCAGGATTATGGCCAGGATTGTAGTCGGGATTGTCACCGGAGATCTTAACCCTCAGATTCAAATTCCTCATGACAATCATCATTGTAGTCGAATAAATTAATAAATATGATCGTTCGACCCAGATAAGAGAGCGGCTCTCCCAGTTTCTGCAGTATTGAAGGTGCGATTTAGCGTTGAATTCCGCATGCCAGGTAAGCACTACTAAAGAACCCCGGTCCTCTGTGCAATCAATCTCTCTTCTCGAGTGATAATGCACCAACAAATCTGAGACTATGCAATCCAGATGGATCACAATAACCTTTGATATCAAACTCAATGGATTGGCGGAATGCTAAGACTAATCATGCTATCGCACCACCGAAGTAAACATAAATAGGGGCCAGACACTGACAGGCACGGGGCACGGGGCACGGGCACGGACGGACACGCGGGCCGACGGCCCAAGAATTCACCCAATTAGATCGATCCCCACCCAATCAACTCAACCTTTCCTTTTTGGGTAATGAAGATGTTGAACCTATGATCCTGGACTACCTAACGTCTTACTTCTATTAGATGACTGGGAAACATGACGATAAGCCCTTATCTTGGTATCAAAGGTTCTAGAATCATATCATCTACTCCGTCGGGGAGATACTACTGTGGAGTAGAGCTGTCCGCGTAATTAGGTATGGAGTAGGCATATCAAAATTACCCGCCCCAAGTGTCAAACGAATACTACACACCTTACTTATACTAGACTAGCGTTTGATAATCCCGCTCAGGCTAGGTGATATACGGAAGTTCCGGTCAGGTGATCTATCTACTACGTAGCAGAGTAATGCTACACACATCTCGCGCAAACAGAGACTGATAGTTATAGAATCAGCCCGTGAGCTGGTGGCGGACGGGATTGTAGGTCTGTATTCTTACAAGGATTATTGGAGAAAGGTGGAAATCAGGACAAATTCCGATTTTTATGTTCGCATCAAATAGGAAAATATACTCAGGTGGCCATGCTAGTCCTAAGATAGGGTCGTGTATGTGGTCTTTGAGATTATGTGTGGTCTCAATATCTAGATCGCTTCCTAGGGAGGCGAGTCTAGTCCAATAGACCAACCATGATCATCTCCGCTCGAAACCCTGTCCATCCCCTTGCTCCTAAGGTACCCAGCAGATAGCTTTAGACGGAGAGTGCCAAGGCTCGCCAAATGGCATGAGAGTCAACTCGAGCTGAATGGTCAGTACGGATTACTTTGATACGAATATTAATCCAAGAGGAAGACAGACCGGAAAGTCGGAGATGTGGCGATTGCCGACTATGGCCCATTCGTCATGCCCTGCACGGCGTACAGTTGCCCCTTACATACACACACACACGCAACGAAGGCAAGGGGGAGTTGGTTCCATTCTGAACTGACTGCGGACGCCCTGCATGAACCGGGAAGGAGTCTCTTCCCACGAGTGTCTCCTCCCCGAGTGTCACCAACTGGAAGCAGAGTGAGACAGTGCCTTATCAGTCAGGCCACTTACATCAACAGTGTCAGTACTAGTGACTCATCTCCAGATGGCATACAGCCATGCATGATCTCGATAAACGCATGACGGACTTCAAATTAACCCTTCCGGTCGATGACCCCAAGCCCGCAGGCCTTAGCACTGCTGGAAGACCATTGAGGGTTTGCAGCAGAGTGGCCGGGATTGAAAATCGACGTCATTGCATGCGATAGCGAAGCAAGATTCTGCAATCCTTGGCACGCACTGACAAGCACCTGTCATTATACTACCGAATCAGAGTTGGCCCATTTGCCAAGCTGCACGGCTTTGATCGGCTATCACGCATGGGAACAAGGGTCATATATCTGCCATAAGCTAATTCAGGGGTCCCTGACAGGTTGGCTAGTCTGAAGGATGTTGCAGTGGAAAAGCTGGGGACCCCGGATGCTCCGAGTGGCTGTGATCACCTCTACCCACGGTTTCCATCGCAGCAACCTGCTGGAAGGAGTTGATCGGCCATCATGGTCAACTTGGTTATCTAGGCAATTTGAGGCTAAGAACTCCGGCGATCAATCATATAATCCTGCTCTGGAAGATCGAGGACCGGGCACCAGCCACGCCGACTTCGATAAGGTTTCCACCATCCTGGCTGTGAAAGCATGTCCTAAGAGCTTACCATTGCTTAGACAGAACTCACAAGCAATGAATGGTTTGTGATGTAAGTCCCCTTTAGAACCCTGCTGCCTCCAGGTTAAGCCAGACGGTTGCATCCATGGGATGCAAGAGGTCCAGGCACATGTTCCGACCAACCACTTGACAAATACCAATTCCACGAGACTGCAATTGGCACGGGGGTGTATGAGGTGGATATTGGATCCACATCTAGATTGCAGAAACACATTCCCTGCCCGGGCTGCGGCAGGCAACTTGGTGATCTCGTCTTTTGATGTCCTTCCTATCTGGTTGTGTTCGAAATCCCGACGGCATCCTCCACGCCGCGAGCGCTTGTTGATCCAAAGAGACTGATCAGGTGAACATGCTCGTGGGGTTGTGAAAAATTCAAATATTGCCATACCACGGGCATTGGCAAGCTACAAAATGGGGCGGTCCGGCTGTCGCTGTCCTAGGTTTCGCCCATACTATATCCCACTCCATACTTCTCAGCAGGTTACACCCGGATAGAGTGCCGTCTGAGTCCATTGACAACATGAAGCCGCAGCCCAGCCACTTGTCCACCAGCACGGTGACTGCCGAAGGGCTTGTCGACTTTGACGGACCCGATGACCCCATCAACCCCTACAACTGGTCGATGAAGAAACGGTAGGTGCATATTTCATCATTGCCTTGGCTCGAGGCTAATCGACAGCCGGCCTCTAGAGCGTCCATGTCGGTCGTCATAGGTCTCGCCACAATGGTGGTCTCATTTGCGAGCAGCGTGTTCTCTCCCGCCATCCCACAAGTCATGAAGGTTTATGGGATTACAAAAGAGGTGGGAACTCTCGGGGTTTCGCTCTATGTCTTTGGCTTTGCCTCTGGCCCATTAGTATTCGGGCCCTTCTCCGAACTCCACGGCCGTCACATCCCCCTGGTCATCGCCATGTTTGGCTTTACGGTCTTCTCCTTCGCAACGGCAGTTTCCAAGGACGTGCAGTCTTTGTTCATCCTGAGATTTTTCACCGGATTCTTTGGCGCCGGTCCTCTCACACTCGCGGGTCCCATCTTCGTCGATATGTTCAACCAGCGGCAACGAGGCATCCCGATTGTCATGTTTTGTCTCATGGTGTTCACCGGACCCTTGATAGCCCCGTTTGTAGGGGGCTTTATTGTCATGGATCCGTCGCTGGGGTGGAGGTGGACTGCTTATATCCCCGGGATATTGGGAGCTGCGATTACGGTGCTGGTGACCCTGTTTCTCGACGAGACCTATGCGCCCGTGGTCCTGGCTCGCAAGGCCGATCGCCTGCGTCGGGCAACCGGGGACTGGTCCCTTCATGCCGCGCAGGACGAGGTTAGCTTTGATCTCCGCGCCATTGCTAGGGACTACTTCAGCATCCCTCTGAAAATGCTGGTGTGGGATCCGATCGTGCTGTGCATGAGCCTGTTTGGCGCGTTTGTGTACGGACTCCTCTACCTCTTCCTGACGGCATACCCCATCATCTTCCAGAAAATCCACGGCATGAACCCGGGCGTGGGTGGACTGCCGTACTTGGGGGTAGTAATCGGACTGTTCCTTGGGGCCGTTGGGATTGCATCCACCCAGCCGTGGATGGAGCGGAAGGCCGAGCGGACCGGGGGAGAGATGATGCCCGAATGGCGCCTCCCCATTGCCATCCCCGGGGCGGCCGCGTTCTCCGGGGGGTTATTCTGGCTGGGGTGGACCGGGTATCAGCCCACGACCCATTGGATAGCTCCAACATTGTCCGGGTTGCTCACCGGCTTTGGCTTGTTGACCATGTTTTTGCCTTCGTTGGTGTATCTGGTGGAGGCACGTGCCCGAAAGTGAGTCTCCGTCGATCTGCCTGCCATTTGATTATTGCAATCGAGCTGATCCCGATGCTATGTAGAAGCGCGTCGGCTGTGGCGGCCCACACCTTCCTGCGGTCGGGAGCCGGAGGCGCGTTCCCGCTCTTTGCAACATACATGGTGAGTGGGATTGACCCTTGAATCGAATCATGGGGCATGATGAACCGGAAGCTAATGCGCGAGGGGGACATTAGTTTAACACTCTGGGAGTGGAATGGGCGTGTACGTTGCTGGGGTGCATCGGGGCGGTTCTCATCCCCATTCCGGTGCTGCTGTACGTGTGCGGCGCGCAGATCCGGAAGAAGAGCCGGCTGTCGGTCGCGTAGTAGATAGATAGCTGGGCTGGAGCTGTGATCGGCAGGTGGAAGAGATGGCGAGATACTGGGGCCATAAAACGAAAGTACCTAGCTATTGGAAATGAGACGATGAGATGCCGGTGGTTTTCACATTTTTCTCGATTGCATCAATGATGATCGGCGGGGGGTGGAGAGGGAATGATTGGGTGTGCCGGTCCGGACTGTAGCACTCCCACTAAAGGCTGCCGCTAGTCGCGGGCCTGACGATTTCGGCCGCCAAATCACGTTGCAAGGGAACCGAGCTCCGGCCAGCTCCTCTCCTCCCTCGTTTTGGCTTTGCTTCCTCCCTTCCATCGTGCAGCAGACGGGTCGGCACGTGAGAATTGAATGGATGGATGGATGGGGGAGTTGAAGGCCGGACCAGTCCAGTCCAGTCGCAAATCGATCGCGGGCGGAGAAAGAAGACTCCTCCCTCCCTCCCTTGGCCGCAGACGGGATCTCCTCCGTCCTCCCCTAACGTCTGAACCATCCGAACCGGCAATGGCGTGCTACTGGAGCTATACATCATCATCACCATCACCATCACCACCATGTATCCCGTCCACTGTTATTTAACTTGCCCATCCCAACGTCGCACAGGACCATGGCTCTCTCTCCGTCTAGGCCGGCCACCGTGTCACACACCCCCCAGACCCCTTTTAAACCCGCCCATCCCCGATCCCCCCTCACCGCTACCGCATCGCCTCCCCACCCCGGTATCCTCTAGATGCACGTTTTCTGATCGGCGATTTTCGACCGCAAAATGGCCGCTGCAACCCACCCCAACTTCCGCGATAGAAGTATCACCCAGCCCCTGCTCGAGGCCGACGAGTACGATGAGTACTCGTGGGTGCTGCTGGAAGACCATCCGTTGCGCTCGCCTCCCGCCGAATGTTGCCCGGGTATAGTTTGGGTCATCCACCGCTGCTGTGCGGCGGTAAGCAAGAGATGGAGCGATCGCGCCCTCTCGTTGATCTGCTTGTTCTTGATGTTCTTGTATGTCATCCTTCTTCCATCGCCCCTAACTGGTCGGCTCGTATCAAGGCTTACTGACAAGCAACTATCAGAGTAGCCATCCAGTTTTTATCACTCTTGCCATACGGCGTCTCTTACATTTTCCTTCGCGAGCAGTACAAACAACAAACGGGGTTCGTCCATTGGCCCGTGGAGTTCAACAACCAGCCCGCTGCTTGTATCTCCTACAATCCACGAGCACATTCGAGTGCAATCCAATACTCTGTTGCTGCGGGCTGTACCGGCATCAAAGCGGATATCTGGCTCCAAGATGATGACCTTCTTGTAGGCCCCTCGACGTCAAGCCTCAAGAAAGAGTCAACCCTGCGCAGTGTCTATCTGGAGCCACTACTGGACCAACTGGATGCTAGGAACACAGACGAGGCTCAGTCTGACCACGGTACCATGTCAGCTTGGACGGGACTATTTGAATGGAATCCAATGCAGCAAGCTACCTTGTTCTTGGAGATACGATCCTCAACGCAGGACGTGTGGCCTCGTCTCTTCTCCGAACTGGCTTTGCTAAGCGAACGAGGGTATCTGACCCACCGGAATGGGACGCTGGTTGTCCCCGGCCCCATCACCATCGTTCTAACGGGTAGGGATCATGTGAACATATATGATACCCACCTAGTTGACCATAAAAACCTCGTCGATTATCTATTCTTTGATGAGCGATTGATCGTGGACGCTGAAGGGTCTGCCGCCACCCCAGCATCAACAGAGGATCAACAGGACCACTTTGAACAAAGCTCAAGGATCTCAATCCCGGACTTGGACATACCACCCCTTGGTAGAGCAATTCAGCTGTACAGCGCATCCGTCAATTTCAGTACGGCCATTGGGTCGCCTCATCGAGGTCGATTCTCCCCACGACAAATTGATCTGATCAAGAGCCAAGTGCGAGCCGCCCATCAACGGGGATTGTTGGCTCGGTATGAGGGTATTCCCTGCTATTCAGAGGGGATGCGACGCATTATCTGGAGGATCTTGGTTAATGAGGGTGCAGACTTTATTGAGGTTGACTGGACTGGATGTGCTAGCCGGGGCTGGCGACGGTTCTTTAGTATAGGAGCCCGGGACTGGTCCGGCAACCAATCTCGGCATCTTCTTTGGCCATGGGGTAAGTAGTATGTGGGCGGAAGATAAATAATGATATTGAGAAGTATATAATGCGTGTGATGGGAGGAGCCGTGCGTATGTATTTCGCGAGTAAGATATCGCGTAGGACCTTGCAGCCCGAGGGTTACCAAGGTGCTCCGTAGATACCACTGAAAATATACCCAGCTTGCAGCATACCAGAAGGAAGGGATTAAGCAAGGAGTTCAGAGGTTAAATCATCGGCAATGTGGCAAGCGGCAAGAGTCGAACATTACGCCATACCTGAAAGTCGGAACGGATGATTGTCGGGATCGTAGGATCGGCCGTGAAAGGGATGAGGACAAATCCGCTTACGATAAGAACAGTACTGGACATCAGATATGACGCCGGAATTGGCCGTGTCTGCTCCGTTGTAACATGATGAATTTTCCGACCGACGCAGTCCAAAGAAATGCCTCAGACCACGACGCCGAAGCAGATGCAGAGGGACCGGAACGGTGTATCAGATGGAGGCGACCGTCTGGATAATTATAGGGAGGGAGAGGTGGCCAGGGCCGAGTTAATCGGCTGGGATCGGCAGGTTCAGGCATTGCAGGTGGGGAAAGGACATTGCTGGCTGTCATTAGTCATGGCTGCGCCTGTACTCCATGCTCCATGGTGCCAATCCATCCTGCAGGTCGCAGCAGGAGCCCTTCAGGTCGCACGGAGTAGTACATACTAGTAACCAGGAGTATCATTAGTAAGAGTGGTATACTTAGTCAGTAGAGTCCATGTCACCCTGATTGAGTCCTGAATGGTTCAGGTTCAGCATCCGAAAGTTTGTTCTTCCATCATCTCGGAGATCTCGCTCCTGCTGTGTCTCATGCTCCAGATTCATGAAGAAGGCCTGCGGGTGTGGGTGGGCAACAATTAGATTCTGCTGCTGGGTATCGACCCAGTGGAGGAACGCATGACACGTCGCCGGCTGCATGGCATGGATGCCAACGGGCAGCGATCGGGTGGAGGGGAAGGAACGGGACGCAGAGGCCAGCTGGAAGGATTGGGCAGAGGAGTTACAGAGTGGCCTGTATGGAATAATCAGGCGTCAAGAAATCCCAAGGATGGCGTAGCGTAACCTATCAAATCATGAGTTGGTTGTAGATATGTGTGAAAGTAAGAGTAAGTACTACGGAGTACTACTATGTAAGAGTAAGAGTAAGAGAAAGAAAAAAAAGCTCCACCCCGTTTTCCCCGCTTCCACGACGGCCCCATCCGGCCACTACGATTTGCAGCCTCCAGTCCACCTCGTCGCCTGCTAGTCCCTCGTTTGCATCGGCTTGATTGGCCTGGTGGGTTCCGATGTGTCCTCCAGGGAACTCTCTTGTCGTTTCCCTGGCTCCGTCCCTCACCGTTTTTCCCTAGTAATTCTAGTTTTCCATTTCCATTTCCCCTGCCCTCGCTCGCTCTCCACTCTCCTCCCTCTCTCTCCCTCTCCCTCCTCCTCCTTTGTTTCTGCTGCTACGGTTGCTGCCTCCTGCGTCCTTCTTCTCTTCTCAGAGCTTTCTGAGCTGGCTTGGTTCGCTCCCTTCTCTCCCCCCATCATCATCATCATCATCATTATCATCATTATCATCATTATCATCATCGTCCGCATCGCCGGCTGAATTGATGATTCCACGTATCGACTCGTTCCCTTTCCCGCCTCCCGTCCATCTCGTTTAAACTCAACTTTTACCGCCATTTCGCGACCTGCTCAGTCCATCCGCGCCCGAGCCCAACCCAATCCTCCCCCCCACGACGTTCATGCTGCCAGCACCCCCCATCTCTCCCACATCACCCCTCCCTTGACGATGATGATGGATTTCCAGAAACACCATCCCCATCATCCATATCACCCACACCCGTCCCTGTTGGGCGTCGTGGCTCATGACCCTCGGGTTGCGCCCCCGCGCCGCCAACTCGCGCCTACGGGCCACCACATCCTCCATCACCGCGGATGTTCTACGACCCCTATCATCGACGCGAACCCGAGATGCCTAGATCCGGTGTCACGCCGACCTACAGCTATCCGACCCCCTCCTCGGCCCCTGCCTCCGTTCCCTCCGTCTCGTACGCCCATGAGAATACTTATGCATCATTTCGGACAGATAGCAATGGGTATCACATCGCATCGGCGAACCATGGCTCGCTGAAGGAGCAAAATCTTCCGGGGAGCAATCTGGACCATGATAGCCGCCAGGGCCCCAATCCTAACCCCAATTACCTCAACAAGCAGGATCGTCGAATGGTGTATCGTGAAGGTAGGCCACTTTCATTTCTTTTACTGACGCTATGATTTTCCTAAATTTGCCGGACTGCCTCTTCGCTCGTCTCTTCGGGGCTTCCGTGTTTTCTTGGTTTTCCTACGATGTTGCGGTGTGCCTGGGAGCGCCCCGGTGTGCCGGAGAGTCGGGCCGTGGTCGCGTCGCGATGACCGGTCGTCTCGGAGGGTGCCTAACGGAGCAAGTAAGACGGGAAAAGAAGGGGAAGATGTGTCCTGGATGGGGAGGATGCAAACCTCTGTGGGAGTCTGGCCATCTGCGCGGGCGCGATGGTCCGGCTGCAGCCTTTGTTTATCCGTACTACAATCCCACCGTCACTTCCGACGCTCAAGGAACCCAAACTTTGTGCCCGGCTCTGCGGGCCAATCAGGGGCGACGCACCAGCCGCGTCTGTGGCGCCTGATCGACTTCCAGCCCAGGCAGCCTCGGGAACGCTATGCCCGATGCACCCTAGTGCATGATGCCAGGGCATCGCTACCCAAGCGGGTCTAGCGCCGGACGAGCTCGTCCAGGCCCAGAGTCACGGGTTCAGCCCCAGTCGGAACTCGCTTTGCCTGTCGCGCGCCATTCTTTCTTCCTGCATCACCATCATCATCATCACCTGCTGTCTCCTCCCCATCTCCCTCTTCCCGTCCCCTCCCCCCGGGCTCTCTTCTTCCTTCCCCGTTTGACCGTCTTATCTACTTTTATTTTTCTCATCTATCCCTGCTACGTCTGTTCCTGATTATCGCTTTGCCACACAGCTCCCCTTTCCCCCTTTGCATGCGACATGAATCCTCCCCCGTCGCATGACCAAGGGCGTCGGAGGTCCTTGGGCAGCAGTGGCAGTCCCGCGTTTCCTGGTGAGTTCCAGGCGGTCCAACTGGCACAACCCCCCGGATCCTCGGTCTACCGCTCGCCACGCACAGGGCGCTTTATTTCTTTTGCGGCTTGGCTATCTCTGTTTACGGTGATCGGACATATTGGCTAACTCCGAGCCTCTCTTCTATCTAGGTGTTCAAGAACAACAACCCGCTGCGCCGCCGTTGGGGACGCGCCGCATGCCTCCACCCTCGCCACCACAACATTATCCATCAAGAAACCAACCGGGAAATGCTCCTTCTCTATCCACTCCCTTCTTGTCGCGTGAGCCTCCCAGCAACCCGGCTCATCACCGTCCAGGGAGCAGCATGTCGATATCGTCCATGCTTGGCTCGGACGCTGACCGACCAGGCCGGGATGTAGGCTCTTCGTCCATCTTCTCGCGTCTCCCAGTGTCTTCCGCCCCTTATGGGAACGCGCACCCCCCGTCGGCCCCCGGCGCTATGTCGCCGCCGACCGCGCCCGCGCGTCCGTCCCCGCTCGAATATCCGAGTTTCCGACGGTCCCAGACCCCCGAAAAGCCCTTTGCGAAGAACCAGCCGTCCCGCCCGTACCGATCCGGCTCCGGCGGTGTGCCCCAGACCATTGCCGACCAGGCCAAATTTGGGGGGCTGTCTCGCGTACCGCCATCGTCGCAGTATCCCGATAAGCCCAACTCAACCCACCCGTCTCCTCAAATTGCATCCGCCGAAGCCCCGTATAACGAACCCCGTCGCTTGAGCTTCAGCGGGCCTGTTCCTCGTCCCAGCAGTCAACCCCAACACCTAGAACCCCCTGCGCGCACCACTGGATACAGTCCATTGTCACGACCTGTCGCTGTTGCTGGTGTCGGGGATGGTCCATTTGCTGCCACGCATCAACGAGCTGCATCGTATATGGGACACGAACCCCAACACACCAGATACGGAGGTCTGTATGCGGATCGACACGCGGAGGAGCAGGCCCACCGCGACCGGGAAAGAGCGATCGCACACGAGGCTGAATCCAAGGCTGCGTCTCACCCCCCGTCCCGGTACGGCCCGCCTTATGGGGACCGGGAGACCGCCGCCCATCGGCCGCAGGGCGCATCTGCCTGGGACGTTGGCCGCTCGCAGCCACCGTCGCCGGAGACGAAGCGCTTCCCCGTTCCTGAGCCAGGCTCCGGGTTCGGATTTGGCGCCATTCAAAGCTACACCAAGTCTTTGGGTTCTCAGCTGGGAGGCTCGCGACAGCCGTCACTCTCCGTTCATCCCCCCCGAGCCAGCCACCCCCTCCCTCGCACGACCAGCCGCCGTACCTGAGCAAGCTTCAGACCGAAACCCGCGGCTTCCCGGCGACGTCATCGTCCGTTGGCCCACCATCGTTGATTCACTCGGCGTCGTCGGACGACCAACGACGCAAAGGAAGTGACGAACTTTTGGCGCATCGGAACCTACTCGGAGTTGGGTTGGACTCCAAACGCGGGGGACGCGCGTCACCACTCCCCCAGGCTGTGCAAGGTGCCCAGGCTCAGATCCTCGGTCCTGCAGGCGACTCGGGCATCAAGAACGAACTCGGTCGAGTGTTTTCTGGCATTGGAAGCGGTGTCGGTGGCGTCACTGCTACCGCCGGTGGGAGTGGCCCGTCAACCCCTATGGCCCCCAGCCCTTTCAAGCGTGACAGTGCGCCGGGCCGGTCTGCCAACGGGGAGACAACCGTGGACGACATCAGAATTTCTCGCCCGACCTCGGCCAATGGGAAGCGACAGAGAAAGTCGCGCGACGAAGATAGTCGAGCGGAGAGTGAGGCAGCTTCCCTGGGAGCCGCCCGCGGCCGGCGGAATCGCCATCTTCATCACCACCACCATCAGTATGTGTCTCCTGGTTACAATAGTCTTCATGCGTTCCATGCTGACGTTCCCAGCCACCACCATCACCGCCACAAACCTGAGGAAGAGGCTGCCGCTGCTGCTGCCGCCGCCGCCGCTCTTGGCTCCAGTCGTCCCCTATCTTCGGTGAATTTCTTCCATCGAACGGCCACTCCCGGAGAAGGCACCCCATCGGCCACGGGTTCAGCTCTCGGACATCATCACCACCATCATCATCATCACCACCACCATGCTCCCCGACCGGCCGCGGCTGGCGGTAGTGCTCCGGCTGTGACCCCGATGCGTGAGCCTCGCACGGTGGTTACTATCGAGCCGCTCCTAGCGACTGTGGCCCATCTCCCCCGACATCACCTTGGGTCAACGTTGTATGCGCCTCGGATCGGAGTCCCCACGGAGAAGGCCACTCTTGAGAGTGCCAAATTCGGATACACAACGACCCCTCTACCCCTACCTCGCTTCGAAGGCAAGGAGAACTGCACGTTCACCATCCGTGTTCCCCGGTTCCGCATCGACACGGGCCATCGCGAGGAAATCTGCGCTCGCCGCGCTCTCTGGGGCACGGGCGTGTACACAGATGACTCGGATCCAGTGGCCGCGGCGATCCACTCAGGGTTTATCCGCGGCGCGTGGGGCGAGGACGTGGATGTGGATCTGCTGGACTTGGAGATTAAGGACGCGTACCAGCACGCCCCCAAGACCGCCCAGGATGTCGGTGCCGAGGATGGCGAGCGACCCCGAGTTCCTCCGATACCCCCGACCGACAAGGACCTGCACATTACACTACTGATCCTGCCCCGTCTGGAACACTACGATTCCAGCGTACTATTTGGGCTGAAGTCGCGGGCGTGGGAAGGATCACACGACGGGATGAGCTTCAAAGTGCAGCGCGTCGAGTGGGTGGACGAAGGAGTCGGACGCGGCGAGGAGCGCAGCGGTGAGGCGCGACGCAAGCGCCTGCGCAATCTGATGCAGACTGGACGGATCTGCACTGGACCGGGGGTGGTCAAGTTGGAGCAACTGCGGAACGGGGTGCAAATCCCGCGTCGCAAGCAGCTGGAAAGCCAGGAGCAGCCGTCGCCGATGCCGGTGTCGTGATGCAGAAGCCACGGGCGGGGTCATTTGATGTAGATGTTGATATATTTCGGGTGGGGTGGATTTGCATGTTATGATTGCCGCTGGAGGCGTTGTGGGATTTCGTTTGTTACGTATTAGCGTGGCGTGGTGCAAACTGATACTTGTTTAATCTAGGATATTGTTATTGAGTAGTAGTACATACAGTTGTATACCTTCACCATTCTATATTGTCAACTGAATTGAACCTGACTGGAGGGATTGTTGTAGAAGGATTGATATTCTGCTGTATGATTCCACTGTCCTAATTCAGGGGTAGAAAAAAGCACTTGCTCTTGTCTTGCAAAGCCCATCTCATCCATCCCATCCCATCTCATTCCTCGTTCGTTCCGCTGCCTCCACTCCATCCCGAATAAATTCTCAATCACCATTTCCCCTCAACCCTAATCCCCCCCCTTCCTATCTTCTCCTCCTTTTCCCCTCCCCATATCTCATATCCAAATTCCAACAAAATCCCCTCCTATACTTACCCCCCCACAAACCTCCTCCTCCACAAGGCATTCCCCCACCCCACCACCAAAAGCTCCACGTCGGCCCTCCCTCCCCCCATCGACCCCATCATCCCGTTCATTCCTTTTAACCACCTCCTCCACCCTCCCCCCCAACACCCGCATCAACACCTCACACCGCTCACACAACAACAGCCCACACCCCTTCGCCTCCACGGACTTCCGATCCACCACTTTCTCCAAATAGATTGTTTCCGTTTGGGGCGCCCCGCAGCCGAAGATTGCCGGATTGGGGCAGAGCGAACACCAGGGATTGGTCATTCGGGGTGGAGTGGTGGTTAGGGTTGTGTAGGCGGCGGCGAAGTCGAAGGTCGTGGGGGAGAAGTTCTTGATGGGGAGGATGGGGGTGTGCTTGGTGGGACAGCGGAGGATGTGGAGGCGGGTGAGGGAGCAGGTTGGGCAGATTCGGGTTAGTGGGGGGGGATTGGGAGGGGAGAGGGGGATGTAGGTGCCCCGGGTGAGGTCCAGGACTTCGATGGTTTGGGGGGGTCCGGTGCCGAGGAGGCCGTAGGTGAAGTTGGTGCAGAAGTGGCAGGGGAGGGAGAGGGGGTTTGTGAGGAAGGTTATGGGGTGGGTGAGGGAGGTGTGGATTGTGCGGGTGGTTGGTGGTGAGGTTGTTGAGGGGATGGGAATGGGGATGGGGGGTTGTGGGATGGTTTCAGGTGGGAGGGGAGATGGTTCTTTGGCTGTAGTGGTGGTGATGGGGTCCGGTGCTGGGTTAGCATCGCCGGGCTTGAGGACATTGTCCTGCTTGGATGAGTTGGTCTCATCATGCTGTGTATTGATTTGGAAGGGTGGATGTGTCTCGGGTGGAATGGAATCGCAAGGCACGAAGTTGACGACGCATTGTTCACAGGGGAATGCGTCTGGATTCTCCACCAGAGAGCAAACGGCACCTGCGTCCTGGCATGGCTTGCATGGCTGTGGTTTTGACTCTTCTGGTTTAGGGCTGTGCTTGTGGTCTGTCGTGTCTGGTGCTGTGTCTGAGGCATCGGGCATGTCGATGTCATCTTGGTATATCGGCAGCGATGCCAGAAATTCCTTGTCGGCTTGCATGGTGACTATCAGACTGGGGCGTTGCTTGGGTCGTTTAGATGACCGCTTTTGTCTCAGTAGTGCGCGTTCGATCTTGGGATCGTAGTCGTCGGTGCAATCCTCGTCGAGCCAGGAGGTGAGCACGGCGGTGGTGGAGGGGCGCTTTCGAAGGGAGTAGCGACGACGGTCTGGAGGTGTGCTGCTCGGGGGGGGGTTGGGGGTTTGAGGAAGAGGCGCTTGGCTTGCTCGAGGGTTTCTGGAGTGTATTCCATGGAGTGATCATGGCAGCGTGCCAGGCAGGAGGGAGATGAGGTGAATGGGTTGTGGAGAAAGGATGTAGAGGTGGACTGTTATATAGGTGGAGGGCTAGAGGAGAGGATGGCATCCAGTGATGCATCGAAGATGAAGTTGGCTAGAGTCTGAGTCTGCTCGGAGATGCAGTGTGGTCGATACAGTGAGGTGAGGGATGCGAGCTTGGAGGTGGTACCTGAACTTACAATTGGATATCTGGATGAGATGGAGCAAAGGAAGCTGTCGAGAACAACAGGTCAGACATCAGTTGCAATAACAGTGGCTCTTGTGCCTCAAACATCCCGTAGCAGGGTGCATTGGATGCCGATTGAGTGAGAAGTGAGGCCATCCCGAACCCTTGCAGCCTGATGTAGGATGATGTGATGAGAAGAGGTAAGCAAACTGATCATAATGCATCCCTCACTCCATCGGCATACAGAGCGACAACCAAATCAACTGACTTTACCTCCTACAAGCATACTCTACTTGTGTTGAACATATCACATCAGCAACAGAATCCCATTGAACCACCAAGCAACTATCTAAATGGGACAACTCCCTGACACAAACACAACATATAACAAAGTCATGACTCATAATCATCACACATATCCACCCCCTCTCAAGAGCAAATCCATTCCTCCCAATTCCGTAAACATCTCACATTTCACATCTGTATCATCCCAATCTAACCCACCGGACCATGTCCTGGCACCGACCAGCTTAACAACATCAGCATCCATTTCCTCAACCCCCAAAACAAAAGACCAGGAAGGGGGTGCATACCTAGTAAGAATCCACCCTCCAACGCCCAACATCACCAAAAACGCCACAAAAACAAACGTCAGGAAGACCTTGGCCCAGAAGCCCGCTCGGGAGGGTTTGCTTGGGCTTCCTGCTTCTGGTAGGTACGAGATAAGTCTGTGTACTCTATGCCAAATGAGATAAAGGGGTGCAGGGAGACTCACGGAGTGTGGTCGCTACACAAGGGATATTAGTACCCGGCCATGCGATCTCCGATGGCTGGGTGGTGGAGGTGGTGTAGCTGTTGTACCTGGGAAGAAGGTATTCTTGGCTTGTGGATGTGAAGTTGGGGTCGGTGGGTTTGGTGGTGAAGGGGTTTTTGAATGGAGGGTGCATGGTGGATGTCATCCTGAAGCCATACTGGGTGGCTGAGTCGATCTCGCTACCGGTACATTAGTTTAGCGAGTCCGAGTTACTTGTACTGCTGCTAGTTATGCTATTATTACAGCATGGAGGGGTCAAGCATGTTGGGTTTTGACGGGTGCTGCATACTTATAAATAGTGGGTACTATATTAGAGGTAACAGATAAGATGGCGATAAGTAAGTCTGATAGTATATCCACCAATGCATTAGAGAAGCTTTCATGAGTTTCAGGTATGAAGCTGGATTAGAGAAAAGCCTCTATAACCTTAAGAGTCTACGATCAGAGACACTGATTTGGTCAAACGGGATTGATTGACTCGTAGCAAAAGTGACTACTAGATGTAGCTGCTGCAGAGGACATACAAAATAACTCAGCACAGACTTATTCCTCTGATCAGCTGGTAGATAGTTCATCAATACCAGTCAGCTCAAGATCCTGGTACATACTGGTGTGGCACCCCCAATACAAATCCGCAATACAAATAAACCCCGGACGTGCTTCACATGCATCAACTCCTTAATGAGCCTTGCAAGACCTCCATGTCCCAAAGTGCATCATCATCCAGAACATCGCGACCGCTATCCAGAGCAGCACTTCCTTATTGGATGCCTTTCCCCTTTCAATCAGCCTTCCCTTCACCCCGGTTGCCTTACTCCTTTCGGTCATGGCCCTCATCATGACTGGATAGATTTTCACCTTGAATAAACTGGAGAGATTCCTCACTGTGTATTGGTCAGACTTCAATCTCCTATCATGTAGTAGGAAACTGTTTCTCACCTTTCGGAACATTCTCCCCAGGAGGAACAGGAATCCGACTGTGGGCCTTCTCAGGCACGGCAGGGGGATCGTCGATGGTGATGACGAGTTCTTTATTGGCAGAAGCCGTCATGCTGTTTCTGTGGACCTTGTCGTCGCTGATGTCTTGTTCGCTGGTGTTGGTGGCTTCTCCTTCAGTAGGAGCCATGTCTCCGAGATGGGCCTTGTTGTCCTCGATGGCTTGTTCGTCGGTCTCTTCTTCGACGATGACGGGGAGCTTTCCGCTATCGGCAGCCATTCTTGATTCGATGGAAGATCGTTTATGAACGACGGGAGTGTTGCAACGCATCTCAGTGGCGGAGATGATCGGTTTGCCAAACCTAGTGATGAATTTCATTTCGGTAGAATCGGAAGTGGTTCTCTCAGTACGGGACTTCTCATCAATGGAGATAAAATGTTGTTCGGTGGTCGGACGGGGTAGTTCGAAAGGAAAGAAATCCTCGGGGGCTGGACACACGATAATCGATCTGAAAGCTTTGCGAGTATAGAAATCAGACATATTGATGTTGGACGATGGGTCGGTCAGTTGGTTCGTTTGTTCGTTCCACTGAGATAAGAAGATGAAAGTATGAAAAGATAAGAAGCTGAGAAGCTGAGATGATGAATGGGCTCTGCTGGGGGCACTTGGGTATATGGGGACGCAGAGTATCAGAGCAGGGCAGACGGCAGCTGGACGAGATTATATAGTCCCCCGCCATGTCTGTATACCTCATGGTGATTCATGTCCTATTAAAGGAAATGGGAGTCATTCTCGCCATAATCTTATCCTCTCCAGCGTCATCCAGGTCGACACCATAGCTAAAATGTGCTATATATGATCTCATATGCGGTGATGTGTAGTGGTATAGATTGGCGAGGTATACTTCTGCTGGGTGGAACCATGGTTGAGTAGAGTCGACTCACCAGCCGCTGACTCACGGAACGATAGAGGCTTATAGTTACCAGAAGAAAGCCGAGGGGGAAGGTGACGTACAACTACCAATGCTGCAAAGAAAGGATATAAAGTTTGAGGCAAATTAGTATTCTGTTTTAAAGTACAGTTTTCAACTCACAACACCAGACAACCCATAATACCCGATCAACACCATGCCATTCATGACCCTCCCAGCCCAAAAGAAAACTCGCTATTAAAGGATATCCATCATGAGAAACACATTAAACAGGCCAGCAGTTTTAGAGCGAACCATTTCTAACTCTGGAAGCTGTACATGCGCACTTCGCAGTCCTCGCTTCCAGTAGCAAACCGACTGTCACCAAGCCCAATGCACGTCACAGGCCCGGAATGTCCCGTAAACGTCCGCTCACACTTTCCGGTCCGGGGATCCCAGATCTTGACCATCCGATCTTCGGCGCCAGACACAATACGGAGCGTATCTGCCCCCAGGGCCCAGACCCCCTCCAGGTGGCCAAAGAATGTACGCAAGCATCGGCCGGTGCTAGTCTCCCACAGGCGGATCGTCGAGTCCAACGCACTGGTCACAATGTAGCGAGGGGGTGACGGGCGACCGGCCTCGAATGATGGACCGAAAGGCGAGTTTTGAGACATCACCGCGTTCGACTCCAGACCAAGTGTTGCCTGGAGAGAGGGAGGCTCGGTATCACCCGAAACCGTACTGAGGTTGTCATTCTCACACTCCACATCATGGTCTTCAAATTCAAACTCCCGGGGCAGAGGAATCACTTGTTGAACCTGTCCCACATGCCCATGGAACGTCCGGATGCAGGTCTTGGTCTCCAAATCCCAGAGCCGAGCGGTACAGTCGTCCGAGGCCGAAAACACTGTGCGAGAGGCCGTATCCACCCGGACAGCGTTGACCCAGTCAGTGTGGCCGCGCAAGAGACATGTCGACTTGTCCTCAAAGTTCCAGATCTTTACGGTCTTGTCAACCGACGCGGAAGCAAGAATGCTAGCGTCGAAATGCAGCCCGATCACACCACCACGGTGACCAGTATAAGTCGAGATACACTCGCCAGTGCGCCAGTTCCACACCTTCAGACTGCGATCCATACTGCCGCTAATCAACTTGGTGTCGTCAAACTGCAGGCAGCGGATTCCCGACTCGTGTCCCCGAAGAGTGCGGAGCTCTTGCCCCGTTTCGGTGTCCCAAATCTTGATCGTGGCATCATAGGATCCGGTGGCCAGGATATTGTCCTCAAACTGCAGACACATCACGCCATTGGTGTGACCCTTGAATGTTTGGATGGAGCAGCGGCCATACTTCCAGTTCGTGCCCACTTTGAAACGATCTTTGTATACCTCTTTCCAAGGTCTGTACCGGGTTTTAAAATAATCCTCGCTGGCATCCGAGCGCCAACCTAGTGACTGACACTGGCGCTTGATCATGGTAGTTTCCTCGTCGCTTGGCTCAGGCTTCCGCTTGGCGCCGGTCGAGCTCTCGATCGCGGGCGACGCACCCTCGGTGAGCGCAGGAGTCGGGCTCGGTGACGGTCCTTTCATGTCCCATGTTGAGGCGCGTAGTTCGATCTCGCGCTTGGATTCGCGTAACCTCTTACGGTCTAGAAGAGGAAGGCCCCAGCCACATTTCTTGCACTTGCGGTGAATGTGCTGCTCACACATCCGATGCCAAACCACATCATCATCCGCCAAAGCCCGCCAACGTCGCGAAACCTGCGCGGCTTTGCAAAGCGAGGTGGTGTCCAGGTAGCAAAGAATTTTGAATGAGATCTCTGGGGGAAGGGCGGCAATGAAATCAATTCGGATCAGGTCGCGAACAGTGGTAGAGATGAACGAGAGCTGAGGGAAGCAGCATTGGGCCATGATCCCCTGAAGTATGAGTTTTCGGTGCTTCGCTGGAGCGGCGGAGAAGAGCGACCAGACATGCGCAATGCCCTGCTGGTCGCTCTGAGGGAGCGATTCCAACTCCTGTGGAAAGCCCGTTAGTCCCCGACAAATAGTGGCACCCAGGGTCTGCCTGGCATTATCCATGAGAAGGCCACTCCAAGAGGTACCTACCCGCTGCAATTTGTCCATGGAAGGTTCGTCGGCCTGCCGTCGACACTTGCGGTCTGGCCTATGTCGATAGCAATAGCGGGAATTGGCGCTGCTCAGTTCGGCAGGATCTCGATTTTGCGATCCCAAGGGGGCGTATTGGTCGGGGACGTGTTTGGCGAGGAAAGGGGCGACACTTTTGCCCACCAGCTTCGCCGAAGTTGCTGTTACGTTGCTGTGGCTGTGGGGCTGCAGTTGACTATGCGCGGCATCGGCATCGATCTCCTCCACGGCCTCGGCTGAACCACCAAAGATCGACGTAAAGGACGGGGATGCGGACACTGCCATATCCTCCTTGGCCTGTGTGCTTTCCATCGCGCTGAATGAAGAATTGGTTGAGTTCAACACGCGGCGGCAGGCCGAAGTTGTGCCTTGGTACCGCAGCGCCCGCTACTCGCCCGCTAGCGTGGCCTCGGCTACCCTCAGGCGAAGCAGTTGGTGACGACAGGACAAGCCTGGTTGGCTTCGGGCAATTCTTTCAAAATCTGTAGGCTGGTCGCAGAGATGCGGAGGATATGATGATGAAATAGTTGTCTCGTGAGGACCCTTGGGAGGAGGGGAAGGAGGGTTGAGTAGGTTGGCCAAAGAGAGGGGCGGAGGACGGGGAGACGGATAGCGGGAGACGGTCGCAACTAAAAGGCACTTCGTAGATCGTGAATGATAGTAGGTAGGTAGGTGAAGGAACAATTTAAAACAATCGGAGCTTGATGCTGGGCCAGCCAAAATTCAAGATCCGCGCCAGGGCGAGACGGCGTATATGTATGCTCCGCAATGAAGAAAACAAAAAAAGAGATAGTCGAGAGGCAAAGTGATCACGCAAAGGCAGTAAACCGTCTCGTGCTACGGCGCCCATTGGGTCGCGTCACGTGTGAGCGATGGCGCCATCGGAAGCCGCCTTCGCAACATTCACATTCCCCGGGCACTACTCCGTACTCCCAGCGATCATCACCACCACCACCGCGAACTATTGCCGTCTGTCGCCATCGCCGGGACCGATTGCGGATCCCCCGACTCTGACTCAGTCACTCAAGGCACCTCTTCTCCAGAAGATTGTCGCTTGGCTCTCAGTAGTCTGCCTGGGGTCGAGCTGCACCTCGAACCGACCCTCAATGGCCGTCGGGCACGCTAACGTCTCGCCTGCCTAGCTCCATCCTCTATCGTCACCTTTCCCTTCTCCCGCATTATTTGCAGGCCTCTGTCCTTCTAGACCCTGCTGCGAGGCCCAGTTGCTCCGTCCAGGTATTTCGATACCCATCTTGGCCTCCAATCCTGGGATGGCATTGCCCCCCGATCCCGTCCAGTCCCGTATCATGTTCCACTGAAGAGGCAGTGGAGGACCAACGCACCCTACCAGGCCAGTGCTCGGTACTCCCCCTCTCATATCCCATCCTTCTTCCTCTGCAGCCTTCCTTGTTTGCTGCTGCAGGTGGTAAGACAAGACGCACGGTATACAAAGACTTACACAGCTGTTACATTACTAGGCCTGTTGACCAGTCGCCTGAAAACTCACCGCCATATCCTTTTTTTAGCAGGACTTCGTCGATCGCACGTGAAACGGAGGAATTGATGAAATCAAAACACTGAGGAGGATCGGGTCCCATAACCAATACTGTGTACGGTCTCCATGAGGTGATTACACGCTAAATTTATGACTTTTCACGACATTGCTCCTGTAACGTTGCTTTGAAACTTACTCCTTCCGGCTATCGAATGAACCGCCCTCGATATCCGCCCTCTGGTGTCTCATTGGGCATTGGATCATTCTGTCAGGTTATCACGACAGCGTTCCTTCCTTTTCTATAGTTTACTATCAGCACCAATTCCGCCGACCCCTTATCGAGAATGTCGGAGTCCGAATCCTCATCGGTTTCTAGTGCTGCCTCGGCCCCTGGCGAACCGATGGAGGAACCCGGGAGCTCACTGCCTCAGCTGGAAGCCCTTATCTCACACCTGGTTGCGGCGAAACGATCTTTGTCATCCATCAATCACGTTTGGCGTGCCAATGAGATTGTCACATCTGCTCGCTCCACACTGGAAGAGAGTGTCGTGATTTCCGCACGGACGGGCTTTCTCCGGCGTGGTCTCAATAATCAGCTACGGCTTCTGTACAGTGTCCGGTCTGAGGTCGAGGAGGTTTCACTCAGGGGTCGATCCGAGTTTGCCGGCGTGCTGAAAAGCCTCGACACGGCCGACGCCCAATTAAGAAAGACCCTCGATCTATTAAGAGAGACCATTGTCCACTCCTCTTTCCGTCCTGATGGAGAAGAGCCCAAAAGCTTACATGATTTTGTTGATGAACGGGGTGTGGAGGAACTCCATGCATCCTTGAAGAACGCGATTGATCGTACCAATGCTGCACAGGCGGAACTAGACTCCTCCAATTTCTCTTTTGACGATGAACTCGAGTCCATCAAAAAGGCCTTGGGTACTTATCGGGAAGCTACCAAATTAGCTTCTTCTCGATCGTCGGCCTCCTCTTCTTCATCCACATCTAACTCGATGCCTTCGCTGTCATCGATGCCGCCCATGTTGCATTCATTGGAGATGCATGCGCAAGAAATGGCCAATTTACTAGAGTCCTTGGTCCGCCACTTCGATCTTTGTGTAACTGCTGTTAAACATACTGAAGGCGGTGGAGCTGCCGCGCAATCCATCACTGGCGATATGCCCGCTGCGGTCACTGTCAGTGGCCCTGGAGTGCCCAACCTCGAAGAAGGCATTAATGCCAATCTGAACGCTCCCCTCGATCCTTTGAGTGAATCGGACTATCAGGAAATGGTAAATGTCTTGATCAAGGATGCAGCGGAGGCAGAGGATGTGGTAATGGAAATCCAGGATCGCATTGGCGACATGGAATCTGTTTTGGAGAGTGTCTTGTCTCAACGCGATATCCTTCTATCCGTCTACAATGCCACAACAGGCGTGTTCAAGCATCTATCATCTCTTGCGTCTGCTCGTTTACCTGAGTATATTGCTCATGCACATAATTTTACTCGCGTTTGGAACGAAGAGCACGACTGTATCAACGGTGGGTTAGCGGACCTCTCCGATCTTAACTCCCTGTATGATGGGTTTTTGGAGGCCTACGACGGCCTAATTCTGGAGGTGGCACGCCGAAGGCATGTGCGGCATCGCGTGGAGAAGGTGCTCCGCGACGCTAAACACAAACTGGACCAGCTGTATGAAGAAGATGTCAATGCCCGTGAAACATTCCGGGTTGAGCAAGGCGACTATCTGCCGTCTGACATCTGGCCTGGCATTGGCCGTGAGCCAATGCGTATAGAATTTCGACGCATATCCGGCGGCAACCTTAAGGGGGTGACTGCAGGGCAGCCGGATGGACAAGATCAGCCAGCTGCTGAACCCCAAGAGACACAAACAGCCCCTGCAGGGGACAACACCGAGGAAGGCGAAGTTATTCCTAACCTACCCAAATCGGTTGTCGAAGGGGCTCTCAATCGACTCAAGGCCAGGAGCAGACAGGCCACGTAGCATTTGTGATGATTGGAAACCTCATCAACTTCAGGTTATATGTTGGAACCGCGAAATTTTTTTGGCGGTCATGATATAGTATAATGGATGACCTAGATGATGAACTCACATTCAGGCCAAGTCCTGTCCAATACCCGGTCATACCTCAATACCGTATAGGGTGGACAAAACCCATTGGACACATACTCCAGCGGATCTCCATGACTTGCTCAGGATGTAAGTGCTAATGGAATGTCCATCATGGTGGTAGGTTATGGCCTGGGATGAGGATCAAAGAGAGCTCTGATAGGTCAGTGGACTGTGAAGTGGTCATTTGTTATTATTCTCCTTGATTCACCATTACGGCAAAGGATATACTAGATTGTATTTCCGGTATAAAAATATTTCAGTTGTTGACTCCTACCGGTGCCCTCATTACTCAGACTACAAAAATATATTTTCGGATAGCGATAGCAGTCTTCCAAAGCACGAACCTGTTCCATTTCGTACCAATAGAACCACAAGGTCTAAGAAACACAGTACTACTTAGTACTATCTTCGGTTTCATGCAAGTTTCTCGCATTTCCCACTCCTACATATGCAGGTCTATATGCTCATGTAAAATATGCATATGCATCCAACCAACCAACCATAATACCCAATCAAGCAAGCAACGCAACCCGGTCATAAAACATCATGAGATCGTGCGCATCCGAACCAACTTTTGTTTTTCCCATAGCCCAAATAATCCAAGATGTGATCTTCAAAGCGAAAGTGGAAGCAGGTATCAAAGTGAGATGGATCATTTCTTCTTTTTCGAGGAAGAAGAGACCAGGCGTTTCTTCATGTGCTTCGGCATTTTGTTGGCGCGCTTCTCCCGCTTCTCTTCCTTGACCTTTTGTTTGTGGTCGCGCTTCTCGTCCTTGTCTTCGAAACGCTTGCCGCGGGGTGCTTTCTTCGCGAATGGGTCCTGGTCGCCTTGCTCTTCTGAGTCGGAGCCTTCCACTGACACGCCGCCGCTGACGTCGGAGCCGGCCTCGGAGCCTTCCTCGTCATCGTCACGCGTAGAAGGCTTCCCGCCTGCGAGAAGGTTCTGGTAAACAAGGTCGGCACCCTTGCCGGCGCGGACCTGCTCAGCGTCACGCTCGACATCGTACACCTGCTCCAGTGTTTGGGGAATGTACTGTTGACGGAACACAGCGGCGTCGACGTCGTCATCGCCCTTCTCGGCGCGGGTGGCGAAGAGATGCTCGACGGCCTCGAGCATCGGTTCGGCCGGGGTGACTGTGGTCGGGCCGTCGGGAGAAATGATGAATTCGAAGACGGCCCGTTCGCTAAGGATGTCGACATTCTTCCGGCGGAAGAAGTCGTTGATGTTCTTAATGTCCATACGCAGGAATTCCAAACTGCGGGGGTGATCGTGCTCCACACTCTGACTGACATCGATGATGTGGAGCTTGTTCTTGTGGTAGAGCATGTTGTATTCACTCAAATCGGCGTGGACCAGATGGCAAGTTTGATACATCACGCGCATGTAGCCGAGCAGCTCCATGTAGATCTCGCGCCATTTGGCCTCCGGCTCGGGAACATTGAATTCGACGTCCTTAAGTCGGGGAGCGGCGATACCTTTCGAGTTTCCTACGAAGCCCATGACCAGGACGTGGAGGCGCAGATGGATGGGTTCGGGGCACGGGATGCCGGCCGCATGGATTCTGCGCAAGTTACGCATCTCCTTCTCTGCCCACAGCTTTACCATCGCCCGGTTGTTGCTCTTGCTGTATCCTTGTCTGAAACGGAATTCACCAGTCACGTACTTGTCGCGATCCTTGAAGACCAGGATGCTCGTCTTGTAGACTTTGATGGCGCGGTGCAGGGGGGTGTCCTCATTCTCAGGGTACGAAATCGAGTAGTAGACGTTGGCCTCTTTACCCGTCGACAAACATCCGTGAATCTCGGAGACAATCTCGCGGTTGATCATTTGCAGCAGGATCATACGTGTGCGGGGATCCAGCACCTGCTCGGAGGTGGCGCGGTCGGCCCTGTCACCACCACGATCACCCCGGGTCGCCAGCCCTGATTGCATATCATCAAGCTTAATCTTGCCCGCATGCTTCGTCAAAGACTTGACCTGATCGTCCACCGAGGCGCGAGTGTTAACAGCCGGTTTCTGTATGTTGGTCTTCGGGTACGTCCATTTGGGAGCATTGGGGTCGGCAGCCAACTCATTCGTTTTGCGTTGGCGGTTGTAGGATTTCGTGAGATCGGAGGGGTTGGATGAGTTGAAGTCCTCCTCGTCGAGGTCTTCCTCGAAGATATCATCGTAGTAGTCATCGTCATCCTCTTGGTTTTCCTGCGCCGCAGAGTCTTGCCCCGCCATGGCGGGGAGCGAGCCGTCTGGGTTCACATAACCTTGGTTGGGGATGTAGGTGTGCATCGGATCCTGACCATCTGCCAAGCCCGAGGCTTGCGCATCAGCGGTTGAAGCTGCCATGGCTAAATTGATGGTTGGTAGCGTCGTGTGTGCAGAAGAGCGAGCGAACAAATGATTGAAAAAAATGGGTACCTTTGGGTGCGGGCCCATCGGGGGCTCTCACCGCCCGGCAGAACCCCGCGGCTCCCAACGCGTGCAAGAACTGGGCCGGATCGCCTACGCGTGGCTCCAGGTCAGCTTCGTCGCATGTCAAGCGTCGACCCCAACAACTTCCGTGCGTCGTTTATCACCTCGCCGCCCTGCTCACTTCAGTCAGGGCCTAGGCTCCTGATATTTTCCCGCCCCGGGCGCGTGATGACTTGGCTGTTGTTGTGATTACCCTGATCCATCGTGTCGCGCGTGCCTCGTCAAGATGTACGTTAAACAGATCATCATACAAGGCTTTAAAAGGTGGGTTGCGCCCGAGTATAGAGCGGCTTGCGCATAGTGACTGACCGTAATCGCCTTATAGCTACAAAGACCAGACCGTGATCGAGCCGTTCTCTCCGAAACACAATGTTATCGTTGGTCGCAATGGTTCCGGAAAGAGTAACTTCTTCGCGGCCATTCGCTTCGTTCTCAGCGATGCCTACACCCACCTGGGTCGGGAGGAACGACAGGCCCTTCTTCACGTGTGTATCCCGCCGCAAAGCCCCTCCGTTTAGACTGACAAATGCATAGGAAGGTTCGGGGTCTGCTGTGATGTCGGCCTACGTTGAGATTATATTTGACAACTCGGACGATCGGTTCCCTACTGGCAAGCCGGAAGTGGTCCTTCGCCGGACCATTGGTTTGAAGAAGGATGAATACACCCTTGACCGCAAGAATGCAACCAAGTCCGATGTGATGAACTTGCTCGAGTCCGCCGGTTTCTCGCGATCGAACCCCTACTACATTGTGCCGCAGGGTCGAGTGACGGCTTTGACCAACATGAAGGACTCCGAGCGTTTGAACCTGTTGAAGGAGGTTGCGGGAACGCAGGTATATGAAGCGCGCCGCGCGGAGTCGTTGAAGATCATGCACGAAACGAACAACAAGCGAACCAAGATTGACGAACTTTTGGACTTTATCAACGAGCGTCTTGCCGAACTGGAAGAGGAGAAGGACGAGTTACGGAACTACCAGGATAAGGACAAGGAGCGCCGATGCTTGGAATATACAATCTACTCTCGCGAGCAACAAGAGATTTCCAGTTTCCTGGACAGTCTTGAGGAACAGAGGCAGACGGGTGTTGAGGATACAGATCTCAACCGTGATCGTTTCATCCAAGGAGAGAAGGAAATGGCCCAGATCGATGCCGAGATTGCGGAATGCAAGCAGCAGATTGAGTTTTTGAAGGTCGATAAAGCCCAGCTGGAGGATGAACGCCGTGAAGCCTCCAAGACCCTTGCGCAGGTTGAACTGCAAGCCAAGTCGCTCTCGGACAATCAAGTCGCCGCTCAAGCCTCAAAATGGCGCCGTGATGAAGATCTGAAGGCGGTCCAGAGTGCGATTCAAGAACGCGAAACGGAACTGCAGGAACTTATGCCTCAGTTCAATGCCGCCAAAGGACAGGAAGATGCAGTCAAGACGCAGCTCACGGAAGCAGAGACTGCACGCCAACGGCTATATGCCAAGCAGGGTCGGAACTCTCGTTTTAGAAACAAGAGCGAGCGCGACAAGTGGCTGCAAGCAGAGATTAGGGACAACTACGCCTCTATCTCTAATGTACAGGGTGTGATGGCACAGACCCAAGAGGACATCAAGGACATCGAAAACGAGATTGCCCTTTTGGAGCCGGAGACCGAACGCTTGCGCAAGCAGATCGATGGCAGAGGCGACACCATTCACTCTGTCGAGCAGCAAGTCCAGGCTGCAAAGGATGAAAGAGACCGGTTGATGGACCAGAGGAAGTATGTACACCATATATCTGCGCTCGAGCCAGTCGATCTTTATATATGCTATGTGGTGAATATGTAACTGACGATGTGTTAGGGAGCTCTGGAGGGAAGAAGCGAAGCTGGATTCGATCCTGTCGAATGCTTCCAATGAAGTGGAGCGTGCTGAGCGCAATCTGTCTCAGATGATGGACCACAACACGAGCCGGGGCATTGCAGCCGTCCGGAGAATCAAGCGCCAGCACAACCTGGAAGGTGTATATGGTACGCTCGCTGAACTATTTGAAGTCAGCGACAGGTACCGGACATCCGTCGAAGTCACAGCGGGTCAAAGTCTGTTCCACTATGTGGTCGACACGGACGAGACCGCTACCAAGGTGCTTGAGATCCTCCAGCACGAGAAGGCGGGCAGAGTCACTTTCATGCCTTTGAACAGACTGCGATCCAAGCCGATCAACATGCCTCGAGCGAGTGATACGATTCCCATGATTGAGAAGCTTCAGTATGACGGCAAGTACGAGAAGGCATTCAACCACGTGTTTGGCAAAACCATCATCTGTCCGAACCTGCAGGTCGCTTCGCAGTACGCCCGGAGCCATGGAGTGAATGCGATTACCCCGGAGGGCGATCGGTCGGACAAGAGAGGTGCCCTTACTGGTGGTTTCCACGATTCGCGACAGTCACGTCTCGACGCGGTGAAGAACCTGACGAGATGGAGGGATGAGTATGAATCTAAGAAGAACCGTGGAATTGACATCAGAAAGGAGCTCGAAAAGCTGGACCAGCTCATCACGAGATCCGTTGGCGAGCTGCAAAAGTTGGAGCAACAAAGACACCAGGTGCAAAACAGCAGTGGGCCTATGCGACAAGAGCTGAGGGCCAAGCGCGATCTTCTTCAGAAGAAGAACGACGATCTCGAAGCCAAGCGGCGAGCGATTCGCAACATTGAGAGCAACCTGGCAGCGTTGACCGATCAAGTCAGCGCCTTTGAGGGGGAACTGTCCTCGACATTCCAGAAAGCGTTGAGCAACGAGGAAGAGGCACGCTTAGAGACTCTTAACAACACTGCCCAAGATCTCCGGCGACAGTACCAGGAGCTTTCCAGCCAACGCAGTGAGCTGGAAGCGAGGAAGTCCGTCCTTGAGGTGGAATTGCGGGAGAACTTGAACCCGCGCCTTGACCAACTTGTCAGTCAGGACATTGACATGGCAGACGACGACAAAGTAGGCAACCTAAAGGAGACACAGCGGGAGATGAAGCGCCTCCACAAGGCGCTGGAGAAACTGGGTCAGCGTCTCCAGCAGGTCGATGACTCCATCGAGCAAGCCAATGGCCGTGTGGGCGACCTCCAGCAGAGGAACGCGGAGACCCGACGAGAGCTGGAAGAACTGGCCAAGTCGATTGAGAAGCACCAGCGGCGCATGGAAAAGAGCATGCAGAAGAAGGCTGCGTTGACAAAGCAAGCCGCCGAATGTGCAGCCAATATCCGTGACCTGGGAGTCCTCCCAGACGAGGCTTTCACGAAGTACAAGAACACCGACTCGAACGCTGTTGTCAAGAAGCTCCACAAAGTCAACGAGGGTCTCAAAAAGTACTCTCATGTCAACAAGAAGGCCTTTGAACAGTACAACAGTTTCACCAAGCAGCGAGAGACCCTGACGAGCCGAAGGGAAGAACTTGAGGCTTCGGAGAAATCCATCGAGGATCTTATCAATGTGCTTGATCAGCGCAAGGATGAGGCAATTGAGCGAACCTTCAAGCAGGTCTCCCGCGAGTTTGCCAACGTCTTCGAGAAGCTCGTCCCCGCTGGCCGTGGACGCCTGATCATCCAGCGTAAGACGGACCGTGCCCTTCGACAGGGAGACGAGCTTGAGTCCGAGGACGAAGAGACCCGCGAAAGCGTTGAGAACTACGTTGGAGTTGGAATCAGCGTCAGCTTCAACAGCAAACACGATGAACAGCAACGCATCCAGCAGCTCAGTGGAGGGCAAAAGAGTGAGTGATATCTTCATCCGGAGCCTTGAACCACCCTACTAACCCATTCCTAGGTCTTTGCGCCCTTGCCTTGGTGTTTGCCATCCAAGCGTGCGATCCCGCGCCATTCTACCTGTTCGACGAGATCGATGCCAACCTGGACGCCCAATACCGAACCGCGGTTGCGCAGATGCTCAAGTCGATCTCCGACTCGACCAACGGCCAGTTCATCTGCACGACCTTCCGGCCGGAGATGTTGCATGTGGCGGAGAAGTGCTACGGAGTCAGTTTCCGCCAGAAAGCCAGTACGATCGACGTGGTGTCGCGCGAAGAGGCATTGAAGTTTGTGGAAGAGCAGAAGTCATGAGACTTGCTTGTTACCTGAGTAATGAACGGGATGGGGAGCAGGCGTATTTAAGGGCCTTTGTGTTGTTATGATTCTTTTTTTTTTTTTGTACCCTAAGATCGTTGATTCGAGATTCCCATCTTATGTCTTGTGTTTTATGGACGTTATCTGATCCTGATCACTGTAATGCCTCTACTCTCACCCCCCTCCCCTCAACCCCAATAAATCTAAATAATATTAATGCCTCGGCACGTCCTCCCCCGTCCACTCCACCAAAATCCTCTCCGGCACATCCCTAACCAACACATGAATATGTTCCAAACTCCTTACACTTTGCAACGCCGTCCAATTCTTAAACCAAAGCACTTGATCCTTCGCCCTTTCCTTCGCCCCCTCCCCATCAGCTTCCTCCCTCGCCAACCTCTCCACAAACGTCCTCTGCACAAACGCCTCTATCAACGCCCTCGATTCATCCGTCACATCCCCGTTCTCGGGTTTCGTGGCTACAGGCGTCCGAAGCCACACCACCAGGTGAGAGATTCCGGGCGTCATGCCGTAAGGCCAGTCATTGCGGAGGATTTTGTAGTCGTGGGGGTGGGCAAAGGGGGTGGGGTTGAGATAGGGGAATGATGGGGGGGTTTCTGTTGTGCTGGAGGGGGTGCCGGTGGTGCCGGTGGAAGAGGAGGGGGTAGAGGGGATAGAAGGGGTGGTGCTAGTGCTAGCGGTGCTGGTGGTAGAGGTTGGGGGCGAGGGTTGGGGAATCCAACCCAGTCGATGCTGACAGATGTAGTTGGTGATAGTACCGTACTTCAACTTGGTTTCGTGGGACCAGGCCAGGTACCGGGTTAGATCGGAGGGTTTGCGTTTAAGGATGCCGAGATCGTTGCGTGCTGGTTTATTTATTATACTTAGTAGTTTGTGGGCATGGAGGGGAGAAGAGGAATGCGGAACTATCGGGTAGATGGATGGACGGAGGGAGAGAAGAGAAGAGAAGAGAAGGGCGGGGAGGGGGAAAGGGAAGGATGATGTGAGGGGTAAAGAGGTAGGCAGGGTGCCTTTCTGACGTCTTCGGTATGTAGATGGTGTGTAGGTAGATGGAATAACCTACCGATGATGGCTTTCAGATCCTCCCAGTCATGAAGGATGAACTCGTCGTCGGTCTGTGCCAGGACCTGACGATCCACCTCGGTCAGGTTGAAGGCTGGGGGTTCCTCGGGCGTCATGGCTGTCGTTGGTAGAGAATGGGTGGATAGAGTGTAGGTAGGCAGAGTACGGAATTAGGTGCTTAGGGATCGTAGGGAGGGCTCCACAGGATCGGAATTCTTTGTCGAGATAGGGAAAAGTTCAGAGAGGCCCAATCTTTAGAAGGGAGGCGGGAATCTTTACCCCAGAAAGCCATCCCCAACGGGGCTGAATTCCGCGCTTGAAAAGGGAGTGGTGAGTTAGTTGGCTTGGAGTTGAGGGTGTCTCTCTGCATATGGGAGAGTATGTAGGATGGATGACATGCTAGTATGTCATTATTCCTTTAACGACCTGTAGATAATTAATATTTATCTGCTAATATATAGCACTATATTATCTATCTAGTACTAGTGAATGATCTCAACAGAACTTATCGATAAGCCGGACTGTGACCCGATCGGGAGTGTCTTCCCGTGACCGGGTCCGAAATTACCGTCACAAAACCCGAGTCGGTCTCCTCACTTTCCGCCTCGTCTCTCCTCTTTCTCCTCTTCTTCCCTCCCTCTCTCTCCCCTCCCTCCTCTTTTCTTTTTCTTTTTGGTTCTTTCATTTATTTCTCTAGGGGTCAATTCACTAGGGGTCGCTGGAGCCCTCGTCAACATGAGGTATGCGCGCATTCCGCCCCATCCAAGGCCATTGACTGGCGGCTAACAAAAAGCTGTCGCAATCCACAGTACTTTCTCCCCCGAGAACATCACCGGGGCCTTTATCCCCTCGGCCCTCTTCATCGCCGGAACTTTCCTGTTCAAGCAGGAATTGACTCCCTTTGCTGTCGCTCTCGCCGCTGTCTTGGTGGGCTACAAGCTGTTCAGCAACAGTGCGTACCGGATTCTTCATCGTATGACTGGCCCATAATCTGACATTTCATTTTCCAGAGCCCAGAAAGGTCCTCAACCCCGGCGAGTTCCAGCACTTCACCCTGAAGGAGAAGAATGAAATCTCCCACAATGTGACCATCTACCGTTTCGCCCTGCCCCGTCCCACCGACATCCTGGGTCTGCCCATCGGTCAGCACATCTCTCTCGCCGCCACCATTGAGGGTCAGCCCAAGGAGGTTGTGCGCTCCTACACTCCCATCTCTTCCGACAATGAGGCCGGCTACTTCGATCTCCTCGTCAAGGCCTACCCCCAGGGTAACATTTCCAAGTACTTGACCACCCTCCAGGTCGGTCAGACCATGAAGGTTCGTGGCCCCAAGGGTGCCATGGTGTACACTCCCAACATGTGCCGTCACATCGGTATGATCGCCGGTGGTACTGGTATCACCCCCATGCTCCAGGTTGTCAAGGCCATCATCCGCAACCGTCCCCGTAACGGCGGCAACGACACCACCCAGGTGGACCTGATCTTTGCCAATGTCAACCCCGATGATATTCTGCTCAAGGAGGAACTCGAAGCCCTGGCCAAGGATGACGACGGATTCCGCATCTACTACGTCCTCAACAACCCTCCGGAGGGCTGGACTGGCGGTGTCGGTTTCGTCACTCCTGACATGATCAAGGTTCGTTGAGTCCTGATGCTGTCTGGAAATTTCACTAATCAGCCGTATAGGAGCGTCTCCCTGCCCCCGCCAGTGACATCAAGATCCTGCTCTGCGGTCCTCCCCCCATGGTTAGCGCCATGAAGAAGGCCACCGAGTCTCTCGGATACACCAAGGCCCGTCCCGTCAGCAAGCTCGAGGACCAGGTCTTCTGCTTCTAAAGCAACGTCAAGCGTTTTTGAGTTGGAGTGTGGACGACAGAGACTGTCTCTGCACCACAGTTTCGGGGAATTGATAGATCGTCGATAGAAAAGCCCGTGAGGGCTGACCATTGGTCATTGGGTGCTTGATATACGGTGTTATGAGTCAATGCGAGAAGACCAAGAATTCATCTAGGAAGCGACATGTCACTTGAGAATATCGATTAGCGTGTCTTGCGCCAGGTTCTTCATTAGGTATTGTGACATTATTAAGTCTAGTCAGACTGCTGTACTTCAATCAACGAATCCACCATAGCCAGGAATTTCTGTCGGTATTCGTCGGCCGTCGTCGTAATCGTCATGGGCCCCTGGCGTCCAACGACGTTAAAGGTCTGGATCATTCCCGTCATGGCCTGGGCATGCAGCTTGTGTCTACCCCAGAAAAAATCCAGCACCACAGCACGATACTTCCATTTGCCATCGGCGGACGTCAGACCGACGCGCCAAGGATTTTCCCTGCCAACAATGCCGGGCTCTGAGGAGGCCGGAAACCGCACTAAGAACAGCGAGTAATCAACTGCATTAGACGATTGGAGAAACTCCGTGTCTGCTTCCAAGACTTGTTTTAGGAACTCATGTTGCTCGCGAGTCAGGCGGATCTTGTCACCAAATTGGTCGGCAATCTTGCGCAGCGTGTCTTCGCTAACTAGCGGATCGGGTACCAAGTCCCGCTCAGGGTAGAAATAATCGATCGGTTTTAGGTCGTAGGTCTCCCATTTATCAGCGGCCGGGTCGTCATCCTTCCCGTACAGCATATTGTCCATGATGATGTGATGGGCCGGCGTGCTGCCTAGGAGACTTCCGATGGTCCGGTACGGCGCATATACGTAGTCGGTGATCCATACTAGTAGGGAATTGGCATGCGCGCTCATGTATTCGTAGTACGGCTCGAGCAGATCGTCGCGGAAGAAGGAATGTTCAAAGTGTCTGGGGAGGCTCTTCACGAGAAACTTGCCATTGAAGGTCCTGAAGAAGGTCTTTCGGATGTCAGTGACCATGCACTAGGGGGATGACCGTTGTGAAGGGGTAATACCGATCCTGACAGACCGAGATCGCCCATTGGCTTCAACGGGACGGTCTTCTTCTCATTCCGGAAGCTCGCCTTGTATTCATCCTCATTGATCTCCCATACTTCACTGCGTAGTCGCCGGAACAGATGGCTGCCGTAGCGGAAGAGCTTGATGTAGAAGATGCTGAAGAAGGCCAGGATCCGTCCGATGAGAGTCTTGCGAAATGTCGCTGGGTCGCGAAACAGGGCGAGTTGGATGGATTTGGATAGGGCTGCCTGGCGACGACTATCCATTGTCACGGGGGCATTGGTGATGATACAACATGGTGGGTTGGGATTGAACACGACGTCGTGGGAGGAGGAAAGTCATGTTGGACGGATTGCTGGCGGTGCAGAGAGTGACGTCAGGACTGTTGACCCATCCCGAAGAGGTAACCGTCACATGACCCTCACATGAAAGTCATTGGCAGATAGGGTTGAGGGTCAGGGCTGGTAGTGATCAGATGATACTAGGTCATGTGCCATCCAATGAGTCAACGAGCTGACCGCCCGGGCAGTATGGGCGATTGCCGAATGGAGGCGAAGCCAGAGAAAAAAAAGTTCCCCTCCAAAGCTGAGATTCCCCTCCATTTATGGGTCGTCATCTGGTAAGCGGGGCCCGGCGATTTTCCAACGCCATTTTCCAGACTGTCCAGTCATACTGTCCACAAAATAGCCGCTTTTCCTGCCACCGCGGTGCTCTCTTTTCCCCTCAATTAAATCCCTGGCGCTCGTCTTTTTCCACTGCGACGCTTTATCAGAATCCAGCTGCCGCCATGACGTCCGCCGCCGACCTCGCTGTCTCCATCGAGGGGCTAACCATCCAGTCTACCTCCGAGACCTCCAAGTTCCCCAACTGCTTCCCCTCCTTGAACCCCGTCGACATCTACAGAGAGCACATTGCCGAGAAGCTGGCCGAAGCCACCGGTATCGATGCTGAGAAGATCTTCGCCCGCATCGCATGGACGAACTCGTTGGACAAGGGTGACTTGGTGTTGCCGGTATGCCTTCAAAAAAACAATGGAATCAATTTTATATGCCACCCAGGCTGGCATCTTGTGCACCCCCGCTAACGTAGAATGGTGTCTTGTAGGTCCCCTCTCTTCAGATTAAGAAGAACCCCCAGGAGCTGTGCAAGGAACTCGCCGAAAAGTTCCCCGAGTCCGACCTCATCCTCCCCCCTGTTCCCTTCGGTGCCCACCTGCAGTTCTTCTTCAGGCCCCAGCGTCTCACCTCCACCGTCATCAGCCGGATTCTGAAGGAGAAGGCTGCCTTCGGTACCAACGGTAACCAGGGTCTGCGCGACCCCACCGACGCCTCCCAGGGTCGCAAGAAGATCATCGTTGAGTTCTCGTCGCCCAACATTGCCAAGCCCTTCCATGCTGGTCATCTGCGCAGTACCATCATCGGAGGTTTCCTTGCCAACCTCTACACTGTCATGGGATGGGACGTCGTCAAGATGAACTACCTCGGTGACTGGGGTAAGCAGTATGGTCTGCTTGCCAACGGCTTCAAGATGTTCGGCAGCGAGGAGGAGCTGACCAAGGACCCTATCAACCACCTGTTCAATGTCTATGTCAAGATCAACAACATCGTTTCTCAGCAGGACGGCCCCATTAAGGAGCTCAAGGAGCAGATCAAGACGAAGAAGGAGGCGGGTGAGGACGTCGCCGAGCTTGAGAAGGAGCTGGCCAAGCTCGTTGATGTTAGTGAGGATGAGAACGCTCGTCGTTACTTCAAGAGCATGGAGGACGGCAGCCAGGATGCTCTCGCTCTGTGGCGCCGGTTCCGTGAGCTCAGTATCGAGAAGTACAGGCAGACTTATGCTCGCCTGAACATCGACTTTGACGTCTACTCTGGAGAGTCCCAGATCAAGCAGGAGAGCATGACCTCCGCTTATGAGACCATGGAGAAGGCCGGTGTGTCCGAGGAGTCCGAGGGCGCCGTTATCGTCGACTTCACGAAGCACGGTGCTAAGAAGCTTGGAAAGGCCATCATCATCCGCAAGGACGGCACTCCCCTCTACCTGACCCGTGACATCGGAGCCATCCTCGAGCGTGACGAGGCTTACAAGTTCGACAAGATGATCTACGTTGTTGCCGCGCAGCAGGATCTCCACTTGGCTCAGCTGTTCAAGATCACCGAGCTCATGGGCCACAAGGAGCTGGCCAAGCGGTGCCAGCACATTAACTTCGGTATGGTCCGCGGCATGAGCACCCGTAAGGGTACTGTCAAGTTCTTAGATGACATCCTCGCGGATGTCCGTGACAAGATGCACGAGGTCATGAAGAAGAACACCGAGAAGTACGAGCAGGTTGCCGACCCTGAGCGCACGGCCGACATCCTGGGTATGTCGTCCGTCATGGTGCAGGACATGACTGGCAAGCGGTATGTATTTCTTCCCGATCGTCCTCTGGGATCTGCTAATAGGTTTTTAGTATCAACGGCTACGACTTCAACCTGGAGGCCATGACCTCGTTCGAGGGTGACACCGGTCCTTACCTGCAATACGCCCACGCCCGTCTCTGCTCCATTGTCCGCAAGTCCGGCCTGAACGTTGAGGAGCTCGACACCGCCAACCTGGAGCTGCTGACGGAGACCCACGCCACCGATCTTGCTCGTCTGCTGGCCCAGTGGCCCGACGTGCTGCTCAACACCACCAAGACTCTGGAGCCGACCACCATCTTGACCTACCTGTTCCGCATGACCCACGTGCTGAGCTCGAGCTATGACGTGCTCAAGGTGGTGGGCAGCGAGCCCGAGACCAAGAAGGCCCGTATGGCTCTGTACGAGTCTGCCCGCCAGGTGCTGCACAACGGTATGCGCATCTTGGGTCTCAGCCCTGTCAACCGGTATGTTCTTGCGCGTCAGTCTGTGGTGGATCCGACTAACCCATGTCTAGTATGTAATGGATACGAAAATAAAATAAGCCCTGATAGTTCCCAACCAATACCAAGCATTTCGTTAGCTTCGACAGGTAGTGTTGTGATGTTCCGGTAGACTCGTAGTGATCTCGTCAGGGTTGTTCTTTTCCCGGATACCAAAGCCGGGGACCACAGAATTCGAAGACTGCTCTCGACTTCGACTGGAGTAGTCCTCACAGTCAACTTTCTAATGGTCTGTCTGTTCACTCATCATTCAACACTCACACTAGACCTCCCTCCCATCGTCGAATATCTTCAGAACCCCGCGCAACCATGCCCCCCAGCCCACTCTTCTTCATCGCGGAGCTGCTAGAAGCCATCCTCCTCAAAATTGACCCTCACACGCTGCTCATCTCCGCCATGCGAGTGTGTCGCTTCTGGAACCGTGTCATTCTGCACTCCGATCGTCTTCAGACGATATTGTTCTTCAAGCCATACCAGGGCTCTATCGGGCTGCCTCGCCACAACAATCCGTACCTGGAGAGACTCTGGTCTCAGATATTCCTCCGGAGGGATTTCTCCACCCTGTCGTACCCCTTCCTGTCTAAATCTCTCAGATCAAAGCTTGTTCCTCAGCAAATCGACGTGTACCTCCGGCCGGAAGCAAGCTGGAGACGAATGCTAATTTACCAGCCTGCATCGACATCGTGGGAGGTTCAGATTTCTGTATACCGATATTACTGCACATACCGCCCTCATATCTACTTGAAACCTCCGACCGATGGTTCTGCACTATTGGGCACCCTCTACTCTCTGATCCGGAAAAAAGTACTTTTTCCCGGACGGAAAGTCTTCACTTTTCGGCGTGGTCGTTTGGTTTGTAAACCATTAGATTCTGAAATGACCTACAGGGTCATGACCTGGTAGGATCATCTGGGAGGGTGAGTTTGGGTTCTTCGCCACTAGGGAATATGACAGCTTCTTGAAGGGTGTTGACTGTGGGGGATGGAATGGCTGTTTTTTTATGTATACTTGAGTGTTTCCAAGTCATGTCATTTACAGAAGTGTTGGTGTCCTGGGATGAGGCGGATATAGGCACAAGGTATGGCATGACAAGATTAAGAACCATATTCCCACCTCCATCAATTCCCATTAGCCACTTGAGGAATAAGAAGTCCTAAGGCATGTAGCTGGACAGATTCAGGGTCCGATGCTGCCAACCCCGCACGGGATCCCTCATCGGGATGGAGATCCGCTATCTCGGAGCTTGTCAGTCACTCTCGTGATACATAAATAGCCAACCGGAAAGCTTTACTTCTCTCTGATCATAGCTTCTTGAGTTTTGGCTCACGCTCATCACTAATAGTACTCTATCGCTCTATCTATTTGAATTAGCATCGCAGATCCCAAACAACAAAACAATTAAATCAGTACTCTAGTTCCAACATGTAATCCTCCGCAATCACTCAAGTCACCACATCTCATAAATAATACTCAAAATCCCCACACATCTAGGGACAACCCCAGACCCAAAGCCGAACAGATGTTCATCTGCGACGGTTGTTATATCATCATGGCCGATATCCTAAACTATTACGTCCCGTCCCACCTTCCACAGAAACACCCATCCACATGAACTGTTCTTGCTGCGGGCAACATGAGACCAGTGGATTTTTCAAACGTTAAATCCCAATTAACCTACCAACCAACCAACAAACCACTCCATCTATACCCACCCAGTTTATCTAACATCAAATATAGACCACAGCCGACATCCGAGAAATAACCCACGAAGAGTACGAAGCCACCTATGACCGATTCTTTTCCTATCTCCCGCAATCCCGCACCTGGTCTCGAGAACCAGGCCGTCCACTACAAACCGTCCAACGTAAATTCTATGAAGTGCATGCAGTGGAGTGTTGGCCACTTTGTAGGGAACGCGCCTGGGGTAGACTTGCGGAATATCGGTGGAAAAACTTCGCATGGATTAAAACTTCCGAGAAGAAAGAGGCGGTGGGACATGTGAATGAATAATCAGTTTCGGGCGGATCTGGAGAGTAGAAGTCATTCTATTATTGGGCCAGCGGAAGGGAGTAGTACTAATAGTGAGGCTGTTGAACGGGAGGTGATGCTGAGCTTGTCTCGGGTTCCGGCTGATGTTGCCCTTTCGACGAGGGAGGGGTTTACCTAGTAAGGAGAATGTTTCTACAACTGGTAGGTAGATAAGAGGGTTGGAGGTTGTTGTTTTTTTATATAGAACTATTATTAATTTCGCTGAGCCCTTTGAAATTGCATATACGAAGTCACCTACCTACAAACTATTACCCAACAGCATAGATCCTGATTGAATGAGCACAGTAGTAAGCGTTGTTCCATATCATAACACATATATATATTCTTACCATCCTATCTTAAAACAGTACAACCGGAATAACCTCTAAGCATCTCACGACCTACCAAATCAACTAAAAACCATAGCCAGATGCTAGTAATCAGTCCTTATATGTTACCATAAGCAAGTACTACTATTACCAGTACTACTACTTCCCAGTAATATATATATAATCCTGACCATCCAGTACTAGTATACTGCTCAATAGGACAAGAATATACCACTATCACATTATATCTTATCTCTGGACGAATGTACATAACTGACTATCGCCCAATTATAGATTTTGGCCTGGTTGGGCAAGTCGTGAGACTGTAATTCGGTTACTTCCCCTGGTTATGTGCCAGTTAACTAGTATACTCTACTAGACCTAAAAATCATAACTGGATGATTATGATGATGATGCTGAGTCCTCGTTGTATGTTATTTTTACTAATGTACTTTTTGGGTATCTTGTACTGATATTAAGGATGTGCGACCGAGAAAAACAATTCTTGGCTTTTTTATATTGGTCCGTATATATAAACGTAGATTATTCTATGGTTTCATTGTTATGGAGTGGAATTTGATGTTGTGGGTTGGATGTGTAGTTGAGGTGAGCAGGGGGAGGCAAATATATATTTCTTTCTGGATCATGATTATGGCATGTACTTATTGTTCTGTGGTTGGGGTATGTGTTCTCTCTTTCTCTCTTTCTGTGTGTCTTGATATCCATGTGTGTGTATGTGTGTTCACTGGCTTCTTTGTGCACTTGGATTGAGATAGTTAAGATAGGTAGGTCGATTCGCTAGGTTTATGTCTGTGTATCCTTTGTGGAGCACGAATACGAGGTCCATTGAAACGGGATTAATATGACATCTAATTCTGATTGACGGGTAAATGTTTCTCGTCCTGGATATTATTTAGATCCACTCGGCTAAATGTATTTTTGTCCTTTTCCTTTTCTGATACTATCTGACTTTCTACTCAGTCGTCGTTTTTTCGAATCCTTTTTCTTTGTAGCTGGATCTTGGGTTGGATCTTTTGTCGTCGCATGTAGGACTATGTGTTTTCAGCGTACTTGATAAGAAGTCTGCCACTCTTCTGGAATACTCAACGAATAACCGGATATACCCCGTCGCAAGGGGCAATTCCCGTTTGATTCCAGGAGGTGGATTGAGCGACGCTGGCGGGGGACAGTGGAGCCGATGCCACTCAGAACCTAAAGCATAGCGAAGTACCCCAGTGCAATATCCAGCGTCTATATTAGGAACCTCACCTGAATGTCTCGATCCCTAATTTATGGGAGGTTTCTATATGAGACTGACTTGTGATAGCTCACACAGTCAATTGGTTGTCATTTCGGACAGACATGCAACTCCGAGGCAACTACTGCTGGCTCGATGGATGACGTCCAGTTGATAGGCGTTAGGCAGTAGGCGCTTAAGCTCGGACTGCTCTTTCCATGGTTGTCGTAAGATTAGGAATTGGAATGCCGTGGATGGTGCAACGGGATCCATTGTGGCTTGCCTAGTTGCCTGACTCAGCGGCTGTTGAACGCGACTAGCCAGCTAGGGTCTAACCTAACGATAAGATTAATTAAAGATGCTACACGGAGTAGTGAGTACGCATTGCGCAGTAGATACTCCGTTTATTGCCGAAAGATAGATCAACAGCTTCACCGCTGACAGCACCTGTGATACTCCATCCTCGTCTCGAGGATACCTCTTATGGACGTTTCAATTTTGCTGAGGTGGGTCAGGATGAGGACAATCTATATCGGCTGTACATGGACTTCAAATGACTGAAGAGGCCGAGAAGAAGCCATTACAGCCATGGTTGGAACATGGAAACTCCTGACTCTCGTATCGGTCTCTTGTTGAGGCCGAGGGTCCGGTGCCAAGCGCCAAGAGGTTCGATCAGAGTCTGGTTCCCCTATTGAGGCTTGTCGAAGCTTGATAAGCAGGGTTTCCACCGGGTGTGGACACTGGACAGAGAACTGCCATTCTCACCGCAATCGCGTACATCTAGTCATTGACATCATATGTAGATATTTTTGACCATACCACCTAGAATTTAGGACATTAGTTATGGTATCGAAGCTCCGAGGAATGTTTTCCGGGAATGCCGACTGCTTCTGCCGAGGATGGTGGTTAATGGAGCGGAGCTCGCTCGTTGCCTAGCAGTGCTAGCATGGGGTGGAGCGAGTTAATCTGTTAAGCTTGGCATTTGCATCCTGTGCAGTGCAGAACCTGTCAGAGTCAGACAGCCCCTGGCTAATGCAGACTAACAGCCGGACCCGTGTGTTTCAGGTGTCTTGATCTGGAAATGGGTCCTTGGGACTAACTTTGTTGTGAATTGTGAATTTGTGAATCTTTCTCGGAGAGGAAACTCCGTCTGTGTCGGATCTGCCTCGGAACTGTAGGGCAGACCCATGGTTGCCGGATTGCCGCACCGTGCTGCCGATCTGAAGGGTGCTCCCGAACCCCTCTGGACTTGTGGCATGTGCCATACCGTCTTTGGCCCATGTGGGAAGAGAAAAGCACAGCGGAATTCCGGCAGGATCAGAATGCTCCTCCGCTAGACAGCAGGAACCCGTAGAGTTCCAAGCACGCATAATCAAAAGTGTCTCGGGAGGGAACCGAAAGTAGGAAAACCCGGATGCCTAAAGCTCTCTAAAACTCCCTAAAACTCCCTGATGGGGCAGGGGCGAATAATGCCCTGCTGGGCGCTAGAAACCGTTCGGGCAACGAGCCCCACCGGACCCTGGCTTCCACCGAACCCATCGAGCTTAGCGAGCTTGGCACGGCTTGGCACGCGAGATGCAGGCTTCCCAGCCAGTCTAGAAGCCCACTTCATTTCGCTCTCAAACCGCCGTCGTTCATCGTCCGATCCAACTCCCAAGGTCCAGCACCATGTCTCCAGACTGCCGATGTCTCGCCGTCCACAAGGAAGCGGAAAACAGGAACCCTGTACAAAAAAAGGAGACAGGAGGGGGACCGACCAAAATCCTACATATAGATCCTCTGCATCCCCCCCTCAATGGCCTTCTTCTCTTCTCCATCACACTCTCTTTCTCTCTCTTTCACACTTCTACTTGTCCTTCCTTAATCATACCCGGTTGATCCAGGTTCCACTCTTTATCTTCACCATGCATTTCCTCCAGAACACCATCGTGGCCGCCACCATGGGCGCCGCGCTGGTCGCTGCTGCTCCTCTCGAGCTCGAGAAGCGCTCCTGCACCTTCACCTCGGCCTCCGCCGCCAAGTCCGGCAAGTCCTCTTGCTCCACCATTACCCTCGACAACATCGCTGTCCCCGCCGGTGAGACCCTCGACCTGACTGGTCTCAAGAAGGGAACCACCGTCATCTTCGAGGGTGAGACCACCTTCGGCTACAAGGAATGGAAGGGTCCCCTGATTTCCATGTCCGGTACCGACATCACCGTCAAGCAGGCCTCCGGTGCCAAGATCAACTGCGACGGTTCCCGCTGGTGGGACAGCAAGGGCAGCAACGGTGGCAAGACCAAGCCCAAGTTCTTCAAGGCCCACAAGCTCGACGAGTCCAGCATCACCGGCCTGAAGATCTACAACACCCCCGTCCAGGGCTTCAGCATCCAGTCTGACCACCTGACCATCACCGATGTGACCATCGACAACTCCGCCGGTACCAGCAAGGGCCACAACACCGATGCCTTCGACATTGGTTCCAGTACCTACATCACCATCGACGGTGCCACCGTCTACAACCAGGATGACTGCCTTGCCATCAACTCCGGTGAGCACATCACCTTCACCAACGGCTACTGCTCCGGTGGCCACGGTCTCTCCATCGGCTCCATCGGCGGCCGCAGCGACAACACCGTCAACACCGTGACCATCTCCAACTCCCAGGTCGTCAACTCCCAGAACGGTGTCCGCATCAAGACCGTCTACGACGCATCCGGCACGGTTGAGAACGTCAAGTTCGAGGACATCACCCTCTCCGGCATCAGCAAGTACGGTATCGTCGTTGAGCAGGACTACGAGAACGGCAGCCCCACCGGCACCCCCACCAACGGTGTCAAGGTTGACGGCATCACCTTCGAGAAGGTCACTGGTACCGTCAAGAGCTCCGCCACCGACATCTACATCCTTTGCGGCTCCGGCAGCTGCTCGGACTGGACCTGGAGCGGTGTCAACGTCACCGGCGGCAAGAAGAGCTCCAAGTGCAAGAACGTCCCCTCGGGTGCTTCTTGCAGTGACTAAACGGTCACTCAGGCTAGTGATGCAAAGCTTCGGGTTGGTGTTGCATGGGGGTTATCATTCTGTCCTCTGACCTTGTGTCGGAAATTTTGTATTAGTGCTTAATTACCTAGATTACTTAGAGTGTCTTGGGAGTAATAGACGATTGGCGCCTGATGTCCAGGCCACCAGAGAACCATCTTTTCAATCTTTCGTATCCGTTTCCATCTTTGTAGGACACCCAATCTCCGTTCCTCGACCTTCGCAACCACTCTCGTGCGTAATTCGGCCGAAGCCATTGCGATCCGGGCTGGCCACCCGCGGCCCTACCCGGGGGGTAGGTAGTACGGGGGGAAAGCGCCTCAGCGTGCCCCGAGATGCGGGCGGAATCACACCGATGCCACCCCGGTCTCCCCCCTGAAAATGCCCCGAATTCCATCCCAGCGTAACCAACGACCCTGCCTGATCCCGAGAGGCTGTCTCATTAAGCATCCGCGGTTCCCCTGATCCGATCAGCCACCCGAGCATGAATCTCCGACCAAACTTTGGTTCCCACAAACGCTTTGCACGTCGAACCTAATCGCGGGCTGTGTGACGAAAGGGCGGTGCTGCCGTGTCTGCAGCCTCTCATGGATCGAACGGACTAGGACGGACTGGGTACGAGATCGACAGTGATGGTCACACAAGAATGTGATGCGAAGCATATCACACGGGTTGCTATGGAATTGGGAGAGCCAGGAGGGAGGGATGGAAATAACGTCTACTGCGCCGGGATGGAAATTGATGCCTGGGTGGTAATTCAGGTATCTACGGTATCTACGGTATCAAGGGTATTCATGGACGGGAAAGATATTTCGGGGGCGGTCCGCTGCATTCCTCGGCGTTCCACTCTTCGTATCCGCGTTGAGGATGAGAGCAGGTCGCCGATGACGGATCGTCCATGAACCCCGGTCGACCCAGCCAAGACAGCTGGGCCAAGTGACAAGGCTGAGTTCAGCTGGCGGGAATGTGGCTAGGGCCTGACCGAGCAAACTAGGCTTCTGATGCAGCTGATAGTGCCCCTCGTTGCTTTTTCTAGCGTTCATCCTGGACGCCGTCGTCAAAGTGATTGTCGGGCTGCACGGATAAGAATGGGGGGAAAGACGGCGTCTGGAGTCGGGCTGCTGAGGACTCGCGGGGACCTCAACCACACTCTGACCCAGACAATACGACCGCCACCATCTTGGGATTTCAATGAGAGCATCCCTCTGGGTCCTGGTGACTGGCTGACTGCCTTCCTTCTCCCGGCCATTTATTTACATTCCTCTCCCCCCTCTTTTCCTCTTCCACTTCTGCTCGCTGACCTGCCTTTCCTCCATTGCCTACGGTGTTGGTGCCCATTTGAGCCTGACTATCTAGGAACCACCAGGCATGGTCGAGAGTGCGACCTTGTGAAGTCCTTAGCTATCGTCTGCCTAGCACTGGATCCTCGGACCGTCTGTCTCTTCCTCCCTCTCCCATTCATCATGCATGCAGGGTTCCCTCCAAAGCTTGAGGGTCCCGACCCCGACCTCGAGCGCAACGAGGACCATCGCTTTTTCAGGAACAACACCGTCAACAGCTTCTCCTGGCACGATCTCACTGTCTCCGTCAAGGATCGTCATACCAAACAGCCTCGAAACCTGATTGAGGGGATCAGCGGCGCGGCTCAGCAAGGTGAGTAGCTTCTTACGGATCCGGATCTGGATTCCGAACGGGACACGAGATTAACTCTGCCAAAAATAGGTGAGCTGATTGCTCTAATGGGACCCTCGGGATGCGGCAAGACTACCTTGCTGAATGTTCTGGCTCGTCGCGCGGCTTCATCCGGAGCGAAAGCCACCGGAGACTGCTACGTGAACGGGGTCGTAGTCGACAATACGACGTTTGGTCGACTTACCTCTTACGTGGAGCAGGAGGATGCGCTGATCGGCTCGTTGACGGTGCGCGAGACCCTCAAGTTTGCTGCAGATCTCTCCCTGCCTAGGTGTGTCTCCACAAATAGTGTCCATAGCGGATGGCACTGACGCGACTAGTTCGGTCACCAAGACCCAGCGCCAGGAGCGCATTCAGTCCCTGTTGTTGGCGTTTGGTATTCAGAACCAGTCCTCCACCCTGGTTGGCACCCCCATCCGCAAGGGCATCAGTGGTGGCCAGAAACGGCGGGTCAGCGTGGCGAGTCAACTCATGACCTGCCCAAAGATTCTGTTCTTGGACGAGCCGACTAGTGGACTGGATTCGTCAGCTAGTTTCGAAGTAATCAACTACGTCAAGAAGCTGGCTGTCGCAAACAACGTACGGTGAAGGAGCCCCGTGAGATATGAAGACGCTGACATTTCCCAGCTCATCATCGTTGCAAGTATCCACCAGCCCTCTACAGCCACCTTTCAGCTGTTCGACAAGCTTCTTCTCCTCTCCGGCGGGAAGACCTGCTACTTCGGTGCCGTCGCAGATGTGCCGACCTACTTTGACAACATCGGTTATACTCTTCCGCCGAACACCAACCCAGCCGAGTTCATACTCGACTTGGTCAGCTCCGATTTCACTGGCAGCACGCAGGTCGCATCCGAGGAACAGGTCCAGCAGATCCATCTGAACTGGTCAACTTCCTCCTACGCGGCATTGCTAAACCATAAGGACTCGCAGCGGACCATCACATACGAGGGGGAAGCAGACCAAGTCGATGTCGATGATCTCGGCCATCCGGGAATCCCTAGCATTACTCTCTCGCTCTTGCACCGCTCTTTTATCAAAAGTTACCGGGATGTCGTGGCGTACGGCATCCGCATTGTTATGTATCTGGGTGCGCCTATTCTTCATATCATCACTAGACCATACTGACTGATCTAGGGCTGGCCATCATGATGGGAACCGTCTGGCTGCGTCTTCCCACGAAACAAACCAGCATCCAGCCATTTATCAACGCAATTGTTAGTACCTTTCCTGTAAACCCACCCATAAGACCCAGCTAACATTCCCCGTACAGTTCTTCGGCTCCGCCTTCATGAGCTTCATGGCCGTAGCCTACGTCCCCGCCTTCCTCGAGGACCGCGCCACCTTCATCAAAGAGCGAGCCAACGGCCTCTACGGCGCTCTCCCCTTCATTATATCTAACTTTATCATTGGCCTTCCCTTCCTCTGTACGCCCCTCCCTCCCCCCTCCCTACGTCCACCCACTAACAACCCATAGTCATAATATCCCTCCTCTTCTCTATAATTTCCTACTGGCTCTCCAACTTTCACCCCACCGCCACCTCCTTCTTCACCTGGGTCATGTGGCTCTTCCTGGACCTCGTAGCCGCCGAATCCCTCGTCGTCTTCATGACCTCCCTCTTCCCCAACTTCGTCATCTCCCTCGCCTTAGTTGCCTTTGCGAACGGCCTCTGGATGAGCGTCGGTGGATTCCTGGTCACTCCTACCATCCTCAACCCATTTTGGAAATACGTTTTCCACTACATTGACTACCAGGTTTGTCCATCTCCTATTCACCTATCCTACCCTCGAAACCCAGCAAAACAACAATACTAACAATGGAAACCCAGGCGTACGTCTTCCAAGGCATGATGGTCAACGAATTCCAACACAGAACCTACACCTGCGGTTCCGGTTGCGCCTGCATGTACCAGACGGATTTAGCCTCCGAGTGCAAAATCCGCGGGACGGGCGTACTCCATGAATACGGCTACGCAACGGGTCGGACGGGAAAATGGGTAGGTATTCTCATTGGAATCATTGCCGTATATCGATTGTTTGCGTATATGGTTTTGGTGATTAGAAAGACATAGTAGGTACGTATTTATTTCTATATTGGTTAGGTTTAGTTTGTCTCGTTTGTGTGGGTGTTGGTGTTGGTGAATGGTTGAGTGATATGGATGGATTGGATGAACTAGATGAATGAGTCGATGCTGTCTTGGTGGAAGGGAATTAGGTATAGGTAGGTAAGTATTCATGAAAAGAGCGTGGACGGGTCTCGATTCCAAGGATGCGATGTATGAATGTGTAGATGAGTGGTTGACTACATGGGACGATCAAGTGGATGTCTATTCTATGTTATTCCATGTTATGCTATGTAATGCTATGGCTTTGTATGAATACGAGAGATTTGTATTATTCGAGATCGCAAATTATCAAGCTTATGAATATGTGACTATATTTTCCTTCATCGTCGTATTCACGACCAAGCTACCACTTGAAATCTATCTAATAGAGTAAATATGATAATGACTAAGTAGAATGCAAATGATATATGGTTATATGGTTATGTGGTATAGATAGATATTTTCATTGTGTTTTGCTAGGGTGGTGGGTATGTGGGTAGACAGGCAGGTGAATAGGTAAGGGGGAACAAAACAATCCAGGGTATTGAGACAATCGCTGACAGACACAACACACATAAGAAAACATAGAAGGGAGAAAAGGGTAAAAGATCAATCAGGATGGAACATCTTGATCGAGAAATCGGGAAATGGTTTCTCGGCTCCGTATCCATCACATCAAATCAGATCATGTCTACTGAATAGAGAACAGGAAAGAAAAGAAGGGAATCATGAAAGGCGATCAAACATAGGAGGTATAGGTATCAAGAAGATAATACGTGCACAAGGGAAAAGTCAGGGAATTGGGGGTAATGGATGAGGAGAAGCAGACAAGAAATAAATACAGCAAGCGAAACGGGGTATACCTTCCTCTGTCATTCCTACTCAACTTCAAGCTCACGACAGAGAAAACAAACAACAACAAAAAAGGACAGGTCGGGGCGTCAAAGAAATGATACAAACGCCCCGGACATCATAGATGTCAACTTGGACACAAAACATGACAGGGACATCAAGGCATCACATAACACATGACATCAAACATAACAATGGTCATGCAGGTCATCAGAATCGTACAATCATGTCGCCATGATGGACGTGATCGGTGAAACCCGCCCCTCCTCTTTATAACACCCGAGACAGAAAACAATGCAAGAAAGCCTCCCATGGCAAAAGCAGACCTCTTTTCTCCGGAACGAACCTTCCAACTTTTCCAAGACCCAGGACAGAATGTATCAGACGTGTGGCATTTGAGTGTTCTTAATTGGTAGAACAATGACCGCCCAAGAAAGATAGAAGAACTTTTTGGCAAACAGCGCTCTTCGCTCCAGAAACCTAACCCATGAAGTGTGCGTGTGTCAAAACAAAAGACAGGCGTGGAACGACGGCATCTTGTGACCAAGATGGCCATTCAACTAGTACCGACCATAGCTCGACCGGCTGGAACGGTGACTGGCACGATCAGACTTGCGGTCACTCCGCGCCCGACGGCTGTCTTCGATCTCCCGCCGACTAGGAGCCACGCTGCCAGTGTACTCAGACCCGTTGGTTAGGTATTTCTTCGGTCGCTGTTTGCCTTCAATGTTCAGCTCGACTGCGCCGGTTTCGCCAGTCCGAACACTGATCCTCTTTCCGCCAACTGAGTCCTGCGGGAAGCTCATAGTGACGCCGTTAAGCGTCATGACGATGTTATTATCCTCTTCGGGTTTGGATCCGGCATTGCTGCCAGTCTGCGTTCGGGCATCGCTGCCGCGGCTGCTGTTCGAGCGGCTCTTCTGACTTCCACTGTCACTCTCAGCGCGATGAGTTCCCTTGGCTTTGTAGAGGGCATCGGCCGTCAATGGGACGGGCGGCGCCGGAGGCACCGCCTTGGCCGTTCGGGTGGCTTGATACTCCTCTGCCTCGCGATGTTTCTCATCCATCTCGTCATCCTCCTCCTCCTCGTCATCGTCCTCTTCATCATCGTCCGGGAAGTCGTACACCGTTGATCGACGGCGACGGGAATTCTCAACCGCAATTCGAGACGGTCGCGCAGATCCATGATACGCAGTCGGCGGGCGGCGGAAACTGCGGCTCCGCTCAGGGACGACGGTCTCTCGAGGGGTGCGCCGGTATCCGTAGCCATCGGGCAACGCATCCTTCAAATCATTCATCTCGAAAGACCGAGTAGAGTGACGGTCGGATGTGATGGATGGCGCTGTTGCCATTTTCCGCGGCTCGGGGCGTTTCTGGATGATATGCGGAGTAGGCTTGTGCTTGATTGGTGGTGGAGGCATGCGGTAGTAATCCTCGTCGCGTTCATGAGAAGAGTGAGAAGGAATTCGGGGCCGAGGCTCACGAGGCGGCGGCGGGCTAGGATCCAAGGCCTCCTCGTCATCGAAGGCGGCCGAGGCAGAGTCGTAGTCAACCACTGGCGAACCGTATAGAGACTGGCGCCGACCACGGGGCTGATCCCGCGTGCTGGAAACCGAGCGCCCCTGTCGATGCTCGGCAGGAGGCACGAAGTCGGGCATACCGTAGTAGGACTGCTGACCGTAATGGGAGGGGGCGTACGACGGGCTGTTGGCATACGCTGACGAGGACAGCGGGGGGCCATGTTCGTAGCGACCCATGTTGGATGGTGGGTACATCATTTGTCCCATCCCTGGTATCATACCGTGGAAGCTGACAGGTCGGTTGTTGGGATGGTACATGGAGGCACTGCCTCGGGCGGGAGGGCGGGTGCTGCGCGACACCTGAATATCCTGGACAGGGTTGGGATTGTAGCGAGGATCACGCGGCGAAGGGGGAGGATAGTCCTGACCCGACGAGGGAGGCTGTGACATGTAGTAAGGATAATCCATCGGTCGGCTTTCGACAGGAGTCGAGGCATGATACAATCCGTTGTCGCACTCCCAGCAAGCACCAGGGAAGTGCCGCACTTGAGAACTCTCGCGTCCTCGAGACCGGGATGGAGACCGCTGGGCGTGGGCAGGAGCATGGCCCACGCCGTTGGGGTAGGGACCGACTTGCATTTTGTCCTCACGAGGTGGACGAGCGATCCGGTCTTTGGGACGTTCTCTGACTTTGGATCGAACGACGCGGTCGAGGTCAGCTCGCTTGACGAGGGAGGTGTCTAATTTAAGAGGGACAGGGCTCTTCCGGCCCGACGGCCCAGATTGGGTGCTGTTGACGGTGGCGGCGGTGCGACTAGAATAACCGGAATCACTGGCAACATCGACTAGGGGGGAAGCAGGCGATCTCAAGGCAGGCTTAGAACGCTTGGAAGTGAGGTTGGCGACTTGACGGGTTTCTGGGAGGATGACATGGGCATCTTCATCGTATTCCTCACAGAAGGCGGCGTGAGGGACTTTCCTCGACATGACTTCTGGAAAGGCGGCCAAGGAAAGGCCCGACCCTAAGAGGGGAAGGGGGAAGGGGGCCTGGAGAGGGGGGGTTGGGGTTGGATTGTGCAGTGGTGGATGACGTGAAACGTGGTGGTCCAACAGGCTTTCAGACACTGGGTGGCCTACAGCAGCCACCGACTGCTGCTCATGCGTATGACTCAATGAGACCTCCTTTCTTTTCTTTTTTCTTTTTTTTTTTTTTCGCTTTCCTTTTTTTCGTTTTTCCCTTTTTCGTTTTTCTTCTTGCGTCCGGCGTTAGTTCGTGAGCAGGGAGTGGTGCTGGGCTGCTTCACCCTCTCCCCTTTCAGCCCAGTAATGCCAGTGTCGAGGAATCCACTCTCTGTGGTAGCCTCCAGAAGCAAACTAGATACCCGGAGCAGATCGGCCAGACGATAGTCAGAAGACGGCGCGTGTCTAGATCGTTGAGTGTCAGCGACGCAGAGTGGGTGCGTAGTGGAAATAGTGGTCGTCGAGGGACTGCACAGTCTCCATCGAAGACAAAAAGCGTTGGTCAGGATTAGTTCGGCGCGAGGGGGAGGCGGCGCTGTGGATGGTGGGAACGAGACAGGCGAGCGGGACGGTGGACGAGGCCAGCGTGGGTCGAACCAACGGAGTGAAGCAAAGGAAGACGAGGAGGAGCGCGCGCTGCTGCAGTTGTAGTCTGGCAGACGGTGAGTGGAGGATGCCCGGCAGAAAAAGTCCACGGGCTGCAGTCTCCGATGCAGTCGGGCAGCGTGTAACCGATGACGGTTGGCGGGAATTATTTTGGAGGGGAGATGTATGTATGTGATAAATAAAGATGGCCAAGGTTGTGTGGTGGTGGCAAGTAGAGTTCACTTTTGTTTTTTTTTTTGTTTTTTTTTATCCCTCGTTGGGGCCTGACGAAGAGAGGGGGAGAAAAAAAAGGTAGATTGTAAACTAGTGGATGGTGGATAGTGGATAGTGGATGAAAAGATAGATAGGTTGGTACTTGATACGGAGTAGAATAGAGGGGATGATGGATGAATGGAGGGGAAAGATGAGAGCAGCGCAAGTTGGAGAGGTGGGGGGGGGAAACAAACTAACTAGTCAGGACGGAGAATGAACGGAGGTGGAGAGAGCATCTGGAAGAAACAGATTGGATGGCTTGCAACCGTCGCTGGATGGGTTTTTAATGGGCAGATCCATCGGACAGTCACTCGCATCCCTGGACCGGATGAGAATATTAATCAAGATTAAATTAAATTATAAATATACAGATACAATGGATGACGGGTGGAGTGGGAAATGTGAGAGAAAGAAAGAGAAAATGGAATAAAAAAAATAAGGAATAAAATCAACAGGCGGATGCAAGGCGGGGATTACAGAAATCCAGATCGGATGAAAGAACGGAATACCAAACACGCGCCAGTTAAAGTTATCGTCGCGACCCAACGCGAATAGATTTCATCGAGTCCACCACGGCCGGTGAAGTTTCATTCGTTTCTTTTAAAACCAAAACCAAAACCAGAGTAAATGATTGGGGACTATGGCCGAATATCATCGCGAAGACACGGAGATGCTTTCCATGTCGTTCCCGGACATCCCTGCTCGCTTATCCTCCTCCCTCTTCTTCGATGCTTGCCTCTTGTCCTCGCTGAAAGAATCCCCCCTTCCCGGTATGTCAGCAACTCGAATAATAACCTCCCATCCGAGGGATTCCTGGTAAGCTGAAGGCCAGAGCAAATCGAAGAAGAAAGAAAGCCGGAAAGATGTCGCAAGGAGGTGGGGATGTCAACCTGACTGGCTGCCAGCCGATGCCTGATCTGCCGCTAACACACCCGGTATGATCGAGTATTTACCGTCTGATACCAATGGAGGGGCCGCCAGTTGAATGAACGAGGCGAGGCGAGAAGCGAAAGGAAGGGAAGAGATCGCGACTCTTCCTCCCTCTCTCTCCCTTTCTCTCACTAACTCCCTGCCTTGCATACGTCACACACGCTTTGAATTCATTCATCATGATCTTATACTTCCACTCCCGACAGGGAATTCACCTGCAGCTGCAAGGTCGGAATCGAATTCATCCATTGACGTATCAGGGCGACAGGTACGGGCAATCAACCGCACTATGACACAGTATATTTGATCTATCCAAACGTCGAGGGATTCAGATCCGGAGTATACTTCATTTGTTCAACCACGGGTAAACACCCCTGGACATAACCCCAGTCTGCCCGTGGCTTTTGCTTCCGAGTGCGTGGCATTTCTTCCCCGGACTGTTTACCTCCCAATTTTTTTGATACCGCCTACAAATCTTCAAGATGCTAATACCTAACGGTCACCGGGACCAGATCTCTTCAGGAGAGTGTATGATATTTGCCGCTGCCGATCCTGTCCGTCGTGTGTGTCCCATGATCCCGAACACCACATCCAGAACTTTAGGATAGCGAGGCCGGAACGACCATACCTCAAGTGGCTCGGATAGGTCACATGCTCGGTTCCCTGCCTCTGGGTGCATGCAGGATATTCTAGATGTATCTGAGGAGATTTAGAAACGGGTATGCATGGCGGTTTATTGTACGCTGTACACCCGTCAACAGTGACACAGTGAGCCCGAGCATACCATCAAAGGGATTGTGCTATCCAAGTTCGGAAGCTAAGCGTTGGGCATGGTCCAACTCTTCTGGCTTTTCACGGACAATGTCGGGACACCGTGCTCCTCAGTAACCGACCTGAATTATCCTATCCTGCCTTGTGATTGATGCAAGAGGATCTTCAGAGTAACATGAATCTTCAATCACCGTGGCTTCCAAGCGGACACACATGGATCAGACAGGGTCTCACCTATGCTTGGTATAGCATTAATGTCCTAAGCGTGCCCTCAGAGGCCCTAACCTAACCACTAGTGCGTCAGAAATGCGAGGGCACTGGTTGTGACGGTGTATCACCCTAACACCGGGGGAGTGGAAATAAATGCACTAGGCTCCCCCACTAAATAAACACGGGCCCCATCGGAAGAACCCTGGGTCTGAGCGGAACCCAACCACGGACCAGCCAGGCGCTCCCACAACCTTACCCATGGACAAATCAATAATAATATTAATCGACCCTCGTTCCTCCAGAGGGTGATGATGATATTGATGGGGGATAAGCATAAACCACCATTTTCAGATTCCCGAGTCTCCGACTCCTTGTGATCAGCACCGGACGGCAGGCACCGTCACAGGCCTTCAATAATCAATCAGATCCAGCCCATGCCCGTCCGAGATAATCCCGTCTTGTTGGCTGCCCAAAAGTCCTGGAGGATGGCAGGAACCCCATTGCGGCCCAATAACAACGGCCTCCACCGCGGCGCTTGCTGCCGTCCGGCTCTGCAGGTGAAAATCTCTCAACCGGAGGGGCAAGAAAAAAATAAGTTTCAGCATCCAGGATCTGGGATGTAAAAATGCAGTAAGTTTATGCGAAATCATACAGACATCCGTTAAGCAAGCCCATTCCAGTGGGATGGATCCAGGATACTCTGCGCAAGCAAAAAATAGTAAAAAGCCTTGTTGAAGCCTATGCAGTTTGACCACCATGACATAAAAGCGAAGTCATCTCTGCTCCAGAAATCTCTTCGACCCCACTTACCGGCATCGTCTAGCTGGTTGATATCCTGATATTCTATATTCCTGGTGGAGATTCCGGTGAACATACGGCATGGAAGATGGAGTCGAAGCACGCTAGAAAATAGTCTCCCGACAACACTGCCCGTAAGCAAGCAAATTACACCAGTGTTTCTGTTCTACCTTGTATACTCGTGACAGACAACTGCTAATGGGAGGCATGATCGCATCCGGCATAATCCATCAATTTCCCATCCTACAAGGCATTCCGGTCTCGGATGACCTGGATACCATGGCCACAGCAGCGCGGGTCAGTCAAACATCCTAGTCCTTGTTGCTTCTCGACAAGCTTCCTTGGGCATTAAAGGTCCATCAATCTCATGACAAGGGCTCAGAAATTCATGATCCCGTGAATCATCTTGTCGGACATGGGAAGCATCGTGTTTCCATGCGTCTGGCTACAGAATGAGATTGACTATCCACGGCGCAATTAGTCTCCGCCCGTATGGATGCTGTTGGCATCAATGGCGTTGAAAATAAAAGACAATAGAGGCGACATTTGAGGATTTGAAATCAGGCGACATCCTGGCCCCTGCTCAGCTGAGGCTGAGTGAGGCATAACTTTATCGCGTTCTCTGCGTCATACTAGCTCACCGAAATGCATTGATGGCGATTGGTCAGGACCCATGAGGTATTATTTATTGGGATCTGCCGCTGTCAAACAGTCGGGTAATTGTGTCTCTCCGCCGACTACTCCGTACCGAAAACGAAAATTGGATAATATGTCTCGGGCTATCTCAGTCGACTGCCTTCGATCACCTCGGTATATCCCTCGACGTTCCCGTCTTTCAGATGAGTCTGTCGAACGTTGGTGCCCAATACTCGTGACTCATTTCCCGTCTGGGATTCCATCAGATTCTGGGGTTTATCAGCTCTATGTTCAACCAATTAACCACCGATCCCAGCGTTCCGGCTCGGTCTGTATACTCCAGGATGATCCCAAGGGACCCCGGCTGTCAACACCTAGGATTCCTTGTCGCCTCCCGCCCCCTGCTTCTTGGTGAGGGCGTCCGTAAACTTCCAGTGCAGAGGAGATCATCGGAATGAAAGTCCGTGATCGGGGGTTATCGTAAGCATCGTAGACACTCGTATGCAGTCACCCCGGTCTAATCCGGTACTTCTACAGTTCACCGTTCACACTTCACACCAGACAGTGATCTTGATAAGATAGGGCTGCTGAGTCAGCGAGTTGCCGGGGCCACGCGGGCCCCCAAACAAACGGGCGTCATCCCCAGCCTCTCCATTTACTCCAACCACCGCATTTTCGCCTGCTGTTCGTCTATTCTGCTCGTTGAGTGTCTTTCATCCTGTTCTCCTCCGTCTACCGGAGCTGGTTACAACCTTCATTGCTTTGACTATCTAGCCTACCCAGTATTGCACCACGAGGTCCACATTCCATCCATCCCGACTATCTAGTATCATCCCAATCGATCGCAATCGAGATACGCCATCGACATCTACCTACTGACAGCTACCTTAAAGGTACACACCCACATTCCATCATCACATACCAGCCCCATCAACTAATCATACATTCCCAACCCCAGAGTCCCGTCTCGAGCTCCAAGCTCCTGACGCCTCTCTCATCCAATAATCATGCCCCCAATCCACCCCGACAACATTCCTCCCCTCCCCAACCTCCAAGCCACCACCCTCGAAAATGCCCCCCACCACCTCATCGCCCGATCCAGCCAGACCTACGCCGCAGGCTCCGGCACCGTTGCCCCCACCCACATTAACATGAAAGGTCTAATGGCCCTATTCGCCCTCATCGGCGCGGCCTTCGTCCTCGCGGCAATCTGGTTCTTCTTCTGGGCCAAAAACGGCGGTTTTATCTGGCGCAAAGGCGACTGGGAAGAATACAAATCTACCGTTCTTCGCCGCAAGGGACCCGACGGCCGTACCCTAAGTAACGCAACCAAGAGCACCAAACTCGGCGGCGGAAGCGTCTACCACAAAGGCTACACCGACGACGGCTACACCTACGCAGACACCGCCACAAACCTGACAGAGAAAACCGGCATGGCGGGCGCCACGGCCGACCCGGAACGTAAGCGGAGACGCAAGCTACGCGAGAAATTCCGCCGCAGACGCAAGAACGACGAAGTGACTGTGAACTGGGAGAACGATGTCGATGAGGACGTGGCTGCGTATCGGAAAGAGAAAGCCGCACGGGTCGGGGGAATTAACCGCGACGGAGAAGGAACTTACTACGGGAGCGATTACGATCTGTCCAACCCAGCAAGCCACTACAATCAGAGCGAAATCACGGGTAGCCAGGTACGGGATTACGCATACGACCCTGCGCCTGCGCGGGCATCTCCGTCCCGAAAACAAAGCAAGAGACGCGACTTCTCCTTCGTGCCGGGAAGCGAAGAGGTACTTAGCCAAGCACCAACCCACGACCACAGGGCTCGGGAGTCGTCAACCAGGAGACACAATCGACGTCGAGAACGGAGAAGAAACCCCCCGCCGTCGGAGTCTTCAGGGTCTAGAACGAGCAGTCCCCGGAAGCGCGAGAGACCCGCAGTGAGGGGACATTACACCGAGGCATTAGACTTCTCATCTTCGGCTCCTTCAAGATCGGAATATCAGTACTCGAACGTCGAGACGGAGGACTCGGGCACAAAGAGTTACCACCATCCGATTCCGGGATTGAGTAAGGGATACCGACGAGAGGGAGGACGAGGTCGTCGGAGGGATAGTTTGAGCGAGAGTGACTGAGCGACTGACATTGATTCAACTCTACGATACGATATGCGCCGCGACTGTAAATAATGCTTTTGCTTTTCTTTCTATGTTGAACGAGATATGAAATGCGATGATTGAGATAGGATTTGGGAATATCAAAGGTTATACTTGCATACATAAATTGAACAAGAGCGCTGGGGTCATTGCTATTTTGATTTCCGTGTGATTATATTATGTCAAATGAAATAGGATGCTGCCATAAGCAAGTTTGTTTGATACCTTTTTCTGCTGCTACTACTACTATTACTACCGCCAAACAGGACTGATCCAAGATTCAAACCAAGACAATATCATTCTCAATGCTACGTATTATCCCCCGACGCTAAATAGTATTCATTTCAATGAACCACACTCGAAAGCTGTCTAATAGCCGATAATTGAGCCATCTGGTCGGCGTCATAGCTAGCGTACAAGATATCTCGACTTTGACGAGCGTTCGTCATCAGGACATCGCTGGCTAGAAATTTCGAGGACGCAAATGCATTCTCCACAACGCTTGACGATGGGGCTGTTGCGTCTTCTGAGGAATAAGCTGCAACCATGGCATACATCCAGATGGCTTTTTGCTTCATTATCAAGGACATAAGAGTTGGACCTTGTACAGGGGTCGAACGTGGGCCGGGGGTGGGGGCTGTCCATGCTAGACCCGTGAAGGAGTGCGATGAGAGGAACTAGGTCAATAGAACCGGAAAAAGGCATACGCTTCCAAGGATCGGTGTCGCACATTTGCAAATGAGCCTTCTTCGACTAAGGCCAATGCGATTCGTAGGAGTAGACCCTTACTGCGGATTTCGGAGGCGTTATTGGTGGCGCTCAGAATATCTTATGCTGTATGGGAATCTGATTGGCGCATTTCCTGTAGATTCAGGATGCAGAGGAACCAGCAGAAAGCAAGAAGATTGTCACGACCTTCGGAGTTCCGATTCTTGCAGCACGGATACCCAAAGCGGTAGGCACCCCAAAGCACCCCCTTTGTATGGACAATTCGAGTTGGTTGTAAGGAGAGAAGTATGGGGTTACAGAAAAGTGACTGCCAGAGACTTTGCACGAGATGAAGGACTCGTAGCTAGGCATATGCATACTTGTAGATATGCTTTGGGAAGCGACGTGCAGGAGACTGTTATGGCGACAGACGAGACATGGGATGGATATAATATTGAGTGAAGTTGGGCAGATACATAGGAATACCTATGAGTAACGGCTAATGCTAGCCTTTTATTGCTACAAGATTGGTTGTCTGGCTAGTCCTTATTTAAGGATAATGCTGGTTGAGCTACCCAAATCTAGCGAAAAGCCTCCCGCTCACAACAGCAAATTTACCCAATAACAGACTTAATGAGGGTGGTGATATACCAATATCTCATTCCTCTTGGGTCGGTCTGTTGGCTTCCTGACTGCTTTGGCCCTCTGGACAAAATCCATCCCAGGCGGCGCCATGGCGCGACGTTCGGCGTAGAGGTGGCACGGGAGCAAAGGCAACAGACCTAGTTCTCTTTCGACGATATAATGGCTTACCAGTCCCGCGCCAAATAGTCGTTCCGACCCCATCGGACCTTTGGGAAGGCATGATTGTCCGCTCACCAGATGCCACCGTGCCTGTATCATCCAAATGCCAGCGGTCAAGGGCCAGTCGGCTGATATAAGTATCATCCCAACCCTGGTCACGCATTGTTTGCCATTCAGGGTGCGACCGCAAGCGCGCACTTTCCAGCGACGAGGTGCGAAGTTGATGAAGAATCCAATTGTTGATGAACCTACCCCGCTGGCGCGAGGGTGCAGACTCAACGGAATCACCTTGGTCAAACGGGGAGAACTTCTCATCGAGTGCCAGCTTAAACGGATCATTAGCAGAATCAGGTTCAACTAAACTCTGTCTGTGGGCTTCGTCACTTGGAAGGCCTAGAACATCTAGGAGTAGTTGGTCAAGGCTAGGGAGGTCACCGCATGATTTTGCCTCTGTCCCGTCCCAGGTCTGCAGGATTTCACTGGGACCTGTGGTTGTTGCCTCCTTCCTGATCTGTGGAGCGGGATCATGTTGCTCATCTGTTCCGAAAATTATAGGCTCCTGCATTTGCGACTTGGACGTTTGAGTCTGAGGCTGAGATAGAGTGCTTTTGTACGCATTTGGTGAAACCGGGTTGGGACTGGAGTTTTGGGGGTCGGCTTTGAAAACCCGGGCCTTCTCTTTAGATCCATTGCCTTCAAGGGAATCTCTAATGGCTTCCGGGTGGAAAAGGTAGGTTAGCCTAGCCGCTGAGCGAGAGAGTTCCTGTTCTTGTTCCTCCAATTCATCTTCTGCTTGGTCGTGGATGTATTCCAAGTCCAGATTAGACTGGGCGATTGATCGGAGTGCCTCGTGATCTTTTTCAATGAGACTTGCAGTACTCGTGCAAGTGCAGCAGGCGATACCACCGAGATGTCTCCTAATTGAATCCCTCAACCCCGCCTCTTCTTCTCTCTTCTCCCTCATAGACGCGCGCAACCTGCGCACGTTAAGCCTATTTATTGCCACTAGCTTCTGCTGATGATAACATTCATTCTTAGCCTTGTAGACCTTGGTAAAATGCGTATCCTCCATATGCTGTATCTGTTTCTCCCGATGATCCTTTTCGAGTCGTTGTCTCTTGTTGTGATCGGTGTCCCGCGCTGTGCTATCTCCGCTTCTGCAAAATGAGGAGCTTGAAGGGAAGATTACTCCCTGGGCGCCATTGTTGGCATTTCTTATCGGAGTCTTCCTCGACCTGTATGGCCCAGGGGCTGGGACATCCTCAGTATTCCGATCGAACGGTATCTCTGGCGCGGGGGCCCACAAACTCGGATCTGGGTGTTGTTCAGTGATGAAGTGGCTATAATGACCGCGGATAGGCATATCAGCTGTGCGAATATTTTCAAACGACATAGTAGAAACAATATAGGGATAAGACTTGGTGTGGTTAGGAGATTAGGTTCAAATCAGTTGGCAAGCTGCTCATTAGGCCAAAGCAGCAGGGATGCGATTTCCGCCGCATTGGGAAGCCCGCAAAGAAAAAGCAAGCCATGGGCAAGAGGAAAGAGCAACCAGTGGGCCTCATAGCCCTCTGACTGACACCGAGGCTATGACATGATTCTGCAGGTGCACTTGGTGTATTTGAAGTAGAAGGATAGTAGTAGATAGGCTTATCGGTGGAGCCAAGTGGAGCCGACCCAAAGCAGAGCCTCGGAAAATCTCACCGCCCGACGGATTTTCCACGCCGTTTGATGAGGAAAACTTTCCAGCCGGTCGTTCACCAGCTTCCCCAGACCCCCTACCCAAGGACTCCCTTTTCAAACTCGGGATTTCTTTTTGCCACAATGAAGCGCAAGTTGGATGCCAATGATGTGCCCTCCCCCGAGGCGGTCGAGGGCAAGGAGACCGCTGATACGAACGAGGCCGACTTCGAAAGCCTCAACCTGGACCCGCGACTGCGCCAAGCCTTGATCAAAGAGAAGTTCACCAAGCCCACGCCCGTCCAGGCCAAGGCTATTCCTCTGGCTCTGGCAGGCAAAGACATCCTGGGTAAGTGACATTGGTATTCTCTTCGAGAAGTCTGATGTATATTGACAAACTCAGCTCGTGCAAAGACCGGCTCCGGAAAGACCGCCGCATACGTCCTCCCCATCCTTCAGACCATCCTCCAAAAGAAAGCTGTTAGTATTTCCTTGGTGGAATTCGATTATCATCAGGCCGTCCAGCTGATTGAAAACTGTTTTTAGGACGACCCCTCATTGAAAGCCACCACGGGCCTCATCCTTGTACCCACTCGAGAACTTGCGGAGCAGGTCCAAAAGGTTGTCACCACATTCGCTGCCTTCTGCGGAAAGGATGTCCGCTCTGTCAATTTGACCCAGAAGGTCTCGGACGCTGTGCAGCGTACCATGCTCGCTGATTATCCCGATGTCGTCATCTCGACCCCCGCGCGTGTGATCGCCAATCTCGGTAATTCCTCTCTGTCTTTGGAGAACCTCACACACCTCGTTATCGACGAAGCGGACTTGGTCCTCTCATACGGATACGATGAAGACATCAATGCACTTTCGAAGGCGATCCCCCGTGGTGTGCAGACCTTCCTCATGAGTGCCACGCTCACCTCGGAGGTGGATACTCTAAAGGGATTGTTCTGTCGGAGCCCTGTTGTGTTGAAGTTGGAGGACAAGGAAGAGAAGGGTGCTGGTGTTAGTCAGTTTGTTGTCAGGTGAGTCAAGTCTCATGGTGAGCGAAGCAGTTGGGCCTAAGCTGACGGCTGCGCATAGATGTGCGGAGGACGAGAAATTCCTCCTGACCTACGTCATCTTCAAGCTCCAGCTCATCAAGGGCAAAGTCATCATATTCGTCGGAGACGTCGACCGTTGCTACCGTCTCAAGCTCTTCCTGGAGCAATTCGGTCTTAAGAGCTGCGTCCTCAACTCGGAATTGCCCGTGAACTCCAGAATCCACGTCGTCGAGGAGTTCAACAAGGGCGTTTATGACATCATTATCGCTGCAGACGATCAAGAAGTCCTCGGGACGAAGTCGTCGAAGAAGGCCAAGGCGGCTGAAGAGGTTGAGGATGACGCAGAGGAGGCCGCCGGCCTCATGGGTTCTAGTGAAGACGAGGAAGAGGTTGAAGAAGAGAAGAGCAAATCGAATCGTTCCGAGAAGCGCAGAAAGCTCTCTGCCAAACAAAAGGACTACGGTATCTCCCGTGGTATCGACTTCCAAAATGTCGCCTGCGTCCTGAACTTCGACCTCCCCACTAACTCCAAGTCCTACACACATCGCATCGGACGTACCGGCCGCGGAGGCAAGACCGGTATGGCGCTCTCGTTCGTCGTCCCGGCCGACCAGTATGGAAAGCACAAGCCCACCTCCTTCCCCACCGCAAAACACGACGAAGCCGTCCTCGCGAAGATCGTCAAACGGCAATCCAAGCTCGGCCATGAAGTCAAGCCGTACCATTTCGAGATGAGCCAAGTCGACGCCTTCCGCTACCGTATGACCGACGGTCTCCGCGCCATCACCCGTCTTGCAGTCCAGGAAGCCCGTGCCCGCGAGATCCGTCAGGAACTGATCAAGAGCGAGAAGCTCAAGCGCCACTTCGAGGACAACCCCGATGAGCTGCGTCAGCTCCGTCACGACGGCGAGCTGCGCTCCGCCCGTATCCAGCCCCACCTCAAACACATCCCCGAGTACCTGATGCCTTCAAAGGGTCGGAAGGGCATCTCCAGCGAGAACGTCGGCTACGTAGGGTTCCGGAAATCCAGCGACAACCGCATCCGCAAGGCAAGAGATAAGAACCGCGCCAAGGGGAAGGGCCGGAAGCCCTCGGGGGTTCGCAAGGCTGATCCATTGAAGACGTTCAACCGGGGTCGGAAATAAACTATAGCAGAATCGAGGGTTGGTGATTGATGATAAGGGCTTATGTACATATTGAATTGGTTCAAAGTTCCACAAGGGAAAAAGTTATCATATTCGGTCGGGATAATGCGTGCATATAGAACCAACGCGGATAATTGCATGTTTTATCGCATCATACATAGTCAAGTATTTCTTTCTGGAGACTGTTCATTTCTATTACCTATTCCTAAGCCCAACCTACTATCTACATTTTCTCTAGCCTCAATGCCAACACCCCATCCGAATATATTCCCCCCCCCTTAAGAGTATCAACAGCACACCATCTAGTCTATACAACCTAGATACCTACCTTCAACACACATAATGATTACACTACTACTTCAGCCCTAAGGCAAGAAGCCTAACCACTCCTTCCCAAATAACTTTTTCAACCCAACCTCATCAATCCCATCTAAACCAAAAGAAAACTGGATCCATTTTCCTTTCCCTTCTTTCCTTGTTCGAAGAACCCATTGCTGGACTTCTTTCGCGGACTGGACGGTCTCCCGGAACCGTTCAATCTCCTTGGCTCGTCGGTATTTTATGCGTTCGGTTTCGACGTCCCATGGTAGATCGGAGGGTTCTTGCTCGGATGAGCTCCCAATTCCGGGACGTAGAGTGGTAATGGCAGATAGAGATGGGTGCGGGGCATGGATGGAGAATGCTAGTGCTCGGGTGGGCGAGGATAAAGAGGATGAGGATGAGCCGCTGGGGTGCGAGTCGCTGCTGGGTCCCGGGGGTGGTATTATTTCGCTATCGTCGATGTGGGGGAGCCAGCCTGGTCCGAGACGGATCCATTCGATGTCTCGCCAGGAGCCGTTCCATTCTGGACCCGAGAGGTAGGTTTCCCCAGCGGGGCCGGTGTCTTCCCATTTGAGAGCTGGGACCCAGTCGCCGCAGCCTTCGAGGTCAAGCCATTTGAGACAGTAGGTTACGCGGGAAAGGCGTCGGAGAAGGCTGGCTGCTTCGGCCCAGTTGTTTTCGCTGGCGGTATAGGAATCTGTGCCACCGTAGGAGAAGGTTAGGGAGCGGTGGTTTGGATGGCGGATTCGCGCGTTGATTGCGTTGGGGGTGACGGTGGGGATGGGCCAGTGGGCTAGAGAGAGGTGGGTGATGGTTGAGAGGCGCGAGAGAAGATTGATGAGGGAGTTCCAGTTGACGGATCCGGGTTTGGGATGTGCGAGGGAGAGGAAGCGGAGATTTTCGAAGCGCAGGGTTTGTGAAGGTGTACTGGGGAGGGTAGACCCTCCTGCCGTGGAGTCTATCTCTTCGTCGTATGCGCCCTCCCAGGAGGATGGCACAGGCTCTTTATGCTTGCGCTGGACGGGGTTCGGCTTCTCAGTGGCCAAAAGCTCGGCGGAGAGTTGTTTTATGCTCAGCCATCGACCGATGGAGCTGCTCAGATCTAGGCGGGTGATCTCGAAGTCGCTTTCGTGCCGTATCTCATGTTCGTCTGTGGCGCCGGGTTTCTCGAAGAGAGGTCGCAAGCCCCGCATCAGCCCGCCCAATGGTCGATCCTTTGCATATAGCCCGATGTAGCTGAGGAGGCGTACTTTGACATGATTCGGAAGATCCGTCAGAAATGGTCCGTCGTACTCGAGATGCCACTCCCAGTATGTGGCCATCGATCTCAGCACAGTATCCATCAGGCTACCCCTCTGCGGAAGAGTTGTGCCTGGTAATCGCTCCAATCGGTAGATGACTCTCTCTTTATCCGCAGCAGCGAGCTCGGCATCATATTCGTCGGCACCATCGGGGTTGGTACTGCCCTGAAGCCAGCTCTCGGGCGGTGGTGGTCCTGCAGTCCGTCTCAGGCGTCGTGAGCCTACCCCGAGGCGGCGCGCGCCCGGACGGGGGCGGGGAGCCGGTGTGTCTGGCAATTCGAGGAGGTTCCGTAATGATGGGTGGACCGATCGAGGTGTGACAAATGTAAAGGGTGTCTCTGGTCCATTTTCAGAGGACTTTGAGACCTGGGTGCGCCGAAGGTGGTCGATCAGCTGGTTGACAGAGGGCTGCTCCGCGGAAGAGGATGAGGCGTGGGATGATCGAAGATGGCCATTGTGATCGTTTCGAGGGCCTGACGAAACGAGGGTATGGTGAGCAGTGCTGGCTGGCTTCGCAAAGGCGTGTTTCTTGTGCTTTTTGGGCATAGGGAAGAGGGTGAGTTGAATCAAGGAGAGGTGGTGGCAGAGGTGGGAATCGCGAGCTGAGCCGATCGGCGGAACTTCAATGTCTTATCGCTTTCCGTGTTCGATGATATGACTCACGGGATCGGATGGCTTGAGATGGATGTGCATTCGCCCCCCGTTTAGTAAAGCGCGAAGGATGTGCAGGATGGGCAGAGAGCCAATTGTCACGCTGGTTTACATTGCGCCGAGTCTATTTGCTGTTCTTTCTATTGTACACGGCTTGCGGCATGCCTTCAGATATCGCGAACCCATGATTCATCATCCATCTTGCCCTCCCGCTTGGGACCCTCCTGGATCCACGTCTCCACAAGACCTTCCTTCGGGTCTTCATCTGACAAACCTCTAGTCCTTCTTACTTCAAGGACGAGGTCTCTGACCTTCTTGGTAACCTCCTTGCGCAGCTCAACTGCTTCTGTGTTATACAAGAGCTCGTCGTTCAAGACTCCAATCGGGAGATCACGAGTGCCGGGGGATGTGCGTTCGGCTTTGGCTTTGATCTCCTGCCAACGTTTTCTGTACGCCCCGAAGACCGCCTCTCTATCCACCTTCTGCCCAAAGGTGACGCTGACGTCTTTTCCTACACGAGGGAGGAATCGCGGAAATTCGCGACTTTCGTGCATGACCTGGTCAAAACCCTCCAGCCATATGGGCACAACGTCAGGACATTCGCTAGCCTCTAAAATGAGTCGTGCAACGCCCCATTTGAAGTAGCGCATGGTCTTGTTCGGTGCCTGGTGGATCTTTCCTTCGGGGAAGATGTGGAACCAGGAATAGGAGTTGCAGGCGTAGGAGGACGGCGACAAATGAGAGTCATGGCCATCAGTCGTATAGGCTGTAGGTAGGTCGGAGAACGGATCGACGCAGACGTTTTGTAGGCTCCACGATTGACGTTCCGGGACGGCCATATGAGGGTCGGCGGGGAATGGTCCTTTCGACAGCAATCGGATTGCCTGGGTCACGACGGGTTGCGCGAGGCCACCGTGCGGCGAGTGAGCCAGTCGGTGAGTAGGGAGGACTTGGCCCATTGTGAAGAAAAGAGCCAGGGGTCTATACGCCGGTCAGGTCAGCACTGGTATAGCCCAAGCGGCCAGAATCAAAACAGGCATTTCATACCTCGTTTGATAGCAAATGTCATGACTCCCAAATCCCCATCGTTTGTTCCAAGACGCAAGCCCGAAGTTATATCGCATCGGAAGAAATCCCCACATGATCGGATCATCCATCCTGCTCAATTAAGCGACCATGGTCAGCGTTCTCTGATGTCGGAGATGATCAGGTCGCCTCAGCCTTCAAGGCGCACCGTACGCACGTACACGCTGGTATGATTGGAAACTGATGAGACGACGGAAATCAGCTTATATCCCCGCAACAATTAGACGGACAGCAACGTACCTGTCAGCAAGCCTCTCGTTCTTTGCGACGGATCGGCTCTCGAGTCAAGAAGCTCAAGGAACGAATCCAGTCCATGGACCTCCGGCCTACTGCAGACGTAAAGAAACGAACGGCATAACGCCGCTACCCCGAAAATCGTCGTAGAGGACAAGGCCCTCCAGGGCAACGAGGGAGCCTCGGCCGTTGCGCCGGAATCCGTAGCGCGCGACATTGTACCTCAGCTCACTCTAGCTAACAAAATCCATCCAAGTCAGAGCAGACCCAGGAAATTGGCCAGGAACAAAGGCAGCAATAAATAAGTAGCGCAGAGAAAGGGAGGGGGAACAACCCCGGATCGACGGCGTGAGGGCAGATGGCATCTTCATTGGCCTCGACAAAAATCGGGGGAGAAATCATGTTGGGGCCCGCGGAGGTCGCCGTGCACGGACCCCCAAACCTCCTCGACGGGATTTTCGTCCGTCTGGCCGGCTTCCGTTGGAAGAATAGTAATAGCTTCCCTTCCTCGTTCACTCATTTTCGTCGGGCCCTGTGTCATTCTTTCCGGTACCAATCGCCAAGATGATGTTCAAGCCCTCGTCGCCTCTTTTCTCCGGTCTTCTTTGGTAGGTCGCAATCCTCAAGTTGCTCGGTCGCCGCGTCGTCAACTGAACTCCCGAACATCCCGCACCTCTGTTTATCGTCACCACCCGGCATGACTGTCCTATGACGCTAATCTTGCTCGTCAATTTGATAGGAAGATCCCATGGCGTCTTTCCTCCCCTCAGAAGGCCCGCCAGAGAAAGCGCCTCCGCGGTGTTGACCGTGTCGTTGACACTGTCTCCGCAGCTCTGGAACGCAACGGATACACCACCAAGTCTGTCGAGCGCTGGTACAATGAAATGCCCCGCGAGGAGGAGATGCTTCCCAAGGACAAGTACACAATCTTCGATAAGAAGGAGAAGAAGTACCGCAAGGGCATTCACAGTACGTTTTCCGGTTCTACTACGGCATACGATCTGGCGTCCCCAATTGAGGGATGAAATTCGAGGTCTATCAGGTATAGGTGCTAATGTTATGTTTTCCAGAGCTACCGAAGTGGACCCGAGTCAGCCAGAGAGTGAACCCCGCTGGTTTTTAAGCAGCTTCTACACGCAGGGTATGTCGGGAGGGCCTTCGATATCGCCCACACAATACATCTGGCATCAGCCTGTGCAGATTTGTACCTGGATTTTTAATTGTACTATACGCTACAACCCGTGATGATCGCGATTCGCTCTTCCGTGGATCGTGAAAGGCACAGGGAGGATTACCGGAGTTTTCGGCAATTGGGGAATGACACCATGACTGCATTGTTCGCCTTGCTATTAACCATGTTTACGATTCAAGCCTAAGGCACATGATTCAACTCGATTTAAATTTGGCATGTGATGGTATCTTTCAGACTTGTAAGAAAAGGCGGTCAGTGGGACTGATGGCCACGCGAGAGAGGCAGCATAACAATAGAGATAGAGCATAGAAGAGGCTGCATCTTGTTATCTGTCCCGTATATCATTCTTCTACAGATACAAAGTCGCTTGGACCCTTCAAACTGCCTACAAAACGGTCGCACCACGTCTTCCCAAATTCGCGCTGTGACTTGATCTCCTCCGCCGCCAGTGATCCAAACAGAAACATATCAAGAATCTTTTGCCGCTACCATACGGTAATATCGACTGATGCCTAGCGCAATCTCCCTGGCTCTTGTTCTATTGGCCCTGCCTTCATGAACTGCCTTCCGAATGCGATAACCACGCCGGACCTTTTGCCAATCATCAAGCGTCTCCTGCCAGCCTGCCCCCCCTTCGTAATATACCTGTTTCTGTCGAGTTGACATACATATGCCTTGAGGTGGTTTACGGAGGATCCAGCACGACGGGTCAACCTTACCATCCGGTGGATCACCGGCAGGGTCATCGTAGAGTTTGAATACCTTGACAATATCATGTAGCCCTAACACCTGTCTATTCCGGTTGACAGCTGCTCTCCAGGAGTCGATCCTAGGGGTATAGGCCGCCTTGCGTCGCACCTTTGGGTACTTGGGTTTCGGAGTCCAGTCAGTGTTTGGGTATGGCACATTGAATCTTGGATCTCCTAACTGCCGTCTAGCGTCGATAGAGACCCGCGTAGGTGGGTCGATCACAATCCAAGTTTCTTTATTGAGCCAGTGATTTGCTAGCATGGCAAAATGATACGGTCTCCGCCCCGGGCTGAGTTGGTTGTAGAGCCATTCGAGCTTCCGGTCCAGTCCATCTATGAACTGTATCTCCCAGTTACTTAGCTCTTGGATGGAAATTTTGTCTGTGAGTGGTCTATTCAACTTTTGATTGTTATCTTTTCGAAATTCCTTATCTGAACGATGCATGCGCACTAGCTTCTTTTGTCGCGCAGAGGAGCCTCCTCCTTCACTAGAACTTAGTGCTTGGTCATATGGATTTGAAGTCATGCTATGATGTTGTAAGCGCAACTGGCCGTGCAAGTCAGCTGCAGAGCGCCGTGCCTTTGGGGTAAAATTGTGAACTCTGTTTTCTGCTGGCCTTCCTTTGTCAACATGACGACCCTTGCTGGGGTTGAGGAGGATCAATTTGGTTGAGTTTGCAGAAGAACTGCCACTAGCCCCTTTCCACGCTTGTTGTATCAACATAGATATAGGCAACTGGTCGGACGAAGTACTGGCAAGGAGCTCAGTTTGTGGAGTTCCTGGAGGCGGGCGTATGAGCTTTGTATGCTCGGGCTGTTGCAATTCCATCCAGGTGGACCAAACTTGATACTTGCGCGATATTTCGAGCTTTTGAGGTGACCTTGAGCTTATGCCTGCCGTTTTCGTGGTCTGTGATGAATCTAAGGCGATCGAGCTCCCTGGGAATCTTGTATCTTGAGAGAAAAGACAAGGAAGCGAAAGACTGTGTGCAATTATCGAACCACGATCCGCGAGATCCGAGTACGAAACATTGGCTCTGACGGAGCAATATGACTGGTATAGACCACTAGATCTGCTGTTTGGAAAGTTTAGGCGTGACCTTTCGAAGTTGCTCTTCCTTGGGAAGTCGTCCTGGTGAGACCGTATTCGGTTTCCTCGGACTGACTGTTGTCGACAATCACGCGGAAGATACAGATGGATAGATAAGCTTGTAGCAATGCTCGTCCTAGAGAAATAGACCGCTTGTCTTCTCGCGCGCTCAAGAGTGTTGCTTGCTGAGAGTGCCCCAGTCATACCTGTGAGAGAAGCAGATCCCCTGCCAAGGTTTGGCATGGCGTTGTCACTTGGGTGAAGAGGATGCCCGGGGTTCCAAATAGTGTCGGCTGCAATATAGCTATAGCTTTTGAACCAGGTTGGTCTCCAGCGCAGAGGCCTTTTCCTTTCTCGAAATCTACTCAGCTCCTTCTGTCCAGGATCCCACCAAGCCCAGCGGTAGTTGTTCGATGATCTCCAAGCCGCCCAACCACAAACTTTCTTGAAGTATTTCCGAATCACTGCCTTGTTTTGTTCGTGCCGCTTTGCTGAAACCCATCCATACCAGGTCCTTGCGTAACGCGTGGTAGTTGTGTTTCCTTTTCGGAGGACCTTATTGCGAGTGAGAAAGCGGCAGAATTTTCCAAGCTTCCAGAAGAGAACCGCAACAATGAAAATTATAACAGTTCCTGCAAAGAGCTGAAGGAAGACCTTAATACCGATGTATTTTGTGACTTTAATAGGAGCCGCACGGGTCTCCCAAGGTGAACGAGAGATTAAGTGTGAATGCGATGGGTGCATCAAGACGGGTGCCATCTGATAAAAGCTGAGAGGCACAGCAAACAAAGAGTAGTCATCCTGATAACAATATGTAGCATACGTGAGTCAAAGTATGGGTTGGGTTGGCGTACTGGGTGTTGCAGAAGTCCTCGCGGGGTGTGGGAGGAGCGGGAAGAAGGAAGGTATGGCTGGCCATGACTGACAAGGCATGCTCTTAGATGCCTGACTTAATGTGTGTTCGTTCGTCTTCAGGGCGCCCTTTTATTCTTAGTGCCCGTCATTGTTCTCAGATGCTTATAGCTTGAATGCGACAACCATGGCGTATAGATCCCCTACTCGGGTCAGTCTAATGTACGGCACCCTTCGTCCATAATATCTCTATGTACCGCACGCGGGGGACATGTATATAAGTCTCTCTCCGGCTAATAGTATAATTAGGTGTATATACTAGGTCAGAGGTGGCTGTAATAGCATCTTTGTACAATGCCAAAGGACGTCTGTGCAGCTCTAGATGGAGAACTACTATATATGTTTCAAACTATGTCCACCGCAACTGGACAGTAATATGAGTTATAAGTTGGCAGATTACTTAGTTACGGGGTAGACTCCAAAGACATCAGTAATTATTTCATTTGCTTGTTAATCATTGTCATCGTTCTGTGAGGGTTGATAACACTACTGTAGTTGTTGCAGTTTCCTTGTGTATGACAAAGATGTTGTCAGCGTAACTATCATCGATGGAAATCCACTGGGCAAGTGTAAATACTTCTTTAAACTAAGCAAATGCAATTGGAGGTGTCTTTGCTATCTTTCCCGAAGCAATAATTGCATAAGTAAACCCCAACTGTCGGACTAGTCCAAATATATGCCACACGCTTGACTCTAGAAAGCCAGGGTTCAAAAATAGCTTGTCAGGTTGGCCATCCTTGCACAGCATATGAGGATCGACACATGGTTTCTCAACCCTGGTCGGTTTGCTTTTAGAGGCATGCCCAATATCATAGAGGCCCAACAACAATCCGCACATGCTGAGGGAGCCCCTTTGTGCGCTTCCTCCTGATTATTTTTATCGAATTACTCAACAGGGCTTATCGACTCTTTCTTTTCTCTATCGTGAAGCCAGCTTACATATTGTAAAGGAGTAGTGTCCAGATCAGGTGACCGTCGTTGATGATGAGTTTCCCGCCTCACTATTCCGCCTCATTTTCCCCTTCAATCTCATCAACACCAAGCCCATAGCCTGGGCATGGGATTCAATTATTCAATCCCACGCTACAACTGCATGGGTGGCACAAGGGTTCTAGGATCTTCCTCGCAGTGCAATTCCTTTCTGTCTGGAAGTGCGCGCATTATTGCTTGGTCCATCGCGGCCTCAGATATATTGAATAGTAGCCATGGCAAATAAAGCTGCAATTTTCGGATTCCCGGAGCACCTCACACCACCGCAACTCAGTGCTTTGGCTCATGGTCGGATTGCAATTAGGACGGCTGCTTGCAAGCTACTTCAATAATTGGATGAGGAAAGTAAGATGCTCTCCCCCTTTTTGTGCCTTCCCGGGCGTTCTCGTATTCACGATCCCGCTATCACGCTCAGCGAAACAGGGAATGTCCACAGGTCTTTCTTTCTTTTTTCCCACGTTACACGACCCATAGTCTATACTTAAACCCCGATCCTGGGTTACAGGGTGGTTCCTAAGCACCGGGACAGCTCATACACTTCCGCGACGCTCCGGGCGAAAATACCTCCGGCTGCTTGTGGGGTTAGTTCGTTCCAGCATTCCCAGGGCTGCAGGCGCCACCTCCCTTAGTCCAAGGCTTTCGATGGCGAATGGCCGACATTATTGAGTTGACGGTCTGGGATTCTAAGAGATTCTCCAATTAGAATTGGCCAGTCGCCCCCGTACTTTAGCTACCCTAGATCGTCTAATCCTTCTCCGGTCTAGATTACCACTACACGACCACGCCCCCAACGATGGAACACACCTGTTGCCCAGACTCCAGACACCAGACAGGGAAAGGTGAAATAAAGACAACACTAACATCCATATGGCGGTGGCAACGGAGAACATCCCCAACCCAATGATACATACTTGGCTCAACATATCACCATTGCATCCGTCGTACTACCGTCAGACAAATTCGCAAAAGCAACGCCTGAGGCGCTTGGTAGAGAGCGAACGTCAGTGAGGAGAGTGGCCGCTGATAGCTCACCGTCCCACCAAGATATGAAGCTTTCAACCTACTGGCTTCATTGTAATCCGAATCAGGCTCTGATTGGAGGCCGATGGATCTTACCAAGGGAATCGCCACCTTAATGGCTGCCCATAGCTCGTACATGATAACAATGAATCACCCTATCCCGGTATCTATTGCCCCAGTCGTTGCGCGGTTGGTCGCGGAGTACGGGTCTCGTATGGAGAGGATCCACCGAAGGGTGATAAACTCAGTACCACGTTTATGAGGGATTGCTTATGCTGTGTCTGCCCCGAGACCCGGCCGAGACTGTCTCTGGAGCACGGATCTCGGACGCAGCAGAGAAGCAGAAGAACAGCAAGCATGGCTCACTGGGCCACACATATCATTAATAGTATATCATCTCAGGTTCTATTATTGGGGCATGGTTATCGGGAAAAGATTTGATCATGTTGGTCTGGCCTCGACAGACGGACAGCGCGTTTCTCTGGTGAACAGTTGAGTTCCAGCATTGGGTGCTTACTCGTTCCGGGTCCAGTCATCACAAAGGTCACACGGTGGGCAAAAGCATAAATCTGAGTCAGTTCAGTAAGCACAGTACCACGGCACAAGACGCAGAAGAATGGAAAATGGGCGCTAAGGGAGAAGACGGAGAAAGGGTGTAGGGAATTCCACTGTGGCTTTGATGCTAGAGGATGGACGGCCCCGGGTCGCCTTGCAACTGCCATCCGTGACGCCGAAGTAGTCCGAAACAGACGCATCATCTGCAACAGTGCGGTGAAAGCTCTCCCTTTGAAGGGTGTTGCAGGCTGGGTCCGGATGCGCCACGGCACGGGACTACTTGGTGGACTATGACAGTTCTGTGTGCCACAACTGTTGTAACGTAAGGAAGGCGGCGGTTCAAGTTCACCGCCACACCTTGGCCGTTGATCATCATTTCAGCCACAGGTGGCTAATGGACCAAGATCATCAGCCCAATCAGAATCAAGCATGTTTTATCCCACGCATCCCGAGGTATGGAGCCTACAGCAGCGCCGATCAATCTTGCATTGCATTGCAGCTCAAAACATCCCAACGATTGGTGTCGGTGAAAAAGCAATAACCTGACCAGCGGCCGGGGGCCATGTTCCTCGTGCGATTCGATGGTCCCGAGTTGAGTGTAAGACGCGGCCTCTCGTGTGACCGCAGTTCTCGGACTCATAGGAGCGGCCTGATCGCGACCACCTGTTGTCCAGGACTCTTTGTTTCCTGGTTCAATGAATAACCGAACTCCACACCAGTGCTGCAGCTGCATGACACCATCACTTTATCCGTAAAGCGGGATTGGCTGCATACTCGAGGTCAGAATGGCGACGGCACCGCAGGAACTATTGAGGCCCCGTCACGTCAGACAAGGAATTCCGATCGTGAAGACACTAGGATCTAGATCTTACGTCCCGTTGCACTGGATACCATACAGTAGACCCACCGTTCGTCCAGGATAGCATCGGACCAGGAAGGGGCAATCTGCGTCTCCCGTCTTGAAGTTATTGGGTCCGGGAGGTTCCTACAGGATACATTCTATTCGGCCTGTCTCCTAGAAGCCCGAAGGAGTACGTCCGCCACCTAGTTTGCAGAACGGGAAGGACGGTGGCAGGAGTATCGACAAGAGGCTACTCAAGGCAGCAAGATTCAAAGTAAGTTTGAACCTAAGACTACTAGTCCTTCTTAACCGAACCACCTAACATACTTACATCCTTCTATCGATTCCATTTGGAGCATCACCAGCCATACTGAGGCTGGAGAGGGGTATGTGGCTGGTGGATCGTCCTAGACCCAAAAAGGCATGTTGTGTGGCGATGCAACCCCTGGGGCTTGCGGCCTTCCCCACCGTTTGGTCTCCTTTCCTGCACCCTCTGGAGTGTCCATCTGTGACAGGGCCTCGCCCGTCCCATCCTTGTCGGATCGTCCCTCACCATGTTTGGACTCTGGAATGTTTCATTAGTGGATACCTTGTTCATGATCCGTCCAGGCCCTAGTCCGACGGATCCGCTCTACTGGGTCTGATCCTAGGTCTGATCCTAGGTCTGATCCTGGTTCTGACCGCTGGACCGAGTAGACGAAGGACAAAAGGAGGCCACCATGGAGGAGGATTCTCAGTGTGTCGCGAATATCAGCCGCGCAGCCTGCCAAAAGTACAGGCGGCAGCGCGGTGTGGAATTGGGTTTGCACGAGAAAGTCCCCCTCGGGAGCTGTCGAAAACGTGGTTCCGGCACGGTCCAGGTCCAGGTACTCTGTAGTCAGCGGATTCGCCAATTCTCGGGAATTGAACAGCCGATTTGAGTTTCCGGGTTGGGGATCCGCCGCTTGGGTAACTGGGAAGGGATCCCAGCACCCCCGTCTCACTATCTCTAGATCCCCTAGCTCGATCTTGCAATTTTCCCGGGAGGCCCATGCAAGGAGACGAATGAGGAATGATCCCTCCTCATCCAGGCTCTAGCTCTCACTTCATGGGGGCCACTTCCCGCCTCCCAAACTATATGCAGTCTCCCTATAGAGTATGGAGGGTAAATGGTTCACGGGAGCGGCAAGCCATGAAGGCACAATGCAAGCCGAAAAAGAAAAGCTCCACGAAAAAAAAAAAGAAACCTGCCACGAACCATAGTTCTTGATCGTCATACGTCCGATAATCATTAGTTGATCCTACCGGGATTAGTGAGGTTAAGCTTCACATCTGGTCCCCTGGCATGTATTCGCAGTCTGACATCTCAAGCCACAGTCCCTCTTCGGTCTCTGTTTCTGGCTCGGACAGTCTAGGGCGTCGCCATTCTGCTTGCGCTAATGGGCCTAGGTTTACGCGTACCAAAGGGGACCAGTGGACCAGTGGACCACTCAAATAGCTAATCTGGGGGAAGAAGAAAAAATCATGTCCCAGGCAATTAAATGATTCAAGCGGGTACCGTCCATGCAGGCGCCCTGTTGCAGGATCGTGCAGGGTTATCAGTAGCCAACGTCTGGTAACCTTCAATATCCCGCAGCCTAGGGGCATATGGGACCTTTGGCGCAGATCCCGGATACTGGAACCTCAAGTATCTATTGATCTTAGTTCCTTCGGGGTGGCAAAAGACCATCTTTCCTGGTTCAGTTCGAGACCTACGGCAATCGCTCCCTAGTGATTTCGTTTGTATATCCAAGAGAACGCATATATGAAGGCCCAGGAAGAAGCCTTTCTTCGATGTTTTCAATCACTCAAGCCTCATCAACTCATCCACTTCACCCAATTCCTCTTTCCGATTAAATAATCTGCTCGTGGCATTCTTCTTGCTATTCTCCTCAAAGCCAGCTCTACATAAGTTCTTGGAAGCAATTTCCGTGCCCTATTCCAATTCTTGACCTTATATTCAATCAGTACACCGAAATTAACATGGTTCAAGGAAGCACAAGAGCCGATGGTGGAAGCTCTAGCCGTGAATTCGGCATGAACTTTGAGGTTGCGCCTCCTACTGCTGTGCCGCTTGGAGTCCCAGTGACTCTACCGGTGGTTGTGGGAGTTCGACCCGTGGGTACCCCACGAGGGGTGCAACAGCTAGTTGCACATGCATCTCTCAGGAATGAAGCAGGCACTGCACCTGCTTCCGGGCTCACGGGAGTGCTCACCTCCAGTGTGCGTAGCCGCAATGGCAACACGACCAGCGGGTATGCTCGATTCGGGCCTCTCAAGTTCACGCAGCCCGGACTATACCGCCTGCGAATCATGCTGGGAGCAGCCTCATTCAATGGAGTGACCACGAAGGAGTATGTTGATTCGGGGATCATCCAAGTTCAGGCCGGCGCTGGAGCTGCACGTCCAAGTAAGTGACATTGTATTCCACAACACCATGCAGAGTCTTGTGACTGACCGGCTTAGCACCTTCGCAAATTGCGAAACTCCAGAGCCTGATTCCAGAGAACATCGACATTACCGCAGCCGATATTGCGGCCTGGCAATCTGCCTAGAAACTGCATTCAGCCGTTCAGCCTTGATTCATGCGCTCCTTTCCGGTTTTTCTTGTCTTTTGTTTTTTTCGGGATGTTCTAGATTGCGTCCAGGTCAGCTAGGAGTTCGGACTGTATTTTCCATTTCGTCTCTCCTTATTGAAGGATTTCCTTTGTTGACGTCAGGCGGGGTCAAGAGTAAGAGATGTCGGGTACACGAAATAACGACCACCTTTAGTACTTATATGATACACAATCCAGCTTGGGAATACTTTTTTCAACCATGAACTGATAAATCGGCACATTTCCACGTAATATAGATAATACAAAACCCACCCAATGAAAAGCGAAAACAACGACCCGACCCGAAATTAAATTAAATTACCTTGACCAACTAGATACCTACCAGTCTACCTTCTCCGTATGTAGCCCGGTACTCCGTAGCACCTAAAAACTAACACAAACCCAGTACCACTCCCCATCCTATCAAATCCCAGTACCTAGAGGTCCAAGCCCCTACCAGATCCAACCTAACGGAGTTCATACATACGATCTTAGTTCCAGTTGCTATATCCCGCCCGCCCGGACCGCCCCACATCTAATTCCCTGAAACAAGAAACCGATCAATCATCGTCCTCCCCTTCTGCCCCCCCCCCGATCGGGATTTATTCTTCTCTTCGGTGTTTGCTGTGGAGATGGGACGATCGATCGGCGATGGAGACTGTTTCCTTTCCCACCTACGTAGGCAATCGAGCAAGTACCTATCTAGTTAGCGTTGGGTTCGTACAGGTACCTGGATTGGTTGGTTGAAGGTGTGCGGTTTGGGCCATGTGGCGACCTACTACCTAGGTAGTTCTTCGGTCCGATTGGTTGGGGGTGGGATATGATATGTCGTATTCACGTTATCCTAGATAGGTATGATTAATTACTCCGTGTGGGATTGGAGGTGTGGTGGCGGGCTGGGTATCGTTTATGAGAAGCGTGGATGGATGATTGGGATGGTAATGGTATTTAGGGGGGTGGCGGTGGCATACTAGTACTATGCAGTGATTCTGGATTTCTGGGATGTATATTTATTGGCTATATGAGGGATGATAAGGTATTGTGGTTGAGTTGTTGGTAGTATGTATCTTACTAGGTCTTGGGGGAGATGATTATCTAGGTTAGGGATAGATGTTGTGCTGATTGGGTAGATACCTAAGTATAGCCTAGTAGTAGTAGTAGTACTGCTTAATTGGGTAGTAGTATATTGCTCAGCCTAGTGCTGTGACTGTAGGTAGATAGGTACCCACTAGGTAGTTGGGACTGATGAGGGTGATAAGTGTCAGATAACTTATAAGACATGTCATTTCTCTAGTAGGTAGAAGTTAGGTGCCCGCCTATCCGTGGTGGTTTCCACATCAAGGAATCGTATAGATAGTACCTAGTGTGGTAGATAGTGGGTAGTGAGTGGGTTCAGTATGGAGTCTATTCCCAATGGAGATAATTTGTGCGAATGCTCAGGTGCGGATAGTATTATTATTGGTATGGTGGTAGTAGGTAGGTGGTATCAGGATATATATACGTCTGATATACATAGTAGTGCATCTATCAAAGGCTAAGCTTGACAAGTGGATTACCTAGCATGGCACTTTGAATACCCCTGGCTAATGGCTAGGTAGGTGCCTAAGGGGGAAGAAATTGGATTGGGCAGGACACGTGCTTGGTTGCTGGATTGGGTATGGAGGGGTCCGATGGAGTCTAGACTTTAATGGGATGTGGGGTTTGTTCGGGAGTTGGACGGATGGGTGGAATGCAGATAGGTGGATGGATGGGAGACAAGGGAGGAAAGGGGTTAGAGATGTCGTTGCTGCCTAAGGGGCTACTTGGTTCCTGTTGTCATGGTATGGTGGAGTTCTTAGTATGTCTGCTAAGTTACTAGGTTACTTACAGAAGATTGTTAACAAGTACGGAGCATAGAGGATCAGTGTAAAATTTGAACGAAATTAAATGAATATAGGTAGTATAAACTAAGTACAAACCAAAGGCATAACAGCAGGGTATAATCGTGAGTCATAAGGCATGGATCCGTTGGATCAAAAGACACTAGATGCATTGGTAGCGTTCTCGCTTGATGCATTAGGGGTGAGGTGGGCATGGTTGATGAACTTGAACCATCCTCCCATCGTCCGGTCATGATGCATGACCTCGCTCATGGACTCCTGTGTGAGTCCTCCCCTTGATGAGTGATGAGGGTCTGTGGTTGACTGGCAATGCCATACCAGTCCGTATTCCGTCCTCAGAGTCAACGGTGGAAACTCCAAGTTACCGAACCCACGCGGTAAACGGCCAGGTTCATGACAGACATTGTCTATGAGAACCACCCAAAGTATAATCCAGTCAATAATGTATTGACAGTGTAGTATCCGAACTCAGCCCTTGGAGTGATGTCTCAATCGATCAACTCCACCTCGGACTGTATCCCGCAGACTAAAGCCACCGAACAACCAGTCGTTCGAGTGACGACCGTAATGGTTGACAGTCCCGCTGTAGCGGCGGTAGTCATCGCCGCTTCTGCGGGCATATGCGGAGGAGGTTGAGCGCTTGTGGCTTGCGCTGTGGCTGTCGCCATCAGAGGAGACTCTGTGAGACATGGCGGTAGGGCTTGTTGAGCGATGATCAGAGTTGGAAGGAATGCTTCGAGGGATGTCGAAGGTGGGGACTGGAGAGGAGCAGTCTGAAGGAGTTGGAGAGTTGGAACGCGAGTGAAGAAAGTCTTTCACGCTGGAGAGACGGCTTGCTTTGCGGGGTTTTGTCTTTGAACCGTGGGTATTGGGAGAAGATGGAGTTGTGGTCGTGGATGAGGTGGAGGATGTGGTGGATTGAGAAAGGGCCCGTTTGAGGGTGTGTGGGTGGTAGTGGAAGGTTGGTTGGGTGGAAGTCTGGTTGTAGTTGTCCATGTCTGGTGAAGTGGTATACTGTGTAGAGAAGAGGAGTGGAATAAGACGAAATCACGAGGAGGAACCCAAGATCGACGGAGGAAACGAGGATATTTATGTACCACTTCCCCCCAGCTCAGCTCGTTCCGAGCACGTCTGGAAGCCGGCCCATGAGCCTATCAAAACTGCACTGGCCCTACCCGGGGCATGGGATCCCTGCCGGCCATGACCGAGTGGACGAATGAGAGGGTGCCAGCGTGAAGGGACTCCATCGATAGGGCTCTAGCGGCCCCTTCTTGAGTCACGGACCGGAGCTGAGTCGGTCAGGATCTTCGCCCGTCTCCACGCCTCTGCCCTATGGCTTCACGAGCCCACCAATCAGCCTGCCTGTCACCCGGGCTTGACCCATCAGGAGGCTCCATTTCACCGCTCCCGCCGGCTTCAACCACGGCTGCCTTGTCTGTCTTCGTTCGGGCGCGCGCATCCACGGCACAGCGAGGCACAGCCATGGTGTGTTGCTTGGTGATAGGTATGTGGAGGGAATGTCCTTATCACTACAGGTAACCAGTTAATCAGTGAGAGATCACATTCCAAGCATCTTCCAGAATTCTTCACCCAGGACGAGAACTGAGTGAGCATTCCGCCCCCACCTTGCAGATTGCCAAGTGCCAAACAGACTTAAACACAGAGAGATTACTGGCAGGATAGGAAATGATGCTCGAATCCGGTTTAGGGACGGGACATAGGGCTTACTGCTTAGTATTTGCTAGTGCTGAATCCACCCCGGTCGCTGGTTCAGGCGACAGTCAATTCTGGAGAGAACCGAACTCACAGACTGCTTTATTTAGAACGACAGGGAAGGTTTGCTATCTGAAACACGGCCCCGGTCGAGATTGTCAAAATGCCGCTCTCAACTGCGGGATTTATTAGATGCCTCGAAAAGTGTCCTGAGGGAATTAAGATGGGCGCTGCCTTGTCGAGATGAACCGCGAGGCCAGCGCGTCGACGGGAAACGTCTCAGGCGGACTTGCCCGTTGGGGGACTCGTGCCAGCGGCCCACTTGAGGCTCTTGCATCCACCCAATGACATCATGTCCTCGTTGCCAAGCGGTGGTCGGCACGCTGTTCCGACCGGGGGAGTGAGTATAGGGGAATTATGCTGCGACAAGTCCGGGTCATAAGACCGTCTTTTCATTATTTCTGTCTTGCATATAGACTACTGTTGATGCTAATAACGTCAAATCAGACCTGCAACCGCCATACAAAGATGCCGCCACATGCAAGATGTCCCGTCAACGCCTGAAAGCAACCCTCGCGATGCAATGAATACCAACCCAGAGAACAAGCTGTGCGGAGATAACCGGAGAAACAACACAGTCTAACTGATAGAATCCATAGACTATTCCTCTTCAAGTGGCCACAAACTCGCGCTCGGCCTTTTCCAAGCCCGAGGCTGCTCCGAATGGCATCGTCGGTGATATCGTTCAACTGACAGGTATCTAGTTCCGGTTTCGGAACCAGAAACCCTCCCTCTTCCAGGCATCGGCGCTGGGACCGGCGTAACAGGAGCTCCCTGCGGTATCCAGTATGAAACCAGCACGCTCTCCCCAGCAGTGGTCGTCGTAGGCAACACAAAGAGAGATCGCGCCTTATCCAACGGCGGACGGATCATTTTCCGAAGTGACCCCGTTCCCGACCCAGCACCCGGGCTCGCTACCCCAGGAGTGGTGGATTCCCATGGGGCAAACCATCGTCGATGGGGCCGTGCAGTGTTGGAACGAACGATGCCCGCAGAAGCGGCATCATCGTCAAGCAAATCCTCCGATCCCACTGGTGTCAAGAACTGTTGTTCGGGGATAACCAACGGCAGATTTCGTCGTTCACGCAGCTGCGTCCCAGGACCGCAGTATGGCCAAGAGTGGCGTCGTCGGTGGTGGACCAAGTGTGGCATATCAACAGACAATAGCTCTAACAGTGAGACAACCTTATCAGTAAGACCACCACGGATAAGACAGATTATAAAAGCGATGAATACCCACAAACCAACCAGCCAGGTAGGTAACGACCAAATACCCAGCTTAATACTGTAATTCAAACCCTCCTCGACAAGAAATCCCAAGGCTCACCAACAAGGCAAGCACTAATCATAGTACAGTAAAAGATAACACCTCTCAACAATCCCCTCGCACCGATAACAGTCCCATTTTAAGCCCCCAGCCTGTTGCATAGGTCATAAGGTCGGCACGTGCGAGCCTCGCACACGAGAACACTGGGGGAGAGATCACCCGGGCGATTCCAATCCGGGGCCCTGAAGAATAGGTAGATGATTCGAGCATCATCACTGGTCACCCGCTGCTGCGCCTTGAATTGAGTCACAGAGATGAATAGGCAATAGGCCAAATACGTGAGTAATAATACCAGGTACTAAGTGGCGAAGCCAGCAATAGAACTAGAACTAGAAATATGTCGCTTTGAAATCAAGTCCGAGAGCGCCTGCGCTTGTTGAAGAAAGAAAGCTATCTACCTACCTACCTGCTTGATGGCGGGTTGGTTATGCAACGCGGTCGGACCTGTTCGTGCGGATCCCCGGCATGATCGAGCGAGCGGGGTACAAAGTGACATGACATGACATGTCTGATGGTATTCTGCCCTCCGGCGGATGATGTGCAGGTCCTCTTTTCATCACAAGCTTGGGGATGCTGATGGGGAAGGAGTGCTTTTTTCATGCACAAGAGGCGATCAGTGCAGATATCATTTCATCATATCATTTGGAGGGAGATGTTGCATGTTGTGGTTGCATTGAAGTGGTTGATGAGGGGTTGTCATGTGATGCGGTGATGTTCGTTGCTTCATCCAACCTTCTTGGATAAGCTTCATACTGCAATCAATATCGGGCATCAGACAGAGATATACTTTATTTTCTCACAAATCTGAGGTCTGCTCGCTGCCGTTATGAATCTAGAGTCCGATATCTTTGTTTTACATGCATGGGTACTATCGATCTACATGCAATCATCTACACCTGAGACTCACAGAACGTAGTATTCCCGTCTACTATCCTCATTTATCTCCTATCAATAGTACTTTCCTTAAAACCTGCTTCTCTTATTACTCGAGTATCTACAAGACTGCAACACCGACCTAGGAACCATCGATGGCGATGATACTCAACAAATAGAGCGAAACGAGCTCATTATACTCGTCCACTTATGGAAATGGCCTAATACAGTCATAGATCTTTTCATTTTGACAGAGAATACGCATCTCCGTTCTAAATCGACCATTCCATGCTTCAACCGAGGCTCAGACGCCATAATATGGGCAATGTGTGCGCGAGGACATGGATGAAGAAGAAGGGAAAGGAGAGCCAAAGAAGAGAGAGGGGGGGGTTATACTCAAAGTACCCGACTTCTGCCTCAGGACTATCATCGCGCATAATACCGAATCAAGACTAGAGAGACTGGGTTGTACAGCCAGGTAGAGTTATTTCTTCCCATCATGTCAGAGACGGAGAATAGGGGCGTCTAAGTTTAGAAGACTGGATACCTAACAACATTCACAGCTCAGTGACAGGAAAGTATCGACCTACCTGCTTACCCCTCTTCAGTTACAATAGATGATAAACTACTCGAAGCAATGCCTCATCGACGAGAGATAATTTTAACGGACATATGTGGATTCAATAGTATTGAGTTTCCGGATGCTAGGTCTACATTCTTGTACACAACCACGTACATAAATGAACACGCTGAGATCAACAGGCGAACAGAAAATGATATTTGACGTGTGCTGCAGACATAGTGGTTTTAGGGCCGGATCAAGGCCACGGTCAGGGTCTATCATGGGGTTTATGGCCAGTCAGTATCGAAACCAGGTCCCCTGTGAAATAGAATCAGGGAAGGATTCAGATATGACTTGATCTTTTGCGAATTAAAGCAAGGCCGTCCGAGCCTCGTGAAAGCCCGCTGGGTATGTCACACATCCCCCCTGATTTACATGTCATGGGGATTGATTCTTTAGCCTCTAGATGAGGCAATGTCTTGCCAAATGTTCCAATTACTAGTCACGTGGTCTAATGGTTATGATTTCTCGTTCACATCGAATATCCTTCGAGGCGCCGAGAAGGTTCCCGGTTCGATCCCGGGCGTGACTACTCTTTTTATTCCATATTCTGAGGAAGTCATTTACTGTCTTTGTTCTTTTGTTGATACATCTCTTTCAGTTTCTGGTATAGATGTAGTGTCACTGTTTCATTGGACGGTCTGATGATATCTTCCAAGTGCAAGTGGGTATGATCCATGGTTTCATCAACTTCTTGTGGGGACAGGCCCGCACGGGGTATCTTTGGCGCTCTGATAGACTTATCTGATGACCTTCAAGTACTACTTCAGATGCGAGCCTGTAATCGCTGAGACAAAATCTTCCTGGTCTGACAGTGTCTATGTCAGTCTCAAATCATCACATAAGATTCATGTATAAACATACATTTCTGGTTGGGAAACATGATCGTGATCGGCCCAACTTTGTGCTCCTTGCTCGGGTTCTTGGCAGCCCCTGCTGCTATCTTGGACATATTGAGGATCATTCCCCGAGAATAGCTGCTCGGGGGGAAGCTAACAAGATTACCGACCCGCGATAGTTCAGACGACGGTATGGTCATCGTGAGCCACCGGTCCGTGACCTGGTCGCTCCAACGGGCAGCAAGACGAAGGGCTTCCGAATCTCGCCATAGTTGCACCTGTGAGTCGCCTTTGACAGACTTCCTGCGACCCAGTAGTAACTTTCCTTTCGTCATAAGGGAGGTAGTCCGTCTGGAGTATATTAGCTCGTGCGATGGTGCGAGTGAGGTCATGAAAGCCCGCAGAATGTGCTCCTCGTTGAACTCCACGACCATTTCTCTGAACTCCTTTTCGCAGTGAGAGAAGAACACTCGCTGGTCCGCGCGATATAACTGGTCAACGTGTGATGAGATATAATTTGCATAAAGTGAATGAGGGAATTTGACCCGGAGAGTGGAATTATCATAAACGTAGTCCATGTCCCGGACAAGGTAGTGTAGACTGCTTTGCTTCCACTCCCCGCGAGTTCGACATAGCATCACTGCCTTGTAACGTTTCCCTTCCAGTGCGGAATCGACAACGTCGTAGACTTGGCCCGAGCTTTTGATCTGAGACCAGGCGAAGACGGGCTCTGTACTCCGGCCTAGAACGGCCTTCTCTAACCTATCTGCCTGCTCCGGGTAGCGAAATTGAATACCAATCCCTAAGTTAGGATTGCTGCCGTCGTAGACGTAGGAGTAAAGGGGGTGGTAGTTCCCGTCTGTCTTGCTTGACCTCTCCTGACCGGTGTCTGACCATTTCAGCAGCATAAAGCCCGAAGCCTGGGTGCGACTGACCTGCACATGACTCAGTGGCATGAAAAATTCCAGAATTTGCCCGCTATTCTCGGGTGTTGAAGAGCAGATAACTATGCGCCGAACAGAGCACCATGCCTCCTTGAAGGACCTTTCTAGGATGCGCACCTCGCAAGACCTATGTACCGTAGGAGGACGAGTGGAAGTCATATTGGGCACCCTTAACAGCTCGAGCGACTCGGCAGAGCTTTTGAACACAACAGTCTCAGTGAATTGGTCTGACTCCAATGGTTCTCGTAACTGGACCGCGTCAAAATACGCCTTGGGCATATTGATGACTTGCATCATATCTGACAGGTATTGGAACGAGATTGACACACTCGTGGTGTCAAACCTCAGTGTCACAGGTTCTGCTATCCTTGTAGGGAGGCGGTCAAGAGTCAAACCTGAGACCTGAGTCAACTGATCCAGATCTCTCGGTGTTACTAGATAATGAGCCCTATTAGTCGATACTTAGTAAAGTCATTTGGAAGACCTACAGTCCCTCTGAAGACAAAAAGTGCCGTACTGGTTGCAGATCGTAATTTTGGGCTCACTTTCCCCATACCTGGTGGACAACAGGAGCATATATGGAGCCCCTCTGGTTCGCATACGGAGCTTCTTGCTCCCGATACCTGCATTCACAAAAGTCCGAAAAAGCACTTGTTCATCTTCATTGCCGGCGTCCTCCATCTCCACTGTTATATAACAGATATTTCCCGGGCTAGAAGGTTGACCTTCACTGCCTGTTATCTCTTCAGGTTGTACGGGCTCCCAAATGTCGAGGCTTTGTGAGTGAGTGGTAGCGTAGTCAGGAATATCAACAGTACTAAATTGAGCAAAGTCTGCTTTAATGCCCTTTAAAGCATTAGCCCGAGTTGAGCAGAAGACGTTTGGTTTCGCTTACTTCTGACAAATCTGAAATTAACTTCTTGTTCTCGTCTTCCGACAGCGTCTGTGGGCTTTCCATCCGCAAGACAATGTCATATAAGATGTAGGAAGCCTTCAGGAGGTCCACATACGCCTGATGACTTGCGGTACATGACAGTGTAGACGGGCTCGCGCTGCCTCTGTGACTTGCAAGGCTTGGCATTTCGCTATTGGCAAGGGATGTCCTTGCCTTTGGGAAGGTCAGCAATGGCGGTGACTAAAAGAGTGGGAATGTATACCTTTAGAAGCCACCATATTGCAACTAACAGCCAACCTTTCGTCGTAAGATGTTGGGGGCGCTCTTGTTTATGGGCCAGATTACCAAATTTAACGAGGAGCTCAGCATCAGGCTGGTGAAATCTATCCCGTGGTTCAAATCGCAGCGATTTGAGGAGCTGCTCCCGCAATTGACGTTGATGGAGGTCTTGAATGGCATCAGCCCCTGGATGACCCGTGCTACCCCACAGAGTTGACTCGCCTGGTTTGATTGAGTTGGACCGCTGAATCTGTCGCTGATGTTGTGCACTCGAAATTCCAGACCCGGGGCCCCGAGACCAAACCACTTCTTTTTCGATTGAATATGCATCCGAAGCTATCATGTGTAGGGGGCCAAAGCTTGCCGTAGCTGGGGTACTAGGTGAGGTGCGTGTGGCAGCTGTGAAAATAGACCCATCGGAGTGCCCGGATACAAAAGATTCGGAAGACGCGGAAACCCGAGTGTGATCTCCTGGTATGTGTTGTGCATTGGTGCGGGCAGTATTTGAACTGGCGAGTTCCGTTCCATCCAACTCTGGCATAATATGTGCATTGTGGGGGCGAAGTACGGGTATTGAAAATGAGATAGGCGAGACTTCATCTTGCATCTGCAAAGACGACGGAGTCGGGGGAGGTATGTCTTTCCCTGAAGCTTTCGTCGCGGAGCTTTCAGTCCTTTCTAGGGATGAGCTAAATAATGAGACTGGGTCATTCTAATAAGCGTCTTGAGTACTCACTGGCTAATCGAACCCCCACACAAGCCCAGATGGCATGTATGGGCCACTATTTTGGAATTCAGTTCGTCAATGAATCCTTGCTGTGTCATCCAGTCTAATGTCTGCCATAACTGCTTCCCGGTTCCGGCATTCAAAGACCGATACAGTTCGACTACCTCCCTAAGTTGCTGCAAGGTGACAGAGCACGATTTCAGGCATCGCTGCAGGATAAGTCTGCGCTCTTCATCTTCCCCGATCTCTGAGTTCTTCGAGGTAGCATCGTCTCCCAAATTCTGAAAAATGCCATTCAGGGATTCCAGACTAGCCACAAGCTGCCTGAAGCCGCCCGGGGCATCCCCAGAGATAGAATTGCAAGTGTAATATAGGTCCCATGCCATCTTTCTGAGCTCCGAAATATCCACATTGTCGAGATTAGAAGCCATGTTGACAGTTATCCAGTGCGTAACAGTTATCGGACATGAATGAGGTAGGTTTTGATGAACTTCGAAAAGAGGTGTAGGGAGCGAGTAAGCTTTCCCCGAGTGTCATATTCGAGCCAATGCCCGACGAGCAGTTGCCAAAGGCAAGATACCGGCGTCAAGAAAGCTGGAACACCCTCGAGAAGCTGGAAGGTGTAATATGTAGCCGAGCCTGTGTATATTTAGGACTCCGTACCTTGTGAACAAGGAAGCCAAGTAGAACTAGGCGATGAAAGGCAAGGAAAAGAGGAGATAATGGAGATCCATGTGAGCCTCTTCGATATTTGACTTTAGCGAAAGCTCAATAGTATCAGCAAAGCCACAGCGCTGGTGTCGAGTACACCAACGGCCTTGCTCGCACAAGATCGGCAATGCAGTCAACACACGGAAACCCACGAGGCGTAGCACGACATGGCGCGCCACGAATGGTCAATGCCACGCCTGCTCGCTAAACAGAGTTTTGACCGACTACAAATCACAGCCTTAGGAAGAGGTGGTGTGTCTGAAAAAGGCTGGACTTCGTGATCATTCAAGGATTCGACTCAAGACAAAGCTCTAGATTGTGGCCAGTGACCGATGGTTGGCTGACGAAGGAGGCCGTTTTCTTTCAGATCGCGCCATGAGAGACAAAGAGGCGAGTGTCACTATACCCCGGCCATTGCATTGCGTTCATTCTGTTGAACTCGCGCCTGTTACACGCGGTGATACATGAAGACCTACAAGTCTATAGCAATCAGCATGATTGTGTCTCATCAATATCCCCACCCACATGGTTCTTGATGCACCGTCGTCGGATCCGAGGCCGGCTCCGTGCTCGAGATTGCACTTGGCACTAGCATCCGTGGGCAGATCCCACCCGCCGGTGCGGGGATTTAGTGCATCGTTCTTTTTTTCATTCTCCGGGTCGAGTCCGGAAGGCACTCGTCGCCTGTGCGATTCCGGCATAGGACTTCCATCTCTTCATGAAAGAACAGGTCCAACTGATGCCCCCCATGAAGATGAGGATGGCTCTTCATGAATGAAAGAGGATGATAAAGAGGCGGCGACTGTCAGTTGTCAGTTGTCAGTTGTCCGCCGAAGAGAAACCGCGACAAAGAAACAGTGGGGCCTGCCAACCCAAACAGGCAAAGCGATGGCATGCCTCAGGCCGGGAAGCGACCCACGCGTTTCAGGGGCTCAAAATAGCCAGCATCAATGATAAATGAAAAATAAGAATAGTATCTCGAACAACCGTTCATTGTTGTTGAAGCGGTGCCCACGACGCCAGCAATTGTCCTTCATTGTCAATCAACGCTTTCACCCCCATCATGGCATTTAAAGACTCGTTCGAGTCCCTATGGGCGGCCTCGAGCGTCCATTACGACAACGCGCTCCAATTCCTCAAAACTCTCGCCGACCAAAATAGTACCGCAGTCACCACGGAAAACACCACGCTAGTCGAGAGCCAGATTGGCCGGTCCAATCTCCCCGAATTGTCTACCATGCCATTCTCGATCGACCTCCAAACGGTCTTTTCCTTTCTCTTTGTGGCGGTTCTCCTCGTGGCCGCATATGCCTTCACCAACCGCTGCCTCCCTGCCCGCGATCATGAGAGACGCTTTCGCCTCCTGTTCTTCTGGCACTTGATTGATGCACTCGTTCATTTCACTATGGAGGGAACCTTCCTCTTCCACTGCTTTTTCAGCTACGCCGCCATCTCCCCCAGCCAGAACCGCGAGCCCGTCTTCCTAGGCGACAAGGACCACGTCTACGGCGCCACATACTCCACCTGGCCGTCTGCCCAGTTATGGCAAGAATACGCCAAGGCAGATAGCCGCTGGGGCGGCGCCGATGCAAACATCATTTCCCTTGAATTAATCACCGTCCTGTTTGGCGGCACCGCTGCGGCGATCATCTGCACCTGGATCTACCAGGTCTCCACCGGACGCTCGAGCAAGGGCAGTGTGGGCGAGAAGAGGGGAAAGATGTGGTTTACTATGATTGCGTTGGCGACGGCCGAGCTGTACGGCGGTATCATGACGTTTATGCCGGAGTGGTTGACTGGCAGTCAGTCGTTGTCGGGAAATTGGTTTCATGTTGTGGTTTATCTGGCCTTCTTCAATCTGGTTTGGGTGTTCATCCCTGCGTGGGTGTTGTATGAGGCATGGAAAGAGTGCACGACTGTCTTTTACAGACATGGGAAAGACTCCAGCTCAAGGAAGATGACTGGTAAATGACTAGATGAACAGAATGTTCGTACTGATGATATGGCGACGCGGAGAGCTCCAGGATTCTTTGTATAAGACATGTCCGGTTGGGAGGTGCAGGCGGTAATAGCTGGGATCGGATGGATGACTAGAAAATTTCTTTTCATTTTTGTATTGATATGATTTGGTTAGCGAAGCCATTTGTTCTAATATAGCCTGTTCATATCGAATTATCCCATATCTAATATCATCTTCAATCACCCAACTTATGATAGAATTCCCCAACTAGACCAAACGAGATACTTCTCAGGTTAGTGGAACAATCCCAAGGTGAATAGGTTCCAACAAGTTATATGTGCCACAAGTATCCTTCCCCACCAAGACCCCAGATGATAACAGTAGTGAATCCGCATGAAACTCCAAACTAGTACCTTGGTAGCAGCCATTCAACCAATGACCCCCCACCGCGTAGAAAGATATCAAGCAATCGCGAGAATCCACTTCTGAGAACCAACCAATGATCGAGGCGCTTAGAGACGCGTCGACGTGGCTTGCAGGTTTATTTAATCAAGGTCCCACACTAGATAGATAACAAAGTGAATGGTGACACCTCTTATCTATCTGCTAGACTAGAACTAAATCCTGTGTTACATGCATATGCATATGTACATGACACCACAAGTGGTAGGTAACTTGGTACAAAAAACAACCCCTCTATCTATCAACAAATAAATCAAACCAAAAGCGAAATACAAAAAAAAAGACATCTACAAACTAAACAAATTCCAAATCGGTCCCATAGCAAGTAGATCCTCCATACTCACATCAGGAATCCCATCCGCTGCTGCAGCGGGGGCTGCAGCCCCCGGCTCCGACAATTGAGAATGCTCCTGACGCCATCTATCCATTGCCGCGCAGCGCATCTGATGAGCCTCTTTCCACAAGACACCCCGCTTTTTGATATGAGTGAAGATGGGCGGGATGCTGATGTTTTCGGCACGGGCGTATGAAACGGCTTCTTCGACTTTCAGGGTGAAGGTGGTGACGATGTCGTCGAAGTTGATGGTTTGTTGGGCCCATTCGCGGTCCCAGTAGCCGCTGGGGTCGTGGTGGACGAGGAGACGAGAGAGGATGGCGAGGGCGTGGCCGACTTGGGTCCAGCAGGTGTAGGGGAGTTGGAAGTAGAGGTTTGTGGGGAGGTAGAAGAGGGTGTCGAAGAAGGATCGGGTGGAGTTGAGACAGGAGCAGAGGACGTCGATTTGCGTGAGGGGGTAGTTGCTTAGGGTGGTGTTGGAGAAGTCTCGCTCGAGGGCGACGCGGTAGGTTAGGAGTTCGAGGGTGTGGTAGTGCAGGTGGAGGATTACTGTAGTGGGGAAGGGTTTAGTGGGGTGTTGGGGATGGGGGTTAGGAGTTGGGGGTTAGGAGTTGGGGGGGACATACTGGACTGTGGGGCGTCGCATATGAATGAGTCTTTGAGTCGTTGTAGTTCTCGCTGAAGCCAGCGGATGCCCATTGCAGTGGGTGCGAGGCCGACAGGAGTGTCTACCTCTTGGTATTGGACTGCGCGGTAGATTTTCTCTGCCATGTGGGCAATGCGGACAAGTTGGACTAGGTATTGGTCGCTTTCGCACTGGGCTGCTTCTTTGACGGTACGACAGCATTCGTCCGTGTAGGATGTGTATTGCATAGGCTCCCTTTCGCCGAGGCATAGTGATACGCTGTAGCGGTTAGCGTTGACAGAATGATTTCGATAGCCAAGCATACACAGTGACCAAGTAGTAGCATCCAAGGTAAGCTCTCAGTTCTTCCAATGTGCGAGAATTGCGCCCATTCCCGTCCAACCCAAAGACCTTGAGATAGGAGAACACTGTTCCAGGGATGACAGATCGGTTATCTCCGTAAAAATCAAGGTTGATAACCTGCGCTTCTAGAAGATGGAGGTAGTTGTTGATCTGCGCCGCACGCGGTGGTGGCGGTAAAATCTGGGTCCTGTCGAGGAATCAGCGCATTCTTGGACAAAAGAAACAAAAGCAAGCCACTCTTACCAGCCAACATATGCGAGAAATCCCTGGAGGAGGTCTAAGCTATGCTCCCCGTTTGCTATCATATGCTCCATCCAATAGTCCCTGGCTTTCAAAGCCTGGCCCACTTGTGCTGTGGCATCTTCACAGACAACTGCTGGAATGACCAGGTTCAGAAATGGCTTCTTATTATGCAGGTCACTGGCTCTTAGAGGAGGCGAGCGCACGATGAACGGGAAAAAGCGTGTGATTCGTTGATTGAAACTTGCGAGGATCTTCTCCACCAATTCATCTTGTGGAGAATCACCCTGGGTGATTTTGCTGGCAGGTAATGGACTATAACTGCCACCATTGAATTCCATGTACCTCTGTGAGGCTGTGAGTAGCGAGGTCACATTGTCGAGTTTTCTTTCCAATCGTCCGACATCACTGCTGCAGGGACTAGTCAGCACCCATAATGACAGTATGTACCAAAGCATAGACGTACGAAACTGTATTCTTCCTAACAGTGTGAGTTTTCGGGGCCTGCCGGATGCATTCCTTTCGCAGACGATGACATCTATTCTTGGTGTCAGTGCTTGGCATCGTGTTCGGGTGGCCGTAGGTGGCCTTATCCATGACTACCTGTGGCAAGCATCGGTCGGACCGGGATCGCAGCGGACCTTTGCCTTGGAGCACGGCCTGCAGGCTTTAAGATGTCGGGTCTCCAGAGTGGACATGTCGGACGGACCGGGACGGCGTGGAGGGGCGATGGGTGAGGTTGGGGAATTAGTAGTGGGAATGCAAGGGTGGACAGCCTGGATGACGCCGGTCGGCTTTCTCGGGATTCCGCGTCCGTGTCGGCATCATAAGCACCGATTGTATAGATGCAAGGCAACGATGCTGTTTCCCAGACATGGTACCTATAAATTTAGGTACCAGTCCTTCGATATTTCTCATGAACAAACAACAAGTTCCTCATCTGTTTTGTCAACTATAGTAGATTCAATTTGTGATTCTCATCCATCTTCACAATGACCGTGACCACCGACTGCCCCAAGCGATACCCGGCAACCGACATCTCCGTCCTGATAGTCGGGGCTGGAGTTGCAGGGCTCATGGCTGCTCTTGAGTGCTGGCGGAATGGACACAACATTAGAATCATTGAGAGATCCCCCGAGCAAGTCACTACAGGCGAGTTCCTATCCCATCGGATTCTACCTCTAAAGCAGATCACATCTAACCAAGCCACCAGGTGACTCCTTCACCATCGGTCCCAGTGCAATTCGCACACTGAACCATTGGCCCAAGATGGTCGAAGAGAATGAGAAGGTCGCACACAATCCAACTATCTCATTCCATTCCTTAGACGGAACTCGTGTCACAGCCCCGAAGCACCTCGATTACAAACAAGGTCAGGATTCGAAGAATGTGCCAGGACAGGTCCATCGCCACTGGAGACCCCAATTCCACGCTATGCTTCTGAAACAACTCTCTGCCATCGGTGTCGATGTCGAGTATGGCCACCGGGCAGTGAAATACTTCGAAGACGGCCCTACAGGGCGCGGGGGTATAGTTCTCGAGAATGGCGATCGAATGGACGCAGACATTGTTATTGCAGCTGATGGTGTCGGAAGCCGTTCGACCAGAGTGACAATGGGACGGGAGATCAAGGCACGGCCTTCCGGGGAAGCTATGTATCGGACTGCTTTCCCGGTCGAGATAGCCATGGCTGATCCGGTGGTTCGAGAGCGGTTCCCGATGGTTGAAGGCGACGAAGGGTCGATTGAGCTTTGGGTTGGGTAAGTCCTCAACCTGTCTATCAACATACTTTCATTCGCTTATTGACAGCAACAAAGTGAGCAAGTTCGCTTCTTCATCGGCAGAACCGCAGACACCATATCTTGGATCCTCTCTCACAAGGCATGTATTGTTCATCAACCATGACTCTGGATACATACGCAGGTCTAACAAATAATTCCCATAGGACTACGCAAACGCCACCGAATCATGGTCCCACAACTCCAACCCGGAAGACGTGCTCAAAATAACCGCAACCATCCCGGACTGGCCGGAGGCAGCAGACCGATTAATCCAACTCACCCCCAAGAACCGCCTCCTGCATTTCCGCGTGATGTGGCGCGACCCCCAACCATCGTGGGTTTCACCTGCAGGACGTATCGTGCAGATCGGCGATGCCGCACACACATACGTTCCTGCATCTGGCAACGGTGCTACGCAGGGGATCGAAGATGCCGTATCGCTAGCTACCTGTTTGCGGATGGCAGGGAAGACGGACGAGATTCCTTGGGCATTGAGGATTCATAATAGACTACGGTATATCTCTTCCCCCAACCTCCCGTGGCTGATAACTGATGATGACGTTAGCTTTGTGCGAGTATCCTGTCTCCAGAAGCTAGGACTCATCAACCAGAAGGGTTACTCTCAGGCTCTTTCTAAGGGTGACCATACACCCAAGGGGATTCAGTATCTGACGGCAGAGTGGATCTGGGGACACAATCCAGAGACATATGCCGAGGAACATTATAACAAGGTGCTGGATCATCTACAGCAGGGAACCCGGTTCCAGGATACGAATATCCCTCCCGGGCACGTCTATCGGGATTGGACTATTGATGAGATATTGAGTCAACTGGAAAGGGGGGAGGAAATTGAATTGAATGGAGACTGGGAGTAGGTCGATACATATTATGGGTGGAATTTGTATACCAGAGGCATATTTGTTTATATGGATGGTATTGGCTTGTTTTGATTGATATAAACATGCTAACAATGTAATGAAATTGGGAATCATGTACAAGAAACCTCAAATAGTTGGTATATAAAGCAAATCACTTCCAAAATGTCGAAATTCGTTGTTTACCACCGGCGGTACTGTTCAATCGTCAGTAAGAATAGAATAATGACAATGGGTCTAACATACCTCAGGGGGTCCATGGGGTCCAGGGGGTCCAGGGGGTGGAGGACCGGGAGGACCAGGGCGGTCCCAGGGCTCCCTAGGAGGTGGAGGGCCAGGAGGGCCTCCCGGACGATCCCAGGGGTCTCTAGGAGGTCCAGGAGGAGGGCCTGGAGGACCACCAGGACGGTCCCAGGGATCCCTGGGGCCAGGCGGGGGAGGACCATGAGGACCAGGGCGATCCCAAGGGTCTCTTGGTCCCGGAGGAGGAGGGCCTGGAGGACCACCGGGGCGATCCCATGGATCTCTAGGAGGTCCAGGAGGAGGGGGCCCAGGGGGACCGGGGCGGTCCCAGGGATCTCTAGGCCCGGGAGGAGGACCCGGAGGGTGATGAGGGCCAGGTGGCGGAGGACCAGGAGGACCAGGAGGGTGATTCCAAGGCTCACCGGGGCGTGGAGGAGGGGGTCCTTGAGGACCGGAAGGAGGGGGAGGGTTATGGTGGTGGTGGTGTGAGAAGAGACCCATTGTGAATCGGTATGAGGATAGATGTCTGGGATAACGAATATCCAGGGGGGAGGTGAATTAGAGGTCTTAAATAACCATGTTGCTGGACGGCGGAGTGGAGCCAGCCAAAGTGCCACAGTAGGCAGCGCCTTTCCTCAAGCATCAGTGGGACAAACTTAGGCACAAATGACATCGTGGTTGACGGGGCTTTTGTGGCTTGGAGGCGCCTCCATATTCAACCCCCCGCTGGACCGCTATATTCGGCCCCATTATTCGGGGGACAGAACAATGTTGCCTATCAGGGGCTTCGGTTGAACAGGTTGCAAGTTAAATCCGAGGTCAGACTTGGATGGTCCGTCTAGTCCCATCTTTAGAGTTCGTGTTGTCCATATTTTGGTACGCGGTTCCTGACAATCCTGGCATGATGTGCTTGTAAGGAATGAAATGTGTTTGTGGTCTGCGCATTTCGTCAATAATGGCGAAAGGGTCGCAGGTTCTTTCACTGTCAGACAGTCTTTATCAAGGACGACATCTGATATTATTCCAAGGCAACAAGTGGCCGCATGTCGGCCGGCATGTCCACGAGAGTGTTTAGGGCACGGCTAGCGCCTCCAAGTGGAGCGAAGCATACGTATTGCCCCCCCACAATCGACTCAGCCTTGGCCTTTGGGGAGCTGAATCATGATCGTCGCATTCCATGTTGTTCGAGAAGACGCAAAGTCTTAAGCCACATCATCGCTATCTAGGTAGTACGCTGGCACATCACTGATCTTGATGCCGGTTGATGCAGATAATCCGCAGACAGCCACATCCTTGTGGTTCGAACAGGATGATCAATCTCCGGGTATGAATTTATCCCGCTTCCTCAGCCTTTTCTTCAGAGTCCACTAAACTCAAGACCTGTCTACATAACCCGTGTTTTATCGAAGCTTGTGATTGTTTCAGGAAGGGCGGAGCTATCTCCTTCACAACCATGAATGATCCGCCCGAAGTGGCAAGTGTACAGTGTCATGAGTTTTAAGCACATGAAAGCAGTTTTACGAAGATACAGAGTATATGCATGATAGTGGCAGTTTGCATGACCAGGCGCTACCATATCCTAAATACTGCTGACGTATATACTATACATACACCCTATTCTTCGTCTTCATCTTCTTCGTCGCTCACTTCCTCACCAGCTTCAATAGCTTCTTGTCTTCTCTTAGCCGCTAGCTCCCTCTTTCTGTCCAGAAGCTTTTTCAGCCTCTTGGCTGTACTGAACAAGCCATTCGTCGCCGATCCACAAGCCGCACAGCTGGGATCCTTTCGGTATCGTTGCAGCGCACATTGCTCACAGAAATAGTGGCCGCATTTTGTAACGATAGGTTCTCTGTATGGTCCTTTGCAGATGAAACAGGCAAACGGTATATCTTCCAGCATAGACTCCTCGTCATCGTCCTTATTCTCCACCCTAGTACGGTCGGCACTCGCCACCACCGTTCCCTTCAATTGTTTGCCTTTGGTAACGTTCTCCCATTCTCGGTCGAGTTCCCAACCCTGTTTGTAGTCGCTTCTGTCGTGGAGGAATTTACTATACACAGTAATGTTAGCATGGTTCAAGTGGCAAATTTTCCTGCCACGAGGAGCAGACACTTACCAATTATCACCAAAACCACAAAACCCAGTCTGCTTGTAATCCTTGCAAACATCTGGCGAGTAATCCGTCACCGTGATGGTGCGAATATTTGTCGCCGCCTTGATCGGCCCGAATGACCTGTTTGGCGCATTCGGATTCTTCTTGATAAAAGAAGTCTGATTGGCAAGCCCCTTGTAAGTGCCATCAGGCATTTGCAGATCATTCGAGGCATCTTGAGGTTTCGATGATCGCCCGTTCTTCGCATCCTCGTCGAACCAGTCGACATGTTTTGTGGCGTCGTTCGTATCCGCAATCTGGACCTTGCGGTCACCCGTGGCGGTGGCGGCAGGTTCCCGAACGACAGGCTTGGTATTCGCAGATGAGGCGGAAACTATCCCAGCGCCCTTGTTCTTCCTGCGCTTTATTCTGTGGCCCGACTCATCTTCCGAGGAGGAGAAGTCGGAAGAATCGTCGTCTTGCGATGTGGCGGGTGCCGCGGGCCGTTTGCGGATGTTCTGACTCGCTTTCGCGCCGCGCTTTTTAAATGTGATCACCGGAGGTTGGGGGTCTGCAGCTGCAGCTGTATCGTTCGTTGTCTCTGTCATTGTGAAGTGTGCGACGGGGTATCTTGGGATGTGGTTGTCAGTTGAGAAATGACCGAAGACACGCGATAAACGTGCTGCTAGCCAGTCATGTGATGATAAGGCATTGATCGGTTCCACGTGATGGGTGTACTGTGTAACGTAAACCACAAGCGAGCCGCGAATCTGAGCGAGCCGCGGATTTGTATTCCCATACAAATCTGCACTTTTTAACTTGGAGTATCTCAGCCATTTCTATATCACAGAGAATATTATTAAAAACTAGGATTATATGAAACTGTTTAATGATAATATACTGAATTATAATCTATTCTTTGGATTAATTATCCAGGTATTATAAATTACACTGTATCATAAAGCTGCTCATGTATTTGAGACTCCCATAGGTTTCTTTGCCATATAAAAAAGAATAGTATACTACTTATCTATATAATACTTTAGGTCTTTAATATATTTTCTTATAATAGAGGTATGGCTGAGATACTCCAAGTTAAAAAGTGCGGATTTGTATGGGAATACAAATCCGCGGCTCGCTCAGATTCGCGGCTCGCTTGTGGTTTACGTTAACGTAATCCACAAGCGAGTGGGCCGGCGCGCGCGTTATTCTCGCGTTCTTCAACTTGAAGCTATTCAACCACCAACAACTCCACCAGACATGCCTCAATCATCAAAATCTTTGGTGGAACAAGAAGGCCATATCTGCCTAGCTGTTGAGACTATTCAAAGTGACAGAATTTCACATATAAACAAAGCTGCAAGCGCTTACAATATTCCGCGTTCAACTCTGCAACAACATATTAAAGAAGTCAAATCACGTTCAGATATACGTGTCAAGTCTATGAAACTGACTCTTCTTGAAAAAGAGGCTTTAAAGGACTGGATACTCTCACTTGTTAAGCGTGGACTTCATCCTCAGCCATCATATATTCAGAATATGGCATCTATTCTTTTTCAAAAACGTGCCTCGAATTCCGCAGTCTCTGTCAGCGAAAACTGGGTATACAACTTTATTAAGCGTATACCGGCTTTAAAGAGTCAATTCTCTCGAAGATATCATATCCAACGTGCGAAATATGAAGATTCCAAGCTCTTGGATGAGTGGTTCAATCAGGTTAAAGCCATAAGAAAGGAATACAGTATTCTCAATGAAGACATCTGGAACTTTGATAGAACAAGCTTCACCATAAATATAGTGACTACAGCGCGTGTAATCACAAGATCTGACTGTATAAACAAGCCATTTCTTATACAGCCTGGCAACCGCGAATGGGTGACCTCAATTAAGTATATCAACACCACCGGTGTGGTGTTGGCGCCGTACTTAATTATTAAAAAAAAGGTTCATATAAAAGCATGGTATCAAGGCCTTATTCCATCTAATTAGCATATCAATCTATCGCCAAATGGTTGGACTTCCAATAAGATTGGTTTACATTGGCTTCGTGAACACTTTATTCCTTCTACTAAGGACCGGCGGATTGGGCGATATAGCCTTCTAATTCTTGACGCACACAACTCCCATTTAACTCCGGAATTCGATAATATATATAACCAAAACAGCATTATTCCTATCTGCATGCCTCCGCATTCTTCGCATCTTTATCAACCGCTTGACATTGCTTGCTTTACACCATTAAAACAAGCATACAAAAGCTTAATAGAACGGCTGATTCGCCAGGGCACCCACCATATTAATAAGATTAATTTCTTAAATATATATCCAGATGCACGTTCTCTTGCCTTTAAAGAATCAACTATACGCAACACTTTTAAGACTTCAGGATTGGTTCCATTCCAGCCAGACGAGGTTCTTGGTAGGCTGGTTATACAGCTCCGTGAGCCTACTCCAACCGGCAGCATTTCTACTACATCAACAGTGCCAAAAACACCCAAGAATACAAGACAGTTGCGAAGACTTAAAACTACTATTAAAAGGCTTCTTCGTGAACATATAATTAGCCCATCTTCGCAGATAAAAGCAGCATTATCCTATGTTATAAAAGAATGCGAAATCGCCTTCAACCGGGCTGCTTTGCTTGAGCAGGAAGTCGACAAATTACAGGCTGGGTTAGAGAGGCAAAACACTAAGAAGAAGAGGTCTTATTGCCAAATGGCCAGCCTTAACAGTCTCACTGTTAAAGAGACTAAAATCGCGTTCAAACAGACTTGCGAGGCTGATCAAGTTAATGAAAGTCAACTTGTAGAATCAGCTACAGGCAAGGAACAGCCTCACCACCGGGCACCATCTCGCTGCAGCAAGTGTGGAACAATTGGGCATATAAGAACAAGATGTCCAACACGTCAAAACACCAGTTAAACACGTTATTTTGTTGATATAGTGGACTATATAAGCTTCATCTTTTCATGGAGGCATGTTTGGCCGGGCGCGCCGGCTCACTCGCTTGTGGATTACGTTAACGTATCCGGTAAGCGAGCGCCGCACGTAAGCGAGCGCCGCACCTCTACCCGATTTTTATATATAGGTGAAATTCTAGGGCCATTATCAACAAAATAATTGCATTTCTATCTAAAAATTAATTAGGAACTCGATTAGGACATTGTAATCGCCTATTTCCTAGAATATGACAATCGCTGCAGCGCGGGGGCGCTCGTACGCGTGGCCTATCTGCAGGAAGTGCAGGATCTAGGGGAAGCGTATTTTGAGCTTCATTAACCTCGTTCTCACGCTGGAACTGCTCTAGGCCTTCCTGAATAGCTGGTCCCTCTGTAAGAGCTAGCTGCTTAGTAGAGCGTTTCCTTTTTCGAAGCTTCTTTGCATTAGAAGCGCGTAATTCGTGGATTTCTTCGCGTGCAAGAATAAGCTCATTAAGATGTAATTCATGACCTTTAATAAGCTTATCAAACCGCGCCTCTAGCGAAGATGAAGGACTCTGCGTACGCGCTCTAAGTAGCTGCTTCACAGTAGATGCCTGCTTTTCAAGCTGCCTAGTTGTATAAGGCGTTTTTGGAGCTGTATTAGTTGATCGACTGCCTGGTGGCGTAGGGGTCTTTAGCTGAATATTCAGCTGACTGAGTACCCTGTCTGGATTGAATGGAACTAGGCCAGCACCTGCGAAGCTATTCTGAATAGTATCTGTTTGAAAAGCGCGTTTGCGAGCTTGTGGAAAGGCCTCTAGGAAATCAAGCTTGTCGATATGGTTGATTCCTAAGCGTGCCTGCTTCTCTACTAAGCTGCCGTACGCCCGCTTTAAAGGCGAGAAGCAGCCAACATCTAGAGGCTGTAGTAGATGTGACAAATGTGCAGGCATGCAGATAGAAATAATATTATTCTCACTGTATATCTGGTCAAATTAAGGTGTAAGATGGCTGCTATGGCCGTCGAGAATTAGAAGACGATATCCCCCAGTTGTACAACTAGTAGTAGCAGGAATAAAGAGGTTTTGAAGCCAGCGAAGGCCTATCTCGTCCGTAGTCCATCCATTAGGACGAACCTCAATCCTGCTATCGCGTGGGAGTTTGATATCTTGATACCAACCCTCTATATGGACCTTTCCTTTAAAGATCACACATGGAGGAAGCGCCCAACCGGTAGAATTAATACACTCGATTGAAGTAACCCATTCTCGATTGCCTGGTTGTACAAGAGAGGCCTTTCCGTAGTAATCAGCTCTAGTAACTACTTGAGCAGTAGCTACTAGGCCCATAGCGAAGCCAGTTTCGTCAAAATTATAGATATCTTCTTGTGCGATCCCGTGTTGCATTATAGTGATTTATACGCGATCAAACCACTCCCTAATAACTTTAGGGTCTTCGCATTTAGCGCGCCGATAATCGTAACGTCGAGTATAGCGAGTTTTCAAGCGATCTTGTCGTTTAATAAAGTTGTATACCCATTTCTCCCCGACTGATTGGATTGGTGTAGTACCACGCTGAGCGAGTAGAATATTGGCCATTTCTCGTATATGAGAGGGTCGGGGAGGCGCTCCACGTCGATCTAGCGATAGAATCCATTGTACGAGCGATTCCTCTTCATTTTGAGTCATTTTATGATTATTGGCGCGTATTTCTGCACGTGTAGTAATACCATGAAGTCGCCTGCGGATAGTTCTCTCAGCAACATTATAAACACGAGCTGCTTCACGAATACTGCAAATTTCTGAATTTTTTACAGCAGAGACTGCTAGTAGGACTCTTCCTTCCTTTTCGATTAAATCTCTTGGATTTTGACGCGCTTTTGGAGGCATGGTTAGTGGTTGAAATGAGCGAGGTGTTTGACCGCGATCAAAATTTAGGAGGTGCGGCGCTCGCTTACCGGATACGTTATTTGCTGTATTCGCTGATGTCATCACAGAAACTGCCCGAATCTTCTCCGAACGACTGCCTCGTTGATGTTCGATTTGCTCCTACGTCTGCACTCTTTCCTTGTCACGAGATACGTGTCGGTCGAAGGGTGAGAGATCATGCATCTATCCAACACTATGCATTCCAATTGCGAAGATGGGTTGACGTCAACTCAGATGGTACGAATTGTTGAATAACGGCGACCTGGGATACATCGCGGAAAACACAATTTGAAAAATATACATTGGTATGGAACGACACAGGAGATGCTCTCAGTCTTCTTTGTCTTCTTGCGTCTCGCCAATATTTCATTCTTTATCCAAGGTGTCCCGGCTGTCCCGAGTGCGATAACAACCTGGAGATCCCATTCGCAGCATAGCATTCGAAAGATTGAGGCAGGAAATCGGAAGCTCGGACTTCTCGATTCAACGCTCCTCTGACCTAAGTCCTATGGGAAAGGTGCTAGCAAGATTGTAGCACAAGCTGCCTGGCAGGTACCATACGCAGAGTTGCAACCGGCGATCGCAGGTGGTGCTGCAACTGCTGGCACCATTCCAAACACGAAGCCTGCTGCTGCATAACAAGACACAACAACTGACGAGCACCCAGCTTGGCAAACGCCATAGGCGGCTGGACCGCCAACCACAACGCTTCCTGCTATGAGGAGGTTGATCACAGCTCTCAGTAGATTCATTTCGATTGGTACTCGACAGGTGCTATAAGAATGATAACCTTGTGGAAGAAGCAGAGAGGATCTTTGTATGTGAAGATATATAGGTCGTGATAAGGCCAACAGTAGATTGGATGCAGACTGGTGTAGCTGTAAATGCAGGTAGTAGTGACAGAAAGGCAGGCTTGTCTTCAGGGGTTTTATATAGTTCGTTAAGGACACATTTAACAACAGTCCTGGGATGATTGAAGTATTCTGTTCACATGCTACAAGTCTAGGCTCTGGGAGATTCCATGATCAGTATACTCATCATCCTCCTTCTTTCACCTCCAGCCAATGGAGAAGTCACACATGGATTCCAACTACTATATAGTGTAGTATGGTATCATTAAGGCCGGGGTTTAAGGCCGTGATGATACGCATTGTCCAAGCCTAAATCATATAATGCTAAGGGAATATCATTCCGCCTAGTGGGTGTGTGGTGCAGGCACCTCTGTGGCTTGGTGGAGGTTTTAGTTCCCTATCTGGTAGCGTGGCAACGTTACCTATCTATCTTCCTTATTTGGAGCCCTCTACCAATCCCCTGACGAGCTGTTTATTTCTACATAATAAGTACTAGTAGTCTTCTTTATTGCACGAAAGATCGGTCCTACACATGTAGCGATGGCCCACGATGACCATGGTCAAAGATGCTCTCCGCTGGCACTCAGTCCTGCCGATGGGAGTTGCTAACGCTTTTTTGGAAGACCATTTTGCTAAGATTGCTTAATTTAACAAAGTAAAGCTGGGGAATCGTGTTATGGTATCGAGATAGAATGGTAAAGGTCTAGGTCTAGATCTAGGTTGGTGAAAAAGATATACATTAGAAAGACGTGAAAAGGGGGTCAGGTGACCAGCCTGCCTATAATGAAGCAGGCGCATGCAAGCTCAACGGAAACTGTCACTTGTCCACCAATCTAACGTGGCTTCACTAATTTTCGAAATCAAGGCATGCAATGATCTAGGCAAGCTCCTGTCTTTTTTCTTTTACTACCTTACCACAAAGCACTTAGCGATAAATTTATACAAAGTATCTGTATCTTCCAAAGCCCCAATAAATGCAACGTGTTGATCAGGTCTCACGAGGACCATGCAGCCTTCCGGCGCGATTCCATAACTCTGGTAGGCACAACCGCAGCCTTCCTCACTTACCTTGTTGTCTGCAAATACCCGCGAGTAATCATATCCGGTCACATTGTCGAAAGGCCTCAGGATTGGTGGCAAGTCCATGAATTCCACCTCCTCCCGTGGAGCAGAATGAACCATGTATGTGGCGACTGAGCCGACAGGGCTTCCATCTGTCAATCCCATGCGGTTGATTAAGGATTCAGGATGGGAGAATGAATCTGTGAGCCTTTTCACTCGAGTCATCTGGGTGAGGTCTGTTATATTTCCTCCAAATATAACCAAATGCCATTGGCCGGTGCTAACAAGTCTGTCCTGAAGATTCCAGGGACGAGAGTCGCTCTGACAAAGAACAGGTTGACTGGGCAGCCTTCCGCCAACGATAATATTTCTGGCCAAGTGGGGTTTGCTATGAGCGCAGCAAAGGTGTGTCCCATCTGCGCATGGGTTGAATTCCTGGTTGTTTGTTGAAGTTACTAAAAGACCGGGTCCATAAACCACACCAAGGCCGGAGGCACACGTGTTCTCCTCAGAAAGCGTCGATTTAAGGTCGGAAAATCTATCGCTTGAGCTGTCGGGATATTCTTCCCCGGTGGCGGAACAAATGCCAGAACACATTTTTCGGTCAAAGGCGATTAATCTCTTCGCAACGGGAAGCCGCTCTGCCTGGTAAGTACAGAGGATCTCAGGTGGGGCTACACCCTTCAAAACAGAAGACAACTTCCAGCCAAGATTGTAAGTGTCCTGCATGCTGACGTTCATACCTTGTCCCGCCTTTGGAGAATGGGTGTGGACAGCATCACCGGCGAGGAAAACGCGATTTTTGACGGAAAATGTGTTGCAGAGTTTTTGGCCGACCTTGGAACATCAGCTGCGATAATTATAAGGGCCTTCTCGTCAGCCAACTATAGGTGGGTCTAACAGTATATATCGTGGACCATTCCGTGTGAGAAGTATCAAATGTGTACGGTTGCAAGATATTCTTGAGCACCGTCATCAACGCTGAGGGGCAATAGTTGGCCTTGAATCCAGCTGCAACAGTAGGTGATATTTGAATATAGAAGCGGACTAGCTTCTTCTCTCGGGGTATGATCATGAGATTACCTCCATCTGACTTGATGATGCATCTCTTTCGAATATCAGCTATGTTGCTGTAAGCAACTTGTCAAGTCTCTGGATATAGACAGGAGTACAAACGAAAGTCCGTGATGGGTATACAATCAATGACTCCCCAATGCCCATCAGGAGTTCGGTCTCCCTCTAAGGCCAAACCAAGCTGTTTTCGTACCCAGCTATGAGCACCATCGCAACCGATCAGATATCGTGCCTGAACCGTTCTGTCAGGCTCAATCTTTGTCTTTCGAGGCTTCGCAAGATTAGATCAAGATCAGTGACCGGGATGCTGCCCCTTACCTGTTCACCTGTTTTCGTACTGAAAGAGTTAATCTTGAGTCCAATAGGATAAACGCCGGGCGTTTCCGTATGATCCTTGGATAATTCTAGTGAAGTGGGCACAGTGGCCCATTCTATCTTCATATGTCCATGCCGCTTCACAAAGTTAAGGAGATACTTCTCTATGCGACCTTGACATAAAGTGGCTTCTTGGAATCTAGACCAGCCAGGGTTGTAGTTGGGAGATACACTCTTCCTCTGAAGGCCGCACGCTGAACTGCTCTGTATCAACATATCAGGAATTCGTGTCTTTGGTCCAAGGTTCCGTTGTGTACGTACCCACAAGCAGACGTCAACTGTCCTGTTTGATTCCATCCATATTGATTCACCAAGGCCAAAGCTGTTCAAGATTTCGAACGTTCTGCTTTCAAGCCCGTCTGCATGTCCAGTCAAGGTTCTCCTTGGCTTTTCCTCAATGACCAGGGTCTTGACACCTGTTTGAGCCATCCAAACAGCGGCCATGAGCCTTAGTTTATGTTAGCTGGTCTTGTATATGATAATATGTATTCATTCTTACCCAGCCGGCCCCGCCCCAATAATTACGACGTCAAATTGATCAGAAGCACCCAGTGCCATAGCTCACATAGGCAAGTTTCTTTCTTGTGGCAGTTGGCCGATATAAATTGATGAGATCTTGTTAAAAGCATATAGGCATTGAGAGGTGTATTGAACTCCGGTGACGTTTTATCGTGGTACTCTGCGATTTGCATTGTCGTATATGGTCATAAGCAATGAGTACGTCAGTGGCCATTGTCGGATATTTATGTACAGGTAAGAATACCGGGCTTTCTTGCGGTTCTTCCTTGTTCAGTCAAAGTGATCATGCTTTCAATGGCAATTTCATAAACTCTGAGGATTGACGAGAGCCTAGAGCTACATATCTTTGCGACATCCGTCAGTGAGTATCAACACCACAACTCTTTCTTTAGTCCAGACACGCGTGGGAGGGAACTTTACGAATACTTACCAGAGAGATTAGGCTTTTCGAACTTCTGGGTAGCCAGACAGTGACCCCTGTCACCACTCTAATCCTCACTCTTGGTGACGCAACGGAGTTGTTGAATTGACACTTGCCTTGATCAAGACACAAAACATGGAGTCGCATCTGAGTCATTTGCAAAAAACCTGGCAACTTGTGGAAAGGCTTACCGGGTCAAACTGCCATGTGTTTCTAGATGGTGACTCGCTGAGTTTAGGAGCAGTTGTAGCCGTTTCAAGGTTAGTGAAGTCCGAAAATAAAAAGTCTATGATGAAATGTACTAGCCTTGCATAGATCTTTGGCAAAGGTGTCAGTGCACGACCCAGAGCAGCTAGCTCAACGCCTAGACGAAGGCGCGAAAACTCTTACACGCCTCCTTGATAGGAACGAGCAGGTCTATGGTGAGCATTACAACACTGGGGAAAAGCCATGGGAGCGTGCGCGGGCTGAAATTACAAACAGGAGTCAATACGGGATGTGGAAGCAATGCGGATACTCGGACGGAGCAACTGCGCATCCTTCAACATTCATTTTTGCAACACCAGCAATGCGGGATCCTTCCTGATATGGCCTCTGCCGGGTTGAGCGCCATGGAAGAGAATAGTCACAGCCTTCCCTCGGATATTGTCCGTGCCACCATTCTTTTGCGCTGCAACTCGCTTCTCCGCGGACACTCGGGTGTGAGGATCAAGATCATTGACCTTCTACTCTATGCGTTGAATGAGGACATCACTCCAGTAGTCCCTCTGCGTGGGAGTCTTTCTGCTTCCGGAGATCTCTCTCCGTTGTCTTACATCGGTGGGTTAATCGAAGGGAGCCCCGACGTTTACGTCCGGATGAAAGAGAATGGCAAGGCACGAGTCATGACTGCTGAAACAGCCCTGCAGCAAGCGAATATTCGTCCTTTGTCACTGAATGCCAAGGAAGGCCTAAGTATTGTAAACGGCACTGCTGTTAGCGCTGCTGCCGCGTCATTAGTGTTATACGATAGCCATAATTTGGCCCTTTTCTCGCAGGTTCTTACGGCCATGGCAACAGAAGCCCTGCTAGGCGCTGTCGACAACTACCATGAGTTCATCTCTAAATGTCGACCACACCCAGGCCAGACAGAGGTAGCAAGAAATATTTGCTCCTGTCTTCGAGGATCTCGTCTCCCTCAGGATACGGATGTGAATAAATTGGGGCTGGTCCAGGACCGATATGCTTTGCGTACTGCACCGCAGTGGATTGGACCCCAGCTTGAAGATCTTTTGACTGCAGATCGACAGATTGATATTGAACTGAATTCGTCTACGGATAATCCACTAATCGACGTGTCAAGGGATCGCTTTCACCACGGGGGTAATTTCCAAGCGGCTTCGGTAACTTCTGCCATGGAGAAAGTCCGTGGTGCGCTGGTTATGCTGGGAAAGATCCTCCTTGGGCAATGTAACGAGCTTATCAATCCCTTCCAGAACGGAGGTCTGCCCCCAAATCTTTGTGCAGACGATCCCAGTCTCTCTTTCGCAGTCAAAGGGTTAGACGTTCATATGACGGCATATTACTCCGAGTTGGCCTACCTCACCAATTCGGTTGCTAGTCATGTCCAGACCGCCGAGATGGGGAATCAGTCAGTCAATTCTTTGGCACTCATCTCTGCGCGGTACACAGGCCAATCGGTGCAACTTCTGTCGATGATGTGTGCTGCACATTTGTACGTCCTTTGCCAAGCATTGGATCTCCGTGCCCTCAGCCTAGATTTTTTCGCTACTGCCAAAACAGAGACAAGCGATATGTATTGCAAGATCTTCATAACTGATGAAGAACTGGATTCCTCTCAATTTGAGAACGTATGGTTCCAGATCGAATCGACCTGGCTAAGCACGGCCCAGCTGGATCTTAGCGATCGCTGTGAGAAGGTAGCTGCGCAATCTGTTGCGTACCTCATGAATGAAAGGTTTATGGGACCAACAACTCCCTCCCCCCAATTCTGCAGCTCGATCAAGCGATGGAGAGAAAGGCTATCTTGCCTGCTTTGCGATCTTTACAACCATACTCGAGCTGGTTTCACTAAAAGTCCTTCTACCCCCTCCTATCTCGGTGAAGTGACCAGATCCACGTATGAATTTGTGCGACACAAACTTGCCGTGCCATTCCATCGGGGAGTCAGCGACCACCCAACCATTATCGGTAACAGTGCTACCGGCGAATCGAAAAAGACAATCGGGTTTCACGTTACCCGCATTTATGTCGCAGTCGAGAATGGTGACCTTATGAAGCCGATCAAGCCGATTCTCAAGCCTCAATAAAGACCTTTATTTCTTCTTGGCAGCTGTGTCATGTCATTCCCAAGCTTACCAGCTGGACCAATTGATTGATCTACACGACTGCACTGTCTCTGCTATACCCTCTTCTTCAAATTAATATGTCCGCGCGGAAGATACAGGGAATCTATGACACCCCGTCATGGTTGCGCAGTCATTAATCAAGCCGTTGTTACCAGAAATTGCAAGTAGCCAGTGTAGTCGGCCTTGGATTTTTGACGCTGGACCAATGAGAGACTGAATAGGCTTCTGAGAACCAGACACAGCCAAGTTCGGCATCTCTCAGGGTGACCGAACCAGTCAGCTGCTACCGCCAAGGGTCTCATTGGTAGCACACACAAGCAAGGCCTCCGTCCTAGTAGTAAATTGAGGGAGTGGTTTATCTGATACGCCCGGGGTCAAAGTCCCGGTCTACCAGATCTGCATGGAACTGCGATCCTCGAATATCTTTGCCATCCACCATTGCTTGAGAAATTATAGTCGGTCGACGCCCCTGATCCAGGAATAGCGTTCACTTGTGCATAATGTCTTTCTACAAACCCGAGGAAAAGATCTTTGTAAGGAAGATAGTTTGCCCATATACTTTCCCCTTCGTGTCTAACACAATCAGCACAATGACGGCCGCGAACAAGCCCTTCTCGAATACATCCAATCTCACCCTTCCTATGACGAGATGCATGGAAACCCAGAAAGGATCCTCGCTGCGATCGACGAATTTGGCCGGGAAAAGGACTTCCTGATGAATGTTGGCCAAAGCAAAGGGGCTATCGTCGTGAAGATGATCACGGACCGCAACCCCCGAATCATGGTTGAACTGGGGGGATACGTCGGGTACTCCGCCATCCTTTTTGGCAATGCACTCAGGAAAGCCGGTGGTCAAAAGTTCATCAGTCTGGAGGTGAGTCCCGTCTTTGCGGACATCTCGGACACTCTGATCAGGCTGGCCGGTTTGGAGGATATTGTGGAGATCATAGTAGGGCCTTGCCGGGAGTCGTTGCGTGCACTCAGGGAGGTCTATCCCAATAGAAGGCTGGACATGATCTTCTTTGACCACAGGAAGGTTCAATATGTAAATGACTTGAAATTGTGCGAGGAGTTGAGACTGGTGGCTCCTGGAACGACCGTGTTGGCGGATAACGTGATCTCTCCTGGAAATCCAGCGTATCTGGAGTATGTTCGGTTTTCTACGAAGAAGAAGGCTGAACATGCTAGATTACAAAGCTCTGAAGGTGATCAGTTGGAGGATCTCTCCACTGGAGATCCTTTCCTGGTCTATGATACTCTGACTGTGCGTGGCTTGGAGGTTACTGGTGTGCCGGTGAGTTTGAGATTACCATAGCTCCAAAGAAAAATCTGTGGAACTGTGACTGACCCACTAATGCGTATAGGATGCTGTCGAGGTGTCATACTGCCTGGGATTTGATTTTCCATGAGCAGAAACCGATGAGGATTCGTGTTGCGTTTGCAGAAGCGAGGGTCTTTGATGGTGCTGGGATCCGTGAACAGTTTGGCCTAATGCAGTTTGCGTTATGAATTTACTATACAACCCGATTGTCCCTACATCTTGTAGATGGAGTAGGTTACTATATCATGAGGCTCCTAGACTGGATTCACTCATTCTCCGAGAAACGCAAGCACGATTATATAACCAACAAATTGACCCGTTGCACATTGCTCTTTTTGCTGTTCAATGTTCTCTTCATTTCAGATCCACTCATTGAATAGACAGTGTTTCGCCATTTCGTCATTCACCATGATTTGGCTACAAACCCAATCTATCAGCTGATCCTTTCCAGGCCTGAGGCCACTTCCCGCTGCCGTCATCGCATTTCTCCCCGGGCTGACTTCAAGCTTCATCACATGCACCGCTATCTGACAATTGTATCTCTTGGGGCACGCTTCCGGTCAAAGCCTCTCCAGGGTATACACACAGGTGGTTCAACCGAACTACAGTGACCGGTCACACTACTTGAAGCTATCGCAGTTCAGGATGTTCAACCAAGATGACGAGTGAACAGGCCCCCAACAGTTATGTTGAGACTACTAGCGGTATTCTACGAACCAAAGAGAGCATTGGCATTATGTCACGATGAGCCGATGCTCATCTTTGCGAGCTCATCTTTGGCTTTCGGACATCCCGTCTGCTAACCTTCAAGATGATGATTTGACGTTGATCCCAACGTTCGTCGTCATCGATCACTTAGGTCACTACTTTTTGTGGTAAGTCTGAGAGTCAAGTTCGCGCTGTATGGTAGTGATAATATTGATTTGCTGAACAACACAGCTAACTTGAGCGAGAACTTTCTTGATTTCAGTTAAACCCCGCTACAATGCGATGATATTGTATCTCGGAAAATCAACCCTTTGTAACCAAGGTAGCAGACCTACCATCACCCATGTGTGTGGCTTAGCCTAAGGCTTAATACAGTTTCCATGGCTCAAGTGCGACATTGAGTGGCGTCCAGATAGGCATACGTACCCACGATATGATATAATATGAGAAGATAATATCTATAAGAAAACAAGCCACAAACACCGACATCCCATGGAACGCTCATCATATCAGGGGGTGGCTTACGAAACCACCTGGCATCTTCCACCACCGGGACAACCAGAATCTAGTGCTGGACAGGTGAGCTCCGAGGTAAGAGTACGCATGATGTATGACAAGAGCAACAAGTACATCTACATGTACTAGACTCTCCCGTCTCTTTCGGTGTCCCCTTTTTTACCTGCTCAAATTAAGAGCACCTTATTATGTGTTACTGACAGGTAGTATGGCATGGCTGGAACCGGTTTGTGAGAGCTACTCTGAATCCTTTGACCAAAATTGAGCGTTCCATGGATCCTACCGACAGAACCAGGATTGCCGGCTTCAACCCCTTTAGCTGGGACGAACCTGGTTTACAGACTAGATCCAACTCTAACGAGCGATGATGAGGAAAAGACATGTTACTCAGCAGTAATCCTGCTTCCAACAATACTCAAACTGGGAAATGCACGGGCCCATAACGGCCTGAAAAAAAGCCCAAGTAAGTAATTACTCGACATGCTGGACCTAGGGTCTGCCCCATTCCCAAGGAACGTTGGAAGAGTCTCATGATGGACATGTGCTATCTATGTGAATATGTGAGACTCATGAGAGATTTGTAGACATCGATCGAGAACATCCGTGGTAGTCAGTCTGTCGGGCCCAAATGAACGATGGATGGCCCTGGTCACGACATTTCGATTGTGTCATGGGTTCAGCTTGGAGCTTAGTATGCTCACCATTGACAGTATCCCCTCATCTAGAGGATATAATTAATTCGAGGCGCACCGGTCCGGTTTGAGAGCAAGCTAATCCTTCTTTTGATTCAAGGCATCAGATAAAGTACCTGCGAGATGACATTCCGTGATTCATCATCTCAGACCCTCTCGCCGATGGACCACACCGTCCCCAAGGTGTATTTCACGTTCTATCATTCCTTCCTCTTAGACAATCCACAGACAGGCGTCGAGTCTATCCAGAAAGGCCTCACCACCCTGATTCAACACCTCCCGTTTTTGGCAAAGGATGTGGCACCTTGCTATGATGAGAAGCATGAAAATGTCCACTGCATCCAACCTCCATCAGCTGCATCACAATCCATACCTATGCTCCGAATCAGGTATCACTTAAATGAATCAATCCGTGTGATGACAAACACTGCAACATGTACTGCGGTCGAGGATCTACAGTTCTCTAGAAGATATGCCCCATTGCCGTCAGTGATGGACCCCCACAAGAGCCAGCCTCTCCTGCGATTTGTGGCGAACATCATGATCGACGGAATTATTCTTTCGCTCAGCTTCAACCACATGGGTGCGGATGGCACGGGCATCGGAGAAGTTCTCGAGATACTGTCTCAATGCTGTCGGAACGAATATAACCCACTGTCTCACCATCGGCTTGAGTTGCAATTGCGCCGTCAACTATCCTCGCCTAGTATTGCTGGGAAGCAACCGCTGAAGAGCTTTTCTGAAACCTACAGCGAAGAGGAGACCTTCCATTGCGTAGCACCAGATACGTGGCCCACGGCTGTTACCTCAATGGCAGCTGTCTTGAACACATTCCGATTCAAGTTTACCAGCCAAAAGGCCAAGATACTGAAAGACGCTTGCACATCTATCTTATCGCAGACCGAGGACGCGTCGAGCAAAGCAAACCCGCCTTTTGTATCATCAAACGATGTGCTTACTGCCCTATTGACCATCTGCCTACAGCAGAGTCAATGCACTACAGAACATAAGGAGGATTATACCGTCGCATCTGTTGCGAATGTCCGTTCTCGAATGGATCCTCCATGGCCTGACCACTATTTGGGGGTTATGCTCACCATGGCGCTTGTGACACGGTCTTCAATGGCCGATCTGGTAGATGAGCAGAAAGCGAGCATTGCGGCGGAAGAGCTGGGTATCGATAAAGACGAGCTGGTTCAAATCACCAACCTCGCCGCGAACATGCGTCAGAAGCTGCTGGCCATTGATGGCCAATATGTTCGCGGCCTGCTCGCCTACATGCAACAGCAACGCGACTGGGGTGAAATGAAAATCAAGGGAGGAGACGTCTCATATTCGAGCATCCGACACCTGAAGGTCTATGATTTGGACTTTGGTCCCAGCCTAGGGAAGATCGCCGATTTCCGATTATATTTCGCATTGCTAGACGAGTTCTGTCTTATACTGCCTGCAGCGCCGGGAGGGGATTGGGATATGCAGATTAGCCTGAGTCCCAGCCACCAGCAGGCGTTGATGAATAACGAGTTGTTCCGATGGGCTTTGAGCGAATACAGCAGCGCTCCCACTAGGGACAAGGAGACGGATCATGTACGGCTGCCGATTGCAGCTGTGGGAGGAGTATGATATCTCCGTCGAAGACGTTGCGTTGCTTTTACCGCAAATATACCTGCCTGAAGAGGCGCATTCATCTGTATGCAGAGGAATCAAGTTCATGCAGCTAGTCTGAGTCTATGTAGAGTGATGTGCCTTATCATAGTGGGCTATGCGCCTGTCTGCAGGGCGGACAGGTGACGTCAATTGTCAGAGGACATGCCGGACCCACCAACTATCAGCCTTGTGCTGCGCCACGGCACATGCCTGCGAACCGGGGGTGGAGCGTGGCTCATCTGTGGGCACTGGTCAGTGGTGATCGGAGCGTTGCATCATAATTCTAATGTAGATTATCTTAGTTCCTCCTAGGCAAACACCATTTCGATCCATGGTCTATGATAATAGAGTTTGCATGTAAGGAGATGATGGAAGATGAAAGAACCTTACAAGGTAGTTAAGCGGGGAATAAATGAAGAGGTGCAGTGTGGCAGCTCTTAACCACGGGCCCGTCGAGTGCATAAACCGTGGGGTGCCCCTCCATAATGCAAGATGCATAACGCGTTCGGATGAATCCGTCTGAAACGGCAACCACGTGACACACTACTCCGTATTCGGAAAGGGGCCCTGGGCCGCAGCAACCAACGGGGATGCGAGAGACGCAAAAGGTCACCTTGGCGGCGGTGCTCATCATGACTTCGCTCCGCCTCCGCGCGGAATAAATACCCTCATCTCCTTCTCCTAAGCCCAATTCTTTCCGTCTCTCCAGTAGATCATTCGGTTGCTTTTAGACGCCATGTATCACTCTCAGAATCGTATGCAATGCCCCGCTATATCTCCGCATTCCTGCATCATGCTGACTGCTGATTGCTTCACAGGTCCTCCATATCCTCCGCCCCAGGGCCCGCCGCAGGGCTATAACCAACAACCCCATCCTCAATCCCTCCCCTACCCTCAGCAGCATTACATGCCCTCTCCGGCTCCTCCGACCCAGGCCGGATACCCCCCCTACGGCGCTCCGAATCAGCATCAGCCCCCGTTTTCCCCAGATGACATCCGTCCACCACCACGACCAGATTTCTACCAAGGGCCTCCACAAGGCTTTCCGCAAGGGCCTCCTCCACAATCCTCTCCTCATGGGCTCCCGCAAGGCTTTCCTCAGGGTCAAGGATCCTTTGGCGCACCCCCTCCTCCCTTCCCCCAACAGCCCCAATTCCATGTCCCGCTCCCATCCGTGCCCTCCATGGGCTACATCCGGGGCCAACAAGCAATGGGCGACTTCCGACCCCAGGCCGACCAACTCCGTCGCGCAATGAAGGGCTTCGGTACCGACGAGAAAGCCCTCATTCAAATCCTTGCCAGGTTAAACCCCCTCGAAATGGCCGCCGTGCGATCCACCTACACACAGCACATTCGCCGAGACCTCTACAAGGACGTCAAATCCGAAACAAGTGGCTACTTCCGGCGAGGCCTTCTAGCCATTATTGACGGCCCATTGCAATACGACGTGGCCTGTGTCCGAGAAGCAGTCGAAGGCATCGGCACGAAAGAATGGCTCCTCAACGACATCCTCTTATCCCGCTCCAACGCCGACCTCAACGCCATCAAAACCGCCTACGAACAGACCTACAACCGCTCCCTGCAAAAAGACGTCGCAGACGACCTCTCATTTAAAACCCAAAGCCTATTCTCCATGGTCCTCCGCGCCACTCGACACGAGGAATCAGCCCCGCTCGATCCACAGATCATCGAAGCAGAAGCCAAATCGCTCCACAGCGCAACCGCCGCCCGCATCGTCAACAACGTCGAAGAAGTCTGCGGCATTTTCGCCCGCGCTTCAGACAACGAGCTCCGCGCCATCAACCAAGCCTTCCAAATCCGGTACAACACCGACCTGACCAAACACATCGAAAAGGAATTCTCAGGCCACATGGAAGACGCTTTACTCCATATGCTCCGCACAGCGCTCGACCCAGCCATGTACGATGCCGAACAACTCGAAGAGTGCATGAAAGGTATGGGAACCAAGGACGAGAAACTCGTGACACGAATTGTCCGTCTACACTGGAACCCCAAGCACATGGACCAGGTGAAACGGGCGTATCGCCACCGGTACCAGAAAGAACTTATTGATCGGGTCAAGGGGGAAACGAGTCGTGATTACCAACGATTAATGGTTGCTCTGTTGCAGTAACCTAACCCACTTCTTATCCTTCTCTTGCTTCTTAATACTCATCTCTTAATTCCTACTTTACGTTCCAAGAACGCAACGCAACGCAACGCAACGCAACGACCACGACTTACGACTGGATACGGTGTACGGATTGTACAACATTGGGGGTCGGGATAGATTCAATCGGGTTAGGCTGCTGGCTTTAGGTTCTTATCTTGGGAAGAAATGCGCTTGCTACTATTCTTAATGCAGTTGCTTAATACGTCGCTCATCAGGTCATTCTGGTCATAGAGTAGCAATGACAGTGACAATTAGATGATTACCTGAATCAGTCACGAACTTTCCAGTAACTTCCTCTTAGCATTTACGCTATTTGTTACCTACCCTAGTACTAAAATATAGTATAGTATGGTATGGTATATCTAGGATGTCTCGGAAGAATAAAAACCGGGGTAGTAGTAGAGAATATGGAACAAAGCGAAACGAGAAGAGAAGAAACTGGGAAAAAGTAGGACATTGAAAGCAAGCATATCTCATTCATTCATTTGATCATCATAGTAATAATGCCACAGAAGTATGCTACATAAATCATGTACGTCATGAAATCTTCATAAATAGTCAGTCATCAACAGTAAAGTAGAATGTAAATCAAACAAGTCGAACAACAGCACGGATCGAACATCATGTCAGTCTAGTTCTACGCCACCTCCCCGGCCACGAATATATGTGCGCCCGGGAATAGTCCCGTTAGCCCGGCATAGCATCCCCAGTACCAATCGTCGTTGATGTTTTCTGCCTCGGTGATTTCTGCGCCTCGTGGGAACATCAGTTCGTCTTTGACGCCGTCCTCGGGGTACCAGGACCACAGAGCATGGACGATTAGTCCGACACCGCCGTCTGGGGGGTATCGACGGGTGGTAGATGATGCATTCTGCGATGAAAGGGCCGGGGTGGATAGAGAGAATGGGGAGGGACTGGCGATGGGTGTGCTTGGTTCCGAGGCCCGGTCGCGGTCGCCAATCGTCCAGGGTCGCATGCGAGAGGCCTTTTTCCGTCGCTCGGCGCCCTCTTTCCAGCTCCAGTCGCCGGATCCGACTTCGGGAGAGGCAACGTTGTGGTTTGGAGAGAAGTGTGCGGTGACTGGGGTGGCTGCCGGGGAGGGCTGCAGGTGGTCGTCGTTGAGGGCCCGGCCGCCAACTAAATCGCGGACGATGACACGACGTTGGCCATCTTCGTGTTCTTCGAATCCGCTGACGATCATGCGATGGCCCTTGAGGCAGCGGCGCCAGCCATTGTGGCCGTTTTCTTTGCGGATCTTGCCGATCGCCACAAGACGGAGGTAGCAGTTGGTGCAAATATCGTAGTCACCGTCGTTGCATTGAAGACAGTGGAAGCGGGGGGTGGAGTCTGGGATCGGATTGGCGCAGATGTCGCAGTTCGTAGCAATAGAGAGGATCTTGTATGTTTCGGGAGAGCGAGATGGGGAGTTGTTGGTGGCAGTTGGAGATGGCGAGGAAGACGGGCTGCGCGTCATGCGGCAGATGGGAAGGAGAGCGTGTGTGCAGCACCGGCCTTGATTTACGCAGCGGTTGCAGAAGCCCCAGTCGCCTTCATTGCATTGATTACATTTCCAGTAGCAGTCATTAGCTGGGGACTGGCAGCTGTCGCAGAAGAAACCGGTTGTCATTCGGTGGGAGGGGTCGTCAGTGGTCACGGTTCGTCCATTACTGTCCGAACGGTAGGCTGTGTCTGGGGCACGGCGGTACTGGCAGGATTGGAGGATGTGTTGCTGAGAGTCAGACACTGGTTGAGAATGACCACTCGAGGAAGCGATGATTCGTTCAAAACTCGCTTCTGCAGATGCTCTGAAGCCTGCCCAGTTGGGACACCCACGGCCGATGCGATAGCATCTCGCGCAGAGGTGGTATTTACCGTCATTGCACTTGGGGCATCTCTTGTGTAGATCGTATTGGATGTCAGGCTTGCCGCATTGGTCGCATGATATAGACGGCTCCCTGTAAGTGGTCGATCGAGGTGCATTGGATCGAGACGAAGATGGTCGGGACCGTGGCTCTCTGCCTGAGCCGACCTCTGCTGCCAGAGAACTAGTCGCAGGTGCAGTTGCAGGTGTAGGTACCCCAGGACTTGCTGGCCAGGAACCAGTGCGTGTACTCTGCTCAGGCGATGCAACCACTCGTGGGGAATCGATCGACAACCTCCCTGGGCGACGAATTGCACGTTCCCTAGTGCCCTCCACCCAGATATTCGGAACGTTCTGCTCAGACGCTGTTGCACGTCGAGACCGTGGCGTAGAAGAATCGTTCCTGACTCGTGCAGCTTGCGAATTCCGAGGACGTTCAGCGACCACATCACTGGACGACCGTGTCGCAGGTCTCAGCGTGACCTCGGACGAAGACGCCGGATTCGCACGCACAGGGGATGTCCGTCGTTGACTGCTACCCTGCTCCGACAATCGCCTCTGGTGACCAGAAGCCCCGTTGCGCGACACCAGCGGGTCAAGCAGATAGGGTCTCGAGACAGGAGGGTTCCGGCTCGAGTCATTCTGTGTAGAAGCTTCCTGGGGTCTCTGCACCGACTGCGACCGAGCACGAGACCTCGAGGACGCCTGTCGCGTCTCTGGGGCCTCCAGCCGTTGCTGCGAGCGTGCCCGCAACCTATGCCTCCGCCGATAAGCATCAGCGATGCGTTCACTAAGCTCTTCCTCCTGCGCCGGACCAAGATTATCCATATCAATATCATCCAGCAGCCCTTCTTCGAGGATCTGCCGCAAAATCTCCTCCTGGATAGCCTCCGTATCCGACAAACTCAACAACGACCGCAGACTAGACTGGTGTTCTATGCGTCTGGTACGCTCAGAAACATTGTCCCCGGGCCGTCGTCGGGCAGCACGTTCCTCTTCTCGTCGTCGTCGTGACCCATCCACATCTGTACTCTCAGTACGACGAGTCCGGGACGACTGCCTTGACCGATGACCGGTAGCTCTCGTCCGGGCCCGACTTTCCTGGAGACTGAGTTCCCGAACCTCTTCCAGCAATCTCCGATCTTCCTCATCCGACGCAGCAGCGCTACGTTCTGACGAAGGCAGTGTAGGAAACACCGAATCCCCATGTTTGTATTTCTGTGCGATCTCTTCCTTTTCCTCTGCCGATTTATCTCGGTCGGGACTCGCCGCCAGGACCATATCCAGCAACGTTGTGACGGTAGCATTAGGGCGGGTTTCGCGAACGACCGCTCGACAGGAGGGACAGGTGAAGCGGACAGATGACCGGGCACGGGAAGCTTGTGCAGAGAACCATTCTTTCAGACAGGAGCCGCAGAAGGTGTGAAGACAGTCGAGGAGGGTGAGAGGTTGGTAGAGCAAATCTGTGCAGATCTGGGGAGTGTTAGTATGCATCCACACGCAGGAGGATCTCACGCGACTAGTGTATCCTCTGCTTCCGATCAACCCAGTGGTTTGGGTATCCGCGAAGATTGGACTAGTCGATCCAGCAAGGGACGGTGAGAATTGTAGCGGGGAGACGCAGACCGCATTCCGCAAATCCCCCACACCTAAGCCTCACAGGGTCACTTACCGAGCAGGTGAGTTCCTTCTCCAGGTCCCCTAGACCGGGACTTAGATGTGGTTCGGCCGACATGAGGATGCTGCTGGGATGGAGGGATGAGCTGAAAATACGAGAAGCAGAGGAAGAGTCGAAGTAGAGGTAGAAGTAAAAGTAGAAGCAGTAAACAGGCGGTGGTTGGAGAGCGAATCAATCGGGCGGGCGTCCCACGGGTCGATCGCGGCTCGGATCCACTGAAGAACATCTTCATTATTCCAGGCTCGCGCTACAATCTACATACCCTCAATCCTTGCCATATTTCTCCTTCTCCCAGAACCAATGATACAAATCCTTTGCGTCTCCCTCCTCCTCGACATAATCCCCCACCATCTCCGCCGTCTCATTCGATCTCGCCATCTCTGCGCCCGTACTAGTATCACTTGAAGTCATATCCACCGTCACACCGCCAGCCTGGTGACTCAGAATCTCCTCGGTGCCACTCCGGGTTCTCTCCACTAGATCACGAGCACCTTCACGGGCAGCATCTGCATATTCCTCCGCCTGTTCACGGGTGCGCTGCAGCAGCTCCTCCGGCGTCGGATACCTTCGAAGCGCCATCAACAGAAGATAGTAGCTCTTCACGATAGCCGAGTACACCGCATCCTTGGCCAACATCGTGAAACCATGTGAGAAGAACCCCTTGAGAACCTCGCCCGGAAGCCCAGCATAAAGAGCACCAACACCCTCGGTGCGCGCAATTGCCACCACATTACTAATAATCGCCGGGGTCAACGAAATCCCCTCATCCTCCTCCTTCTTGTCCCCATCCGTTTGATCCCCAGCGACCTGCGCTCTTGTCTTCGCCATCGAAATCGGATACGTCACCGACGAAGCAACCGACTTGCTAATCGCCGCCAGCAAAAACGTCGCCATCGCAGACGGCCTCTGTCGCTGATTCCGTGGAAGCAACGCATACTTCAACACGGCATTCAAGAAGAACGTAATCGACGGATTCAACGTGAGGATCAACGAAGCCGAATACCCGGACCAAAACCCCCTCAGCCCCTTCTCAGCCCTAATCCTCGCCGCAATATCCCTCGTCCCCTCAGAAGTCTTGCCCGTCTGCTTCCTGGCCACAATATTCGCCAACGGCGTCGTAAACAACTTGGCAAACGCCCCCGCCAACACCCCAACCACCAACTCATCCAACACCGGTAAAACCTTATGCTTGCTCCTCCTTCCACTCCCAAACCGAGCCCTGGTCCTCCGCTGTCGAAAGAACTCATACGCCAGGAAGAACAGAAACGAATCAGCCACAGACTTGATCGTATCCTGCGCCAGACCGGTATAAAAGCTCCCGATCCCTTCCTGGGCGTAGATCTTGCGCGCTGCGTCAAAAACACTCGTATATTCCTCCCCTTCCTCCCCACCCTTCTCCCCTTTCTCACCCGACCTCCTATTTCTATTCCTCTGCGTCTGCAACCTCGCAACAATCAAACTCAACGGATACGTAGCCACATTCGACAGCGCCGCCCCCACCGCACCAGCAACAGCATTGCCCAGTGCCGGCAGAGCAGGCCCACTCAATACCGACCGGGCCTTTTGTTCTCGTCGTGGCTCCTCATATCGATGATATAGTTGGAAAGTATCCTACCCATCCACACACCTCTATTAGCACCATCCCATCCAAACCCAAAGAAATGACATCATCATCACCATAGACTTACCAACTCAGAATCATACGACACTTTATACTCCGACATCTTCCTTCAATTCAAACCCAAATACTCATTCACACAAACCCAGCGATGTCGTCCAAGACAGACAGATAGATAGATAAATAGAAGGTAGATAATGTATCAAGGGATCAGATCAAACGACGGCAGAAACCCAATCAAGGCAGGTATGCTGATGGATTTATCATGGTACGTGATGCATGGCGTGGATGCATCAGGCCACACATATAAAGACAATGGGTTCTTCTGTCGTTAGATAGATGGCAGGTTGGGTACCTGTTTATTATGTATGTGTGCTTGTTGCTTGTGCTTGTTCCCGACCGAGGTTATTGTCCCGGGCGCTCCTCTCCTCTAGGCCCTTACGTCATGCGGTGTGCGTACACAGTAGACGTGGGTGGTGGACTGTGCGGGGCATGTGATTGTCGTCTTATTATTCCTTTTTCTCAATTCTCGGTTTTAGGGGGTAGAAGGTTGGGGTTTGGAGGGTTCCGTCATTGTCGCTGTCGGATTATCAGAGGGGTTGCGATTGGGGAGTATCCTATGGAGAATCGATGGTTGTTCCTATGGTCATGATGGGTTGGTTCGGGCTGTGCCGGTTCAAAACGGTGTCAGACTATGAAGCTAGCTACGCATATAGCCCTTTCTACGTCTTACTTTCTACTTCACAGCTCACGGTTTAGTCGAACGAGCAAGACACTAGATGTGATGAGAAAAGCATCGGCTCATCCATTCATTTATCTTGTCCATCAAACCCCCAAAGGCCATCTAGGTACAATGAATTGAAAATCATCATACGATTCCATCCCATTCCGTCCATCCCATAACCGAGCAGAGTATCAATCGATATCAGTATCAAACCCACGGATGTAATCCATCCCAATCCGCAGGTTTTAGAAAAAAAAAATGAAAAAAGCCCATCCCAAACCCCGATCCCATAGCATTAAAATTTCAAACCCAAAACAAAAAGCACAAAATCGAAGACAGATCCCGTCCGTCCATCCAGTCTTATCGACTAAGCTGATGACCAGCAGAGCAGAATCCGATCCACGGTACGATGAAGTAATTGTTTAACCACCGAAACCGTACAGGGTGCGGCCCTGGCGCTTGAGGGCGTAGACGACGTCGAGGGAGGTGACGGTCTTGCGCTTAGCGTGTTCAGTGTAGGTGACGGCATCACGGATGACGGATTCGAGGAAGGACTTGAGGACACCGCGGGTTTCTTCGTAGATCATGGCGGAGATACGCTTGACACCACCACGACGGGCGAGACGACGGATAGCGGGCTTGGTGATACCCTGGATGTTGTCACGCAAGATCTTGCGGTGACGCTTGGCGCCACCCTTGCCGAGACCCTTGCCTCCTTTGCCGCCTGTGAAATCATAGAATGGTTAGCATGGTGATGCTTTGATTTTCATTGATTAGGTAGAAGGGAGGTTGATGAGTGTGGGTGGGATGGCGCGACATGACGCGTGGGCGGACAGGTACGCGATCACGTGTCACAAGGGGTGCATCAAGATCATCATCGTCAATCCATTCCCGCGGCAGCGGTGATGAGATCCTATTTCAAAGAAATGAAAAGCAAGTAATACTTACGTCCAGTCATGTTGTTAGAAGGATAAAAGGATTAAGTAAGATGAAAGAAAGATGGTGGTTGATAAGTGATGGTGGGCGTACGCGTCGGGCCGGTCGCTGAGAGTAGAGAGGTCGAGAGAAAGCGAAGAAAGGTGGCGGAGGGACGAGCAGCCAGCGGTTTATATAGGTTTCGCGGGGGGGCGGCAAGCGAGAGCGTGATCTTGCTCCTTGCCCCTTGAGTGAATGACTAAGCCCCAGAGGGTGATCTGGAAGGGTCAAAAGCAATGGGGGGCCCTGATTGGCGGGACGCGGCTGTCAAAAAGGGCGTTATGAACGACCGCTTTCGAGGTGGTGATTTCGGGCGTTGCGGGTTGGCCCTCTTCCCGCCGCCTGCGCCATCCGATTCTTGCCTGCGCGGCTCAGGCCACAAGGCCGCGGTACGGTCACGTGGGGCTTGGCGACCGGATGGCACTTCCCATCACTTCCACTCCATTCAGACTACTTCATACGGACTATACAGAGTAATACGCAGAATCTCCCCTCATTCTAATCTGTGCGATTGCATAAACGGGGTAGGTATACCCTCGTCCTAACCCACCCACAGCTCTCATAAATACAGAAAACCCAGTATAACCACCCCACCAGAAACATTGCAGGAAGAGCAAACAGACCGTTTAACCCACGTGCAGAATTCAGACAACAAGTACAGGAAATCCCACTGTAGACAAAGTATGCTCCGGACGCCATACAAAATTGCATCCTTGGCAGCGTAGACAATAAAACAACGATGCAATGCATTAGACCACTTCCATGCGAATACTTTTCCGGTCGAGAATGCTTCGCCTCCCCCGATCCCCGAGAAATGCTGCTCAGTACTAACCCACCACGCTATTAGCCGCAATTCCGGCAAGACAGAAAAAAAGACGTCAAATCGTAATCGTTATTGTAGCACAATCATAGCCGCACCCAACGGAAAAGATAGCCTCCCTGATGTTTATGAAAGGAAGCGACGTACAGCCTAGCACGACATAAGACCCCGCGGTTTATTACACATCGCAAAGGATCCCATCTATACTCAAGCAGGTACATCAACAAAGGTAAAGACAATGATTGGAGAAAGGCGGCTTCATAGCCACGCCTTGTGAACATGTCGGATCAAATAACTGCACCACGATGCCGAAATTTCACCTCATGATCAATTTCATCCAGAAAGTTCTGCTCCATAGAGAAAAAGGAATGGCAATGCCGTTCACCACGAATAACACAAAGCCATGTAAATATGTGAAAAGGACGCGTGAAATCATAAGATTGAGTCTTAAGCGTATAAGCAGCTTAGCTCATCCTTGAATGATAGTCGGAGTCTTCGTTTCCTTCAGGAAACTGTTCTGTAGAGGCGGTAGGTATGGATATCCGATATGGTTCGGTGACGACGGAGCGTTAGGTGAATCTCGGGAATCGCCACCAAACGCTGCATCCATGCGAGGCGATGAGCATGGCGACAATGAACTAGAACTGCTACCAGAGCTCGAGCGGCGTTCACAGTCCCCACTAGCCGTGACAGGGCCATCAACACCGCCTGGGAAATTCATCGATCCAGATCCGAAGAAACAGTACTTGTCAACCAACTCCTTATATACGGAGGACTCGCGATGTGGCTTGCCGGAAACAATGGTGGAGGGTTTGCGGTGGTCTGGTACACATGTTGGTGGACCACTTTTGTTGGCTAAAGGTGCGTTCTCGCCCCTTGAAGTCATCCTCTTTTCCGGGGCCTGGACGGGACCACCATGCGACGGCGCTTTGGATTTTGCTCGAGCTGTCAGCGTGGTGCGATCATGAGTGGGTTTAGTCCGCATCACAGCAGACAACGAGGCTTCGAAATCATAGCGATTCCCAAAAGCCTGGTGGTTTTGTTTGTCGCGGCGTATCGGAGCAACTGCTTCAACATCATGCGGATCATCATCACCAGCCAGAGGCTCCTCCTTGCCACCCACTGGGGGACTACCAAACGAAATGTACTTGTCCATTTCAGAGAAGGTATCAAAGGAAGGAGGCACAGAGTGCGTACGGCTGTTAGAACCAGCAAAGCTCCTGCTCCGAGGCAAAGCCGGACGAGGCTGTGGAGAGGGTGGAGTTCGGACCTCCGGCCTCGCTTTCTGGATTCGGTGGAAGTTGATTTGATAGTTTTGCGAGTTGTTGTTGTCCCAGTACTCCTCTCCAGCCACGTTGTAGCGGATGCAGACAAACATGGTTTTCTTTTCCAGGTTTATCTGATCATCTAGTCGGATATTGAAGGAAAACTGATCATAGCCATCGTGGGCATGCTTCCGACGGGCACCGTCATTGTACTCTGCCGAGACCTCGGAAACGGTCTTCCATTGATCAAGGGTAAACCGAGCGGCAACGTGCTTGTGGAAAGCCAAGTTAGCAACCCCGACAACCCCAATCATGGTATTCCTATCCGATGACAGGTACAAGCGCTCCAATCGGACGCGTTGCTTAGCTCGGGAGGGGGTGTCTTTGGGGAAGTTTGACAGACGAAGTTCCCATTCAAAAGAGGGCACGTCCCGATGACCCCTCCGGAACGGGAACTCTTCTGCTGCATCATAGTCCTCGACGGGTGATGTATCTGCGCTCACGGCTTGAGGTTTGTCCAGCTGCAGGAAATGACGAATATGTTCCAGCTGAGCATCAAAATGAACAGCCTTGGAGTAGGTCGGAGTCCCAGGCATGCTCGATGGACGCCGTCGAGCCGAGGGTGGGCGGAGAGCTGGTCTCACTAGCTCCCCCGACTTTTTGCGTACCATGGGATGCCGTACCCGGGGCTCGTCATCCCTCTCACTCTCTTCGGGCGAGCTAGTCAATGCTTCATCGTGTTTGCGGTCAATTGAGGTCTCTGTAACCGAGCGAGAGTGGGATATCTTGCGAGCTTCTCGAGAAAGGGGCAGTCGTGGCGGTTGAACCGGGCCACCAGCGATGGCGGCCATACTCGACGATGGCTGCAACTCGGATGACTTCCTCTCCGGGGAGGATACTCGCCTTTGCTCAATGGACCTCACAGCAGCCTCCAGTTTCTCCAGCTGGAGCCCGTCCTGGGGTGGGTATGACAACTCTTCATCACTAGAGTTCGGAGCTGACTCGGGAGGTGAGATCAGGGCCCCAGGAGGGATGACAGCATCGCTTAGGGGAGGAGGTGACTTTCGGATACTGGCATGAGGGTCGATGTCATGGTCCACCTTGGATTGACCGTCTGGAGGTGGAAAGACAAACACCTTGCTATTGGACGGGCTCCGCCGGTGCCTTCGTACATAAGAGGTAGAAGAGTAAGAACGAGGTAGATGCTGCCGTGGATTATGAGAGACAGCGGTAGGAGAGCTGGGACAGGATTGTGGGGTGAGTTCGGAGTGTTCAATGTTCTGCGCGGAAGGCGACGTCTTCAACGGCGCAGTGTATGGCATCCGGCCGGGCTTGCTTGTGTAAACGGACACAAGAGTGGACAAAGATTTATAATTGGGTGGGGTTGACAGAGTGTGGAGCTCGTTTCAGGGAAGACGATTATGAGCAGGAGGCTTCTGATCCTGAATAACGGCGTCTGTTGATATATTCTGGATCCCCACGTTAGTTCAAGTGTGGAGTTTACGGCAGCAACAGCAATATAAAACAGTGGCAAATGCGATTGACAGCAGGGTTGCCTCGTACATGAGCGATCATCACAGGAAGGGGGGAGAGGTATGGAAGAAGTAAAGGATCATGCCAGGTGCGAGGAAAGTGGTGTGACTTTGATGTCAGAATGTCCCAAGGTATCAGAAGGAGCGTTGGAGGCAAAGCCGGGGTCGGAGGGCGGATACAGCCAACAAGGTGGTGTTACGAGACAAATCCCGGGCAGTGGCACAGAATGGGAGTGACAAAGAGTGACGAGGATCCCGGCCACAAATCGCCGCGGCGAGAGCTTTCATTCCCTCCCAGGCAGGCGAATGGGAATGCGATAAAAGCAGACAAGGAAAAATCATTCTGGATAGTAGTAGATCAACGGTACTTACCTTGTGGGCTCGACATCTAGTTGAAACGGAAGGTGAAAGGGGACTAAAACATTCAGAGAAAAAGAAAAAAAGAGCAAAAGCAAGGTGAAGCTGGCGGAAGGGGGAGAAGCCGAGCAGGAAATGAATGCAAGAGCAGTTGAAGAGTGAAGGAAGAAGTAGATACAAAGAAGTGAATCCGAAGGAAACGGGTGAGGATGGATGGGCAATGGAGTATATGAGAAGAAGAGACCGGGTGGAGAAAATATTAGGGTGAGCCGCACTTGACGGTAGGAAAGGGAAAAAATAAATAAAAAGGGAAATAAGCATGGAACGAAAAAAGAATGGTCCCAGGAATGATATTGATAAGGGAGCTCGGACGTCAAGAGAGGATCGAAGGCAAGGAAAATTCGGGACGCGCTGGTCAGTGGTGGTAACCTCTGCGCAGGGAGGGGCAAATCCCAGCAGAAACTCGTCGGATTTCCCCTCTCCGTTCAACGGCATTCGTCGCTGGTTTTCCCCTGAGGTATGATTTATGGGGGAAGAAGAGGTCTGTTCACCTTTCACCTTTTACCTTTCACCGGTGGTGTTCTCCCCTCCCCCCTCTCAGTTCTGCCTGTCATGCCGGGGCGATGTTTCGTGATGACGACCGTTAGTAAATTTAGTTAGTTAGTTAGCTAGCTACTCCTAGCTCGACCGATAGATCGCCCTGGCCCTAATCCCGGATGGCTACTACCTATACGAAGCTCCGACTAGGAACCATGACTGCTTCTTACACTTACTCGTAAGTCTTGCTCTTGCCGCCGTACCCGGAACAAGACGGGGGACGATGAGAGGATGATGATGGCGGCGGCGGAGGTGGTATTAGCGGTAAATACGGGTGCTGGGACGCTGCTAACCAACTTAAAATAGGCGATCGAACGGTCTGGGACTGGGGACGATCCCTCGCCGACCAGTCAGTGCGTGCCGGGCCGGTGGGTCCTTGGATGGATATCTCGGTCCTGCCTGGAGGCCTGTAGCATGTTCCATCATGGAGGGTTGTATGATTGAAACCCTGCCCGGCTTTTTCGCCTCCCGATCGCATTCTTGCCCTCCCCGTACCTTGGGCCCGGATGGCACCATTGGTCGCTGATCTGACACTGTTCCTATCTCCTCCGCGGGCCATTCAGACCATTCAGGCCATTCAGACCACTCATGCTGCACCTCAGGGGACACCAGCAATGGGGACGGGATCGCAACGACCATGGACAGACCAAACTATGTAGTTGATGTAGTCGATGTAGTAGATGATGCTAAAACTAAGTACATACTTACGGAGTACATTGATAGGAGATACATACATGTGGCTAAGGTGGAGGGCAGGTGATCTTCAAGGCTGCATGTCCGGAGTATTCTAGTCCACCTTGTCTTTATCGGTATGTGTGTAACGCTGTATGTGCTACTTTAGTATGATGTACGTGCTTATTAGGAATGCCCAGGATCAAGGCATACGTGCAGCCTCCCGGGCCCTTCCCTCGATGTCGCCATACAAAGACCACCTCCTTTTTGATCTGATCTCATTTCATTTGATTCATTTGATTTCCATGTCCATTTTGCTCCCGTCAGCCATTCCCATTTTGAGACCTGCTTATCAAAAAGATGATTAGTTGACTCGATCTGTTCCACGGAAGCACTTATCTCGACAGATAAGCAAAATTTGGTCCTGAAGGCTTCTGCCGACCGGGTTGGGAACTTGGACTGAGAGCAGTTCCCCGAAGTTAAGAAGGTACCTCCGACCGTACCGTTTACGTACGGCAACCATGGTCTCCACCCCCAGTGACCCCCAGTAACCCCCAGTGTCCCCCCTCTTTCTTTTCCTCCAGGCTGCTTCCAGCCTTCCAGGCCCTCCTTAGCGCCAGTCTAAAAGTCGCCACCGCCCAACCAACGGTCCCGGAAGTGGTTTTCACCAAAGAGGCCGCGACGGTCTAGAGGCGGGAGATGTTGGGGGAGCCGTGGATACCGAACTAATCGTAGGGAGCGACGGATGTCTGACATGAGTAGTCTGAGGATAATCATTTTTAATCTGTCTTCTATCAATTTGGTCATAATAATAAATTATAAATATAATTATAACCTCGCCTGAAATACGGTGGATTATTGACTGATGCACCACCTAGGGCGCAACGCTAGGAGGGGAGTGCAGATTGGTCCCTTTGCTTCGCCAGTGCGCGCACGTTCACCCTCCCTTGTGCTGCAACATCTAATGTGCTTTGATTATTGAGAGACACCGGTTGTCTTTGCACGAGGCACGGTTGATCATCGTCTTCTCCGCCTTTGAAACTTTCGGGACAGGGATTCTGGACTGTTCCCCCCCCCTTTTTTTTCCCTCCTTTCTTGGAGGGGTATACTTCAAGTGGCGCATAGAATGCTGCAGATTTGTGCTCGGGACGATGATAAGAAGGAGAGAAAAATAAAAAAAGTCCCCAGCCATGTCGGTCCACTCGCAAGCTCGGCTGCATGTCTATCTACTGTGTATTCTAACATCCTGTTTGAAGCCGTCTGTTCATTCGCGAGGGGGTCACGGAGGCTAAGGCCGAAGCGGCTAGGTCGGCGGTACCCACACCGGAAGTAGATAGACTGATACAGTCAAGTTAGTCAGTTAGCGCTGGTTGGGCCAACATCCCATTTCCAAGGAATCCACGAGTATGACATCAGAAGAATGGTTTACCAGAGAGCACCTCACTCACTTGACTTTGACCAGACTCTTGCGCAGTCATGTCAGTCGTCACGCTGAGGGTCTGCACAGACCACGGAAGAATTGGAAATTTCGCTGCAGCGCTGCCTTGATCTGGCCAACCGAGTGTCGCGCTATCCTGCAGAGGAAATTGATGAACGAAAAAGAAAAGGATGGAGTTGGTGCCGCTTGATTCTTGGCTCCGGCGTCGGGAGTTTTAGTGGCCTGGTCGACGTCGCATTTCTTGGCTGCCGCAACGCATGGGCGGTTGATATTATTCACCATTGTGTGTCTCCCACCTACGTACGTACTGTGTAGAGAGAAGGGAGGGAGGGATGGAGGGAACCAAGCACACACGCAGCTATCCTTCCAACTGTGGTGCGACGAACGTGCATAGAGACAGAACAGATAGCAGTTGACGATAACGCCCCCCCCCCTGTGAAGTGAAGATGGAGCAATTCCGGTTTCTCATCCGATCCTCATCAGACAGACCGTTGTCGCAGCGCTGTGTAACGGGCCATAGCGACGCAGTGGACCTCTCCCCCTCCTGTCTGGGGGAATAACTCGGTGACCAGATACAGGTAACTTGTTGCTGGTCTACGGATCGATCGATGCTAGACCTCCTTTTCTTCGCCCCCATCACTGAGACCATCTGCGGTGCCCCCCGGTCTCGGTGCATAGGATGGACAAGCTCCCTGGTAGAAATCCGCGACGAGTCGATGCCACGGACCTATGGGCTCGTCTCCCTTCGCACGACCTCCATGGAACGGGCGCTTGTCTCACTCTCCATCCGGTCTTATCATGGCTCGACTCACCGCACGGCAGGGGCACCCCCTGGCCAGTCCTCGCCCATCGCTCAACTCAATTTCTTTGCGGGTTTCGATTGGCTGTGTGTCTGATTCGCCACTGACCTGCAAGCCACAGCGGATAGCAATTTATTGGGGGGGGGGGAGCATTAATGGTACGGAATACCATGACGGAAATCATAATCGGGAGGATCTGGTCGGTCGGTGCGAGGATATTGGATGAAGGCAGGAGTTGACAGTGGTTGAGGGAGATATCTGGAAAGCCACCGGTCTTGGCCGGACGGGAGCGATCAGTTCGGGCTCCTGTTAGTCCCGAACGCGTGAGGTCCGCATGGCGCGCCTCTCATTCGACCACAGCTGCAGAAGGCGCTAGCCTCCACCGACGAGGCTATCGGCCCCATCTTAGTCAGTGAGTTGATCTCTCCCTCTGCCTTCTCTCCCTCTCAGCAATGAGCACTGAGCAATGAGCAATCAGCCTTGACCCGCCATCCTGCACCTATCTATCTATATTGCTTGTTTGGTCTTTGTCTCGACCGATTCACTTGTTAACGGATCTGTTATTTTCAGATGGCCTACCGCGCAACCAACAAAATTAGATCAATCACCACGGCACAGGGGGAGAGGAAAAGGGGGATGGAGCACTCTGCAGAGACGCTATCGCATCAACAACAATGCCTTTCTTATCCGAAACTTACTCCAAAGTTCACAGGCAATTGACGTGCATCCTCCTCATCTCCGATAATACGCCATCAACGCCCCTTGAAACTAGTCGCTGAGTTTGAGCACTGACATCTCTAGCATCTGCCTCCGTCTGGCGCTACCACGGATGGTCCAGCGCCCGAGCGGGTAATCGGCGCCGATTAGCACCTCCGTGCTCCTTGATCGACACCCCAGCCCGCGTTCGAGCCCCAGCGCTTGGGATCCGCTGCGTCGCTCGTTCTGCGATGCTCGCACAGCCTACAATCCCCAACACCGTTAAACTTCGGGTCCAGTTTGACATGCATCTCGGTGGAGGCGGTCTGCGAAGTTTACGGATACTCCCCTCGTATCTACTTACCTGGGGCCGGTGGGGAAGCAACAGGACGGGTGTCAGATTGGCTCGCGGGCCAATTCAGAAACTCTTATCTCACCGGTCTACCGGGGATTTCTAGCACGCGAACTGGCCGCCTCCTGTCCGATACCCGCTGTGGTCTCGACTCATAGCGGCGTCGCAAGCTCTTCAACTCCGCGCTCCGGCTCGAGAGCAGTGGAGATGCTGTGCTGCACGAAGGCTGGTGGAACAGAGCCTGGATTGGAGACCCCACGGGGAAACCGATCTCCGTCGAGCTGGCTTGCGTGCTGCGTGAACATGACAAAATGGTCTACCGATCATCAATCTCGGCCACTCTACGACTGGCATCAGGACGGCTATGCTGTGCATCCCAATGCAGGAACTTTCTGCTTGCGACGGTCAGTCGGCGGCGGCTATTGATTCACGAGGATTCTACTATAACCTGTCAGATGTCAATTTCAGTGAAGAATAGCATACTTGGCATGGATGCCACATAATCAATAACCGATGGCCGTAACTTCACCTGCAGCCACGATATTGAACAGACAGTAGCAGAGTCTTAGAGAGACCAAAAGTTTCTCTACCATGCAGCTCCTGACCATCTGATCGTTGATCGCCAGGGTACAAGACAAGACCGAGCTAGGGCAACCTTGTCGTGCGTTCCAGCTGTTGGCCCTTGGCCCAGGGGTCTTGCGGGGTTCCGGATGGACCTGCTCGTGCCTCGTGCAAGTGCAACGGTTCACGCAATTCACATCGGAGTGCGCGGCTGTCTGTCTATTCTCAGAGGCGTCAAACACGATTCTATCACAAGGTGAGCAGGTGAGCAAGTACAGTCAATCTAGCATCAGTATGGCGCACATGGAAGCTGTCAAACACGGATCGATCGGAATACCATGCGCGCATTGGAAATCTGGCTGTCATGTCAGGTATCGATGCTACCTAGGGCTCACTCGCATCCGCAATAGTCTAAGCAAGCCATAGCGGGCGATAGCACAGCATACGATACCCCGGGCGGTTCCATATCACACCACGGCGCCCTACAAACATCGGTGGTGTACGCATGACAGCTGCGCCCGTAACCAGTCTAAGAGGGTAGCCATGTTCTCCCCCCGCTCTTCACTTCGCATCATCTCTAGATATCGGATGGTCCGACGCCAACTTTGGTGGAAAGGCCCCATTAGCCCGGGTGTTAGTCCTCCGCCGCACAAGCCCGAGTAGTAATGCCACTGGACCGGGGTTCGTGGAGCACAGACACCATCCTAGCCAGTGGGAGCCGGTGAGGGGGATGGCAAACATGCCATTGACGCGGACTAGACACTGTCCGAGCGCGAAACCCCTCAATGGGAGAAAACAAACTAATGTTTCCCCTCTTCGGAGCCGGTGTTATTGGGTAGTATTATTGGGACCCAGTGCAGCCTACGCGGGTAGGAACGAGTGACCACTGAGGTCAAGCACTTGGTTCTCGTTGAACTCATTCACTTTCTCACCCTTTACAAATGTAATGGAGGGTGATTGACATTGCGGGGTACGAATCGCTCAGCTCAGATACCCCGGTCTGCCAACTCACAACCATGTGCAACCACCGCTGCATCGAACCTTCTCCGCGGCGGTTCCAGTCCTATGCACCCACAGATCCAAGGCTGCACCTCCCACCCTCTCACAGCTGATCACGAGCCATGGAACTCGACCTGTGAGGAGCGACCGAGAAAAGGTGTGGCACAAATCAAATGCATAAATCCAAAGAGTAAGCATTGCGCCAGTGCATACCCTCCACCTCCTATCTGTCTTCCAGAACTGTCTGGAAGGACCACTAACCAATGACTTCCCCTTTCCTACTGACACATGAGACGAGCATCCAACACACAAGGAAAAACATCCCGACGTAGTCCAGAAAGCAAGTACTCATACCTTTGGATCTTCAGTACTTTAGACCTCATCGCCACAGCCACACCTCCCTCACTACCTATAACATTGCCTTCTACTCCATCGCCACTTATTTTGAAAGTATACATACCCCCTTGCTCGCTCAGTGGTGGCAATCCCACATAAATAGCAACAGTCAAAGTAACAATATCGTAGAACTCTTAGAATCCACGCGTCCTCCCAGCACCAGCGGCAACAATGAATTCGAAACCCAGGGGTATCTTTCCATGTTTCTACCCCAGAAACCACTCCCTCGATCCATTTGACCTGATCTCATAGTGACTCAGTGGCTGGACGATTTCGTGATCGTGATGTATTCCGCTGTCCAAATACTTACTCCTGACCAACTAACTAACCAGATGGCTGACGTTTCATGATGAAAGAGACCCCCCCCCCCCCGTCCTTGGCTGGAGGGCAAGTCACTAACGGTCATTGCTTAATTCTTCTTATGCTTGGTTGGGTCTGCATTTACATGATTCATGTGTCTGTCTGCCTTGAGAGAATCCTGGTGCCTGGATTCGGATCCGAGGGAATGAATAAATTAATATTTTTTTTCCAATGTAAGTAGGTGGGTAAGTAAGTGTGGTGTCACAGATACAGTCATGTTCAATTGTTGTCATGGTCAGAATCGGAATGGAAAAGAATCGAATGCCACCCATTAAGCCAGCTTCATGGAGGGAGGAAGAAAGGAATACACATATCCAAGTTTGGAATAAAAAAAGGAGAAAAATGAGAAAATTCTGTAACGCCAAGGAACCATTGACTGTCAAATCAGATGGAATAAATGGTTCAGACAACCGCCCCAAGGTAAAGGTAACTACTATCATTCATTGTGAGTGATAGTGGGGATGATGATGATTTTGAGGAAACCATATCAAATCAAACCAGAGATGCAGTACATGCACAAGGTATCATTTTAATAATTAAGTATCTTTTGTCTTCCTTGCCCTTGCTTGAAATCGTAAGAGTAATCATTACATAGGTTGATTTGATGGGAAGATAGGCGGAGCTGGTTGCTATGTGGCTGTTGGATGGATGCGACAAGCATTATCATAAGTCATATCATATCAGTCGTAAACGGGAAAAAATGTGATAATGTGGCAGGCGAGCATCAGACTAAACACTTGCTGTTCGTCGTTTTTCGCTCGGTTTCTGTGCGTACGCGATCCATAGGCGGAAGCCCGTGCCGCAATGTTGGCATTCGCGCAAGATCTTCCTGTCGGACCAGATGCTGAGAGCGACGTCGCCGTTTGGGAGGACGGGAATCTCGTAGCATCGGGTATACCACCATCGGCCGACTTTGGTGACGATCTTGCGGATGGACTCATCGTTGGAGGGCGAGGGAGAAGGGTCGGAGAGGAGATCACCGAGGGAGAGGTCGGTGTCGTTGGAGGAGGACTTTCCGTGAGCCTTGGCCTTTGCTTTGGCGGCGGCGGATAAGCCCGTGAGAGGGGATAGAGTGGTGGATGGGGAGGTTGGTGCGGGTAGGATGGACGGATCAGAGGATGAAGTCGAGGTGGAGGACGCTGATGATCGGACGATCATCCCGGCGACGGGAATCCGGACCATGCATCTTCGGAGATTGTCGAACCCGTGTCGTCCTAGCAGGCGTTGAATGCTATCGCTTGCAGGCTTGAGGCTGATATATGGGTCGGATATATATGTCCGCTCTTTGAGTTTCCTCACGGCTTTGCGGGTGCGGATTCCCATGTTCACCATGTCCAGGTCCAGGATGCTCATCTCCAGATAGCCACCCGCGCGAAGCACGCGCTTACATTCGGAGATGATGTTATCCTGGGCCCTTTCAGAACAGGCAGCTGGAAATCGCAGAACTGCAACAGCAAAGAACGCCCGTGGGAATGGCAGCTGATCATCAAGACTCGGATGATGGATCGTATGGTGGTTTGACGGTGGCTGCCATGCTTCAGGGTGCTTGGACGCAGTCGGCTTTGGCCCGTCGCTGAGACTGTAAATCTCTGCGTTTGGATATGTCAAGGCGCAGTAAAAAGACCAGTCGTCGTTGCCCAGTCCATCAACCACCAGGATACGCTCTGGGTCCGAGCTCTTGGCGCGCTTATGCGCAGGGCTGAAGAGGACTCGCCCGAAAGACAGCCATCGGCTGGTCATCAGTGATCCAGAACGAATATTGGTGTGGGCAGTGGGCCCTTCTCGGTCGCGCTCGGCGATATCAAAGAGGACAGTGTTGCGCTGTCGAACAATTTCAAAGCTTGGGGAGGAATTCAAGGCTGGCGAACTGAGTAATCCAGACTGCTGTTCAACGAATGGCTTTGGTGGCAGCAACTTGTCCCTCGTCTCCTTCTCCGCTGCGCTGCCCTCGCTTCGATCGTCACAGTAGCTGGCGATGATCTCACTGTACGAAGGCTGGGGTGAAAGGCCTATGGACGTATGCAGCTCTGCGGCGATCCTGGACCTTCGAAGCCGAACAGAACCGGTGCTAGATTGCGGCGACGAAGGCGTAAACTCCACCGCGGGCTTTTCAAACAGACCAGGCATCGCTGGTGGCCCATTCAGCTCCGCTTGAAGAGCCTTGCTAGCCATTGTTGCGAGTTCAAGCTTTTGATCTACCTCCGATTGGTTCTCAAAAATTGTGCTTGTCGATAGCGGAGAAAGAACGTGGTCGATCAAGTCATCGTATTCACCCCATATCTCATCCTCCATCAACTCGGATTCTGGTTCTGGAATGACAGCCGTGACCGCAGTAAGGCTTTCGGAGCCACTTGAAGTCGATAGCACAGAGTCTTTTCTAGGTGAGAATGTCATAAATTCTTCCTTGGAGTAAGGGCCTGCGATGAAGTCGAGGACGCTACCCTTCAGGAGATCTTTGAAAGGATCAGTCAGATCGAACTTGTAATCAGACGGTTTCTCAGAAAGTGCGGCTTGTTGAGCATCCGGGGTGAATATGGGCGACAATGAACTATCTCCATGCTTCTCGACCGAAGCAGTCAACGACGGAGGTGATTGAGATACACTAAATGGTCTTGAGAACGACTGCACCGCTGGCTTATGTGGCCTCTCACGTCTGGAAACCACACGTGGGATGCGACCGACGGACGTCAGGCGACTCTGACGCTCTCCTTCCACCTTTTTCTCTGGGCTCTGGGGCACCAAGCTCTTGTTAAAATAGACTTTCGGCGACTGAGGCTGATCATGAAAGATGGCATCGTGCAGCTTTGGTGGCGAAGGCAGAAGGATGGAATCTGGTGTCTTTTTTATGTTCAAAGCAGCTGGTATTTCCACTGGCGAGCTAATATCGTCGTCTTCAGTCGGTGGTGAGTTCTCAACGTTGTGAACAATCTCCTCGAGAGGGTCAGAGTCCATGTCGATCAACGCGTAGTGTGCCACAGGCCGATGCACAGTCGCCGGAGCTACTCTGGCATGCAATTGGGGGGCGGAAGGAGTCGAGGTCTTGCCAGCGGATTTCTCAGACCCTTTGCTTCTCTGAAAGATATTCCACTTCAGCCCCAGCCCACGTTTAGATTGCTTCTGCGGGCTTTGCATGCCACCTGAGGCTTGAGGGTGCGTAGTGCGAACTCCAAGATTTGATTGATGTAAATCAGAAATGGAACGAGCTGCAGGCGCTTGTGTCGCTTTGGGGCCTTCTTGTGGGCGAGCACTTGTGAATCTCGGCTGTTCGAGAGACTTCTGTCGTCCTAGATCCTTGGTCGACTCTCCCGGGTCTGCGGATGCTCTGGAGCTGGCCAGAGTCTCTGTAGAACAGCCAGGAGATTCGGAGATTATAGACCGCTGCGTCAAGTTTGAAGTAGATGCTGTGCTGAACCCGCTTGTGCTCTGCTCACTTGGTCTTCTCTGTGAAGCCATTCCATCCATATTCCCGCCCCTGATGATCACAGGTTCCAGGCGCTCTAGCAGAAAGTCGTCGAGCTCCAGCTCAGGCCGGCTTCTAACACTCCCCTTGCTGCTGGCAACAGACTTCGGACCGCTTCTGGTCGTGCTGGTTGATCTTGCTCGAGTAGTACTGCTGCTGATGCTTGGTTTGCGACCGCGCTGCGCATATCTTCCGTAACCTTCGTGGCCCGTCCCAGCAGCTGGACCTTTACGAGCTGAACGGCCATCACTCTGTACATCCAGTTCCGGCTTGGATCTCTTAGTGAAGAGGCCAAAGGCTCGTGATTTTGCTGGTGCTGGAGCATTCTGTGATTTTGATTCCTTGACCGAGGGTCGAGGCGACTTTCGCGATAGCTCTGGCGACGTTGGGATGCGGGTTGTCATGTGGGAGGGGGTCCTTGAATGCAGCGAGTCGATTGAGGTGGTTGCGGATCGATTCAACACTGGAGGTCTCTCAGGAAGGGGGGACTTCTCAGTCGATCCTCGACGTTTATGGCCAGCTACTGTTTTGGGTGGTATGTTGCTCTTTACCACAGGCGATGGATCCAATACCAACTGATCAGTCCCTTGTCTGGTCGGCCTTTTTGGTATTTCAAGGGGCTTTCCTATCAAGTCTGCAGGTACCCTAGCTCTCTGAGACACGACTCGTGACGTTTTCTTCTCCTCTACGGTCGGAGCTGCCTCGTAGTCTGACTTATCCTTGTTGGAAAGCCGTCGTGTGCTGCTAGTGGATGCCTTAGGCGACAGGTGACTGCTGGATGTGTTGTTCATCATACTGGCCTTCGTCAGATACTGCTTTGCCTCGGTCTCAGTAACCGACACCCTTGACCCTGTGCTCTGAGCCAACAGGGGAGACCGTGATGTGCTTGGCACCATTCGATCACTCGAAGCACTCTGCTGCTGTGTTTGAGAGAAAACCGGCAGTCGACTTTGGGATGGGCTAGGCTGCCTCAGACGAGGACCCTTGGCAGGATGGACGATTCCCGGCGAGTAGGAAGACAAGGTAGTGGGCGTCGAGGTCCTACTCCACACCCCGGGGGATTCAGAATACCTCGTGGAAGGGCTACTGGCGGAGGGAATCATTGGAGTCGGAGGGGGTAGGTTTTTTGTATTGACAATAGTCCTGAGGCTTGCAAGTTCCTTCGGACCGGTATGGGCCTGAGTTTCCGGTACGATGCTCGATAGATTATCCTCCGAAGCCATTGGCGATGCTGAAAGTTCCTGACTCGAAGAGGGCTGAAAGGAGGTACCTGCAGTATAGCCAATGGCAGGGAAATCCGGGATGATCACATTTAGCTTCTCGGGTCGCAATCTTTCCAAGTCTGGCTTATTCTGTGCTGTATGTTGACCGATCGTCGGCGCCTTCCTCCGCAAGACATTGCGTGGTCGACCGGGGGCAGGGGTCTGGTTCTCCGTCCCAGGGGCACTCAGGGGTTCAGCAGCCATGTGGTAGGGTTGGGGCGGGCTTGGATCTGGAATCAGATGCAGGGATGTCGGAGGCAGTGGGTGTGTGGTTGCTCGCGGGGGTATCGGTGGGCGAGCATTCTGACCGGCCGGGATTCTCGAAGGGTTGGATTGTGCGACACTGTGGGGGGTCTCCTCTGCGCTGGACACCGATGACGCCCGGATAGCCCTTGTCGAGGCGTTCGTAAATCTTGGAATCTGCGGCCTAGACAATAGCTGGGCAGGGGGGTCGTAAAAGCGGGATGAGGACATCGCAGGCGACGATACGCTCCGGGACTGACTGGCGACATCCTTCAACCGGGGTATTCGACCGCCATTAGACTTGTGCGACGCCATAGTGTAACCTGGCTCCAGCCGCCAGCTTCAGTCCGAAGACCAACGATCTAGCGATGGGAGTGAGACGAGGTAGGCAGGAAATCATTCCGTCTGGTGATAATTATAGCTGATGAGAACGCTACCAGCGATAGGGTCGTGAGCTTCCCATGGAGCCAATACTGCAGACTGGGATTCACTTACCCTTTCATAACGTGCCAGGACGTTGTGCGAGCTGCGAGAGTAAGAGATCCCTGGTCAATGATAAGAAAATTGGAGGGGAACCGCGTGGCGGGGTATCTAGCGGTGGGGAAAAGGAAGCTATTCAGAACGGAGCCAGGAGCCAGGAACCACGGATGGAGGAAAGCTCAAGAATAGAGTGGTCGCATCTAGCGGAGCAAATGTCATATAATTAATTTCAAGGCCGTCAAGGAGATATGAGCCTGCAGCTCTGGAAAGAAGACGATAAAAATATACAAGTGACTGAAGAGGACCCTATGCAGGCGCTGCGCCACAGTATGGAGAGTCCACAGTGGCTAATAATGCAGGAGGAAAAATTAAAACCAGTCGAGCTGGGGCTGCACGACCACGTCAGAGAGCGTCGGCTCAATAAAAGGAAGACTATGCAGGAACTGCATACGATGGCGTAGAATCGAACAACCAGACCAGCTACACAGAAAAAAAAAAAGAACGATAGCGATGGGGAAGGGAAGAAGAGAAGGGCATCCGGACGGGCCCTGTATTAATTAGTCGCCCTGCCAGGAATAGATCTGGACCATCTGCAACTCTGGTCCACCCAGGGAGACATCGCGCGGAGTGGGGGACCAGCATCCCGATTCGCAGGTAAACGATCCGTCTAGAGAGCGTAGTAAAGCATCACAGATAATCCTGGCGCGATTTGTGCGATCGACGTTGGGACCGGATTCGAGGACTGATGTGACCGGGATGATCATTGGCCCAGGCACTTCTCCTATTCTCGATCCCCTTCTTTTCTTGGTCTCTGCGGCTTCTGTTATCGACGGTCTCAATCCTGGAGTCTGTCTAAATCGCAAGGCCACGAGCAGGCTAGCGAATAATCTCACAAAAGCCATGATGCTCGACCAGGCTGGAGACAGCCATGAGGGCATTGGGGGAGAGGCAACAGATAGTGGAAGGAATCCATGCCCCGGCCCACTCTGGTTGCTACGGCGGTTTTGACTGGTACGCACTGTGGTATCAAAGGCTTGGGATTGTTCAACGGTATCGCTTGACAGGTTGAGATGGAGGCGAGTGGCGTGAGATAGCGGGAAGACCGTCGTGTGCTGAACCGACCATTTGCCGTGGCAGATGCAGGCATCAGCCAAGCATGTTGGCCCTGTGTTCTAACCGTGTCAGTAGTGTCAGTGTCAGTGCCAGTGCCAGCCTGAATTGCCGCAGTCGACTAGACTCCATAAGGAGGGAGCTTCGAGCTTGAACTGGTCTGTGTGTCTTGGAGGGGGAGCGCTTTGATTTGACACCCACCGGAGATTTTCACGGCGGCAAACTGCGGCCAGTCAGGTGGTGGTCAGTGACCATCAGTGACCATCACTGACGGTCACTGACTCGGCCAGGCCGATCGAGCCAGGAATAGCAACAATGCGGCATCAATATCTTTCTTCTTTCCTTCCACAATGAAATTCTGGGTTTTCGAGAGATCTGCAGCCCCCGATTTCCCCCTTATCTCTGGAAAGTTGAGTCGAGTCTTTTCTATCTACCTACCGCGTACTGTGTATTAACTCTGGTACACCGGAAGGTTCGCCCCGAGCCACCCCCCATCCAGTCACATCCTCCATCCCCATCACACAAATGAAATTGACATATGCCTCGATCCACCCTCCCAACGGCCAAACATGATATAGATACGGGCTTCGCGTCCCTCCACACAACCAGTGACAGGCCCGAACACGCAGGCCGCACACCCCAGCTGAGACCGCGGACCTAGGCCGGTGGATCCCCGAGCCTAGCAAACCACCATCGGTCCCTAATCCTACTACTATGTATCTGCGATCCTGCAATTAACTAGGAATGTGCCTCATTGCGACCCCGATCGAGGGAAATGCGGAGTCGCTGAGCCGTGGGTCTTGATCCGCCGCTAGACCTCAACACGGGGCAACAAGCCCGCCTGATTGACGGATCCAAGGCGGACGGGGCCCGGCTTAGCAGTTAGCACCACGGGCGCACTCGACCAACAATCAAGGCGGGTGCCCGGCAGAGTGAAGCAGAGGCCTCCTCCCTTGTGATTGTGACGGTGGGGACGGCGGTTATTTGACTGCTCCTCTACAGCTACTCTGTACTCCTGACTCCTGGTCCTAAGCGATGTGATCATACCAATCACGATCCTTCAGCCGGTTGGTTGTGTGTGCGTCGGTCGAAGACGGAAATTACATGCGATGGGTGCGTGATGATAGACTTCTGCAGATCAGATCGATCCAAGGCAGGCCAGAGACCACGGTCGGTCGGCGCTGCAGGAACTGCGCCGTCACGGCCCTTCAGCTGAACGTGTCGGGGCTGCGAGTTCCACTACAGGGTTGGCTTGCAGCTCAACTATCTACGTGGGCTTCGATAGCCTATGTTGTGCACCGTGAGGGTGTTTGCGTCAACTCCTTATATTTCTGCTTGCTTCCTCGTCTGAGGTAAATAGAATGAAGAGAAAACAATGGAAAAAGCAACACGAGCGCGATGCCCGCATGTCACCTTGCACGGGTCTTTGACCCCTCCAGGGGAAATCTCCGGGCAGAACCAACGAGCCTGTCGGGATCTCCTCAATAGCCCTGCGTTCTTGTCACACCGTGCGATCCAATAACCGGGTCGTATTGCCAGTTACACTTGGTGGCCGACCGATCGGCCAGGCCGGTGTCTTAGTGGCATCCAGCCAGTTATCACAATATCCCTCACCCGACTCCTGTTTGCAGCACTTTCAGACCAAAGCTTGAATTCCCCTAACGCCAGTAACATGTAAAGAGATAGCAGAGATAAACAGAATATCACATATCACACCATTGGATTACGCGGCAGCAAATCTCTTCTTCCGCGCTTCCATGGCCTGGACATCCTTGTCACTCCAGTTCCTGGTCTTTGTCCCAGCGGCGGCAGTGGCAGCGCCATTCTGCTGCCTCTGAGGGCGACCCTGAGGCTGGTTACGACTTCCACCACGGCCCCTGCCACGGACCTTGTTCCTCCCTCCGACGTCCCTTTTCTTCCCCCCGCGACCCGCCTGGTCTGTCTCGGGGCGGGTCCTCTTGCGCGACTTTTCCTCCTTCTCCGGCAGCGCCTGATCCAGCTTCTTAACGCCAACCTCTCCGGCACTCGCCGCGGCGGTGCCAAAGCGCTTTGCGCGCTCGAGCTGCTTCTCCGCCGCCTCAATGGCGGCCTTGGACTCCTCAGTGATGCCGAACTTTTCCGCGCGCGCCTTTCTCTTCTTCATTTCCTCCTCGAGTTCTGTAACGGGCAACCCAGCCGAATAATCAACGGCCGGCTTCTCTTCCTTGTCCTCCGCTTTTTCCTCTGTCTTCTCCTCTGCCTTCTCTTCTGTGGCCTTCACTTCCTCGGCAGCAGCGGCCTCAGTAGTAGCCGTCTCCCCTTCCTTCTTATCCTCCTCCTTCTCTCCCTCCTGCTCCACAGGAGCACCTCCAGTCGCCTCGACCTTCAAGTCGTCGGTAGTCGCCGGATCAACATCCTGCTTCTGGTTCGGCACCTGAGCCGGCGTATCGACCTCTCCCTTCCCACCCGCCGCAGCAGTCGCCTTCTCGGCAGCATCGGCAGCAGGAACCTCGTCATCCTCCCAATCGATCACATCATCCGCAGTGTCGGGCTTGGTAGCGCTAGCGGGAGCATCAGCGGCAGGTACGGGTGCAGCAGCATCGGCAGCATCGGTAGACTTGGTATCGTCTTCTTGGAGTCTGGCCACCATCTCGGCCTTTTTGCCCGTGTGGGGGAGGTTTCGCGACTTGAGGATGTCGATCAACTCAGCGTTGGTCTTCTTAGTGTAGTCGGTTGATGCCATTGTGGAATCTGAAAGATGTGTGTTTGAAGGTGTGGGGGGTGGATGATGAGATGAGGTGAGTGAGCGGTTTGCGAAGAGGTAGGTAGCTGGCTTGGTAGGCCGGTCGGTGGCTCGGTCGGTGGCTCAGTCGGTAATGGGTAAGTCGGGAACAGGGTACAGTATGACACAATCGCACTTAACCACGCAAGCGCATTCGTCAACAATGATCAAGTCAAAGAAATATGGACGATAAAATGAAGAGAAACGAAGGAGGGAGGAAGAGGAGTTAATGTATCCACGCGTGCAGAACGCGGGTTCCCAGCGGCGCTTCTTTCATCGGGAGCTTACTTAGCTTGCTGGTTCCGGTTTGAAAGATGGTCACGTGCACCCAGGAGAGACCCGCGGCGTTGGCCTGAGAGATCAGGTAAGCGCCGGTGTTACTCCTTCACTCCTATTTTTAGGGTAGTCCAGACTCTGACTTGAGGGAATTATCTTAGAGCCTTGTTCGAGGTCTTTGTTTCTTGGTGAGTTTACAGAGAAGTATCTATTCAAAAGCGCTAAGTTCAGAAAGCACATCCTTTGACAAAGAACTCTAGTTCATCCATGTCACGGGTATTATCTATCTTTCACCTGTATCTATTGACAATTCACCCCGTGATAAATAAGCTTATCAAATAGGGAATTAGAGTCGGATATTATCCTTCTAACTCTTTATGGTAGATCGTCAGTTCTCTGAAATATTAAATCCTGTGTTAGTGTTACTACTTTGTTCTTCATCCCCATTGTTATCCTTTATCAGTCTTATAAGACCATAATCCGGAAAGTGCAGACATGCATTCAGTATGTGTGTTTTATCGCTACTTTGTTACATATATCCCTGTAGTCTATAGGTAACTTGCCTGCGTACAAGTCGGGGTAAGCTATAATTGTTAGTGTTATAGGCCGGTATATTCCGTATGGGGTAGAGGATCATCATTCGAACTATGGGGGTGTATCTATGTCTAGTTCAGTTTGGGACGATATGATCCATATTTCTAGTAGATTGATCTTATGAAGATCGTTGGAGGAACCTGTCGCTATCTACTCAGGATATACCTTAGAGAAGGGGGATAATTGTCATGTCTCTTATCTATCTATATATCTAGTATCTAGATTAATAGAGAAGTACGGAGTAGTAGAAGAACGCAACACACGCGAATCGCACCTCTCTCTCATTCTCATTCTCAATCTCAGACTGTCAAAGTCCAAGTCGATGTCGATAATTCAAGGCCCAGCCTCATCCTCACCCACATTCAAGAATAGAAGAGAAAGGGAAGATACCAATCAATCACCCATAAAACCAATACTCGGCCGCATAATCAACCGAAAACTCGCTCTTCATACCCTCACACGTAGCGGGACTCATTCCCCCAGCTGTGTAAACCCGATAGACCTCCTAACCATTCATTCATTCAACCCATTAGCCACCACATCCCCCAAATAGATCAAGTAAAGCAAAGGAAATGAAACTAGGTAGGTAGGTACATACCTTAATCCCCACCCCATCAACCGCCACCAACTTCAACCAGGGGACATCCATACTCGCAACAGGCGAAACCACACTGGCGACTTTCTTTGCAGCGGCCCATTCATCATTTCCACCTAGTCTTAGATCAAAGAATGGCATCGCGGAGGCAGAGAAGTAATGCTCGCCGAGAATGGCACTGTCTGGACCGGCTAGACTAGCTAAGGAGGCGAAGAAGTCTAATGTTTCGAGAGGGACGTTTTGTAAGAAGGCTGGGATTCGGTGAAGGAGGCGCTGGTCGGAGGAGACGATGCATGAGGCGTCGAAGAGGGTGGCTAGGGCGCCGGTGGAGGTGGGTTTGGCGGTGTCGTTGGCGGGGGAGGAAGGGCAGGTGTAGTTCTGGACGCCTCGGCCGAGGGCGACGTGTTGGAGGGTGAGGTTGGGGGAGGGGGAGGGGAGGGCGGTTTGGTTGTATTCGAGGTTGAGGATGGTGTGGTTGAGGCAGCAGGAGGTTAGGTCGAGGTCTTGGAGGGTGGAGATGGTGGTGGTGAAGACAGAGGTGGTGGTGAGGATGTTGTTGGCGGTGGCGAGGACGAGGGGAAGGAGGAGGGGGAGGGGGAAGGGGAAGTGGAAGTGATTGAGGTACATGGTGAAAGGAGAGTTGAAGATGGGAGATACTAGAAGGATTGGTCTGGTTTCTAGAACTGAGGTGATGGATGGGTGGAGGTATCAGGTTGTGTGAGGGGGAGGAGGAGGAGCAGGTTATAAATATCCAGACAGGAAATTATACACCCTCCTGGCAATGCTGTCGCCTGTTCCTATTCACTGGTTGATTCACTGGGAGGAGACGGAATAATCCATCCAGTCTGCCTTGATGGCTCAGACTGTCTTTGCCATTTGGATGAGTGCAGTTGGCGCACAGCAAACCAGATGTTGGACTCACTGCCTCCATCTGGGCAGTGAAGGCAACGAGGCAGAAGGCTTTTTTTATATTTCGTACAAGGAAAAGCCTCAGTATGCTAAGATCCTGCACAACAAGACAAAAGGCAGTAAACGCTCGGAAAAGCTACACCAGAGCAGCCTCGCAAAGCCACGTCGGTGAAAGATCGAATGAAACCCGTCGGACAGGCATTCGTGGGTGGTTGTGGATGATGCGCGCATCAAACCAACAAGGTTTGATATAAGCGCCGTTGTAACGGTTTGTCCTCGTGGCCATGCACCGTCACTTAATTTCAGAGGGCGTCAAGAGTACCATGGATAGCAACCATCCATTCATCGTTCCACGGGTTGGCCCGCATACACTATCCATGTTGCGCACCTGGATGTTAGCAAGCCATTGGCCCCATGTTGAGGATTGCTGAATGGAGGTTTGGTCATTACGTGGATTTTTGATGGTGATGATGATCGGATGAGGATTGGGCCCTGCTGGGAAGGAGAGGTTCTGGCATACAAGTCAGTCAGATGTCACTGGAGATACCAATAATAACTGCAAGACAATTCGATTCTCTTCCTGTCTGTCCTCCTTCATCTAGAATAAATGAGGGAGCTCAAAGGCGGAGAATACCAACGGACATACATATCCCATCCCTTGTGTCCCGTGCAGTCGGCGCTTCGAGGCAACCGTTAGCAACACTTCGCAGGATCCAGAACCACTTTCACATCGCTGCAAAGAACATTAACTGTGAAATTTATAATACAAGCCTGAGGTGTCAATATAAAGTGAATAAACCTTGCCTGAGTCGACTTCCATCAGCTCCCAGTGCAGAAGGTCGGCCGATGCAAGGGTTCGGCTCACCTGGCGATACTTTCGAGTCCCTCACATCCAGGGAAACAAACACAGCTGGCGGGGCTGCTGCACGCCACGTACAAATCTCAAGTTTACAAGGAGGTGGGTGCATTTCACGCATCTTGATTAGACAATAAGGTATATAGTAGCGACCGTCGGGGACACCGCGGGTGTCTATGCTAAACAAACAAACCAGCCTGCATTCCCAGCCCATGCTCCGCCCAATTGCAACGGGTATCAGCCCGGCACTCGCTCTCGAGTGCGCCTCCTTTCGCAATTTATCCCAGCAGAAAAAACTCACAACAGCCCATGCTAAGTCCTGATGACGCTCCACCGTAGGCACGGTGCGGCACGCAAGGAAAAGGTCAAACCGGATGACAACCAACAAAGGAAATAAAACATCCAAAAAATTCTAGATCAAAAACATCTGCCTGCTGCGTGTGATTTCCGCATCCCAATCATGCCACGGAAACGCAGAAAAGAAACGAATCGTCAAAAACCCAAACCCAGTTGGTATCTGAGCAGAAAGCCATGCCAAACAGATAGGAAACAAAACACAGATAACCAACTCCCTAGTCTAGCGAGAGATAAGAAGGAAATGGAATCCCAAAAGAAAAAATTAGAAAAAAACACACCAACCAGCAAAACAACCGGTACCTCTATGGTCATAACTTGGGTAATAAAGACATCATTGGCAACCCTCCGAGCCGTTGTACCGTGTCCTGCCTGTCCGTGGGAATCTGAAAAACAAAGGAAATAAAGGAAATGGGGTATCAATTCTCTGCCACACCGGCCGAGACGGGAAAGAGAAGAGAAGTAGCAGAAGAGGAATCGAAGCTGTTGTACAAGGTAACAAACCCGATCAGGAGCGGGACGTCGCACAATGTGATGCGATGCGTCTCCGGATCGAAGTTCGCACTTCCTCCGCCCCGCTATGGGGGGGCGTTAAGGGGGCGGCGTTTCATGAAAGGAAAGAGTATCTCATTTACTCCTCTTCCTCTCCTGACGCGCCCTCCTTTTCTCCCTTGTGGACCTTCTTGTGCCGCCTCAAGTTAGAGACGACCGAGAAGTGGCGGCCACAACCTTCCACGTCACATGCGAATGCTAGATCCACAATTAGTACCACAAACCGCGTGTACGGGATTCGCCTGAGACTTACGTTTTTCGCCAGTGTGACTGTACATATGAGTCTGGAGAGACGACGGGCGGGTGAACCGTTTGTCGCACACCTTGCACTTGTGCTTCTTCTGAGTGTTGGACGGCATCTTGGAGCTGAACTGACTCATCATCGACTGGGGTCCGGGAGGGGCGCTTCCCGTCAACAGGTTCGACGGACGAGGAAGCGTCCGCGAGAGGTGGCCATTTTCGTAGGATTCCGATGTGGTTGAGCTGTAATCCGTCACGGACGACTCCACGGATGCGACAGAAGCCGAGTAGTATGGGTAGTTGCCACCAGAAGAGATGGACGATCCAGACGAATGTGTCGAGGGGAAACCGTAGGAATCTCCCGAGCCTCTCGAGCTGCGAGGGCCATATATATTGCGAGGCGTCATATCCTGACTGAGAGCGACCATTCCACGACTAGCATCAAGAGCGTCTCCGAATGTTGGGGCAGAGGAGGGTTGCGACTGGCTGACGCGAGCATCACTAGCAGAATCAAGAGTGGTAAGCATACAGATTTCGAATGCGCACGACACCTCCGAGATAAACTTACGCATGAGATATCCGACGGTCCTGGTGTTGGTGCATGTGCGGAGCGTAGCTGAGAGGGGCGTAGCTTGCGGGCGCGAAGCTGCTCATGGGCGAGGCGGTAGTGTAAGCCGGCGCTTGTTCAAAGGAAGTGCGTGGCATGTCGTGCGACAATCCCATCATCTCCGGTCCGGGGTAACTCGAGGCAGTGGCGGTGGTATAGTTGCTGCCGGCGACCATGGAGGGCGCCGAGACGGGAATACTAGAGTATGGCAGAGACATCGAGGGGCGGCTCACTTCGTCCTGCTTAACGTGGCCGAGGCCAATTTGGCTGGGACCCATGGAAGTCGCGTAGACGGGAGGGTTGGAATGGGACGAAGTTTGAGCGGCCCATGGATCCGTGAACTGTGGAGGAGTGTGGTGGTGCATGTTGTGTTGATACACATTATCGAAGCCCATCCCGCCGTATTGGCGGTTCTGGTTTTCAATGACCATCGTCATGGAGAAGAATTGGTGATCGCGTGGAGGCGGGTTTTAAATGGGATGAGACAAGAAAACGGCGTGGTTGACGTTGGGGGGGGAGGAGAAGCACACGAGATCAATCACGGCGCGAGTTTATCCCTAGAAATGCAGGAACCAAAAGCGTCGAGGTGGACGAAGGGGAAGCGCGCGTGCGAGATGGAATGGCAGTGGTGGGGAGACCAGCAAGAATGGAAGGGATGGGAGAGGAGAAAATCGATCGCGAAGATGATCAACAAGGAGAAGTTGGAGGAGGGATGGGGATCCGCGCGAAATGTATACTAGGATAATGCAAGACCCGAGACAAGCTTTGGTTCGGGGAGAGGATGGATGGGGAGGCGCAAAGTAAAATAAGTAGGAGAAGAAGAGACAGCCTTGAAGGAAAGGAGCTCAAATAATAATAGTTTTGAATGAGAAGAAGCAGCCCTTGAGAACCCGACAGTCAGGAAGAAGGAAAGACAGACAGTCTGGGGAAGGGCCCGAAGGGGATCGGCGAAGCTTATGAACGAATACAGGATCGCAGCATGAGGATGGGCCGCAGGGACGAAGGGAAGCCCTGGCGTTGCCGTGTTGGTGATGGCTAGTGCCACTGACGACGTCCCGTCGGGGACGGTTGCAGATCGTTACTTTGGGCCGCTTAGGCTTCGAAACGGCGCCAGTGTTAAAAAACGAGAAAGAGGAATTGCTTAGTGGCAGTGGAAATCTCCAAATGGGAACCAGTTCCTCGGGTGACTCTCAAGGTTTTGGATGGGTCTCTTTCTCCCTGGTTGGGAATTTTGTTTTTCTTTTTTTTTTCGATTTCGATTTTATTTTTTTTACGATTTAATTTACTCACTGAGATTGAATTTGATTTTTGATTTTTGATTTTTTTTGCCCGCTCACTCACTCACTCACTCACTCACTTGCGTACCTCTCTTTTCTCCCCTTCCCCTATCTTAATCCTTTTTTTTTCGAGTATTACTATTATTCTATTCTATGTATCTAGTTGATTTCAATTTTGTTTTCTAGAAATTCAATTTCGAGGCTCATGTTCATTTGCTTCTTTTCTATTTTTGTGTTCTCTTGCCGAATAGGATCCCCTTCATCTAAGGGAAACGATGCATAGATGAAATCGCAATAAGCCTGCTCGATACAATTACAATATTGCGTAAGCACCAGATTCATTCAGAGACATCACGGTTGCTCTTCGGGAGTTCAATATAATTCATACACAACATCGATCCAGGGAAGGTTAAACCAATCACCCCAAAAACGCAGGGGTGCGGAAAGGGGGACACCTGAAACTCCGTCCTGAGGTATGTATGTAAGTGTATGTATGTACGGATCTCAATACGAAGGAACACACCACCGCCGTCTCTGCAGGCCGTATGTAGTCGGTAATATTAATCTAGTCTCGAACCTACCTCCGACGCCGTGGTCAGTCTCCAACACCATCATCACAGAGACGGGACAGCCACAAAAAAGAAACGAGCGTGAGCCAAAGTCAAAAGACTAAAAGGGCAAAAGAAAAAAGGAGAAAGAAAAGGGAGGGGAATGGGAGGGGAACAGAGTGTGGGTTTCTGCGCAAAAGAGAAAAGGCAAACACAAGCAATCGGGAAACATGGAATGGCGGATGGAGTCCTACACTACAGTTCAGGCACAGGACCTCTTTTTTGCGTGGTTAGCCACCGTCCCATGATGGGATATGGAGAACCTACTCCATATTCTCTCCGTGCTCTCTCCGTATGTGGCAGTTCTGTCAGGAGCCGTGCGGGAATATTCCTCACACTCTTTAGGGGGGGGGCGGTGGGCTCCAGGCCTGGGTAGGGGAGGGGAATAGACTACACCTAACTGGGACTGTGAGGGTGAGGAGCGATTAGTGTAAAAGGGGGGGCAGCGGGGGGGGAAGAGGGACTGTAGTTTGTGCCGTGTCTATACAAAGTAGCGTGTCTGGAGGAGGGACCAGGACCAAAACAGAAAGGCGTGGGAGCAGGGTAGATACGAAGAGGGTGTGGATAAAAGGGAAAAAAAGGCGAAAAAAAATCATGGAAAAGGGAAAAATGGAAAAGATTGCAGGAGGGTAGGCAACGCCAAGAGTTAAGCTTAGATGCAGCGACCAAGGTTCGCCTTGAGCCCTTGAGGGTGTTTCAAGGTAGCGGGGAAGTGGCGGCAGATCACAAAGATACGTCAAAGGGTATACCCGTTCCGTGGGGGAGAAGGTCACTGGACAACTAAGAGATAAAAAAGCTCCCAGGATGGGTGGGCCAGCTCCACCGACCGCCCATGATTGACTGGCTGTCCCTTTTCCTTCCCTTTTGCCTTTTTGGATCTGGCAGTCCCAGCAGGTACCTGGTTAGTACGCCGATGTGGTAATGTGAATGTCCCAGGGACCGCGATACCGGTATCGTTACCATGGTACCGCGCCAGAACTACACCAGAACTGCCACCGAAGAGTGAGGATTACTAGGTAGAGAGTGGAAAAGGTGACCGACGACTGCTGCTGCCTTGAACAACTTCCACGGAGAAAGATGGGTTCCCCTTAAGACGTCTGTCTATATCACCGCCAGCCAATGGTGGCATTCCTCCGACGCCATAATGCAGAGGACATGTTGCGCAAGAACAGCCAAGCCTCCATCCAGCGAGGTCCAGACTGATGATTGGTAATTGGTTCATCTGGGCCTAGTACTAGTTGGTAGTACTCGGTACGTACTGGTGATGACTTGGCCTTTGGGAACGCCGTAGCCGGCGGCCATAGGCCATAGGGCGGCCTGGCTGCAGGGCCTACACAGAAACTAGGGGACCACCGGAATACCACTAGCCGGCAGCATCCTAATCGAGGCGGTATAGCAACGGCGGCTCGTACGCGGATGCTTTCGCAGGCTCGCAGGTGAGCAGCAGGGCGATGGAGCCCTCCATGCTTCGAATCATCGAATCTTCCTGTCGAAGCTCTTCTCGACGCGCATCCACCTCAAGTTCGTTTGCATGCATGGCGGCGCTGCAGCAATCGGTGCAAGGCCAAATTGAATCATGCGACGGGTACACCGTGCGTACGGACTCCATACCGCAAAGATCTGGCAACGGAAGCATCAGGCTCGTATCCCAGCTTCAACTACTAGTAGTTATGCTTCCGAGCCGACATTAAGCAGGATGGGACACATCTCAACCATAGAGCGACGACATCCATCCCGGCGGTGGCATGTACATGGAGCAGCTAACTTTGCTGCCGATGCAAGCAGAGCAAATTGGGTCGGACTAATCATCAAATTGCTGCAACCCCGTCAGCCATGATGCTGTAGGTGATGGTATCGGGGAAAGGATGCAGAGGGAGCAGCAGAGGCCATGCAAGATGACGACATGGCTTTGCGATTACACCGCGTTGGATCGGGACGTCGACCATTTTGCGCATTCTGCAGAGGTCGCGCTCGCGTGTATCTAACCCGGACGGAGTAAACCGTCATGAGATATTTGCCTCCGGTGCGGAGTTCGAGCATCACCATACCAATAAGGTGAGGGTTGGAAAAGAGTCCGAGGCCTTTTCCCCTCTTTCTGTTGGTAACAAGTAATATCCAACAAGCCCCGCCTCGGGGTGCGGGTAGCAACCAGGGTCACGTCAACCGCGGTGGTTTCCGTAAATAACCCCGGGAGGATTGATTCTGCTCCGTGTCAGCGTAATTTCCATGCCTCCAAGTTCCTGGGAGGGTAACTACTATGATACCATAGTAGAATCCAACCCTCCGGATATTAGCTCAGCCACTAAACTTGAGGAATGTCATCTATCGACTATCTGGATAAATTATCGCACCACCATCTCCGATTCAGATCGTGACCACGTTACCGGGATCCCATGGGTGACCCGCTCATCCTCGGTTCTGGCTGGCTAGTGACATGGGACGGGAAACCAACTTCCATCCATTCCCATGGCTTGCTGGCTCTGGATCCAAGTTTCTCTGCTTTTTTTCCTCTGGGATAAAGCATGGTCAATAGACTACTACTCCGTACTATTGTGTGGTCTTTGCTAAGTTCCTATGCGAAATGGGGCGACTGGCGAAGTTAGCTCCCATATAATCCCACCCGCTTAAATTGCGTTCTCCGAAAATAGGGAGCCGTCCACACCGACGTCAGAGCGCGGGATCAGGGTAGCCGTAGGAGCCCGCGCCCTACGCTAGCGGCACCAGGCCAGCAATTTGAAATCCGCTATAGGTCGGATAATGGGAGAATAGAACACATCACACGCAACATCCACCTCCCAACTAGCAGAGCCAACATTGGTGCGGAGATAACCTCGAGCGCGGAGTGGATTCGTCGCAGCTGAGTGATTTGAGTTCATCCTACCGAGCGTGCATGGATATCACCAAGCTGGACAAAGGGTCAATGACCTCAGCTCCTGAACTCTTTGCTTGGTTGGCTAGGCATGACCTGGGCCTAGACTCGGTGGAGGATAAAGAAGCTCTTAATCGATAAGCCAAGCATGACCGCCTGTCAACTCACGATGGCTAACAGCCTAACACAGGAGGCTCATCAAAGCCCCTATGCCAGACTTACCAGTGGTATCTACTGCACCCTAAAGAAACGTCAAAGTGGATGCTCGGTCAGGAGTGACGGACGCCCACTTCTGCAACCGTTCGGCTGGGGCGTTTTCCTGCCCACTTCCCTGAGGATGATGGTCTGTGGCCACTGGAGCCGGGAGCTGGGAGGACCACCAAGGATCAATATGATAGGTACAGCTCATCACCTCTCGGGACTAGCTTAACTTAAGGTTTTCTTGATGCTCTGGAGGGGTGGGCATCGAGTCCACGATAACAGGCTAATAGGCGAGGGTGCAGACTGAGCGACAGGGGAATCTGCTGGAGGGTGACCACATGCATGCCCTCTTGCAGTCCGAGCATCGGAGATGGCGGTTTAGGTTTGTGCCCTGGCCTGAGAACAATGGCTATCTTTTTTTTGGAGTCCGCTGTCGCGTGGTGTGTGCTGGGCGACACTTGTTGAAACGAAAAGCATCCTGTAATTCTGGAAATCGTCATTGGTTCCCGGACCAACCGCCTCTCGACATACCGTAAAGAGCAGGTGCAAGACAGGTTGGGCCAGCGTTGTGCCAATGAGAGGGGCGGACGGGCAAAAGCGGCGGCGGGAACGTGGGTCGGGGAAACCCACCCGGCCTGGCACGAGGCTGGCCATGCGATATGGGCCTCTCTTCCCAAACGCTCGAGTTCTGGCCCATGGATCGATCATGGAGAACCGAAAAACAAAGTTGGGCCCCCCCTCCTTGACCCTCCCCCCCTCTTTCCATCGCACTAGATGTGATTAGTGTGATTAATGGCGGTTGGGGCCTCAATAGTCAATAGTGTCCATCTGGATTGGGACAAGTCTGAGTGACAGCGTCAGGCCAAGCTTCCACTTTCGCCTCCCCCAATTCTTCAGACCTGGACTGAAAATGGACTTTTACGCAAAAAGGTAAGTCGACAGGTGAAGCTCTCGAGGGAACATGGTACCGGGACCGCCAGTGTCCCAGCCTAGCCACTAAGGTTCTGCGGCGTCTACTTTAAATGACAGTGCTGAGTACTGACGGTACTGACTCTCCACATAGGACTGTGCACACTGCACAGTGTACACAGCAGTACACAGTACACAGGATCTTGAGTTGGGAGTGGTTGGAGTATTCAGCTGTGAGGGGGAATGACAAATTGCCGTCGCTGTCTCACGGCTCCAGCTTACTCCGTACCTTGAATCTTTTCTTTTTTGCTTATGGTTCAGGTTTTCTGGAGGACGCATCATCAGTGAGGCGCTGCGGAAGGGGCGAGGAGAGTTTCTCACTCCGGAGTCAACTTTCCCGGTTCGTATCCACCTCTGGACTCTTGACGAGGATTTCCGAGAAGCCAGGAGCCTATAGGCGTTCTCGAATTGACTGATCCCTTGTCCTTCAGGTGCAATATATCTGGGCCGAGGGTTGTTTCATCCCCAATCACGGAGCTTCCGCAACACCATGCCATCTCGGAGTTGGACTTGTGATATCTACATGTTGTAGCCAATAACCACCGCAATCACACGCTTCGGAGTTGTGTCCTATCCAAGTCCGTCTCGGGACGGGATGTAGGGGCAACGGCAACTTGACACCGAGCAAACCTATGCTGTCAATTCTATATTGTACACAGTACGGAGTACAACGTAGACGATGCCGACTTCGGGGGTTGGGGATGATGCAAAGGGTACGGAGTAAAAGGGCAACCATACTCCGTACTGCAAGTTTCTACGGGATACATCCACTCCACGGTCGCAAACTGGATACACTGAGTTGTGCGTGGCTTCATACTCCTTTTTGCGAAGGCTCATTCTGGGACATGGGAGCTCCACCAGAGTGGTATACATAAGTGGCAGGTACGGCGTGACGGGGAACCCAAAAGAGCGAGCCGAAATCGCTAGGAAACAATAGGTATGCGGGCTGGATGGAGTCTGGTAGTCCAGAGGCCCAAGCGGTGCATTGCGTAAACCAGCAGAAGAATCCCGCGCCCGAGATTTGAGGGCGACACTGGAGGCTGAACAGTCCGACTATTTTAATCGCAGGAATGAGAGTATAGCTACGGAGTAGCAGTTGGAGAGGCAGTATCGAGTGCTTGGTCCAACGTACTTTGGCTGACGACGACCAGCCTGAGACGTGACTCAACCAGGTGGTACAAATGACAGTCGGCCTGGATGGGGGATTGAATCCTGTTGCCGGCTTGGCTGATTTGCCTCTTGACCGCCGGATCCGCTTCCCAGCGGAACCGTGCCTTAACGCCACTCAGCAACTCAGCAGGCCAACCATCCGGATCTCACCGCTTTTCCGTACGGCAACCCTCTATTTGCTGTCAGTCGCCCCTCTTTGCCCCAGTCTAGATAGTACTAGGTAAAGGAACGAACTGAGTTCCCATCAATCCGTGCCTTAGCGCTTAAGGTTTGCCCTCTTTGCAGAAATTGGCCCTAAGCCTATCCCGGCAGGTCGTACACTACCCAATTAGGTAGAGCGCCCCCTTGACACGGCACATCATCCCCAAAAACGCGTAACGGGACCCAGAAACGGTCGGCCAATCATCAGCCACATCCACCCAAGACCGGGCTGACCCTGCCCCTAATCCATTGCGGGGAGTCCTGATGTGGTAACCCGGTGGGGCCACCTGAACACCTCGTACCGTGGCCGCTTTGCCTTCCTGATTAAGCTGCCCCTATGCTTGAAGCCTTGAAGGCAGTATATCCGGGTGGCTGATGCAGTTTCCACGGTTTGACTTTGATGCTGCAGTACTCCGGACATAGTAATGTGCACCAGCCTTGTTATTTGATATAATGCTGTCTATTCTACAAAGTACAGTATAGAACCTAGATACATAGTATTGGGTCTAGATCGATGAAGCACCGTGTTATAATTAGGACATTAATCTCGCTTCCATTGTCTACAATTCTACTATCAACGCCAAGGAACATAGGACATCGTTCCGAGGATTCCGAAATGAAATATCTCTTGGTAGTTGGAAACAGCAATAACAAACGAGTTGTCTCAGCAGATACCTAGTAGTGGTGTAGTACACACAGTAACTAGTCATCTAGATCTATACTCCGTAGTACGGTAGCCAACCAAACTAATCTCAAGCCACCTAATCTATCTACCACGAACCACCATGACCGGCATCTACATAGTACGACGATCATCCATGACATCGGCACTCATTAGTGTCTGACCAGCCAGCACCAGCACCAGCACCAGGGTGAGGGCCAGGGCCAGAATTAGGCCAGAGCAGGGCCAGGACCAGGATCAGGGCCCCAGTGACAATCAGATCAGGAACACTATCCATCCATCCATCCATCCATCCATCCATCCATCCAACACCTATCTATCTATCCATCTATCTAGTAATACCAAGAAAAGATAAAAATAACCACACCAAGCAATGCACCAAATTAAACGAATCTTCAAGAACAACCCAGACCCCCCTAGGAAATGCTAAACAGTAGATACATGGTCGATCTCACTTTATTTTATTCCCTAGATAGACCAGCTGAAACAAAAACGACCCCCCTGGGACAAACAAACATCTGTCAATTCTGCACGGGGCTCATCAGGTTCGGATCCTCTTTGCTTTTTTTTTTTCTTGGCAAGTGTGGGCGTCGTGGGCATGGCATGGGCATGGCAGTTGGTAGATCCTATCCATCCATATGATCCCACACGGCAGATCGTCGTGATTGGCATGCGTTGTACTATTACTAGGATGGGGCAGGTGTTAGATGGGTGAGTAATATATATTAAGGATTAGGATAAGGATTAGGATAAGGATAAGGATAAAGTATAGGGGTTACCATGATACCTAGATAGATAGCTAGATAACTAGATGGTAGGTAAAGAGAGAGAATTATGGTGGCAAACACGATCGTGATAGTAATACTTGTATCATACATACAAAGATACACCACCACACCCACGCGCGATCGAGGTTTAATCCCCAACCCCAACCCCAACCCCAAGCCAAAAGGTAAACCCAAACTTACAAGATCCCAATACCATAGATCTAAGAAGAACTAAAAAAAAAAAAAAATTGAGAAGAAAACGTGAAACCCAAAGCGCTTTAGAATAATCGCCTTACCTAGGTACGGGAGGAGTCTTTTTTCTCTTTGCCGCATCTTCCCATGTTCCATGGTGTCAACCTGAAAATTGAGACCACCAGTGGATGGATGTGGGTGGGGGGGGAGGCAAGCAAGCATAGTTTACTTTACTTTTCCCATACGAAGGAACACACTACACACTACCTAGAACAAAAGTGAAGGTTCCATCTACTTTCTTTTTCGGTTTTGGGTGTAGTGCAGTGCCCTTCTTTTCTTTTTCTTATTCGGTTGTGGGAGGTAGAGTTTAGTTTTGAGTCTATCTACATAACTAATCTTAATCAAACTATCTTAGTTTGTTCGGTTGGTGGTTAGTTAGTTAGTTAGTGACTAGGTTTGTTAACTTCGTATACTCCATAGTATGTACTATGTATGGGGGCGGTTGGAGATGGAGTGGTTGTCCCCCCGTCCATACCCAAATTTTTGACAGGAATTGTTCACTGGATGGATGGGTCGGACTGCGGATGTTGATGGGATGGATGGATGAAGGAAAAGTGGGGTGGGAGTGAGCCAACACTGAATAGGAAGGTCGGGTGCCAAGCCTGAGAGACTAAGTAGGTACCTAGGATAGGTACCTAGAGGCGAAAGGAGAATTCAGCTACTTATTTACGGAGTACACAACAGGGGTAACTATTTGCTTACAGGGTATACGATTAGATAGGTAGGTGGTAGTTGCAACAATTTACAATGATTATGAGAATGGCGCAATTGCATACCATGATTGGAATGTGTCAGAAATAAACGTATCTGATTGGCTGGGTCCCCCGATATACCACCGCGACCAACCAGAATCAAGATCCACTTTGTTCCAGCTCAGATCTTCTACTTGTCTAGTGTCTACACTCTACACAGTATGGTAGGTAACTAGGTACGGAGTACTACTGTAAGAACTAGGCATAATCCGTGGGATGCCGGAGCTGAACTGAGCGGGTCAAGCATCACTATTGGCAAACCACACTATGATAATTTCAATCCCTGGGCTAGAAAAGCAGGGAGGCCTGCAGCCACAATCCCCGGGGACGGCAGATAGTCGATAGCCGAGCTTGGCTCGACCAGATAACCCAATCATAGGATGCGCCCCACCGCAGCTGACGCGTGCACATCTTGAGCCTGCTTCTTCTTCCTCCGTCTATGGATTATCTCATATTTCAGGATACCTACTACTGCATACTACACACTACTCCGTAGATAACTACAGTGAAATAATAAATACCACTGGAAACAATCCACCCATCACAGCAACACCACATAACACACACTCTAAAATAAAATAAAGTAAAGTAAAGTAAAGTAAAGTAAAGTAAAAAACTAACTTCATCCCCAAACTCAACTCACCTCACCCAAGTTAAAGCCCGTATCGGCCTCCATATGAACCCCGCAAGCCCGTTGCCCGAAATCCCTGCGTGCGATCCTGACCGACCCACCTGGCACCCAAACACTGCCACTCTCAGGGTTGCGGCTAGCAGCCACCTGAAACACGCCGCTCCATTCTTGCTGTCGAGAGGAGAAAGGTATGGGTTCCACCCGCCACTCTTCATGAACATGTAACTGGTCATCCAGAATGATATCACCCTACCACATGCTTGAGCCTTGGGGTCGTATTCTTTTATTTTGAGCAGCTAATACTAATTATAACAATAGCATTCAGTTATTGATTAGTGGTGAGTTGAATTGAGATTTTAGGGGTGTATACCACCCAAGTATGTAGAGTAGGTAGGTGTACGTAACCTCCCGTACCTACCTGCCTACATGTAGGTCCATGTACATGTACATGTACGCGGGGTGACGACTTCACCTCACCGAGACAGCAGACAGCAGCAGACATCGGCCACTCAACCAAAAAGGAAGCAAATCCGCCCGCCACCAGGACCCTGAACAGCCTAAGCTTCCTGCGACAGCCGCTGGATCATCCCGTGTCTAGTGAGTGGGCCTTCACCATCGCCTACCTAGTTATCTACCTACATAATAATAATAAAGTATACAGTTACGCGTTTGTCTCAGGAGTCACATCAACGGTCTTACGAATCTGAAACCATCCCCGATGGATGATAATCTGATTGTTTCGAATTGGATCCTGATGACTATGACTATAATATGGCATGGTATAGTATTATATTAAATAACGATAGGAATGGTCGGTCGGTTAGTTGACTAAATATCTAGTGCGTGCTTGATCCGTGTGTGATCAATGCCTGAATATGGTATGGATTGGATTGGCATTTAATTTGATGTTCTATTAATATATGAATGAGGAAGACCCTGCATTTGGAGGTGGGTGGTGGGTGGTGGGTAAGTAGACGTCATATGGTGATAAGTAGTGATACCTACCTACCTACCGTTATGATAATTGATAGCTCATATGGAGGTTCGCGTGGGTGATGGATGTAGGGTATGTATGTGTCTAAGAGACGCGTGGTTCAGGTACTTGTAGTTGTCACTTACATGAGATCTAGCTTTGAGGACAGTAGTTTATCTTAGAAATGAGAAACATGAGGGATAAAGTTAGAGACATTATGGAGTAGGTAAGTATAGAGTAGATCCCGACACATGGGCACATCACATATGAGTATTTCGGCTTCACATGTCCCTCGGAATACCTACTGCCACACTACTAACAAAACATACGAAATATCACCACCACCCCTCCTAGGCATCCCAAACAAGGAACAAAATAGTACAATACAACCCTGGAAAACAATTCCACGTCTCCCAGCCTATCATTTCCGCCTCCCACTTCATTAAAACATAGGGTTGCATTTGCACATCCCGTAGCCTAGTTTATCCGACCCATGTGGAATACTTCCCGACCGACGACTTACCTACTGTGTATGTAGGTATGGTATGGGTATGCAGTACGGAGTATGATATGCCTAAATCAATAATGTGATTGCACTGCCTCGTTGGAACGGAGGACAGTAGTCCAACTGCATGTGTTACCTGGATTGATGTATCATTTGTGTGGAGGTAGGTAGGTACTACATAGTACCTATGGTAGGTGTGGGTGGATTAGGCAGGGAAGTTTAATTGTAGGCAACTAATCTGGTGTGATGAGTATTGGGTGAGTCAAGTGTGGGTTAGGTACATGCTAGGTGGGTAGATAGGTACCTAGAGAGGAGTAACTAATTAGTTAGAGTAAACGCGCTGAGTCAGCTCATTTCCTTCAGCTCCTTCAGCTCAGCTCAGCTCGTTCATTCAGCTCAGTCAGTAGTGGTAAACCAACAAAACACCAAAGTAAGATGCTCAAGCTAGGTAGTACTTACTATGCTACTTACCAGTAGGTACCTAGGTACTCCTCAGTACCTCAACTAGGTACAGTAGTACAAAAACCACCCACCTAATTTTAAATCCCCTCACCCCTCCCCTCCCCAAATACCACAACAACAACAACCAAACAAAGCAATTATCCAGTCTATTCCAACCTACCTACCTACCTACCTACCTAACTATCTACTCAACCTATTAAATATCAACAGTCTTCATTACCCCCATCCGGAAAATGTACAAAATACCTACCACCTCACACACCAAAATAGCCATCTCCAAATAATGTTCCCCACTTAGCGCAAACCAATGGCAGGGACTGGTTGACAACTAACCCCATCATACCGATCCCCCCCCCTTCACACCTAACCAATCATAATCCCTCCCCACACGGGAACGCAGAAGCCAAGCCCACACATGACATGGGTGATGGGGAAAGGCTTACGCGGCACATAACTGAATTGAAGTGGATGGGTTGGAGAGGGGCTTGCCTGCAGGGTGCAGTAGGGCTTGGCGGGATTGCGTGGATGATGATGATGAGATCATGGATACGATATTGGGGGGTTGTCATTTGTCTTTTGGGTAGGTAGGTAGGTAGGTAGGTAGTAGGTGCTGGGTACTGGGTAATGGTTTTGGAGATGGGGGTTTGCGTTGGGAGATATGGTGTATGCTGCATAATAAATATTTACCTTATATTGTTTGGTGGTGTGTAGGTGTAGGTAGGTACTAGGTAAAGCATGGATTTGATGGATGCTCCTCATATCTTTGATTGTGGTGGTGCTGGTAATGTGTGTGTAGTTGTTGGGGATGGTGAGTTGTTGGTATGGTTGTGGTTGCACACTGAATGCTGTGCTAGTTATTCGTCCTTTACATGGTTGAAGATGTATATATCTAAGTACTATGTGCCTGATGCGGTAGGTATAGATGTAGTAAATGTAGATGAGATGTAGATGAATTGTACTTCGATGCTGGCCTGGTGGTGAATCTGCTACAATCTGCAACACCTAGTCGAAATACTATATCGATATATACCAAATCTATACCCAGTATAACATCTCAATTTCTGACCAACCCTATAATCAACTACAACCGCGCCTTCACATTTGATACCCTCGCTGCCGCCGCTGCTCCAGCCCGCCGTCCAAAAACCGCCCCCGACGTCAAACCACTCCCCCCAGGATAATTATCATAAAACAACCCTCCCAACATCTCTCCCACACAATACAACCCCGGCACCTCCTGGTCCGTCATCGACGACACCACCGCCGCCGTGTCCGGTCGAACCGCCAACCCCCCAAACGTAAAGGTGATGCCCGCCGTGACCCTCACAGCCAGGAACGGTCCTTGATCAATCGGCAACGCCCAATTCGACTTGGGCACCGTGAGTTCCAACCCCTCCGACTGCGTCGACAGTCCATCCTTCACAGCCGGATCCCACTTCCCCCCCGGCTGTCGACGCTGCCGTTCATACACAGCTCGGTTATACTCGTGAATACTCTGCTCGAACCGCTGCGCATCCTCTAGATCAAACAGCGCACACTTCTGCGCCAACTCACTAATACTATTCGCACTGATATGCTGCACCACCTCCGGCCGGTACTCCTCCGAACGCAGCCAGGGAATCGTCCGCGAATCCCAGATCTGGAACGCCATGTGGCCCGGCTGATTGAGAATCTGCCGTCCGATCATCGCATACGTATAGTTGCGCAGATCCGACCCCTCGTCCACGAATCGGTTTCCCTGACGGTTGATCATGATTCCCAACGGGTATCCCGACTTGGTGAACTCGTTGGAAATCTCCCGGTCGCCTGTATCCGCAGGCGCGTTGGCATCCCACGCCACGCAGTGACATCCGGACCAGTTCCCAGCCTGTTTGGCTGAGACGTCCCGGATCGCCATGTCGAATGCATCGCCCGAGTTATAGGGCGTGCCGCGCACCAGCGCCACGTCCCAGTGCGGTCCAAGATACTGGGCACGCATGCGCGGATTGGCTTCGAAGCCGCCCGCGGCGAGAATCACCGCGCCGGCCCGGATAGACTGGTCGTGGCCGTGATGCGAGACCACCACCGAAGTGACGGCCCCGGACACCGGATCAGTGACCAGTTTCTGGGCCGCGGTGGAGAAGAAGATCCGAATGCCCAGTTTCCGGGCCGCTTGCAAATGGTCCTGGATGAGACCTTTGCCTCCGTCTTGGGTTTTCAGGGCAAGGCCGCCCCAGAACTTGAGCCGGCCGTTGACTTCGTATGCTTGGCGGTTGAAGGAGAGTTGGAATCGGACGCCGTTACTGGCGAGCCATTTGATGGCCGAGTTGGACTCGGTGACTAGTGTTTGGCAGAGTTCGCGATTGGTTCGGCGACCTGTGACGCGGTTCATGTCGCCGGTGAAGTCGTCGACGGTGTATGGACTCATGTCGATTTTCTGGGCGGTGGTTGCGTCGACGTTGTTCACGATGGGGAGGAGGTCCTCGAGACCTCCGTGGACGGTGCGCATTGCGCCCGCGGTGAAGTAGGAGTTGCCTCCGGCCCATTCTTCAGGACATTTGTCGATGATGAGGACTCGTTTGGCGCCGGACTGGGCGGCCGAGATGGCGGCGCAGAAGCCGGCATTGCCGCCTCCAATGACGAGGACGTCGCATTCTGAGGGAAGGGCCATGTTAGATGATTGAGTAGAGAGTATAGTGGTTTGGGGATGACATCTACCTGATGGCTCACGGTGCGTTTTGTATGGACTGGCGGGGATTGTCCGCGGGTTGGGACGGAGAGTTATCCTCCGTCGGTCCACGGGCGGAGGCAGCCCTTCCGAGCTGGCTTCACGTCATCGCGGAATAATGTTTGGGAGGATCGCAAACCTCGCATGGCCTGATGCGGAGCCTGAGTCCGCATCGAATTGCGGGGAAATCAGATCATTTGATGAATGACGCTGGAGATCGGGGAAGACTTGAAGCTCTTACAAAGGACTGGCTAAAGGTGAAAGGAAATGCCATACTACTATATCTTGTAAAGTGTACACGCCAATCCCGCCAGAGAAACACCATAATCGAACAGCCCAGATGCAAAGGTAGACACAAAGGTAAAGTAGAAAAGGCAGAAAGATACAGAATTATGCGCTGGCTTTTCAAACTATGATCGACAACTCGGCCCGGTCCAGCCCATCGTCCTCCAGCCCGGGATAGTAGGGAATCATCGCGTCCGCACTCTGCACGTAGGCATCGTTGTACAGCCGCCAATATGGCACCCGCACCTTGCGCGCCGGGTGGAACAGACCTGCCCACACGTAGTTCATCACCACTCCCGTGCCCACGGCCATCCGGATTGCATCAATGGCCTCAATCACACGGTCGATCACGTGCGGGCTGGTCTCGAAGATGTTGGGGAACACCAGGTTCAGAAGATGCACCATCGCGTCTTCACAGCCCAGTCCAACCACGCCCAGCGCAATATGCTTGACAACGCTGGCTGCCGTCTGCCGATGCACCTGATCCCGATCGATGAGAGCATCCTCCAGCAGTGGCGTCACTGCATACACGTAATCCTTGGCCATCTCGCCAATGTACTCGAACAAGAAGGACATGGCCTTCAGCACACCGTTCTGGACGTTCAATTCTGGAACACGGTATTCGTTCATCAACGCCGGGAGCACGGTAAAAGGCGCACAAGTCTCAGCCACAATACCAATGGCGACGGCGGTACACACACGCGATTGACGTTCCTGGACACGGAGGTTGTTGAGCAGCGTCGCCAACACATCCTGGGGACCAATGGCCTTGGCAATGAAACCGAACGTGTTGTTGGCAGCACGGCGGATACCCTTCTTGTGCGCCTTCAGCATGTCCAGCAGCTCGAAACAGATACGCATCCACTCGCGGGCATTGACCGACTCCGGGCCACGATCCGCAATACGACCAACCAGATCGATGGTGTTCTCTTGCACCTTCTCGTGACGGTTACGCAGGATAGGGGTGAGTCGAGGCAGCAGATCCCGGATAGGAGGCTGCATCTGGTTGATACCGACCACGGTGACAATCGAACGGAGAGCACCCAGGATGGATCCAAGCACCTCGGGGTACTCCTCACCCAGGTATTCGTAGAGCACAATACCAAGCTTGCCCATCAGTTGGTCCTCTCCGCACTGCTTCATGACCATGGCAATGCGTGAGATCAGATCCGCAGCCTGCTGGCGGACCGTGGCGGATTTGTTGTTCAGTCTCCACAGAATGGTACTGACAATCTGGGGGAGATACGGCTTGCAGCGAGTGCCGAGGGCGTTGACGACGGTTCCAAAGCCGTTGAGGATCACAATATCCTCAATGCTCTGTTCCTGGAAGGCATAGAGGACACCATCAATGAGTCTCTCCTCCAGCCGCTCGGAGATATCAGCAGCGCCAAGGGCAGCGATCAGCTTCTCGACGGTTTCGACAGTCATCTTCCGGTAGGGCTCGCTTTCATCTTTGAGGTTGTTCACAACGCGCTCCAAAATCTCGCCCACGCCGACCTTCTGGCCGAGGTCGACAGTCGTATCGACCACCTGGCGATAATTCCTCCTGTCCAGGGCCATACGGCGCACCCAGAAGCTCTTGAAGAAGTCGGTCAACACATGTTCCTTCAGGTAGCTGGCTGTCACACCATCAGTGCTGGCGCACTGGGAAACCACCTTCAGGACAACCTTCTTCATCTCTTCATCCGGGGAGCCGAATTCACGAAGCAAAATCTCCATGATCTGACTGGTATAGTAATTGGCATATTCCTCGTCCATGAGGGGAATGATGTAACCGACGGCCTTCAAGAATGCAGCCAGACCCTTACCGCGTTGCTTCCTGGCTCCAGTCCACAAGGGGTTGAGGATCTCATCGAAACTTTCGATACCATAGGGGTTGGCGGCCTCGGCCAGCGCAGCCACAGCCAAAGCGGTGACTGTTCGGACCTTGGCTTGCTCGTCACTGAGATTGTCGGCAATACAGTCGACCAGGCCTTTCAGATGAGGAAGAATGGCACAACCCATGAGAATAGGAATCTGCTGGACAATCTTGACACCCGTATGGCGGGCCTGCCACGACTTCTTACTCCGACACACGGCACGGAGGAAGGGAAGAAGCGCAGGGATACCCAGTGCAGAAGCAACGACAGCAAACGCTCGAGCAGTCGTGTTACGGACATACTCGTCGACATGGTCGATATCAGGACGCATCGTACTAATCATCGTGGCAAGACCGGCCGCCTTGGCCAGGTTAGAGATAATTTCACGACCTTCCACACGAGCATAGTAGTCTTGGTCGATCAGCAAGGGCTCGATGACGACGAGGATCTTGTGAACGTAAGGACGGACAAGGTCGTCCAGCTTGTACAAGACACGGTCGATGACCTTGACCAACAGATGGCGCTCCTGGTCTTCAAGAGACTTCTCCATCAGAAGAGGGAGAATCTGGTTGAATAGAGGCCCGGCACCGAACTGCCGCGCGTTGTCGGTGAGCTGACGCAGTGCTGTCTTTCTCATCGGTGGAGTGCCGTTCTTCACTTTCAGCAAAAGTCTCATGATCTTCCGCTCTTTCAGCTCCTCCACAGACATCGCGCTCTCATCTCCACCTTCCATCAGCTTTCCAAAGTACGCCATATCTTCTGGCTTAAAGAACTGTAAATCACCAACACCGGGGATTTCGGTTGGGAGCTGCTTGCCCAATTGACGAGCGCTCTCCGGCTCCTGCATCATGAAACCTCCAACGCCCGTTGCACTGGCCATTGGCGCTGGTGTGGCCATGAGCTTCCTGGCGGGGTTCCGAATCGGGGCATAGCCCGGAGGAGGCTCGAGGATCTTGTAGCCCTCCGATGGCAGCATCATATCAAGTTCTTCGTCCGACAGAGGAGCATTGCGCGCAGAGATATCAGTTCCAAAGCTGGATGGCATCACAGGTACACCTACTTGGGAAGGGTGCATCGGGGTAGCAAGCCCTGGGTTGCCCACGGGGGTTGCTGCGGCAAGGGCCGGTGCCTGATCCCATCGTGAACGGCGTTTGGGGGCATCCTCGGCGGCGCCTGGAACAGCCGGTGCGGGCGTTTGGTCCCAGCGAGATCTCTTGGCCTTGGAGTCTGCGGGCTGCGCGGCCTCACCCTCTGGTGCCGACTCTGTAGGCTCCGCTGCCACATCCCACCGCTGCTTACGCTTGCGACCGGTGGCGACCGAGACCGTAGAGCCCGCTTCGGCGTTTTCCTTGTCCTCCAGCGTCAAGGTGGCCTGATGTTCCTGAACATCGTCCTCTCCACGGCCCTGCTTGTCTGCGATCAGCTTCTGCACACGCTCTTCTTCTTTCTCAAGCTCACGCAGAGCCATAACTTCACGGTATGTCTGGCCGTCCTCCCCTTCCACGTTTGCATGTGTGTTCGCGGCAAACGGATCAGCGCGCGTAGGCGTCAGCGGGCCCCGGTTAAAGCGACGCTTCTGATAATCGGTCTCGCGATCTGCAATCCGGGCCGCCTTCTCGCGCCCGAGAAGAATGTCCTCCTCTTCCACGCCATTGCCCTGGGCAAACTCATCTATCTGACTTCTGGTCGCTGTGTATTGGCCCACCAAGCGGTGGCCTCCGTCCGCATCCTCCATTTCATCATCATCTCCATTGACGGCGATAGAAGTGTCGTATCCCGCAAACTTGTCATTGCCCTCGCGTTCGTAAAGGGTGGTGTCGAAGGATTCAGTCAGGGAGGCCTTGGTCGAGTTGTCAGTGCGCTGGCTAGACGGATCAAAGGTCCTAGAACCTTTACTCGCAGCTGCAGCAGCATTCCGCTCAGCTTGGAGCCTTCGGACGGCTTCGAAATCAGCTGTAGGGATGGTTAGCCCGTGATGACAAGAGTCGGGTTCGCAATCGGGGGGACCTACCGTCGGACATGGTGGCGGTGGTAGAGATCCCAAAGACGAGATAGAGAACAAACACTCCCAGGCAGGGGTAACAGCAGCTACATTCGGATCAAAAAAGCGGTAATGGCGACCTTTTGGGGGCGATAGAGGACGCTGCGCTGATGTCTCGCGATGAAAATATCAGAGGACGTGAGGTGAAGTTCGGCGGCGGGAGTAGATTGATGACTAATTGCACGTGACTTTCACGTCATATAGATAGCACTATACTCTTTTCTTTCTCACTGTTTTCTCTTCTATCATATCATCTCTTAAGAAAAGGAAATTTAGTGGCGTATTGAAATACTTACTGGCTGTCAATGCCATGCAGTACCATTTATGGTCTGGCCATTGGGGAAAGAAAGAAAGAAAGCACATGGCAAACCATGCCATTATCCAGCCTGCCACGATAATATGCAATTTATAAATCAAGCTGAAAACTTTGTGCTATGGCTTAAAAGGCCCCTAAGACTTGTACAAAGCTAATGGTGAACAAGTGTGGCCAATGAAGATGGATATCAAACATGTCCTGAGAAATATATATTCCGATGCGGCTACATAAACATTTTCTTATGTAGAACCACTATGTGAGAATTATACATTTGTACGGTCAAGAAACCTAGACAAAAGTTGACTTAAATGATGATGTTCGTCATAGATCCCGATCAGATCGACAATACTAGGCTGAAGAGTGAGCAGCTAGCAAGGAGGCTCAAGCATCCTTATACTATAGAGACACGAAAACGAGATCTGGATTACCTAATTGGTAGGATCTCTTGTTCTTTCACCCGTATAGCTTGTTATTAAGACATGGGAGCCATGCATGTATTTATCATGATTATGCAAGTCTTCAAGGCTAAAATTATACAATGAGTTGACTTAGCTTCCAGGCTACCCTCATGTTACGTTGAAGTCACTTATATCGAGAAAGAGCCTCCACCATGAAGCGGTACCAATGATGCCTGAAGTCCTCCTCTGTGTCATTTGGAAGGAATAATCTAGGGATTGAATCGAGTGTTTCTAATTCTATCATGACTTCTGAGCTACACATATAGCGGTAAGTCGCGACCAACAAGGTATTGTCCAGCAACGAGTGTCCCATGCTGCATTAGAACTCCGTTCTCCCACGGCCATAGACTGGACAAGTGAGCTCCGCCAGACATATATTCTAGCCCATCCGTGCCGTGATGTGAGCAGTAATGGCATATCAATCCGAATTAAAGCTCACCAATATGAAAGGGATGGTAGGTTCTACTGTGCAGTGGATCTAGCTAGGACTCTAAACCTATGCACCGAGTAGAACAATCCCTAAGTAACAGCTATAAATCAGCTCCAACAAAGGCTACATGCTACCTACCACATAGCACCACCCTGAATGTCTTACCTGCACCAAGAACCCAGCAGCAGCACCACCATCTACTCCAACCTCAACCTCAACCCACCATACCGAGATTACATACCACAAACAAGTAAAAACGCGTCACAATCTTTCAAGCCCAAGTTCCACATAAGAGAAATGCGTCTTTTCCTCTTCACCAATGACTTCTCATTTCATTCTCAGTCATAATTAACAATAGATTAAACCGAAAACCAAAATGAAGGGCCCGTCCACCAAGCAATGACATCATGTATCCATTTCCCACGCACCACGCGACAAAACCTTACCGGGAAACACAAAACCCAAAACCCAAAACCCAAAACCAGAAAATCCGAAAATCCTCAGTTGTGAGACAACGAAAGCAATAATCAAATCTAGGACTAATCAAATAAATGAATAATTAAAAAGCCAAAAATCGAAATAATCAAAGAAATCATCCTGCTGGATACTGGGATAGGTGTTCCATCTGGCCCGTCCCCACTTTGTTTCAGCCCAATATTAATTGCGGACTGTAGCAGATTAATGGCTGGAAACCTCAACGGTTTCCGCGAGGCCATTGCACGTCCCCCGGTGGGACTTGTGGGATGTAGACACTAGACGGACTAGCATCGACATGCCATTCTTAGTTAGTTGGATCGGGTCTGGTTGCTGTTGCACATGAACTCGGACTTGTATAGTGTAGGTATACGTCAGCTCCTTGTGTGGTTGCATCGGGTGGGATTCCTTTTGATTACTTTGGTCCTGGAAGTGCGGGTTGGTTGGTTGGTTGATTGATTGCGACGGAGGTCCGGGTACACAGACGGTCTGATATTGCACGAGTAATATATTATATAGGTGATGTTTCAGTTCGTGTTGGTTGTTTATTACCTGCGTTAGTGCTTTATTGTGGTGGTGGAGATGGCTCGACTGGTCTGTTGCACCGGCATCAGGTGAGGTGAGGTGATACGGGGCTGAGTGATATGGCTGGGCCTGGCTGTAGTGGGCTCATTACCATGCCTACTTGGTAGGCAGAAGCAATTACAAAGCAGTTTGTGGAACTCTGCTGAATTTGGTGCATACCATGGCTGACCTCGTGGAGACAGAAGTGTTCCCCGAGGCAGATTGAATAAAGTACTCGTGTAGCCCTAGAGGAAATTGCCTCCGTACTACGTAGTGCATGGAGCATCTTCAGAAGCAGAGTAGGAGCCAATGACACACGCGATGACCTCAACCCCCGAGGGAGCGTCACATCTCTATTCGCGACTATTAGTTCCTCCATATGCAAAGAGCAATGGCCGGAAGGTTGACAGCAAGCAATGTAGTGTAATACCCAGAACGCCAAGGATATGTAGAAAGCGGTGATATGCACAATAAGGAATCGACAGCACCAGGCAGTCAGGGATGGCTCTAGTAGACAGCCTAGCGGATTCGGTCCAGCTTGGCCCGGTTCATGGCAATCTGGTCGTCGACAAAGTCGCTCTACAACCGAGTCAGTCACACGTCGAGTCCGGGTCAATGATCCCGAGAGACTTACCTTGCCGGTGATCCGCTCCAAATGACGGTTCTGTTCGTCCAACTCGCGACCCGTGGCCCGGGCAAGTCCGTTCAAACGGCCCGCAGCCCCCGACAGCAGATCCAGATTCTGCTCGATCTCATTTTCCATCGCCTCATCCTCGCTGTCCGCCTCGAACTGATATTTGGCACGCTCAGTGACATTCGTCCGGGAGCGGGTGGTCTGCTTGGCTGCTTCTCTATCGATTTCTCTGAATGTGCGCTCCATGCGCTGGTTGGTCTTGAAGGCCTCCTTCTCGGTGCCCTCGCGGGTATCCCGCTCGGCTCGGTGCGTGTTCAAGACCCGCTCATCACGCTCCCGGCGCCGCCGAGCACTGGTAAAAGGGTTGGACACGTGAACAGCGAACATGCTCTTGTTCAGGGTCTTCAGCTCCTTGGCTTTCTCCTCCGCAATGCGTCCCTCCACCGTGGCAACATCTAAGCTCCTCTCCGCATCATGAATCCGCTCTCCCTGGGCACCCAGACGAGCAAGGGTCTCTCGCCCCGTCTCTTCGGCCTGTGCAGCAATACGGAGGGCATTACGAGTCGAAGCGACATCACCCTGCTTGATGAACCGCATATCCTGTTTGATCGTCTGAATTTCCTCGTCTTCCTCCTCCTCAGCAGTGAGGTTCCGCTCCTGGTAAGTCGATGTGTTGTATTCATTGCTGCCGCCGCCGTAGGCGGCTGATCCTTCGGAATAGGGAGGGGGAGGAGCGCCGCCGGCCTGCTGCTGTTGCTGAACACGTTCCCGAGCGCCTCCAAAAAGAGCATCTCTGTTGCCATCCGCGGGGTCATTGGGATCGGCGCTGCCTAAACCTCCGTAGCCGCCAGGGCCGTAGCGGGAAGCCGCAGGGGCAGCACCCCCGCCGCCAAAGCGGTCGGATCCATAGCCACCCTGATTTCCATATCGATTCGGCGCATAGCCCTGGTGTTTGTGGTCTCCGGGGATATTATGGGCGCCCGAAGGGTTGGCCGGTGGTGGTTGTTCTCCCGCCGGTAGAGGGGCCACTCCCGCCTGGATCTTGGCCTTGGTGTAAGGGTCTGTCGGGATGGGTTTAGCGTAGGGGTTGGCAGGTGGTGCCGGACTCTTGCTCTTCGATCGCGAGCCGAACAGCGCCAGACGGTTGGAGGAATCCTCCTCGTTATCGTCCCCGGACTTCTTGAAACCGAATCGGCCCATGGTGATTGAGATTAGTAGTATTAGGGTGAAAAAAGAGGGTGGGCCAGGAGAAGTGAGAAGAAATAGAGAAACGAGCGGTATCTTAAGGACCGAATAGAGGCCAGATGGAGGTAAGAAAGGGGACAAGAGAGGGACCAGCGCGAAAGATGTGAAACCGCGATAATAATAGTAGAGAATGGTCAGGGGAGCAGCAGTCAGAAACGCCTCCTTAGGCATTATTGGATGGAGGGTCGAGACCCAAGGCGGAGCGTATTACCGATACACCAGGTTTGGGGGCAGAATGGGGCGGATTGCACCCACGAGAGGGGCCATGACCGGTCATGACGGTACCAAAACCGTAGACATGACAGGCAGTGCAGCCCCTAATCCCATGCAGGCTAGCGCAGTGGCTGGACCCTTTCTCAGCCGCGAACCACCGCCGCTGCAAACATGCAAACGTGGCGGGCCAAGTTGTTGTCGCCTGGTTCACTTCCTCCATCTCACACTGCTCTCCAATCGCATCACGGAGAATGATTCACTGCAGTCATGGCGCCGTATCCAGGGTCTGATGCAGACTATTTTAGGGACAAGGCGCGTAGGGACTTGTTGACTCTCCTTGAAGGCGTGAGTAAGCCTCGACCTGTTTCTGAAGGCAGCAGCCATCCTCTTCGCGTCGTGCATGGGCTGAATCTTGGTGCAGGTCCGTGGTAAGAAAAACCTCGTCGTCAGTCAGGATCTGGCTGGGCCAGTCGGGCTGTTCGTCAAGTTCTCTCTGCTCCAGGAATATGGTGTAGATCGCGTGTTCCTGCTTGAGAATGGCAACGTGGACTCCACGCAGCGCAATGTCGTCTTCCTAGCTCATGCGGAAAAGATACGCCAGGTGCGGGCTGTGGCAGGTATGTCATTTCTTCCGGATCATCACCTGTTGCCCTCATTGTAAATTCTTTCTGTGCTTCGTCGCATTTGTGGCGGAGCCATTCCTCTATACTCTATACTCTTTGGGACAAACAGTAGATTACGCAGATCTATGCCCCACTCTACGTAGTCGGTTGAGAGTCCCAACATAGAGATTATATACAGCTCATTTCAAGACTTTCATTCTCGCATTCGATTGAAAGCCATCAGTGTGAGCTAACATTACTCTAGAACAGATTCAGCGCCTTCAGCGCAACGGCAATGTTGAACATGAGCTGTCCATATTCTGGGTCCCTAGGCGGACCCTTGTAAGCAATTCCATCCTGGAAGAAGCAGGCATTATAGGAGACGTGAATATTGCCGAGTTTCCCCTATACTTTGCCCCTCTGGAGCAAGACGTGTTGTCGCTGGAGCTGGATGACTCTTTTAGCGATCTGTACCTGGTAAGCAAGAATGACCTGCTTTTGAGGAGTCAGTTAACAAGGTTTATAGCACAAAGATCCGGGATGCATTTTCCACGCCGCAAAGGCCCTCATGGATATTCAGCAGCGACACGGTTATTTCCCTCGAATCATTGGCAAGGGTGACCATGCACGACGCCTGGCCGACCTCCTGTTGCGGATGAGAAAGGAGCTTGATGCCGAAGAGAGCTCAGGGCTGGCCGGAGTCTCTGCAAGAGGGCTTCTTCCCAGCGCCAGTACCGAAAGCCTCATAATCATCGACCGCCAAGTCGACTTTGGCACGGCCCTCCTTACGCAACTGACATATGAAGGATTGATCGATGAGACAGTGGGCATCAAGAACAACCAGGCAGACGTGGACACATCGATCGTGGGACCTACTGCGATGCCCCAGGCCCAGGAATCTTCCAAGGCACCCCAACAATCTTCAAAACCAGGCCAAAAGCGAAAGGTCCAACTAGACTCATCCGACCAACTTTTCAGCCAACTCCGTGACGCCAACTTCGCCATCGTAGGCGACATCCTGAACAAGGTAGCACGCCGTCTCGAAAGTGACTACGAAAGCCGCCATGCCGCCAAAACCACCACCGAGCTCCGCGAGTTTGTCAACAAACTACCCACCTACCAGCTAGAGCATCAAAGTCTCCGAGTCCACACCAACCTCGCCGAAGAAATCATGCGAACCACCCGTTCTGACATCTTCCGCAAGATCCTCGAAGTCCAGCAGAACAACGCCGCCGGCGCCGATGCCACATACCACCACGACGCCATCGAAGAGCTCATCGCTCGCGACGTTCCTTTGAAAACTGTCCTCCGACTCCTCTGCCTGGAATCCTGCATGTCCGGAGGCCTTCGACCCCGAGACCTCGAAAACTTCAAGCGCCAAATCATTCAAGCCTACGGCCACCAACACCTCCTCACCTTCTGTGCTCTCGAGAAAATGGAACTCCTCCAGCCCCGTTCCTCCGCCACCACCACACTCCTCCCCACCACCGGCGCCCAACCCGGCACCAAAACCAACTACGGCTACCTGCGCAAGAACCTCCGCCTCGTCGTCGAAGAAGTCAGCGAAAAAGAACCCAACGACATCGCCTACGTCTACAGCGGCTTCGCCCCTCTCAGCATCCGTCTCGTCCAATGCGTCCTGCAAAAGCAATACATCCTCTCCCTCGTCCGAGGCGGCCCCATCACCGCCGCAACCCCCAGCCCTGCCAGCGCCTCCTCCCCAGGCTGGCTCGGCTTCGACGACATAGTGAAGAGTGCTCGCGGCGCCACATTCAGCATCGTGCAAAAGGGTGACGATAAAGCCGTTCGAGCCCGTCAGACAATCAGCGGTACCACCGCAGCCAAGACCGTCTATGTCTTCTTCTTAGGCGGGATCACGTTCACGGAGATCGCCGCGTTGCGGTTCATTGCTGCGCAGGAGGCTCCCAGACGAAAGATTGTAATCTGTACGACGAGTATCCTTAACGGGGACCGAATGATGGATGCGGCGATCGAAAAGGGGAGTTTTACTAAGGTCGAATGAATGTGATAGTGGCAGTAGGTAGATGATATCATGATATCCTCTCTTAACTCTATAACGAGCAATACCATAGCATGCGCACACATACAACTTATCCCTTCCAAGTCTACTACACACGGCACTCCATCCAATAACCAAAGAAAACAAAGGTGACTTAATACCTAAACCCAGACCCCACCCCCATCAACCTACCCTGATACCTCTCCATCACCTCCCCCAACTTCACCATCACCCCCGCAGCCAACGTCCTCACCTGTTCCCGTGGATCACTGGCATCCTGTACCGGCGGCGTCCGATCAAATATCTCCCCTACCCACTCGCGCAACTCCATGACTTGCGTAGCGAACTCAGTAACCAGTCGCTCTTCTCCGGATGTTCCGGATGCGACGTTGAGGTCTACAGCCGCGAGGAACAGCGATAGAAGGGCGGAGAGAATGCCCGGGTCGTCGGAGATGGGACGGGCGTGGAGAGAGAGAAGGAAAGTGAGGGTTTCGTGGGTGAGGGCTGGGAGGTGCGGGGTGTGGGGACCCATGGTTGAGAGGGTCAGGGTGAGGGTTTGGATGAAGAGGGTGAGGAGGTGGGGGGTGTAGAAGGGGTTGTAGTTGGGGGCAGTGGAACTGTATCGTTCATTTGTTAGTGGGGATGGGAATGGTGGAGGGATGAAGATGTTGGGAGGGGGGGGGGGGTGGCTTACGAGGAGAATTGCATCATCATCATTTCGAAACGGCCTTTGAGGGGGTAGAAGAATCCGTCTGCGAGGACTTTGTAGAGGTCTTTGGCGGTGGATTTCTGGCGTTGGGCTTCGCGCTGCTGGCGCTTCTTTTCGACTTCCATTCGTGAGGAGAAGGTGCGGACTTTGAGGGCGTTGGGGCCGGAGAGAGTGTCTGAGGCGTTGGCGGCGAGTGGTTCGAGGGAGGCGCGTGATAGTTGCTTGGTTAGGCTGGCGATGGGGGATTCGGTCTCGGGGAGGTATAGGGCTTCGAGGGTGTTGGGGAGCTTTTTGGATGGGAATGAAGCGTCGGTGAGGCTGGGAAGGCCTAGGGCTTTTGCGTCTGCTTCGCCGTTTCCGCCGAGTTCGCGAGCGCTGAGACCTAGGGCTGTGAGGATTGCAGAGCGTTGGGGTTGAGATAGGTCTCCATCGAAGAAGATGGCCGAGAACCAGTGGCCCATTTTAAGGGGCTGGGATACAATCAGGGCGATCATGCTTTGGAGTTGGTATTCGTGGAATTTGAGGATCTTTCCATGTTCTTGTAAGCCCACGATTATGAGAGCTAGTTCTTCTAGGTTCTCTGCAAGCTCTGTTCCGAAGCCGGTCTTGCGTCGGATCAAGGAGGGGGCAGTGGTAAGGGCCAGCTCCCAGCGTTCGGTATTCTCGGTGTCGCGGAGATAGTTTATGAGGTCGTGGATATATCTAGGTTTATGTTAGAGACTGTTGATATTGTAATCGTTTGACTTACACTGGTGCAGTGGGTTTGTTGCGCTGGGCTAAGGTAGGGTCATCGTCAGAATCTGAAGCGTCTTCATCCGGCTTCTCATATGGGATGAGATCTTCGTCTTCCTCGTCCTCATCCTCCGAGTCGTTGATCTCTTCTATAGCAACGATCTTCGCTGCTCTGATATTCGGCTGCTTTGACGTGCTGGCCCGGGAGGTGGGTTGCTTCTTCGTCTGCGTTTCAGTCGGTTTTGCGGGTTCTTTCAGCGATTGAATCGATTCAGCAGGACCAATGCTATCGTTCGTTTTAGCGAGGGCAAGGTACCATAATGCTTCATCGCTTTCCATCTCTTCAAGATCGAACTTCATTCCCTTGCCCTGCTGTTCGATGATCTCCGAAATTGCGGTGCCAATCAGCATACCGAGGAAGCGAGCCCGTGGGGAAGAGGCCGCTAGACGGTTTGAAACCATATTGAGAAAGATTCCAGAGCGTCCGATGAAGTGCATTGCGGCCGGATCAAGGTGCCGGAGATAGCCCGCCGTTAGAAGGATGATTTGGGTGTTGGCTGAGAGATGTCAGTGCTTTTGACACGGATTGATGCCGCGATGATTTACCTTCTTGACATCTGATTGGGGCGTGCTTGATGTAAAACTTGTCGCCCGATTGATCCATACTCTTTCTAATCAGAGAATTTATCAAGTCTAAAGTACTTCGTGTCAGTAGGAGGATCATTGCCCGACTAACTTGTTCTCTTACCTTCTTCTTGCGCCAAAACCGCCAGTAAAGCACGGCGGAGCCCTACAGTATTGATTGAACCGCCCTGGCCTTTGGATAGCCAGTCAATAAGCTGACCCTGCAGATGTGGCCGCTTTGAGATGAGAACTGAACACAAAGCCGCCACGCTACTGATCGTCTGGCCTGACGTGCTGCTGGCTTTGTCACCAGGAATTTCACCCGAGAAGTGCCTCCGCTCGACATCCCGAAAGACAGCTTCGAGCATTGCCAGCTGCTCTGTTGGCCGGAGATGGTCAAAAAGCGCGCCGTATTGTTTGAGATTGGCTTGCTGAACAATGAGCCCAGTGTAAATTTCTCTGACCAATTGATCTGTGTTATGCTCAGCAAATGAGCCCGAGGAAGAGTCGTACTACCTACCTGTATATCCCAGGCTTAGCGATCTTCCGGCCAACAAAGCCACAGCTTTCCAAGTCTCCTCATCATCGGGAGCAATCTTCGAAGCCATGTGGCAGACATTCGAGCCCATCCAGGACGCATACTTTGAACCGTCTCCAACCCATGAGATTGTAGCAAGTCCGTCAAGCTCAGATACCAAAGTAAGTGCTTCCGCCGCCGTGGACAAAACTCTACTGGCTGCAATTAGTGAGAGCAGTTCTCTCCAGGCCACTTGCTTCTGTGTCGCATTGCTGTACAGACTCTCAATGTCCGCATGGAGACGAAAAGCAAAATCACTCGGCTCCAACAGGGCGGAGATGACTGCAAGGATGTCCCGAAGCTGTATATTTTGGCCCGATGATTTCGAATGCTGAGCCGATGAACGGCACGCAGTTATGAGAGAACGAAGCTGGGCCACCAAGCAGCTGATACCTGCAATGCTGCTAAGACACCTTAGCAGAGCAGCCCGTAACTTCTTATTCCATGATTTAGAGCCCCGAGAACGTGCATCAAGAGAGTCCCAATGGTCAGGAATTGTAATGTTCACCAATGCATTGAGGATCTGCGCTGTTACTGGGCGCGGGACTCGAATGTCAAAACCATCTGGAGCTGCAGTTTTATTTGATGGATCTAGAATGGCAAGGACCTGAGCAAGTTCGTCTTGGTCGGGCTTTGACTTCAAGACGGCCAAGATGTGATCTGACGATGTTGCGTCCCCGGGGAGATCGGCTTTGGGCCGGGCATCACGCCCGTCAGATGTCGTGGCTAGATACGATCCCTCCCCAGCAGGCGACAAAGCTGGTTGTTGGTCGTGATTGACTGTCTTAACAGCTATAAGTAGACCATCCATTTTATCAGCGTGACATTGCCTTCGTATTGATCCTGGGGAAGAAGAACCGAAATGCAAAAGTGGAGGAAATTGTATGGAGCGGAGGGGTCACGTGGGGCGGTGCTGTATCGATCCCCCACGAGCCACCATCCAGCCCATCGTCATCTTCCATCGGTTTCCCCCGCGCAATCTGCGAACTCCAGATATCGAATTAAATCTCCACATAGCTGAAGGAAGTTGCGCTATCACTTGGATTGAAAACTCGATCTCCAACGTCCATATCGCCACCCAGGTGCTCTCAATAACTGTACCTCAAAAACACAAAGAAGCACTTCTTTATACAACAAGATCTAGAGTAGAGGCGGTTCCGTGTTGTGGTCTGATTGAACTAGAGAATACTCATAAGAATGGCATCTTCAGACCCATCTATCCGATGGTGAGGCTGCTCTCTTCAGGTCATTCTCATAACTGCTCATACCTTCCAGGAAACATCTGTACAGAGTCCTGACCAAGTCAGGCCCCTTCAGCGATGAGGACTGGGTCCCTGGGCAAGAAACCATAAGCGCTTTAGAGTCATCGAAAGTTCTGTGCGTATTTACGAACGTCTTGATACCATCAACTCGCTAACGCGGTACAGAGTCATGTTAGTATAAGTGATTCCATACTTCATTTTAGAACGTCAATAGACGGCTGACTGAAAGCCACTTACAGAGGCGCTGGAGGCCTAGGCTGCGAGATCCTAAAGAATCTTGCCTTATCAGGCTTCAAAGACATCCATGTCATTGACATGGGTAAGTGCCTCCCTCATCATGCACCAACAGAGCCAACGCATAACACGCACAGATACAATCGATATTTCCAACCTGAACCGACAGTTCTTGTTTCGCCAATCAGACATCGGCAAGCCTAAAGCTGAAGTTGCCGCCGCGTTTGTAGAAAGACGAGTCAAAGGCGTCAAGATCACCCCGTACGTAGGGAAGATCCAGGACAAAGACGAAGATTACTACATGCAATTCAAGATCGTTGTCTGTGGTCTCGATAGCATTGAAGCTAGACGATGGATCAATTCTACATTAGTCGGGATGGTCGATTTCGAAGACCCAGAAAGTCTGAAGCCACTCATTGACGGAGGAACAGAAGGTAGGGTACTCCCTTATCACAAAGTAAAAACCGCCACTGACCAATTCCAGGATTCAAGGGCCAGGCGCGTGTGATTCTACCCACACTCTCCTCTTGCATCGAGTGTCAGCTCGACATGCACGCCCCTCGACCTGCCGTTCCACTTTGCACTATCGCAACAATCCCCCGCCAACCCCAACACTGCATCGAATGGGCTCATCAGATCGCCTGGCAGGAAAAGCGCAAAGACGAACCATTCGACACCGACGACATGGAGCACATCGGCTGGGTGTACAACACTGCTCTCGAGCGCGCAAAGCAGTTCAACATTCCCGGCGTCACTTTCCAGATGACTCAAGGAGTAGTGAAGAACATCATCCCTGCGATCGCCTCGACCAACGCCGTGATCGCAGCCGCGACTACCTCCGAGGCGTTGAAGATCGCTACCTCGTGCAACCCTTATCTTGAGAACTACATGATGTACGCGGGCGAGGAAGGTGTCTACACCTACACCTTCGAGGCGGAGAAGAAACCGGACTGTCCTGTGTGTGGAAACTTGGCCCGGAAGTTGACAGTGGATCCGAATATGACGCTTGAAGAGTTCATTGAGACGCTGGGAGAGCGACCGGAAGCACAGCTGAAGAAGCCAAGCATGAGAACGGAGGAGAAGACGCTCTATCAACGCTTTCCGCCCCAGCTGGAGGAACAGACTCGACACAATCTGAAGCTCAAGTTGAAGGAGCTGATTGAGAATGGCCAAGAGATCGCAGTCAGTGACCCGGCGTATACTATTGATTTCCGCTTCCGACTGGCATTTCAATGAGCAGGTGAATCATGTTCGAGATGGACCTGCGACTACATTATCAAGAATCCCGATGCTGCTATGATCATCTTCAAGACCTAGGAACTCAAATCTGCTTTTTCTATCTCAAAAAGATCCCAGTCCAGACTCCCAGCAATTGTAAAGAAGGTTGTCACCAACTTTTCGTAAATGTACAAAATCAACAAGACAATCCAACGCCAGGCCAATGCATTATATAGCTTTGAATCATTTTTCGGGTTGAGTCATGGACCTGACTTAGCGCATAAGGTCCGTCAAACCCCTCTTCCATCTGGCGCATTTCAGCTTCAGCACCTTGACACTTTCCAGGAAGAGGCTGTCGCTGTCGAACTGGCCAACACTTTCGATGTTGAAGATGAAGTGGTCGCGGACGCGACCGAGCTTGACCTTGCCCTGGAATTCCTCGTGTCTGAGACACTCTCTGCTGACGGTATCATTGAATGCATCAACGACCACAGCCTTCTGTTCGCCTTCGTGGCCCTCATATCCGCTTCCCTTCTGCGAGGCCTCCTCCCGAGTGACCGGCTCAAGGCCGATAACACCGCTGGGGAAGCACTTGGCGAACTTCTTGGCGTCATCTCCGATGATGGGACGGAGGATCTTGATATCGGGCAAGAGACGGTAGGAGGCCGTGGCGACGGGCGAGAATTTGGCATGGTCGGCACCAATACCCTTGATGCAGTGAAGTTCCATCTCGATAGCCTGGCCCGGACGAAGCTTGGCGATCAAAATATCCGGGTTCACGGGCTGGATCGCATCCATGCCAACGAAGAATTGTTCCTGGCGACCAACGGGGTGGAAGGTGATATCCTTGGCGTAAACATGCGCGTTCTTGTAAAGCTTGCGGGGATCCTCTTCCTGGGGATCAGCGTCGGGGTTCTTGGTGCATTCGACGTCCAAGCGCAACACGATGGTATTGTAGTCGGCGGGGCTGCTGCCCTCCGGATCATCTTCGGTGGGCTTCTTGAACCAGCGCATCCAGTTGATACCCTCCACCGAACCCTTGAAGGGAATCAGACCCAGACGTTGTGCGAGAACTTCATCCTGGATGACAGAGGTGTTGTTGTGGACGAAGACGAATTCAATGGCGATGCTGGGCACTTCGGCCATGAGGATACGGCGGAAAGCATTGGCGATGGAGGCGTCGACACCGATCAGGGAAAAGGACGCTTCGAATTGCTCGTTACGGTGGAATTCGATCTTGAGGTCCTGTCGGCGAGAGATGTGTGAGCGCAAAGTAGAGAGAAGTGAATGGCAACGCGAGCGCAGCTAGATGTCTACCGACGTACATTCTTGAATTTTTCTAGGGACCATTCGTGCGATTCGCCGGGCCAATGGCCAGGGAAATCTGTCGAGGGGATGTTGGAGACGGTCTCCGGGTTGATGTCGATGAGCTGGAATCGCAATCAGCATGTGACGGGAGAAAGGTCGGAAAATGAGGACAGATGGACGGAGCATACCCTTCTGCGATCGAGCTCCTCCTGCGACGGGACGAGAGGCGCCATGATGGACGAGGGAGTGAGGTAAGGTGGGGGAGGGGGACGAGGTGGAAGAGGGACGATCTGGAGGGAGCATAGGAAAAGTTCTTTGGCTGCGGCGGCAGTATTTTCTGCAGGCCGCAAGGCGGACAGAGGAACAGCAGGGGGTGTCTATAACACACTCGGTATTCCTGGTGGACGGGCACTAGCGGCGGAAGGTATAGAGGGGGGCTGGCAGACCAACCAGAGGCGGGCTGATGACCATAGCTCTGCTCACGTGACTACCCAAAATGTATCTCGCCAGGAAGCGCAACCTCCAACGAGCAGCAAGCGTCAGTCCGCATCGACCCCAATCCCGCCAATTCCCCCTCTTCCACCCCAATTGCGCCTGGATTGAGGGCTCCTCCGCCTCACCTCCTCCTGGTCCTCACTCCCCGCTCTCCCGAATGGCTGCTTCCTTCACCCGCCTGGCGGGCAGCACGCCCAAAAGGCTCTGCCTCCGCCCCTCTACCTTCTCCAGACACAGTGCTATCCCCAGATGCCGGACGATCGCGACGTCGCTGCCTCGCCGCGCAGCTGAGCCCACCAGCTACCAGGCCACCCGCCTTATCCCGACCGATCCGACCTTCACATCTCTGGCCAACAAGGAGGGCCCTTCGGAGGCTGAGGTCGCCGCCGGCCTCGAGTCTGAGGACGTTGGAGCTGGCCGCAAGATCCGTCACTACACTGTCAACTTCGGTCCTCAGCATCCGGCTGCTCACGGTGTGTTGCGTTTGATTCTGGAGCTCAATGGTGAAGAGATCGTCCGCGCCGATCCCCACGTCGGTCTGCTTCACCGTGGTACCGAGAAGTTGATCGAATACAAGACCTACATGCAAGCCCTGCCGTACTTCGACCGATTGGACTACGTTTCCATGATGACCAACGAGCAGTGCTTCTCCCTGGCCGTGGAGAAGCTGTTGAACATTGAAATCCCCGACAGAGCCAAGTACATCCGGACGCTGTTCGGTGAGCTGACACGAATCCTGAACCACCTCATGTCCGTCCTTTCCCACGCGATGGATGTTGGTGCTCTGACGCCTTTCCTGTGGGGTTTCGAGGAACGTGAGAAGCTTATGGTAGGCGTTCTCTGAATTCGGACCATTTGAGCCGCGATAACTGACCCGGGCGTCCGAATAGGAATTCTACGAGCGTGTCTCCGGTGCCCGTCTCCACGCTGCCTACGTCCGCCCTGGTGGTGTGTCCCAAGATCTGCCCCTTGGTCTCCTCGACGATATCTACCAATGGGCTACCCAGTTTGGTGACCGCATTGACGAGACCGAGGAGCTGCTCACGGATAACCGTATCTGGAAGGCCAGAACCCAGGGTGTCGGTGTTGTCCCTGCTGCTGATGCTCTCAACATGAGTTTCACTGGTGTCATGCTGCGTGGTTCCGGTGTCCCATGGGATATCCGCAAGTCCCAGCCTTACGATGCTTACGACCAGGTTGAGTTCGACGTCCCGGTGGGTGTCAACGGTGACTGCTACGACCGTTATCTCTGCCGTATGGAGGAGTTCCGTCAGTCCCTGCGCATTATCCACCAGTGCCTGAACCAGATGCCCGCCGGACCCGTCCGTGTTGAGGACTACAAGATCTCTCCCCCTCCTCGTGCGGCCATGAAGGAGAACATGGAGGCCCTGATCCACCACTTCCTCCTATTCACCAAGGGTTACGCCGTTCCCCCGGGTGAGACCTACTCCGCTATTGAGGCCCCCAAGGGTGAGATGGGTGTGTTCCTGGTCAGTGACGGTAGCGAGAGACCCTACCGGTGCAAGATCCGTGCTCCTGGATTTGCTCACTTGGGTGGTTTCGACCAAGTGTCTCGTGGTCACCTTCTTGCCGACGCTGTCGCCATTATCGGTACGATAAACCCCCTCCCTCCCTCATATTCCACCCTAACTAACCAATTGCCTCCAGGAACGATGGATCTCGTGTTCGGTGAAGTTGACCGGTAGATAACGATACGGGATAGGCCGTCTAAATCTCCAAAGACCACCTGTATAACAGCTCCTCAAGACACAAACACAAACACAAACACTACACATGCATGACCCTGATAATATTGGTGCCAAGAAAAAATAACCCCCACATTAGAAGTGACAGATATCCCAAAGAAAGCAAGAAAGAAAGTTAATTTGTCCAGCTTGTGCGAGTCGAGTCGAGTTTGTGTAACAGGTTGAGTTGCTGTGGCGATTTAAACCAGCCCAACTGTACCAATCAAATGTCGTTTTCATGGCGTTGTGCTTTTTTTTTTCCTTCTATTTTTCTTTTTTCCTATTGTTGTTCTGTCTGTGTCGTTGATGCCGTCCGTCCGTCTTCGCACCCTTTTTCTTTATTTTATCCCGATCTATCTTGAATCTGTGTATAGTGACTCGAAATATTGAGTATGATTGATTGATTGATTCGGTTTTTTTTTTTTTTGGTAGATTTGGTTGGTTTTGTGGTGGGGGAGGGGGCTAGAATTTTGATTGTAGTGGATGTATTAGATAAATGTTATATTAGGATTAGGAGTGTAGGTGTGAGTATGGGTATGGGTATGATGTGGTCTTGTATGGTTAGATTCTTGTATCTACTTGGTTGAGACATGCAGGAAATAACTATATATGGTTGTATGGTTGTATGGATGTATGTATGTATGTATGTAAGACGGGGTTTGTGCAGAGGAAGAGGAGGAGGAAGAGTAAGCGAATGAGGTGGACAGGGACATTGAAATAAAGGTTTAGAGGGAAATGTAAAAAGTGTGAAAGAATAAGAAGAAAACCATGCATGCATGCACCAGTCCATCCGGTAAACTCCGTAAGCAGTAACATATTCAAGGCAGAAAGGAATAAAGACTGCGCGCCAATGCCGATGCAGGTAAAACAAAGACACTCATGTCCGTCTGTCCGTCCGTCCGTGGCAGAGCTATCGACAACCCCCTACCAACCAGATCCACAAATGATGTGACGTGTCTCCAACTCGCAGCCTATACATTATCATCGTCGTAGAAGAAATTGATGTCTCGGGGTCTTCTGCGATTGTAGGAAACAAAGTCACTATCACCCGGCGGGCGCTCGTCACGCGAATTTGCGGTCAGCATGCTCTGGATGCTCATGCAGACGCTTTCGACGGTCTGGACGGGGGACCAGCCGGCTGAGCTAAGGAGATCGAGACATATTATTCCGTTACTGTAGATGTGGGGGTGGATGGGGATCGGGCGGGGGTGGTCGGAGGTGGATGGACATTCGATAAATTGGACTTCGGGGGGTTCTGAGGAGGTAGATTGATTGGTTAGTTTGGGGGGTAAATGAGAAAGGAGAGGGATGAATTTCGTTACCAATTGGGTATTTGTTGCTAAAGGTGAATTTGAGCCGGTAGGTTTGATTCTGGTACAGTGGATTGGAATCAAGCACTTTGATATCCATTTGCCATTCCTCGAGGTTGTCCGATTTGACGATTGTGATTCCGGGGGGTAGATGGTCTTGCATCTGGTTGGAGTTAGTTCTGTGGAGGGTATTTGGGGTGAGGTGAGAGGCGAGATGAGGGTAGGAGAGCCATTGGATTGTGTTAATGGAGGTTGTGGGGTGCATCTCATAGTGGACATAGCGGAGGTAACGGATATAGATGGAAAAATCGTACCTTGAGGAGCTCCTGTGGTGATTATTGTGTTAGTTGAGCCGACCCGATAATGAGCCTAGATTGAAATGGCTTGCTTACCTTGCTCAGGCGCTTGCTGGCAAACATGGCGGGCAGAATGTGTTTGAGGCCGAGTGAAGACTAGCCGAGCGTCGATCGTTGTAGAAGATCTGGGGGAGACGGCCGGCCAGTCTCGTCGGGAGAAATTGTAAGATCGTGGAGGCGCACAGATGTATGACGTCTGCTACTAGCGTGGGGTGATCCACCTCCGACGGATACTACCTCCGAGGTGAGAGGCTTAGGGAAGATCGAGGAGAAGGGCGGGAAGGTAGGCTGCGGGCAATGACCGGGGAGTGAGACGAGCGGAACGAAGAGAGGAAAAGGAGGGGATGGTGGAGGGGAGATCGGAGGAGGTTAAAGAGGCAGTGAATGTACCTCGCGCGGCGATCATCTGCTGGCGGTGGCTGACGCTCCGCCCCCTGTCACCTGATTGGCCCGGGCCGATCACGCTGGGGACCCCCACGTGATGCCCGGCCATCTGATTCGGTCATCTACATTTATTTACTACTGAGTACATAGTAGAACCAGGACAGATCTCGTGCAGTATGCAGCAAGTTCATTCAGATCACAATGAAAAGAAATATTATCTCCCTAAGTTAAAGCCTCCAAAAAGTCCAGACCTTGTTGACAACCAACAAACAAGTATATGAACGGGGAATCATCGAAAGTTATTCACAGAAGAACAGTTCAGTGATGGTCCTAGACCCAACAAGAATTACCGGTGCACACAAATCAAACTCTATCAACGCTGTCCGGCCAGCCCTCATGAATGTGTCCGCTCACGAGCTTCGCGCTCGACCTTCTCCCGCTCCTCGTTTTCCTTCACCTCGCGAACCTTGGCGAGCACAACCTCCCGGAAGATCGCTCCGCGGGCGATTTTGCTGAGACTGCGCTTCTTCTTACCCGCAGTCTCACCGTCGACAGGCACAGATGCCGACTTGCCATTGGGCGAGAGTTGCGGGAAAGGCGTCGAGCCAGAAGCATCCTCCGATGCTGCCATCTCCACAGGGCTGGGAATGTCTTCGTCATCTTCCTGCATTTTGAGCGCCTCAATGCGGTTGGCCAGTTTGATGATTTCGATTCCGCGGCGGAGACGAGAGCGAGCAAGGTAGGCGCGGATCTCGGGCAGCAAGTCGCGGTCGCTGGCCGACTCACCCGTCAACCAGGTGTGCTTCAAGGCCTCCTCGGACGTGACACGCTTAGCAGGATCCGGCTGCAGCAGCGTGAGGATGAAGTCCTTGGCATCCTTCGAGACATCGCGCCAGTAGCGCTCGTGGAAGATGATTTTTCCGGTTCGGCACTCTTCAATCAGGTCGGACAGGTTTTCGGACCGGAAGGGGGAGTATCCACAAAGAAGGGTATAGGTGATGACACCGAGAGACCACATGTCGACAGCCTTGCCGTGACCTTGCTTGAGCATGACCTCGGGGGCGGCGTAGCCGAACGAGCCCGCCATGCTGGTCAGAACCTCGCTCGGATTGTCCAGCATCTTGGCGATACCGAAGTCGGCGAGAACTAAGGGAGAATCGGGCAGGGGAGTGAGATAGAGAAGGTTCTCGGGTTTCAAGTCTGATCAGATTGAATGTCAGCGTCCACGCCAGCCTGGAACTCGGAAGATGGGCATACCCCGATGAACAATATGGCGCTCATGCAGGTAGTTGACAGCACCAAGCACCTGTCGGATAGTCTGAGAGGCATCCTTCTCCGTGAACTTGCCGTACTCGCAAATCCGGTCGAACAGCTCACCACCAGTGGCCAGCTGAGTGACAATGTAGAATTTGTCCTGTCATCGGTTAGACAAGGAGATCCGAAGCGGCTTCACGAACCCACCTTCGATTCAAACCAGTCGACGAAGTGGACAATGTTGGGATGGTCGAGAGCCTGCAGCATCTCTAGTTCATCGTAGACCATCTGCTCGTTGCCCCGGACATTTTTTTTCAAGATGATCTTGATGGCGACCTTTCCTTTGCTGCTATCGGCTTCACGGACGATACCGTATGTGCCAGCTCCGAGTGTTCTTCCAAATTTGTAGTGAGACCTGTATGGTGCAACGGTTATTATATGTCCAGAGACGAAGAGATGCGACAAGATTCTTGCCGTACTTTTTCTCGTAGCTCTCTGGCTGTCCCGACAGCTTGTTGAGCATGGTATGAACTGCGTAACACCCATTGGTTAGCAGAGCAACATGGAACGAATTGAATGCGGCTCAGGAAACAAGTGCGATAAAGAAACAGTGGTGATCATGTCGGGAGATCGAACCCAAAAGACAGAACAGAACAAGGATGCCTCCGGCGTGGATACAATGGTTCCAGGAGATCATGGCAAATAATGGCATCGACATGACTCTTGGAGACCAAGGCTACCAGTGCGGACACAACAATAGCAGAGAAGGTGGCTGTCAATGACAAGCTACGATGACAGGAAAGTAGGCCATGGTGGGATGCACCCGTGGAATTGACGGCGGAAGAGGGAAGAAAGAAGCCAAAGACCTACAACTCATGGTGTCTGGGGAAGGACCTTAGTGAGGGCCCTAGGGGATAATCGGTAGGTAGTGTGCGGTGGGCTCTGAGCCGGCGAGCGCGAAGCTGATGGGAACCCCGCACGTGAGGGAGATAGCGGGGCGGTTCAAGTAAGGCCGCAAAGGTCGCGTCGGAGAGATTCGTCGAGGACAGGATCTGGGAGGAAGAAGAGGGGGTGAGTATATGTTTTAACTTCCGTACACGAGCAAAAGCGGCGTCCGTGTGGAGGAAGCGGATTGTGGGTAATCAATCGATAGGGGTAAAAATAAGTAAACACCAGCAGTCGGCTGAAGCGTACCTGGTCGGGGCTTATCTCCTGCTGGTTGCTGCACGTGCGAGGCAAAGCAATGCAATGCAGCGTCGGTCGGAAGGAGACCGGGGAGAGAGAGAGAGCGAGAGCGACAGAGATATCGCAGAAGAAAGACCGCTGGCCGAGAGTCAGGAGGAGAGGAATTGCGAGCCGAGCGATTAAAACTGGAAAGGAGGGGAGGACGCGAGAAAAGGTGCAGTCTGGCCCGCCGATAGAGTTCGGCCCATGGCTGCCCAGCACAGCCACGGGGGGGGGTTGCGCGGAGGGGCCGGCGGGGCCTTTTGGCTATAGCGACACGCAAGGCTGATGCTGGTGGATGGATGGATGGCCTCGCCAGGCTGCCTTCCCTTCCCATGGGTGAGCGACGTCTTTGTTGCCATGCATCATGCAGTGTGATTCACCACAGCCTATTCCTTGAAAAGCCATGGAAATGTGATCCATAGATCACATCAGTCTCCAGTCATACTATAAAGTAAGTACTTGTCAGACCGTCTCCGACAGACAGTGAGACCATGAGGCACAAATGGCAGAAGTTCCCACCCTCATTTGGAGATGGGGGTTTAGTGTGAAACCGTCCCGAAATCTGCGACGGGCCAATGCTGGCGCCTGGACAGCCAGGCACCCACCTTTCCTTCCCCGAGTCAGTCAGTCCCTGAGCTAATTCGATTGATCGATTTTCTGCTCCCTGTCGGCAATCGGAATTGACACCAGCCACCGGGGATATTGACACAAGATCAAGTGAAACATTATACCTAATCCGTATCCGTATCCAGTCTCTTGTGTTTTGCACATGGTCAGCCAAAATTGAGACACCCGAAAAAAGGGGTTATGGCAACGGGCGTGACTCTCACCCCCCTGGGCGGAGATGCAAGCTAAAATCTCATCGGATGCTTGACCATGTCGACCCCTGCTGAACCTGCTCATAATTGGATCGGGCTGAGCTGCCAGCGTCTGTCAGCTAGCCTGCTCGGGGAATCCCACCGTCTAGCTTGTCGGCTGTTTCCTGTTCTCCACTGCGGCTGATGCAGGTTATAGCCTCGTGGCAGTTATACACACTACGCTTAGTTTGTTTTTTGCACTTCTCCTACACGTCTTATTCTACCGGATTATGCTAGGGACAGACATGTACATGTGCTTACATCTTGCTCATAGCGTTACTCTACTGATTCTACTAGAATCTTAGCCGATAATACATCAGCTTACTTTTACATTCCTGTATCTTATTTACCCCACACATGCCTGAACGCGATCAGGAAACCCGTAAAAGACAGTGTTGTGTGCCATGCCAATTGAGTTTGTGCGTCAGGCATACAGATTACAGTATGCCTTGATCTGCAAACAAGGTTGACAGGATCCTTCATCCGAGTAGATAGCGCCCGATGCTCGGACGGATTTCAACCACCAAGCAAACCAAGGATGCACAGCGTGGCTGCGTGGCTTGGCACGTCCGGTACTCTGCATCAATATTCTCAGTACATGCCAAAGGCCCATCATTGCCACTCATTCATATCATCACCAACCATAACCATGACCATAACCTTGTTCATAACAACCAACACACCAACCAATCCACACATCCAACCACAACAGACAGATCCAATCCCCCCATTTTAGTAATGACCCCAACTCTTATCCAGAAGACCTCAACCCCAAATACAACTCATCCAACACCCCCTCACAAAACCCCCGATAATACTCTTCCCCCTTCCACCCCAACCGCGGGGACCGAATGCCCGCAGTCCTCCACCCTTCCCCTCTCAACCTCTCAATCCGTTGCACTTTAGTCTCTTTCATCAACGACAATGCGCGTCCTGATCCCCCAGCAATACTTTCTCCAATATCCTGCATAGATGAAGAAGATGGCGGAGAGGATGAAGACTTCACCGGACTAAAACTCCAAAATGACCCCGAGCGACGCAAACCCCGCGACATGCGCCGTGCCTCCTGGAGGGCGGTGATTTCATTGATGTGGGTATGGAGGGTGGTGATGCTGGATTTTATCTGCGCGTGGAGGAAGTTCAAGGCTTCTTTTTGTTTTGGGTCGGTGGTGTTGGGTTGGGTTTGGGGGTGGTGGTGGTTATGTTTCTGATGGAGACTCCCAGAAGAAGAAATCCCAGAGTCAGAATAAGGATTAGTAGTGGAAGTAGGAATAACTCTTACTGGCAATGGCGGTACGAAACCAGAGCTACCTTCAGTTGGATGTTTCTTATATTGAGGGAAAGGTTGCTGGTCGAGGTTGAGTTCAGAATCCAGATTCAATCCCGACAGGCGGAGGATTTTTGCTTCAAAGGATTCACCGGATGCTTTGCGGACTTTGAGTGGAGAGGGGATTAGGCCTTGCTCGTGGGGTAGGTGGAAGAGTTCGTTTGGGCCGTTCGTGGTGGTGAAGCTGTTGTTGGGAGTGTCGGTGTCGCTGTCGGTGTCGCTATCACCGAGGCTGGGACTATCCTGGAAGCTATCGCTGTGGGAGCTCGATTCTGCATCCGAGTCCTGGGTGAGTAGCCACTCATACTTTTCTTCATCCTCATTCTGATTCGGATCCGCATCCTCTCGATCAATAAACGGATCATCTTCGAACGGATCTCCTCCAAGTAAATCAATACCCTGAATCAATTGGGCGATACTTCTCTCCAGGGTGTCGTCGCTACCTTTATCCTCATCCTCATACCCATACTCACTATCCGTATCACTGTATCTGTGCCTATCACGCTACCTCTCAACCGCACCCCCCTCTTCTTCAACAGAGGCAGTAGAAGGGACAGAGGCATCACCAACCCACCCCCCACAAACAACAAACCACTCCACAGCAGCCTGCAACAAAGGCAACTTATTCTTCGAGTAATTGTGTGCTGCGAGTCCCATACCTTCGTAGGATATGGCTGTGTAGAAGGTGAGGTAGGTTTTGTGGATCTATCGTATAGTTAATGATATCTGGACGGGTATAAAGGACCGAGGTATAGGAGAGCGGGTTACCGGTTCTTCAGTTAACGGTAACAAATCCTCCGCTAGAGCAATGCATTGTCGGTAGTGGTGGGAGGTATAGAGGTGCTTGATATCGCGGAGGGTGAGGGGCCAGTTTTGGAGCTTGGAGTTGGGGGTGGATGTGGTTGAGGTTGAGGTTGGGGTGAAGGTGGGATTGGGATTCGATTTGATGGTAGGATTGGTGGTATGAGGCATATTGGATGTAGGATTGGGATTGAGGATGGGATTGAGATGTGGACTTGTGAGGTGCGGAGATTGTAGAGGGGAGTCGAGGAGGATTGGTATAGAGGAGGACTGGTATAGAAGAATAGGGATGAGATGGACCCACGACGCGTGTCACGTCTTGATGTGATGCGTGTGGAGACACGTTTGTCTGGGGGGTATCTTTCATAGAAATTATTTGGTATGGTGTTGGATATTCTAGAGTGGTTTGTAAGAGGTGAATTTTGTATGCGTCGGTGTCTTTCAATTGTTGCGGTGAATGGATTGGTGTAGACCTGTCTGCCGTGAAAACAACTGGAAAGGATATGGACATCTAGATGTACATACGAAGAAGGACCTACGTGGACTGCACCATTAGCTAGCATATTCCATTATCCACAAGCTTAAAGCCACGTCTGGATGGGGCCTATCAGACCACATCATCTCAGACAACATGAGATATGCGTCGAACAGCTCTCAAATGACAGCAAAATAGCCTTGTCACAATCATAAATCATAAAACACCCACCGACATGTCTATTTGCTTTTCCATCTAACCCCACCCATCATCGAACGAATCCTATTCAGCATCCGGCTTGGCCTCGGTCTTCGTCTCTTCAAGACTCACTCGCGACAAGGCCCGGCCAGTAGCATTCAACGAATCAATAAAACTCTCCAACAACCGGTCCAGCTCGCTCGAGATTGCATGGTCGCCCGCTCCAGACATGAAGATGTCGAGTTGGGGCAGGGTCAAATCCGGGAACAAAATCGGCTCGCCGTCATCAGTCGTCAGCGCAGGAAAGGTGGTCCGAGCAGTAGGCAGCGAATCCGACACGGAGGAACTTGCCGACGGAACAAAAGGGAGACTCAGGTCCAGGCCCTTGGTCGGGATCGCTGTCGGAAACGGTTCGGACAAGGAGGGGTCGTCATCCTCGGAGGGCTTCCACTCAGGTTCCTCTTCCTCATCAGGCCCCGGTCCGTCCATGATGTGAGTTTGGCCGTAGTTACTGTATTGGAGCGAATGCATTAACCCGGGATATTCCGGCTGGCTGGGACCCGGGCCCGAATTGGCTGGCGGAGTCGAAGGACGATCGAAGCGAAAGGGATCGTAGTCCATCTCCGAGCTCACCGACGCATTGGACTCGCCGGAGCGCGACGTCGACGGGCGGGAGTCCCCGGGTTCGCCAATGCTCGAGCGTCGGATAGTCGCAGACGGCGGCGGAATCTCAATAATAGGCGCCTTCAGAGTATCGTATCGACCTGCGTCTGCAAGGCTATCGTTTGCAGGCCCGTCGTCGGCCGGGGCGGTCATAACAGGGAAGGTCCACTCCATGGTGGCACGCTTGTCCGACGTGTCTGGCTCCGCTGGCTTTGTCTCCGGCTTTGTCTCCGGCTCGACCACTGGCTCCGCGACTGGCTCGCTCGCTGGTTCGCTGGCTGCCTCGGCCTCCTCCTCGGGCGGTTGCATAAAGACTGGGAACTTCCAGTCCATCGTGGGAGGCCGTGGCCCAGACGCTGGCTGGTAGGTCATATCCTCCTCATCTCTGTTGCTGCTCACCCCGCTGCTGGACGAGCGCGAACGACTTTCAGCCGAGTTACGGTGCTGACGCCCACTGGTCCGGTTCGCCCGAATGGTATCGGCATCGGCAAGTTGGAATGGCTGGGCCGAGGTGGCTCCAGCAGCATAGTGTGACGAGTCGAACGAGCCAATGTCGATGTCAATGAAAGTGGACGTCACCGAGGATCGATCGGTATCAGTGCGAAGTGGGAGGTCGGACACGGGGGCCTTGGGCTCGATGGGGACGAAATCATTTTTGGTCTCGTACTTGTAGCTCGGCATGTCTTCATTGAACAAGCCTTCCATCGCCGCAGCACCCCGGCGGACACGCTCGTCAAAGTTCGCTTGATCTTCGACCGTCATTACCTCCTCAGATGGCTCTTCCGGGAGGTCGTTCTCCGAGCTCGTGGTGGTGGTGGGACTGATTTGGTCTTCCATCTCCGCCAGAGAGGCAGCCAGCTGGTCGAGATCGATGACAGAGAATCGACGCTCGAAGCCATCGGTCGTGCTAAAGTTCCAGTCCTCTTCGTAGCCGCCCTCATCTTCGGGAAGCTCCGCGGCAACAGCACCTCCAGGATGAAACAAAGAGATACGCTGGCCACCTCGTTGGGACCACTGATAGTACATGCGAACGAGCTCGCTGAGGGATGAAGTGGGATAGGCTTCCGCGGTATCAGCGATGTACGGGTGCGCCAGGACATCTGCCATCGCGGGCCGGGAGATGGGGTTCGATTCCAAGGCAAACGAGACGATGCTCTTGAGGCCGTCGCTATATTTGGAATTGTCCAACTTGGGGGTGTTGCGGGTCAACTGCCTGCCAATCTGCATGCGCTCGCGTAGGTTGGAATTGGGAGGATTTCCAGTGGCAAATTCAAACAGTGTGCATCCGTAGGCCCAGACATCAATCTATCGTAGTTAGCATTGGAGTATGTTCGTGGAGGCAATCGCTTACCTCGCTACCATACTTGTGGGCTTCACCGCGAGTCGAGAACATCTCTGGTGGCATCCAATGTGGTGTGCCGATCCAAGTAGAACGTTTGTCCATCTGTGACTGGAGTACTCCGGCCACACCGAAATCACAGATCTGCAGTCTTCCTTCCTCGTGGATCAAAATGTTGGCAGCTACAACAGTCAGTAAGATCCAAGCGCTATGGACGGGTGCATACCCTTGATGTCTCTGTGGATGATGCCCGCATCATGAATGGCACGCAAGCCAGCAGCAAGCTCTCGTGCAACCGGGATGATGAACTTTTCTTCGAGTCGGTCGCCGGTTGCCCGCATCTAAGTGGATATTAGACCAAGAACCACGTGGGGAAGATACACTGTAGTATCTCAATGATAAAGGGCATACCAAAGTCCTAACACTACCCCCGGGGCAGTACTCGGAAACCAACCACAGCTGTGAGTGAATGGAATGCGCCTCGATCAATTCGTTGATGTTCTTCGCACCCGCATCCTTCACCTGTTTCATGACCTTGGTCTCATGGATAAAGTCCTTGATCGATTCATCCTTGAAATCACGGACGGACTTGTAGTCCATGGAGTCAATGTCCATGACCTTGATGGCGACAACCTTGCGAGAAGGGAGCTGGTGGCCCTTGTACACGCGTCCGTATGAGCCCTTACCAATCAACTCTTCGAATTCATAAGGCGGGGTCTCAGTTTTGGCTCTGCGGCACATCTCTTGGACCGCAGCACCTTGTTCACGAGCTAGCTTGATGGCCTCCGCCTTGTGCTTGGTGATGGCAGCCACCGCGGGGTCCAGGAACCGCGAGGCACGCGAGGAATCCATGATGGGCGGGGGATGATGAGGGTGTAAAGGATCGTGGAAATCAGTCGGACGATCGGAATCTGGCTGGGGGGTGGAAGGTGGGCAAGGGAGATTGAATTCCCAAGAGATATCGGGGGTAGAGGACAGAACTGATCGGGGGGTGAGAGGAAAGCCTGCAGGGAGATTGGAGGATGTGGGGAGGGCAATGGACGGAGGGAGTAGAGGTGAAGGAGTCCGGCCGGCCTCCTGAGATCCACTCACGACACTAACACCCTGCTGGTGGGACCTCTCTGGGGAATTCGCTGGGGGGTCGGGAAAATGGGTCGATAGGGGAGCAATGGAAAGGGGAGGGACGTGGTCCAGATAGGGATCCGCAAGGCACACTCGGGCCGGCTTGTCTTCTCGCCAGCTCCCGTGCCGAAAGAGATTTTGAAGCGCCGCAAGCGCCGAGTCGGCGGAGCCTTTGCTGCGGAGAGAACGTCGACGACGCGCCTGGCGGCCAAACGGATAGGTTTGAGAGCGCAAGTCTCCTCTGGCCGAGGGACTCTCGCCGTCGCTAGTTTCCGCGCCACGTGCTTCAGCTAGAGGTTCGTCTTTTCCGGACGAGCTCTTGTGGTGATGCTTTCTTTCGGTCCTTTTGCTCAGCGACTGCTTGCGCCCTGACCGCTTCTCGGGCTCGTCACTACGGCTGTGCCTGTGGACGAGAAAGCCAAAATATCGGCGGGCAGTGTCGTCCGGAGTGGGTGGTTGGGAGGCAGGCAGAGGACACTGGATCGCCAATGACAAGTCAATGTCAAACTTCTGCTTTAAGTGCCTTCGGATTTCCTCGTCCCGATTGTTGGATCGGCGTTTTCCGAACCCAGTGCTAGCCCTGCTTCAGTAAGCTTAGGCTTAATTCTCTCACGAGCTGGAGACACACCCTAGAAGCGGGTCTTGGAAGATGCTGTCGCTGTCGTCGCTACCTGGACACAGTTAGTCTTGCATTCAAATTCCACTTGCGAAAGCTTACCAGTGTCCTGATCAGGGTCCTTGCAGTCTTGCTCTCTATTTAACTCGCAAGCCCTTTCTACGCTGTCAGGGTCGTTCCTTTGCTGTTCCTTCCGATAATTCTGGGCACTGCATCAAGGTCAGCATGTATATCCAACGGCTCTGGATGAAAGCGAACTCCTCGCAAATCCCCCAACGCTCAGGAGAGCTTGAATCAGCCATCGTCAACGATCACTCAAGAGAATCCACAGCAAGACAATCAAGACTAATCAAATGGGTGATAGCAGAGTATCAAGGCGACGTTGGAGACGGGAGATGCCATAGGAGACAGCGAGACAAGCCGACAGAGGAAGGAGGAGAGAAGAAGAGGGGCAAGGCAAGTAAACACAGAACACAGTCACTTACATCTATGTTGAATTTACTTTATTTGTAACAGACTGTGTGCCCACAAGGGAAGACTCGTTGTTCTTCCTGTCTCTACTTCACGAAATCGAAGGCACCCGGTTCACTACAGCCTGTTTTCACAGATTCAATGCACCCAACCCGAGTGCTATCCATGTTTAGTATATATTCCCCAGTTTCCCATAGTCCTGCCTCTTCAAATCGCAAAACAAGCAACAAAATCAGATGTGAACTCACCTCACTGTTGTATTGCATCCAAGTTCGATGCTGTGAATATAAGGCGGTGAGAAGCGCTAATTAAGTGCGCTAGTTTAGCGCGAGCTAGAAATTAGTTCTAGGAGGTGCCGGGCGACTGATTCCGGTGAATATGATCCAGAGAAAAGCACGAAGGCCAGGGCTATATTTTGAGCTGATAGCTGTCCTATACAGCAATATAGATAGGCAGGTGTTGGAACCCTGCTACACACTTGGATTCACGCGTCTTTGGGTATGAACCAATGCTTGATGCCAAACAGATGAAATCTTAGGCGATACACCAATCTAGATACATGTTAGCACTGCAATGGCTACACATTTATTAAACATAACATGACATTCTATAAGGGATAGTCAACAACTTCAAAAACACAAAAGAAGATGAACCCTATCACTCAGCTGGGTCTTGGGCATGCTGGATATTATCCACTTTGTACCCATCACGTGACAGGATTCACAAAACCACGCAACTCAGTGCATGGGCAAACAGCACCTGAGCCACCAGAACACCAGACCTAGGGCCTGTTGTTTATCCTGCAAAATTGAAGACTGACTCACCTACAGCGGTTCCTAGCAATTTCCTCAACCAAGCCAGCTGGTTGACCGAAAGACAAGGGGTAACCGAAGTTCAAATGCAGGGGGAAGGGGAAAGAATAATAGAAGAGAAGGAAATCTAGGGGTATCAAGGCTGCAAAATCGAGGTCAAACAACAGAAACCATTATCGCCGTCCTCATTATATCAACATTCTATAACTGATTAACAATAGAGAATGGTCAGGGTTGAGTAAACGTTCGATTAGAGTTCCAGATCAATCAATCGGATAGTGTCACAGTGGATCAGCCGCGGATTATTGTTTTCCAGCTTCCGACATCCTACACCAACCTGCACAACAACAGCATTTCAATGCACAGACAAACCAGACAGGCATTAAGAGAAGCAACTCCAAGGATATTTCAACATAATGTTTGTTTGAAGTGCAACAAGCAGCACGAGATCATTCAATATGCTATATGTATTGTCACGCTAGACTAAATGCAATATCAACTTTCCATATTTACATTTACGCGGCTGTTACTACAGACCGAATTGGACCTTCAGGGAATCGCCAAACCGCCGAATGGCTTCAGTAATGCCTTCCGAGCTGGCAGAGGCAAATGTAGCGCGGAAGAACATCTTCTCTTCGTGGACGCCATCAGCCTTGAACCAGCTGCCCCGAGAAACAAGGACACCATTGTCGACGGCAGCAAGGAAGACTTCTTCTTCGATGGATTCACGAGTCTTGCCGGAAGAAAGGCCAGGGTGCTTCTTCCAGTCAACTTCGATCCAGTGCTGAAGTGTGTTAGCCTACCATCAGATCAATAATCCAGGGTGACCGTGTACTTACAAACATGCCTGCGGCCGGAGGAATCCACTGCGCAATCTCCTGAGGGAGGTGCTTTTCACATGCATGCATCATCGAATCTCTGCGGCCGGTGTACTGCATACGCAGGTTGATCAGCCAGTCAAGGTATCCGGAATGGCCCCAGTGCTCATCAAGGAGCTTGTAGAAAACGAGCTGCGAGATACCGGACGGGTTCTGGGCGGAGGCCTCGCAGTTCCGGATGAAGCGTTCCACCACCTGCTCGGAAGCAACAATCCAGCCCGTTCTTGATCCAGGAGAAAGAACCTTCGAGAATGACTCCACGCGAAGAACACGTCCGTCCACGTCCAGGCTCAGGTAAGACGGCACGAGTGACTTAATAAAGTCGTCGTGGGTGGCCGGCGGCGGGACGGGCTCGCTATCCGCGCCGGCATAGGGCTGCATCTGCAAGAAGTAGTACGGCTCATCCTCCACGATGTACACATCATGCTTCTGAGCGACCTTGTACACAGCCTTACGTCTCTCCACTGACTGTGTAGCACCGGTGGGATTCTGGCCAGTCGGGATCGTGTACAGCACAAAAGGCTTCCGGCCACCCCGGGCAGCCTCATCCCAGTTGCTCAACACCTCATCAAGAGACTCGGGCAGAAGACCCTCCTCGTCCATCTTGATGGCCGCCACCTTAATTCCGAGGGGAAGCGCAGTCTCTTGGGCACTCGAGAAAGTGTACTCCTCCATCATAATGTAGTCACCGCGGTTGCAGAGCATGCGGAGTATCGTGTCCCACGCGTACGTGCTACCCGCGGTCAAACAGCATTGCCAATCGGCATAGGGAGGGTTGTGGATGAGCTGACAGCTATTAGCCTAACACACCGGGAATAGTTCCCCATGCTTCACCTACCTCAGTATGCTCCGTCACGAACCTAAGCAACTGCGGAGTTCCCGATGCCTGTCCATAATTGAGAGCAACCTCCAGGTCTGACCAAATGGTTACTCGATGAATCCAACTGATTGGCCAGAGAGAGGGCGCAACTAACCAAAAAGGCTCTTTCCATCCCGGACGTCACCCTTGTTCGCATCCAGAACGGTTCCCTCCGGGGCGAATTCGGGCGCATTCGGGACCTTGACGGAGAGTTGCTCGATGGGGAAATATTCCGGCGAGGGGAGACCTCCACCCAGCGAGATCAAGCCGGGGTTCTTCAGGTACCGGGCAGCCCCCTTCAAAGTGGAACTCTAAGTGAAGAGTTTAGTTTCCAGGTCCACCTAAGCCATGGTGTATGAACGGACAAACCTTCCGGGACTTCGACTCGACGGAGAAGATATCTTGCGGCGTATTAACAGCTGACGGGGGCGGGAGTGATCGGACGACTTACGGTCCCAGCGTTTCGACTGAGGCTTCGTGTAGCAGTGCTAGGACAAGAAATTACAGATTAGCTCTGGGCACAGTGGAACTGTATGATCTTCGACAGGGAGAACCTACCGGGCTCTTAAAGATGTCACTGCTCGTGGCAGGTGCAACACCGGTGGGAATCTTTGCGCCCTTGGCTCTGAGAGCAGGGATGGCATCGACCGTCAATGGGCCGGAAGCGGCAACCGAGCCCACGTTGTTGGAGTCATTGTCCACGGCGGCGGGAGGACTCATTCTTGGATCAGGGGTTTGATGGAACGTTGCAGGGGAGGTATGGTAGTATTCAGGATTCACACAATCGGCGCACAGGCAAGTATATAGACGAGAGTGAACGACCGATAGCGAAAGGGAAAGGGAGAATCGAGTCACAGACGGCGTCCGCTTTTTTCTCCGCTTAAATGGGCGGACCGGTTCCGCCGAGGAACCATTGGGTCGCTGAGCAAAGGATTCAGGTCGGCAGCCATGAGTCCACGACGCATGCGAAGCACACCATAGCTGATTGGAACCTCCTCAACGATCCGATCCATTCGGGGAGCTTCACCGCGTTTTCGTTATCTAATTGCCCGTGAGATACCGCGCGCGATGTGACGCTGTCAGTCACAGGGCGCGGCGGACAGCGATAACGTGATTGGTATTTCCAATACATGTCATGTATGGTAGGGCCCCCTGCTCCGCACCCTCGTAAGAGCTGCACTCGATCGCAGCATCATTGGTCGGTCTCCGAAAGGTGGTACACAGTAGCAGGGGAGCTCCATGATTCAATCCAATGGGCAGATGATCATCATTGCCTGCAGGGCCAAGGCGACCTGACGAGAATGTGAGACGCCTCGAGGGAGGCAAGGACCAGCACGGTTCGGTCAATACGGCCCGGGTGACAACCCCGCGCCTAGATAAGGCTATCGCCGGGATCGGAGCTGCTTATCGAGATAAGAATCGCCTTTTTTTAGACGATCTATCACCACCGAGTAGACACGCGACGGGTCAATCTGGGCTAGACAAGAATCCTTTGGACTAGTATCTAGATAGATAAACTGACATGTCTGTCAGTCTTTGGAGGACCCACGTGGTAATATCGAGATCCGGGTTTACCGAGATGCCTATCTATAGAATGGCACCGGCTAAGGAGTACGTAGCCAATGGACATCCTGGTCAGAGAGATGAAGATATTCTCCACAAGATGATATTGTACTAGGTAGTAGTAGTCTTCAGTTATATTTCCGGCATACACGCGTATCGATATAGGTTTTTGCAGGAAGGAGAGAAGATGGGGAAGGCACGTCCTGTCTCGGCTTACTAAGGCCCAGATAGACTGGGGCAGTCCTCTCTCTCTCTTTCGGTCTCTCTCTTCTTACAGGGCTCCTACATTGAAGCTGGACTTCTCCTCTGCAGCACAGTTCTCGACCTCAACACATCCCCCATGGTCTGAGGCTCCATTTCCTCAACAAAATGAAGTATTGCTAACGTTACGGATCTAGAAGGCCGAAAACCGCCTGCCATCATCGCTGGCGGGGGTGGCCTGTTGTCCCCTCTATCAGAAGCATCCAGGCCAGCCATTAGAGCATCGGAGCACCATTCATCTTAACTTGGAAGGAGAGCATGCGCAGACAATGCCAGACCTCACCCACATCATCGATGTGACGTACGCTAAAGTCATGCCACTCTAGTCATCTCCTCATGCTCTGCTCCGATCTGCTTCGGGGAGAACGTTCAAGTGGACGCAGTGCCAGCGATCATCCCAGGCCAGAAGATGCACCACCTCTCTCACACTGAGATCATTCCCAGCTATCTTGCTGTCGACCCCTCTCCTGAGGCCATCCACCAAACGGGATTGTCACAAGCCGTTGCCTTTCCCCGAGTCTATCCGTGCAAGACCGCAGTTGCGACTCCCCCAGTCTAGATCAACCGTATACCCACGAGGGACCTCAGATGAAACAACCATGATCCATAGAAGCCCCGCCTTGCATTTCTCGTACATAAAATTCAGCTCTTCATGATGTAGGCAATGCCACCTCCACTCACAAATGAAGGCAGATGAGACCCTGGAACACGTACCCGAAAGTCAAACTTGAGATCTGGAATCAATACCCCTCTCTACCACACTCTTGTAGCTGGCTACCGACCATCTATACCCCAACATTCGAGTGGGGAATTCCGCGGCAGATGATTCTAGTAACATGCAACATCATGCAGGGTTTACCATGGTCTGGAACCGCGACGAAGCTATATAATTCCCTTCCGGCACTCAGTCTGGGAATCATCTCGAGTAACGAGCATCTACTCTCTCCTTGAAACTTTACTTCTTTTTGCAATCTTTTGTCTACCAATCGTCCAATCGAACCAATTCACTATGCGTGGAAAAGTTGCCATCGAGGAAGCCTTTGAGCTGAAGGACGCGACCGGCGAGATCGAGGCCCAGGCCGCCCTCTACATTGCCCCAAATGATGTCGAGCGTTACAAGCGACAAATCGTGTCGATCACGGATGAACGCCTGGAGCTATCCGAGAAGAACGGCATCGGATACACCATCCTCTCCCTGACCGTCCCGGGTATCCAGGGCATTACGGACCAGTCCGAGGCCGAGAAGAGGGCCGAGAAGGTAAACAACTACATCCATGACCAGATCAAGGGACACCGCGACCGCCTGGGAGCGTTTGCGGCGCTGTCGATGCATGATCCCCGTCAGGCAGGACAAGAGCTTCGCCGCTGCGTGAAGGAGCTAGGTTTTCACGGGGCCTTGCTGAATGATGTCCAACATACCGGAAAGGGCGACGCTGACCAGCCCCTCTTCTACGATGGGTCTGACTATGACGAGTTCTGGAGAGTGGCTGTGGAACTCGACGTGCCGGTCTATCTGCATCCTGCTGCACCTTTGCGGGATACCATCAACTACAAGCAGAACTACGCGGATCGGAAGTATCTCGTGGGCCCGCCACAGAGCTACTGCAACGGCGTTGCACTGCATCTGATGGGCCTGATCACCAACGGAGTGTTTGATCGGTTCCCCAACCTGAAGGTTGTTGTTGGACACATGGGCGAGCGTATTCCGTTTGATTTCTGGCGGATGAACCACTGGGTGAATGGTGTGGAGAGGCCTCTGGCACAGAAGAACGGTGACACCATTTGCGAGCGGGAACCGCTCTATTACTTCCAGCGCAACATTTACATCACAACCAGTGGGCACTTCTGCACTCAGAACTTGCGGTACTTGTACGAATACCTGGGCGATGAGCGACTGATCTTCAGCGTTGATTTCCCCTACGAACGCATGGAGCACGGCTGCAGCTGGTATGATGATGACGAGGAGCAGATCAAGGAGGCGCTGGGTGGACGGGATGGATACCTTCGAGTTGGCCGGGACAACGCGAGAAGGTTGTTCAAGCTCAGCAAGTTCAAGGACTGCGATGCGCCTGTTTGATTGCAGCCATGAAGCCTCCTCCTCGATTCCGCGGTGCGTGTAGTATGGAGTAATTTGCAGTCTTGGGCGTTTGTTTTGATTTACTGTGGGTGAAAACTGAACAAAAAAGCATTCCGGGATGTACGCACTTGACTAGTTTGCTTAGTCTTGATTTGATGGCTCGCTGTTCTTGGTCGAAGCCCACTAGTTAGGTCAATCTAACCGTCCATCCTGGATGCTGCTGCTGGCTGTAGGAGTCGCCTAGCTTGTAAAAGGCCTTCACAACTCCATTAGCCCCTTCTATTCATCCATAGATGGCACTTGAGCTGAAGATATGCCACTGCGAATGTCATACAGGCATAACCGCACACAACTGAATAGTGAACGACATCTACCCGAACCTCTACATAGGAAATGTACAAGGGACTACTAATTTGATCAACTCATCAATCAACCAAGCAGATCTGTCTCTCTGTGCCTGTGTGTGTGTGTGTGTGTGTGTGTTTACCGCTGACATGTATACATTCCAGTGCATAGCTTACATTACTGACTTACATTGCAAAGGCGATGGATCGTAAAGGTACTTCTAACTGATAGATTTATCCCGTGTTTAGACAGACGGGTTGTGTCATATAGCATCAAGTTCGTTGTCGGTAGATCTTGGCCTCGTACATGGCGTCATTTGAATGAGATAAGATAGATGGGATGGGATAGATAGCATATAAGTCCGGTGGGGGACAAGGGGTCAGAGGAGCGACTTCGCGACATACTTCCCCTCCGTACCATCGAGCTGGGCTTCCAGGACAGCAGTAGTGCCATTCTGTACGCTTTTGATGGCCTCGGGTAGGAGTTTCTGGAGCTCGGCGACGGTGGAGGCTTGAGCGCCCCAGAAAGTGCCGCCGGATGCGGCTTTTGCGATCCCGGGGTAATCTGGGGTTGGGGCGAAGGAAATGTTTAGGTCTTCGTTGGTAGCGCGGGAGCCGTCGCCGTTGGGGTGGACGAGGAGCATGCTTCGTCGTGGGGCGTTCCAGCCTTTGTTGTTGAGGACGATGGTGAGGATGGGGATGTTGTAGCGGCGGGCGACCCAGTAGACGGATCCCGGGACGGAGAAGAGGTAAGTGCCGTCGCCGACGATCTGACAGACAAATTTGCCTTTGTTGGGCCCGCCGTGCTGGACGTCGGTGGCGAGTTTGATGCCGAGGGCACCGCCGCCGGACCAACCTAGACCGCCGCCGCCGCAGTTGATCCAGGATTTGGGGGTCGTGGGGGCGATTTGGTCGGCGACGGTGCCGGTGAGGGTGACGGATTCGATGGCCCAGATGGTGTCAGAGGGGCAGGTCTGGCGGATTTGGCCGAGCAGGTAGGATGCGTTGAGGGGGGCGGTGGCTCCGCCCGGGGGTGGGAGGGCGAGGGTGCGGATGGATTGGCGGGTCTTTTGGAATTCCGCTTCGCGACGCTGGCCGCGAGCGAAATTCTCGTTGGAGTTGATGGTTTGTTGGATGGAGGCATTGGAGGAGATGTATTCGTTGAGCTGTTTGAAGGCGGTTGCGGACTCGGCGCGGAAGGTTGCAATGGTGGGTATATAGGAGACGGGGATTTGCTGCTTGAGCGGGTCGACGTCGATGTGGATGATCCGGGCTGAATCGGATGGCTTGCAGAGGGTCGGGATCCAAGGGACGTCGCAGTCGGCGACGAGGATGAAGTCGGCGGTTTTGATGGCGTCGTGAACGCCGAAACGCATTCCCAGATATGCGGGGTGATCGCCAGGGAAGCACAGATCACAGCCGCCGGTGTCGAGGACACGGATGCCCTTGAAGGTGTTTGCTAGGGTAACCAGTTCCGTGACACCCCGGGCTTCTCGACCGGAGTAGCCGACGATGACCAATGGCTGTTTGGCGGCTGCGAGTTCGGACGCGATCAACTCGACGCCCTCTGATGGTAGGGCAGACGGGGAGACAGTCACCCAGTTACTCTGGTTGAGGCTGTAGGGGATAATTTCTTCCTCCATGACCTCTCGAGCACCGGCGAGGTAGACCGGCCCCTTGGGATCGCTGGTCGCGAACTGGAGGGCACGGTTGACCATCTGCTTGATGTTCTTCCCCGATCGGATCTCCGCTGCATAGCGGCAGTATTGCGAGACGATCTGCTTCTGGTCGGGGACATCCTGGATCCAATGGATGTACTCGGTCCGGGAACCGCGCATCTCCCCCTCGATGGTGTAAGGGGAGAGGCCGGCGAAGATCAAGACGGGAGCGCGGCCACAGGAGGCGTTGTGAATGGCGGCGCCGAGACCCTGAGTGCCAACATCAACATGGACGATGACACATTGAGGCTGGCCGGTCAAGCGGGCATACCCATCGGCCATGGACAGCGCCACCATCTGCCAAGGTTGGCAATACGGGGTTAGTGTCCGTCTGGGCGCGACAAAATCCGGAGTCAATTAGCTCACCTCGTTGGGGCAGGTCACAATCTTGGGGAACTCATTGGGCTTTTCCTTCTGGCCCTTGACTATAGCCTCGAGGATGGAGGGGTGGTCGGACCCCAGGTTGACAAAGACATGGGTGACCCCGGCCTACCGGGTCAGCTGTGAGCGAGAAGGATCATCCTCTTCCATCTCACCTCCCATAGGGCCTCGAAAAAGGCGAATGACGCAGTGTAGACCCTGGATTGGATGTTGTCAGTCAGACATGGGGAATTGAACATGCACCAGGCCGATTGGTGGGTAGAGCAACTCACATCGTCGCAGTCCGGTTCGCAATGGTAATGTAGAGAAGACTGGATTGAGAGGAACGAGAAAAGTGTGGGGAAGAAGGGATCGCAGATTGATAAGGGCCAGGTACTTAAAGTGCAGACATCGGGGTCAAGTCCGAGCCTGGTGAGGAGAAGCGCAGGGGAAGGGCTTAACACCGAGGTTAAGTAGACGGCCGATTGGTGTTTGGGGTGAAGGTTCAGCCCCTCGGCCACTGAGGTAAGCAGCATCAATGGAGTTGGAGTTTGAATACGACGAACTATGTATGCGCGATGCAATAGTCCGCACTCGAGTATGACAGTTGCTGCGGGGATAATCGGCATTTGCATGCAGACCCGTCCAGACAATTCACCGACAATCGATCAGCAGCTGAATTACGGTGTTGGGAGCATCGCCGCCATATCAGCCCTATTCACCATCACCACTGGCAGGGTGCTGCTTATCAAAAAAGCCAAGTTTGTAGTCGGTGGATCCATCCACTCGCCCGATTCCTGGGTGGATTCGCGGTGGACTGGAGTGGCCACGTTCAACCGCAGCCCCGATGACGTCGTGCTCGCCAACCCTCGCTTTCGTCAGTCCTCTTCGCGAATAAAAGACAATATTGCCCACATAGCATGGCGGAATCCATGCTCATCCCGTCGTCGGTTTCTCCAACGCAAATGGGCGATTGATTGAATGCTGCCGTCCGATACGTCATCAATCGTAGTAGGCAGCCATCATGGCGGCGCCGCTTCGGCCCTGGAGTCCCGCCAGCGAATCCACTTGGATGCCCCTTTTTAAACTCTCGGGCGCCGTCTGCTCCCTTTGCTTGGCCTCGATTGTGTTTTGGTTTGTTCGTCAGCCCAAGAGTGCCAATCGTGTCCGCGTCACCATGCTCTCCGACACCGTCTACGAGCTCTGTCATGACGACAAGACTGTCAGCTCCGAGCTGCTGAATGACCCGTCGCAATCTGGCCCGAAGGTGTTTGAGCGTCTTTACCACGATCGCAAATCGAAACTGCACAGCCATGACTCGAAGGAGTCGGCCGACGATGCCAAGAACGAATTGAAGAAGGTGCTGGAATGTGGGAATTGGGGCAACTCCGAACCTAGCGAACTGTTCCTGAAGGTTAGCCAAACTTCCATCACCACCAATCGGGCGAGAATTTGCAGGGGAGAGTTCTGACTGAAGTCAAGATATACCACGATGCTTTGTGTTCTTTGGACAAGAACCCGATGGCCGGCGTGGTCTCGCCTCCGTTGATGGGCAGCCATGGCGTGGTGCCGTTGACCATCATTGCGCCTTTGCCGGATCTGTGCCGACACATGGCGAATTGTATCGTGCGGGCAGAGCAGGAGGTGTTTCTGGCGACCAATTTCTGGATCCACTCGGATGCCTCAACACTGGTGACGAACGCCTTCCGCGAGCTGTCCCGACGGGCAGGCGAGCGTGGCACCAAGGTGATTGTCAAGATGGTCTATGATCGCGGCGACCCTCACCAGCTGTTCGAGAACCACCTACCTGTGCCCGAGAAGAAGTACACCAGCGAGAAGGTCCAGCTGCCACCGGCTGAGGAGATCCCCAACATCGATCTGCAGGTGGTGAATTACCATCGGCCGATCTTCGGAACATTTCATGCCAAATTCATGGTGATCGATCGGCGGATCGGGCTGCTGCAGAGCAGCAACGTGCAGGACAACGACAATCTGGAGATGATGATCCAGGTGGAGGGGCCGATTGTCGACGGGCTTTACGACACTGCCCTGATCTCGTGGGGAAGACCTCTCGAGCCTCCGCTGCCCATGCTGGCCTCCCCGGCCACCGGCGCCCCAATTCCTTGTCACTCTACCCAACAGCCCGACTATGACGCTCCTGATCCGGGGCCTCTTCCTGAACTCACCGTCGACGACCACCACTATGACCCGGACATCCGTCGCGAGGCCCAGCGAATGAATGGGCTGCTTCTGCCACGAGACGGCGAAACCATGACCCAAGCCGTAACCCGTCGTCTCAGTATGTCCATCTCCACAGCCCAATGGTTCAGAAACAACTAACCAACCTGCCTAGACACCACCATCCAGACCGACATGACCGCCGATGCCCCGGAGAGCGACCAAGACCCGATCATGGAACCCTACCTCGTTCTCCAACCCCACAATCCCTTCCCAATGGCCGTCATCAACCGCGAGCCTTGGGGTGGTACGTCCATAATCCCCATCCCCATCCCATGTCACTCTTACTAACCTCCTCCAGCCCCCAACCATAGCAGCGTTCACACCCCCCAAAACAGCAGTTTCCTCTCTGCCATCAAAAACGCCCAAGAATCCATTTTCATCCAAACCCCCAACATGAACGCCGAGCCCGTCATTGAGGCCCTTATCGAAGCCATCAAGACCCGCGACGTCACTGTCACATGCTACTTGTGTCTGGGCTACAACGACGCCGGCGAATTACTTCCCTTTCAGAACGGCACGAACGAGATGATCGCCCACAGGATGTACAAGGCGCTAGATACTGATGATCAGCGCTTTCGTCTCCGGATCTTTAATTATGTGGCCAAGGATCAGACCAGACCTATTCACAATAAGTTTAAACGGAGAAGTTGTCATATCAAATTGATGATAGTTGATGAGAGGGTTGCTATTCAAGGTACCTCCCCCGGATTCAACTGCGAATTAATCCAAGTGAGGTCAACTAACGAGATAAATCTATGTACAGGAAACGGAAACCTCGACACCCAATCCTTCTACCACAGCCAAGAAGTCAACCTGCTTCTAGACTCACCACTAATCTGTCGTGCTTGGCGCCACGCCATCGACCGCAACCAGAACACGGCGTTTTATGGTGGTGTTAGTCCCGAAGACGGCTGCTGGCATGATCCTAATACTAATGAGATTCCGGTGGGTTCGATTGGAATGAACCCGGGACACTTTAGTTGGGCGAAGGGAGCAGTTGGTGCTGTGCAGAGGGTTAGGGGGGCGGGGGGGTTCTAGATCAAATCTTTTGGTATATATCTTTTGGATTGTATACTGACATTGTTTGACATATCGTGATGTATAGTTATGCTTGGTATTTAGATCAGCGATTTATGACACGTTGGACATGTACGACGTTGCTTAATTGAATAAATAGAACCACATCCCCTACTCTACACAACCAGACTTAATACCTCACACCCATACCACCCCTAAACCCCCTATTACCCTAGAGATTACCAACATAAAAGAACAACCAACCATGACATCCCACCCCTACGACCAACCCATCCGCGACATAACCAACTACATCCACAACCACCCCATCACCGACCCAGAAGCCTACACCGCCGCGCGCATCGCCCTCCTCGACGCCCTCGGCTGCGCCATTGAAACAGTCTCCAAGAGCCACTCCGCCCGCCAACTCCTCGGCCCCTTCATCCCCGGAACAACCGTCCCCAACGGCTTCAAAGTCCCAGGAACAGCATACCAAGTTGACCCGGTCAAAGGAGCGTTCGATCTAGGCGTGTTGATTAGGTACTTGGATCATAATGATGCTTTGGGGGGGAGGGAGTGGGGACATCCTTCTGGTATATCCCCCATCCATACCCACTAACTACTATACGAACTAAGAATCGAAACTGAAATGGAATGAAATGAAATAGATACCATCCCCGCCCTATTATCCATAACCGATTACCTCAGTCGAAGCGATACAAGACCAACAATAACGCTCCACACCCTCCTAACCTCCCTCATCAAATCCTACGAAATCCAAGGCCACTACCAACTCCACAACGCCTTCAACACCCACAACATCGACCACGTGATCCTCGTCAAACTATCCTCCACAGCCATCGTCTCATATCTCCTAGGCCACACTCCCGAAACCACACAAGCGCTTCTCTCGCACGTCTGGATGGACGGACACCCCTCCCGACTGTATCGGGGGAAGGAAACCACTGTGCCCCGGAAGGGCTGGGCCGCTGGGGACGCGAGCAGTCGGGCCGTGCAGTTGTGTTTACTGGGGGATAAGGCTGGGGAGGCGATGAGGGGTGTTCCGGGGGCGCTTAGTGCGAGGCCGGGGGGTTTTGGGAGGGGAGGTTTCCTTTGGGGTTTCGGTTTCCGGAGGATGATAGTGGTGGTGCTGGAGGGGGTAAGATGGGAAGCGAGACCGTGAAGCGGGTGATGTATAAGCTAATGCCTGTTGAAGGACATGGGATTGCGGCTGTTGAGGGGGCGGTTGTTCAAGCGGGACGGATGAAGAGCATGGGGGTTGGGATTGAGGATGTGGATAGGGTGGAGATTCGAACGACTTGGGCGGCGGAGCATATTATCTCGCGACCTGGGAGGGGGAGAGGGAGGGGAGAGGGGCCTGCGGAACGGGATCATTGTTTGGAGTTTGTGGTGTCGGTGGCGTTGGTGAAGGGGGGGAGTTGGTGGTGGAGGATTATTGGGATGAGGCGGGGTGGGGGAGGATCCGGTGGTGGAGGAGTTGAGGAGCAGGATTGTGGTGACGGTGGATGAGAGGTTGACGAGGGATTATCTGGATCCCGGGAAGAGGAGTATTGGGGCTGGGGTGGTGGTGAGGTTGAAGGGGGGAGGGTGTTGGAGGAGGTGCTGGTGGAGTTTCCGGTGGGCCATGCGAGGAATTCCAGGACCAAGGGGGAGGTGAGGAGGAAGTTTGTGAGGAATATGGGGTTGATGTTTGGGGAGGAGGAGATTGAGAGGGTGTTGAGGTTGGTGGAGGTGGATGGGCTGAGGGTTTGTGAGTTTGTGGATTTGTTTGCGAGGAATGATACTGCTGGTGTTGAGGCGAGGTTGTGAAGATGAAGAAGAGTAGGGAGAATGATGGTTCCGGGCCAGTTGTTCATTACTAGTAGTAGATATGCTCTAGTAGCATTAATGATATCGGCATCAAGTGCTAAACATGCCGTTCGCGAGTGAATATGGCATCCCAAGTGCAGTGATAGTATCAGATAGTAAGTATCAGACAACCTTCCCAACTCCCTGGAGTGTCAAATAAACATCCGTCCCCCAGCCCCATAAACTCTGCACCGCAATGCTCCCCCCAAAATACTCCGCATAGGCCCGGCTCAGCGGCAGCCCATACCCAAGCCCGGCAATGCTGCTCAGATGTCCCCCGCTCGCTGCGATCGTGTTCAGCGCGTCCATACTCCCATTCTCCGACCCGTTCATCTCATAGTCCGAGAACGTAGTGAAACTATACGACCAGATGTTCGGCAGCACCTCCGGCGGGATACCACCTCCCCGGTCTCGAATTCGGATCGTGATGCTCTGCGAGGAAGGCGTCCAGCACTTGATAGACTCGTTTGCGTCTGCCGTCCCCACTACCGTATCCATATGGAACCCAACATCAGAATCTGACTGCGGCCCATGACTCCGCTTACCCTTCTTCCCAGGCGCATCATGAACAGTGTTTGCAGGGACGTCGGGCGCCGCAGCAATCGTCACCTCGATCGGTTCGCTTCCATTCCCAGATTCAATCACCGCCCGGAATGCATTCTTCAGCAGTTCCGTAAGAATATACTCCACGTGGACTGGGACATGCGCGAAGGAGGCGTCCGGTTGTCCACCGATATGCAATCTGGGACGGACACCGTACTTCAGCTCGCAGATCTCGCCCACAAAGTCCTCGCATGATTTGACGATGCGGGACGGTTGCAGCGCTGTGTCGATGACTCCAATATAGTTTGATGGTGCTGCGTCCTTGTTGGATTCGCGTTTTTCGACAGGGATGTCACTGACGGGCTGTGAGGCAAAGTGCAGCGCCAAATGTTGCTCAGCGATCAGCCGGGTGCCGATTCTGGCGCGCAGATGCGTGTCCAGAAACCTGGTAACCTCGACGGGATCGATGTATCGTCGACATTCGAGAAAGCCGCGGGCAAGAATGGGGATTGTATTGGTGTGGGTGTGAACGAGATCGGCGAGTACCTCGGCGAATTGGTTCTCTTCCTCGAGGGTAGTAACCTGACGTTGCTGGTAGGGTAGGAGGGTTGATAAAGAGTGTAGGTAGTTGTTGTAAATCTTCGATACATGCGGGTTCGAGACAACGATAAAAGGGAGGTTGCGGAGAGCTTCGATGCGAGATGCTAGTCGAGCTGGGAGGAGGGAGAGGGTGAAGTTGGCCGAGGCAAGGAGGGCATTTTTGCACAACGGCGGACGTCCATGTCTAGAGGCAGACATTAGCACCGGGATCAGAACCACAATTCTCCATTTAACAATGTAGACTTACTTCAGCAGGTCTGCAAGAGTCAATGGACGACGGCGACTGGCTGCGAGACGTGCGACTTCATCATTGGCGCCGTACGCAAAGGCGTGCCGCGAGGATGTAGCTTGTCGGAGAGGCGGTGACGACGAGAGAAAGCGTTTCGTCGGAAGGACAGTTGATGAGAGATAAGTATATCGAACTCTAGCACCCGCAGACGGTGTCTGAAGTGCCCGTACTATAGCCATAGTAGAACCTGGCCATGTCCGGCCGGACTTGCAAGAAGGCAAGGGTCGATGACCTCACAAGCCGGAGTCCGTGGGGGGTCCGGCGGTACTCACGTGCCAGGCCGCCAGGCAGCGAGCATTCCCCAGTTTGCAGAGATGACGATATGCCGCTACAATGGTAATTGTTTTGGTGTTTGTCTGTATCGCCACTTTTCTCTTTCACTTAATTATCCGTCCGAGTTCATGATTCGTCCCGTGAATACAGGGCCAGTGCCATCAATTCCGTCAATCCCTCGGGCAGCCTTGTTTACCTTCGATCTAATCGCATATCGCGGATCGAAGGCTGCCCAATCCCTGGTTTTGGAAAGTCACGGCGAGAGATGAGGTCATCCACTGCAGCCTTGTGCTTGCGGCCATTATTGTGATGAAAGGTTTAGGGATCAAACTCGAAGTAGTGTCTGCTGTGGAAGAAGAGTGGTCATATATTACCAATATGATGATTGACTGTTCTTATGGTTGTGAGGTAACAACAGTTGTAAAATCAGCCATCTCGACCAGCAAGGCATCCACTTTAACGGCTACTAAGATAGATCAAGTATAGTTGCTTCCTCTGAGTCATCTTCTAAGAGTGGCTTAGTGTCAGTTCTGCCTGCAAACTGGCCCCTGTCCTGAATTTGATCAAAAAACGGGGCAAAAGATCCCTCTTGCGCAGCACAGCATCGGTCAACCGAGTCCACAATCGCCATGCTAAAGGAGTGTAAGATCGGCTGCAAGCACTCTGTACTGCACCCTGGACGGCTGCACAGGATGGATCCCTGCTTGAACCCGCCACAGCCCCTCCGACCCCTCGATCGGGGGGACCTTATCAGCGCGTGAGATGGACCCCCGCAGACGGTGCCTAACTTAGACTTAGCAGCAGAGTATAAATCCATCTGCTGGCCCACCCTGGCAACAACTCCCTCCCAACCTTTTTCTGCATCATCTGCTGTGCCATACATACCATTCCATCCATCCTTTTCTCTGTCTATATACAACCCTCTTATAAATACTAAAACAACATGCCTCGCTACACGGTTCGTTGCGTGTAAACTCGCAGCCCCCGCTCGAATGCTAACCGTTGCCCAGATCACCGCCCGGGATAACACCCCCGCTAGTGAATTAGAGACGTGAGACGTTCTACACTCTACCTTCAGAGACCAGTTTCGCTGATATGTTCGCGTTATCAGGGCCAAGCAGCACGCCATTGACAAAGGGAAGCTTGTTGCAGAGCTCTTTACTCTCAAGGGCGGCTTCATGTATAACTCCCCTCCCGGCAACCTCGCCACTCAGGACACAAATCCCTAGCTAACTTTAGTAATAACAGTGTCGATTACCCTGACCAGATTAAAGCCGCTGAGGTCCACAGCAATCTCCATGTCGAGCAAGACCACACATTCAAGACCCAGTAAATCGTCGACGGCTCTCGAATTGCTCCAAGGAGGTTCATTATATAATCTCTAAGATATACTGTCATGGTGGATGTACGAGTTATACGATATATATCTATCTGCATATAACATCTTCGAACTTGTCTATGTGTAGCAACTATGATGTTAGTTCCAAGTACGGATACCTGGATTCCTATGTTAAGAGCATTTGATATCCTACGATAAGATCAGCCGACCTTTTATTCCCCTCTACGAAAGGGCTTTAACCTAGTAATTCCCTCCTTCACTTATAAAATCTTCACTCAAGTAAGCCGTTGAATATCGGGCATCAAGTCTTGTCAAATTTCTTCTACTCTGCTGGTGGTTTTGATTGGCTCAAGCAGAAAACAGCCGCTTCTCTGATTGGCCAGCTGCGGTCACCGTAGTACTTAGCCTCGGTAGGGGCCCCTGCTACCTAAGAGTTTTAGGTACCAATAAGAGCTATTTACAAGATTTCTAACCTCTACAGACTTCCATTTCCTTCGAACTACCTACTCGTGGATACTGGGTCTGATAGTGCTGAATCTGTACAGTGTGAGTGTACAAGGTTGTGTTGTGATTCTGTGCGATGATGACGTATCCGATGACGCTCTCCCGCGAGGGACAGTCACGTGTCGTAATGCGTCAAGGGGAAGTGGATGACGTTGGGGAGGGGTTTTTTTGTAAAAGGGGAAAATTCAAATTGGAATACAAGTATTTAACGTGGAGTTCTAAGTCCAATGGAGTAGTCTCCTGTGATGCGATATTCCTTATGTTGCTACAAAGTCTGGTCATATATCTTTCAAAAATCCTACCTCAATGACCTTTTCAGCTCCCAGTCCTAGAGATGCGATCTTCGTCCTGGTGTTGTCCCGGATCCACAAGAAAATCCACAGCACAAGTCGTCGGAAAATGTTGGTTTCCTTTTTGATCCTCATCTGCTCCTTGCCAGTGATGTAGAGTATGTTATGCGCACAGGCCTTCTCGAGCCGCGCCAGTGGATCGGTAGATTTCACCCTGCTGGATGCCATGGGTGACTCTCCAATAGCTATCATATCCTGGCTTATTTCCCGGCTGGATTGACTCAACCTCGTAATCGCTTCGGTCTGATTAATGTGGTATCTGTTTGTGATCAGGTATCTATGGACCTGCTCGGTGATTGTGCTTGCGAGATCGGGTGAGATAATCTCATCATTATAACCGTAGCGTACGACCAGGCGGTAGCAGTTTGGGATGGCGAGCTTGGAAACTGTATAACGGTCTTCCGTGGGAACGGATGGGGTCTCAAGGGGTCGGAGATGAAAGAAAATAATCACTTCAAACATCGTCGTGAGCTTGAGAATGAACTGACTAAAGACGATGGGTGTGGTCTCGCCAGCCTTGTCGAAAAATATACCCACACCCTGCGTCGTGCTCAAAGGAATACCTTCAAACCGATCTGTAAGATACATATCGCCATCCTGATCCCTGGTCACGAAATGTGAGGTTGGATAGCGGTCTTCGGATTCGGCAAGCCACTGCTGCTCCTTTCCAAATCTCCAGAGAAGAAAGATCAGGGCGAGGATGGTGGCCACTGCAAGTGTGAACCATGCGCCAGTTGGGACCTTGGTCAGTGCTGAAGAAAGGTATGCCCCGTCAAGGCAAACAATCGTAAGCCATGGTAGAAACACAAGATAAGGACTCTTGCGCCACACAAAGATCGCTACCATGGCTACCATGCATGTGTCAAAGAACGTTACAAAGATGACACAGACTCCGTATGCATTTCCAAGAGATGTAGTCTGCATTTGTTAGCGCTCTCTGTGAGGCATGGGGTCGTTCTGCCGACATACATTGTTGTATATAGATGCCACAAGGATAGTCCCGACCATCAACAACCAATTCGCAATGGGGACAAACAGCTGCCCGTGGAAAATATCGGACGTATGAATAACTTTTATCTGCGGAAGGTATGAGAGTTTCACAACTTGTGCTAGTAGCTAAACCGGTGTTAGACTAGGTTCTTCTCTGCAGGTAGGCTCCGTACCTGAAATGTGGCAGTGATGATTGCCTGGGACGCAACAATAGCTGCTAGAATGGCAATCACAAGTGCAGGATAAATGGTACCCGGAGGCGCTGCGTTGTAGAACGGATTCGAGTACGCCTCCGGATGTACACTGATGTATGCTGCCTGCCCTGTATATGCCAGAAGCAGGCATGGGAAGGTGTAGCATAGCCAACTTATCTGGATGGCCCGACGACTAAAAGCACCAAGGTCGGCGAAAAGGGCCTCGACTCCGGTGAAAGCAAGTAGAGTGCCACTTAGCATTCTCCATCCCGACTCTCCATGGCGGATCAAGAACTCAAAGGCATACCCTGGGTTGAAAGCAACAAAAACCCCAGCATCATAGTTGACGAGGTTGTAAATCCCGAACGCAGCATTGAAACCAAGCCAGATGATAACGATCGGGGCGAAGGCGAAGGAGAAACGTGTGATCCCGAGGGGTTGTATAAGGAACAATAGGACCAGGATAGCATCGGTAACTCCGATCACGGTGCCTTTGGATATGTTGGGGGAGACGACTTCAATTCCTTGGACAGCGCCTAACACGGATTGAGCGGGGGTAAGAAGGCCATCTGCAAGAACCATTGTCACAGCCAATACACCCACCACCTTTAGCAGGCGCTTTGCAAACTTGCTTGTCTCCAGGCTATGGCGAACATATCTGCTAGCGCTCTCAAGATCAGTCGACAAGTGTCTCTTCATCTGCACGAGGGAGGCTTCTCGGGGATCGCGGTGGGTGATATTCATCTTGGTTGTGGTTTTGGTCAGCTTCTGCTCTTCACAGCCAAATGAATGTGAAAGATAGCTTACATAGCGACTAAGAAGAGAATACGTGCTGAATGTACCCCCTTCCCCATCATTATCCGCCCTCAATATGATGAAAATGTATTTCACAGTCACCATCAAGGAGATGCTCCAGATGATTATGGAGAGCACGCCGATGAGGTCTTGACGGGATGGCGCTTCGCTGAACGTAGACGAATAGACATAGAGAGGACTAGTCCCGATATCCCCATATATGACGCCGATAGACTGGTAAGCGAGCCAAAAAAGCATTTTCCCTGTGAAAACCTGCCATCTCTCAGTTGACACGGTCATGAACACTCGAATAGACTAGTTATATCGTACCTGATTTTGCTTGAAGTCTGTAGGCCTTCCCAAGCCGGGGTCATCATCTTCGCCAATAGTGCTCACACAACTAATGGTTCGACCCATGCGGTTGTTCCATGGGCGGATATTGTAGATAGAGTCGTGAGGATGTTGTGCCCTTTCCTCTATAGATTCCTGGGCTGCAGGTTCCTTTGCAACCTCTTGATCAGAATCCATCTTGATGACCGCTGTGATCAAGCTTTGCTTGGGAATGGTTTATCTTCAGAGCCAGCAGAGCTGACTGACTTTGTAAAATCGGGTGCTATCAATCAGAGTGAGATTAGCTGACACAGTGGCTTCGGAAGGCATTCACATATATAAATTCACTCATCAAGGACCTTAAATGACGGAGACAGCCGTACTTATACTGCTCGTAACCGAACGCAAGGATCTTACCGCTAAGGCCAATTTGCTACCAGAGCTTCATCCCCCGTGCTCTCCCCACTGCAGGGGAGATCCCATATCGTAGCCACAGGATACGAGCCATCGGACGCCGTCTGGACAGTCATGCGTATCCTTATCTCCAGGATTATATGCTACATTGTGATATATCAAGAAGGTTTTAGATAACAGACAGATAAATCATGAGCATCGATGATAGCACCACAGAGGGGAAGTGAGAGGGATTTTTCTGAACCAACCTCTAGCTGTGGCCGATTATGTGCGGGATTTGTTAGCACCAATGGCTTCTCCGCGTGTTCGTGATAAGCTCAATATATCCCGTACCACATGGCGTCAATTATTCGCTCCGACTCGCTGAAGGCTCGGGTGTAAAGGTAATATCAATGTTAAGTTCATACCAGTAGGCCAAAACGGAAATCCGCTGGCCATCTGGAGAACAGACGGAACGAAAGACTCTGTGTCCCAACAATCAACATAGTGCAGAGGTACAGACCCCCACGCTGGGACCTTTGGCCCGTGTTGAATATCGGTCACCTGATCCTCTCGGTAGCTTCTTCTTCCATTATGGGCCCGTCTCTATGCTTCTTTCTGGATGAACCCATTTATACTAATATGCCGAAGTTATTTCCAATGGAGATACGCCCTTATGATCCAGATCTCTTGATTCCTTCACCCAAGCATTGGAGTTGTGTCTTGCGCATTGTTTTCGCCAACATAACGTCATCAAATCTTACTTCTAGCTTGGAGACTCTTGATCCCCTCACCCAGGTAGGAAGTGAAGCCCCATGTTTAAGGGCGCAGTCTTTTGTATTGTTCTATCCAGCGAAGTATCTTATAAAGAGGGTCCTCCAACATATACAATATGGAATTAGGATACTTCTCGAACCCAGCATCTATGGATCAGCCCCTCAAAAAATAGCGTACGCCTTCACAGCCCCGCATCAAATAGTGCAAAATCGTTCAAAATTTATCCAAGGCCCGGCCCTACTCTACATTGCAGATGCGCTCTGTTGACTGGAATGCGAGTGGGCATAACGCTAAATATACGCAACTTGACTAGGCTACCAAAGCGACTAGAGGGAAATCGTACCAGCGGATCAGAGCTTATGCCTTGATCTATTATTTTGCCTCCTAGGGAAAATAGCATGGTCAAGAGCCCCTATCCCCAACTCCGACTTGATCACCAACCTCGGCGCTAATTTCTGACACTGACACTCACCATCTGCGCCCAGCGCTAACCTCAAGATGGCTGCTCTTTGGCCCGTACAGACAATGGCGTCCACTGATACCCTATCAAAGAGCACAATACCACCTTCAAATTAGCCTTGAACATTCCGGGACCAACAATGCTCTTTAGTGACTTTGACGGCTACCCCTCCTTGACGCTAATGCACCTATTTCACTGCCCTGCAACTCACGGTCTGATTGGGTATTGGTGGCACTGTCTCTTGCAGGGGCAGGCGAACAGGCTCCAGTCTAACACTGCTTATTGCCCGACAACGGGCGTTGAAAGAAGGATTAAAGAAGAGGTCAAAGATATACAAGAAGAGATATACATGGTATGTTCTATCTCTGGTGTATGGAAACCCCACTACGGACTGTGTGTATTCAGCAATTTCATGACAAAATGGCGGGTAAGGCCTAGATAAAGTCCGAGCAGAAAAAGCAACGATTACCCCCAGCGGCTAGCAGCAGGCCACCTCATCTGACAGGGGGTGTGAATCCCCCAAAAATAACATGAAAATCTAAACAACCCCCCTTGATTAATGGCTAAGGCCCCCAGCCTTGTGCCAGAAGATGAAGTCTCACGATCATACCAACAACCTTCACTTTCCACTACGGCTGAACCTATCAAGAATCTATCATGGCCACTAGTACCTTACATTGCCCGTCCCGACCCAAGGACGTGAACGAGCTTATTCGCCGGCTGACGAGTACGAAGCGCGACGAAAAAGAGGCCAAAGCTCTCCAGTCCCTGGTCCGCAGTATGATCGATTTGTTTCAAAACGAAAAGAAATCTACATGCCTGACCGAGGCCGCTCAGCTAGCTGCGATAGTCGATGACGTACGATACAAAGTACTTATTTCATCCTTCTGCAACGCCATCCTCGAGTATACGTCAGACAATAATATCCTGGATCCAGCTCTCCTCCAAAGATTCGCCCACGCTTTGCGTCGAAGGGGCGTCCTGTCGGCGGATAATGCGAGTTTGGGTGCAGCATTGGATAGCCTCCATATACGCCTTGATCGGGCTGCCAAGGCTGCCGAGTCAGAAAAGCAGTACCAGCTGATCTGCACGTTGGGATTGTTCTAGATGCTATGGTTGATATTCATGTCACTGGTTTAGACCGTGAGTGGTTACACAAACCGTTACGGGATCAGCTGGACAGATATCGAAAGGCCCCTGAACCACGTCTAAGACAGGCTTCAAGCTACGCATACGAGGCTTTGCAAGGCGTGCCTGATAATGATGGCCCCTGGAAGGCATTCTGTCGGGTCAGTTGGAAAGTGATAACCGTGTTGGCGGCTGTGGCCGGGGGTATCTCTGAGATGAACCCGCAGAACATCCTTGAAGCTGCCCCGAATGTCATGGAGTTGTTAAGTATGTTCAAAAGACTCGTGAGAACTGGGAAGGAGGTATTCGACGGGTCAGAGAGCTTGAAGGATGCATTTCTTGATACGATGAGAGGTCTGAAAAAGCCAATGTTGTGGTACGGCACACTCCGCTATTGTCGCCTACTCGTTGAGGCAGGAATGTTTGAACTGCTGAGCAAGATCATACCGGAACTGCCTGCGTTTAAAGAATCATTTTGGACTGGTCTTTATGCACAGCTTGAACAGACATGGGTGGCTTCGAATAAACTGAAATTCGAGGTTGAAGACTTTGCGGAATGGTTACATGACCAGGAGTGCCTCAAAATAGCCGTTGCCAAGTATCCACAAATCTCCGAGTGGAAAAGCCTACTCGCCAGCACCTTCAAGAAGCCCTGCTGGGAACAGTCTATGCCTGAGAAACGTCGCCACCATAGGTACCAGTTTTGAGAAAGCAGGAACACAGGCCGAGGCTAGTCCTCTTCTGCTACTTATCGAATGCTTCAGACCCAACTCCCACTGCACTGCTGTCAAGAGCATGGGAGCAATGTCTGGAAGCCAAGCAATACTATGCGGACTGTCGTCTAATACAATATTATATCCAGGGCGATCATCTCAAGATCCGGAGGCTCTCTGGTGATGGTTTAGACCTAGACCACTGTTACATAAATCTCAGTGTATTGGAACGCTCATCAGAAATAGGAAAGCATCGTGAGGGTGTCGAACTTTCCCTTCGAACTCGACTCAAGGTTGATACACCGACAGGAGGAAAAGCGACACAGCTGCGAGATCTATTCAACAGTCGTAAAAGACTAGACGGTAGCAGTGGTCGCCCTCGGAGGATCCTCATCCGTGGCCGCGCAGGGGTTGGAAAGACCACACTCTGCAAAAAGATCGTCTATGATTTTCTACACGGTAGGTTGTGGGCGGAACATTTCGATAGGATACTTCGGATTCCACTGCGGAATCTCAGGGCGAACCCGACCCTAGAAACATATCTGGAGGACCATTTTTTCGCCACCAGTGAGGAAAAGAAGCTTCTCGCCCAAGGGAGAGCGGACTGCAGGGGGGGATCTTGTCGACGCGTTAAAAGACCTGTTTGATCAGGACAACATCATCATGACATCGCGGCCATATGCAGTCGTGTCATCCCTCACGGGGTTTGATTTGGAGGTCGAAACAATTGGATTCCAGCCCGATTAGGTACAAGACTACGTTAAACGGGTAGTGAAGAACAAAGAACATGTGAAGGAGATCCAGGGCTTAGTTGAATCCTATGCGGTCATAGGGGGGCTGCTCCAAATCCCTGTGCAGTTGGATTCGCTGTGCTTCACATGGGGAGAAGGGCTTTTAGGACGTGGTGCGAAGACTATGACAGCTCTTTACCAGGCCATCGAGATCAAACTTTGGAGGAAGGACATGGTGCAATTGGGGAAGTCCGACAAAATGGGCTTGTTGACTGATAGCCGCGCCAGAAACTATCGTCTGAGATCCCAGATCCAGGCTGTCATGGAAGATGAGGTCAAGCTGGTTGAGTTACTAGCTTTCAACGGTCTCTACAATAACGTCATTGAATTCCATCCCCGGCATAGGGATGCACTATACCAGCGGTTTCCCAAATTGAACGACAGCATGCTCGATGGGCTCTCCTTTCTCAGGAGCCCCGAGCTCTTTACTTCAAAAGTCAACCAGATCCGTTATTTCGTCCACCTCACCTTCCAGGAGTTTTTCGCAGCTACGTATTTTGTTCGCTGTTGGGTCACGGGTGAGCCTCTGGATCTCATTGAATTTGAATCCGACGATAACATGCGAAAACGGCTTGACCCGCGCGGCCTTATCCAGGTTGAAAAATACAATGGGCGCTATAACATCATGTGGCGGTTTATTGCAGGACTGCTTCATAGTCTGCGCGATGAACAGAGGCTGCTTGAGTTCTTCCACGAACTAGAACGACCACCACGTGATGTATTCGGACCTGCGCATCTCAGACTCTTAATGCATTGCTTTAATGAAGTTTCATTTCAAACGGTTCATTACGAGCTGGCGCAGATGAAGTCCAACATGGAGACCGAGCTTTCCCGGCTATTCTCAAATGCTTTCATAACAAATGATGGCAGACCTTTCATGTTGGCCACGGAACTGGAGTTTCCAGAGTATATCCTGGAGCAGTCGCTAAAAAGTGGTAACGATCTATGTCGAATTCATATTTTCAGAGCTCTAGAAAAGCGCATGAGAGTATCTCGACATCTGTTACTCATTATTGCGTCTGATATGGCGGGAAGGGATTATCCGTCGGATTTGAGGAAAGAAGCAATCTCTGCTCTAGCTCGCCATCATCACTCCATTCCTGAAGTAATCATAGAACTTCTGAGTTATCCGGATCGATCGGGGAGTAGCGATCACGAGGTTCTCAAAAACATCGGAGGGCATCTCATACGTTCCACTTTGTCCAAGGAGATCTTCCAAAAACTTCTCTTCGACGAGCGAACATACCTTAGAAAGGTTGCTGCAACATCCCTGATACAAAACAAGGATTTTGTGAACGGAAGCTTTGATTCAGCGAAGATATTGCTGCAGGATGAGGACCCTGGCGTTAGACGTGAAGCTGTGGCCAACTTGCGATACAGAAACAATCTACCACAAGAGGTAATCACAACCCTAATCTCCATTGCTGGAAACAGAAGTGAAGTCTCGTATGTGAGAAGATCGGCGTGTTATGCTCTTGAAGAATAAAAGACACTCTCGGATAAGGTCCTATCAGATCTCGAGTCTCTAGTAACAGATGATCATGGCATTGTCATACGAGCGGCTGTGGAGGCTTATTGCTCCCATGCCCTCTCACAAAATACATGCGAACGGAGCTGCAGTCTCGTATCAAAAACCCTTCTCAAACACATCGGCATGAAATTACAGACGCTCTATGCCAATACTCAGAATATGCTGATGATGCCCTCCACTCGTTGATGTCCGATCATGCAGGGCCGGTGCCTCAACACATGGTCTTTGTCTTACAAAGGTTCCCTCGGCTCCCAGAAAACATTATACAAGATTTTTTTGACCACCTCAAGGGAACCAATGACGAAGTCAGAGAACATGCGGCAAAATGCCTTGCTGTCCAAGAAGTTCTCCCAGAAACCATTATCAAAGCCCTAGTCGCTTTAACAAGGGACGACGACGCAATAAAGAGAAGAAGGGCAACTCAAAGTCTGCTGCCACATTTGGATTTTCTCGCACCCGACACGCCTGAAATTATCATACCACTTCTGGGAGACCCTGATATAGGGGTGAAGGAGCAGGCCCTATATTCGCTAAAACGCGACGCCAATATGCCAAGGTCAATTCAAAGGGCCTTGTTACCGTATATCAGATTTCGATACAACGGATACAAATCGATGAACATGACAGCATTAGATATCCTGGGGCGCGACACCAGGCTGCCAATCGATATTCTTGAAGCCTTTGTTGAGAATTTCTATAGGTGTTCGCGTAACGCGGAAATTCTACTTATCATACAAGAGACATTACCACCGACAATCATCGAGTCTCTCGCTCTCATGCTTGGCAACAGAAAAGACCCTCGGACACAACCAAATGCGTGGGATGTTTTGAGGTCACGGGAATTGTTCTTCTCCATGCTTCCAAACCTCACGGATGAATGCTTGTTGGCCCTATTCAAGGGGTTGATGACAACGGCAGTTGAGGAGGAAATCTGTTGCTACTTCCGGAATGATGTTCTTTTACATTGATCTGCCTGAGCGATTGTGGGAAGTGCCACTTGAGTGTGAAGAAAGCCGAACAAAGGTCTTGGCTGCTTTGGAGAAAGCGCGAAATGAGTTTGATAATAGTTCAACATCTGAGACGTCTTAGATGCTAGTTGGCTGGTTCGATCTGTTTGATTATAGTTGGCATGTTTCTAATAGAAGATAAACTACATCCTGTAATCTTTCGTAATATCTATCATATTGTACCAACACTGGAATCGATAAAAAGCATATCTCATAAAAACACCGCACCAGAAACTCCGAACCCAGACAGACACATACCCAAAAAGTCAGATCAAGCGAGGAGCTCAGAACAAAACCCTTCGCGAAGCATTTATACCACCAAGATCCCACCTTTGTGGTGCCGTCTTATCCATGAAATCCTGGAAACTTCCATAAAAGGCGGGTTTCATGATCTGAGCATACTCCCAATAGTCGGGGTACCAGCCAGCGTATTCCCAATCAAGAATGCCTGTGATATTGTTATCATCATCGACCATGATATTGCGAGTTGCAATATCACCGTGGGTGAAAACACTTCGCTCAGCACGCGGCAACATATCCGGCAATGTATGTTCATACCGTCGTCCAGCGAAATAAAGATATCTTTCGTAAATCCGCTCTCGCAGTTCCGAGTCACTCGTTAGCGGTCGTGGTGGGTCCTGCAAATCCGCAAGCATTGGATCCCTAGATGGAGAGCCATCGGCAGCGCATTGAAAAAGACTATTGAACTTTGATGGGAGGGGAATTTCTCGCCATTTGGATATCAGGTCCCAAAGTTGATGGCAAATGAACTCCTTGGATTCGATATCCAGCATATCCCACTTTTTATCTAAGCAAGTGCCTGGGATAATGCTCATGTGGATATTTCCTTCCTCGCCATCAAAGGCAGTCACAATCACTTCGGGGACGGGGATAGAAGTGTGCCGGAAGACGAGCCTCATTGCCTCTGCTTCGGAAGCTCGCACTCCTTACCTAGACTTCGAAACAACGGAGAGGTCAATCTCAAGCACTAGCTTAGCTATTTGTTTGCTAATGACGACAATGAGTTCCTTATTTGGAGGAAATTCGAGGACGTTGACATCTGGTGGGCAGGGAAAAAGCATCTTGTTGTCCACTTTGATATATCGTTCGCCTAGGTGCAAATTCCCGGCTGTGTAAGGGACCCCGTTGGCTTCGTCGAGTTCGGACATGAGGTCGAAGCTTAGTGTATACTGTGGTTTTGTCCTGCGATGTTGAAAAGGGTCGTAGCAGAAGACCTAAACGACGGGTTTGAGGCGTATTTCCGGTTTCTAGCAACTGTAGAATTTGTCTTCTGACACAGGAGACTCTTTTTTCTATTGAGATACGCGAACCACTTCAAAACCAATGAAGCGGAGAATGATATGATACTATCCAGGTGATATGGGTGATGAAGCGGGACAGTACGCGCTGGGGCCCGCTCCATAAATCGGGTGGCTTGGATCCACCGGGACCTCCCTGCATGCCTCTCAACCTCCTGTTTCTGACCACATCTCCATCAACGTTCATTGTCGCAAAGTGTGTTTCTTTTGCTTTACTTTGCCTAATTCCGTTTACCTTGTATAGGCCAGCTAGTCATGTTCAGAAGGACCATTGCACAGCTGGCATCTGCAGCCAACGAATACACTGGAGCGTCTGGGTCTGTTTATCGGTTCAAAGAGCTACTGCAAGAAAGACCTCCCGTCGGCCGTGTCTGATTAGCAATGTCCGTTTGGCATTCATATCATCTGCCGTGCTAATTCTTACTTTGCAGATCTGGACAGGACCGCTTCGTCTTAAAAGATATCCCTAAGGACATTTTTGACAATTTCCACGAAAGAATCCAGCCTCAGCTCCCAGAAAGCCCACACATACGATCGCCATGCGACACGATACCTGGGCAACGGATTCTGGTATACAAATATCTGACGGATGACTTTCTTGATCTTGTCAAGAAGGGAATCTCACTACCAACCCGAAAGCAAATTTTGAAGGCTAGTCTGCGTGGTATCGCTGATTTACACGAACGAGATGTCGTTCATCTTGGTGAGTCTCTAGTGAATCAGCGAGCTTCATCAGTGCTAAGTTCCATAGATACCAAGCCAGATAATATCATGGTAGAATGCCAGCATAAGGAGCAAGATACGATCATCGAAAAGGTTCAAATCATTGACCTTGAGAATGCGGCTCATCTCCCTAAAGGTAGGTGTATCAAAGGTATGCTTGCCGGAAACGACAATTGGCGAAGTCCAGAGGCGCACTTTAAGGGGCGACTTAATAAACCGACAGACATCTTCTCTTTCGGAGCTGCGGTAAGTGTTTGACATATATTGGGGGATCGCTCCTAATGCACCTCTAGTGCATCTACGCTATGCTCGGACGTGTCATCTTTGGCCCTGACGATGATTTCTACAAGCATCAGGCCCAGGGTGCGCTACCTGCTATGATTCGCCTACAGCGCCAGGTTTCGTATTTTGGAGACCCGCAGGGAATCAGCGGTCTATTGAAACACATATCTGATGAAGATTTCAATTGCAAGATTCTGCAGATATTATGGGAGGACAGATTTGAGGAATACATCCCATACAAAGCATTCTCCGAGTGGGCGGATGTTGTTGATCCAGAGTTCAAAGATCTTATTCAACGATTGACAAACTTGGATCCGACTAAGCGACCCACGGCGTATGAGGCATTGCGGCATCCTTGGTTCCAGGACAAGTAGAGCTAGAACTGCTCACTACCATGTGCGCTCATTCCATCTGTCTGAGGAAATAATATTGCCCCTGAAGATAGTACGGCTCTGGCCAGCGGATCGCGGCTACTTGCGGACCCCGGCCCCGGATGTTTCCGTATCCGGTATAGCGACGGGTATCCCCGCACAACCTTTGCTGCCTTGATGCCTGAGTCAACCCATGAGGCCATTGTCATTTCATAGATCTCGTCGACAATCCATACATCTTACGTATGGCTTCCCCCTCGGCGAGGGCGAAAAAGAATGCCCCTGCGCGAATTCGAACCGCGGCCCTCTCCTAACAATAGTCCTAAGAATAAGTGGAGCGCTCTGACCACTGAGCTACAGTGGACGTCTAGTACTAGGTAGAACCGAACTTGATAGACATCGAACGGATTTCAAGTATAACTATGCAGTGGAGACATAATAGGATCAGTGACTCAGCAAGGTACATTATGGCAGGTGACTTTAGTCGACCAGGTGAGGTAAGGCCACAGAAGCAGCCTTAGTAGCAAGACGCTTGACTTGATAATGGACTTCTTATTGAAATTTAGGTATCGAGATAGTATATCTTTAGCCATTTATAATCCGACATAGCCAGACCCGTCGTTCTCTCTTTGTGGCATCTTCATTCCATGCATTCCAGCGTACTTTGGGCTTTGAGGTTCCTTCCATTCCTCCAACACCTTGGAGTCTGTCAGTTTGTATAGCTCTACTCCGAGGGGGCGGGTGGTAGCGCCCATATCTGCCTTTTCCTCCCAGCCCCAGTTAGACAGATCACCTGGAACCAAAGGTTAGTATCTCCTTCCTATTTTTTCTCTTTTCCTTTCTTGTTCTTTTCTTTTGGGTGAGGGGTATATCACTCACCTCCAGGACACGCGGACAGCGCGCAAAGGACATCAACTTCAGCAAAGAACTCGAAATATTCCCCTGGTCTGGCAGGCGACGTTTCCATAAAGTACTTTCCATCCTCATCCAGACCCGTCACTTGGAACACATTAAGCACATCATGCACGTCCAGCTCTGTCAACCCATATGGAACGACGGCGCGGGTGAGGTTCGAGTGGCAGTGAAAGTCAAAGCTCTCTCCACCCATGACCAGGTTCACATAAGGATCGCAACGGGTACCCAGCAGATCGTGAACGCGTCCTCCAAACTTTGTTGTCCCGAAGCCCTTTCCTTCCTTTTTCTTTCCATCCTCATCCAAAACTTCATGGAGTTGTCCACCCGCTAGTGAGTCTCCGGTGATCGTGATGAGAGGACGCAGGTACGGCAGGTTCGACCATAGACGGTCCCCGACAGAGACGTGAGAGGCGTGGATCTGACGAGTACGCGCAGCCCAGAGTCTTTCGCGCGGGTTATTCGCATTCCAGATGTTGAGATCGCCTACTTGAGGTCCCTTGGGCGTGGTAAGACGGCAGATGTGTCCGGCTGGCACGACCCAAGCCTGGCCTGAGCACGGACGGATGGTGAATGATGACTCGAGAGTTCGTTGGGAGGATTCTGTGGCTGTCTCGGAGATGGATCGATAGACCTTCGAAATTCCATGGACTCCGGAGTCCGCGGGTGCTGTATAAGCGGGAGGAGGGCGACGAGGAGCGGCCATGGTCGAAGCTATACTTGTTGATCAGACGCGACAAGTGTATGCGAAGTCGTATGCAGGGTTCAATCAGCCCACCCCAAAAGGAAGTGACCCCATGCTTTAATAGTACACGATAACCTCGGAAACCTGCCGATAATCGCAGCGGTCCTTATCGTATCTTGCCCCATACTGCCCCGCTTTGAGGTCAGTTTGCGGGCTCTGATGGCCATCGCGACGACGCCAACCCGGGCCGATATGGAGGGGTTGAGCCCTTATCGTGGTCGACCGGGCCGGGCGATAACCGATAACGAGAATATCCCATTACCAATAGGAATGTCTGCCTGAGGCAGAATGTTGTTCCGCCTTTGCCTCCGTTTTCTCCGGCGGGAAGATCTCGGCTCGGAAAAAGGTGCTCCGAGAAAGAAAATGGAAATAATAATTTTGGGCCGAGCTACTGGCCAGAGGAAGCAGCTCGCCGATTGCCCGACTTTTTGCTAAAGTGTTTTTCTGACCAGCCGGGGGAGTATTCTAGAGAGGTCTGCAGACCTCGTCTTTCCCAGGATGGAGCAGCAAGCGAACAGGGCGCATCGCCCCACGAAGGAGAAGAAGAAGTTCGACGGTATGTACTAGTTGTTCGACATTGAACCGTCGCTTTCACGAGATTTCCTACTGACAGAAGACTTGCTACCCAGGTCCCAACCCGAAGGCTTTTGCGTTCTCGAACCCTGGAAAATCCAACAAAGCTGGCGCCAGATCTCATGATGTATGCGCCAATTCCCTCGTGAAACCCGCCGCAACGGTGACTGACGTTCATTTGCCGCATAGATTAAAGAGAAGAGACTTCATGTGCCTTTGGTTGATCGCCTGCCCGAGGAGGCCCCGCCTCTTGTGGTAGCTATCGTTGGACCGCCTGGTGTGAGTATACTGGACAAATGATGCGCTGTTTGGGGCGATGTTCTGACGCTTGGATGTCCTAGGTTGGAAAAACGACCCTTATCAAATCTTTGATCCGTCGCTACACGAAACAGACCCTCAGTACCCCCAAGGGACCGTTGACGGTTGTCACCTCGAAACGTCGCCGACTCACTTTCCTGGAATCCCCCTCCGACTCCCTCGCCAGCATGGTCGATGTGGCCAAGATCGCGGATATCGTGCTCCTGATGATCGACGGAAACTATGGCTTTGAGATGGAAACTATGGAGTTTTTGAATGTCCTGGGATCCCACGGTATGCCCGGAAATGTTTTCGGTATCCTGACCCACTTGGACCTTTTCAAGAAGCAGAGTCACTTGCAGGCCGCCAAGAAGCGCCTAAAGCATCGTTTCTGGAGCGAGTTGTACAATGGTGCGAAGCTTTTCTACCTCTCTGGTGTCGTCAACGGCCGCTATCCGGACCGTGAAGTGCACAACTTGTCTCGCTTTCTGTCCGTCATGAAGAACCCTAGACCCCTCATTTGGCGCAACTCCCACCCCTACGCCCTGGCAGATCGGTTCCTGGATATCACGCCGCCTACTCAGATCGAAGAGAACCCCAAGTGCGATCGGACGATAGCCCTCTACGGATACCTGCGAGGAACCAACTTCCCCGCTACTGGTGCGCGAGTTCATGTTCCGGGTGTGGGTGATTTGACCGTCTCTGGCATTGAGTCTCTCCCGGATCCATGCCCGACGCCTTATATGGATCAGCAGCTAGCTAAGACCTCCGGCAAGCCCAAGCGCAGACTGGGAGAGAAGCAGAAGCTGCTTTTCGCGCCCATGTCCGACGTTGGTGGTGTCTTGGTTGACAAGGACGCGGTTTACATCGATGTGAAGACCTCGAACTTCGACCGTGGCGAGGATGACTCCGACAATGAGGATCGTGGACTAGGAGAGCAGCTGGTCGTTGGTCTCCAGGGAGAGCGCAAACTTCTGGGTGAGGCGGATAGTGGTGTCCGTCTGTTCCGTGGTGGTGAAGCCATCGCCAAGGCAGATGACCAAGACGAAGCCGTTGGAAGAAAACACAAGAGAAACGTGCGATTCCTAGAGGGAGAGGAGGGAAACCAGGATGCATCCGACGATGATGAAGGTTTCGAGAGTGAAGAGGGTGAGGAAGAGGACGTGGATCAGGATGAGGATGACATCAGCGACAATGAGGAAGAAGTCGATGTCTCCGCACCGCCAGATTTCGAGGCCAGGTTCAAGGAACGACAAAATGGCAATGTTAGCCAGAAAGAGGATGACGTTGCTTTTGCCGATAGTGACTCGGATCTTGGTTCCATCTCCTCGGTAGAGGACCAGCTCCTGGAAAGCGACGAAGAGGAAGACGATGACGATGAAGAGGGAGATAATGGTGAGGTCCGTTGGAAGGATAACATGCTGGCCACCGCCAAGGCCCTCCATTCGAAACGCCCTAAATTCCGTGTCGCCGACTTGTCCCGCATGCTTTACGATGACTCCCTCACACCTGCGGACGTCATACGCCGATGGAGCGGTAAGGAGGAAGCCGAGGATGACGAAGATGAAGAGGCCGAGGATGACGACGCATTCTTCAGGAAGACAAACGTGGAAGAGGAAGAAGCAACCGAATACCGCGCTGTCCCCGAATTCGACTACGCCAAACTGGAGGAGAAGTGGCAAGACGCCGACATGATCGAGTCTCTGCGCACCCGCTTCATCAGTGCCAAACTGTCTGGTGATAATGATGACGACTCGGATGTCGATGACGCCTTTGACGAGGATGACGAGGGAGATGGAGAGTTTGAAGATCTCGAGACAGGCGAAGGCTTTGACGGTTTCTCTGAAGAGGAAGACGGCGGAGACGAAGAAGCCGCAGACGAAGGCCCCGTTGATCTAGACGCAGAGCGAGAACGCAATGCGAAAAAGAAAGAGGAGCTGAAACTGCGCTTCGAGGAAGAAGACCGTGAAGGATTTGCCAATTCAAAGGACAACTCACGACAGGCCGGCGGTGGAGGAGACGAGGAATTTGGCGAAGACGACTGGTACGATTTCCAAAAGGCCAAGATGCAGAAGCAGATCGACATCAACCGTGCCGAGTTTGATATGCTCGACCCGGCCTCGAGGGCTCGGGCCGAAGGCTTCAAGGCCGGAACTTATGCTCGTATCGTGCTCGAGAACGTGCCTTGCGAATTTGCCACCAAATTCAACCCCCGATTCCCTGTCATCGTCGGTGGACTGGCCCCGACCGAAGACCGCTTCGGATACGTGCAGATCCGCATCAAAAGACACCGCTGGCACAAGAAGATTCTGAAGAGCAACGACCCCCTCATCTTCTCCCTCGGCTGGCGCCGCTTCCAGTCCGTGCCCATGTACAGCACCTCGGACAGTCGAACCCGTAACCGCATGCTCAAATACACCCCCGAGCACATGCACTGCTTCGCCACCTTCTACGGGCCTCTCGTTGCCCCCAACACCGGTTTCTGCGCCATGCAATCCTTCTCCAACAAGGCCCCTGGATTCCGCATCGCCGCCACAGGCGTAGTCCTAAACGTGGACGAACACACCGAGATCGTCAAGAAACTCAAGCTCACCGGTGTACCATACAAGATCTTCAAGAACACCGCCTTCATCAAAGACATGTTCAACTCGTCTCTGGAAATCGCCAAGTTCGAAGGCGCCTCGATCCGAACCGTCTCCGGTATCCGAGGTCAAATCAAACGAGCCCTCAGCAAACCCGAAGGCTACTTCCGAGCCACTTTCGAAGACAAGATCCTCATGAGCGACATCGTCTTCCTGCGCGCATGGTACCCCATCAAGCCCCACCGCTTCTACAACCCCGTGACCAACCTCCTGGACATGGAAGAAGAAGGCTCCGGCGACAGCGGCTGGAAGGCCATGCGTCTGACCGGCGAAGTCCGTCGCGAGAAGGGTATCGCCACGCCCATGAACAAGAATTCGGCCTACCATGCCATCGAGCGGCCCGAACGTCACTTCAACCCTCTCCGCGTGCCCCGACAGCTGGCCGCCGAGCTGCCGTTCAAGTCGCAGATCACGAAGATGAAGGGTCGGAGGGACAAGACCTATATGCAGAAGCGCGCTGTGGTTCTGGGCGGAGAGGAGAAGAAGGCGCGGGATCTCATGCAGAAGCTCAATACCATGCGCAACGAGAAGCAGGCCAAGCGGGCGGCGAAGCAGGAGGAGCGACGCAAGGTGTACCGGGCGAAGGTTGCGGAAGGTCTGGAGAAGAAGGCCGAGCGGGAGAAGCGTGAGCGCGATGAATACTGGCGGCGAGAAGGTAAGAAGCGCAAGAATACGGAAAGTGAAGGGGGTGGAGGGAAGAAGCGCAGGTGAGGCGACGCTGCGTGCAACGACATGGTTTTTGGATCTATACCGGTTGTTAAAAGTTACTGTGAATAATGTCGATGTGTATCTATCTACATGTTGCATGGTGGATGGCGTTGAATCTTACCTGAGATGTTGTTGGATTGCTACTACTTCTTTGATTGGATGTATTGATGCTCTATACCAGGAATAGATTGTTGGTGATATGTTGTTCTATGGTGTTCTGCCTGAGTGCCTGGCTTCCTGATTGCCTTACTGCCTGAAGTTTGAGGCATCAACTTCGGGCAGGTATCCCACGTGACCGCGCCGCGAACGCGTCGGCGTCTCGACTCCTGAAGGTCCTCCGGGTGACGGCCGACGAGGAGAATTCAACCTGTGTTGACTCCCTGTTTCTGCGCAAATCAGCGCAGAGAACATTCTCGCCAGCCAATTCATCTCCATGTAGGCGACCTGCCTTCCTATGGCATTTCCCCTGACCTTTTCCTCGCGTCCCTCAGGTCGATCCATCAGGCATCGGATTGACTGCGGAGACCAGACCTGCCGCAGTCCTGCTAGTCACGCCTTGCGCGTGTAGATTCCTGGTCGCTCTCCTTGCAGCAACGTTTCAGATATCTCGCTTGGGGGTGTGCCTTGACACTTGACAGCTGCGCTTGGACATTCTCGCGCCAACGACTCTTGAAACCGGGCGCTGATCATTTTCTGCTGCTCGAACACCGGCCTACACAGGCCTGAGGCCGTGTGTTTACTCTTATCCTCTGAATCTGTTGGCATCGGAGGAATGCGCTAACGCCACACCCGAGAGCTTATTGAATCCGTTGAGTCGTGCAGTGTCAGGCTCCCGCTGCTTACACGATCAGTATGAGTGGATCGTCGCGATTAGATGGACGCCAACACGTGCAGACCTCGCTGCAGATTGAATCTCGGGATGCTGCAGAAGCCACCCACAGCCGTTCGGGTCACAACAGAAATTATGACACGTTAGATACCAGCAGTTTTGCTGGCGTATCGCCACCATTGGCGGTATCCAGGACAGAGCCTCTGCCAGCTCAGGCGACTGCTCATGATAGACAATCCTCGCGCTCTCCCTTGTCCACGGGGCTGGCTCCTGTTTCGCAAGAACATTTATACCATTCGAATACGCGATCCACATCCCAGACTCAGCTTTCGCCGGAACCTTCACAAATGAGTATGAAGTCGACTGGGCAGCAGGTCATGCCCGAAGTGACGTCTAATAATCAACAGAACCACTCATCTGGAATAGTACTAAGTCCCGACCATCATGTAGCACAAAAGACTGCCGGGGGTGCCAAACCCCTTACCGATACGGCCCGTTCAGGCGTAGACGGCATCGACCGGCGCCGATCCCGAAGCATCGGCTCGCTATCGCGTGAGAGCCGCATCGCAGCGGTAATTGCATCCCTTGGGTTGAAGCATAGATGCTGACTAGGATAGTTGTCTGTTCATCTCCGCACTCGCTTGTCGTATGCTGCGGCTAAGATTGAGAAAAGTCGGCGGACTCATGGTGTACAGGGTCACTTGTCACCTAGCACTGAGTCCCTGGTGAAGATAGGGATATTGCCCGCCCTGGACGAAATCGAAGCCCGACGTTTAGAGAATAGCTCACCTGGGACCACCATGTCTGCGCCGGATCCGCCCGCATCGTTTAACTTCTACACTCCATGCAGTTCGCTGTTGTCTCCAGTGACTCAGTCGGTCGATGCATCACCACCCTCTTTGCACCTTGACCCGTCGAGGTCTCACCCCTCATCTTATCAGAGCCGCCCAAAACTCGCACCGCCGGCGGATATTATCGGAAGTGGAGGTAGCAGTCGACGCCGACGTCCGAACCCCAACGAACCGATTTCGTCCTTGCATCGCAGACATCGTTCTCAACAAGAGTTTGGTGTATCCAGACCAGTCACACACTCGGAGAAAGTCCTTGTCCCAGGGACTCCTCCCCTCCGCCCATCGCCGACGGCTCCCTATAACGATGCGGGAAGCCATGCTCGGAGTAGCGCCATGGAGCAAGATGCTATAGAAACGCTGCTCTTCATGTCTAGTCCGGGGCACTCGGGGTATCATTCCAGCTCGCAACATTCTCAACGACACCAGAACGTCCTCCGGAGCATTGACTCAATAGGATCCGACGTCCGGGTGCCACCAAGTCAGGACTCACATGCCAGCAGTTACCGCGATCGGGGTGTACGTGGATCCCATGGTCAGGACCTGGGTCTAGAAGCGCAGGCCGGGGATGCGATCGACCTGATGTTGGATCAAATGGACAGTGACAGCGATGACGGCATAAAATACGCTTCGAATTCGAGCCGGCAAGACAGTTCAGAGCGCACGAAAATGGAGACGGTTCGAGGAAGATGACAGTCTACTTGCCTTAAGGGATGTCCGCACCTTCTTATATAAGTTCCTGCCTATTCTAAGCTTACATGAGCAGAATTAATACAGGGTGCGGAACCTCGGTTACGAGTGTCCCGTTCCAGACAGTCTCATTGTGATCTAGTCTAGCCGGCGGTCCATCTTACATCCATCCATCTTCAGCCCAATTGCATACAAGGCGTTTAAATTCCACGGTTCAATATAAAACAAATATTAGATATCATCATTGAATCATCATCGACCAACCTACTACTAGATATATAACTAACTACTTCCCTAATACAACTTCACCTCACACTTCACACTTGATACCATCCCTTCATAAACCACCACCACCCACCCACCCCATCCACACCGAAACAATGACTGAATACGAACCAGGCCACTTCCTCCCCGGCGGCCACAACACCGACCCCCTCTCCCTCCCACTTCCCCCACAACCTCCTACCACCTGAACCACTTCATGCTCCGCACCCGCAACCCATCCCGCACATTACACTTCTACATCAACCTCATGGGCATGCGCACCGTCTTCACCATGAACACCGGCCCCTTCACCATCTATTACCTCGGGTACCCGGCTACCTCTGCCGACTGCGCTGACCTCCCCGCTTGGGCGGCCCGCGTATCAGATATCCCAACCCTAACGAAAACCCTGGGGTTGTTGGAGTTTTATCATATACATGGTACGGAAACAGGTACTGACCAGGAGGGAGAGGAAGGGGAAGAAAAGTTTAGGGTATGTACGGGTAACGAGCCGCCGAATCTAGGATTCGGGCATTTGGGGTTTACGGTTCCGGATGTGGGTGAGGCTGTGGAACGGCTGAGGAGGGAGGGGGTGAAGGTGGTGAAGGAGTTGGGGGATGTTTCGAGGAGGAGTGTACCCTTGAGTAGGTGGGAGGAGGAGAGGAGGTGCGGGGTCGGGGAGATTAGTCAGGGGTTTAGGGATATTTGGGGGAGGATTGCTTGTGTGGCGGATCCGGTGAGTGGCTCTTTTTTTCTGTTTTTGGGGGTGGTTTTGGGGGATAGAAGAGGGAGGTTGAGGATGGAGGCTGACGTTTGTGTAGGATGGGTATTTGGTTGAGTTGGTGCCGCAGGATATGGAACTTCATTGAGTTTTCATCTGGGTTGTCATGTTCGAGGCATAGGATTGGGGCATATTAATATGGGGTGAAAAGTGGTATATGTATGAGATTATGTTAGACTGGTTCGGCTGTTGTGTCTGGATTTATATGGTAGGCATTGTGTGATGGTAACTAAAGAAAAGTATTTTCTCTTTCTCTCTTACCTGGATCTCTGACATCCGGTTTATATGCCAATTTGCATTGGGCTTTCCCCTAACTGTCCCTTCTTTCAACGGTTGATAGGTAGTAGTTTCTCATCTGGTATAAAAGAGCGCATCCCTGATTAGCATTCATCTCTATCAGGAATGGAATATGTTACTTTTTGGAAAAGAATTCACCCCCATCCGGGGAAGCTAAGCTGAAGGTACTTCATAATCAGCCAGCCCTGTTCATAACTCATACCTAGGAATGAAAAAGTCCTACCCTGTCCTACCTCATCCATACTTAACGATGGAAGGAAACAGGTGGGGACTCCCTTGTCATAGAGATGTGCCGGTACTCCGCCGATCACCCTAATATTTCAGATATCCCCGCAGGGTAGGGTTGGAGGGTAAGGCTACCATTCTCCGCTTGATTGACCCCTGTCACAGTCCTGGTGGCATGTATAGTCAGCTTGACGCATTCCAGTGGCTGGCTGTGAGTAGATATTATGGAGGAAGAGCTTCAATGGAATGCTCTGGCTGTTATTCCCCTCTCCCCGGAATTTGCAGGGATGGCACGCAGTCCAGATAGGGCTACCTACATTGTCCTTTCAAGTAGAAGTTAACATTCCAGCCATAATATAGGAATAGACATACCGCGCGCTGCTCTTGGGTACACTCAGTGAAGATATAAAGTGTCGGAAGTATGGACCAGCTCCTCCAAAATCCACTCAAACTCAGGTCGACAGCAAGATGATGCTTCCAGCCCTTTCCCAGGTAGCTCTGCTACTTCTCCCATTGCTTGGCTCCGTCTCCCATGCAATCGAGGTACATACCTACTCAAACATACCATGCTGTCAAATCCAACTAACCCACCCAGACCAAGGACTATCCCTCAACCTGCACCGACCCCTGTCTCGGCATCATCCCTCCAAACAACACCAGTTTATATTGCGACTACTGCATCTGCAACAATGCACTTCTCGGCCAAGTCAACTTCAACGCCACCGGTAACTGGACCGAGCTGTTCGAGGACTACGTCCCCTTGGACAGCCAATGTCCCAAAGACTGGCTCTGCACCTGGGCCAACTGGACCCAGACCGGCTTCAACAGCACGGTTCTCTACCCGCCCAATGATGGCTTCAAGGGCTGTCCCAAAGCCGGTAGCCCCGGGGTCGGTAGCTACGTGGACCGCTTCGGGTCGGAATATGGCAGCTATCTTGCTCCCGCGGGCGTGCCGTTCGCAGAGCGGTCCATTCCTCCGGGTAATCTGAATAAGTACAATGGTAGCACGCAGTACAATTATTGGAGGTTTGAGGTGATCTGGGAGTTTGATGCTCTGGAAGGGGATATCTTGCCGTGGTTTGGACAGCCCGGGGTGGGAAACAGTGGCTTGTGCAGGGAGGGCTGCGTCCGTTGGTGGATAATGGGACGCTGGTGCTCAGGGAGGCGTCGACTTATAATGGTCCTGAACAGGATGCTTGGAGTAATCTGAGACCGCTGCATGGGCAGATGAGCATGTATCATTAGAGGGAGTGGGAGTATTGATTGAGTGAACGTGAATCTATGTCTGCGAGAAGACCTGTCAGACTGCTATTTTATCGGACAGGAAGGGTATCGTATCAAGCCTTCGTGTCTCCCTTCATTGCTTGACTGTTGGTCTCGTCAAAGTCGAATACCTCAGTTCAGAGACAAGTCTAGTCACTTCACTGACAGCAATTAGTATCCATTCACAACAATAAAACAATAAAGTAGCATCAGCTGCAAACTCACCTCGGTGAACTGCCCACACACAATATACCAGCAATCATCAACACCAACCAAATCAGCTTCAGGATATGATTATAATCAGCACTGAATCAACACACAAAACCCAGACAAGCTCAGGCCCAAGAAACCAGATGAATAGGATGCAACTGTTGATGAATTGACTTGGATAGTGCCTAGATGATCTGACTCGGATGGAGAGACCATGAGAACAGATATATAGTAGTACTGATGAGATGGAAACCAACAAATCAACCATCCCTAACACACCCCATAGAAAGTCAACCAAACTTACCCCTCCTTCATGCCTTATCGATGAATGAAGGAAGGAAGACGGAGAACTAACTAAAAGACCCGACTAGCCGCGACGAAGGAGTCCCCCCCACCCATACAGAGTCACGCGGTCATCTATACAGATTACAGATAGCGCTGACCTGACCTGACCTGACCGGGTCACCACTTATCAGCCCCTCTCTCCTCTAGGCATCAAATAACTCACCTCCCCCCATACTACATATATCATCCCCTCGAACCAACCCCATCTACACCAATAACTAACAACTAACAACTAACCACTAATCTTAATCCCAAAATGACCCCCCACATCCTCATCATCTCCGGCACCCACGTCACCGGCAAAGACACCATCGCCGCCTCCCTCTCCCAAACCTTCAACTGCCCGTTCCTCGAAGGCGAATACTGCTACAACGCTGCGTGGTCCATAGCCCGCGCCCGCGAAAAACACGGCTATGATCGGTCTTCTGTATTCGGGCAAACCTGGCTGAGGAAGATGAGTCGGATTGGATTACCGCTTCCCTCACCCCCAGTATCATCTACATCTCCACGGTCACTCTCATCTTCGTCTTCTGCTACAAGCACAAACTGCAAAATAACCGCCGTGATATCCTGCGCGGCGATGCGAAAACCCAGCCGGGATGCGATCCGGGCCGTGATGCGCGCCCAATCCGTGGGAGTCATCTTCGTGGTATTGCAGATTGAGCCGGAGACGTTGTTGGGGAGGACGGTCGGGGCGGAGAACCGTGAACTGGAGATGCGGATCTTGGAGGAGAAGACGGAGGATATTCGGGTGCCGGGGGTGGAGGAGGCGACGAGGGATACGATTGTGGTGGATGCGTTGATGGATGTGGATTCGGTGTGTTGGGTGATTCAGGGGAGGGTGTGGGAGTTGTTTGTTCATAGTACTTAGTAATGTTTAATCAAATATATGAATGGATGGATGGATGGATTGATATGAACACTAGATATGTCCATCATGATCTACTACAGTATGTAAAGTACAGGACTCCTACCTGGCTGGCTATCTAAGTAGCATACCAGTCTATCATCGAAGAAGAGAATGCGAACAAACTGCCTATAAACTGATGCAACAACAATTTTCCCGGCCACTCAAGACGCCTGCCACAAAAGGAATTAAGAAAGGAAATCTCTGATCTATCCAGCCATCATAACACTCCAAATATCCGACCCCCCGAGGTATCTATTTACTCCACTCCCCAGCTGTCATCCACCTCTGCCACATCGTAATCCACATCATGAGGCACCTCTTTCCGTCCAACGGTCTGGTCCGCATTGTCCATCGTCGTGTCCTCGTCCGACCCGGTCTTGTTGGTATCGGAACCCGGACCCGAAGATGGTCCCCCAGCAGGAAGACTGATCGGGGGGTTTGCCACCCAGCTGAGCTGCACTTGGCCCACCGATGGGATGTCACGGGCCCCAAACATGAATTTCTCGGCCAGGTACCGTTCCTTGAAAGCCACGATGACCGAGTCAGGTTGCTCGGGATTGGGTTCGATAGATTCGTACTCGCCGACGCCCTGTGATAAAGGTTAGGGTTAAGCCAGTTATATACTCCGTATGGGGCAAACTTACAATCAGGAACTGTCTCAAGGCCTCATCCTTCTCCGAGTTGAATTCCACCCCCGAAATGGCCACGCGGCGGGGTCGGTTGTCCAGACGAAGAACACCACCCCGGCCACGAGCCATGCCACCGCGTCCCCGGTATCCACCGCGGTAGGACGGGTCGTAGCCGCGTCCACGAGGAGGGAATCCGCCTCGGCCGGGGAATCCCCGTCCGCGGCCACGGTACGCATACTGGGAGCCCCCAGAGCCGTTGGGATCGATTCCGAGGCTCTTGGCTTCCGCTTCGAGGGCCGCCAACTGCGCGCGAAGCGTTCGGGTCTGGTCGCTCACATCGTCCTGCGATTGACCCTCGTCCGCAGGGGAGGCGGAGGCGCTGCCGTCACTGGTATCTTTTGCGCCGAGCTTCTGCATCAGACGGAGCTTCTCTTCTTGCTGCTTCTTGAGGAGTTCGTCGCGCTGTCGCTCCAGAGCTGCCTTCGCTTCCTCCGTTTCCTTGCGTTTCTTCAGCTTTTCCTCGTGGGCCCTTTGGGCTTCCTCTTGCTGTCTCTCAAACTCCTCTCGGTTGAAGGCTGGACCCTCGTCCATAGCATCGGCGGGAGGCCGTTGATCGCCATTCCGGTCACCCTTGGGCCGATGCCAGTAGACCTTGACAAACCGGTTGTCAAATATCACTTTCGGGCTGGACCAGGCCCGCTTGGCCGCCGCGTGGCTGTCGTAGGTGATCAAGGCCAGTCGCCGGTGGGTCTGTAGAGAGATCTCCTCGATTTCACCATACTGTGAGAAAAATTCCCGGATATTGGCGTCATCCAGCTTATCATCGGGAATCTGCTCCACGACAATGGTCGCAATCGAAGTATCCTCGTTGGGACCAGCAGCAGAGAATTCAGACCGACGTCCACGGCCTCCGAAACCGCCACGGTCTCCTCCACGACCGCGACCACGACCTCGTTCGCTGCCTCGCATAGGCGGGTCTGTGCGCCGTTGGAAGTCGGTGATGAGATTCGAAGATTTCGGGTCGTACTCTGCAAAACGCATTGTTAGCGAAAGCCCCAATAACCGATGAATCTGATCATTCTTACCATCGTTCTTGGAAATCCCAGGCATGACATCGTGCTGGTACGGACAGGTAGCGCCGAGATAGCAGATCCCCTGGGTTTCATAGAACGGACACCGCTCCGAACTCTTGGGCAACTTATCCGGTTGTTGGCCAGGGCCGGCGCCCGCGGGCGGCATAGGCATCGGAGGCATCCCGGGCATCTGGGGAAATCCCATGGTCTGTAGAGCCATCATCGCCCCCATGGGATCATTCTGGTCGAAACCCGGGAACCCATGAGGCATAACCGGGAATCCCGCCGCACCGGGGTGAAATTGCCCTGGACCACCCGGTCCTGCACGGCCGCCATCCCTGCCCATCCAATCGCCTCGGGCACCGCCACGTCCCCGGCGCGGGGTCTTATATGTGCGTTGGTGAGGGGCGTCGTCGCGTTCTTGATCCCCTTGGAATCCTTCATGGAAGCTACGCTTGCGATTAAAGTTGGAGTGCTCGGTCTGCGTCTGGGGAATGCCGCCCATCGACGGTCCATAAGGACCATTCGAGGGACCGGACGGGGGTGCGAACGACTGCGACTGCTGGGAAGCGGAACCCGGCGCAGGACCATCATGGGACAACGAGGACTGAACCTGCGCATATGGCGTGGCTTGGACCGGTTGCGGTTTGGGCGCAAAGGTTGTGAAGAGTTCGTCAACGAACTGAACCGTGTCTATATGTGCAAGGCAAGCCTGTCAGCCAACCGCGCATTCTCGCCGGATGTTACTGCCTCCGCCCGACTAACGTTCTCTCAAAAAGTCCTCCAGGTTTTCCACCGAAGCTTTCCTGATCTCCTCGTCTGGAGCATCGGTGCGGATCAGCGCCAAGACATAATCAGCGAGCACATCAGAGTCGGCATCCGATCTAGTAGAAATAAAAGTTAGCTGGTGAGAGGACGCCGCAGAAGAATCCGCATTTGCGCGGTCCGGATATGCCTTACATGTCCTCCAGTTTCCTCACCACCCACTGCTTGACCTCCGTCGCTTCGTTCTCGGTAAGCTGCATGATGCTTCAAGGCGTTAGGATACCTCCACGCGACCGGTATCGAAGAAAAGTGCCCCGAGGAGCTTCACGATGCAGCAGGTGTTAATATGCTGCGTCTGAAAACAGGATCGGGCACGGGTCCAAGACGGCGCCAGGGGTAAAGTTGAGAATATGGGAGATGACAAAGACTTATCGGTGATTTGGATCAAAGGTTGGGTCAAATCATCGTGCAGGCAAAGAAGTGCGAGATAGCAACAGAGCTTTGCGGTCCAAAAAGGCCGGGGAACGCGAGCAACGCGGATGACAGAACGGCACGTGACCCAACTGACTGGCCAGTTGATCTTATCACGCCGCGACGTGAACGACCGGTCTATATATTCCAATTTAGAGATGAGAAACTCCCATAAAGATTACGACTACCGGCTAGCAGCACTACGGAGTACAGTCATTGAACTTGAAGCCATCATATTTTTTTCATGTCCAATCGAGGAACAGCAAAGCAACTATGGAAAATCCCTCTCGGTCGTTAACGTAAAAATAAAGCCATCACTATGCTTATGCACAGCTGGATTCTACTTCTCTAAGTATTCGAAAATCCACAGACGACATTAAGCTGTTTCTTCTCGTTTTATCCTCCCCCTCAATGTAGACAGGGTATTGCGTTCGTCAATCTCATAAACAGAGGATTCCATCCATCACAAGGTCGAAAGCGAGTCGGCTTGCGTGGAGCTTTTTTACAGCTTGTCGTAGTACTGTGAAGGTTAGCATCATTTCAAAAATTCAGTATAGAATTAGGTTAACTTACGTTCTCGTAGCCGGGAACGTTCTCCTTGAGACCCTTGCGCTTACGCATCTCAGTAACGATGCCACCGACCTTAGAGGTGGGGTCAAGAGGAGATCCACCAGGGAGGACAGCCCAGTGGTCGAAGACAGACTGGGGGAAGGCCTGTCCACCGGTGGCCTGACGAAGCTCGCCGGGGAAACCGAAGGACTCGTTGACGGGCAGGTAGGCCTTGACGTTGAACAGAGGAGTACCAGGGCGCTGCTCCTCGGTGTAGACGTGACCACGACGGCGGGTAAGGACACCGTAGATACCACCCATGGCCTGCTCGGGAACCTGGATCTCGACGTTGAAGATGGGCTCCAGGATACCGGGGTCGGCAAGCATGGTAGCGGCGTACAGGACACGACGAGCAGTGGGGATGATCTGACCACCACCACGGTGGATAGCATCAGCGTGCAGGGTAACATCGAGGATGTTGAAGCGGATGGAGCGCATGGGCTCCTCAGCAATAGGACCCTCACGGGTAGCCCACTGGAAACCGGAGACAACGGAATCCTTGATTTCGTTGAGGTACTGGACGGCCTTGGTCTGGTCAACCAGCAAGTTGGCACCGGTGGTGTCGGGACCGAAGCACCAAATCTTACGGGCATCGGTGACATCCCAGCCGTACTCGTCAGCAAGGAGACGGGCACGGGCCTTGAAATCGTCACGGGGGGTGATCTTGCCGGCCTCGATGGCGAGGGAGACCTCCTCGTCAAGGGGCTGAGCAGTCAGGTAGAGACGGTTGTGCTTGTTGGGGGACTTGGACAGAGCGGTCATGCTGGAGGTGCCGCTGACGGTCTCACGGTAGGAGACGACAGGGTCGGAGATACGAAGGGGAACACCAGCGTGGTCCTCCTCGAGATCCTTCAGGCAAATTTCCAAGTGAAGCTCACCAGCACCGGCAACGACGTGCTCACCGGACTCGTTGATCATGGTCAGGACACAAGGGTCAGACTTGGACAGACGCTTAAGACCCTCGACAAGCTTGGGCAGATCCTGGGCGTTCTTGACCTCAACGGAACGCTGGACGACGGGGGAGACGGAGAACTTCATGACCTTCATGTTGTGGGCAGTCTCGGAGGTGGTGAGGGTACCAGACTTGAGCAAGAACTGGTCAACACCGACAAGACCGACGATGTTACCGGCGGGAACATCCTCAATGGGCTCAACGAAACGACCCATCATCAGGATGGTACGCTGGATGTTCTTGACGAAGAGATCCTCCTTCTTGCCAGGGACGTAGTTGGGACCCTGGATACGGACCTTAAGACCGGAGCGGACGGTACCGGAGTAGACACGACCGAAAGCGTAGAAACGACCCTTGTCGGAGGTGGGAACCATCTTAGAGACGTACAGCATCAGGGGAGCCTTGGGGTCACAGTCACGGATACCGATGGCGCAGTCGTCATCGGAGGGACCCTCGTACAGAGTCTCACCACGGTACTTCTGGGCAGTGACGGGGGAGGGCAGGTGGATACAGATCATCTCCAACATGGCATCGGCGGCGGGCAGGAACTTGCGCATGACAGCCTTGAGGAGCTGCTTGCCAGCAAGGTCCTTCTCGTCGTTGGCAAGCTTGATGTCAAGCTTCTCGAGGAGAGTGGGGATCTGGTCCTTCTTGTCGTTGTTGATGGTCTGGAAGATCTTGAAGATGGGGTCCAGAACGAACTGGTTGAAGGCACGCTCAACGGGCTTGCCGTCGACCTCGGGAGCGGTCTTGGACCACTTCTTGGTCTTGGGGTTGAAGTAGTTGTCACCCTATCACGAGTCAGTATTTGCCATCTTTCTCAACATGGTGAAGACAACATACCCAGAGACGCTCAAGCATCTTCTTGCGGTCAACACCGAACTTCTTGGCGAACTTGACGGCGAACTGGCGGACGGTGAAAGCCCAGCCGTGGAGACCGGAACCGAAGGCAACGGTACCCTTCTCGGCGTAGACCTGGACGTCACCGAGAGCCTTGTCGAAGTAGGTGGCGATGATGACGTTGACGGACTCGATGGTACGAGCGAAAGACTGGTACAGATCCTCCTTGGAGACCTGGAGCTCGAGCAGAGCACGGTCGACCTTGTTGATGATCAGGACGGGCTTGATACGCTCGGTCAGGGCCTGACGAAGGACAGTCTCGGTCTGGACACAGACACCGGAGACACAGTCGACGACGACCAGGGCACCGTCAGTGACACGGAGAGCAGCAGTGACCTCAGAAGAGAAATCAACGTGACCGGGGGAGTCGATCAGGTTGATCAGGAACTCGGCACCGTCGACCTTCTGGGGGATCTCCTTGAGGTCCTCCTCATCGGGGAACTTGGCGTAGAGGGAGATGGCAGTGGACTTGATGGTGATACCACGGTCCTGCTCATCGGGACGGGTGTCCATGTAACGACCCTCACCAGCCTTGGCAGCCGAGATAATACCGGCACGCTGGACCAGGGAGTCGGAAAGGGTGGACTTTCCGTGATCGACTATGGCACATCCCGAGTTAGCCACACTTGTCCGTGATATCTGACCATTCGAACCACATACCGTGAGCAATGACGGACATGTTACGGATGTTGGCCGGGCGGTCCATCAGGCCGCGGATCTGGCTTGCATGTTAGTATACCATCATCTTGAAGTGGTGGTCTCCTGTTGCTAGGCCATGTTGTTGTCTCAAGGGTTGAGATACGGCCCGGTGCAGGTCGATGCGGGGAACATAGAACGGACCTCTTCGATAGTGAAGCTATTGGCAACATTGTCAGCACGCTACTCTCTACATTCTAAACCTTGTCCTGTTTATGGATGCGACCTAGGCCGAACATCGACGGACAGGAAGGTACATGGGGTGGGTGGCCGTACTTAACCATCTTGACTGATTTTTCACGTCAAATGCCGTAGAGGCGGGGTTGTGTAAAAAGAAAATAAAAAGAAGAACGACACACAAAGGACCAAGATCGAGGACTAGCTCGACCGAGGATTTAATAGGACAGAAGGGCCTATGTGCGCTGCTCCGGGGAGAGACAGAGATGGCTTCGCGGAGGAAGGTGAAGAAGGGAAAAAAGAGAGAGGAGGGAGGAGGAAGAGGGCGGATGGAGGAAGAGGGGAAAGAAGAGGAAGAAAGCGAGAGGGCGGCGGGTGGGGACTTTTTTCGTGCAGGTGGGATTTTTTCCGATTTCAAATCTGGGATGTGCGTTTTTTCCTGTCGGGCCCCTCGTTTCCTTACCGTTTCACTGCTTAGCGTCGGCTGTCCGTCTGGCTGCTTTCGGTGCCCGCCTGCCTTCTATCTATCATTGGTATTATAATGATAATAAGGTAGTCCTTCAATTTACGACGTACGATGTATGTAGGTAGGCATGTAGTAAACATTACCTGCCGGCGCAGTAGTAGTGAATCGAGGCAGAATGGCCGCTGATGACGGAAGCACTATGACCTCCAGCTCCTACTGCTGGCCCTTTCCTCTCTAGGAGCCCGAGCTTCCCAACTGCCCGGGTTGACCATGGTTTATATCCTTTTTAACCTTCTTCGAGCCGTCGGATCGAGTGAGTCATCACGAGCAATGATTGAGCGGGAAGCTCTATGCGCATCTTCCTCCCCTGCTGGCGATTATTGCTCTGCAATACATGGTCCCATGAAAGAGCTGTCAGCCTAGGTATCCCGTGTCCCGGCGGGTGGCAAGAGCCTTGACTGTGCTGATATCATGATCCGTTGTACCATCAGTGTCCGCCGTCCTGAGTGGGTAATTAAGGTAATAGCTTACCCATTGCGGTTTAGCCCACCTGGCCGCCCTCTCGGTGGCAGGTGAAAAGCTCAATCCTCAATCCATCCCAGCCCCGGGGAAGCTGTTCAGGATAATGTATGAGACAGATGGGAAGGAGCAACGACACCCGCCATTGTGTGAAAGGCCTCGACTTGGAATCGGCCAACAGACCTGCAGGCTGGTATCTGCCCGCTGCAAACCCCTCCATCCTCACCGCCCGGTTCGGCGTCACGGGGTGCGGAGTTAGGACTTAATGCATGGCCTTACATTACCTGACGTGACGAGAACGTGGCTCGACCATTTGACCGCAGCAGCAGAATCGCCCTGCGCGGCTACTGCAGAGCTACAAAAGCGGTCCGACAAGCCCCATTAGTCCTAACAACTAGTGTACGGGATGGAGCAGTCTATCTCAGAGGTGATATGATCTGAATGTTGTTATCGGGAGCTACTCAATTCACGTTGAGCAAAACAATGGGAATAATACACAATACTTCCGTCCCGGGTTATCTATCTATGCAATGCGATCAACGCCTGTATACGCCGACCATGCAGTCTCCAAGAAGCACGTACAAAGCCGCGATAAATCATGAAGACCCTAAAATCTTCTCATACGCATCTTCGACCTCTTTGGCAATCTCCAGAAGGGTGACGATGACGATTTGATGAGTAATGTTGGGCAGCTTGTCCCGTTGAAGCCCAATCCATTCCAACGGTGGGGTGGCTTCCCCCATGTCGCGGAGTTGAGGCGTCTCGATCACGGGTGTCTCCAGCGCCACATAGGTATACTTCGATTGCGGTACATTGACCACCGCCGTGATCTTTTCTTGCGGCTCGTTCTTGTCGCCGCCCCCTTCAGCATTCAATGCGCCAGTGATGCGAACCGCAGACGGGGGCAGCGGCTTCCCGAGTCGGGAAGCCAACGCCCGAGAATGGGTTTCCCACATGTCCCGGATAAAACTGATGCGGGAGTAGTTCCAGCCAACGTCCACCTTGCCCTCGAACGTGCTTTGGAAGATATAGTCGATCTGCTGGGACCCCGGGACTTGCCAGGTCTCCATCCTGGCTAGGAGCCGAGGGACTTTGAGGATAGTCCCTCCCCTCGATCCTGTTACACGATTGGCGATCTCCTTGACCAGAAGCTCTTCAGTCTCCATAGGCCCTGACCGAACTATATTCGAAAGCGCCACACGTAGCTGGCCCAGCGTTAGGCCCAACGCGCTGTGTATCTTGCCGTTCTGCAATGAGACATCAAACCGAGCCTGGGCATTATGCGCCTCCAATTTGAACACATGATTGTCGAAGAACGAGCTTGGGAAGACACCTATACTGACAGCGTTGATACTAACAACAACTCCGGTGTGCAAGGAGATTGGCGCCGTCTCCGCTTTGTCCTCTGCGGGTTTGGATATTTCCCTGGACGACACCTCTGTTTTCTCCGAGAAAGTCGAGGTCTTTCGGCGCAGGTATCGTTCGACATCTCGCAAAGAGGCTTCGTATGCAGCCTGTTTGTCTTGCACAAGTCGCTGCCAGGCCTGATACAAGGCCAATGACTGTGAGGCAGTCAGGCTTGTGCAAAAGACCTGCACCTTGTCCCCATCCAAGATGCTGAAAAGACGCTCATTGGGAGCATCAACCGTGGGCCGAACATTATACATCAAAAAGGCAAAGCTCGAGATGTGAGCAATCAAAAATGGTTGGTAGTCAAAAGAGACTTTAACCTGTAGTTGATGCCACGAGATGGAGGCTTGAATGAGGGGCGTCTGATGATTTTGCCGGTCAGTTGGCCAATTGATGGACGTGGATACTTTGAGACTTTGGAGCTCCACCAATCCGCTCATGCGGCCCTTGCTCTCAATTCCCAGTGTATTGAAGCTGATGGAAAGTGTCTGTTCCCAATCAGACGTCTTCTTCGAGGACAACCACAAGTCGTTGATGGCGAATTGTGCCTTCCCTAGTGTAGAGCCCAGGTCGAGTTGAATCTCCAACTTCTCGATTGAGATCGTGGTGTTCCACGGAAAAGCGGGGGCTGCCGCGACTTGCTGATATCGCTGCACGATATAGGCCTGGGTCTCCGTGGGTTGTGGCTCAGGCGGGGGACCAGGATCTATGTCATCGCTCGATGGAAACCAGATTTCCCGGAAAAGCAGAAGATCTTGAACCTGCTTTGCATTCAGCGCAACTTCCATCGGGCTGACTCTAAGAGCGACTGAGATCCCTTTCGACCTCCCTAAATGTTTGCTGTTCATTAGAGACATGACCATAGACTCGACCTCAAAACTTGCAGTTGACTCGTTCGAGTACACGTGCTTCACCGATGCTTGTAAAGAGTTAAAAGCCACCAGAAGGGCTAGGAATCGCTCATGATCATCAGACTGGACGGTGTTGACCGTCACGTAGACACTATCGAACCTGGTTGTAGCTGCTACTCTAGCTATGGGTTGGCAGCTCAGGCTGAACTCTTGCTTGCAGATCAAGATGCCTACGTTCACCTTGCATCTTCCAAGAATCGAACCTGGACCCTTGTCGTCCAGAGGCGTCTCCTGCATCAATTTCTGCGATTGCAACATCACAGCATTGGATGGCCTCCGAGGCTTTGGCTGGTCGCCCATGACTTCCTTTATGGTAGCAGTCATCTGTTTAATCAAGGGGACGAGACTCGGGTATAGGACATTCGTCGAAGCGTCAACCTTCAACTCCGCATTGAGAGCCGAGTTATCTCGCCCGTTATCCTCAAATTGGACTTTCAAGGCCACTCCGGGAGCCCTAAAAGTTGCAGTAGCCATCCCATCTTGGACATACTGACCGTACGTTGACCCCGGAAGCCTAGCGTCTTTCATGTTCGCCGTCAGCATTGTCTGGGGATCATCCGTATGCCTCCCTTGAAGAGATACAATCGCACCAGCGAAATCAACATCGATCAACACGGAACGGAAGCGCTTATTTCCGAAGAGTGGCCGGCCTTTGGTGCTATCATCAGATGGCTTTGTTACCAAGGTAGCATTGGCCTCTCGGATGGTTCGTGCAGCAGACGCGATAGAGTCTCTGATCACGCTCGCTGGCAAGATGAAGTCTGAGGTTGCCCGCAGATCCAGAGATTTCCCAGCAGCTTGAAAGGCTAACCGAACCTCCTTTCCTGCTGATGAGTATGCTACATTGAAGACTAATTCAGGTAGTAGAGCAGAGTTGGGCGAGCGCTTGCGCCTGTTACCCGAAATGGGCACCATCTGCAACTGTACATCTTCGATTCGGAGTTTGGCGGCATTTGCTCTCTTATTCGAGAGCTCCACACGCTTTATGGAGAAGACCAGATCATCCGGTTTGCGTGCAGCTACCCTTGACGGTGCAGTTGCCATGTTCCACCCTACCTGGATGTCATTGAAGTCCAGAGAGTACATGGCGTCGAATAGACCCTCCGAAGAGCCGGCATCTTCGACCTGGATAGTGGGTACCTCCAGGCCTTTCTTCTCCAAGTGACCACGATGCCTCAGTCTCTTAAATCGCTTCACCTCTTGTGAAAGATCTAGCTCCTTTATGCGTTCCTGCAAGTGGGCGGCCATGTCCACCACCAATGCGGCTGTTTCTGGAAAGAGCTCAATATCAAATCTCCTGCTGGTTAGATGGAACACTCGTCTGGTTTCTCCGCTGTCACCGGTAGTTGTTCCTTGGAGCTTAGCGTCAATTGCAAAGCTGCAGTATGAACGACTCCTGGACGCTTCTTCCTTCCTCAAATCAAGACTTATGTTGGAGGTATCGACATGGAATTCCGGGTATTCCATGGCATGACCAGCCTTAAGGCCATTGTCTAGGTGCAGACGCATCATGCCGAGGCTGATGTCCAAATCTGCGGTGTAACTCTTCCCGTTCAGTCCAGGCGCCCTGGCATGGATCGTTGTGCCTGCCATCGTCATGCGCGCCTTGTATAGAATGCTGTGGCTACTAGGTGGATTGTTCTGTGGTGGAGGAGATTTCGTATGTGTGACGACTTCGTTGAAATGCAAGCGCAGGACTTCGACACTTTGCTTGAGATCGTCAATCAAATGTGAAACTTCTGGCTTCGACAAGGCACCAAGCAGACTTCTCAAAGCACTGGCCTCCAATCGTATCAGTTCGATGGTGACATCAATCTCCATATCTGTGCGGTTGGATGAAACATCAGCAACGACCCGACCGTTGATGGGTGGTATTTCCAATGCAGATAGAGAACGCCACTTCGCCCCTTCGCCTGACAAAAGCGTATGTATGTTCCTCTTCAAGTCAAAATCCACTTCAATTTTCGATCCGAGTTTGGGTGTAATGGAAGCCCGTGCTACTTCTCCGGCGATGACATACGTCAACGACGGTAACACGCAAAAGCTTAGCCGATAATCATCCAGGAACATCGCAACATGGAAATGGTTGTGGGTTTGCTTCTTCGGGGTAGGCGCGTCAGCCGGCTGATGTGATGGTAAGTCCATACTGTTGACGAGTTGATAGATGAAGCGAATTTCGTCCTCAATCAATCGATCTGCAGTATGCGCAAGGCTTAATAAATCTTCCCTCATATCATAGCGGAGTCTCCTGCATGACCCGGCAATTTTCCATTCGTGGTTCAACTCTGCCTCGTTTCCCTCGGTTACGACAGAACAGTAAATGTGGGGGCTACTAACTTTCCAAAGCATGAGAACCTTGGAGAAGCTAGAGAGCTCAGAGTAGCAACCTTCGGAACTTAACAAGAGGCTCATTGTTTCCGGACTGTCTGCACTGCGAGGCTTTTGGACAAGCGAGCTTCTGAGGGCTCTACCAGTCACGGCTAGCTTTATATTGATACCGTCAAGAGTTATAGACCCTAGGTCTGCTCCGAAGACAAGCTGAATTTCAGTCAACCTTTCTGATCCACTGCCACGACTCTGGGCTGGCGGCGCAGATTCCAGTGTGACTGTAGACATTGTCTTCATGACTCCTTCTACAAGGTCGAGGATTTCCCATCGTAAGTGAAGACTGACAGAGGAACAATAAGATTGAACGACTGCAACCTCCTTCGGTCTGGGCTTTTTGTCTATATATGACGGTTCATTGGGCTGAACCGAGACAGCTGTTGACAAATCCTCGATAACGAAGTTACTCTCCTTCGGCCCGGGATCAATAGAGACGCGGAAGAGTTTCACGGTGGAAGAAAAGATCATGGATGTCGGGGCCTCTTCTGATTCGAGGGGGGAGGTATTCCATATTCTTCGCATCACATAGCTCTTCTCTACATGAGCTAGATCCCAAGCCCGCCATTGATCAAAGTTGGAAAGCACAACAGTCCTGGCATCGTGAGGAAGGTCAAAATCGCCATTGAGACACTTGGCCATCAACTCCTGGCGTTTATCTGGCGGCATGTGGTAGTAAACATTTCGTATGCGAGAGATTATCTTCCAAGAGTCATGCTGTCTCAAATGAGAACGTGCCACCCTGAGCACGTATGATATACGAATGAGGAACGCCGGATCTGGAATATTTGCAGCTTGTTGCGTAAGGAAGTATATGAGATACTGCAGCCGTCTATCCCCGAGAGACGAGCTCTGCTGAAAGGAGGATGCGATCGAATCCGACATTGTGGTCGTTCGACGGACCAGGGAGGCGAGGTGTTCCACAGATCTCGTCGAGGTCACCGTATCGAAAGTTCGAACTTGGAAATTTGATCTCACCATGGGATCCGTCACAAGCCAGAAGTTCATATCTCCAAGGATGCATCTGAGCTCGGCCTTCTCCTGGTATGCGTCGGTGCTGTTCCCTTGGACGGATATCGAGAGGTTGTCTGCAGCAGCATGTACAGTAGAGCTTTTGTTAATGCCAGAAAGAAGGTCGCCCCTTTCACGTTCCACCTTCGTTCGGAACTCGGCCTTGAGTTGAGACATGTCAATCCTATACTCATCCAGAAGGTGAGTTCCACCAGTCGGTGTCGATTCGGAATTGATCAGTTTGACGAGTATGGATGGTGCCCTGATTGCAATGCTGGTGCATGTCTTGGGCTGTTTCATGGACTTCTCATAACCCACAATGTCCGATATGACTTGCTTCTGGAGAGAATCGATGATTGAAACAGGACGTTTGGGTTGCATTCGCTCGATCAACGCTGACAATATGTGGAGAAACTCAGGGTAGCAGAACCCTCGAATTCCAGTGGGAAACTCAATGGCAAGATTTGTATAGGTCGTTACATCGCTATCAGAAAAAGAGAAGAACGGATCGACATCCACGACAGGAAGGTCTCCTCTGGTAACGGCAGCATATTTGCGCGAAACTTGTTCCGACGGAAGTTGTGACGTATCAAGGTTGATTTTGTGGAGAGAAAACTCAGGCATGACCCAAGGGCTTGACGCATCAGGAGTTTTTGCCAGCCCATCCTTTGTAACGTCGCGGCGCTTGAGAAGAGTAGGAGTTGGGCTGACTGTCGCCGACCTGCGAGGCTTCTGATCTCTTTCTATCTTGGATGCCATGTTGATTGGTCGATTAGGCTGACGTGCTTTCCTTCCGGACACACTTCTCACACTTGAAGCGTCCTGCATGACAAGGAAACTCTTGGAGCTCAGATTACTTCTGCCTACAGAAAATAGTCTTCGTGATGATGGCAAGTGACCTAAACCGGAATGCTTCGAGATGGGTTCGGGCATTGTGGGTATAGGAATAGTCGGTGGTACCAAACTATCCTCATCGTATTGCAGTGAGTCAGGGTCCATGTCATCCCAATTCATGAGAAGCCACGGCGTTCTCTGTGTCCTTTGGTCATGGGCTTTGATGTGTTCCTGTTGTAGCCTTCGACTTTCGGTAATATCACTCCTTCTTTGAACCATCCTTATTTTCAGAGTAGACTGGAAGAGCGCGAGAGGAGTCATGTCCGTATATAGCAGACTTCCAAATTGACCTAAGGACTGAGAATCAATCGCGGCAATGCAGAGGTCTGGTACAAGAAGCTTCATCCGTTTAGAGAACCTCGCATTCGCCAAGTCATCGAACTCTGTTGTCACCGACCCAGATCTCAAGATCAATGCGGTTTGGTCTAGAAGAACAGAGATGTGGATAGAGTCAATCTTGGCCCGCAAGAAGGTGACATCGTGAAGCTGGATAAGTGACAAGGGCGGGAGCGCATTCTCCTCATTGTCAAACGACATGTCGAAGCTTTGCAAAGCTGCAGCAAGGCAGCTTAGGAACTCAGTCGAGCATTCTCCAATTATCCTACCCACACTGAAGTCCCAGTTGCAGACATAGGTAGGCTCCGCAGGGGGCAGTCCAAATAAACGGTGGCCGTAAATTGAAACCCCGTCAACAAAGAGTTGAGGTACTGAGGGAACGAGTCGTGGCCCTGTCTCACTGGATTCCAACGCTACCTTGAGAGGAGCAAGAGAGAACTGCAAATCCATGTAGTAATTTGTGAACCGCAGGTCAGCCTCCAGCAAAGGTGCAGTAAGCGTAAGACATTTGGAATGTTCGTAAAGGTTTTCGGGGAAAAGAGCGCAGGGACTGTTGACAGTGACATGCACAATCACGTCGAGATCATTTGACTTCCTGTTTGGGTTTATTCCTCCATTTGAGCCCGGCTCTTCCTGAGGGTATGCAAGCTCTTGGTATTCCTCCAGTGTTTTGAAGTGCATTTCTTCTCCGAAATAATTTTCCCGAATCGTCAGGAAGGACCGTATCAGAAACCCGAACAAGTACAGCCTGGGAGAGAAGCCATCGATATTTAGCAGCAGTGTATCTGTTAACTCCGGGGATGTTGAAAGATAATAGTTGTACGAGCCATCGATAGACAGGCTTTGCAGTGTAGCAGTGGACTTCTCTTTCATGAACGCGTGTAAGGTATCCCATAAAGGTGTCAAATAGTCAATGCCCCCATCATCCAGTTTGACGTTGAAACCAATAGCATTCTGCTCAGGCTGATACTTGTTCAAAGGGATGCTGATGTCGGATGTCAATTTCGTACCCTTGATAGCCAATGAACGATTGTCATCCAGATCAGACGGGTTGCTGACGATATTCATATCATTAACATTCAAAAACAGCCGGAAGTCGGAAAATGACAGGTTAAGCTTGTATATAAACGGCACAAATGTATAGTATTCCTGTGGAGGGCCCGATGCCCAATCAGAGACAAGATCCGTAACGAGAAAAATATGATCCCGCAGCAGAAACAGCTCCATATCTTGGCTGTCAACATTGAATAACCACGTACGAAGGCTGTTCCAGGTCAGTGGGACAGAGAGATCGCAGCTGACAAGTTGCCGAGGACATTGCCATAACAATGCGTGATTGACACTGGTCAACATCTTTGTTTCCCGAAGATCGAGATCCAACTGACTATGAAACCCAGAGGTTGATGCCACCATATCCATGGCATAATTGACGGTTGAATCTCCAGCAACACGGAGCGATAGCCATCCAAAAGGGCGAAGGTCGGGACCTATATGACCTTTATCACCGTCTCCCGTGCGCGACTGCCTTCTACTTGATTGCTTCCGCAATTTGGAAACACCTCGTACTGCATCAGCACGGCCTTTCCACTGCCAGTCCTTTGAAGGCTCCCGGGTAGGGATGCGCAGCGTTAACTCTTCGGTGATTTCGACTCGTAATCGGAAGACCGAGTTTTTCCTCAGTTCCCCGGGGGTCAACGGATCGACCGGCTGCGAGCTCCGGTAGGCATTGGGGAAAAATGCATTTTGCAAGCCGACGCGCTCTCTATCAGCCCAAGGCCCATAATTGATGGTTCCGCCGTCGATTTTCACATCGATCCCCCATTCCGGAGGCGGGGCACCATTGATGTCTGGTGATATAGGGGGAGGCGCCGGTGAAGACGAGGACGGTTTGACACAACCAGGAATATCCCAGTAGTACGCCACAGTCATGCTCGGACTGTCGACCAGAGTGGAAAATCTAGCGTATTCGATGGGGTTCCACTCCTCATGGTCATCCTGGGAGCTCTCATCCAGGTATCGGGAAAGACCAACCCATCGCGTGTCATCGGGAATGTCGGCTGAGTTTCTAGGGGCCGTGTCTGAATGCTTCTCGCGTACGTGAAACGATTCAACAGACGACTGAAAATATGGGATAAGGTCGCGGATACTATGCCAGACCCTGCGCTTTTGCAACTGGTAGTTGAATATCCTGTCCCGTTTGCGTTTTGTTTCAGATTGCTCCACCCGTGCTGAGCCAAGATTTTTTGCAGCTGCCAGCTGATTTTGCTTGAAATCTGGGTTGGGTCGCATCTGGATGACCGGATTGGTGAAACTGAAAGAAAATACTTGTCGGTAGAGATCGAGCGGGCCCGAATCGCTGGCTTCGATCAACCCAGTGGCGCCGTCGAAGTTCGTGGTCAGGACAGATCTCGTGTTTTCATTTCCAATAACGATGGCACCCTTGTCACACTCGATCCTCATTGGCAAGAGCCGGAGTAGCCTAGACAAGCTCTCTCCTATTTCCTGCTCAGAGCCTTCCGCTTCGGAAGTGGTTGAGTCATCGGCAGTGCTTTCACGTCGATCGTCATGGAGGGCGGATGCCTGATCAGACGCGGGCCCTGCAGAAACATCCGACTTTTCGTCTTTCAGCCGAGGGTCCAAGGTGTTGCTTCCTGGATATTGCGGTCTGGTGAACGATGGCGCTGGAGGCGGGGGGGTAAAGCCAGCAAGAATGCCTTCATAGGCCGGAGTCCGATTATATATGAACCATTCGAGGCCGTAGAGTTTGGCAGTTATGCGACACGGAAGCGAGTGTGTGCTCTTTGGGAGTCCTTGCTCCTCTCGGTCACTACTGTTGCTGGCGCTCCCGTCGGCATTGGTGGCCCCGGGGCGCTGAGCTTCGTCTTCTGATCGTTCATGATCGGATTTATCGTTTTTCAAGTCCATTTGTCTCAATGAGCGCCTCCAGTAATGCCATGTTATAAAGCCCCCATGCACGAAGATCGTCTCATTCACACCATGGTATCGGATGCCCTTGAAGAATACCCTCCCTCCAAGCAGGGAGATTTGAATTGCACGAATGTCGACATAAGCGCGATAATAATGCCAGGTGTAAGCGCGTATTCCGTATGATAAGAGGGTTGCGAAAAGGCGATTGAAGTAAAGTAAGAAGAACAATACGCTGTGTATTGATATTGTTAGCGAGTCGCCTCATAAATAATGAAGAAAGGAGAATTCACAGAATGCAAGAGACAATGAGCTCAAGGAGGAAGAACCTAATTAGACATTAGCCATTGCCAGGGTGACGCGACATCAATACCGACCAGTTGAAGCTTGGATCCGGGGTCAAGGATAGGGTGGTCAGGCTTGTGCTGGCCATGTCGCAATATCCTCCTACCAGAACCCGCAGAACTCGGGACCATGGTGACTTTGGGGAACAATCACTGCGCCATCAAGAAGGGTCCGACCAGAGGTATAGCTTGAGGCGCGGAGAGGTCCACGCTAGACGGTCATGAAAGCAAGCAAGGAAACAACAGGAAAGGGGGGGCTAAAAGTCCCCAACTGGAGGCCGTGGGCGGAGGGCTGGATTGGCGGTTGGTAATAAAGATGGTGGAGAGGACGGGGAAGCTCCGATGAGGGACGGCCGGCCGGCGGACGCGCACTAGACCGGCCTAGCGCGGACTAGGCTGCCGTCAGCCCGTCACGGAACCAGTCGTAGGCGGTGTCTCAAGCTAGAGGCGGACAAGCCCCCCAAAGGACGATGGGCCTGATGGATAAGGATCCCCCCCCAAATGTCCACGCAATATTCACCGCACGACCTTACTCCCCCGTCATGCGAGGGTGCCCTTTGCGTTGGGAGGTCTTGGGAAGTTTTCAGTGCCACAGTTGCCCCTTCTCGATGATCATGCCCGCGGCCCAGTGCCATTCTCCTTAACTTCCGGAATGCTTTGCCCGTGGACTCTGCCTTAAGCGCACGCGGTCGATCACCGCGAGTCCTGTAGCCTGTTGATAATGGAAGGCACTTCCTCCTTCGGCGGTACGGGCTCAAGCCTGGCAAAAGCGGTGGTGATTGTTGCTGGTGTGTCAGCGCTGGTAGCTTCGCTGCTCTCTTTACTGTGAGAATGCACTCCTTCCCCGCGCCCCTACGATCCTCAGACAGTACCAGTACTGATAACAATCGATTCTCTCTATCTTAGGTCCATATGGCTTCAAACGTACGGAAATCCATCCTTCCATCTTATTCATGACGGGCCACTGATAGAGGATTAGTAAAAACTATCGAAAACCACTACTCCAGCGATATGTCGTCCGCATACTGTTGATGTCAGTGTTCGCTCTCATTCATGAATCCATCGGCGGAGCGCTGATTGCAATAGGGTCCCCATATATGCGGTGTCTTCCTGGTCTAGCATCGTGTCGCTGAGAGCGGCGATGTGGCTGGACCCCATTCGCGATGTCTACGAGGTAGCTTATGCGTGGCAACAAATGGTCTCTCAATGCTAACAGTGTTCTGCAGGCGTTTACGATTTATACCTTCTTTCAGTTACTCATCAATTTCCTTGGAGGCGAGCGGGCATTGATCATAATGACCCACGGCCGTCCTCCAGTTCAACATGCTTGGCCAATGAACCACATCCTCCCCAAAGTGGATATCTCCGACCCTCAGACCTTCTTGGCCGTCAAGCGTGGGATCCTCCAATATACGTGGCTAAAGCCGATCCTCGCCATTGCTTCCATTGTAATGAAAGCGACAGACACATACCAGGAAGGCTATCTGGGCTTGACATCTGGATACCTCTGGACAGGTATTGTGTACAATGTCAGCGTCACCATAAGTCTCTATTCCCTGGCCATGTTCTGGGTCTGTCTGCACAATGACTTGGCGCCATTTCGTCCGGTCCCTAAGTTTCTGTGCGTCAAGCTTATTATCTTTGCCTCGTACTGGCAGGGCTTCTTCTTGTCCATTTTGCAATGGCTGGGAGCTCTATCTAACGGTGTTGCGGGATATACGCCCGACAACCTTGCCGCTGCAATTCAGGACAGCCTAATCTGCTTCGAAATGCCCATCTTCGCCATCACCCATTGGTACGCCTTCTCCTGGCATGACTATGCCGACTCCTCCATCTCAGCTGCCCGACTGCCCGTGAAGTATGCCCTTCGCGATTCCTTCGGCATTCGGGACCTCATTGAGGACACGAAGATGACTCTCCGGGGGGAGAACTACGAGTATAGGCTTTTTGATTCCGGGGATCACATTATTCCCCACGCTGAATCGAACTCTCGAGTCCGGCGAGTGATGCACGGCATGAGGTATGAGCGTGGGGGCAAAGCCAAGTATTGGATTCCGAAGCCCGGCGAGGCCAATAGTCGGACTCCGTTGCTATCAGGGTCCGAAGGAAGCAGTCGTGATCGACGTAGCAGCATGCTAAGTCGATTCCGTTCACACAGTGATATTGATGAAACAACCCTAGATGAAGATGATGAGAGACTCTTCACCAATGCACGCGCCCTAGAATTTGGCGATTGGAATGTAGGTCAACCCTTTTACGGGCCATTGACTAAAGACGTTGATGGGCTAACCTCAATTAGTATCCGGTGATTCTGGCCAATGAAGTGCCGGAGGATCAGCGTCAGGCACACCATCGACGTTCACCACAGCCACAAGTGTCTGGAGCAGTTAAGCGGTCGCGGAGGCACCGGAAGTCTCGCGCAACAAATGGTGGGGGTACATCACGGAGCGAAGGCAGCTCCCACAGTCCTCGCAAGGAGCACTCCATCGGTCCCAGGGCCGTCCGTCAGGAGACCAGCTCATCGATTTCCCATGGCTCTCATCGTAGCCAGCTGGTGGACCTTGTAGTGGAGGACCAAAAGGCAGAAGAAGCGGAGAGAGAGCACACTCAGAAGGCGTTCGGGTCGACATGGCTCGAGCCCGAACAAAGACATTTCCAGTATGTTTCTGCGTCTATTTCCCGCAAGCTGAATGGGACTAGAGTAACCTTTCAATCCAGGAGGCCTTCCGGGGAACCAGTTGATGAACGGCCAAGCTATCTTCAAGATAACGCAGGGGCATCGGGAGAAGGCGCCGAGCCTGCAAGCCAGTCCGGTAGGGAGAATGATGACGAAGCGGCGACACGGCAGAATTGGACATATGGAGAGTTGGAAGAAGACAATGTGTGGGATCGGTAGGAGGCAAGCACAAAAACATACCAGTCATTGGAGGGGCGTGATGTGGGTGGGCATCTGCAGCAAATATCTTCGAGGCATAGGATATGTAAGATGAATGAAACCGTGGAATGATTTATTTATCGGATGGCATCGGGCAACCGCTTGGGAGGGGGTGAGGAATCTACGAGGTGTGTACGAAGTGTGTACGAAGTACGAGGGGACCGCCAGCAGGGGAAGCTTTCGGGTCGAGGTGCCACACTCAGGCACCGAGTAACCTATGTACATGCTTTACGACTAAGAGGGTTGCTGTGTGAATCCAGGCTGCTGCCAGCCGGATCACACGCAGCCAATGATCCGAGCAAATGGGGCCTGCCCATTAGGCGCCGACCAGGCCCTGAGAGACGGGGGTGACATGGCCACGGGTGAGAATGGGATGTGTGATAGCTGCAGCGACGACCAACGAAGAGGGCGCCGATGGGCGATCGACAGGCCGACACGCTGGCCAGGAGGGGCAGCGCGACATGGTCATTGGCGAGGGGCTCGCGGCGGATGCCTCGGGCTGCATGGCACCATTTCACCCGGCGCTTCTCATTAGTCCACGGCCCTTCCTTAGCTGCCTCAAACAAACTCACTTATCTCCTTCACCCCTACGCTAGGTAGACAATGGAGGTGACGCTTTCTCTCTATCACCTCTTATCCTTCTGGCGCAGGAAGGGAGGGGGGAATATGATGGGATGGTTGGTCCCCCCAGAGAGCACTTTGTCCGCTCCTCTTCATTTCTCTTTGTTTCTCCCGTCCCAACCTCTCACAGACCTCCGTGGCCTGGCGCCGATTTATTCGCTTGCATCCCTCTGGCAGATGTCTCACGACTTGCTTCTCGTATTATTATTCTTATTCTTAGTGTCTCCTTGACCTCCCTCGTGCATCGCCCGCTCTCCTTTGCGCCCTTTTCTCCCGGTCCCCACCCATTCTTTTCCCCGGTCCACTGGGCGATGGAGCACCACCTTTGATGCGCTGGCAGCCATGAAACAGGCAATTGAGCAGGCAGGGTCCATATTCACTGGCTGGATATCTTCCTGCTTGTCCTGCCTAAGCTCCAAGGGCGATAATGAGAGCTTCCATCATCAACAGGCCATGAAGCAGAAAGGTACAGTCCCATCCCGATATATACTTCCCTTATCGCAGCCTCGCCTCCACCCACGCACATAGTAGATAGTAGATACTGACTCTCGTCCCTTGCAGGTGCCGAACGAGAAATGAAAATATGTCACACTCAACCTCATCTCGTTCCTCCGATGAACCTCGCCGGCGACGATGACCTGCCCAGTCCAGGCCCTCCGCCCCGCGTGTCATCCTTACAGTCGTGGGTGGTGGAAGGCAAAGCCCGAGCATCGCGAGCATCCAACCGAGCGAGTATATCGCTCAAAAGGAGGTCAACTGCCCCGGTGAGGATCAGTGCACCGTCAGACTTCAGACGGGTGTCGATGTTCCTGACTGAACCGGATGGCTACTGTCCCCTCGAGTTGAGCTTCACTTCCCCAGGCAACCGACTCCCGGATCTTCCCAGGTTTGACAGCTATGGACTCGACATCACGCGGCCCCCAAGAGCCCTATCGTCCGCTGAGCTGGGTCGTGCACCCCATCCACGCTCTCATCGGCCATCTTCTTCCTTCCAGCTACTGCGGAAGCCGGTCGGTTCGGGTTCCCGTCGATCCTCGTTGGGTGCTCAAGAACTCCTGGAGAAGCACACGTCCACCACCAGCCCTTTGATCCCTCATTTCTCAACGCGTAGCTCTGCGGTTACTGGCTTGACCGCAAGTATGATCTCTACCACCACTCCCAGGCCGCACTTCAGCGGTGGCTACGCATCCCAGGTTAGGAACGAGCTCCGTCGGGATACCAATGAAACGGCTACATCCACGGTCCCTAGAACTCCCACCAAACCCAACCTGCAGGACAGGCCCCTACCTTCTATTCCGACCGAGGACTTCCCTTCCTCGGGCAGTACTTACCATCCACCTACCACTCCCTCAGAAAGTCGTCCCCCAACCACATCTTCTGAGAATCACAATCGAACTCCAACCCGTTCGGGACGCGTTACTCAGTGGCTTTTTCAGACAAACAGCAAGCCCATCCCTTTCTCACCCAGCCCAGGCAAGCCCAGCGACAAGGGTCCCTTTCGCATTCGCACGCGGACACTGAGTGGATCTACCCTGGCATCATCCATCACCAACCTCACTGGTGGTCAGAAAATCACACCTTCTCTCGCCAGCGGCATGACAGTAGCCCCCACCATGCGAGCATCCAACGCCGATACGCGGGACTTTGACCTCCCTCTTGGCAGCCCATTCTCACCCAAACAGACCTTTCCATCTGTGACGGAAGAGCACACTTACCCCACGATACATGAGGGAGAGCAGCAGCAGGAACATGAAGACTTTGAAGACTTGCGTGCCCAGTACTACGAGAACTATCGTCAATCCGCTGTTGGCCTAGCATTCTGATCCCTCATAAAAGAATGAACCCTTCTTCTTCGCTACACTCATTTCGTTCATGTTGTTCTTCAGCTGATCCCTATCCTTACCCAACGGCATTGATACTCATCACACCAACCTATCTGTTCCAATATTCGTTCCTTACCATGAAAGTATACCCCTTCCCAGCCTTAATGACCAACCCAATATGGAAGCAGAACCCCAAAATCAGACATATATGCACTCACCCTTGCTATATACTCCCCAGCAACAGGAACAGCACTATATACTTGATACCCGTCTGACAATTCACACACATGCTTTCTTCCCCCTATCAGCCATCTAGCTAGATCTACCCCTCAATCAAATAAACATTCCCCAACCATCCAATCAGCCTAAAGTAGCCGCTTACTAGATATAACCCTCCCTACTCTTCCCAAAGATAACAATCCACCCTCCCCACCAAAACCAACATACATACTCGGCATTCTCCCCTCATACGACAGGAGTCTATCCTATATAACTCAACCCACCTCCAAGATTAGAAACTAAAAATACTAGATACTAACTAAAAAAGAAAAAAAAAGAAAAAAAGGGTCAAGTTATGCTACTAGTATCTGTCTTCTCCACAAATCTAACCAACACACAAACATAGTTACTACAACCACTAGTACTAAATAGTAGTAGTAGCCAACCCCTAACCTCATATCCCTACTAATCTCTATCAAAATAACATACCCGGCATTATTTACTACTATCACATTGTCTTAACATAAAATAAACATAGAGTGGGCGTAGGCAATGCACAATGTACAAAATGAGAGCTAGCTTATTTATCCCTATACTGGGTTGTCTTATAGGTAAGGTATTATTATTAGCACTAGTACTACGGAGCAGTACGGAGTAGTGTATGTGTAAGTATAGAAAAGGGAGCGGAGAGGGGGGGGTCTCATTATATTCCTTCCCCCCACCTCCCCCCGCCCCCCAACCCCTCCTATTCAGTGACCGCAACTCTACAACATACGGTACGATACGCTGACCTACGAAACACACACGGAGGAAGGAAAGCAGAGAGAGAGACAATCAATCAAATAACCCACTTCAAGCCATATTGTATCTCTGCACTTTCATAGCCTTGGGATATCGTGCGCAGGGAGGTATATAGAACGATCCAAAAAACACGAAGTAGACGAGGCCACCCGGAGGATGATGGATGGATGGAATCGACAGACGAGCAAACAAGCACGCACGCACGCACGCAATTGGGAATATCACTCAAAAGCAGAAAATTGTAAAACACCTTCGTACACCATCGTTTCACTTGGTATCATATCTGGAATGTCTTAACGAAAATCCCATCTTCCACTGTGGTTCCCATGTAAACCTATCCCAAGGGCACGTTTGGCACCTACACACACCGGCTGAAGAACGACCGAGCACAAAAAAAAAAGAAGAAAGAAACACAGTGAACATCTTGCAAAACAGGTTTAAAGGTAGAGGGGAGAATGTAGTAGGGAAGGAAAGGAAGCCAAGGGCGAAACAATGACGGTCACCATGGCAGTGCCTCTCTCGTTTTCCTCTTCCCTCGTTTTCCTTTTTTTGTATCTTTTCTCTTCCTGACGTCTTATTGGCTTGCACTCTGTGGTATCAAAATATCCGAAACACGAATCGCTGACAACAAATCAAAACGCAAAACAGAACTTGGGAATAAAAAAAAGTCTCTTGGGGTATACTGCTGCAAATTGACATTGATTTTAACGCGGTGGCCCAATGGGGGCCGGGTATCCAGAAGTAGAATTGGAAGTACTAGGACGACCACTGTCAAAAGAGGCGCGCGGGTCATGCTTGGGAGTCATGTCCCCGGGCGCGGTACCGAATGGAAATTTCGTGTCAAAGCGCGCGGGCCAGCCATTGCTGCTGCTGTGGCTGTGAGAACTTCCGAGGACAGGCACGTCGTCCTCAGCAAGGTTCACGCCAGAATCATTCCATGGATTGCGGTAGCCGCTGTCGCGAGACTCCATGGAGACCAGTGACGCCTTCGAGGCGTTGCTGGACGCATGCTTAAAGAATGATCCGGGAGAAGCCGAGTGGTTCTTGCGACCAATGAACGAGGAGAAGGAAGAAATGCTGCCAGGCTTACGCAGTCTCTCGAATATGGACCCGCGTTCATTGGTCTCATCCGAGAAACTGGGGCGAGTGGGAGAATCGGTGACAATCGGGGCAGGCGCATGCTGCAGCAACTTCGAGTCAAAGAAGGGAAGGGACTCTTCGAAGGAGTCAGACTTAGGACGAGGAATAGCTCCCTTTACCGTAGTGGCGTCAAGGCCGTGAGCCACCAAGCGGGAGATCAAGAAGTCAATGGCATCCTTCAAACCGCCGGCATTGTTGCGAGTGTACCCGAGCACAGCTCGATCTTCAGGCCCAAAGACGGGAGAAGAAGAGCCGCTATCGGAAGACGAGGCGGGGAGGTCGGAACTCGTATCCACGGTGGTGTCGACCTCGTATTGGTCTTTAAGCTTGGCACACACGTCATCGTGGAATTCGGCCGACTTGAAGTACTCGCGCAGTTCGGCGGAGCTCTGGAAGAGTAGCTCATGGCTCTCCGGAACCATTCCCTGTGAATGCTGTCAGTATACCGGTAAAGAGAGGAAGCGATTAGGTCACTCACCAGTAAGGCGTCAACGGCCTGAGGAACTTGGTACTCGGGACCGGAGATAGTCACAACGTCACTGGCAAGTTCGGTGCTAGGGAACTCAATCTTGCAGTTCCACTTCTTTTCGAGCTCATCGATTTCAGTCATGCGCGCAAGCAGTTCACGGTGGTACAGCCGATTGATGACAACACGCTCGGAAACATACTCGGCATCCTACCCACGGGTTAGTTACGGATTCATGCATCCTAGACACGGTTGAACTTACGACTTTCTCGACCATGTCCATAATCTCCTGTTTGACCAGGTCCAAACTCTGCGCGTTACGGGCCGGGGTCCGGCAGATAACATTGTCAACCTTAATGTCATCATCTTCCTTGCCCATACCGCCACGGTCCATAGCATTGGAGAACTTGACGAAAACAGAGTATTTCTTCATGATGCGCTGGATGTGTTGGCCACCGATTCCAATGATCCGCTTGTGATACTGGTCGGGAACATGGAAAGAGATGGAAGCCGGCATTTCTTGTTCAACGAGATCTAAACCGTTCTTGGTGGACTCGTACTGGTTTCCACATACGTCGATGTAGAAGTTGTACTCGTTGAACCCATCGAAGATGATTTGCACATTGCCTGTACGGGTTAGCATGGGAGCCCGCCAAGGGGCATTTCGTCCGCAACTTACTTTGGCCCATGATCTTGTTGATCTTGCCGTTCTTCTTGCCGCTCACGAATTCCTTGTGTTCGTTGGCCAGCTCAATCTTCACACGCATCTGGTACTGGCTTCGCTGCACAAACGGAATCTGGTTGATAACCATCATCGCCGCCTTCACAGCGTCATCCGACCCATTAATGGTGAAGGTGAGATTGTCGAAGCTCACTTCAGCGCCCGAATTGCTGCAGATATCAGACAGCATGGTGCGAACATCTGCGGGAGACGGCGCCCGGAATCCCCCTTGCGACGGGTCGGGCATGATAATCCACCACGATGCACTGTAGAACTGGCCAGCCTAGAATTGTATGTTAGCTGAGACACCTGACAGTTCATGTACCTTATGCTGAGCTTACCAAAGCCATAATCTCCCGGACCGTGCGCTCCACATGCAAGACTTCGGTACCCTGGATGCGAACAAGACCCCGCTGCGTACCAAGCTGGGGGAAAAGAATGTAAGAACCGTTCAGTTCCATGACCTTCCGCACCTTGTCCAGACGGTCAAGCAGAATATTGTCGATCTTGTTCGAATTGACAATGACATCCTTCACATAGATCTTGACGCCCATCACCAGCTCTCGCAGCTTTTGCTTAGCACGCGCGATTTGCTCTTGGGTATCACCGGTAATGTAGACCTCATCCTCGCTACGACGGTTAGCACCCGGGGGTGTATATCCAAAAATGCGAGGGAATGGCGGCGGGAAGTAAAGGGCTGTCCCAGTGGCCGCCTCAATGAGCTTAATATTCTTGCGAGTCCGGCCGCAAACCAACGTGTGCATGGTCACTTCCAACTTCATCGCGTCCACGTGACGTTTAAGCTAGTCGCAGTTAGTCTCCAGGAACGTTCGTTAGTCGGAAGAAGGAACCCACAATCTGATCGATCATAATCAAAACCCTGGTCTTGGCATGCTCAGCGCTCTCCATATCACCGTAAATAGACAGCCGGAAACGTTGATCCAGCCCATTGTCCGAGGCGTAGCCGTAAGACGAAACCACCGCACTATCCGTGTCGCGAATCTTGGGGCTCAGGAGAAAGATATCCGTGCCAGTGTAGGCAGCCAGCGTGTCGAGGTGGTCCAGAACAGTCTGTCGGATATTCTTGGTGGACCCATCCAGGATCAAATGCATGTCTACATCCACGGTCGCACATCGCTATTGCAAGGCCCGTCAGCGGATCCCACGGGATAAAACGCGCCCACAAAATTAGAAACTCATATTTGCAACGTACCAACAAGATCGGAGTCTCATTCAACACCCTCGCACGCATTTTCCGCACCGTCTCTCCATCGCCCGTGATGCAGACATTGGTCGCCAGACCCTGAGGCCGCCGTTGCAGCGAAGGAACACTCTTGGGCTCTGACGAGGTAACCGCAGCCTCGACTCTGCCATTACTACTCTCGGTGATTTGCCGACACAACCTCCGCAGAGCTTCGACATTGTTCACGTGGACCGGTAACTGGTGGACGGGCGTGCCTTCGGGGGTGCCTTCAGGGAAGGTCCAGCGTTGAAGGGCAGCAGGACTCGCGTGCAACACATCGTCCACGTCTGGGCCGGCAAGGGTAGAGGAAAAGGGCACGTTGAAGGAGAGGTTGACAGTCGGGTCGATACCAGTTGGGGGAGTCATCGGTGGCGCACCATGCGGTCGACGGAGCGAGTGGGAGGCCATGTCGGTATGCGGTCGAGACATGCCAAAGGTAGGCGTCATTCGCTCCCAGCCATGGCGGGCTTGACCCGTAAAATTGGAGATCTTGTGCATGACAAGGTCAAGTCGAGTCTCTGGCCCCTTGAACGAGTCGAGGGGAGAGGGGCGTGGAGGGCCGGAGGGAAGAGAATGGCGAACGGGCGGGTAAGAGGGGAGGCGGCGGAGACCACAGACGGGGGATTGGAGACAAGAGGTGGACAGTCGGAGTCTGCAGTCGCTATTCTTGAGAGGGTTAGGCGCGCAGATTTGTGGTAATGGTGGTGTGGTGGGTGGGTGACCAAGGACGGTTTGAATTCGGAATGGGTGGGAAAAGATGAGTCGATCAGGTCTACAACCAAAACGGGTATCGAGGAAGAGAGGGGGGGGGGTGAAGACGAAAAGAAGATGGGGGAAGGAAAAGGACGAGGAGGGGGGCGGAAGGGAAAAAAGCAGGACTAAGGAAGGAAAAAGAAAGGGAAAAAGGATCCAAGGCAGAGGGAAGGGCCCAAGGAAAAAACGAGATGGGATGATGAATCAACAAAACGGCGTTGGGTTTTTGGCAGCGGAAGAAGCAGAAGAGGAAGAGAAAGCAAAGCAGCTTTGGGGGAGGAAATGGATTCGATGGTTTGGTTTGGTTTGGCTTGGTTTGGAGGGCCGGATTCCTCTGGCCGAATTCAGGCAAGCAGCAGTGCCAGTCAGCAGCAGCTCTTCTTCTTCAGTGTTCAGTGGAGGGGCGCAGCAGCCAAAGGCAGGGAATCCCTTCACTCCCAGGCACCAAGTCCGTCCCCTTCCTGCATACCCCAACTACTATCCATCCATCTACTTAACGTCTCTAACGTTCCTTGGACCAAACCCACCTGGTGGATGGGCTCAATACTTTCTGGCCTATAAGTACTCGAGTAAATCATATTCATCCTTCATCCTTCTTGCCAATTTGCCATGATGTTCAAATCCAACTGCTCGTCCTGCTTGTCTCCCTGCGCTTCCCTCAAGCGGGAAGGGCGGGTACTCAGCCCAGTGTCTAGGCCCAATGTTTGCATCGCCTGGCCAAAGTACGATCGTGGCCATTCCTGCTAACCACCACCGACTCTCTCACTGCTATTCTTATTCCAGCTTACGCTAGTCGGATCATCGCTGAATCTCGACTTTCTTGGTGTCATCCAATCAACGGGTCTAGAAAGGATGACTCCCTCTCTCGCGCGCGCTTTTCTCGCCCACCCTTCCAGTTCCAAGATGGCTCCAGCATACTGTGAGCCTTGAATTCCAGACCAAAACTCACCCGTCGTCCTGCTTCGAGTCACTACCGCAGGTATAAACTCAATTCCTGACCAGTGGACTCGACCAACTCGATCGAGTTAGTGCCTAGCCATTCTTTCTGTCTGCCGTTGCCTCCTCCATCTTTCATGCCTGTCTTCCTTCTTCCTTTCTTTCTCCCTCTTTCTTCCTCTGTCAGTACCGTACCCAGTCCGTACGGGTCAACCGACTCCATCCAAGCCGGCGATTGCGTTCATCGACGTCCCTGCACGGCCCACCCACTTTGCCTGTTTGGGGGCTGCAAGCGAGAAATCCCGGTCCCGTAAGGTCACGTGTGGACCCGGCATTACGGCCGCCTGTATGCCCCATACGGCGTAAGTGACGGCCCCTGCCTCAGGCTGCGGCCCCAGCTTCGCGACGGATTCCAAACGGCTTGGACAGATTCATTGATGGACGCAGAAACAGCATTCGTCTGATCCATTACCCACTGCATCACCACGACTACCAATTCCAGACCACCCCAGTCCCACGCTGTCAGTCAATCAGCGATAACCGGTTGGGTCGGTGGCAGGCAAGCTCGGAAGCTCCAGGAAAACGAGCTGTTTGCCATTCAGATCCAACCAACCTGTAGATACCGGGGCAGCGCGCATCGAGCTATGCTTATTCGTTGGAGTCTGAAAGGTATTGTTCCCAACAGGACCAGGTAAAGTACATCATCATCATCACTTCGGGCTAAGTAGCCACCAAGAAGGAAGGGAAGGAATCGAGGGGGGGCTCGGATTTGCCACTGGCGTCCATCGATGCCAGTCGATGCCCTGGAGACGGGATTCCTCCACGTACAGGAATCTGGTCAGTAACAGTAATCAAGCAACTCCTCTATACGTATCCTACAAGACACAACAACCTACAGTGTAAACCAGTGTACGAAATAAGGAATCCAAACAGACAAACAAACAGATAAAGACTGATCATGTGCCAACCTACCCAACCCGACACCCACACACAGACTCACACAGAGAGAATGAAACAACCCAGTAACAGCCATCAGACACGAGATGAGACACTCCCCATCCCGACCTTGCGTCACCGTGTATCATGACTTTCTCCGCCCGGAACCCTACAGCTTCCACTTACGCCCCGGTGTCACCATCTCCCCCGTCCGTCCGTTCCGTTATCGCGATTATCATCTCCCGGATTAGCCCTGGTTCCATGGCACACCTCATCCCCCTCTTCCCGATGCCAATCACGGCGGGATGCTGAGACGAGATCAACAAAAGTTACTGTAAGGTTTACCTTTTTTTTTTTACGGGTACGGGTACGGGTAAGGGAACGGTGTAATTGACTGATTGTTTTTGTTGTGTAGTAAACAGTTTGTAGTAAGTGTAGGAATGGGATAGGATGGATGAATTGGATTACAAGCATAGAGTACAGAGTACAGAGTACGGCACAAAGGTAAGTGATGGACTAAGTAGAACCTACGTAAATACACAATCGGTAGGAAGTACGAAGTACATTACAGAAAACAAGAAGCAAGGACGAAAATACCTACCAGACAAACAGACGACAACCCAACCCAACCCCATCCACCGTAGATCACTGATGTAACCACCACCACCAACACAAGCACAAGCACAGTTACACCCACACAACAAAACAACAAATCACACACCACCTTCTACATAACAGCACGGCCCTCCCACCATTCCTATCTTATCTACTATGTAATCTACTGGGTAGACAGTTATGTAAGATTCCATCCCATCGATCGAAACCCAATAACTCATCGACGTCATCTGGTGATATGAGTGAGTGGGTCATTAACCTCATTACTTTTTACATACATACAACAAACAAACACAGTAACATACGGACAGAATGTATGTTCATACACGCTCTGGGGTAATCTCATTACAGACACATGCAATATGTAGGGTGTTATGTATGTAGGGCTCCCTATCTACAAACATACATACATTTACACACACACACACATACTATGTATAAGTAGGTAGTCCGTGCGGTAAGGCATGCAGTAAGATAAGTGTGTATGTGGTGTGTCGGATGTGTTGTCTTACTGTAGATAGATATCTTGCATTTGTGTCTGCATCTAGGTATTTCTTTCTGATATGATATGATATGATATGATACTGTTTACTTATTATGATAGGAGGATGGGTTGAGTGGGGTATCTGTGGTATCAGATGCGGATGGAATATGGATGGCTGGGTACTAGGGAGGATGGGGGACAAAAGTACAAGTTGTGTTGGCACGCTGCTGTGGGCTGGGTGTTGTGGTTCGATCTATGCGGTATGGGGTAGGTAGTACATCAATCAACATTGACTATCTAACTAGGTAGTAGGATTATTTGTCTGATGTGGAGGTAATGTTTCTAGTACTTTATATTCAGTGAGTAACCTAGTGCTTTGTTCTATATGGTTTTGGGGGAGAGTGTTGATTGATATGTTGGGATCATGTTTACTCGGGTATATATTCAGCATAGTATTGTCATTCTCCATTCAGTTCGGCTTTGAATTTCGCAAGATCAAAAGGGTAATACTATTAAGTCTAAAGAAACAGAACTCTATGTCCGGTATATGATTAAGCTGTAAGTGTAAAGCATTTTGTCCTCCGATCAGGTCATGAATTTAATGGCCTGAGACGACTTCTATGGAAGCGGGAGCAGGACCTGATGCCTCAGGCTGTCAGCACGCTCTCTACATAAAAGAATACAGAACCTCTTCTAACCATAACCATCACGGTAGGCATAAGACTTTATTAACCTGAACTAACCTGAAAACTGGTATTATATCACAGTGTCAAATTCCCCCTTCCTGCGACTTCAACAGATCTCGCACAATGTTCGCATAGACTTGATCATATGTCCACGCCACAAAGGGCATCACCCACCATACACATTTGACATTCAGATCCACTACTAACATCCATCCTAAGACCCCATCAGTATCGAGCATTCCAACTAAAGGGCCTGAATTTGTCCTACCTCCTGTATTCTCCGGCTGAACAGACAACTGACTTCCCACTATTACACCGAGCGGTGCGTCGGCTTTGGTCTTAACGCCTGTCTCGGTATTTCTCAACCAAGTCGGAAACTGAATGTGATGTTTCCCCCAGTAAGACACAGGGATGATTGTAATGATGCTATTGATCATGTATGTCTCGATGGGGTCTTGGGTCTCTGGGGTCTGAAACCATTCGTTCTCGTATATAACGGGGTCAGTTTGGACCTGGGTTAAATCGACAATCACTGGATTCAGTGCAATAAAAGCCTTATGGTCATGAAGAGCTTGGATGACTGCATCGGGGTTAATAGAGTCGGGGATTTTCGTGGAGACACGGCGGGTTTTGGAGATGCGCCAGTTGATCGATAGCAAGGAGGCGACGAGGAGGCCCGTCAAGAGCTTGTACGGAACCATTATATAAAGACGGAATGAGGACGGTCAAATAATGAATTAAAGATTGATAGGTGTAGAGGAAGTATTGGACTGAGTGCTGTTGGTGTGGGGATTGTGAGAAAAGGAAGCCGATGTTGCGGCACACTTAGCAGTTCTCGGGAGCACAACTTGGATGCATATTCGGGTCACGACGCCTTGGAAATTTCAACCGCACCCAAATTTTCCAATGTGGAAGCTATTGATAGGCTGCTTGTTAACTCATTAATAAGAGCCCGAGAGAGGACAGATATATAACGATGCCGAATTATTCTTATTCTTGACCACTGGGCACTGTACACCCCTATTGCCAATTTAGTCGATGGCACTTGGCTACCGAGAAGCTAGCACAAGTGTAAGGGAAGAAAGACAGCTCGATCGCCTCTTCTCTCGTGGAATCTCTGTTGGACTTGGATGTCTCCTACTTTATACCGGTACTATAAGGTTTGTCCTTCCTTGTTCGGAATTGATTCAAGATTGGTGCCTGCCATAATCAGGTTTTTGGGCCCCTCGGCCAATCATACTAGGAATTACTACGCCATTGCAAGTTAATTATATCAAATTCTCCTACTTTGTCATACCTTGTAGAATAAGGGGTCGAGCTCAAAGATCGGTTCCGGGGGCGTCATAAGCTGTCACGCTTCATGTGCCACCGATATAAAGAGTATATCTCGTTGCCTCGTTACATGTCAACTTAGATCTATTTTGCACGATGACCTCAAACAGTCGAAATGCTCCAGACAATTGCCGCTCCGTTGCAGATTTTGCTTAGCCTCTGGGAGAATCCTCTTCCTGACGTCCCATATGTATCCTGCTTTCCTACCCTGGGCCTCCTGTCGGAGAAATGGTCCCATGATTTCTACTCCAAGTCGATGGGAGCTCTTTTTGATACAGCCGCAGAGGAGGGTGTGTCTTACACAATGATCGGCGGGTTGCCCTTGGTATACCTGCGAGACCCGGCTCTGATCCGACAGCTGTTTGTGAAAGATGCCGAGTCGATTAGCCGGTGTGGAAATCAGAGTAGAGGTCCCTTTGGAACCGGCAAACGAATCATTCGCAATGCCTTGATTACCGCTGACGGCGATAATGCTCGGCGTTGGCACGCCGATATGCTTCGAGGATTCAGCAATCGACCGGCCATGGAGGCGTTTCACCCCAAGATGTTTTCGATTGCGACGCGCCATGTCCAGAGACTTCGGGAGCTTGGCTCGGGCGATAATCTTCAAGAGTTTTTGCAAGACTACGCCATCGACGTGGTCTGGTCCCTAGGGCTCGGGCTGGAGAATGCCTCTCAACACACAAGAGATTGGCATGAGTCATTTGGGCAATATGTGCAGATGGCAGCGAGCCTATCGTATCCTGTCCACCATGCCATGCTAAACCTCTTGTCTGGTCGAGATTTCGCCGAACCCGACCCCCGCGAAGGCGATCTCCATCAGAGAATCGAGACCTGTATCCTCCAGCTTCTGGAGTCCAACAAGGACATCCTTAACCCAGACCCCGCGACAACCACCCCAAATGAGATGAGCTTCCTTCAGAGGATCTCCTACGAGACAGGCGGGAGCGCAGCCCAGCCCATCACTCCCGATGTTCTCGCCCACGCGAGACAAATCTTCTCCCACGGCTTTCCCGGCCCGACACTCCTCCTTCTCTGGGCATTGAGGGAACTATCTCTTCACTCCGACGTAGAGCAGAAGCTGTGTGCCGAACTCGCACAAAGCAACTGGCATCAAAACCAGGACCTGAAGCTCCTTTCACGGCTCGCGTACCTGGACGCGGTAGTGAACGAACTGGCCCGTCTCCACCCCCCAATCCCTACAACCGCACGAGCCATTGACCGTCCGATTGCCATGCAAACACAGTGCTGTACCAGCTTCGTCCTTCCCGAGAAGGCTCGAGTGGCCGTCTCTTTAGATATGTTGCATCACGATCCCCAGATATGGGGTGAGGACGCCGACCGATTTCGACCAGAGCGATGGGAAGGCATCCGCCCAAATAAGATGGAGAGCGAGGGCAGTTACTTACCTTTTCTCACCGGACCCAGACGTTGTCCATGTACCGGGTTCGTCTTACAGCAGGTCAAAGTGTTCCTGGCCGTATTGTTGTCGGAGACGAAGTTGGAGGTGACAAATGCGGCCATGGTAGAGAAGAGATTGGGTCCGATATCCGAGCCAACAAAGCCTCTGAGCTTTGTCATCAGTCCTTGTTGAATATCTTGAGTTATCTGTGTTGGGATCGATAGATGAAAGAGCCATATAAGTTCAGATGAATATTATTGAAAGTAGTAGTTGGGTTTGACGCACTAGTTTACCTCAGGCCAAAAAGGCGGGTGGATAATGGTCCGTGCACTAAGCAGTCCCGTGAGACTGGACCTCTGCCTCAGGCTTTAATATTGGGACTCAATCAATGCTCTAGCCAGACTGATAGCCACTTCTCAAGATTTTTTCTTCAGATAAGTAATTTGAGCTGACTGTGTTCCATGAAGATATGCTACAGTCCTGTCAGATTGTCTTGCAAAAAGTATGTATAAACTTCATGTATTCACCATCTCCTGTTGCTGTGTGGTACTGTACAGCACTGCGCGCATGCTGTTCCGCGTCTGCTAGGTATTATCCTATCATACAGGATGCCAATGCATCCGATCGCTTTTAGATACAAAACTTGAACAAAACCAGATATATCCGAGTGCATGAACGAATGCAATCCTGGTGCCAATCCTCCATGCCAATGTTCATTAAAAAAGTCCTCCGTAGCGCTGAGGAACTCGGTGGACTACGTCCCTTCCTTCTTCAAGGATGACCCGCTCCGGGTTACTCCCATCATAATACCGCTCCTCCCGCAGAGGTCGCGTAGCAACATACACAGGCCGCTCGATGTATTCTCGGGGCTGTCGCGTGCCGTCATCCATGTAGACGCTCACGTCACGACCACCAGGGCGGACGCTCTCAACCCGTTGGATCACCTGAGGGTCTTCATACCGGCTGGTTGGCGGACGCACGCTTGGCATTCTGACAATCCGCTCCCGGGGCAATTCAGCTTCCTCAAGGTAAGGCGGACGGCGAGTCCCGTATTCGGTCACCTGAACGCTGGCACTACGTGGGAACGGTTCCCTCTCGTCAAGGGCCGCACCGTAAGGCCGCCGTTCACTCGGGGCCGGTCGGGCGTAGTCGGTGACACGTCGATAGGCAGCTTGCGGAGGTGGCATGTCCTGCACGTACCTCCGACCACCGTATGGATCCTCCAGAACAGATGCCGCCCGTACGCTTGCATGGCGCAATGGAGCACGGTCATCATGTACGTCGCTTCTCGGTAACCGGCTAGAGGGCGGAGGCATGGCCTGCAGCCTAGGAGCAGGTAGCGTCTCATAGTATTGATTGCCATGCTCATCAACCACAATCCGGCGCGGCGGTGGTGCCATTACCCGGGTTGCAGGCTCCTCTTCATAATAAGTCTCGTGGAGTCGCGGCGATGTGGGCGATCCCCCAGCCGGAATGTAGCGTCTTGCAGGAGGCGCGGTCAGCTCATCATAATACCTGATTCGCTCTGGTTGACGCTCAACAATAGCGTATGACCCCGCCCGGATCGATTGGGGACTGGCTTGGTCAACATATTCACGAGCAAATTCCGGTTGCCGAGCCTGATGCAAGCTGGCAACTCTGCGCAAATCCTGATCGTCTCGGATCGGGCGTCTAGCACTAAGTCGGGAAACAGTTCGTGGAATCCCTGGTTCACCGTGAGGGTCATACACCTCATACTCATATGCCGGGTCTCTGACGGGTGCCTCTCTCCTCTCTAATACTGGTGTGTAGCGCGGGGAAGCAATGTCAATGTACACAGGTCTTTCTTGGGGCTGGCGGCTTCTGTAAGCCTGCAAAGTATCTGTAAACGGTGGTGGTGAAACAGGCTCTTCCTTGATGAAAGACTCCTCGACATTGTGTGGCGCTTGCGCTCTAGTATAAGATGGACGAGTCCGCACCCTCTCATCCAATCTCCTACGTTTCCTAGACGTCATTGGCTGGACGGGAGCTTCGGGGCTCGCGTGACGATCCGGACCGTAATCTGGACGCGAGACCGAGGGCACCTTGGCGATGGCCAGCGGGGAGACTCTGGATGGCTGCGGAGCGGCAGGCGACGTGATGTGGTTTCGCACGATCCGTACATCGCTGCCCGGTGACAGGGATCTTCGAGCGTGGCGGGGTCGCTCCGGCGCTCGTCGTTTCGTCCCACCCGGGTATCCCCTCTGAGCCCCGTGGTTATCATCCCTCTCCATAGGAGCCACCCCGGGCGCCGGTGGTGAATACTCTGGCTCTTCAAATGCATCGGTCGGCTGGGTGGGTTCGGGGTATTTGCGCGCGGCGACGTCCACCTCACCATGGTGCGGGTGCCTCTGGTCATAGGGTACTAGGTGGTCTGCCACGGGGTAAGTATCTTGCACATCCTGATCCGATCCAGTTCTGTTGAGGGCTTCAAGCCGTTGCAACTCATCTGAATAGTTCTCTGCGGGAGCTTCAGTAGCAAGTTCCTCCGAATTAGACTGAGGTGCCGGAGACTGCCTTTGTTGCTCGCCGTGCTGAGGGGAGTCTGGGGCTCTACTCGAGTAGAACGAATTCTCGTCAAAGGAATCATTGGGCTCTCCTGCGCCAGGGGCATCGATTGACGGAGATGGGTTAACCATCTCAAAGGCCTTCACCAGTACATCGGAAACGTCAAAGTCCGGCTTTGCGTCCTGTAAAGCGGCCTTCTGCCTGGATTCTTGTCTTTTTTGTTCCAACTGCTCCCGCAGCACTCGCTCCACCCTTTGCCGTTGCAGCTGCAGCTCTGCCCTGACTAGATCATCTGACTTGGTCAGAAAGATGGGATCAATTTCTGAGGCAGGCTTAGGGAGTATACGCGAAGGCCCGGTCGTGCCGGAAGGAGCCCCTCCGGCACTGGGAGCCTGCGAGCTCGCAGGTCTGGTTGCCGACGGCGCGGAAGGAGGGGGCTGAGTTTCCGGGGGAGACTTCAGTTGGTCACCCGGTTTTACCTGTGCTGGAGTTGGAGCAGGGGGAAATCGAGATGCGGGTTTGCGCACAAACTGCTGGGGAACCTTCAATCTAGGGTGAGTTCCAGAAAAGATATCGTCACTTATTCTCAGAATCTTCTCATACTCCTGCACTTCCTCACTTGCAGGCAGCCGGGTAGTTATACTACTGCCTGGTGCTGGCGGTATTTGGGCTGTTGCCATGGTCTAGAATAGAAAATGATCCCCGGAGACAATTAAGCTGGCCGAAAGCGTTGTTTCAAACCAGTCACCAGTAAGCCGGATGAGTTTCCTGCATCAGCTTTTTTTTTTCCCGGTTGTAGCACTTTAATCCAATTCACTGCCTCACTTGACCTTGTCAGTGGAGACTAGGATGGGTGGCTAAGAAGGAATGGTGGGTGGAGGGTGTGGGAGGGAGAGAGAGAGAGGGAGGGAGGGAGAGGCAGATTGGAGGATGGAGTAGTAAGTGAATGTGCGGGAAGACGTGGTGGTGGTTGCGTTTGCGTTTGCGGTTGCGGAGGAAAAGTGCAGCTTCGTTGAGGCGCGCCAGCTTGCCAGGCCAGGCGCCACTAGTCAAAGGAAGAGCCACTCCTAGTTCAGATTAGTCACTTCACGGATCCCTTCATAGGCCATCGTCCACGGGCTTGATTGGCGTGCAGTCTGGATTGAACCTGTAAGTACTACTACTAGTAGGTCTGTACGGAGTAGGTGAGCATGCACTAGAGAGGAGATAAGAATGCTCGTCACCAAGTCACCCGACAAAAAAAAGTAAAAAGAACAAGTCAAGGTGACACCGACCCAAAGAACCCCGAAGAAAAGAAAAAGAAAATGAAGACCGAGAGTGGAAATGCCGCGCCGGCTCCTCCCGCCAATTGTCGGACGAGAATCACTCGATTCCCGGTTCTGCTAAGTATCCCCCCTCTACGACCACTGGTGGCATAGACATCTGCTATGATTCATACAACCTTGCGCTCCCTCTTGAGAGTATCTTTTGCTCCCAGAGCATCTTGCGCCAAACCTGCCTCTCCATTCCCTGTCCGGAACCTCCCTTCTTATCGCACGTCTCCATTTCCTTCGCATCACTGCAGTATATCCCATCCCCGAAGAACAATGGCCACTGCTAGCTCTCTGGCCAGCGCGCCGCTGGACCCTCGACCAGTCTTCTTTTTTGACATCGACAACTGTGTATGTGGCCACGTCAGTTCCTATCCCATTTGCTGTCGCTTACTGACTGGTGCTTGTCTGCAGCTTTACTCCAAAGGTGGGAACCTTTGTACCGAGGTATTATTGCCGAGGATACTGACTAACTGCATGAAGGGTGCAACATCCACGATGAGATGCAGACATTGATAAGTGAGCCATTCGCGATCGCGACCTCATTAATGCATATGCGCTGACCCAGTCACTCCCCTTTTCCAGACAAGTTCTTCGTCAAGCACCTTTCCCTGAATGCCAATGACGCACACATGCTCCACATGAAATACTACAAGGAGTACGGTCTCGCCATTGAAGGTCTCACGCGCCATCACAAGATCGACCCCCTCGAATTCAATCGCGAAGTGGACGATGCGCTGCCGCTGGATGAAATTCTCAAACCGGACCTGAAATTGCGCAAGCTGCTCGAGGACATTGACCGGAGTAAAGTGCGGATGTGGCTTCTAACAAACGCATACGTGACCCACGCGAAAAGGGTGGTGAAGCTATTGCAGGTAGATGATATGTTTGAGGGCATCACGTACTGTGACTATTCGCAGCTACCGCTAGTTTGCAAACCAAGCCAGGTCATGTACGAAAGGGCGGAAAAGGAGGCGGGGGCTTCGAGTACGTCGGAGTGCTACTTTGTTGGTGAGTTTTCTGCCCCAACCCTCTTTTTAATTATCTGTAGATCTAGCCTGAAGCAAGTGCTGATGAGTATTCAGACGACTCGCATCTGAACTGCACCCATGCCGCTGACCGGGGCTGGGCCGTAGCCCATCTCGTCGAGCCTGGGATACCCCTGCCCCAGGTCCCGGCCTCTCAATACATGATCCGAAGCCTGGAGGAGCTGAGGACCTGCTTTCCTCACCTGTTCAAAGGCAAACATGAAGCATAGAAAGATTTATACCCTTTGATAGATAGATTCTTAGATGTGAACGGCCTCGTTTTTGAAGATGTCACGAAGACCATGAGCAACGTTACTCCTGTCTTTTGGTTATAGAGAATATATACGATATTCACCTAGAAGTTGTATGTATTTAGTCATCAATCGCGCCCTTGGGATCTCAATAATTCTAGAAATGCAGTGAGGTAAAATAGTCAACGTATAAGATTAAGAAAGCTAACAATCATGATAAGAGGGCCGCAAGCGAGGCCAGCTGCGACTGCCAGAGCTGCCCCCGGGATAATGGTAGATAAAGGAGGACAAGCGAATTGTCCAGCTGGCTCATCCTCGAGCCCCATTGTGTCCTCCACGAAGGGAATCAAGGACAGTGAAACCAGCCAGGAGAGTTGAGACAGACCGGGTCCAAGTAGGGCTACTTGGGTGCCTGTATGCCTTAGGCCTGAAACACCCGTGCGCGGGATCGCGTCCTGAGGCTCCGATCGGAGCTTCCCCGACTGACCCCGTCAACAACATCCCAATCCGCCCTTCCCCCCTCCACTACAGGACAATTCCGTGTCTGCGCCGGGGCTCTCTACCGGCCTGGATGATTCGATATGGCTGACTTATCTCCCGGCCATGTGGTCACTCTAACCGACGGTCGGCAGGCCACCGTTCGGTTCGTTGGGACAACACATTTCGCTGTGGGTGAGTGGATAGGCATTGAATTGGATGAGCCTACCGGGAAAAACGATGGAGCTGTCCAAGGGGAGCGATACTTCGACTGCAAGCCAGGATTTGGCATGTTTGTCCGGCCAACTGCTATCGCCGCAGTCGTTGAGCAGCCCGCACGACCGACCAAGCCAGCGGCTCCTAAGGGGAATGCCAACAACCCGCCAGCGAACCGAAGTCGCGCCCAGAGTGGTGTCATAACAGGGAGCTCAGGTCTTAAGAGGCCGACGTCTTTGTCGTCTGCGAATACGAAGAGACATAGCGCCGGTGCTGCGAGTCCCACGGCGGCCCTGAGAAATGCCGCCCAGCGCTTGTCGACAAAGGTATCGTCCATCTGGCAGCCCATGACACATACAACAGAGCTAACGATTGCCGCACGATAGTCTCCTACGAAGTCGCCGACCAAGACAACCTCCACACCTCTCTCGAACAGATCTTCCGCAAGCAGCACACCGCGGCCGTCCGCGGTGACAGCGAAGACTCGGCCATCCGTCAGCTCCAAGTCTTCTATGGGCCCTCCTCCACCTTTGGCAGCAACCCCTCGCACATCACGACCTTCAATATCTGCTCCGGCAAGCAGAGCGGGCAGACCGAATATCCAGGCTACCTCGTCGGCGCCCTCGGGGTTGTCTAAGCGCCCCGTCTTGCGGCCAACGGGTTCAAATAAGTTCTTGGAAGAAGCAGAAAGTGGATCCAGTCCTCAGTCGGAGGACTTTGAGACGAGTCCGCATGATGTCGAGGAAGAAGTTCCCGATGACGTGGACATGGCTCCCAAGTCTACGAGACCGACATTGCGAACAGGAACCACCAACCAAAGACCACCGCCAACTTCATCACATCGCCCATCAATCAGTGGTAATGGCGTGGCAAGGGAGCTTGACGAGCTGAAAACCAAACTGCGCGTGATGGAAAAGAAACGGACTGATGACCGAGAGAGGCTGAAGACCCTGGAACAACTGCAATCGGAACGGGACAAGTTCGAAGCAATCATCCAAAAGCTGCAGGCGAAATATCAGCCGCAACAGCTCGAAATCACCGAGCTGCGGAAAAAGTTGAAAGACTCAGAGGCGAGACTCGAGGAGGTTGAAAGACTTCAGGCGGAGCATGATTCACTCATGGAGATGGCTGTTCTGGACCGTGAAATGGCTGAAGAAACATCGGATGCGTTCAAGCATGAGTGCGAGACCTTGAGATTGAGGGTTGAAGAGCTTGAGCTAGAAGCCGAGGTTTTGCGAGAAGAGAACGAGGAGCTGGGCCAGGTCATGAGCCTGGAGGAAAAGTCGAGCCATGGATGGTTGCAGATGGAAAGGACAAACGAGCGTCTCCGAGAGGCACTCATCCGTCTCCGTGATATGACCCAGCAGCAGGAGTCCGAGCTCAGAGATCAAGTCAAGGAACTCCAGCAGGATTTGGAGGATTATGCTGCCATCAAGTCGAAATACGAATCTACGAAAGAGAAACTGCTTGTATCGGACAATAATGTGGAAGAGCTCAAGCAGCAGTTGGAGACTGCGCTGGGAGCCGAGGAAATGATCGAGGAGCTTGCAGACAAGAACATGCGGTACCAGGAAGATATCAACGAATTGAAGGCTGCCATCGAGGACCTAGAGGCCTTGAAAGAGATCAACGATGAACTCGAATACAATCACATCGAGACGGAGAAACAGCTGCAGGAAGAGATCGACTATAGGGAAGGACTCTTCAACGAGCAGAGCCGGCGCATCGCCCAGCAAGATGAAGTCATTGATGACTTGGAATATACTCTGGTCCGCTTTCGAGAGCTGGTCTCTAATCTACAAGGGGACTTGGAGGACATGCGAGCATCACAACAGATTTCTGAAGCCGAGGCTACAGACCTTTCATCGCGTTCTCGAACCATGATGGACCTCAACCTGAAGCTTCAAGCCTCTGTTGCGAAGGCGCAGACCAAGACAATCGATATTCAACTCAGTCGCATGGATGCAGAGGAAGCAGCACAGCACTTGGCCATTACAAAATTGTATCTCCCCGAGTACTTCGAGAGCGAGCGAAATGCCGTTCTTGCGCTTCTCCGCTTCAAACGTGTTAGCTTCAAGGCGACATTGATGACCAACACTTTCCGTGAAAAGGTTTCAGACCAGGCATCCGTATCTACGCCCCTGGAGGATCTCTTTATTGCGCATGATGTCATGGAGAAGCTGTTGTGGATTGCTTTTCTCTGCGACCGGTTTGTGAACTACATCACCAACTGTTCTGCCGAAGGATTTGAAAGCATCAAAGGCGCATTGTTTGAGATGGAGCCGGTTGAGCGCACATTGAACTTCTGGTTAGAATGTCTGAAGAAAAACGAGGTGAACATGAAGAAGTGTTCTGTTGAACTGCAACGATCCATCGCCCTTCTATCCCATCTCGCCGAGACTCTTCTTCCAGCTTCTTTGGAGACTTTTGCCGACGAACTGTGCATGCGCTCAATGTTGGCCCAGTCCTACATCGACCATACTGCGTCTGCCATATCTCGTCTTAAGTCGTTGTATCAGTCGAAGCTCGTGGCTTCGGAAGGGGCCGACGAGGAGCACACGTTCATGTACAACAAGATGGAAGGACTCGTATCTCAGGCCCGCGGCCTCAAAGTTGCAATGGGGAAAATCACCCGAGCCCTCGAGGACCTTCGGTCGAGATCCCTTGCACTCTCACAAGACGTTGTTGGGCCATTCAAGCAGGCCGAAGAGGCTGCCAAGGACTTGTCTGATCTGACTCGCCAGATCGGAGAGAACATCGTCTTTCTCGTCATTGATGAGAGCCGCACGGAACCTCTGACCTTGGATGAAGTATTGAACACCATGTCTCAAATATCAACCCTCTACGCCCAGCCTTCGGAGACGGGAAGTGAAAGCAGTGACACGATGTCTCTTATTGGCAACAGACTTCGCAGTCTGGGCGGTCTCCTAGAGGAGCTCGACTCCATCGCGTCTGACTTGTCAATCACAACCGAATTCGAGAGACGTCCTTCCCCTTGGCTTGTCCGGGCCGAGGAGCTGAAGTCCAACAAGACAGTTTCCCCTGATGCAGACGAAGAAATCCGTCGCCTCAAGAACGAGATTCACGAAGCATCGACCGCACTGGGTGTCAAGGATAAGACCATCGAGGAGCAAGCTATCAAGGTAGAACTCGTCGAATCCAGAATGCGCGATGCAAGCAAAAAGGCATCTATGGTCAAGGACCTTGAAGCCGAGATTGAAAAGATACGAGCGCGAGAGTCAGAGCTAGAGGGAACCGTGGACAAGCAGCGCAAGGACCTGGAAGCTCTCGAAGTGGAGCGAGACGATATCAAAAACCGACTGGAAAAAGTCAAACGCATCTCCGGCACAACCGGGGCCACCGCAACAGAAGGGGTTGTCGTCGACGTTGGCGTTTCTCTGGCCACTATGCGGGAGAACGAAGCTCTCCGGGCCGAAGTCGAGAGCCTCCAAGCTGCTGTACGCTATCTTCGCGAAGAGAACCGACGGTCCAACATGCTCGATCCGTTCTCCGTGCAACGCTCCGCCGAGATGTACTCTTGGCTTGATGTGCCTCTCACAGAAGCCCATACAACACCCCAGGAAGAAAAGATCCAACACACCGCCTCCGAAAGCAGAGAGGTCTTTACCCATCTGCTGAAGCTAACCAAGGACTCCAACATCTGCGATCTCAAATCCACCATGACCCAAGAGAACGGCAACCGCGTCGGCTGGCGCCCTTCGAAGACCAAGCTCCGATACCAGGTCCTCAAACAGCGGGAGAACTTCGAACGCTGGGCCGAATGGCGCGACGAAATCATCAGCCACGAACGAGAACAAGACCGAGTGGCCACAGCTAAAAAAGAACGACTGGCTCGTGGGCGCCTACGCGGCCATATGCCACGCAATTCCGCCTACGGGGCCGACTTTCCTCAGGGCGTGGGCCACAGTATGATGGGTCGAGCATGGCAGATCATTGGAATGGAGCATGAGGGCCGTAAAGCCGCTGCCGATCGACCGATCGAACCATCGCTGGCGCCGTCATTCTAAGCAAATATATGTGCAATTATGTATGGACATAGAAGAACCGGGATGGATGAATGACTACTTCGAAGGCTTGTTTCTTTGTTTTTCCCTTTTTGAATTACTTTGATCGATACCTATTTTGCTACAGCTACAAGGAGGAGTAACAATGTCAGCCTTTCTCTTCTTCTTCATCTTCGATTCTCTCGAGTGCATTATACATTTTGTTCCTTGTTATGTACTTGGATGTAAATAGTGATAACTATCTAATGTAAATGTCTACCGTGAAAAAATCAACCGCTCAATGAATGGCAACAGACATATGCAGAGGGGGCAAAATATGAAAGCAAATTAGCACAATGATAATGTACAGCTCCACGCCAAGGCTGTCAGCATAGCTAATGAAACAAGTAACAACAAAAACAAAGACCTTCATTGATTACCATTGGGAGAAACATGCATCTCGATGTGAGGTTGGGTAGGTGGAAGGAGGGGATGATGATGGGTGTAGTCGTCGTGGATGTCATAGACAGAGTTGGGAGTAGAGGGGTTGGGAGATTTTAGTCATGTCGAGTGAAAGAGAAGTATCTCGCTGATTGCGTCGGTTGTTTCATCCTTCGCTAGGAGCTGTTTGTAGCTTGTCGGGGGCCAAGAGGCGACTCGTCTAGAGGTTGCCGGCGAGAATGGCTTCGGTGGCTGGAAAGAATGATCATGTCAGAAACGGTATTTTAGATAGGGCTTTGTTTAAGCAGTCCTTACCTGAGTTGATGTATGGACGCTTGGCGTCAAGCGCGACACCGAAGCGCCTCTCTAGCTCCAGCTTGATGCTCTTCTTGGTCACCGTCATCAGGTCTGCTGTCCGAAGAATTTCACGGATCTCCGATAGGATGGCATCGTCGCTGGGCAAATGAGACAGGTCCTCCATCTCCATCTCCATATTCCGGCTCATCATATCCGAGGGTGCCAAGGACAGGCGGGATGAATAACGGGGGAGGTTGAGTTGGGACACCGGTCTCGAAGCCGGGAATCCGTACTCGGATTGCATCGGGTGATAGGACTTGGTGCCGTAAGAGAAGCCAGAAACTTCGGAACGATCGTCTCGCGAGGTCTGTGCCTCCCAAAGTTCCGCCTGGTATTCCTCCCACGTCTTCTTCGGGATAGATGCCGGGTCGAACTTGCCTTCATCGGAGATAACGACCTTGCGACCGGCTTCTCCGGTGATGACACGGGTGTTACCCCAGGAGAAGTCGTCCATGTGCCAGAACGAGTACAAGGGGAGCGCTAGGGAGGAGATAGGGATACCCAGGATGTAAATGATCATCCATCCGATCATGTCCCACTTCCGCCGGAAGAGGAAGATGAGTGCCTGCAGACCGTAGATTGCAGCCAAAAGCACGAACGCGGTCCACGGAATCGTTGACGTGTCATGAATGAGCCAATAGATCAAGTAAACGATGTAAGCGACTGTGACAGGCTGAATGACAGTACTGATCAGATCCACAAACACGATGAAGCGCATACTAAAGCAACAGAAACCGCAAAGCTGCTCCAACGGGATCAGTTCGATCAGATTGTGGACAGTGGAATTAATCCACCGACGACGTTGCGATAAGAACACAGCGAAGCTCTCAGGGGCAATCGTATAGGCTTTAGCAGCTGCGATGTACTTGGTCTTGAACTTGGGATGATGCTTGATTAGCAGGGTGGTCAGATAGCGATCCTCACCCAGGTGAAGCAGGTTCTTCATGTGGAGAGTGTCGACGCGAATTTCCGAGTAGGCTTCGATGATCTCTTTGCTAACGAACAAAGGCTTGCCACTCTCGGCAGAGCGGATGCGATACATGGTGAAGCAACCGGGCAAACAGGTGATTGACCCGAACAGATTCTCGAAAGCCTTGATGAGATTGTGGGAGATGTAATATTCGTAGACTTGAATCATCGTCACCGCCGACGTTTTGGCGTTGGATAGGGCGGTTTCACCACAAAGTCCCAGGATGCGAGTGTCGGCCAGCAGAGTTGACACCATCCGTGTCGCTGCATCAGGTGCAACCACGGTATCGGCATCGACCTGTAGGATGAACTCGTAGAAAGTGGGATTGACACCAATGATGTTGCGGATCTGATGATACATCTCCAGCTCCATAGGGCTCATGGGGTAGTTGTAGTGGACGCGGTTGAGGAACCGCATGAGGACCATCTGGGAGTCACGCTTTCCTCTGTTACCAGGGCGAGCGACCTCGGAGGGCTTGCCAACCTTGACCACGACCATGAAAGGAACAATGTGGCCCTGAACCTCATACAGACCCGAGTAAATCTTACCCATGTTGTGCTGTTTCATACCCTCGCCCAAACTCTCAAAGCTCAGCGGCTCAGGGTCAACCGATTCTGGCACACCGAGGATATCCAAAACAATCCTTGGAGTGGGACGATCGTTTCCTTGTCCGATAATCATACCATCACAGATGACCACGAGAAGCTTGCGCTTATCATCATAGCGCATGCGAGCCATCGAGTCTATAGCACGGCGAAGAGAATCCTCGTCTTCGGTGTAAGCCGGGACTTGACAGATGATGAATTTGTCAAGATTCTCTGGGAGGTTTTTCCTTGAGAATTGCAAGGCCGCGAGGAACTTGACGATGACAATCAAACAGATAAAAATCGAGATAGCAAGAATGAAGTAACGGGCAAACAAACACCGGGGCGAGTTACGTGTATCCACATGGCCGACAAAGAAAAGATTGTCCAAACATAGTTGCATACGTTCGCGCATCACCGTGTCGATTGCCAGGTCTTCCCAGTACCTCGTCAGGTCCTGACCCGGAAGTCGTTGGAAGAGCTCCACAACCAGGTCATCCATGAAGTTCCGATCAACATTAGCAGGGACCGATTCCCCAACAGGGGCTTGGACTCTCCTGCCTCCGGCTATATACTCGGTCAAGTCATAGACCCTTCCGTTGATACTTCCAATGTATTGTGACTTATCCCCCAACTGGGTCAGATACTTCGGAGTGTAACCGACCCATCCCTTGAAGTAGTTTGCTTTGAGCATTATCATCTGCTCCTGGAACCAGTCAGGACGGGATTCATTGGTGAAATAGCGGAAATCATGGTAGACCCAGTTAGTATCGGTGGTGCTGACGGTCGTGGCTGACCCGGAAATGTTGGTCGATTTATAGTCCAGGAGCACCGTAGGGTCAATCGATCCGTCTTTACCGGGGCAAAGAGCGGAGACTTGGACTGGAAAGAGACCGGTGGCATCAGTACCAGCATATTTCTTGAGCGAAGACTCCGGCACGATATCAGGGTAGTGCGAAGGCATGAATTTGCCCAGATTGAAGACGATGCCACGAATGGCAACGAAGGAACTATGGCCATCCTTGCCGTTATGCGAGCTCAGCTCGCCCGAAGAATACACATGCTGTGTGGGACAGATCAAACCGGGGAATGCGACAATGAAGAAGATGGCAAAGGCACAACTGAACCAGATGATCAGATTGATTGCGAGCTTCTCACGCCAGGCAATTCGGACATCTTTCCGCGGCATGCGCCCACACGTCTTGATCAAGAAATCCGGGATGAAGAACGTGAGCAGATAGACAATGGCCATCCAGCGCTTGCGACTACCAGACACAGGCGCTTCGTCCACCTCTTCCATCTTCTTTTCATTCCCTTTTTCCAGCATCTGTTCTCTGGTATCCAGATTGCGGAACATGTCGCCCGAATTGAACGCAGAGGCACCAGCCTCGGAGCGCCCGTCGAATTCACGGCTACTGGAATATCCTTGTTTGCCTTCATCGCCGTAGATAAAGCCCCCAGGGGACTGATCAGAGGGGCCAAGAAGTCGAACTTTCGAATCGGTATGGCCCGCAGCCCGCGGATGAAGTAGACCATCGCCACCTTCATCAGAGCCATCCGCAGCATACACTGGGACCACGCGCTCGCCCAACTTGGCGAGATCCGCCCAGCAGCGCTCGCTGAGGAAGACACCGGTGCTGCCGACCCTTGCTTCATTTCCTGGCCAGCGTTTTTCGTCCAAGACAACCTCTGACTTCTCTCTGTCGCTCCCGACCACAATGTTGTCAATCTCAGCCAGACCCAAAAACTCAGCAAACGGAAGGAAGATGCTGAAATCGGCATTTCGGAGACGCTGGCTGATTTCGGCGATGCCTAACGTTTGCACTTGTGCTCGCACGCATTTGCTGTCAAATTGGTTCGCAATCCGGCGATCGTTGGGTTTCAGACAGAACACAAAGTAAGGATTCAGATTGGCAGAGCCTAAGCATTTGCTTACAATGTCCAACGAGGAGAGGAACTGGCCAGCAGCACCTTGAATACCGCTAGCCATCATTGCGCTCTTCCGCCGCCCTGAACTCTTTGTCGTGCTTCCTGCTTGGCTTTCGTACTCATCTTGATCATCTGCTGCGGGCGCATCAAAAGCGAGCCGAGATGGCCCAGTCTTTCGTCTAGCCATGCTGGGCATTCGCATGGGCTTGGAGCTTACCTGCGCCTGCATGATCGCGGTCTTCTCTTGAGGGTGGGTGACTGTTTGCAGAGCTTCTTGCCCGAAGAGCTCTCGCACAAAGTCGCTACTCGTAGACTTCATGAGGTTCATCAGATCCCCTGAGATGATATCACCGTTCTCCTCTAGCAGACCAGTCGCAGGATAGTCAACCTCTCCAGCGAAATGTTTCACAGTAAACGAGGACCGGGCGCCTTGGGAGATCAAGGACGTCCCCTGGCCCGTACCGCCCACAGTGATGGCGGGATTCTTATTCTCGAATCGTTTCTTAACAGATTCGAGGAACTGGGAATCAGTCCGTCCACGTCTTGTCTGATCATCAAGGATGCCAAGCAGCCCATTTCCAGACTTCAATAGGCCACGAACGGCGTCACTGTTGTCGAAGTAGCTCGTTGCAGGTACAGAAACTTCTTCGCGTTCCAGCATCTCAGCTTTTCGGTCGAAGAACGACTGCAGGCAGAAATTGTACAGGGACTCAGTAGCCGCATTGCTTAGGAGTTGATCCAAC